AGTGAACGAGAAGTTTGGTAAATTAACTGGGAACAAATATAAAGGGTAAACAATTGTGAACTACCAATCTTTAAGTATAAGATGCAAAAGTTGCAAATATTTAATTTTAATTTTTTGTGGATAGCCCTATAATCTGGATACCCTATTAATTCTTATTCTCATGAAATTACAAGCATGTTTGAGGGGAGCCATTTATTCCAAATGATTACTTAATGCTTCCAATAAAGAACGGTACAGAGAGCGGTGATGCAAAGATTCTACAATCTAATTGTATTTATTAGTTGTAGTCCCACCAAGCCTCACTAAGATTTCCCTTTTTTGGGGCCTTGTTTATCAGATAAATAAAAGAACGTGGCAGGCATAATGTCCCACGTGTTCAATCATACCTAAAATAATATGTGGTCACAGTTTACATTTTTGTACTTATTGTTTGTTTTGATGCCCAAGATAAATATAATGCGTGTCTTATCCACACTATACTGCCCATCTTGCGCTGCTGGTACTTTTCACAATTTGGTAAATCCATGATGCAAGTACGAAATTCGTAATGTAGTGAAGGTGGCAATTTGAGACCACCTGGAGCATGTGAACCTACATAAGCATGTCGTATGGCACAAGTGCATACTCGGAGTGTTACTAAGCACATAGTAATATCTAAAATGGCGAGAGAGAGAGCACATAAGATTAGAGGAGCCTTATCCTCCAACTCATCCTCTGCTCTGGAGGTTGTTCACACACTCATCATCAGAGCGCCTTTGCCTCTGATCGAAATTGGACCTTTTCATTTGAAATTGAAATGAGCACAAACCTTTTCCTCGCCCACATCAGCCTTTCGCCATCCTCGTGTTTGTGAGTGGTGGAGGAGGAGTAAAAAGGAGCTCGACAAATTCTAGCCAGGTCTCATGGGTAATGCCCAATGAAATATATTCCCTGATACATTTCACCTCACTTTCTCAATAACGCAGTCACTTTGAACGCCTCCAAGACCATCCTGCCAGTTCGTCAAATGACGAACTCTCCGTCGTCTTTGAAGATTCAAAAATAGAAGAATGGCACAACTCATAAAGCTAAATGCCCTTTTATACTTATATTTATTGCCATGAAATGGGGTGATCGTGGGTTTTAGACAATTCATCCAAGTACCAACTGCGTCGTTAGCATTACCTGCCTGAGAACGAGCGACTTTCTTTTTCATTTAACCCCGTCTTACATTCGTTATAGGAAACTAGCCGCATGCAACTCATGAAGAATCATTAAAATAAACTGTTATTTCACTTTTGTAATTGCACTACCATACAATTTACTAAAGGTTTGCTACCATTCAAAATGCTTAACAAGTCAGCACAACTACGCAAGTATTCATGCATATTTAGTATGTATGATATCATTATATGTATGAACGTGATCTTATGTTATATATCTAGCAAGCATTTTTTTATGAATCGCGTCAACCTACTAACCATAAATTAAAAAGCTAGAATTATTATTGAATGTTATAGCAGAAAATAATTTTGCGTACTAAAATTTGTAATGGCCTTTTGAAGAATATAAATACATAAAATGGATACCAGTGGAAAGTTGGGATACTTTAAACTTCTTATAAAATTGCGCATTGTTATTTATAGAGTGGTAACTTTTATCCAACGTTTGTCGTCATAGTTGGTTCAAGCTATATGGACAGTTAGATTTCACACGGAAAATCATCCAAGTGCGAATTGTCAACAAGAACAGTCACGTAAGTAGATAACGATTTATGCATTAAATTGATCTACTGTTAAGCATGACATTTGAAATATTGTGCCAATAAATTTAATGGTCTAATTCTACATGAATCATCCCGGCTATTATTTTATATGTGTCTCTTTTCTCCATACTTTCTCTCCACACTTGGGTAATTTATTACTTATTTGTTATTGCTGATCGAGCTCCTAGTGGGAACCCAACAGTTGAAAACTTACGATAAGCGAGCTCTTTCTGCAGGGATTTGTCAAAATGACACTCGAGACTAAAACATCTAAACATTATGAATCCTAGCACCGGTTCTTCTTATGCGAGGAACTTGTTTCGTTTAATGGGAATTAAGACGTAACGAAACTAACGGAACTTCCTTATGCAGATACATAAACCTGCATAACACTTAATTAAAATACCTACCCATTCTTTTATTCATAACCTTGATGATGCAAGCAATTGATTATTTTGCTAGAATAATGATTCACACACGAACGGACTATAATGCGCAATGTTGCGTTACGACATTGTTAAAGTTTCTGAATAGATTTCTTAACTTTGGCCCAAGTATCCACGATAAACAAGTCACCTGAAAAATCCCGAAAAAAGTTAGCATTCCTTGCCATTATCTATCCGAGTGTGCCTCCGTCCACCTCGTGTCTTTCTCCCCCACAAACATTTCACTTCAACCTAAGCCAAAGTTTTATTCTGGATTGTTTCAGCTTTTCTCTTTACCTTTTCCACTGGGCGAAAGTTGCAGCTTATTACGGACAGAGGAGTCCTTGCAAGTACGCAAACTAGATTTTCGCCAGGTGCATGTATTATGTATGTACGTATGTTGTATGGTAACAGGAAGCAATAAATGTAAACAAATTCTGTGTCGCAGCCTTGTTCTACAAGTTTGCAAGTCTCCAATGAGTTCCTCACGACGAAAGAATGAATAAAACAAGTTTAATTTTACTGAATGCGGTTCGCAATCTTTTAGGATTTATGTATAGATAGACCGTGTTGCAACATGTCGCTCTGAGAAGGTGTGAATTTATGCACACGCTGTTTTGCATATGTATGTCGGATTGAATTTATATTGTCACATTAAATCAAAATGTGCTGAGCCATTTGTCTGGTTATATATCAGACATTCAGTGATTTACACGAATTTTTGAAAATAATGAGACAATGGATATATTTCAAATTGAGGCGTAAATTCATCTGGTCCGATATTATAGGCATCTTCGTTTATTTAACGCATAACAAGAGACAAGAGTCAACAGTCCATCTTGTAAATACATGCCTATTTATTTGTAGAGAGTTGTGTGGGTGCGTTGCCATATAGTGACCGCCGCGGCGGTATTTTCACTCACTAATTGGAATCATGAAGTATATTGTTTGCAAGATTGAAGGTTGAAGTGGGATACTACGGGTAACGTTTCCAGGGATTGGCTCATCGAAACTGTTTTTGTAAGGATTCCTCTCCATGAGCGTGGGTTTATAAACTTCAACTTCCAATTAAACAATTACATCTTTTATTTGAGTACAACTTGATGCTGGATTATTTTAATCCTTTTGACATAGTGGCGAATATGTAAGCGTGTGTAGGTTATGCAACCGATTTTTCAGTAAGTGCTGGCTTTATGTACCAGTGTTTAGAATTCCCAAATTGAGAGATTTTTTGTCCCATTATTACAACCATATTTTTGAACGTTTTGTACCGTCCACTAATTTGCCACTCACCAATTACCCAACTATGAATCATAAACCCACGCACAATCTCCCGGAAGGAACATAATTTCTTCATCAAGCATTCTTACAAACCCTTTGGCAACCATTATCTCACAGGAAGAACTCTAAGTGGCAACGACAGTGAGGATTAACTAAGTAGAAAGACAAGTGGAAATTGGCCAAATACTGAGATATCTTTAACCCGAGCCAATTTGTCACAAATGCACTTCGTTCCCCTCGACTCACAAAGCTGTCGTTGTCAAGCACGACTTTAACGAGAAATTGAGTGAGCGAGAATTCCATGAGATAGATTCAGTCCCATAGTTCTTGTTGTAGAATCTCAATCTCCTCAAGGTCTTGGAAATGATGAGATGTCCTGTTTCGTGAGAACCACCAGCTAATGGAAATATTGGTATACGGACAGAGATATATAACACCTGAATATATCAATTCCAGGTATTTTATGCCTGCAACCTGCTCAAGGTTAAATATCCCACTTCTCAATGACGCATTAATAATTGTATGACCGGTGCAAATCAGCAGATCTTCAGCAACGTAACAATGCTGTTAGAGAGAGAGGGGGTAATTCCTAAAGAGAAAGTCGAATGGTTTCCCTCTGGCAGATCAGTAAAGCGAAGGACGGAATTTTCTCTACTCTGGCATGTGTACATGAGTATTTATGTACCTACATATGTAGATTCATATGTCCTTAGAACATCCTTAGCATAATGAAATCTTACACTGGGTTATGCAATATGCCACCTAATTCCCCTTATTACCAATCAACCACGAAGAAACCCATTGAAGAATTTCCACCATTTCCACATGGAGTGCTTCATTATCATATATGAAAATAATGCACAAATATTTGAGAATGTGCTGCATTTTAAATCCTCAGAGGACACGGCCAGCAGTTCGCAATGTATGGAATTTACTGAAATTACGACATTCAAAACGAAAACTTAGTTTTAATATTTCGTATCGTAGGATCGTGCCAAAAATCAAAAACACTTTGCACTTATGACTCGGATAATTCATGTTTTACTCGAAGCATTAGCTCCTCTCTCCCGAATGCTGGATGTGTTTTAATGTCAAAAACATGCATGTTAGCTTTTTGTTACCAAACACCTTTTTGTCATGCTTGACTTTCTTCAGCGTGAAACTCGTATGTATTGTCGTGTCATATTTCCTTCTATTTTATATTAGCTTCTAAAAACAGGAATCCATGATCAAAACGTTTTGTACACTAGGCTTAAAAAGAAGAAATAGAATAACATAATCATTTTCAACTTTAGTGAACTTTTGGAGAGAGAATCTCGTCATTTTCTTATTACATAAGTACATAACTGCTATGACCTTATGTGAAGATCTGCATATACAAACAGCGTCCGTGTCCCTTTTATATGGATGGTTCTGGTGGATGAGATTCTTTGCATCGTTCGAAGGAGAAAGATCACTCTCAGCCAAGAGAACAGAGAGTTGTTCGTCGGCTCTGGTTTTAGTTGGTGCAAGAGAAAGTTGTTCCAGGAACACGGGCGATGAGGGAACAGTCGATTGGGAACGGACTCGCAAAACACATCTCTTTCTCGTGGCATCAATCACATTATTAATCTCAACGCTTCTATCAGTTTGCTCATCACTAAAAGAGCACATCTTTCATCATAAATACACTGCTGACCAAGAGTTGGGGAATTCTCATTTATCGCAACGGCTTTTTACAGGAAATGTAGGAATCAGTTGAGGCTATTATTTGCATAAATACATTTTCTACAATACAGATAACATGTGTCTCAAAAACTGTGCAGATTAAAAGTTTTAAAAAGTGCAGGAAATATTGTTTAACTCGTCTCATTCTTAAGTTGTGGAGATTTTTTACGCATATTTACAAGCACGTATTGTAGTGCACATTTTTTCATAGATCTCAAACTAATGGATACCCAAGTCAAGTCACCTTTTGACAGTAAAATTTATAAAACTTCAAACGAACAGTCTCATTTTTTTCAGTGGTAGCATTTTCCGTACTCTGTCGCTGGACATTATGTGGAAGTAAATTTGATCTCATTATTCCAAATATTTCCTAAGCTTGAATACCAATGACATACATAATATATGCAGTGTAGGCTTGACTTGATTTCACAAATATTTGTGACTGAACTGTAAAATTCTTGACAAAGTCAATCCGACGTGAAACTATATACCAATACCGGTATAGATGAAAATTACAAGTATTGGAGCGTGATAAAATTGGAAATAAACTTTGGCCGTAACCTTGTCGGAATATATTCCCTCTGGTAAAAACCGTGCCGCACTTCCAATTCGACTTCCTCATTGACAATTTTTCCTTCCTGACAAACGTGTAGATTTACAAGACGCGGATATATTTCCCGACCAATCAAACCTGGAATTGTATAAGTGCTTCAGATAAATAATTTAAATATAACTCTGACAAGTGATTAAATAATCATGAATCAACTCATTTTATTCTTGACAATGACCATTCTTCTTCACTTGATTGGTAAGCATTTTAACTGGTATTCATATGTACATAGTTTCGCAATCTGACTTCTGTGACCTGTTATTAACGGGTGAAACTCATTAATGGAAATGCCTAGTCTATTTATCTGTATGCACGATACGTTGAGAGCGGATGCGGTTTTCACCAATGTGTTTCTCATTCGCTCGGACGTTGCAACTTCGAATATAGTGATCGTGAGGCACACCCCTGTGCTGTGGTAGTCGAAATTTGAAAATTATTATTTTTTTAATTTTTGGATATGTCGTTCATGGGGGTGTTCTATTTTCGATAAAACTATGTTAACCCGATGGGTGTGCCGAAGGTCCGTTCCCAGCCACGTTTAAGGTTTTGGAGGAATGTGAGACAATGCTATGAATGAATGACTAGGGAACATGGCTGGAGAAATGTTTGAGTGGGTGTGCCGACCCTCCACGGTGGGGGTGTTGCGAGATAATACATGTAAAATGTACGTAAAATTTTAAAAAATAGGCGAGACTATATGGGCCCCATGTAGTATCAAACTTACGGATACAAGTCCGAGCTGTAGTTTAGGGTTTCCAGGATCCCATTTCATTCAATGTGTTCGATACAAAAAATAGTGGTAACAAAATATGTATGTAGTTGGTTGGTCTGTGAAACGCTGGTCTGCGAGCAAAATAATGCACCTTATGACTGAGAATCTCAATGACATCACACGTCGTATTTTTGCATCTTTACTGATATAGTCCGATAAGGAAGTAGGCTTGGGATTAGTGTCCATATATTTTCCATTTGCTACTCGATAATGTATTTATATATGAGCAGCTATTTTTAAAACGGCGTCTTGGAGAGTGACCTGCTTACCGACCACTAGCCTATCTGCATGTAAGAACATGATAACCTGACAGTCATGTTTCTTGATTGCAACATTTTGAGCCGGTGCTAAATCACCTCTTGAGACGCATCCATCCACTTCATCATCATCCTCCATCTCCGTCGACAAGTAGAATCAACTGCGGAGGAAGTGAGACAAATGAACCGACCTCAATTATGGAGCACATAAATTCTCACATCAGACAGACTCGCCTCAATACTACTTAAATAGGAAAAGCTCCTTTCTCCACACTTGAACAAGATGATTAGAATTGAGTGTGGTCCCTGAATATTAATATTTGGGGATTATGGCGCATATTAGTATTTGAGTCGGAGAAAATGAGGTGCGTTGTTTCCATCTCACCACCACTTTTGAGGTTTCGCTTCAAATGGGGCACTAATAAGGTGACTACAACAAAGGTGTTCAATTTTATTGGGAATTGTTGATGGGAAAAACTTGCGCTAATTAAATGGAGAGCCCCTAAAAGACTTGAAAAAGCATGGGCACACACATACACAGCGCATAGAAATACATATGCCATGCATTTATTATGCAATCGTATACATATTTTGTCTAATGCACATAGGAAGCGTCGATTGCGTGGCCCAAGACGAAGTGGAAAGTTCCAGTACCAACAACAGCAACGTTCTCCTCCAAGGGCCGAAAAAAGCCAATACAGCAATGACGACGACTTCCATTCCTCCTTCGACCAGACTCAGAAGAAACAATCCTGACATAAATTACGAAAAAGTTTTAGTGCAGACACTTCTAAAGGATTATGACATCTCCGTCCGCCCCACAAAAAAGTCAACTATTGCTCTCAACCTAACGTTTGGGTCAGCGTTAACACAAATCATCGATGTCGTAAGTGAAAAATGGGCATAAAAAGGATAAAAATGGAGTATCGTACAAATATTTTTAATTCTGAGCACTTTAAATTGATAATCAAATAATTCGTTTGTTTTAATTTCTATCAATTGTATCTTGTTTTTAAATAGTTTTAATACTAGTTATTTTGAAATTTCATTAAAATTACCATACTCATTGAACGGTAAGCCAGTCTTAAGACTCGATTGCGGCTGAATGACTTATCCAATCGACTTTAAACAGACACAGTCTTAGGATTAGTTAGTACTGTTCATATTAGAAATCAAGCTCGAAAGGGTTCATACAGGGCACATGGCACCAAATATTTTTTATAGTCGAAGTCACGTTTATTTCAAAAATACTAACAAACATAAAACTAATTGTAAGTGTCACTAATTAATATGGATAGTCTCACACCCTCGCACTCTTCAGAACTGTCAAATGGTTTGACTTATTAGTTTAGAAATTAAGAAAGTTAAGAAAGACTACGAAAATAAATGGTTTGGACCAACTTGGACTGTATGGAGGTTTCATTAATTAATACGGCCTGCAAAAATAGATTTCACTTATCAGAATTAAACCAATTGTGAGAAATCCAATTAAAAAAATTTGATTTTACGGTTCAGGGATTACCCACTTGGACATATGTACGCAGGCCTTTAATCCTAAGTAGTATAAGTACGCATGGTGAATCATTTAATTTTTTGGTCGTCGTTCGCAGTAATCATTCGCATTTCAGGCACTGCTACCATCTCATTCAACACAAATCCAGTATGTCACGCAAAGCTCACGAAAGTGAAAGTTTTTGACTATGAAGAACTTGCGTTGTGGAAAAAATGAGATGAGTTCTTGGAGGATTCTCCTGCAGAAGTCCAAAGCGAGATTAATTTGATTCATGAAATTGGAGAATTAGAACATTTATCTCTTTAAGTGCAGAGGATCTTACCTGGTTAGCAAAGCCACCTTCCAGTCATCAATGTTGGAACTAAATTGGGAGGAAAACTTTAGAAAAGTTGGAAATGTGGAGCATGAAAGTAAGAGAGGTTTCATGCATATGCCTTTTCAGATCTATTCAACTTTCCTCGTTATTTGTCATTATCATATGGTGATTGATGACAATGCAAATTTAAGTTAGAATCACAGTTCCATCTGGGTTACATATGAACATTTACAATTTGGTCATTTTGTTTTGTCAAATTTCCCTTTTTGTTTAAAAGAATTCACCGATTAAAATAATGCATACATGTTGGAGTGAAAATGGTTGCATAGAAAGTCAATGCATTTTACTAAAAAATCAGGAATAATAAGAATACTAAATACTACTGAACATGTCTCTCAGTGTGCATGAAGAAGACTGACATTGTTTCAATGGTTATACATATGCATGTCTGTGGCTTTAGTTAATTCTTAAGGATTATTCATTAAAGGATTTCCATAAAAAGTCCACCCATTAAATGGATTAGTTTTGAGATTATGCAAAAATTATGTGCGTCAGGTTTCTTTGCACCGCTTGGAACGCGTTAATGCACGTCTACAAATATTTGTAATCTCTACCTCATTATTTTTTACTGATTTTTAAAAGAACGATTTCCCTGTGAAATGAAAATAACTTTCCAATTTTAATACTGCTAAGAAAGATCATAAACTGGGAAAACGAGAAACCTTTTCAAACAGTTTTTACATGCCTCCAGAGAAACACGTACACATTAACGTTTGTATGACTTATTTTTGAGTAAACAAAGTTGATTATGATCAAACTTCTTGAATCAAAGTCTAAATCAATATTTGCAATACTGTAGTTGAAATGTAAAATGTTCGAATATATCACTTTGTACGATAATTATCTTGTTTTTGATTTAAAAGTCGATTCGATCAAATGTGAAGACCTTTATTTGGTACATTAACTCTCACGTAAATACATAGCCAACAGCGTTATTTGCACTTTCATGTTATTAGCGCCCCAATGTCGTCAATATTGACTAAATATGAAATACGCGAATCGAATAAATTGAATTTTAGGTTACGTAGTTTTTGCCCTTCAAATGACCTCACTTTTAGCCTATTATATTTATGTATGTGACTCTTGTCAAGGAGGCCTCCTAAGTTGAATTTCATTTTATTCAGGATGAAAGGAATCAGGTGTTGACGACGAATTGCTGGTAACAATCATAAAATATTAACGGAATTGTCAAACTTGCATGAATTTCTGAGGTACAAGAGAATAAGTTAAATCGAATCTAAGGTTGAATCAAATGTGGGTTGACGAATCTCTCAAATGGAATCCGGATGAATTTGGTGGAGTGAAAGTAATCCGCATCCCTGCTGAACGGGTGTGGCGGCCGGACGTCATTCTCTATAATAAGTAAGCTTATGTATTTATAATGCATGCATTTTTTGCCTGTTAACAGCTCAATAACTTGGATAAAATAACAAATTTTTCCAGTTATAATAGTTATAAAACTCTTTTTAAACTGTCACAAATTTGACCCAACTCTGTAAACTTTTATTGAGTTATGATCTTCTTGGCCATTAGCACTCAAGCGCTTTTTTACAAGGATGCCTACAATTCTAGAAATGGTGTACGAGCTATATTTCCGCTTGTTAGATTTATGAGAAACTTTAACTTGCTTTTAAAGTTACGTTGCATAACCAGTCAATTATATTTGTACAATTTCAGCGCTGACTCCCAATATAACACGGCCATCGTAAGTACCAATGTCATCGTGAAATTCAACGGCAATCTTACCTGGCTCTCGTCTGCAATTTTCAAGTCTTCGTGCCAGGTTTAGTTTTATCTATTATATTTATTTCAATTTACAAAATAATTAATAATTATTATTCGGGTCAGATAAATGTGGAGTACTTTCCCTTTGACCAGCAAGTAATTCGAGATCAAATTGCACATTATTAAATCACACATTATTCAAAATTGCACTCTGAAATTTTGCAATTTTGCAGAATTGCACTCTGAAATTTGCGAGCTGGACGTACGACGGATTTCAGGTGGATCTTTTAATAAACGACGAAGCAGGGGACCTGTAAGTGGAGTGTAATATTATTCTGATTACTAATTATTATTTCCATTATTAATTGAGGTATTATTAAATATCTATTATATGAATATAGTTCAAATTACGTTCCCAATGGTGAATGGGACCTCATCAATGTAAGTTTTGCTTAATTACTCGAGTATGAAATTAGTTAAAAATGACTTAATTCCACTGGAAAGGAGGAGGCACCCTCCTTACGTGAAATGTCCCACCGTGATATTCGGCTCAATTTTTGATATGTTGTACATTTCGACGTGCCGAACAAAAAATGTATTGGTCCCTAAGCCTTAAGTGACCTGGTTCGACCGGAAATAGAGGTCAAAGGTCGTGCACTTTTTCGCGCGAAACCCCATAAACCGTATATTTTTAGAAAGCTACGGACCTCCCCAGTCCGAATATACACCATACTTGGGTCAAAGGTCAACCCTTGGCCTGTCGAGGTCAAATATGTTATTGAGGCAAGGTAAGATTTTTGGGGAAAAGTGGCCAAAGTACATTTCTGATAGGATGACTGCACCCTTGCTGGAAAAGGGCATTATTACATAGTTGGTTAACACTACATAATCAAGATCAATAAACACAAATGTTAGTGTTAACCAACTATGTAATAATGCCCTTTTCCAGCAAGGGTGCAGTCATCCTATCAGAAATGTACTTTGGCCACTTTTCCCCAAAAATCTTACCTTGCCTCAATAACATATTTGACCTCGACAGGCCAAGGGTTGACCTTTGACCCAAGTATGGTGTATATTCGGACTGGGGAGGTCCGTAGCTTTCTAAAAATATACGGTTTATGGGGTTTCGCGCGAAAAAGTGCACGACCTTTGACCTCTATTTCCGGTCGAACCAGGTCACTTAAGGCTTAGGGACCAATACATTTTTTGTTCGGCACGTCGAAATGTACAACATATCAAAAATTGAGCCGAATATCACGGTGGGACATTTCACGTAAGGAGGGTGCCTCCTTACTTTCTCGAATTTTCTTGTAATTAACAATTACTACAACACTGATCAAGGTGCACGTTAAGAGGAGCGTTATTCGATACTCATGTTGTGAGGAGCCCTATCCAGATATTACCTATTTTATCGTGCTACGGCGACGACCACTGTTTTATGGTAATTTAGACTTTAACATAACAGTACATTGCATATTTGAAGCATAGTGATGCCGTAGTACAGTTATCGTAAATGAAAGACTGAGACCCTAATGAAAATTCTACAAATCCTAAATTGAAATAATTTTTTCCTGTCCTTATCCTCCAGTGTTCAACTTGATACTTCCATGCATCCTTATATCAGGCTTATCGCTAATGAGTTTCTACATGCCTAGCGACTCGGGAGAGAAAGTCACACTCGGAATAACAACTCTACTAAGGTTTGCAAAATCAATTACTTGTCAAACTCAGTAAAAAAATATACAATTCCTAACGCGGTGACTGAAGAAACTTTTCTCAACAGTATGACGGTGTTTTTAATGGTGATTGGCGAATCCATGCCGCCCACGTCTGAGAAGCTGCCCTTGATAGGTGAGTGGCAGATGGAATTTGTTGGTCCCAAGGTCAAATAAAAATGCAACTTTGTGTAGGTCTGTATTACGGAGTGACGATATCTTTGGTCTCCTTCGCCACTGGACTCTCCGTGGTGACCCTGAGCATTCATCATCGTGGGATGCGTGGTGGAAGGCTTCCTCAATACCTGAACCGATTCCTTTTTAATTATCTCGCACCTGCCTTGCTTTTGAAATTGGATATTCCCAAGAAGCGAATGCTGGCAGAGAAGCTGACAAGAGAAAGTCAAGCACGGTCTGATGCTAACAAGGAACCAGAGTCCTCCCTTTCCTGCAAAATTCCATTGGTAACAAATACTGTATTTTACACACATGCATACACAAATGTCATAATCGCATATGTACATTCCGAGTATTTGCCATCCGCTTGAAATCAAATATGTTTCAATGATATCAATTTTGTCAAACTTTCTCCAGACGGACATGTGGAGAGTCATGTACCCAGGTAACTGGTTTTTTATTAGTCATTGAAATTGCTCAGAATCAGTGTTTCCAACTTAAACTCGGTGTGTCTGACTGTAATGTGCTTTACTTTGCTATGAATAATGCTGCACTTGCCAGGTTTGCCATCCACCCCACCAGGATTGAACTGTCATTGCGATTGCAATAAAGTTAATCACACAAACTGTCGCAGGAGTTGTCGTTTTCACAACAGGTGATCACATACATGTTCTTAAAATGTAGATCTTTTATTAGAGCTACATCTAATATGTATAACTCTGCATAAAATATGAAGAAAACTTGGCTATGCAAGTGAAAGTAGTGAAGAATGCGAAGGAATTTTTGTATTTTATTTTCTACCTTTTCTGATAAATTCAGATGTGTGTCCTACTGCGACTTGTCCTACTTGGATAATGCATGGCAGAATTGTCACCCTTCAGAAACACTGCATCCTTCCGTCTCCTCCGCATTCCGTCCCGTGATGCGGGTGAAGGGCATCCCGTGCACCGACGGGCTGGGTGGTGGGACGGAGACTGGGGAGGAAGATGGGGGCGGAGGCGTGCTCGGTGACAATCCAACGTCTGCATTCCCCTTTCGACCACAAGCACCTGGAAGACCCTTCTGCAACTCCATGTTGGAGGGGAGACGACGGGACTGGAGAGAGTCTCAGATTCTGCAAATGATGAGTCGGGTGCTGGACACGATGGAGAAGAATGAGCAAAGGGTGGAGGAGATGGACAAGAAAGATGTCATCAAGTTGGAGTGGCAGCAGGCGGCTTTGATAATTGACAGGTAAGAGTTGAGGAGGTGGAAAGCCAGAAAGTTTAAATAAGTCAATATTGGTTTACGCAAAGAAATTGCTCTGCCATAATCTCCAACATTTAAATCGTCTCACATTTTCAGACTTCTTTTGTGGATCTTTGTGGTGACAACGGTCGTGGCGACGTTTGGCATCCTGTACATGTCCCCGTATACGAAACTCTTTACGGCATAAATCCTTAGAATTAAGCTGGTGTAATATTTACATATGTCAAGAGAGATGGATATTGTATTGGTGTGAAAATAGTGAATTTTGTTATGCATGGCCCTCTGTCCACATTCTTACACATACATATGTACATACGTATATTAGGATAAGCTACAGAGTATAAGTACGTATATAATTGTAATTGGTGTCCACGTACATAAATGTGATAATTTATTTATTGACTAAAAACATGGATGTCTTTACATACGTAAATTTAATGAAGCCACTTTGTGATGAATGAGCTAATTAATTAATTACGTAATTGGAATTAGAAATAAAAAATACCAACATTTAGGCCACTCATAATTTCATCCAAAGTCTATTGCTTTCACCATGTAGGAAGAATAAAAGACCTTGAAATCATTATCTACAAATCAATTAAATCAACAAATTGTGCATACATGGTCGATATGAGGATGAATGAGAACTGATTCTCACACCGAATCAGGTCCACCTCTTCGGCGAGTCATCTAAAAAAAATCTTGGTTGTGCATATTCAGTTATTGCTGCTTTCACTTGTGTGCTTTCCCTTTTTAAGTTGTTTCTACAAATACTGCATACATACTTGCGTACACACGAAAGAAAGAACAATGAGTCACCACCACCAACCTTTTGATAACATTAGACAACCACCACCTCCGCATTCCACCACCACAAAAACATCCCTCGCAATTTATTCCCCACTTTTCAATTACCTAAAATTTGTAGGAGTATTTCCATTCAAAATCCAGTCAGAGTTTGAAACCATAAATGAGTCAACAACAACCCACGAGCTCGGATCTAATAAGAGCATTTATTTGCAACAAGTCGGTAGTAAAATCACCCAACGGCTAGTTCGGATGAGATTAAATTATGAACGAGGTGGATCTTTTGCCATGTTTGCGAAAGCTCAGCTCTTGAGCTTCAGCTTAGAAACAGCATTTGTTACAATTCAGTTTATCCGATATTTACTGTTTGAAACCATAAGCTCCAAGATCAAGTTGGGATTACTGTTATGGCCGGCTACGAGTTGGGCTACCCTTGTCATGGGCTTCAAATTCTACCTGGAAAGGGATCGCATTTGTGAAATCATTTCTCGAGTTAATGCCATTCAGATGGAAATATTCGGTATGCAAATGATTTATAAGGAAATACTAGTGAACCAATACTCTAGTAAAATCTGATAATTTTCCTGATTCGTTATCAGAGTCGTTATTTACATATAATCCTTCAAGTTGTGTAGGAGGAAAGTTTGTGATTATGTTTTTAGTCATTTATTTAATTGCTTCATTGTATTGATTGTATTATTTACAGATTTCTACAATAACAATCACGTAATCCAGGCTACGAAGAATCACAAGCAAAAATTTCGAGAGTTGGTTTTGGCCACGTTTGTTGTCACAGTAACCGGGATGGTGACAATGGGTTTAAAACATAAAGAGGACCCCCGTTTTCCAGGATTTGTTTACAGCGTGATCTGTACTCAAGTTGATAATTTATGGCTCGAATATATTTTATTGCTTCGAGAATCCTTTGTTCAAATTTACACTTGGGGGTTGGTCGTCCAATTCATATTGATTTATCTCGTCGTATCCAGAACGGTAGAATATTGTCTCATCATCGTTTCATACCATAACCACTGCGAGGATATCGATGATCAACAACAAGAGCGTAGTTCCCAAGACGTCGACACAACTGCTGTTACTACAAATACTCCTCTATTCCACTGGAACAACGTTGGGTCACCTAACAATGCTCTCACATTGAGACCACCAAAAAGTGTAACAACCACGCGAAAAGACATGACGAATGCAATAATGTTCTATCAGAAGTTGGCCCGCATTGTACACGAAGTCAATGAAGCGTTTGCTTCATTGGTTTCATACCTTTTGGGAGGCACCCTTGCAATGTGCTGTATTTTTGCATACATTCCACTCAGACATTGGAGATCGACCCATGCTGGTAGTATGCTTTTCTATGTTTTTACATTCTTCTCCCTGGTCCTCGTTCTATCCCAATTTTATCCCGTGTTGGGAATCGCGCATGAAAGAAGCTTACAATTTAAGCGGTCTTGGACCGGATGGTTGGCATCCTCCGAAGAAATCAGAGACGAGCAGACCAAAAAAGATGCTACGACAAACGGGAAGAAACCTCAACGTGGCTGCTGCTGTGATGACCAGCACGATTTGCAGAGGTTAAAACTTCGACTCAGCGCGTGCTACCCAATTGGTTTCAAATGTGGAGAATTCTTTGTGATCAGACCCTCAACAACGCTGACCTTCTTCTCCGTTATTGCTACATATTTGATAATTATGCTACAATTTGATTTGTAAAACTAGTAATTAACAAATTTTCAACAAATTTTACATGCAATCTACAATGAATGAATGTGTTAATTTAAGTATTTTTGGCGATAATTAATCAATTACTTTATTTATCACGAACGATCGATGCAATTAGCAAACTAATTTGTAAGTGTACCCATATATTCGTAGTCTTGCAACGTTTGCATCGTTTGCCGAAGCTTGCATAGAGACGTACATTCATTCAAGAAACGACAGCTAAGTAAAAACGTTAATAAAATGGAACCCACTACTACTGGCCTACGAATAAACGTAGCATATTACATGTATTTGAAATACCTCGGAATATTTCCCTACAAATTTTCATACAAACTTTCTTCGAAAGCTCGTTTAGAAACCTTTACCATTTCAAAAACGATAACGAACGAGGATTTGAATAATCCCAGTGAAAAGAGAGAAAAAGATTGCATGTCCACACTCAAAGTTAGTATTTTGAGAAATGGATTTGCTGCAAATCTGGCTAATTTTGTGTTAATAATTTGGGCATTAAAATCAATTTTTACTTTGACTCAATTGTTCCGATATTCATTTTCTCGACAAAGCAATTCTAAACTGACATTAGGATTTGTTTGTTTTGCTGGATCAACGTTTGCGAGTTTGGCAATTCAAATAAAATTTCGTCAATATGGACAAAAATTATGTGACTTAATGAACAGTGTGCATGAAATTGAACAGGAAATTTTTCGTAAGTCAGTGCAATATTGTACATGCACATAATTATCATTATTAGAAAAGCTTTGATGAATTTGTCTTATTGCAGAGACTTACCAAACACCACTCGTGAATGACATCATTGCGAGGCACAAGGAAAACTTTAAACATTTCATCGTTGCAAAGGTGATCGTCGTTTTTGCTGCTGTGGTCGTATTGATCTTGAAACACATTGACGAACCATTGTACCCTGGGTTTATTAATTATTTCATCAATTCAGAAAATGAGAGCTTAATTTTGGAACTCATTTCCTGTCTCTATGTTGTTTTCACACAAGTCTACATTTGGGCAATAATATCACATCTCGCCATGATAGGGCTCAGTACGTCTCGAACAATCGAGTATTGTCTAGAAATCATTTCATTTGCCGAGTCAAAACCACGGATGCCTCCAACCCTAAAAAATGGAATTCCTGCAATTCTCTCGGAATTAGATATAGCGATCGTGTTTTACAACAAGCTCCAAAAAGCGATCGAACAATTTAATGCCATTTTTCAGTGGCAGTGGTTTTGGCAACTTGGAGGGTCTCTAATAACGTGCTGCTGTTTGGCATATATTCCTCTGAGACACTGGAAAACTACTTCGATCCAAGGGTTGGGGTTTTATGTGTGTGGATTTGCCTCGGTAATGTACATATTTTGTCGACTGTATCCCGCAATGGGGGCAGTTTTTGATGGGTCGGTGCGCTTCAAGCAGTCGTGGGTCAAAGGGCTGGCTCATTGCTACCAATTCAACCGCCTCGAAGACGTTAACTTCTATAAGAACCCACAAAATGTTATGCTAGGCTGGGGCGTGTCTAATTATAGTAACAATAATTATTATCAACACCTTCTTTATGAGTCAATTAGGCTAAAATTGAAATGTTGCTACCCCTTTGGGATCAACTGCGGTAGTTTCTTTGTGATTCGACGGCACACGTTGTTGACATTTTTCTCTGCACTTTCTACATACTTGATTATCATGTTGCAATTCAATATATAGTAAAAAGTTGGTCAATTATTTTATGTGACTAATTACTTGTAACATTTTATATAGATAAAATAATAGATAGATATGTATTATGTCAGTTCTAAAAATAAATATGTAGTATTCATCAAAAAATGGATTCTATTTCGTGCCTGTTAAGTAATTGCCTAATGCATATGTATATTTACATTATACCACTTGACACAGTTAACAGCATGTGGCAATTTTATTTGTCATGAATGGCACCTCCCTCATTATTTTATTTGTATAATATACGTGGCCAGTCTTGTTTAATAATTAATTACTGATCGTCGTGTATCCATTTACGTTATCGCTTTGTAAAGTAGGATTTTACATATAGGTTCATGATACACCATTTTATTGGGAATTATGTTAATCGCGGATGAATTTAATATTGAACTAATTTCAATTATTTTTCATTCTAAGTTATGCTATTCACGGCAAATTTAAACGACTTGTCCACTGGGGACTGCTTGCGAATGGTTGTAGCCGTGTGGTCTCGGGAAAATTGGGCGACCGTCTTCACTCCAGTCAATTTTCTCAATTCTCGCAATTCGATGCCCTTCAATATTTGTCGTGGTTGTTGTCCCATGATACACCATCCAAGTTTCTGATCCATCTAATCGCCGATAATATGCAAATCATATTTAGTAAAGACTTCAAAAAATAAAATAGATCGATAAGGTTGCATATTTGGATTACCTGGAGAAACTGTAAATGCGGCATGCCCAGTGGTGTAAACTTCTTCTTCATCATTCCTATAGAATATAGGTCCATCAGGCATCTGCCAATTGGACACGGTCATGGGATCCAATTCGTACGAAATATTCATCATTGCCAACGCGTAATTAGGTCCCCACGTGGAGGATACCGAGTATACACAGAACGACACATTGTTCTTAAAGATGAAGAACGGACCCTCCTTGACACACCCTTCGTAACATTCCCATTCCTCCGTGGGGCGTTTCAACTCTATCTTTGGGAACCCAACCTGTGTTGGAGAATTCATTGGAGCTATGTAAATTGTTAATGGGCCGAATGCCCACGTGGCGAATACGAAATAGCGTCGGCCATTGCCATGATTAAAAATAGTGCCGTCGATTGCAGCAAAGTCCCAGTCTGGCATTAATCTAGTATTAAGAGTGCAAATATGTACAATTTTCTGCATTACTGATCATTCCAAGCAATGGAAATAATTGTTATACCTGATGGAATCACTCCAGTTCCCCATGGGGTTTGTGGGGTCGTCCGCCTTGATGACATACATCCGATGGTCCTTTCCTCCTCCAGTCATCGTAAAATATATGTACAAGTCGCCATCCACGACATGCATCTCGCTGGCCCAAAGGTCAGAAAATCCTTCAAGGGTGGAGTACGCTACAATGCTTTCTGCTTCTCGAAAACTCGTTAATAGGGAGCTTTTGTACACGGTGAGGTTACGTTCTGTATTCTCCGACAAGGTCAAGTAGTAAAAATCGCCAAGCCGAAGGATCGTAGGATCCGCTGAATTTCGATCTAATATCGGATTCCTGAACATTTGCTGCGATGCAACAAAGTTGATTGAAATCAAGAGCAAAAGAATTAAATTCGACATTTTACTTAAAAAACCATATGTGAATGTCGGATGATGCGAAAAAAATTATGAAAAACAAAAGTTTGTCTCACTTTGAAGGAAAAGTTTATTATTTTTGGTCTCATTTGTTTCTGATTATCTTGTGCATATCAGGTAAGCAACATTGGATTATTGATAGCATAAATCAATTATATGCATTAAATAGAAGTATCAATCGAGCATCACGATTGACACTTGTCATGATTCGTGATAAGCACTATCATAAGAGACATACAAATATTTGGGAATGGTCCTCGCGATACATATATTCATCAACTACTTAATTGCATGATTCATTTTAATTTAACGAAGTGCTTATTTGGGAAAGTTTCCGTCCAGTAACAAATAGTGGACTGGACATATCCTAGATCCCCTAACGAGAATTTAACAGATGAGGACAATTCTACATTTACATATCCTTCACATTGATTACGTATTAAATGTGTTTAGTTTAACTCGGAGTTAGCGAGAATTAACTGCATAATATGCAGTTAATTAAGTGTCACAGTAGCATATGTGACACTGCGCATGCAATGCAATGCAACTTAATTACCAAACCCATATAAATATGTAAATATGTAAGTGCATGCATAGTGATATTCCACTTGCTCGACATTATGACTGATGGATGATGCATCTACAATGTTTCCGTATAAAAACAAACACTGAAAACGAAGTTACACGATATTGACCTGCTTCATCAGCATAATCACATCAGTGACCATGAAGGTATTAGTTGTAGGTTGCACATTATTAAATATTAAAATGGGAAAAAATCATTTCAAATTGAAAATTTCAATTTTGTTTTCAAATTCAGACAATTCTAATTCTCGTCCTTGTCTGGAAGACGGCAAGTACTCTCAGTTCTCTCAATAACACTGAGGTGGGATTAAATCTGACCGTGATAAACACGACCAAGCAAGAAGAACCAACTTCCGACATGCATGCAAAACACGGACAAGTGTACAAGATGGGATTAGGATTGGAGTCCCCCATGACGGAGAGGAACCACAGGTTTTACGGTGTCGGAATTGTACCACCTCCATATTACCAATTCGGCTCTTTAAATCCGTACCACTTCAATGGGGAATTTGCTCCAAACTGCGGTGACTCCTACCCAAACAGAAGATATAGTTGTTACGGTCTTGGGCGAAAATGACAATAGAAAGTACAAATTTTGTGCATAAAATCATGGTATTGTTGGTTAATTGATTCATGTATGGGACTGACCTTGCATTCCAATGTACTAGAATCCAAATGAAGGATTTCAGCCATTCTATTTTTCTGTCTGCATTGATCATGCATTATTTCTACTATGAGAGACAACTTTACATATAGCAATAAAAAATTGTAACCAGCACCAAGTTCATTGCATGAATATAACATTCATTGTCCATCAGAGCATTTAACCCGCTGGAAAGTAAAACGTGCAGTAAAACCATCCAGCTGCCTGTTGAGTTTTCGAATAAAATGTTGTCGGAAAATCAAGCAGAGGATTTTTTTGTAAATGTGCTAAAATTTCCAAACTGGAAGGATGTCAAAGGGAACAATACCGCAGAATTCTTGAAACAGATCCTCCAGCGATACCAATATTTCTGCTACTTCCACGTAAGCGTGATACTAATAAAAATGCATTCAGTTGTGACATGTGTAATTTATTGGTGATAGAATCAGGAAATGGCTGCAACCGAACCTTCTTGTCGTCGGAGTCCCGTCGAGGAGGATTCAGTTCGAAATGGGCTTGCAGGGATTGGAGGTGTTTGTATTCACCAGAACTCATTTATGGCCTTAATCCTCCGAACGATTGGATTTGACGCATTTATCACGGCTGGAAATTGTCTTGGCTCTGAGGTCGAAGGGGAAGGAAATCATTGCATGTGCGTCGTAAAAATTAATGAAAAGGAAATTTACGCCATTGATGTTGGGTGTGGTCAACCCGTGGATGGACCAATTCCTCTGCACAACCTGCCATACTCCGGTTTTGCAGGTGGATTTCGGTACGAGTACAAGCATAACGAGGTAACAAATCGGTATGAGAGGTGGCAGTTGGATGGTACTTGCTTCCGGGGAAAGTTTGTAAGTTTATATCGATGCGCTTAATTCATAACGGGTACTTCATGACATTACAGACGTTAATTTTTCCAATTATATTTATTAGCCGGATCCAACGACTACCCAGTTACGCTACACTTTCAGTTTGATACCTCAAGAGTTTGGCTACTTTACCGAATCGCTGGTCGACATTTTTACGAATGCTGACAAATCCATATTTCTGACGAGTCCTTTCCTCTTCCGCTGTCTTGATTTGGAATCAGAGGCCGGAGAAAATGGACGAAGATACATTCTGATTTTCGGAGCATCAATGGTCATTTATGACAATGTTAACAAGGAGGTGACGGATTTTGCAAGCTATAAAGAACTCCAACCTGTAATTGCCAAATACTTTCCAAAGATTGAAGAGGCGATTGTACATAAAGCTCTGGACTATTTTAGCAACAATGGTAAGCCCTTGATATTGGGTAGAACAGCATAATTATCTACGTGAGTTAATTGTCAGCCTGATTTTATTAAATGAGATTGAGATTAATAAAAAACCTGTGATCAGGAATGACTAAAATATTTGAAGCATTTATTTTCATACGCTTAAAATAGTTCATTAGGAGAAACAGGTATTCCAAATATATAGACAGCAATGTACTTTTTAGAGGTCTGCTTATAGTACAGGTTACAGATAAGGATCAAACCAATGTCTCTCATAATACCTAGGTACATAATTGCATGCTACTATACCACGTGAAATCGTCCTTTTGTGGCAGTTTCTTATCCTTAGTGTACCAATACCCATTGTTTTTTAATGCAATTTGTAAAAAAATTAGGTCTTATTGCTGGAATCAACTACTTATGATTAAACAAAAAATTTGGCAATTTATTGCGATGATAATATTGCATTTAACCTTTATTAGCTTAATTTAGCAAGCTAATTTACAATAGAAATAAGTATAAATTCAATGAAACTAATTAATTACATGATTAAGGGTACCTTACTCTTCACACATTTTGAATTCATATCGAAAAGCGTTCAAACAACTTTTCCGCAAAGACGTGACAATTGGCGTACACGAAGTGATACTCTTTCACGAGTTCATCCGAATAATAGAGCCACTTGATCAACTCCTTCATGCTCCCTTTGCCTGGTGTTTTGCATATCAACCCCACTCCCCTTCGGTCGAGACGTCGATATTTGTCCTTAATAAACGACATTTTTGTACTCCTTTGAATTGTGACGCCTTGCTTATTCCGTTCTATCGACCAATAGTAATTGCCAGTCTGCAGGATTATGTACGCATGGTAGGTCAGCACGTGTGTGATTTGCCATTCTAAGAGATCACACTTGAAATGCCAAATTGTTTCAATGACATCGTCGTCCTTGACATACTTCCTGCTGACAGTTTTCAACTCCTCCTCGGTAATAAAATATCTGTTCCAATTCGAAAGGTGAGGACCTGGATCAAAGTATATCTTCCCATCCCAACAATTCCGAATTTCTTTCCCATCTTTGGATGAAGCGGAACCCATTCGGTCAGTCTGCTTGCGTTTGTATCTGATGGTATTAAGTAATTAAAACCAACACTATTGGCATAATTTATTTAGCTAATAAACTATAATTTTTTACCTGATTGTGGTTTGGAGATGTTTTTCCTACGAAATTACTTGCAGAGTGGAGAGGACAAGATGTTAAGAACACGATGAGAGAACAAGAGTGTGTTGTTCCTTGGTTTCTTTAATCCCGGATCTAAATTCCTACATAAATAAGTTTTTAAGAAGCATGTACGTTGTTACGTTGTGAATAAATGACATTGAACTGAGGATGAGAAAGACAACACGGCCCCATCAGGTATTACATCTGTTCATTATATAATGCCGTTCTTTTTAATTAAACAAATAAAAAATAACAAGAATCAAGGGTATGTTATTCTGATCTGGTTTTGTCAAGATACCTAATTAATTAATAGACATGCGTCCTTATTATTTTCAAGATTGGAAGGATTCCTGATTTTTTAGCTATTATCCCATATTTTTTCATAAAACTATGATTAATTTACACTCCCAGAAGCACAGAAAACCATAAAGGCGCACGAGCCACGGCTTATAAACGAGATAATCTCATTTAGGCGTGTCTTGGGCAATAAGTAAGCACGTCATATTGCTAATCCTAAGACACCAGATTTGCAATTAGTCATACTAAATGTGGACTTGCTGAACTGATGGACACGCCTCCGATTTAAATATCTGTTTATTGTGCAATATGAGGAAAGGAATAAGTCAAAATTACTATTGTAATCAGTTTAATACGCCGGGACATAGATCTACATGTCATTTACATGCAACTGCATAATCAAAGTTGCGAAAACTTCTGTGGAGAATTGTTGCTTTAAACAGTGCAATGTTTTCAATATGCCAAATATATTTTTTTCTTTATTTCGTGAGAAACCTGCGGTCATTTATATTACAAAATAATGAAAACGTTTTCGTATATGTAATCTGTAGATATCCTAAGGAATTCGAAAGCATTTCAAATGTGTTAATGACCTGACCATTTAACTAGTACCTATGTCAAATTTAAGTAAAATTTACGGAGGGCATTAATCTGCGATATTTATTAAATAATAAACTCCAGCACCAGATATAATGAATTCTCATTGAGATGGCTACTCGAGGTAGGAATTTGCTAGGAAAATATGACACTTTTGACGTTTTCACAAGATATCACAAGTTAAAACATTGAATAGAAAGTTCGATTTATCGAAATTTTTTAACTAACAATAAGAAGTGATCATATAAATACATATACTTTCCACTTGCTGGGGTTTGATCATTGTAACTTTCTTGGTTCTGTTCAGAAATAAATTTAATAAAAAATATACTTGGCTAATACTCAGCAGTAAGAGCAGGAGAGTTAGGAAAAATTTGTTTATCAAATATGTCCATGTTTTAAATTTGCTCAAGTTTCTAAGTATAAATACTTAGACTGTTCAGTCGCAGTGAACTGTTTATGATGTGAAATGCATAGAAAATTCACTCTGGACTTTCACTCTAGGCTACTTACCTGACCCTTGATTTAATTTCCTGATTTGCATGTGTGTAATTGGGAGAATCAAATAAAAGTCACGTTGGTCTCATATTTACCAACCTGTGTCCATTCTAGGAGAGGAGGAAGAAAGTTATGGTGGATTATCGGAAGAGACACCACCCAAATTGCTCGAATTCTTAGCTTTAGCTGATATAGGTAAAAAATATTTACAAAAACTAGCGACATGTCAGCCAAATCTAACCCTTCAACAAAACCTAGTGACCATAAACTTGTTCCATTTAATGAGAAGAGAGATCCTGAGTTGAACTCGGAATCTCAAACTGCAGAAAATGACGCAAAGGTTCCAAAACTTAGACTGACTGTCGCACTTTTACAGGTAAACATGTACATTCACATATGCATTCATGACAAATGAAAACATTTTACATGTATTTTAGAATTTCTACAACTGGACAAAGAAGACCACTTACGTCGCCCCATCTGCCACAGCGACAACGCCAAAATGGTGGAGTCGTCAGGCTTTGCTCCATGCAATTGTCGTCGATCCATCAAATTCTTTTCAATACGGGGTAATTTTGCAAATGACTCAAGTTTAAAGTTTAAAGTTTGAATAAATACTTGTACATTTTGGTCAGTGGATTGCAATTACGTCCATTGCAATTTTGTACAACATGATTTTCATTTTGGGGAGAGCTACGTTCTGGCAGCTGCAAAATGCAATTCCAACGATATGGTTGTACCTCGATGGGATTACCGACATTATTTATTATCTGGATTCAGTGATACATGCTCATGAAGGTGACCAGTTGAAGTGCATTCGTGTTAGTATGATCCTATTTGTTGCATAATGTTTGACCCGATGTTTCCTCAGCATACTTGGAAGACGGACTTATGGTGAAAGAAATACGCAAACTCCATCACAATTATTTCCACTCCAGGAATTTTACAATGGACGTTCTTTCTCTGATACCGTTAAACTTGGACCTACCATTCTCTTCAAATCCGGTTACTTGCGCCTCGTCCGACGTTCCTTGTTACGTTATTTTACGGATTAATCGACTCTTGAAGTTGCATCGATTTAATGAATTCCTAACAAAAATGGAGACACGAACGGCGTATCCAAATCTTCTCCAAATTGCTAACGTTGTTCTCTACATCTTACTTATTATTCATTGGAATAGCTGCTTCTATTTCTGGCTAAGCAATCATATTGGATTTGGAACTGATGAATGGGTATTTCCAAACGTAACGCAGGGTGGGAAGGCTGCAAGGCTGGGATATCAGTACTCCTACTGGTGGGTGGTGTACCCCAAAGTTTCAAGTTTATGCAAAATTTGATTGTGATGTACCTAAAAGTTTTAACCACAAAATTGTACTTTTAGTGTGTACTGGTCAACCCTGATCTTGACTAGAATTAGCGAAGTGACGCTTCCCGACTTTCGCAGTGACATTGAACATATCTTTGTCGTTGTAGAATTATTCGGAGGTGTTATAATATTCGCGATAATTGTTGGCAATGTGGGGTCCGTCGTCATTAACATGACGGAAACAAAGACCGAGTTCCAGAATACAATGGATTCAATTAAGGAATACCTGAAGTTTCAAAAGGTGTCAAAAGACTTGGAGAAAAGGGTCATCACGTGGTTTGATTATCTAATGAGCCGAAAACAAATGTTTAACGAAGATAAGGTCAAAAAATTACCAAAGTAAATACCCACAAAGTTTGTAAATCGCCAAAAATAATACTTTCATAACTTTGTATCCAGGTCTTAACAACTCTCCCACAGAAATTGAGAATGGAAATTGCAATGTCTTTGCATTTGGGGACTTTGAAGAGGATTGAAATGTTTCAAGATTGTGATCCTGGTCTTTTGACGGAACTGGTGCTCAAGTTGAGGCTGCAGGTTTTCAGTCCAGGAGATTATATTTGCCTAAAAGGGGACGTCGGCAAAGAAATGTACATTGTACGACGAGGTGCCGTTAGTGTTGTTGCGGATGATGGGAAAACGATTTATGTCACGTTAAAAAGTGGATCAGTTTTTGGAGAGGTACATAAATATGCATATTATAAATAAATTATATAAATTCGTAAAAGGAATTTTACGACATACTCATTGACTAAATGAGATTAATGCCGATCGCTCATGCAGATTAGTCTGCTAAACATTGTTGGAAGCAAGACAGGAAACAGAAGGACGGCAAATGTGAGAAGTGTCGGGTATTCGGATCTCTTCATCCTCTCGAAGGACGATTTATGGGCAACTCTGAGGGTATCGTAGTTTCATAGTTGACATTTAAATATTACGATGGTGCAAGACTTTCGTACCGCAGGAATATCCAGAAGCCCAAACAGCTTTGACGAATCGTGGAAAAGCTATGCTCATCAAGAGTGGGTTGCTACAGGAAAGTGATTCAAAAATGGACAAAGAGTTGGGAACCCAGGAAGAAAGAGTGGAATCCTTAGGTGACATAATTCGCTTATTTTTCCTAAACATTGAAAGGGAAAAGAATACGAGGTTTCGAATGTAAATTCCATTGTAATTTATGTAATGTGGTGAATGTGGTTTCACAGAGTTGATGATCAAAACACTGGATATTCGCTTAAACCGACTTTCCAATCAGTACTCCAGGACGCAGCAGAAATGCAAAACACGACTTGAAAATGTGGGTTAAGCTTTTACTTAAAATTCTACTGCAATTGTCTACATGTGTAAAGCTTGTAATTTTTAATTCGTTGTGGGCTTAGTTGGAAAATGATGTTTTCTAGAAGGAGCAAGAATGAAGTCGAGGTAATTTAAGCCGTCGTTCATTAACATAGCTTAATCCAAAGTTTTACATACAAACATATGTAGTTTGTCAAGTAATAGAAAATACATTGATTGCTGAGAAATTGTTTATTAATTTAGTCTTGAAATGACATAATAGCCCTGCGATAAAGGCAGCGAAAAAACAAAAATAACTAGTGGTTCGAATTTAAATAGATATCCACAGTACGGAATATATTCGTATATATACACGATTTATTTAAGCCGGATTCACATTGTATAAATTCAATAACAGCTTAATATTTCAAAGTAATTTTTAGGTCATTTATTTCCAATATTACGGGCCACATGTGTGCAAAATTTGAAATAAATTGAACCAAAATTGGCTAAGCTATAAATATTTTAGCAAAAAATTGAACATTCAACGAAACCAGTATTGGCGTGGACTTCACCAAACGAATTTTATAAATTTTACTCATATATTTTTACCCGAGATATTTTACTCATACTGTACATAGTCATTATTACCCATTAATAAAATTCATAGGAAGTAAAAGAATTAATTCTAAAAATAATTTAATTATAATAATTACAATAGTACAATGTCACATGAACATTTTACTCAAACCCCAAACTTGTAACAAACTCCTAAATAAATAGCTACAATTTATTTGGGTTGTGTATAAGAGTAAAAAAATCGCCTAATACATGAATCACTTACTTATTTGTATTCATGGTACAGGTATTGCATAAACGATTTTTCCATTGCCATCCTCCTCCACACACGCTCTTTCCTAAATATGAAAGTACGGAGATTTAACAGAAAATCGATATTCTTCTTGATCTCAACCCGTTAATTTGTTAATAGCGTGACATTTGTCCGTTTCGTTACACTTTCACCAAATAAGCCAAATGAAATTCCCCTTTGCCAGTCCAGTCACGAAGGTCCTCACTAAACCTCGTGGATTAAATGTAAACTTATTAGGTAAAAGTTTCCAACAATTTGTGTAACATTTCAAACTGAAATAAAAACAATATTTTTTACAGGAAGGATGAAACAAGTCGACTTTTGCAACCCTCTCTCCACGATGAACCCTTCGCCTCAAGAAGTGTGGAGTGAGATAGACCAGGGTCGGGCTTCCATCGCCATCATCTGCCCCTACTGCGACACACCCATCGAGACGGAGACGCAGTCCGCCCACAACTCTGAAGCCAAGGATGCCGTCCAAAATCGATATTTCCAAGGATTTCTACTCATGGCGTTCGTCACCTTGTCCACCTGCGGGTTTCTGTCCTACGTGACCGGTGCACTGTGGGTCTGCTTTTTCGTCGGATTAGTCATATTTATGGTGGACATTGTTATAACATTGAAATTGTGCGCGGAGGCGGCTGGTTTCTTTGTCGACGTGACACATTATTGCCCAAGTTGTAAGGAAAAATTGGGCACAAGTGATGGGTTGAGGGCGTGGAGGGAATATAAGAACAAGGGCAGAGGGGCGGAGGAAGGGTTTGGTGGGGCTGATTTTTAATTGAAATGAAACAAAACGGGGAAAGTGATGTTCGCCACGAGGTCATGCGACTTAATCAAAGGGAAGATTAAACGTTTACTAGTGATACGCATGTAAATATCTAATTGTAAGTTTTTTTATGTATTCTACATTTTTTTCAAATGCACAAAAATTGTAAAATATGAGCCTACGATTTCTGGTATGGTGCTGAGCGAATTGGTCTAATAAACGGTTAAAAAAACTAAAGTAAAAGTCGATCGATAACATTGATCTATTTAGCGTCGAATCAAATTTCGTTATTTCTGCAAGTTCATGGAAAACACTAATTTTAACAAATTACTTTCGCCAATGATGCTGAGGATACGATTTCATATTAGTCTCCAACTAGTAATACTGAGGATTTGTATTCATATCAAGGAGAAAATGCGTGCTGGCAGTAAAGGCCAGTAATGTTCTCAACATATTCTATGGCAATTTTTCTGAGTGAACGTGACTACTAGCAGAACGGACCAATTATTGCAATTTGTAACAAAATGCTGTGAAGGAATACAAGCCATTCCAGAATATCTCATGCCATTTACAGTTCGGATTTAGACTGCCCAAGTTGACGTCGTCGTTACGTCGGGCACATCAATCTCTTGAGAATTTTCACTTGGCATCAAACCCTCAATTTTTTGGTTGTTGCGACAATGGAGGAAGTAGATCCTGAACATGAAGCACTTCGGCTGGAAATTGACACATTGAAAGAAAAGATTATCACGAAGCAAGCAGCGGTGAAGGACAAATCTCTCTTCGAAATTTGTTCCGCCGTCGGAGCCGCTCCCCGAGTCAAACTGTCCACGAAACGAATCCTGCGGGGTCACATCCATAAAGTGAACGCCATCGACTTTGCAGCAGATAACAGGCATCTAGTTTCTGGCTCGTTAGATGGGAAGCTTATAATTTGGGACACGTGGAATGGAAGCAAGGTGCAGATTATTCCACTCAAATCGTCCTGGGTTCTGGCAGTTGATTACGCAGCGTCTGGTTTATTTATCGGTGAGTCAGCTTAAATCCTATGTATACATATGCTATTATTTTTTACTGGATAAATGCATTTCTTTCCCAATCACTCAGCCTCTGGTGGAATGGATAACATGGTCACGATCTACAATTTGAAAACCCGTGACCCTGATGGAAATGCCAGCATTATGCGAGAACTGGGCTTTGGAGGTTTCCTTAACTGTTGCAGATTCATCTCTGATAAAAAACTGTTGACGGGATCGGGTGACCTCAAAATGTAATTTGATAGCGATGAGTAATTTGTACAGTCTATTTACAAGTCTGAATTGAGATTCAACAAGAATATGAAATGGTTGACCTTGAATCACAGAACTAATTGGGATCTGGTCAAGGGACTTGCCACAAGTGAACTGTACGGTCACGCGGGAGACGTTGCATCCCTGTCACTCAATCCCTTGGACGAAAACACGTTTGTTACTGGTTCGCTAGACCAAACGGCTAAACTGTGGGATTTACGGGTACAAGGGGCTTGTCAAACATTCTGGGGACATTCTGGAGATATTAACTGCGTTTCGGTGCGTTATGCAATTGATTATTCACTATTCAGCTTGGTTGATATCATAAAATTCTTGTCCAATCCAAATACTACGTACTTATTAAATAATTTAGTTTCATCGATCCGGTCTGGCGTTCACCACGGCTTCTGAAGACAACAGTGCCCGACTCTTTGACATCCGGAGTGACCAAGAAGTTGCAATGTATGAACCACCCGAATCCGAAGATTCTGGTCTCACGTCATGCGTTATTAGTCAGAGTGGACGCTACATCATGGCAGGTCATGCTGACTCTGGGATTCATATTTGGGATATTTTGAAAGGCGACTTGGCAGGTATTAATGCTTATTAGCAAGCGTAACTTTTGAGGAAAAAATGATTAAACTAAGAACTTTAGGCACGTTAACTGGTCATGAGAGCCGTGTGACGGCTTTATCAATCTCACCCAATGGAATTGCCATAGCGTCCTCGTCCTGGGATCAGAATGTTCGACTCTGGATGTAAAATAACATGTATTCATATTCACAATAAATACTGATGAATATAACTTCTGTGAACAATTCTTCAATTATGTATGAACAGAAAGCAGATGTGAATTTTGAAATCAAAATATTATCGTAGGGTCAGGTACTATTGTAAAATTTATCGTATAAAAGCGTAAATAGGGGCAGAAATATTCTACTGACTTGATTATTCCATAGCAGGTTACATACATTTAATAACCACAATGCTACGCTCTGTCTCAAAATGAAGAGATAGTTTTATAAAATTCTACTATTTCTTAATAGCTTGGCCCTGGAGCCCAAAGTTTTATTATATTATAGCTCAGGTATTGCTACAAGTTCATGCCGAGTTTCATTGACATTTGACTTAAATCAAGAACTTTATCTGCAATCTTAAAAAATTAGTCAAATTCGACTGTCTCAAAAGTAAGAGATAGGGCATTTTTATGAAATTTAATTAGTTTATTTGAAGTTAATTTGAAGGGGCTAACTACCTTTAAAACTTATTCTAGTATTCGGTAAAACCTTTCCTAGCTAAAATTGACGCGAATATTCATCGCTTCATGGAGTCATTGAAGTGCTGAAGGGTCTCCAGCGGGATATTTGCCCATCCGCCATGCATCATTTGCTCCAAATCCTTTTTGGTTCGAAATTGACGCCCACCCGACGCGAGAAGTTGGCCCAAAAATTCTTCATGGGATTTAGGTCAGGACTGCTAGCCGGCTAAGCCAAGTTCCCGGCATTTTTCCTGGCAAAGAAGTCCATGATTAAACGGGAAGTATGAATTTGGGCGTTGTGATTCCGAATATCCCACCTTATCCGCAAAATTCTGGGTCCCTAACTGACTAGATTTGACTGGCGTACTCTCTGATAACCTCGTGAACCTATTCTGTGTGTAATCAGTGCTATTTCGGTCTTTCCATGATATCCAAATCCTCCCATATTATTACAAAATTACCCCTTAAAAATTACAAACTTAATTTAAATATGGTGCACATTTGTTAACACATATTTTGGTATGGGGTATTTTTTAGACAAGAATGTAGGTTATGCATGGGACTAAAAAAATATTCTGCATAAAAATATTTGTCCAAAAATATGAACCACAAATTTAAATTGAATTTGTAATTTTTAAGGGAAAATTTGGTAATATTGTGGGAGGTTTTGGATATCGTGGAAAGACCGGAATAGCACGAGTACACCCAGAACAGATTCACAAGGTTATCAGGGATAACGCCAGTCAAATCTGGTCAGCTAGGGACCCAGAATTTTGCGGATAAGGTGGGATATTCAGAATCACAACGCCCAAATTCATACTTCCAGTTTAATCATGGACTTCTTTGCCAGGAAAAATGCCGGGAACTTGGCTTAGCCGGCTAGCAGTCCTGACCTAAATCCCATGAAGAATTTTTGGGCCAACTTCTCGCGTCGGGTGGGCGTCAATTTCGAACCAAAAAGGGATTGGAGCAAATGATGCATGGCGGATGGGCAAATATCCTGCTGGAGACCCTTCAGCACTTCAATAACTCAATGAAGCGACGAATATTCGCGTTAATTCTAGCTAAGAAAGGTTTTACCAAATACTAGAATAAGTTTCAAGGGTACTGACTCCCTTAAAATTAACTTATAAAATGTTTAAATTTCATATCTCTTACTTTTGAGACAGTCGATTTTGACTAATTTTGTAAGATTGCATATAAATTTCTTGATTTAAGTCAAATCTCAATGAAACTTGGCATGAACTTGTAGCAATACCTGAGCTATATTATAATAAAACTTTGGGCCCCAGGACCAAGCTATTAAGAAATAGTAGAATTTTCCAAAACTATCTCTTCATTTTGAGACAGACTATATATATAATGTTGCACATGTGTATGGAAATCTGGAGTCCAAATAATGACTCTCCTGTCATACTAATGATATATCATAATATGTACCGAGAAATGTATAAAGCGATGCGCGTAATTTATCTTTAATCCTTTACGATTTATTTAAAATGATTGAATTATGTAGATATTATTAATTTAAGTTTTCCATATTTTGAGCTGATGCATACGTCAATTTAGCTTGATTGATTGATTGATTGAAGTTTTTATTAATGGTGTCGTACGAGCGTCAGCACAAGTGCTGGTTTTCAGCCCTGGACACCCAGCGACAATCTCAAATAAAATTTGAACTAATACAATGTTCTATAACTATAAACTAAATAATACATACAGTTGCTTTTACACTGTTTCACGAAGACTTAAAACATAATCTTTAACAGAGTCACAAAACGTTGAGTAAGTCATGTCTTTGAATGTCCAGGTTTTTGGGAGGGCATTCCATAATTTGTAGGTGCGATATGTGAGGGCCCGCTTACGGGACTCAGTCCTGTGCACAATAGGGTCAAGCTTCGGCATGGATAAATTTGAGGAAACTCTACTGTCGGAAAAAGAAAGCTTGCCTAGAGACCATCTCTTATAAGCATTTTTAAGAGTTACAAACTTCAGTCTCTCACTTAATGTCAAAAAGTTACAATCGTCACGAATCCGTGTCATTTCAGCCGAGTTGCGAATGCTCGAGAAGGAAATACTTGTACTCTTTTTTGTTTTCTTAGCAACTCTCGAGTAAAAATAAATACATAGGTATTTATCGATTTTTGCTTGTAAGGTGTCAAGTTTAGTGTCATTATGTATGGCCCAAATGTCAAGGCAGTAATCAGTCAAAGAGTGTAGGTGTGCATTAACCATGGCTTTTAAGGCCTGCAGATTTGAGTATCTCTTGACACCATATAGGAATTTAACTCTACCGCACAATTTCTTGTAAATTGAGTCAAAATGTAAGTTAGCTCACGCTCAACAATGGTTAATCCGGGTCTGATTATTATGGAAATCAAAGATTTTGGTATAAAATAGACTTGAGGAATGCATGTCGTTTATTAGCCACATATAACTCATCCCCTTTCCGATCGAAGGACACCACATCACATCATGTAATACACCAAAACTAGAATTATAAGTTAAATTAACTTTTCAATATTTTTGTTAACTATCATTAATTACATTATTCGAAAATATTTATCTGGTTATCATTTCTTCCCATTCAGGAGAACTATGTTGCGAACTCTGGCTATTCTTCTGGTTATCGCAACCATCTGCATTTCCACCAGCGAGGGAGCTGTATGTTGGTGCAATATGTTCCAACTGATATTCGGACTCTGTGGATGTTGTAAGAGATTTGTCCAAAATGGCGATCCTTTTTTCCCTTAATTATGCAATTTTTATTTTCAGTGTCCACTACCACAGCTGCGACGACCACGGCTGCAACAACCACGGTAGCAACGACCACTGTTGCTGGTGGTTAAGCAATTTGATAGTCTCCGCGTCCACTAAATTCTGATCATTCAAAAACGAAACAATAAATCTAACCAATATTGCATTCCACAACCGTTTGATTAAATTACTTTTTTGTATATGCTTGAGTATACGTATTACCATTGACAAAGCTTTAAATGATCGAAAAATTTCTATTTGCTCTAATGAGAATTCGTATGGGAAGCAAAGCAAGTAATCCTAAATGCAACTAAAAAAATTGAAGCAGGCCAGGAAATCAATCATTGTTTCATAGCTTTTTATTTAGAATAGTCTATTTATAGGTAATTTTATTCTTGTATGAAATTCCTACATAAATTCAATTATAGCACTAACAAAATCATGGGGTCAATTAATCTTAAGACTTGGGAAGAAATAATCTCTTAGCAGGAAGGAAGGTTGACTGGAAAAAATACATTCATTTCCAGCATGCAAGCAAAACTGATGAACACAATGTACATAAACACACAGATAAGTCCAATCTTCTTATCAAGGATAAATCCATTCACAGCAATGGCAAAGTACAGGACAAAGAGTGCAAGGACTAAAATTATAGCTGAATATTCCAACCCTCCAGAGTGGATTTCGACATAGTTAATCTCCTCCGAGGACAAGAGGGCAGCTTTTATTAGCCATGGGAGACCTAGACAAACCTGGCAAAAGCAATCTGGATTAATTATTTCCTTGCATCGCATAGTTAGATAGATTAATACATAAGCAAATTCAGATCAGTACCAAACAGTCAAAGATGTTGGAACCCACTGAGTTACTGAATCCCATAGAACCCAGCCCTGCAATTTGGTTGCAACAATACAGTTATGCATTTTAAAGTTTTATTAATTGTCAGTTGGCAAAAACTAACCTTGACTTGCTACAATTAGGGACGAAATAACTTCAGGGATGCTAGTCCCAGCGGCCAAGAAAGTAAGTCCAAGCACAGAATCAGGGATCGAAAATGTCTCTCCTGCAAGGAAAATGCATACAGTGAGGTTTTACTTACAGTTTGATTAAACAACTATCATTCACCTATGATGGTGACCATCCAAGAGATTCCGTAGGTCAGAACCCCAATCCAAACCACGCACATGCCCAGTGTAGCCCAGTACCAATTTCGTAACGTGTAAGTCCTACAGTCCGGAATGGTGACGTAAAGCAGGAAGCGAATTGGCCATGAAATCAGCCATCCATACCAAGTCTTGGCTCCGAAAGACGGCCATTTGCAGCAGGTGGAACATTCCTCTGTACATTGCAAAAAAATATTAACTTTGCCACAAGACACTCTTCAAATTCTACTCCAAATGGAACGAACCCACTGGCGTTGAGTGTGACCCGGAGGAATGGACCAGGGCGTTGTGAATGAGAACCTCATCCATCGAAGTATCACTGAGTTCCTGGCTTACGGTTAAATTGACGAGGGAAGGATGAGACGAAGTCACTTCTTTGATAGCTTCCCAGTTATTATTGTCAGATTCTAATGTTCGTTTCTCGGTCTCTACATATATGGGCCCGAAAATATTCCGAAAATTGAAATATTTGCATTATGACCAGCATTTACAAAAACAGACTTGATTACCACCACTGAGAAGAAGAAGTGGCGTTTTCTCATTCGCATTGACTTTCTTTGCAATTATGCCAGAAAGTCTGCGTGGACCCTCCTTCGACCCTGTGACCCATTGCAACCCAATAATAGCCAAACATTTCTCTACCCATCCTTTCACTCTGGTGTTAAAACATAGAACTACAATAAATTAATACTTTTTGTAAAATGACATAAATCTCTGCAAATGCTGGATACTAAATATAAATTCTTACCCAGGACATAAAATGCGTACAGAGCCAGCATGAAGAGTGCCTCAGACCAGTAAACCTTTCGATTGTATAAAACCCCAATCAAGGTCGCAACCGAGGCCAAGTAAAAGATTGAATCTCTGGTCAGTGGCCACCACTCTAGTCGCACTCCCTAAATCCCATGAAAATTAGTGAGACAAAGTTAACCACGTCGTAATACCTACATAAGCACGATATGCAGTTATAGCACACTAGATACTGACTGACTATAGTACGTACAATTTTATTGTTTGAAGGGGTTGTAGACGATTTGTAGATGAAATAGCCAGCCCCAATTCCGCAACATGCTCCAACAGCAAGAATCTTTTTATTTATATTTTTTTTAAAAGTTTAAATTAAATGGTCTCAGCAGAAAGAAAATATATAAACTCTAACCGCATACATTGAACACGGCTGACCCTACGATCGTTCCCACGCCCATGTCACCATTTGTTAAGAATGTCCCAATCACGTTGGTGAATAGTTCTGGTGCAGAAGTCGAAATTGCCATCCATGTCGCACCAACCACCTCGCTGGGCACGTGAAGCGCTGTTGTAAACCGGAAATAAAACAGAATGTTAAAACTGATTCGTAATTCCATGATTTCCGTATTAATTACCTCTGCAAACGGACTCCACGCTAGGGACAAAGTATTCCTGACAAACGAGCAAAATGGCATAACAGAGGTAAACTGCCACAAAAAAATGGAATAAGATCGCTCCATGTCGCTTAGCTTCAATGGAAAAGATGTCTGGAGGAAAATCTTCAGCGGAAGAGTGACTACAGTTGGCAGGCTGAACAAGGAAGGGGTTTCCTCCCAAAGCACCATCCTCCTCGTCATCGTCATTCTTATTCTGCTTGTCAATTAATCCTCTATTTTCACCCTCTCTTTCATTACCACTACTTCCAGTTACAGAATCTGTGGTACGCTGCTGGTCTAGGACAGGACTGCCCTGCCGTAGAATTGTTTCCTGTGTTTCAGCTAGACTTTCACCATGAACCTGTTCCGTCAAAATGAATAAAATTGACGCTCCCAGGGCGATGACGTATAGAGTGCGTCTGATGGATTGCAACGGTGCACTACTTTTATCCAGATGACGACTCCGCCTTGGAAGAGGATCAGATTCGCCAAGCTTTATTTGATCTCCTTCGAATTTGCCCCAACAATTGCCATTTTGATTCTTGTGGTTTTGTGAATTTCCAAGCACGGCACTGCGGGATAAACTCTGACTATTTTTTACACTTGCGCCACTATTGCAATTTTCACTTGCACTTGAGGCATTGTTGTAACCACACGTCCGATATTTACCCATCAATTGTCACACTTTACTCGTTGGTAGAAGCCAACGCCTGATGCAGATCAATATGAACCACAAACAAAGTGTATACGTATGTAATGTAACAACGCTAATCGAAAATTTCTCTAAAAGTTAAAGTTCCTGGGTTTCTGATTTTTGATTTTAAGATTTTGACAAAGAGTTAGACAGAATGCGAAACGATTCTGGTGTGCTATCAGTGAGAAACTGGGCCCTGAAAATCTGCTCCCATCACTTATCAATTTATTTCTTGCTGTGCTCGAACTATCCTGAAATAAGAATAAGCATAATGTCTCATCTTTCCATGTTCACTATAAATACGATATCCACATAATATAAGAAGTACATATATAGTCTGATTAAGGCATTTACATTTTTTCAAAGCGGTAATAGTCAAGTTATTCCAACTAAAACGTATATGTAGTAAGCAACACTTAATAACACGCTAAATTGTTAACACTTAATAACTTACTGACGGAAATCAGGTCTTACCTTCAGACAATTATGTGGTGATACAAAACCTTTCGTATGCGTGTATTTCGTGTGTACAAAAGAGGAGAACGGGACGAATCTCGTGATGATTGTGCTACTCATCGAATAATTGTCATGTGCTTTAAAACTGGGTGGGGTAATGTTTTGTAAATGATAAGCTATCCATATCGGCCAACGGGCTTATCATTCAAATTCGACACCACATCACATCTGTACGTACACATAAGCATAGATTAGTAATTACCGACTACTGAATGAGTGGTCCTCAGAAGGTAAAATTTTGTACAATTTGGAGGTAAATTGAGACTTTATGGTTGCTGAGTTTATTTAATTTTGTCAACACATTTTCGCTGATCTACAGGTCAAGCATGTCAGTTATAAAAATAATGTGTTAACCTTGTTATGAAGGATGGAAAAGTTTAAGCGAGTAAGTTTTGCAGTATTATAAAGTTTCCGTCGTAGTATGTTATCATCACTCATCACGGCAATAGGAAGTAGTGCAAACTAATAATAAACTTGTTTGCATGCTGGCTGTGAATGTAAATATTTTTCTTCTTTGTATCCACATACTTATCGACTTTTTGGAAAAGTGATAAAAAAGTGTGTTTACGAAATGTGATGGCAAAATAAATTTCCTTATTGGACGATTATCAGAGTCAGCGTGGTAGATATATTTATGTAGATGTACTTATTATGTATATTTAGTTCACAACGGTTTAATATAATCTGTAAATGTATCTCAATGTTAATGACTAGCTCACTTTTTAACCCAATCCAGAGCTTACCTACATATTTATCATTCCCGTCTGCAGCTCATACATATCAATCCTATCCTAATGTAGGTGATCAGAGGCATAAGTTTCGTATGTACATATCAAAGTGCTTCAAAATTGTCGTTGAAGGATTAAAATTGCCACAAAAGATCATCAACGCCTTGTCATATTTGGAATAATGTGAATACAAATTGGAATTGCATCAACTTGGAGGACCCTAAGAAGCAACTTGCAAAACGTCTAAGGGTCTTTTTAAGTTAATGTTTTACGGTGTTAAAAACGACTCATCATGAAAAGAAACTATGACAGAATGTTAATTGCCCTGCATTTTATGTGCATATATATTTCTGGAGGAAAATTTGGGTGTCAATTTCACTAATTTTAAGCCATTACCTTTCTGTACGTGTAAATATTATTAACGGAAAGTTTATCAGTAAATTACATATGTTGCATCATTGATTATTGTTTGTTTGATAACGCTGGCGTGAATTGGAGCAAAACTACGATATATGTGACAACCTGGCTGAAAATCTGTTGGGAAGTTTAGAAAAATGGTTCAAAATATTATTATTCATGGTTTAGTGTATGTATGTACATATGTACATAATTTCTGTACTCAATACCGTAACAATGAAACCATGTGTAATGAGAAAAGTGTGAGCTTGCAGTCCGAGTGGATTTTGTTCCAGGTTCATTTGGAGATTTAATTCTTCCATTCTTTCATTATACTCCAATTTACTTTGATTTTTGAATAAGTATTTTCTAAATGCCTGCAGCTGATGGAAACGATTTGCATATTTTAGTTTTTGCCAGTGTTGGGTACAAAATTTTATACTAAGCGAGACATACTTTTGATGTGCCAGTTGCAGCAAGAACAAGACAACCACCCGACCAGAAGAAATAAAACAAATTAGCGAATTTCATAAATGGCGACATGTTGGACTCCATCAATTCCGTAAGGGAACTGCTGAAATGAATTAGCAGACTGGCAACAAAATTTAGCATGTGCAAGCTAAATGTGGCATTCATATAACGAAAAAGATACTTGAGCTCGTCGCATAAATTGCTGACCTATTAAGCGAAAAATATGAGAAACATACACAAGTCAGCATCAGAGTTAAACTAATTAAGTAATAGTGTACTCTGCTGTATTTACTAACCAGCGCCAATGGTAATGGTTTCCCACCCTTCAATAAATATTTTTCACACGAGCATCCCAACTTATATGTCACGAGGCATAGGTAAGTGCTTATCCCAAAAATTGTGGCGTTGCTGAAAATGACAGAGTTAATTGAAAACGCTAACGCAACGCATGACAACACCGTTTCCAGCACAATTGCGTCCCCTTCAAGTTGGATTAAGCCACCCAGCGGTATGTACAATTGGTCCTTATAAGTTTTCTGAAAGGGAACGTTTTCAACCAAGACTTTCTCCAGGGTTGACTGCACCACAACCAGGATTGGGAATGCGACGAGCCCTAAAAGTGGAAAAATGTCCTGAAGCAAACCCTAAGAATTATGAGAACATCCCAACATTACTTAAATTTTTACTATTAAAATTATGACATTTAATTATAACTTCTCACAATGCTAGATATTGATGTACTTGGAAATTGCAGTGTCAGTTGATGCAGATTTCGTAGGGACCGATTTCGGAACCACACAAATTGTGAAAGTAGAATTGCACTTGAGACAGTGCTAATTAGTCGAGCAATAAAATAAAGTTGGGTGGGGTCGTCTCTGATGCGGCGACTTTGCATAATTCCTAAATAACTCGAGGCCAGTACAAAATAAAGTTGATAAATGTGGTTGATACTGCAAAGGAGCTGAAAGCACGTGACAATTTAATTAATTCATTTAATTAATTAATTTAATTAATTAGGTCATTTAATTAATTTATCCGAATTATTTTACTAGAATGCTTAAAACTCATACCGTGTGAAACTTGCCAGCTCTTAATACCTCGCAGCCAGAATCAGCCTTTGGTGAAAGCACAATTTTGTACGGTGAAATAAATGAATAGTACAGAAAGGAGGAAAATCTTTGCATGCAATTAAATGCGTCAGATTCCATTTTGTCGAATTTATTCACATTCAGATTTTGATTTATTTCTAAGAGCGGCTCATGTTTTACAACGTAAAATTCATGCACAAAATTCATAAAGACTTGACATAAAAGACACAAAATTCATTTGGATTTTCTGCGACGACTATGTATACAACTCTTTCATGAAGCCAATAACTACACACGTACTCGCATTACCTCAATGTTTATTTAAATATCTTAAAGTGGTTTGCTTCTAATCTATTCGTAATACATATTTAATTTGTACCACATTACTTGATTAGACGTCCCAATAAATTATTTGTTAATGGTTTACAGGATTAATCATTTCTAAAATGGTGTCTGCTAGTTTGTAACAATCTCCTGGCCATCGAGCGGAGATATAATTCTCGTCAACGCAAACAAATGCATAGCGTTCGTCCAAGCTGCCAAATTGGTTACAAGTTCCAGGCTGAAACTGTTTATCTGGAAATTGCATTGCTTGACGCACTTCGTCTTCGACATAGTCGTCATAAGTCCGATAGTACTTTCCAAGCTTCCAGGCCGTCAAATAATACGCATTTCTGTGAAAGTTCAGTTCAAACAAGAAAATAAAGGAGATTATGTAGAAAAATGTGTTATGGAAGGAATTAATGAGGTGCATCAATACGTAAAAGAAGGTCACCTTTCCATATACTTTGGGAGGCAAGTAGACTTTCTGTTGTATAAAATTGATTTTCCAGTTGCATTATCAATTGTTCTGCTCAGCACAATTGTTCCGTGACACACTGCAGCAACCACTTTCGATTTATTCTTAAAATATGGGACAATTTTGTCTCGGATGGTTTCATTTTCCAAATACTGCTTCATTCCTACGAATTCAATTGGAGGCGAGTGAAAACGATTCAATTGTTTACGTGACATTTTCACTTTTTAATAGTTTATTTGCTCATAATTATCTACGTACCTGGTGCATGTCCTCCTGGGAATAGGACGCAATCATAGTCCATGAATTCGGTGTCTTTGTACTTTGTAGGATTTTGAAACTCTTTTGTTTTGATCATTTCGTGGTAAAAAGCTTTGGCTTCAGGAGCAGCTCCCAACTTTCCGAAAATGACACCATCCAATAGCAAAGGGTCACATTCTCCTGGAATTCCGTTCTCAGTACAAAAATCCACTTGCACCTTGGCGTCAGTTAATTTTCGCCATGGAACAGAGGTCTCGGTTACGTCGAAATCTTTCGACGGCAAAACAATCAGCACCTTTTTGGACATTGTACTTTTGCACTGTCGCGATCACACGGGTGATGTAATACGAATGAATCTCATACAAATAGTGCGATATTGTTCCTTGCTGGGTACATGAAACATGTGGATTTTTTTGGTACATTTTTTATCAAATGATTAATGCCTGGCGCACGTATATTTACATATACTTGTTCATTACATAGAAAAGATGTGCAGTTAATTATCCTGCTGTTGTGATAATTGAGAACTTGTATTATATAGAATGAACATATGAAGCATGATATGAGGATGAGTTAAAATCAAGGATTTATTGTCACAAACCGATCGTAAGTATTAGTAATAACATAAATGATTAACAACTCTTTTGGGAATATAGATATTTACATGTGTATTGCGACTGGCCAACAGGAAACATTGACCAAGAAACATACACACTAAGAACAAATTTTACTTTTTCAAAAAGTAAGGGCACTTTTTACTCCAACTAAAGTCATGTTTACTATATATGGTGTGAGCGTAACTTTATATATAGTAAACATTACTTTAGTTGGAGTAAAAAGTGCCCTTACTTTTTGAAAAAGTAAAATTTGTTCTTACTATTATAATAGTTAAATTTCATGCATATGACCTTTATGACGTAGTAATATGGTCGAAGGATATACGAATACGACTATCCAATAATAAATCGTTAAAATAAGATCAATGATAAAGCCAGTCCCTTAAACTGACAACATTTTCCTTTGTTATTATTTTCTATTTTCGTTGACAACTGTACAGAATAATCGATGCAGTCATAATTGTCGAGTAATCAGGGCAAGGAGGATATACGTAGGTTCTCGTAAATAGCTCTGTAACCTTTAGCTGGAGTATGGGTGGATTTTGTTTAAAACACAGTTGGAAAATTGCCAATTATCATGATTCACGTCACAATAAGTTGCACATGAAATTAACAAAGTCATTTGCGAGAAAGTTTAAATTGGATTAATCAGAATCAGACGACTCTTTTTTTATTCTAAAAAACGTCAATACAATTAACAATAGTTCCCGTAATATTACGTTATGGTCATAAAAATTCAGCAAGCATCCCGGTGTATGTACATATGTAACAGTGCCATATTCCCATTATATAAACTGAAAGCAATAATTCATACCTATCCAAAAAATGCTATAAATTTTGTTTCACTAGCCATAAAATGAATTTGTATAGTACAGCGTTGGCAGCTAAACAAATAGTTTTCGCCGTCCGAAAATACGATTGTAACACAAATATAATAAATCACAAATTGTCAAGCTGAATGTTAAATGAAGCAATAAAGCTTTAAATTCCAGTCCTGCTTACTTAGATCGGACAAACTGGTGTGCATCCTGTGTCCCAACACCTCAACCAACATCGACCGTGGTACGATACGAACCTGGTCGAAAAGCGTTTTTGCAGACTTAGTTTTTTTACTGGATTCAAGTTACTTTTGCAATTTGTCCTTCACTTAAAGAATGTGCTGACATTCACAAAAGACACACATTTACATGTTTGTACGTGCTGACATATCCCGTGAAATTGGAAGCGCATGCATAATTGGATGAAGAATGATGCATAATGATATCCAACCTCCGGATTCCTCCCTCTCAAATATTGCTCCACAAATAGAGCAATCGGATTGCAAATGTGCAAGTTGTTTCTCATTTACTACGAACTACAGATATCACTAATGACAGGTTAACTGCCTTCATAACATTACAATCAGATTTACATTTCATTATTAAAGTGTAAACAAGAGCGAGGAGGATAAATAAGTGAGCAGTTTATTGCTTGTCATGTCTCATTTTTCAATATTCTTCTACTTCGATTTGTGCTTATACAACCCACATGTGTATTCTTTCAAATAGTTGCATCATAACATAAGCGTCGACTCTGTGCCTGTCATATTTTCTAAAAGACTCGACGCTAGAGTTTGCAGTTATTTCGCATCGATGGTGACCATACATTCGTGTGGAGCTTTTAGTAGTGGTTTGACTTTGCAGTTGGTAGTAATTGCATAGTCATTTATTTTAGTGGCTCGCCTTTTTTGTTATTCATACCCATGCCCATAATTACACATTAAAAAGTTTTAGGGCATCACTTTTTAACAGGTTAATTTAGCTGGTGGTGGTGGAAAGTAATTGTTGTCAGTTGAGCTAGTAGACTGCGAACACCGGGCTGTGATACAGGTGTGGCCAATATAGGATTACATATAATATCCTCGTTATCACACTTGTGATAATTGACCGTTTTCCGTTCAGTTGGACAAACATTTTATTAACTTTATTTAAATGTTATAATGAAATATAGAATTTCAGCAAGTTTGAAATTGGTAGAAATGATCTATTCCATAGTGTCAAAGGAAAAGTAAATACTTCAAACTTTCGTGATTGAGAACATTTGCAAGCGATTGAATTTCTACTTATCAGAAAACTACTAAAAATTGTTTTATGAAACGTGAGAGATGACACGAAAGAAATTCATGTGCAAATGCATACATGATGCATTAGTGCGTATACGAGTACTTGCAATATACTTTTTAGTAGCGTAGAAATTGAATCAGTTTAGTTAGTTGATTTCGATTTTTAATTGAGGATAGATTTTATACAAAACCACTCTGACAACAATTTCGCTTTCAATCTTCCTGATAAAATTAAATGTGATTTCTTGATTTTTATAATTATTTATATATATTTAGGTTGATATTCTAAAGTCTGGCTAAAATGAGAAAATTGGAGACGTGGTTCAATATCATTCTAGTTTCGACGGGAATACTTGATCTGGTAAAGAATATTTAAAACATGGTTTTTGTAGAACTGTCGAGTAAAAAAAATACTAAGTTTGCTATGAAATAATTTGATTGCTTAGATTGTGCTGACCACTTCGGCTGCTACGGAAAAGGGCAAATATGAAGCAGAATGCCATCCGACGCCAAACTCTCTGTCTCAAGTTTACATCCTGGGATATGGTTCACTACTCAACACGGCTTCAAAAAATACCACGTATCCTAACACGGGGATTAATATTCCTGTAAATGTGACTGGATTCTCAAGAAACTTCAACTGCAAAGGAACACCGGTCGGTCACAGCACAACTTATCTGGGGGTGGATGTTGCCAACTCGACCACCTCGTTTAACGGGGTCGTCTTTAAACTCCGAGATTATCAAAGTTTGCTTGAGTTTGACAAACGGGAGGTTTTTTATTGTCGGAAACTAGTTCCTCTGGAGGTAATACATTGGATAAATTTTAAGACTGAATACTATGAGATTTATATTTCATAGGACATTCAGTTCCTTATTGACAAAAGTTGGAATGCGACAGTGGAGCAAGATTTTCCTGTAGGAAATGCCCAGTTCTGGATTTATGATGTAAAACCTGAATTTCTAGGATGGCCATCGGAAAGGTACAACTGAAAAATGGGTTCCGTTCATTCAATTTTAAATTGTTTTAATGGATATGAAGACAATATTTATGAATTTTTTGCTCAGATACCCAATAGTGCAGACCTATGTTGACGTCTTCTTAGCAGGGTGCATAGAGATAGAAGAAACTTACAATTTGACCGGCTACAAGGACGCATGTATTACAAGCACACAAGGTATAGTACACGAGAATTATGCTGGATAAGTCTTGAATATTTCCAGGTAGTACTTACAAAAATATCCTTGATCTGTATAAATAGGTTGGGAATACCCCTGGGTGAATGATAGATTAATACCAAGACGTCCCTTCCTCCACACATGGAAAGGTTTGAAAACATTATTTGTATTTTAGTGTAAAGTGCGTTCGCGTGTTTATTGTTGTTGGCCTTTCATGGGGAAAGTTTCAATGTGACATTTTTATTCATTATTTTTAGCGTTCCAGATTGATCGGCTAATTCAATCCCATTTTCCCAAACACTTTGACCAAGTTTTAATTGAGAAAGAGGCCAAGTACAATTTTAATAACAAAAATGGTTCGAACAAGAAAGTCATCGGAAATTATTTACAGACATTGTTTTTAGCAATATTATTGATCGTACCTGTTACAGGTACGATTTAATGCAAATTGACTATTATTTATTAACCACGTTTGGTGGCCCTAATATGCACGTGTTATATAATAAGTCTTATAAGCAATTATGATGTGTGGCAATTAAATAAATACACATTCTAAATAAAATGTGCCAATAACGAGTACATTTTTAGTTCCAAGCAGAGCTTATGGAATTGTTACGTCCGTCTGTCTGTGACACGCGGACGAACCACTACACCGATTTCGATCAATTTACAATTCATCTTAAAATGTGCATCGCGATAAGACATTGCATAACTTCGAACACAATCGGTCCAGTGGTTGACCGGTGTGGGTCATTTAAGTAGTGGTGGTAAATAGCACCAAATTTTATAAATTCAGGCATAAACTTAATTAATCGAAATCAGGAATTTTTGCATGGATAATTGATACAAAATAACGATACCACTTTTTTAAAATGCTGCTCCGGGGCTTCGATAAGGGTAAGCTCCGCTGGTTTTAGAAATTATGTGAGACCCGAAAAAAATTATCGGGGTTTATCAAATGTGCATTGTCCGTGTGTTTCTAAAACCAGCCAAGATTTTGTTTAAATAATTTATAAGCCCAGCGTGCACATGGTTAAAAATTATTTGTAATCATTAATTATGTTCAATTGATTTAAACAATAAGGATTAAGTTTATTTGAGAAAAGGCAAAAGAGCTACTCGAGTAAAATGCATACATTAAGATCAAGTGCATACTTGAGGTTAGTGCTGAATTTTATTTAAAGCGAGAAACATTCCACCGTCGGGTTTAAGTGAGCTTGCTTTTGAGAACTTCATTGGGATCAAGGTCTTCTTGGATGGCTCAATCATAAAATTATGGACAAGATGAGCAATCGCGACCTTTACTTCTGCCAGAGCAAATCTCATTCCTATCACAAATATGTAAGCATATAAAACAGGATTACAAATTATTCCACTTATCAAATTATTATGAAACTCACCAATACAATTCCGGGGTCCAGCGCCAAACGGAAGATAAACATATTGATTAATTTTTCCCTTATTTTCAGGTGAAAACCTTTCAGGGTCAAACTTTTCAGGTTCTGGATAATACTCTGGATCATGATGCAGCCCGTAAATGGGGATCATAATGCCTTGACCTTTCTTCAGGATAAAATCCGTGCCTGGCACTTTGTAATCCATTGTGCAACCTCGATCCGTCGCACCTAATATTATAATATTTGAGTATCTACTTTCATTTTACTAAAATGAGCAAGCATTTTTTACCTGCTGGGGGATAGAATCGTAGCGTTTCTGAAGAACATGAGTGCAAAATAAATAAAATTAGCAATCCATATCAAGTTTTTACAGTGAATGTATTTCTTATTCCTCACCATTTAGAACCATATCTAAATACTGCATTTTGTTTAAGGTTTCGTAGGTCAGCTCTCCATCATTCTCCAACAAAGTACCGACTTCGTTCCGCAGCTTGTCCTGAACCTCTTGATTTAATGCGAGTGCGTATGCGCAGTAGAGAAGGAGGGACTGTGTCGTATCGTAACCTGCGAGCATAAAGAGCACGGCGTTTGCCACGATCCCGTCGTCATCCAGGAGATCGCCACTACCAGTCTTTTCCCCGTTCTCAGTGCCCCCACTCTTGATTATCGCATCCTTCTCAAAGGCGTCCAGCTCACTCTCGTCAGTTTTCAACTTGTCCTCTCTGGCCTCCAACATTAGCTGAATAAAATCGTTTCGCTTCTCGTTATTTTCTTGACGGTGGTGAATTGAGGATTTTATGGCGTGAGAGAAAAATTCTTGAACCTGCAAATTACAGTAACGCGTAAACGTAAAGTAGTAATGCATAATGCAATTTGTTGCGTATTTTAAATCTCGTGTGGTCTTGGTACCTCCAACTCAAAGAAGGAGAATCCCAATAAATTTGCTATCCTCGGAGACATGAGCATCACTAAAAGTTTTGCGAGCTGAGCACCTCCGAATTGGAGTTGCATTTTCATCCCCATTCTTTCAAACAGAGAAGGCTCTTTTTGATTAAAGGCTTGTGAGTCGATACCGCAGACGGCGGAGGCAATAACGTCCATCGTAAATTTTGAGTAGCCATCCATCAAGTCAATCTCCATTCCGGAACTGAGGGCCATCTCGTTCTCAACAAAGGTTACCAGCTTTTTCCCACTTTCGTTAAACATGGGAAACACGCGTTTGATCTTTCCCGTGGTGAAAGTTGGACTGAGTTTAGATCGAAGAGCTTTCCATTGACCGCCTCTCAGAGCGATTAACATTTTGGCGAAAATGACATCATTTTTCAACGTTTTGAACTGACGACGGTCAGCAAAATGATCAAAATCTTTAACGAGAACTGAGCGGATGAGGGCTGGGTCCAAAATTGTGAGGGTACACATACCCAAGTCCTTGGACCCCACGACTTTCTTGTTCTCAGACTTCAGTTTATTGTACATCATGGTAATGCCTTCGATGAGACCGACACCTTTGTACATGTTTACCATCATGCGGTAACTTCCGTTCCCTTGGTACGGGATTCCTTTAGACTCGAAGTAGAGCTGATCCTTATACGCCCGGAAGCGGAAGAAGATGGCGAGCAGCAGGACAGCCGCAAAAAATAGGATTAAAAACACCCCCATTTTTATGAAATTCTAGATATTCACCAAGAGTTAAAACTAATTTCTTAATCTAGAGTTTGACAACTTGATCCCATGAAGCGTTTAGAACGACTGAAGAGTTGCATCAGTTTTTTCACAAAGGTAAATGTATGTATGCATGGGCGATTCTTCATATGAACTTGATGCAGGTTATGCTGACGCTGTATTAATATTATGACAGCAAAAACAGCAATGACTCACTTTTTCAAAATTGAGTCTTGGTGAGTTGGATTATAAACGCGTGTATGTTATTAGCTGACGACTGACTTCATGTAATCACTGAAACTACTTTGCACTTTCGTTTTCTTTGCACACTCGATGCGTCTTGAACGAGATGAATTATTTACGTCTGTGTGTATTTACTAATTATTGGAACCTGTAAACAACAACACGTTTCATTACTTTATGACGCAAAGCAATGCGACTATGTGTATATAACCAAAAGCTTTATTATTATTATTATGTTGTTGTTTTATATTTTAGATAGGATTGGACAACTTAAAATAATCTCAATTTTACATGTGCTTAATCATGTACATGTCCATATGCTAAATTATGTGCATCAGAGTTATTCTGTTAATTTAAACGGCATTAGATATATGTAATGTCCAGTCAAAGCTGGTAACAGTGAACTAAACGAATTCATACATAGTAGATACTAATGTATTTCCAACGAAATGTACATGTCCTACACAACCAAGGGCATTTTTTATTGCATTGTACATATGCATGGTGGGCATTGGCTCTATATACCCATCTATTTTGGACATGCGGATGCGATAATTGTATATTTTTATATATCTATGTACGTACGTTTGAATGATGAAACAGAAATAGTATATTGCGAGAATATTTAACAATGTGACACGTCATGCAAAAAGTTGAGGTTTATTGTGAATGTAATAACAATGCAACTTGTATAAGATGCGAATTAATATTGATGTTCTATACGAAACTGATTACGATTTTTTATGAGGTTCGATTCTTCAAAAAATATGTGGCAGGTTCCACATTCAAGACCTTGGTTTGAAACTTACAATGGAGGTCTCCCAACATATGCTCACAGATTTGGACCAAACTGGTGTCAATCGATCACAAATTTAATTTGTATGAAATTTGCAAATGACACTATCTGCCAATGCTCAGGTTTAGCGGATATTTGCGTAAGAAGAGGATAAAACGCGCCCCAAGGTTGACAAATTTTACACTTTCTAAATTTACTTGCGTTTTCTCCACCAAACATACGCATTGGCAGATAGTGCCATTTGCAGATTTCAATTCATACTGATTAAATTTGTCATCGATTAACACTAGTTTGGTCCAAATCTGTGAGCATACGTTGGGAGACCTCCATTGTTCAATGGTCAATTTCCTGACACTAACGAATCATAGTTGGTGATTTTCATTACATGATGCATATAGATACATACGACCTGAAAAGATAACTTAAAAATAAATTATGACATAATCCCTAACGGAAATAAAGACTTGCTTGAGAAAATGTCTCTACTGAATATTACAATCTCTCTTCTCTTCGGTAAAATAAACTTGACTTCCAACTTTCAAAGAAATAAACCGTTTTAGAAGGCTTTTGTACATACACTTACATATTTTTAGCAGCTATATTTATTCATAAATAATGCAACCAGCAACCTTATTAGTTAAGCTTACATACATACATATAAATTATGTACATATGTACAACTGGCTGTGTATAAGCCAGTTGTGGTTATCGCTGTGTATGTATGTTCGTCTACTGGAGTCTGTGTGACTCACTTCTCGCCAAGAAGCCGGAATGACAAATTATTTTGCCTCAGAACTGTGCTAATAAATAGTGAGGGTATTCGTTATTTCTTCGTATCGTTACTATCGTAAAATAGTTTACGAAGATAAAACAAGGGGTCAGGTTTAGTAAAAATCGTAAGCGTAGCAACGCGATTTTCGATGACAAAATCTTACGACGCTTACAAAATCTCGTAAGCGTCGTAAGTTATTTTACTATACGAAAAATACTAAAAGGATACGAAGAAATAATGAATACCCTCAGTGCTTCCTGAAATTAAATACAATCCATAACGTTGCAATATGTTTAGTAAATCGTTTAAAAGAGGCGACTGAAACGACATCAAAACGAGAGGGGTTGGATTCACGAAAGACTTTCCAGGATGGAAATGTAATGGGCCTCCTCAGACACACGAAAATATCGTCGCTTAGAATTTCGCTTCGTTTTTCGCTTACTTCCTGATAGGCGAGCTATGGGGTAAGCGAACAGAAACTCAACTCAGAAGTGGGGTTAAGGTCGCTTAGCTGAAGTCTCAACAAAATTTTGCAAATTTCATAATTTTGGCCATGATATCGATAAGCGAAAAACAAAGCGAAATTCGAAGCGACGATTTTTTCGTGTGTCTGAGGAGGCCCAATGTTAAAGAAATTGCAAGATTGGAACGATGGTACTACAAACATTCAACGAAATACGATCGCTAAATTTATTGACGAGGAATATTCTGACTACTGAAGTCAATATGAATATTTACGTAAAACTCATACATACATAAATAGGTATTTGTATAAAATAGAGTGCAATTTTGCTAAGAATAGGAAATTATTTATTTACTCTTAAACGCATTTAATAATGAAGACTTTGTTCGGATGTTTAATTGGAACAGAGCTAAATTTAAATTATGCTACATCTGTGCGGTACAGAAAACCTTTGATCTTTGCAACAATTCCTTGATAACTCTAGTAACACTGTAACGGATATAAAATACCAAACTCATCTGTTCCGCAAGGTACATAACGAACATAATCGCACATTTATTTGACAAAAAACAAACCATTTCTCACTAGAAGATATCACATGCAATATGGAAAATTCCATGTGAACATGTGGTAGTTAATGTGACGCCAATATTGGTGCTAACATAAGCAAAATGCGTAACTATTTGGTTATGCATAAGCAAATAGTTACGCATTTTCCATTACCTATGCATGTCTTGAATATTTTCATTATAGATAATTTTTTAGCATTCCGATGTGTTTCATAGATATTTCTGAGAAGTTGAAATTATGCGCAGTACTTTCATCTGAAAAGCAAGTAAGTAAATGAATCACCACAACAAACATGACTCGTCTTTATGGTCGTGATTAATTAAGATAAGCGACCTGTCATCTGGACACGGTCGTTGGAGTTATGTAAGTCATAAAATTCTTATGTAAGCTCAATAAAAGGAGATTTTGCAGAAAATTTGCAGATGAATAAATATTTGTACGTCTTCTTGTTCTTTTTTGTTTGGATGATTGAAAGTTGGCGAGTACACAGTGCAGGTGCAGAATAAAGAATGGAAGGTTAGGTCACTCGTTAGTGGTTTTATTACAACTGGCTGGAAATCTTGCACCACGGGTGATGGGGAACAAATACTGGCTCCATCAAACATTAATAATTTGGAATGTGCATGATTTGTGTGTGATTAATAATAAGCAAGTGGTTTGGCAGGATAAAATCCTTGTTTGTGTAAAAACCAGAACTGGAACTATACATTTACTCGTTTGGGCTTTAAGGTGTTTGTCCACTTTTGCTTTTGATTTTGCATGTATTGCAAAAATCAAGATACTCGTACATGATTATAAGCTAACCGATCCATGCAAACAATTTTTGGATTTTGTATTGTATTTTATTTTCGATACATATGTGTACATAAAAGCAAATAATTAGTTGACTTGATCTTCCAATTATGTGAAAGTCTTTGGAATATTCATGAATGAGAATACTTTTCAAAAAGACGAACTAAAATTTGATTGTGAGTTTATATTGCATTTAATGAAAACACCTTGAACAATGAAGTACAGCTTCCCACAGATGCTTCTGTTCAGATAGAATTTATTTAGCATGTTAGCTTCCAAATAAACCGTCTCAAACGAACATGAAAAAGTGGCGTCGTACCATGTAAAATGACACGCCATATGAAAATGATGTATTTCTGACCTTTCACCTCTAGTCACGGTCATGGGTTGGTCGGAGGTCAAAAATATTGACTGACAAGGGAAGGTCCCCGACTGCTTATCGAGTTAAGCATTCTCATTATATACATTTAATGCCCTATCTAATACTAGTGACCCAATCTAATACAATTTTCGTGTAAAAATCACTTTTGGTCATGATATGACGATTTTTGTAACGCATGAAATCACACTTTTCCATGCAACTCGTCTCCGCCACTACGCTACCGACCGCTCGCCTTCTTAACCCTTTACACCATTTCTCTCCATCTCACAACTAGATTATTTATATTTTAAATTGCATAATTGCTACTTACATTCAAAATTTTTTTTTGGCAATATTAATTTTGACGATTAATGTGATTATGATTTTCAATGAAGCGTATTTAATCCAGCTCACTGACATGAAAAATGGAAAGTCGGGCACTATTAAATCTATGACTAACAAAATCTTCAATCTCCTTAAATTTATTTGCAACAGTGTTCTTTTTATTTACATATTCACGCATTCTTAAAATTTTAGAGTGATATAAAACTTTTGTATAACGCCGTTTCGTCTGGTCTAGCTTACGTTTCTTTGCCTTGTCATAAAATGATAAAATGTTCACCATTTCCTGATAAGTGAACTTAACGTTGTCAATGACGCATTCCTGCCACTCTTGTGAAACTTACTGGGAAAGTTCTTCTGAATTTTCTTCATCCTCACTAATCTCGTTGTCACTATTTTCATCAACACTTAAAGTTTCACTAATATTGTTGGATACGTCTGTGTTGATTTCTTATGTTGTTTCTGTTGAATGTTGATTTCTTCACCTTCAAAATCGTACTCTAGGCATGTGGTAGTTTCCAAATCCACTAATTTGTCACTGACCATATCGTCAGTTATATGGATAACCTTTTTAGCAATCTCCATTTTATTTGGGAAGTCCACCGCGTCACCACATTCCCCATACCTGTCTTTTGCTAACCGAAGCACTGTCTCACAAATGCTAATTATTTTTGCCATTATTGTTCAATTGCCAAAATTATTAACAATAAATCCCCTATTTATTAAACAACATTATTTCTAAAAGCAAATTAAATATTGCAATTCATATTAATGACAAGCGAGCACGAGTCAGCTGGAAACCGCTCTCAGCCGGCTGAGTGATGGTGACGACTGACGAGTTGCATGGGTAAAGTGTGATTTCATACGTCACAAAAATCATCATATCATGACCAAAAGTGATTTTTACACGAAAATTTTAGTAGATTGGGTCACTTGTATTACATAGTGCATTAATTGTATATAGTGAGAACCCTTAACTCGATAAGCAGTCGGGGACCTTCCCTTGTGAGTTGTGTGGTGAAATTGCCTTTAAATTGACACCCCAGATGAAACTTAAGGTTAAATTTAATTTTGGACCACACCCCCTGACGCTGTGGGGGGGGGGTAATCTGAAAGGGTAATCCATTATTGAAATCAACCGAGAGTCAAAAATTAGAGGCAAAGTGGCGAAAACCGCGTTTGACTATGTTCTTGAGATATCTTGTTGATAGACGGACAGACAGACAGACGGACAAAGCGATCACAATAAGCGACTGACGCCATTTAATAATTCTCACAATTCGTACCCATTGTATCGTCCCTCATCATCAAATCAAAGTTTGCAACCTTTTCGTTCCTCTGTCTCTAATCTTATGAAATGAACGGCGATTCCCACATTTTTTGCCATAATATAGTTAACATCGTGTTCACTCACTATCCAAGGTTCTCCCCAGTAGCTTATTTGCATAAACTGAGCACGACACTGAAATTCATCAAGTGCCAAAAAACTTGCAGAATCGTGGATTGCTTGGTCAGTCCAGCAAATCCGTCCGTCCAATTAGATTGAATGGCTGTGGTGTATTGCATCTTATTATTATTATTGCCATGTAGCAGGTAGACCAAATTAAATTGAATTAGGAATACCGTGAACAAGGATACTTATTCAGCTTAGTCTTGGTCTGACCATGCGTGGCTCATGTGCGACAAGAAGATAAGGAACTTTGCGTCGCTCGATTATATAATGTGCTTCGGAGAAACTTTGTTCTAATCTGCGTGGTAGTTTAAATTACACGTTTTCCCCTTAACATTCTCGAGATACATTTACGCAATTTTGTACCCGGTAATAAAAATTAATAAGTTATCAGGTGTGTGTTTTTCCGAATTTGTGCCACTAGCGACAATCCAAGAAAAGTTCAGGTTTATTATTTTTACTGTTACAAATGTAGGCAAATGACCGAATAAGTAATCATCAGAAGGGCGTAACCACAACTATAACCACGACAAAGACATTAACACACTAAACATGTCCCGAATTGCATCCACTTATTTTAAAGACAGACCAAGACATTTATTTCGAGTTTGTGCATCGTGACGTGGAAGATTTTCTTGGAACTGCGTCTAATAAACAAAGAGTGAGATAGAGAGACGACCGATCAGCCCGACATCAGTAAATGATCGTCTCTTTGTGTCAAGTTTATTCGTACTCGTTTGTGAGGTAAAATAACTCAGAGATGAAACCGAGAAAGTGGAACTGGTCTGTTGTGGGTGCATTATTTGCAGTCGGTGTCAGTTATATGGTTTCACAGTGCAAATGTGCCAATAACCCTCCTAGTCAACCCCTCAGTTAGTGACAACTCTTGATTTATATTTAATTTGTGCTGAGACATTTATCAGAGATTAACTGATTTGAAAATGAATATTCACATATTTAGATTCACAAGACTACTGCAGATCTGTGGGGCGAGTTTTGGGGCTTTGTGTTCCACTGCAAGATTGCTCCTTGTTTTCCAGATGGCTCAAAGAAAGACCAATTGTCAAGCAGAATGTCAAAAATGTAGTCAAATTCACGTGTTATTTTGATCTTCAACAGCCAAAAGTGGGTCACTGAAGAAATATTTATAAAAAACCTCCTCCACTTATGCATTTATGAAATACTTGGCTTTGACTTTAGGTGTGCTGTCCACTTCCGGAAATTCGTGGGAAGGGTGAAGAACCAACTTCGTAAAATTTAATTCATGATGCCCCAGGGTCATCACGTTCCAGTGGTGTCAAAACGCCCCCTCGACACCATCCACCGCAAGACGAAGGACTTATTTTCCCAGATGCTGCGCAACAGCGATTGGAAACCCACTCCACGAAAGTTGGGCGCAAACTTCTCAGTGGGTCAAGTTTGCTGCCATCGTTGGAAGAATGTGGTTCCAGTGTTAAATTATCGAGGCATTTGGGGACATTTGGAGCTCACCCATGGATTGCTATTTTAGGGCATAAAGGTCATTAGCATGAGATAATTAATTCATTACAAGAACGAATTATGTGATTTTAAATTATTTTAGATCTGGACAACGGAAAATGGACTCATATTTGCTCAGGGACGTTAATAAATCCGAAATACATATTGACATCAGCACATTGTCTAAGTAAATTTCCGGAATATCAAATGTGAGGAGAAATTTTAATTTTCAGTCCGAGCCAGGGCTTAAAATAAAATCGTATGTCATGTCTGTGACACGGTACGGGTCGAACGGCTTATCCGATCGACTCACAATTTGGTACAAATCTACGATTAGCAGAGGCAAAATAGGAAAACGAGACCAGTGGGGGTCATTTTCACAAATAAGTGGTGCGGGTACAAAATTAAATTTTATAAACTGTCGTAGAAATCTCAAAAGCATGAATGCTTATGGACATATTGTATCAAATATAAGTCAAATTCATTTATTATCAGAGGACTCAACCGGGTGCCCCTGATTTAACAAAACAGTCGGAAAAGTTATAAAATAGTCAAGGCGGATCCAATTGGTTCACATTGGCTCACATTTGTTTTATAAAGTTAAGAAATACATGAAAGTGACTGGCTCGGGCTACATCAAGTCTTCACTCTAGGTTTTTCGAAGCAAGATTGAAATTTCTAATGCTATAAATTCTTTAAATATGTCACCAGTACACATGTCAGACTTGGTGAGTACGACCTTCAAACCGAGATCGATCGTGGCTCACCGTTCCTTCGAAATACTATTTTTGAAGAACATGCTGTTCAGAGATCAATTATCCATCCGGATTATCAAAGACCCGGAAGGGGTGCGGATATTGCTCTCATCCGACTGAAAGACCGAGTTTCATACTCAGAATTTGTGCAACCAATTTGTCTCCCACTCAGAGATCACTATGCCATGTCGTCATATTGGGGGACGTCAGGATCGGAACCTAGTTTATTGGTGCAGGGTAAACTTCTTGTGGCTGGGTGGGGGCGGCTTCACGCTAACTGTGAGTTTTTCACCGTAGACACAAATACTTGTATATACTAGTAGTATTGCGAATATGTATCATTATGTATAGTAATCGTGCCCAATTCTTTTACAGCCACCGGATATCGAACCCTGCAAGAAGCTCAGGTTAAAATTACTCCGGAAGACGAGTGCCAGGATTCAAACAGAAATTTATTTTCTCCAGCGAAACAATACTGTGTTGGGGGAAATTATCGGCAAAACATTTGTGTCACTGACGATGGAGGGGCATTAATACTGCCGATGCGATTGGGGTCCAGGGCCACAGCAGGCCCCACCCCGAAGGTGTTTCAAATGGGAATATTTTCCTCAGGTGAGAAATAGAAATTGCAAGCAACTGTAGAAATGAATGGCGGTGAAGGAATTCTTGTCCTGTCTAATTGTAGGACCATCAGTGACGCAATGTCAAACTTGGGAAGGAATGGATCACAGACTCATATTTCTAAGACATAATAATCGCGTTAGATCTGCACTGCCTCAAAGTGTTCCCAAGCCCACCATTTACTCGAAAGTTATCCCTCACTTGGACTGGATGCAGAGACAGTTGCAGCCATAAGCACAACCACCTTTATTTTTTATTTAAGCAATGTAACACAAGGAAGTAAAAAATATATAGCGAATGATAAACTTGAATATTTACACGCGTTTGGATACTATTTACATAAGTATAATTAAATCCCAACCCATTTTATTTAGAATTTCAGTTATATGTAGCCATACTTATCTCCGCTGATAAAGCTGAGTTAATATTTTCCATCAATACGTATTTACATATGTACCGGGGCAATGAAGGTGTGAAATTGAAATTACTATATGACCCATATTTTTTAGCATGATCGAATATGACGCTGCTCAGATAAGTCTGAAATTTGCCATATATGGCAAATACGTAGTACGTAATACGTAGCAAATATGTGGTACGTACATATGTACATATATCTATGTACGTACCAAACTCCTAAAATGCACTTAATTTGAAAATTCGACATTTCTGCGGTTTTTGGAGGACATCATTTGATTTTATTAGTTTAAATTGCTAGGTTTCGGTAACACTCATCAGGCTTACACGTAACTGTTTCGGAAAAATAGTACAAGCCAAGCAATCATCAATTATCTAATTTACATTTGACTATGATGAGCGTAAAAATTGTAACTAATTGTAAGCCAATAATTAAAGAAAAAAAGTTGGTGTGGCTGATGAAGTTTGATGTGTTCATTGAAATAGTATTTCAAGAAAATGTCCTTCGATACCGTTAAAATCAATACAAAAAAAGTTGATTTATTTATTAAGCAAAGTTAAATGATTTTTATGTACATTAATTGGGTTTAACTACACAGTGCAGTGCAGCATACCTTGAAAATACTTATCCTTAGCCTGGAAGTATGCATACATACAAAGTGCAACCATACAGTCACAATAAATTAATAAATCATAGTCATGTAGTTTGTAACATAAGAAATCATTCATGCATAAAGATTTTTTCTCCAAAATCCACAGAGGAACATTTTGATCACCAAGTAAATACTCAACCACCAGCCCAGAAGGACAATAAATTAAATTAGGCTAATTATGATAGTTTTACAAATTTTACTTTGTGTGTATATTTCCCTTATGGTAGATAAATAAATAATTGATAAGTATGCTGCCAAAATAATTTAAAATGATAACTCCATAAATGCATACACTTTTTGCAAGTAAAGTTTATGTAGAATACAACAAAATTGATTGTTGATCGCCGTTGAACGGCGTTTTACAGATAGTCTCACCATCCGAGACTACGCGATTATGGGGACGTTGGAACAGGTTGAAATTCTGCACTTTCGTGGTATTCGACGAGGACGAGAGTGAAATAAATTTGAACAAGACAACCCCACACGAAAAGTGAGACGAGGTCCAGCCAATGCGTCCCGAGAACAAACATCGCGAGACAATTTATAAAAGTACAACCAACAAACGCTCCAGTTAGCAAGAAGGCGAGATAGGCAAATGTCTTCCGGTGCTGCAATAAATGATAAGTTACAATATTAGAAATTTGAGGCTGGGACTTGAAGAAGTACTGCACTCACTTTGGTTTGCAACATTGACACGAAACAAGCAACCACGCTGGAGAACAGGAAGCAAAACATGAGGACAAATCCAACATAGAATGAAATTGGTTCCAGCAGGTTCATCACTGTATTATGAAAAAGTGCATCATATAACTTGGAACTCGTAAAGTCCTCTTGTACTTCTGTAAATGATAAGCAGTTTGTATTTCACCTGAACAAATCCAATTGCACTCTTCCTCAGTGCCAGGGTCCGGGGCAACGGTGGTGGTCGTTGTAATGAAGGGATTCACTGGCGTTGTCGCAGGATCGTCTGTGCTATTTCCAGAATACTTTGCCACCGTTTCGGACAAGGTGTTCATATAGTCCAAACGTCCCAAGAGGTATTCCACCACGATGCTCATGCCAATGGTCTAGATACAGCCAAAAGTATATATTTATGAGTATTACCACTTTGTGTGTGCCTCCATAGGATCTTCACGTTGATAAGAAAGCAATGTCTCACCAAGTTCAAGAGGGCAACCACCAGTGCCCCAATTTTTGCTGACAGACAGAAAAATGCCATCGTGTGAATACTGATATGGTAAAATGAGATCACTAGGAAAAGTTACACCCGGTTGAGACGTCCCAAAAATTTTATACACAAATTACAAAAGTGGTAGAAAAATGTTCCAAGGAGCAGCGTATGGCCGTAGACTTGAGAAAAAAGAGTTGTATTATTTAGTGAATCCAGGTACAGGTGGAAAATAAGTATGCAATGCTGCAGCATCTCACGTCATGAATACATGAGAAAGAGGGGGGAACGAAGTGGAGCAAAAAATAGCTACTTTTTAAAGTCATTTACGTGGTTTTGTTAGTTTGTGGGAGACAGGATGATACGGGTTGAAAAGGGGTTGCTGCAAGGATGCATACATATTTATGTATCTGTATATCCAAAATCAACAAGTTTGCTGGGTGAGACCGGTGAGACGATGATGAGGGTAAAAGTTGAACAATAAATGTTACGCGATGCGCTACACAGTCCACCATTTAGAAATAGGGATTTATAAACAGCCAACACAGCGTCGTGACAAAAAATAAATGGGAGCCACGTAAAAAAATAAACGATAATAATGCTCCCGACTTTTGTTGCATATGCAGGAGACCGGAAAGAGCTGAGGTTTGCGACGATGAATAAACATTGCTCATAATTCATGCGAATGATTTTGATTTTGATTTTACACGATATGATTTGATTAAAATATATTTGATTTATTTATGAGATGGAGTCTCTGTGAATAGATACTTACAAAATCGCTACCATATTTCTAAACAAAAATCTACAAACTGAATGTTTTAGGTGAATCGGAACAAAGAATATGTACAAACGTCGGAAGGAATGTGTGCATTTCTCGCACTCTTTTCGCCACTATGTGTCAAAGTCATTAAGGGCGTGGAATTTCATATTCATGGCACTTGGAACAGAAGTGGGATCCTTGACAAACTGATTGCAAAGTTTGGTATATTCATCAAAGTTTAGTTTTCCAGGATCTGGGAAATTGTACAATTAAAAATAATTGATATCGGTGGTACTAAATATTGTAGAGACACAATTGCTTACTCTGCGGTGCCATAGTTTCAATCGTCTTGTGAAGCTCTTGCTTGTCCACGTGAGCCCCAAAGTCATTCAACGCTTTGGACATATTGGTCTCGTCCATGGTCTCTTGAAACGAACCTCCGACAAACTCCGTGCTCGACCGGCGACGAAACATGTTCTTGAGAACGGCATACTTTTCAAATTCCTCTGCCTGCAAAAGAAAGACAAAGGATCATAGGTTTTCTTACTACGCTAATTTTAAAGTGGGTACTATTTTGCATAGAATCGTAGGTTTTATTTTACCATTTTTGCTAAATTTTGACAAAGTCGTATATTACTTTCAGTAGATTTCTATATACACAGTATTCAGTGTGAAAATGGAGGTTCAACTAAGAACAAGCAAATATAATTTATGACTGAATGTGGTTGGAAGCATGCAGGATGATATAACATGCTTTTCTGGTCTGCAGTTTATTTAATCTTGTTTACTAACAGAGTTTCTTGTTTTGATTCTGGTTGTCCTAGGGTGATGGACTGAAGGTTAAACATGACTTAATTTTGCAATTGTATCCCAGGAAAGTTCGTACTTTTGCTGCAATGCATATAATTTTAGTCTATTTTTGTGATCCACATGGTTTAAATGCAAATTTTATTAAGAAACTTGTAGTCGTAATTTTCACCCGATTGTATTGAAGCGTGAATATTGAAGAATATGTAGGACAAACGTAGGACGTAGGGAAATTACGCATAATATTCAGTTTTAGCGTGTACGAATTGTCCCACAACAACCTCAATGCATGTTCATTACTACTGCGCAGTTGTTTAATATTGTGGACGGGTGAACTTATTTAGATATGGAAACAAATATTGCTGAAATTAGACTTACATACAATGATTCAGTGAACTCTTTAATAACAAACGTGTGTACAGAATTTTGTGTCCATAAGACACGAACCGCCATTTTAATGTGTTGATTGTCAGTAAATTACAGAAACGCTTAATCCACATCAAACGTTAATCTTGTGATGCACTTTGACGGGTATGCATATGTACGCATACCATTTCTACGTATAAACTTCATTTAATGCTAAAAATATTAAAATGCCAACAAAAGACACCCACCATTCACTCAATCTGCCTCGTTAAACATAAGATTGACATACACTATCTGATTTCATGAATAAAATGCTACAAAATCCTAAATATATAGAATTCCTGCCTACTGTCTAATAGTAAACAATCTTGAATTGTTTGGTGGCATGTTCCATTAGTTCACACATTCAATATCTAATATCAGACGATTTGATCTTTTTGATGGATTTACTAAACAAATAAATGTAAACTTATTGGAGACACTATGCATTCAGATAAATCGTGCACACACATTTATGAGATGCAGCGTACAGCACACTTGAATTCCAAATGTGCTAATTTGTAATTTATTGGCACTTAGCGAATGATTAATGGTCCTATGCTCTAGGTGTATTGATTTATTGCTCCTTCACCCACGGTCCTTGTACTTCCTAACCCTACCCAAGCTCTTCATCTGTAACAAAGGTTTTCATTGTTAACAAAGGCTTGACGAGGAAGGGTTGACATCCAACTGCAATTTACAACAATGCTCGCATTCATTATTGTTATAATTGTAGTGCTTTTTTGACTAGTCTTCTGTGTGCATATCTTATCTCACGACTAATTAAAACATTGGTTAGAATGGGAGTTTTCTAACACGTCGTAATCTTCACAGCCCACCCTTAACGGTGGGCCATCCATGTAACAGCTAAAAAGTCTAGTCGAATTTTCACTAGACGACACAGTTTTTTAAAACCTGACATAACATTTATCTACTAAACTATGCGCATCGAAATACTCACGTAAGAAAATGTTTATAAACCAGCAAACTCTCACGGTCTTGGATACAACGATTAATCCCTTCGCAAATAAAATCTGAGGTGGAATTACTGGAAAAATATACTTCATCCGGAAACCAACTTTGTCAACGCATCGTGCCAAGTAAATGCTATGTAAATATTTATAGTTACATGCAAAATTAGCATAATTTGTGCACGCCCACTCGACGCGAAGGTATGTTTACCCATTATTGTATATGGATCAAATAAAATCAACTTTTTCATCTTCAATCATCAATCTATACTTAAAACGATAGATGGGAAGCAATACAGACGTAACATGGCCATAATCCAGTCCAATTGATCGTACAGCGATGGATGGGAGTTGCCAATCCATAATAAAAATTGCTCATGACATTGACATTGACAATTCTAAGATGGGAGCAAGGCAGAAAAAAATGAGCCATATTATTATCTTTTGTTCCGTAGTCTCTCAATCAATTTCCTAGATCTCTTGGTCAGATTAGCCTCCCCATCTCTTGTCCAACTCTGTGTAGACACATATCGACTGTCATATTTAGTGTACAACTAAATACAATCGTGTGGCATGCATCAATTCAATGCACTTTTTTCGAGTAGCCGTCGTCGTCGTCATTATCATCGCGTTGGTTTTCTTACGCGAATTGTCACACCTTCTTACGCTATCTCCTCTTCACATTATTCTTATTATGTGGGATGGGAGAACACGCTGATGACTTATTGGGTCATAGCTATACATTTTATCACCTGCATACATTTTTCCTTCTCGGTTCACTGTGCTCGTCATGTTGGAAGCTTTTGACCAGTATAAAAGGCTCCAGTTTGGGCGTTTTTCAGGATCAGTTCCAATTCTGTTGAGCTTGCAAAAGACTTGTAGTCTGGCGTTGGATTTCAAATTTGTTGAGTCAGTTTTCTGAAGTCAATTATAAAAAGTTTTATCCCAAGATGACACAATACGTAAGCGTCGATAAATATTCAGTTGTTAATTATTTCAGAATTTTAGACTTACATAAATCTTAATCTAATAAATACACTGCTCATTTGATTTCGCTTTTGTTTTACAGATTGCTTTACTGGTCACCCTCTCCCTGACAGTGGTTGCAACCGTTGCGCAAGACGCGGCGTACCAACAAGGTTTGATTTTATTTACAAAAATCTTGTTATGCTTGACGGCTAATATAAACTTTTTAACACAATTTTTTTCACACGAAGGTCTCTCACTCCATAATCAACAGATTCAGGAGCATCTTCGAAAAGAGGCCGAACAACAAAGGTCAGCGGGTCAATCGGGAGCAAGCCATGCTCCTCAAAACCATTATCAACAACAGCAACCCCAATACTTTCAACAACAGCAACAAGCCGCCCCACAACAGCAATATCAAGGGGGAGAAGATGATGGTCAATACCGACCAGAATTGTACAACAATCCCAACAACTTTGCCAGGTCCAACCCAGAACAAGTATACCAAGAAGGGATCAAGGCTCACCAAGCCCAAATTCAGGCTCATCTTCAAAAGGAGGGCAGATTCCAACCACAAGCCAACCAGATTGGTGATCCTATCTATCAGCAAGGGCTTCAATTGCACCAACGTCAAATCCAGGTAAGCTAACAATTTGACGGTTGTTTGCAATTTTATTTCTAACACATCGTCACCGTATGTCCCGACAGGATCATTTGCAAAAAGAGCAACAACTAGGTGGTCCAGCTCCCCAAGCTTATCATCAACCTCAACAACGAGCTTACCAACCACAAGCCGCCCCAGCTCCACAATATCAAAATCAAGGATTCGGTGGACAAAATAATGGTGCACAAGAGTTTCAGCAAGGAATTCAACTTCACATGCAACAACTCTTAGAACATCAACGACAACAGCAACAGCATCAGGCGCAAGTTGGACAGGCGAGCCAATACCATCAGTCTCAGCAACCACGATCCTATTAATTATTTTTACCTATCTAAATAGATTTGTCTCAGTTTTGAAATTGTTATGCCCTTCATTTATTAAAAAAATAAATCACCAAAAAATAAACATGGTCATCATACGTATTTACAACATACGATTGCAACAATAATTTACATAATTCAGTTTTCCAAACTCAATCAAACTACACATATTCCAGGGATCGATTATGCATCATTAAGTAGGTGCATTGAGCAGTACACATTGAATTGTTCAGAGCTGGTTGAAGAAAACCAAGTAAGACGAGCTACTTTACTTTTAACAGTGATTGGTTATCCCGAAACATCTGCAACAGAAATGATACGTGTATTTCCCCTTCAAATAAATATAATCTGTTAAACTTTACTGAGCCAGTGATACTACTGGCATTATGTAGGATCGTGGTCTGTACATCATAATAGCATTTCAATTTCATAGTGCTTATTAGAGATCATTCCATATTATCTTATACAGTAACAATAGAGTTGAAAAGTACTGTTGCCATTTAAACATTTTATATCATTTTGATTAATTTGATTAGCTCTTTGAACTTGGGAAGTCTCACTGAACGATTTTGTATCTTTAAAATAGTCAATGTTAGCTTCGATCTGCATATTTCCCGGTTGCGATACAATTCCCACGATATAGGTCACCTTATTTGAGCTCATATTTTCAATCATCGCCCCTCCATTGAGATATCCAATGTCCAAAATTGCACAAATTTTGGGCAACTTTGTAGAAAGACTTCGAAGCACTTCTTTCCCAGCCGAGACGAGGAGTGGATCCTCCAAGTCGATTTGTTTGAGAGGATTGCATGCACAGAACACCTCAGGAACTCCGACCTCTTCACAGGTAACTTTTGCCGGTATTTCCTTAAAGAAGTGATGCGCGTTGAATTTTCTGGGGATGTTGGTCTCGTTGGCTGTCCGAACTAATGCTGGGGGCTTGAGAGGGATAGTAAGGTTCGTATTTGATGAAAAAACTGATGAGGACTGTGGTCGGAAGTGATCCAATATGAAATTAATTGTCCAGTAGAATAAGAAAGGGGATGAAAGTCGTCTGAGAAAAACAAGCACGTTAGTAACTCGTGAATTTTAAATGTTACATGCAAATGATATATGGAATTACTTGGAATTGATTTCCATTGCGATTTGCCAGTCTGGATATTTTTCTCTCAACCTCGGCGGCAATCGAATCCAAAATGTGGGTAGCTTATCTTCATACCATCCAATGAGAGTTGACCTGAAGGGTCCGTACCGTTGCCCGTGGTCGCTCAAAAATAAGAGTATTGTGTTATCTAGCAATCCTTTTTGTTCAAGTCTGGTCAAAAAATCGGCATAGGTTGGGTCCTAAGTTAGTAATGTCATAAGTAATTACATTCAAAAGTAAGTTAACGTTGGGACAATTACCAGCAATTGTATCATATTATGGTCCATGCTGTGAGGATATACATCACTCCAACTCATGGCAAACAGGGGGGTCTGGCTCCTATTGCTCATTTCCAACAACGCTTCAGTGTAGTCGAGAAGTAGTTCATCGTTAGTTTGAGAACCGATACACCATCGTGTGGATAACTACATGGGATTGAATCATTCGCAATTTTTGTAATATTCAGGAAGTGTAAATGACATAAAGATCGCAGCGGTCATTAGACGAGTTTTAATTTCGTAATAGTCCGTACCCTAACGAACTGATTCACTGGGAACGGAAGTCCATAGTCGTGAGCAGCATTAAGCAACGTTCGAATATAATAATCTACAGGCTGGTGGATAAATCCAGCCGTCCCAAAGGCATACATATCCGGCCAATCTTCCGAATATGCAGTTAGATATCCAGCCTCGGTAAGTCGCTTCCAAATAAATGGGCATCGATCATAGCCTCCAACATCGTTTATTTTACACTGTAGGTCATCTTCAGCATAACCGGATAACATGGAGCACATGGCTTGACGAGTGTGTTCACCGGCTGATCTTAAAGTAAATAAAAAATGAATTTCCATTTTGTGCTTGTGCATTAGATCGATGGCAAGCTCAAAATAAATAAGAAATGCATACAAAATTTGCCGTCGTTGTAATGCATAAACTTAAATAATTTCAGCTAATCATGTACATATTCTGCATATGTACCTCGATCAACTCTAAACTCACCTTTTGTATATCCCTTCATTTCAACTGCACCCAGTCTCTCTAACGTTTCCACAGATTTGATCATATTTCTCCTCAAATTTAGCCGAGATGTGGTATCCAACCCGATGACGATAATATTTGGAGGAGGGGTGTCCACCTTATTTTCACGTCTCAGATCCTCTCGATATGTTTCCCATTGTTTGATTTTATTTGCGGTCACAGCAGATCGGCTGGGTTGCGCAATGGCGTGGTACCCTCGATACTTGATAAGATTTGGCAAAACCATTCCACTACTGGAACACTCCACCATAATGTACTCTGCTTTGTCCTGACCTGAAAAGTCTGTAGTTGTGTTTCGGATTTGGGTACATTCTGAATAGCTATTCATATTCATAATTGAAGTACATACATTCCTGAGTCAAAATGAGTACAAAATTTTAAATCCTACCTTATTAAATTTTCGGCATTGGAATCAAATTTATCGATTGACTGCTCCACTCGTGTTACAATTTTGTAACAACAATTTAACTCGTCGAAGCTAAATCCGTCCTCGCTCAAAGCAGTCATATTGAAGCTGAGTGCCTGCACAACAAAATTCACTAAAATATACTTCAAAAGTAGTGCCTCAACATATATTGGCTATGCATTTGATCTTCACAGTTCCATTCCGATATGTCCAATGGTAGGAGATTTTCCGACAGTCCTCCACCCATTCCGCCTTGTTCACGAAGGGGACCGCCATGGGATCATAAGGATGAAAATTTGGAATCTTGCAAACCGGTGTGTCCACCACAAGATCGTTGTAGATGGAATTGTCCACCGTTAAAAAGTCTATAGAATGAAAACCAAGTTAAAGATTCATTAAAATAGGGAACTGAATTTTTGTGCTGGATATGCATTACTATCTTTCCTCGTTTTTGGGCTATGATGTAAAAATGAGTCCAACTCTCTTTGAAATAACTTAACGTTCGTATCGTTTCTTAGCCAGAGGTAGCTAATGTAGGTGGAAAAAATGCAGAAAACTGTAATATAAAATAGAAACACTCGAGATCTTGCCATAACTTTTTCAGATTAATTTATCTGTGGTGATCGATCTCGGACAGTAATTCTATCTGCAAACGTGAAGCAATCGTGCAAGCCAGTCAAATTAAGTGTTAAGTTCCAAAATTACAAAATTACGCATATACTAACACAAATAATATATGCTTAATTGAATAAAAATAAAAATACATGGACGGAGCTAACTGGAAATAGACAGTTAAAATTTATCTGAGAACCATTAAATGTGGATGAAAAGAATGAAAGATGAAGTCAGTATTTGTTCTTATACTCGTGGGACGAAAAGCTATGTAGAGATGTTGGCCTCTTAATAAATGTTTCAATGGATGACTAATCACTTTATCTTATGTAAACAATGTTGCACGAGTAATTTTTGCATATATCTGTGCATATATGGATATGCATATATTCTTTGCATATATTTCATTTGCAATCATCGTGTAAATATTTGCTAAACTTATCACAACTGATTTGAACTGATAGGTAAGATCCATAAACATTCAGTTCTGATTTGAGAATGGAGTTTAATATGTATGTATGATCCAGTATGTCAATCTATATACATTCTGTTGAAACTATAAAAACATGTACTGGCCGATTACGTAATAAATGTTCTTACGAAAGTATGGGACAGGATAGGAAGAGTTCTTCACATTATCAATTATTTGGATGTATGCATATTCATATTTATTATTTCAAATCCAGAACTTGCAATTATTAAAAAATAACCTTAGGAATCAGGCCTCTACCTGTGCAATATTGATTGATATGGAATGGCAAATTGAACATTTGACGGTTTCTACAAGACGCAAAAAATTTTAGATTCTGCGGTTCTGCGAAAATAGTTTATCAAATGATATCTTAGATGCGCAGTACAATTATAATTATCAATCCAAATATAACAGTTTACAAACATTTATTTGAATATTTTTTGACACAAGAAGAGAACACATACATATGCACCAGGAATATGTATATTGATTAATACATAAATTATTACAAGTTGGACGATTGTTAAATCAAAACACTTAAACATTATCCAAGTTCTTGACCGTTTCATCTTGAACACCCGCATTCTCTTCATCAAAAACGTTGCCATCATCGCCTCTTTCATGACACTCTTGCACTTTCCCTTGGTTTTCCATCTCCTCCTCAATAATATCTTCTAAAACTGGACCAGCATAAGCCATCCCCTCCTGCGGTAGCTTCAGAGGTGTCAAAATAATTTTCCCTTTTGAATATCTCTGAGCCAGTGGCACCACGAATCCAAAAAGGGACGAGAGAATGAGAAACGAGGCCCCCACGAGAAAGGGAATCGTGTAATTTCCATACGCGTCGTACAAAGCACCAGCCAGAGGTGTCCCTATAACTGAGGCAATTCCTCGAAAGAATATTAAAAGTCCAAATGCGTTGGTCAACTTGTCCAATCCCAGAAGGTCGACCAAAATGATTGAAGTTAATGACACAAATCCTGAGAGGGCTAGTCCAAATATCACATAAACTGTTAAGATTAATCCATATGTGACACAAAATGGCAGGGCTCCAACACAAAATCCCATGATTAGGATACAAATATTGTTCAGTAGGAGTGAATTAATGTATGGAAGATCAGAAATGAGTCCAAAAAATACACGTCCAAAAGTGTTCATAATTCCGACAATGGAAATGAGGAAAGCGGCGTCTTGGGGAGAAACACCCTAAAAAACGTAATGTGTATATTTATGTACGTGTATTTATCCGGTTCAAACATAAGATTGGTTTTTTAAGTATTAGCTTCTACCTGTTTAATGGAATAATCAATTCCATACACGAATGGTAGATAAAATCCCAGCATTCCGACCACACCGCTACAAGCCAGTAATAGGAAGACAGGATTACATAATAGTGAAAGATCTACCATTTGAGATAAAATGTGTCCAAATGCTCCATCCGCTTTCTTTCGAAGGAGTGAGGAAATGCCTGGTTTTCGAGATTTAGTCACATCCGCAAATTTATTGTCCGACTCGTCCGACGCCAGATTTATAATACTTTGACGGTATGACAAAAAACTTGGGTTGGAGTGGAACTCGGGGAGATTGATGATTGATCCCTAAAATACCACGTAAAGTTTAAGCCAAAATTTAATTAAACAGATTTGACAATGTGATATTTACCGAGTAAAAGATATCCTTTCTACTCATTGGTCTAATTATAGCTGGGGTCGGAGTGAAAGTATTTGGCGCACGTCCCGTGATGTCAGAAAGCTCCCCGCGGCTCAGCAGATACCCGTATTCCTCTTCAGCTAGTACACAAATTAGACATGATTATTTAAACGTACAACACAGATGCACGTTTAAGGAAGCAATGGAGTTGAATTGAAAGCAATAAGGTTGCAATAACTTTAAAATTCCACCTTTTCTGGACATAGCAAACGAATTGACAGACAACTGGGTAGAACCATAGATTGATCCACTCGAAAATGGATGAGATGAAGAAGGGACAGCTCGAAGAAAACTCGGTCGCCGAATTCCATGTTGAAATTCGGATCCTCCGGTAGTGAAAGAATCAATTCTTGGAATAATGCTAGATTCGCTTCCTTCCGTTGTAAGTCTTGATCGGAAACGTTGTGCAGAGGAGTTTGGGCTACGTGGTCGATCCATCATCCCATCGTCGAGATTTTCATCATCCATAATCTCACCTATAGATCCATCTGACAGACCTGATAAATTTCTTCGTCGATGGGTTGGCGGTGGCGCTTGTTGGTTTACTGAGTGGGTTCGAAATTGTAAGCCAGTGTCGTCGTCGTCCTCATCATCGAATTCGTGCATCGCCCTGGGTGCTTTCTCAATGCTCAAACGATGCTTCCCTAATCGTGAGTGGAGTGGAATGGGTATTGGGCTTGGTGGGCGTGGACCAATATTGTTCAAATGCGACCTTGGAGTAGGAGTAACCACCAGTTCGTCCAAATTCATGCCGGACTGAACACCTAAAATTACATAGTTACCGTTCATGAGTATTGTGCGATACCATATAGGACAAAAGATAGTTTATCTATGTATTTACATACCAGGTTCCAAGTTTACGTTGCTGAATCGTGTCCTCGTAGCATAATCAGAATTGACACTCTGTCGGAGTTGACTCCTTTTGTCGTTGCTACTTAAATTCATGAGTAAAGGTCGCTTTGTCTCCTCTCTTTGAATGACTAGTGGTCTCATCAGCAATCCACATATCTGTGAATTTATTTGAAATTCTATCCAGAGCGACACGAGCAGAAATTTAAAAAAAAACATTGATATAATGCTAATAAATATTTACCACGCATAATCCAAGCAAAGCAGCATAAATTAAATACACCCCACGCCAACCGATCAAATGAATTAAAATGGACACAAGAGGTGCAAATGATGTTGCACCGAAACCAGAACCACACACGGCAATTCCTGCAATTCATGTACAGTGTGAAGATGGAATGTTAGATTACACACGAGTAGGCACACTTACCAGTAGCTCGAGCTCTCTTTGATTCGAAATAGTAACTGACGCAGACAATGGTGGGCAGAAACATGAGGCCGAATCCGAAACCTGTCGAATTTAATTTTAACTTATTTGACTATCTATGCACGTTGTTTTATAGATATTGTAAACTTTTTTACCTCCAAGAATTCCGTTGGCCATAATCAGAAAAACAATTGAGCCGGATAATGATGACAGCAGAAAAGCTAAAGATGCACTGATACACCCAGCCACGCACACCACCCGACATCCAAATTTGTTTGTTAATCCGGACACAATCGGACCTGTCAGACCATTTACAATTTACCACGTTATAGACGTTATGGATAACCAAATAATAGCTACGTATGCTATGCACCTTACCAACACATAAACTAATTCCACAAAGTAAGCTTCCAGCTAGGGCAACTTGACCATTCCCTGCTTCAAACGTTTCGGCAATATACGGCAACAACACCCCAGTCGTTGAAGTAACGCCATCCATGACAAGATTAAGGAAAAATGATGCACCGACAATCACCCAACCCCATCCGCCTAAATCAACACACCAAAACGTACAGAAAATAGTTTGTATTCCGAATAATGTTACACTCAAAAATGGGTACCGTCCGGAGGTGCAGGGACGCCGGTTTCCAAAATATCTTGAACAATCTCCCCCATCGTTGTTCCTCCAGGAATTTCGCCTTCATCATCGCCATCCTCCAAGTCGTTTCGATTACTCGTCGCATTATATCGAGCTTTGATATTTTCATTGTCAGGTCTTGAGGAATTATTGCAATCGCGTTGCGAGAAATTTTGAGATTGTTCATCCCCAATCCCAATCTAATTGCAATTTGATATTATAATAACACTGGTATTTTGTTTTACATTTTCGAAATGAAATGTTCGAAACCAAATACTGCTTACCGAATCCGTCTCCTCCTCGAATGAGCCCACCGTGAACGTCATTATTATTATTCTTACTACTTGCGATTATGGTGAGAAGAGGAAAGCTCATTATAATTTACCTGTGTACATATGTAGATTAATATGAACCAGACAATTGCGGAATAATATTTATTACTGCACCTCGTACTTTTTTATTTGCGATGTCAATGTGTGTTGACTCGGACTCCTCTCTGACGACTCACCTCATGGAGTCAAGCAAATATCGATCCAGAAAGTTTCCGGTAGCAAAATAAACCTGTTCGCCCAGTGAGACGCGCAGTAGCGTGGTGCGTGTTTTTGTTGTTTCAACTCTTCATGCACAGTTCTAAATCTTCCAACCCAAGTTGTTATTAATATCATGACAAACATGAGTAATCCGCGTGCACGGACATACATATACATATTACTATAAGGATAAGTACGTACTACATCTAGAGTCTAGAGTAATATGCACATGGTCTCTGTATGCTTTTTAGAATCTAATAAAATTAAACCCAAAATTTAGGATGCCATTTATCAAATGGAAATTATGAACGTTATGTTAGTGTATTACCCAAGATTATTTTATTCTGAATATTACATCAAATATTAAGCTAGTAAATAAGTACTTAATATTTATGAAATTTATCAGTATAATAAATCAACTTAATATAAACTCTATAATAAATCAGCAATGAACAAATTATTTATTTGTAGAAGAATTCATGGATTCTTTACAAATTATTTAACCTAATATGATATCGATCAATTCCTGTCCCTACGCTGTGATTGAATAAGCCACATTCTTTCTAAAACTTTTTTCTCTCGTTCTGACAACTCTTCCTCCTGCCGTTCTACATCAGTAATAAAAGTTGTTCTTCTGCTGTGAGGAAGTTCCCACCGAATCCCTTTGTCACGATCATCTATACGCACTCTACCTTGATTCCCTGCTGAATGGTTTTTGAATTAATGACTACAATAATGAACTTGGGACAATAATAAGGATTATTGATTATTACTTTCAGGTCTTCCGCTGATAGTTTGCAGTTGAGCTGGAGTTATCCATTCAACTTTTTTAGCAGTTCTTGACGAGTGGCTAATTTCATCTATTTCGACACGCCTAACAGGCCCTTCCGTTCCACGTTTGCTTCGTTCTTCTTCTTTCCGATGAGCCTTGTTGTAAGACAAATAAATAAATATTCACATAAATAGTCAGGTTCGTTTGAAAATACTGGCTTACAAATTATGAATTTAAACATTCAAGGTAGACCATGAGGGATTAAAATATAGTTAAAAATGTTAACCTCGCGTTCTTTCAGTTGGTGCTTCTTTGATGTACCAGCAATAGAAATTTTATTGGATTTAATTGCGCCTTCCTTCCTCGATTTCTTTATCTCTGACTCTAAAGCCTTTTTCTGGGCTTGAAGTTTTTTTCTTTGTGCTTCAATTTCTGATAATTTTCTTTCGTTTAGAAATCTATCGAGAGAACCCAGAGAAGATTTTTCTGCACTGAATTTATGCAGCACATTATCCCTTTCAGAGTCGCGTGCGACCTTGTTTTTCAGTCCATCCCCAGAACTGAATGGTCTTCTAGCAAACATGGGGCATTAGAAATTTTAACTTAAATATTCTTCAAATGTGGATATAGTTCAGAATTTTAAAATTACTCTAATTTAGATTGCAGCTGTACAGGTGGATCAAAACTTGGGTTGTGTAAATACAGTACAGATGGCCCACCGCTAATAGGCTGCTGATTCTGAATTTGTACCGGCGGAACTAAACATGATACGAGAAGATTTAATTAATATTATTAATATACTGAGGGTAACGATAACGTTTTTGACCTTTAATATCTTTGGCTCTATTAGAAATTCTGAATTGAAATTTTTAGAATTTGTTCACCTTATAGTCAGCATTATGGGTCTAAAATTTCAATTCGCTAGTGTAAATAGCACCAGAGATATATTGATACGAAAAAATGTTTCTGTTAAAAAGCGTTTCCAAAACTGATTTTTTTAAAATTTCAGAATATTTTTAAAACACTCTGGAATTGCGAATTATTCATAGAATTTGATCTGGGTGGTATGAAAATTTGTGGCATCTATGTGGCTTTCATCAGCAACTCATTAATCTCCCAAAATGTTTTTAACTCTTTCCAGACCAGGTGGATTTGTATAAAAAAGCGTGAGAAAAGTTTTTTTTGTGGTAAATGGAATTTTATAAATCTCAATAGTTGAAATATTTTCATGTTTATTATTTTTGCAGTTAGAGGAGACCTTACTGATGGTAATACAGACAGATTTTGGATTGCAAATATTTAATTTCGTGTTATGGAGTTAGTTGGAAAAAATTAGCGACATTTGGACACATTGGGGGCTGTTATAACTTTTGCTCTGAAACTCTACACAGTAATGTTTTTATCAAACTTTAAACTGTATTGTGTACTGCAGACATGGGGCCGCATAATTTGCTATTTTCTGATATTTTTAAGTTATCAACAACTGCCCCATGTGCTTCCATAGGGTAATTTATGTCTGGAACAAAAAAAACATCAGTGTTTTACTCTGGGGTTAGTGGAAGGTCTGCCATGTACACTAGCGAATTGAAATTTTGCACCCATAATGCTGACTATAAGGCGAACAAATTCTAAAAATTTCAATTCAAAATTTCTAATAGCGCCAAGGATATTAAAGGTCAAAAACGTTATCAGGGGGACGCCCCACCCTTAGTATGCGTTAAGGATAAAGCACAATTTTAAATTAATTTTTTACGCGAGATTGGAACAGCATTTTTGGCACAGGGATTTGGCACAAAACGTTCCTCTTCAGGAGGTGGTGTCGAAATATGATAACGAATTATTGATGCTAACGTGCGTGGGGGACGTTTTGGCCGTCTGTCAGCTGAACCGTGCCTGGATTTTGTCTGGATTTTGTGGTTTGAAGTTCCATCGGCTTGCCTGATTGATTTTTCCAGATTCAAATCTTTCTTGCCTTTTTCTAATCCCTTTCTGTTTCTTTTAGGTGAAATAGACCGCCGTCTCCTAATTGGACTTTTTGAATTTGTTCGTCTTCTTGCCTTCTTATGACGATCGGACCTTTCCGAACTATTACTGCGGCTTCGCGATCGTCTTTTCTTACGGATTGAAAATAGTTCAAGCTCTTTCGGTTTTTTAGGCGATTTAGATCTCGATTTGGGTCGTTTTTTTGATAATTTTGGCGAGGGTGTCCTTAATTGTAGTCTTAGGTCACGATTACGTCTATTTTCTTGCTGTTGTCTCTCAAAATCTTTCGTTATCACTGGATTTTCGTCTCTCAAATCGATTGAGAGCGTTCCACCAGCAGTTCGATAATTTGACTGCGTTATTTTCGTGCTGGAATGAGTTAAAGCTTTCTTATCTTTAGAGGAGTGCCGTCGATGTTGTCTTTGCTCAGGATGGGTTGAACTTGATTTAGACTGTTTTGATTTGTGAAGAAGATTGAGAGAACTAGGCATTTTAGGGAGTGGGCCGAAATTAAGCGAGGCATCAGTACCAGATTTTGATGAGCTGATATTATTTGGGGTGAAGTCTTGAGAGACAACTTGTACCCTTTTTGCATTAAACTTGAAAGGCATTCCAGACACGGGAAACGCTTCAACAACCACTTTATCTCCAAGGCTCGGTCTGTCACCAGTTACCGTACTATTTAAAGTATTTAAAAAACCCAACGTTCAATTATTACATACAAATCTGTAATAACTTGAAAAATATAACACGATGAAATCGTTAACTAAACCTTACTTGAATAAGAAGAACACATCACCACTTATCATTCCGAAAGTGTCCTGAACTTGTGTGACCACTCCTGTGATTAATTCTGTTGTAGGAGCCGTTGAAGAGGGTCCAGCAAACGCTAAATTTCCACCCATACCAGCAGGGATAAGGAGCTGAATCGGGGCAGAAGGTTGTGGAAACTTGGCTTCCAGCTTTTGCGCCACGAGCTCTGCTGCCATTTCAAAAATGGACGAAAAGTTTGCCGATCCGATGGGATTGGAACGCTGCTGATTAACAATCCATCATGACAAAGTCACCTCAATCAGCTAACGTTAATGCATATAATACTGCTGAATAAAATAGCGAACCTGCTGTGGTAAAGAGATAGCTGATGAAATGTCTATATTATTGTCAGTGTAATTAAATCCTCGCCTAATAAAATCGACTCGGTCATTGACAGTCGTCCATTCGGGAAACTGGGACGTTTTTCTGTCCCCGCTGTTCATAATATTGTACTCATCTCTGCCCATCATGTCACGAACTTGAAGATTGTGATTATTTTCACCATAAGATGATGCTGAACCAGCAGGTGCGTCTCCTAAGAGGTCAAATCGATTGTTGTTGTAGTTGTCCTCACCCTGTCTATGTTCCCCACCAGCAGGTCGATACGATTGACGACGAGGACCTGCTTGAAACTCAAAGGAAAGTCGAGCACTGCGTTCAAATTCTGTACTAATAAAATCACTTGTTATTTGTAAAATCAAAATTATTTATTTATAATACGAATTCAAAACTTGATGCAACAACTTGCCATAATTTGAATCCATCCTGACTGAACCCAATTATAACGTGCAATCAATTGTAAATATTTGTAAACAGTATTTTGCCAATCGTCAATTTCCGTATCCCGACGAATCGCAGGATTTGCTAAGTAAGTAATTGTAGTTAGTACAACAACATTCTGTCTTCAGTTACGTTATATTATTTATTCTTTAATAATTTTACAACAGCTAACAGTTGTGGCGTGTGAAAGTCGCAAGAGTGAAGAGTTGGCCTCAAAACAACAACATTTGAACATTTGATGGAGTTAGTGGAGTAATTTGATGGAAAGGGGTAGTATGAAAGTTGGTTCTGCACTTCATTGCCACGTTTTTCGCTTTCTTCAAGAATCTCATACTTTCTTTCTACAGCAAAAACTATGCCATGGATGTGCATCGAAAATTTGAATCGAAACAATTTTATAGCAATCTCATTACGTTATTCACAAGATGTAAATTACAACCATTTAGTACTTAAACTAGGCCACGTTTATCAATGGAAAGTAATATGAAAATACTAGAATTTATTTATATATAGAGGAAAAACTACAAATATGTCAAAAATTTGTAATGTTCAATCATCCGAGGCGATTTTCATTTCAGGCCAGGGAGGTGGGAGCAATGGTACAGCTATTGTAGACTCGCCAATCCTCGTGAATGGCAATGGCTCGTACCCCCATAAGTTCATGGCTTCTTGACATTGCGTCTCAATGTTTTGAAGAACATGGGAATCATTATTATCTTGCAAATAGTGGTCAATCCAATGAAAAGGCATTGTTTTGGAGTCACGAAAAGTTGAAAAGTCATTTCCAACTCTTGTGACCGTGTGCGATGCTATGAAATTTTGAATATCAGGATGGTAGTCCAGTCGGAAAAATCTCAAGATGCTCTTTATCTCAGGCTCAACATTCATCATGAGATCTTCATACCGAATAAATCTACAAACATAATTAATTATATATATATCTGAAACTGAAAATTTCACTCTCAAATAAGAAAATATCTTTGATGACACACTTTATTTGACCTGGGTACTTGTCACGCAGCTTGGCCCCCGCCTTGAAGTCGGCGACCATATCGGCGCAGACCCTGGATGTGTCGAAACAGTCAGGGCTTTTTTGACACCACGTTAGGTTTCGTCGAGATAGGAGACTGCCTCTTGGGTCTCTGACCAGGAAGAGGACTCGCAGATTCAAGGCGTCATCGCTCAATAAGGATTCTGCGAGTGAGAGCCGAAATCTTACAGCTTTCATTAGTTGGATGGAAACGCTGTTACAAGTTTTTGATAGAAATTCCCAATCGGCACATAAATGTCTTTGACGCTCGCAATGGACCCAAACCTTTGGATTATGATTATGAGGATACACGTGTTCCACTCCAAATTCAATGTACTCTTCTGTATAATAATTTAGGATTAAAACAAGTTTTCCAAGAATCGCTTTCATCACTCTGTTTACGTAAACTGGAGTAGTCACACTTCATCAGGTTCTTTACGAGTTGTGTCGCTTCTTGTGCAAATGGCTCTCCTGAACGCGCCTGCATAATGACATTTCAATTAAATGCATATTATCCGAAAATACATAGATCGTAGAACAATTTAATACGCGTGTATGCACCTGTACAATTCTAAACTGGTTCAATGGTTCAAAATGATAATATGTTTCTGGATGACTAGCAACAGCTTCACCCACGAAAGTAGAACCTGATCTCCAAGTTGAAATAATCATGTTTTGAAGCGTTGCACTGTCCATTAAGACCATCAGAAAATTAAATAAAAATTCATTTTTCCGCTAAATAGAGCATAAGAGTGTATAACTAGTACATGTCGCATTGATTGAATTAAAAAACATAAATGCTCACGATTTATCAGTTTTCAAAATGGGATGTTTTGCACCCCAACTATCATCATCCCTGGAATTAAAATTGTGCCTAGAGTTATGAAACCCTCAGCGTAATATGGACAGCATTGTTTAACCCGAGTCAGATTATCAATCAACTCGTTTATATATTTCGTGTCATTGCATATTTTCATATCCAATTACATTTTTAACACTGTCACAATTTGGTAATAGTAACACTTTATTCTTATTTTGGTACTAAATATTGCCATTATCTCGAATATCAATTTTCTACGAGCATTTCAAATATTTTTATCAAACCTGACCCCTGTGACGCCTTCGGTCAAGCACTGACTTAGGATTAGTGACTTGACTACCAAGTGTAGTCGTTTTACGCGAGTTGGTTTACCAGAAACAGGACAGACGCCCAAGGCCTGACTCGGGTTAAAAATTGCTAAATAAATGTATGATATGATATGTACTACAAGTAAACACAGGTCAATAATTAGTTACAGATAATTTATGTCCTTCTTGTCCCCTGTCTCTTCAATGCGACTGTTGATCCCTTCCTGGAAATTTTTCTCATACGTTGAGAAATTTATGATTATGACGTAGAGACTCATGACAAGTGTCGCAACTGTTAGAATTCGCTTCACTTCACAAAGTTTCCTATTAACAATTCTCATTTTTGAAACAGGTATTAATCCGTAATTAATTGACCTGAATTATTTACGTACATATGTCCGCCTAAGTATATACGACAATGACAATACGTACATACATACTGTTGTACTTGTGTATTGGTTTTTTAATTTATACCGATACCGATATTGTGATAGTATATCAGGATTGCAAGTGCTTTGTGATCTTATCTAACTTGACCATGATGTCAATTATTCCCAATGTCAATAAATCATAGATCATGTAGATACACATATTACTTATATAAGGGAAATTGTAATTTGTGGTTTTAACATATGAAAATATGAGGATGAGAAGGCTGAAGGGTATCATGTCAATGTCGGAGAAAGCATGCAAGTTTATATAGCCTTCTCGCACAACTAACTCGTAGAACTCGCAGAACTAACTCGCAAATCGGATTCATTTCAGGAAGGAAAACGTGAATTCAGCTTCGGATGAGACACAGACTTGGCAACATTCTTATTTATTTGAACTTTGTCAAAGATCTTGACTCATTTTCCTAGTCAAACATTTGTTACAAATTATTACAAATTATAATATATGATGGGAGGGATGCCATGAACTAGAAGAAAAGCTGCTGAAGACAACAGCATGGAAATGGAAAGGTACTTTAGTCTATGCCTAAGACTATTTGATCATGAAATTAGAATACCTTAGAGTCTAATGTATACTAATAATATTAGTCTAATATGCATGATCAAATGGTAAAGAAATGGTATAATTAAATTGTTGAATGTCATATTATCTGGATTTTCGAATTCTAGATTGTTTATGGTTATTCACCCGCTTATCACTGGTAAATAAACCATGCATTCAAGGACTAATATGGACCTTATATACTAAAGGACAATTTCGCAATGACATCTTCTCGGTTTACCGTCATTTTTTCTAAATATATTATTACTACTACGCGTACGCCACGGACGAACCACTTTCGCTTCAAATGGGGACAGCCTCAGCAGTGTCACTTCCTAAGTACTGGAGATAATCTTTGGGCAAGACATATTTAACTTGTCCGTGGTCCAATTACTACTTGGTTGAGCACATTATTGCTGACAATATTGTGTGTATCATTTTGTCCATCAGAACAGAAGAACGTCGTCGGAAACTGTTGGACTTGGACAATGGTCTCAAAAAAGTAAACCGAGACAACGAAGGGGCGTTGGCAGGAATGTCTCCGAAGAAAACAATCGACTCACGGAGGTTATTACAATTTACGAAAAGTTGACAAAATCTCGTGACCGTGAGGAGGAAGTCAGAAGTGGCGATGATGAAAATTCAAGCGAAGACGTGTTTCGACCATCTTCCAGTTACTTTGATTACTTGGGTAAAGCCGAGGATGAGGAATCTGGGGGAGCAGGAGGGGGCATTAATTCTATTCTTCAAAGAATACGGTCTTCCCCCATTGCTGAACCAGGTTAGTGAAGAATACAAAAAAAACTTAAAGGGCAGTTTGACTTCTTGTTGTATAATACAATTAAATACAGTTTAAATGTTTTAGGAAAATTTGCACCAAGCTCAAACAATAGCGAAAGCCAGAGTCCGAAAGTTTTAGACTTTTCCAAGTTTCGCAATATTTTAGGAAAAAATTATGCTTATTTTTCTGCAAAAACAGGACTTTTACAAAGCCATACTTTAGAATCTTTGGTTTGGGATGGATCCTTAGCAGGGGAACAAGGGGTCAGTGCATATAATAATTATTTGCAGATAAAAGAATAAGCCAATTTAGTGCAATAATGAATGGTTTTATTTTATATAGACAAATAATACAGCCACTACGATCCCCCTCAAGTCACACGATCTTATTCTAAACACAAAGCAATTTTGCTTGAGCATTATAAATCCGACCGCAAAAGACTTGGCCTTTCTAGGTAGTCAACTTCATGTCCATGACCTCACACTTCGAGATATCCGCAAGGAAAATACCGAAGAAAAGGTTGAAGTATTTAAGCATTACACATTCCTTTCCCTAAGACCATACTTGGATAGCAAATCAGAGGTACGTATACAACATAATATTATGTAATATCTCAGTGATCATAGATAAAATTGAAGGGTTATATAGAGTAGCACGCCTACAGATTTCACTCAGTCGACAATCGACAAGAACATGCAACCTCTTCTTACTCGAAGCAGGGATATCGACTTGAACATTCTACTATTTCCCGATTTTGTTATAATTGTCCACCAAGGTCATCATTGGAGTGGGTTTAAGGACATGTTGGGTTTTCTCAATTTGCTTTGTTCGTATGGGAACTCGTCTCTCACTCCAGGTAGTCCAACAACTAATAACCTATAAAGATTGGGGACAAAAGTAAAAAACCTGTCATTTTAGATTGGATTCTTTTTTCAATTTTTATTGAGCTAAATCAAGATGCTAAATATTGTGTAAAGTCACTTGAACCTAAAATTCTCAACTTAAAAGTTGCCGATTCTATCATGGAAAATGGGGGTGAAAATCTCGACAAGGATGCCCTTGCGACTGAGTTATCCAACGTCCTAACTAAAAACTTTGAGAATGAATTTGAAATCTATAAAATTAACGGATTCATAAAACCCAAAATCAAGGTTCTGAAATTGCTTCGTCCCAAATGTGGAAATCGAATAGGATCTGGGGTTCTAAACCTGCTGTCTGGGACTAGAAAAGAGTTTGAAGAGCTTGGGGAGGCTTTGGGTAAGCCAACCGGCCTTAAACTGCACAATTGTAGTAATTGAGGGATTTTTATGACTTGTCATGAATTGGTTTATGCAGACCACTTTTCTCATATCCTGGAAAGATCACAAGACACTTGTCTAACTATGGCGAATGTACGTCAAAGTCAAGAATCTAATCAGATGGGGAAAGCAATGAAAAGAATCTCTGAGGTCGCCCTTCTTTTCCTTCCACTGCAGGCGCTGGCAGGATTTTTGGGGATGAATGTGCGTGTCCCCTTCCAGCAAGTAGACTCGACTGCCCCTTTCTGGGGGATTATCCTGAGCTGCAGCGTTTTACTCGTGGGATTGTACCGAGTAAGCAAATCTGCATCAAAAGTCCGAGTGGTTAAGAAGGCAACCTCAGTAGGATTTAAAAAGTAAGAGTCAGCAAGGGAAGTGATAAGTCAACTTAATTAAGCTAAACTTTTTAAAATCTAACGTAAGTAAACCTATTCTACACAAGCCCGTTCGTTTTTCATTTTTCTGATCACCAACCGCATTATTTACAACTTTTATGCTGCCTCAAAATGTTAATAAAGGTATTTCGTATAAGAAATCATACATATTAACTTAAATAAATCGATAATGTTCATAGATATGTATAATTTTAAATTAAGCAGTTACAACTCCATATATTTCCAGTCATTAGTAGGTACTTATTTCATCCAACTTCAAAAACCACGTATACAAGCTTAAAACCTAAAGTACAGATTTTTATAAAGTTCAACCAAATTTTTCAGACCAATCAGACCAAATCTGTATATGAAAAGTTGCATTTTATTTTTATAAAAATGAGATTATCATTCTGCATCACTATCAACTATCAAATGCAAAGTCATAAAATATTCAAAATAAGTAACCTAATAAAGTAAAAATATCACAAGCCATATAAATAAATTTATAAGTGACAGGTAATATCGACTTAAAAATAATTATAGTATGTATAGTATTTATTGATATACGGCCTGCAGCCCTCATCATGTCAAAAATAATTATAGAGTTGCAGGTTAAGAATAATTTTATTTGAATTTACTAAATTATCTACACATACATATGTACAGATTTATGTACAAATTTGAAAACAAAACATGTGGGATAAAAGCATGATAATACTATTAATGATGTAAGACATCATACTAGCGTAACTTGTACATATTTATTAATCAGTTATTCGTAAATATTGGTGCTTCCGAATGCACATTTTTTGGGCCAATGAGCTAAATACAAAATTGAAAAGCTTTTTATTATTTGTCCTTTGAGTTTTCTAGTTTGAAAAGTGTATTACCTTGTACTGTTTATCCCTGTAATCATCCCAGGGATGAGAATGGGAATGGTCAACAATGACTTCAGGGTTCTTGAATAGCGTTCTAAGCCCCATAAAAACACCCACCGTCACCGCTGTCCCGATTAAACCATACAGTGGAAAGATCTGTAAAAGATGCGTACCATTACCATATGCGTACTCATATGCAGTATCAATAATTTGATACAATGGACCTATTCTTGCCCAATTACTTACCGAGTAATACTTTCGCAAGGATTTAATCGAGTGTCCACTGAATCCTTGAAATCCCATATTATTATTTCGTACGTCAGGATTCCCATGTATTGCCATTGTAGATATGATTGAAGATGATTTCCAAGTTATTTATGGCTTATTAGATATGTCGTTGTGTGTGTGTACTGCAAGAATACCACAATTTCACTATGAATGAAGAATGCTTATCTTACGAATGTCCAGAGAAAAGTGCTTGGTAAAACACCCAAAATCGGGCTATTTATTCGTATCATTTTGCCTGTGTATGGTGAACATGTCACGTATGCAGTCGCGAAACCGTGAGCTAGAGCACAACGTTGTGGCTAGAGCCGAGCCGACCAAAATATTTACTTGCAGAAAACCTGCGTCAGTCACTACCATAAGATCTATGGTCACTATAATAGTTGATGGTACGAAAATATATACTTCTGCCTTGTATGCTTGTAAGTGATAATATTACGTCATAGTCAGGGTAAAAAAAACCAGTTTAGGAGACAGTGAATGAATATGAAAAATGTAATATTGCAATATTTGTATGTAATTTATATGTAATCCACATATAATATCCACATATATATATCCACATTAATATCATAATCTAAGGTAATCCAGGAAAACGTGAATTTTCACATTCCAGGTATAATTTAAAATCACAAAAGTGTAATAGTACTTTCATTTATTAATACAATTGTGAGAAACGCTACAAAGATATGACACAAAGACAGAAAATGATAGTGTGAAGTAAGTTGTATATATATAAGTAGTAAATTAAAAAGAAGGGGTTTTATTTTTTGCCCTTCTTTCCACCTGCAGCACCCCCACCCTTCCCCTTCGTAGACTCCACCCCCAACAGTTCGATGTCAAACACAAGGGTCGCGTTCTTAGGAATTAATCCTGCTTTTCCGGCGCCACCATACGCCAACTCTGGTGGGCAGGTCACTCGGGCCCTTTGCCCTACACTCATCTGTCAAAAATATAAAGATTTGTAACGGGATTTCATACCAAAGGAGTGAGCATATACATATAAATTATTACCTGTGTGATGGCCTCCTCCCATCCTTTGATAACTTGACCTCCACCAACTTTGAACTTTAGGGGTTCGTTACGGTCACGAGACGAGTCAAACTTCTTCCCGTCAGTCAGGGTTCCCGTGTAGTGAACAGATACCGTCTGACCTGCCTCTGGGAATGTAGCTCCTGGTTTGATTTTAAATTAAAATAATAATTGTGAAATAAGAAATTATATAATTTGTGACTTAATGAACAATCAACTCACCATCTCCTGATTTTAAATTTTCAAATTTGATACCCATTTTATATTATCTATATCTGTATGATTTGCACAGACAAAATGAATTGTACGAATAATTAGTAAAGTTTCTTGATTTAAATTTGAAGCTGAACACCGACTGGGTGGAAATTGGAATACTTCATATGCTTCACAGACATTCGCATACTACACAAACCAAAATAAAACATGTTTATTATGAGCCTTGGTGAGCCGCCAATCACACAACAAAAACAATCTCCACCACGTGCCAAGAAACAAATTTTGAAAAACTTGTTCAATAAGGGTCAAATTGCCGGAATTAGAGTGCTAGGCAGGAGAAGGAAACAAGAAGGCTATTACAATAGGTACTGAATGATAAGGTGAGAATTGATATAAATTATAAAGAGTGTGAATAAATCAGAATTTTTACTTTTTAGACAAATGGACAATCAACAGAGGCTGGATTCTCAGAACGGTGACAATTTGTCCGAACGGATTTGCTCAGTCAAAATTAAAGACGACGGAGGGGAGGAAGAGCATAGCAATCCTGCTGCTGATGAGGACGCCCCTTCCAAACCGTCCCGAACTAGATCCAGGTCAAGGAGTAAACTTCGTGCCGGTTATGAAGAGGCGAATGATCTTTTCGACGACGGGAAATATTCGCAAGCTTATAAAAAGTTTGCAATTGTATTTGACGGGCGAAAATCGAGCCTGGGTCCTGACCATGTCGATACTTTGGAAGCCAGAAACAAAATGGCATTAGCATTAGGTAATTTATTGATAACTGTGTAAATCTAAAAAGTAGTTATTTTGATTTGGACTCTGACCTTTTGACTATAGATGCGGACGAAAAATATGTGGAGGCGTTCAAAATGTACAGTGAAGTTTATCTAGGAAGGAAGAAGGTGTTGGGCGAAGGTGGGTGGAGGAATAGTGCAAGCAGAATTTATCAATTCGATTATTGATGACTGACTGGTTAAATTTAAATTTTATAGATGATCCCGATACAATTCAAACGCAACACGACATGGCTGCCGTTAGAGCAAATCAGCAAAAGTATGACTTGGCTGTGAAACTTTTTGAAGAAGTGTATGCCAAGAGAAGGGCAGTGCTTGGGAAGAACCATCCAGTGAGATTGCATTGTATATTATATAATATATAGCATTTCACTAAAGCTAAAGTTATTATTCTAATTGTCTTTAAAGAATACTCTCATGACGCGCCATGAGTTGGCATCGGCTCTGGATGACCATGGGAAGAGGAAGGAAGCTGGCAAGATTTACAAGAAGGTGTACAAATCTAGACAAGAAGTGCTTGGAGAGGAAGCAGCCGAAACGTTAGATACTGGACATGAGCTTGCTAGTAACGAAAATATGACTACCAATTAGAATTAGTACTCCTAAACAATAGCTATTTCTTGCATATTCTGTAATAATATTTAATATATTATATTATTAGGCAACTTGGAAGATATGGATAAGCATGACGAAGCTTTGCAACTTTACGAAAAGGTTTGGCAAGGACGGACGCGAACTTTGGGGGAAGAAGACCCAAACACTTTGGAAACAAGGCATGAGATGGCTGGAGTATTGCACTCTATGGAGAAATATGACGAATCCCTTAAAGTTTATGAAGAAGTTGTAGCTCTACGGGTGAAAGTATTGGGTGAGGATGACTGTGACACGTTGGAATCACAACATGAAATGGGAATGGTGCTGGCGGAATATGGCAAGCCACAGGAAGCATTGGAAATTTTGGAGAAAGTTTACCAACAGAGACGAGAAGCTTCTGGGGCACATAATGACGAGACTTTAGAAACTGTGAGTTTAATTAAACTATTAATACCGACAAGGGATAAACATTAACGATCCAGTTTTACTGTTTTTGTTTGTACTTCTTCGCAGGGCCACGAGCTTGGTTGTGTGATGAAGACATTAGGCAAGTTCAAAGAAGGGCTCCAAATGTTAAAGAAAATTCATTCCGGAAGGCGACAAGAGCTCGGAGACGACGATCCCGATACATTAGATACTGCGTTTGAAATCGGGGATATGCACCTATTAGAGAAGAGATATGGAGAAGCTGTCAAAATATTGCAAGATGTCTACAAAGCAAGGAAACGAGTCCTGGGAAAGGATGACGTGGAGACGTTGGACTGGTAAACTTGCTGGAAATCAATTGGGGAAAGTGTCTATAATTATATAATATGAATTTTTGTAATTTAGCGGCCATAAATTGGGAATGGCCTTGAGCGGTCAAGGAAAAAGTAAGGATGCGACCAAAATCTTTACAGAAGTGTACGAGCTAAGAAAAAGTACTTTGGGTGAAGATAACAAGGATACTTTGGAAACTTTAGCCATGATGGGAGGCAACAAACAGGCCAGGAAACAAAGTTCTTAATAATTTGATTATAGTAATTATTCAATTAAATAATGACCGTAATTGTTGAACCTATTTTTCATGGAAAATAAAATTATTGTTCGTAATATTAAACGATTTATACGAGCAAATATTTATTGAGGCACAAATTGCTTAGTTTACAACTAATTACTTCATTCTAATTTATTTGTCGTCATTACAAAATTATAGTTACAATAATTTGTCATTGTGCATACAAATAAGCAATACGTAATAATAAATAATAAATCAGAATCCTCCCTTCATGTATATACATAGTTTAGAAATTGATTTGAAGAAAAACAATAGCATAAGTCGAGATAAGACTGAATGCTGCCAATAAGGTGCCTCGGGTAATCGGGAAAAAGTCCCAAGCTGTAAAAGTGATAGGATTAGACGAGTAAACGCTCAAATGAGCCAAAACTGGATTTTGACATTTTGTTCCCAGTCGGGAGGAAATCATTGCTTTTGCCAACGCCACATTCACTTCCTGTCCTTTACTGTACACACTTCCCAGGGAAACAACAAAGAGGACGAGCCGAACTAGGATGGCTATCCCATTGCCAAAAAAGGTCACCACGACCTGGAAATTTTCAAGTTTGTGGGCATATCGAAGAGGTAGAAAAATTAGAACACACGCCAAGACGACAAGTTGTGCCACGTCCACAAGCAGCAATGGGCCAAGGACAGAGTTGATCTTAGACTGGAGGCGACCCACTGTTTGCAATTTCCTTACAACGAACAAAAGATAGTCCTCCTTGTGAATCTTGACCTTCTGTTCAGTGTCGCCTGAATTGAAGGGATCCTGATTACCCGTTACTTCATTCGGACCCTCCCCTACAGCAGGGACGGTAGACGCCGGACTTTTCGATAGGATGGAATGAATTGCCGTACGCATAAATTCCTGATGATTCTTGACCGCTACATTATCCATCGTTTCAATATAGTCATTCTGTCGACGTGACAAAGAACCACCTTCATTTAACCGTACATATGTATTAAGGATAATTTGGTATCTATTACCTGCTGGTGCTCGCTCTTGTCCATTATTGCATTAAAAGTGAATTCCAATCCCATCAACATCGTGCCAATTGTTTGAACGATTACCGTTGAAAAGAGACAACAAATCCCTTCCATCGTGGCTAGTCCAACCCACAGCCAGGCAATGATGGTCACTTGAAATAGAATGTAGGCCACATGTTGCCACTCATTGTACGTCTTCATATAGTAGAATGGGTACACTGGAGCCAGTGGCAGGCAAGCGGCATGATAGCCACACAGCACGATTGACACGATTGACATTGCAGCATAAATGACTTCGAATCGGACAACATGTTTCTTGGTCATAATGGGACAGAAAAGCCTCTCCAGGTCTCGTTCAATGGAACACCACTCTTCAAACAGGAGGACAACTGCTTTCCCCCGTACCATCATGAAGATCGAGGCGAGATACGGAGTCAATGCCGATATGAACCAAATACTTTGAGCCGCGAGCTGAAGAAATGTGTAATGTGGGATACAAATAATGAATGAAACGACCTGAAACGTCATGTAACAAGTGGTCACGAGGAAAACGAGAAAGCTCCACATGAACCAAAGCCCCATTTTGTACTCCAGATAAATAGTGTCCCCCAAGGTTATGAAGGAGAAGGGGAATACGCCAAATGCTCTACAAAATTGACCAAATGGGCGGACAACGGCCAGAATTTGGTTCACTGGTGCGGAGGAGGCGAATGGTAACTTGTTGGAGTAGATTTTATTGGAGGCGGAGGTGGGCAGATCTCCTCCACAAAGAAATGAAATTAACCCCATTTTGAGGGCAGCAAAGATTTCGAGGAAAGTCAGAATGTAGGTATGTGGTCACTCTTTATTAACCAAAGAGCAAGTGACAGATCAAAGCGCCTGACCTGTTCTGATACGCAAGCTATTGTTTGGAGAAGAAATAGAACAAACCGAATGTCAACCCAGAGAGGACAGTCGAGGAACTTCGATGTCTGTGTAGATATGTCATATGTGCCTTCGTATAATTGATGGCAGTGAAGTCTGGAATAAAATGGTTGCCTCATCAAAGTCTTGCATGTCTGTATTCCCCATCTATTAGAAGAAAATATCGCCTGTCGGGAGTAATTATTTATGTTGTTTGTCCAACAAGTGGACTACAGTAGCAGCCAATTTCTCCACGAAATGATGACATATCGCGAATATTTCTCCACATTACTTTGAGTAATTGGAAATGAAGAGAGAGAAACGGACAGTTTGAGAGAGATATGTATTTAGCTATTTATTCTCAACCATGTTCGTGACATGCAGAAAGAATGCGAGCGAAGTGTACGATTACTCATTTAAATATATCGACAATGTCCATAAAAACTCATTTCCTTTCTGGAAATGAAGTGAAGAATATATACGTATCGATTGGCTACTTGATTGGGTGCACCCAATTTAGATAGAAAATATACAGCCATGCAATTAAAAATACAACAATGCCACCCATTAACATATGTACATACTTAAATAATTGTTTGGTGAAAGTCGAACAACGAACAAGTTTGTTACAGATCTCCTAAAAATGCATGTATGATGTAGGTATTACAGTACTAATAATAATTTATCCTTGTTGCTTCTCTTCTCGCCGTATAGATATGGCCACATGTAGAGGAATGCTTATAATCATATAGAGACTTTGTAATGGCAATATTCTCCACTTTTCTCGCAAAAATTCTCCAAATGTCAACAACTCGGCGAATCGGTATTATCCAAACCTATACCATCTTAAAATTTCATGTTCCTACGACGATTTAAAATTTGGCTTTTATTTACCCCAATACTTAGGATTAGGTGACCCCCATCGGTCAATCATTCTACTGATCATGCCCACCTTTTAACTCATCAAATGCCTTTTCGAGATATATTTACATTTTAAGATTAGTTGTCCAAATCGGTTCAATAGCGTGTCACGGACATGATGATTCCATGTACTCGGCAAAAATACTCAAGTTCGGTCCCATCCCATCCCATCGTGCTTAATTTGTCATTATTGTTGTTGAATGATAATCTCAAAATATAGATAGTGCTTGTTGTCTGTACATTGTTTTGATTGAATGATATGTCAAAGTAAGTTCTTTTATTGACCAGCAAACTATACGACAAGCCTGTAACTTGATTTCTCTCTAAACTGCACTCTCATGTGTGATTGTAATTAAAATCACAAATGACAATTTATCGGTGATTGTCACATATGAACATGTTAATCTGTTATCATCATTTCCATTATAAAAGTTTAATGATGAATTATTTAAAAATAAAACATGTCTCTTAACGCATATGCACCATTCCAGTTTGACAAAAGAAGTCGTGACCAACTTACAAAATGAAGCCTCATCTTGTGACCATTGCAAGTCTTGTTTTCCTGGCTCCCTTTTTGGTCAGCGGCCAATATGACCCCAACTGGGAGAGCATCGACAGCCGACCATTGCCCCAATGGTTTGACGATGGCAAGGTCGGCATTTTCATCCACTGGGGCCTGTACAGCGTCCCGTCGTACATTAACGAATGGTTCTGGTGGAGTTGGCTTGGCGATAACTCGGAAGCACATGATAACTACATGAAGCAAAATTTTAAACCTGGATTTGCTTACGAGGTCAAAAAATAAAAGTTACAAGGACGTAAGGCATTTAAAAATCTACAGTAAATATTGCATGCTACATGCGTTTTGTAGGAGTTCGGACCCATGTTTACAGCGGAGTTTTATGATCCAGTCCAGTGGGCTGACCTATTTCAAAAGTCTGGAGCAAAGTACTGACAAAATGGTTGTATAATTACTTATAATTTGCTATGCACTTAAATCCATTCCTATTAATAGCTACGTAGTACTGACGTCGAAGCATCACGAAGGATTTGCAATGTGGCCCTCGTCTTATGGATTTGCTTGGAATGCAATGTCCGTTGGGCCAAAAAGGGATCTTTTGGGTTAGACTTCCTATTTTGAATCAAATTAAGCTACACGATAATGTTCAACATTCATATTTTAGGGGAGTTGGAAGTCGCAGTCAAGAATACAGGCATACACTTTGGAATCTATTATTCCCTTCTGGAGTGGTTCCATCCATTGTATGATCAGGATAAAGGTAATTTTACGACATTAAACATTGTGAGCATTTCTCTTGTACCAGAACTAATAAAATAAACCGAAAGCAAACAATTGGAACACCAGTCAACTACCTCAGATGAAATCCATACCTGCATTAAAAGAAGTGGTCAGTACTATTTATTTCATGATTATTTTACGTTCAATACATACATACATATGTATGTATGTATATATAGTGACTGAGCTATGGCCTACCGGGTAATAATTAATTACTAGGCAATTAAACTCTTATTAAACTCCCTGCAGATAACAAAATACAAGCCTGACGTCATATGGAGTGATGGCGAGTGGGAGGCTCCCGACACATATTGGGATTCTGTCGGTTTTCTGGCCTGGCTTTATAACGAATCTCCAGTAAAAGACAGTGTCGTCGTGAATGATCGCTGGGGTAAGTTAGCAATTATTCATAATTGACCTTATTGTCAATCCATCAAGCGAGGAAAACAGGATTATGTGCTATAACCTTTATTAATTACAGGTTCGGACACGCGAGGGAAACACGGAGGGTTTTATAACTTTGACGACCGCTACAATCCGGGTGTTCTAATTCCACATAAGTGGGAAAATGCCATGAGTTTAGATAAGCGAGCGTGGACCCACAGGAGGGAAGCCGTGCTTTCAGATTATCTAACCCCACATGAACTTGTGGACCAACTCATCGCCACAGTCTCCTGCGGAGGTGACACCTATTTCGTATAATTATTATTGCAAATATAAATATACTCGCTGTCAGTAATAGTGAAATTAAAAATTAGGAAATATTCTGGTCAATATTGGTCCAACTAAAGAAGGTACGATTCCCATCATTGCCCAGGAACGATTGCTGCAAATGGGGGAGTGGTTGGGAATTAACGGAGAAGCGATTTATGCTACTGTTCCATGGACTTATCAAAACGACACCGTTACCCAAGGGGTTTGGTAATGTGGAATGTTTCATACGCGCATCACATGGTGACCATAATTCAATTATTCAATTAGGTACACTTCGAACAAGGATATCACCAAACTTTATGCTATGACTACAATCTGGCCTGATGACGGTACCCTTCTTCTCGGAGCGGTCACACCTGCACAAGCTGGTAGTTTGCAAATGCTGGGCTCTCCTGCAGAAAATTTGCAATGGAGCCCAGCCACGCCATCCGGTATTCGGGTTACCTTGCCGCCAATGAATAGAAATAGGTCAAAATGGGCCTGGACAATTGTTGTCAATTTATTAACTTCTTAAATGAGGCTTATGTAAAAAAGAAATAGAATAAATAGTTCTATTTTTCTCCATGTTGAGCATAAAATTCGTCAGCTTTAACAATCGCTACAATCCTATTGTTCAACAAAGAATTAATGTTTGTAGCAAATAAGAAATCAATATGATTAAATTTTGGCCAGCTAATTTTCTTGAACTCTTTGACGTTTGCAAGTTTTTGTTTCATTTTGTACACGTCATGGCAAGAGACGAGATTGTCCTCCTCGCCACAATAGAGAACGACGGGGCTGGTCACTTTGGACAGGTCATAAATCGGCGGGACGGGTGTCCCATAAATTTCCATATTCCTTCTCTCTTGATAGTCATATTGACGAAAGTCCCCAGACTTCCAAAGCTGGAAGAGGTGAAACAAGGATTTCATGGAGGCACTGCTGAGTGCGTTCCTCATAATTTCTCCAGACATGTCCTGAGCAAAGTAAATAATTTTATGCGGATGGGTAGCAGATTTAAAGTATGACAATTTGAAACCGCATCAAAAGTATCACTCACATAATTCGTCTCTTCAAAGTCATATCCAAATATTGTCTCCAGCACTGCGAAGCAAATCCAATTAATTGTAAATCTATTGGAACAAATGTTTCCAACGACGGGCATGAACGGCATCACAATCGGGCTTACGAATGGTTGCGATAGATGAATCGAGTCATATATTTCCTTGAATGTTTATGATAAGAGTTTCTTTTCAAAAATTATTATTGGAGAAAATTAACCACTAGAAAATGCTTACTTGCTGCTTAAGAACGAGTGGGATTAGAGGCTCTATAAATGGTGCAGAGGTGTTACCAACATAAACGGAAGGGGCTGAAAGAATATTAATTTTTTTAAATAATTATGTTCAACGTATATGTAATCAGGTAATTTTAAAACACATTGTTTCAATTATATGCATGCACATGTAATTAGAGCAAATTATTTCTGCATTCTAAGTAAAAATGATGCACAAACTACAACGCTTGCTGAAATATATTTAAATCGATTTTTGTAAAATTCATAAACTTTACTAACCAAGTCCAATAAATGTCCTAACTTTGGCATTATACTCTGGAAATGTAGACATTGCGACCTGATACAATTGGTCATAATTCTTGTCATTTTATACCCAATTTGTTGACAATATTGCAACTATTATGTTATGGTTATGTCAAGTTCAGGAAAATCACCACAAATGCAGCACATCCCATGGAGTGAGATATGTAATAAAGGCTTTCTTGACCAGAGACATATAAAACGTAGTCAATAATTGCTGGAACATCGTTGACCCCAATTTCATGAAAACTGTATGCAAAAAAAGAATGTATTATCACTCTTAAAAAGTTTCAAACCGTTAAGCTTTGTGATAGAATTAACAAGTGCAAAACCTAAAATTCCAGTACTGATTCGAGGTCCATGAGTACGAAGTATGGTCCAGAGAATAATATGTTCCACGAGTGTGAATAAGCCAAACGTCGACATCTGCTTCTTCTGCAAGTCGATACGCTAAAATTGCCGATATCATTTGAGTTTCAATCAATATTCTCCCTTCGATTATTTTCGTAATGGCAAATAACCCACCTAGCGCCTTATCCACAGAGTTAAGAACCCAACTGAATCCATCTGCAATAATGCCATGATGGAAAATTGCAACCTTTTTAGGGGGACCGTCTTGAAACATGATATTCGACCGACCACGCGGAATTCGGTATAGCGAGGTCACATAGCCGTCGGTCGGGGAAGGCACGGCGTGCACTTCCAAAGGAAATCCATTTGCACGAATCAAATCTGGCTGAATTTTTCATAAAAAATAAATTTTTCCAGACCGGTTAATGCGTACAATTCTCATCTTAGGTTGGTTGGTCAGACTGCAAAAACTTAAAAGAATGCTCACCCCACTTTTGGAATCTCCGATTTTCAGTTTAGAGTCGAAATTTGCGTTATCCAAACACGATGAAAAAGTTTCCGAACATGTTTCAACCACTGACTCATCACTGTCAAAAGCGTATTTGCCTGTAGATTTGGTTACGTCGATAGAGGTGATTTCAATAAAGTTCGTACAGATTAAAGTCCATACGAGCAGAGTAGGCAGCAGTTTCGCTCTTGACATTTTGGAAGTATGTCGAGCGTCTTTAGGCCAGAGCTGCTATTATTCTTCTTTCAAATTTTGAACTAGAAGTTATTTTTTCCATGGGACATGTTGCAGTGAAGCATGAGCAACGAGCACATCTATCTGCTCAGATTTGTTAAGATGACACATGCACACATACATAGATACATATCTCATCATCTCATGAAACACACAAATAAGGCTGATTAAGAAAAAGTCCATATCATTGATGACTCATTTTGATTATTTTTATCACTTGATAGGTCCAAGACAACAGCATTTTTAATCCTGAGTTAATATTAAATGTTTGTATGCCACAAAAATTAAGTACTATGCCAAGTAATATGAAAGAATAGCATAAAATGTCATGGTCAGAGATAATTTAAATTCCAACACTACACGCTCTTTGGCTCCTTTAATTACATGCTGTAAATCTGATGCTAAGCTGTAAAATGCAGACAAACTTTGCCATGTTTTGTTCAAATAAAGTTATAAACAGCCTAAAGCTATTTATGATATTGGTGCAAAATGGACAGAAACGCTTAAAACATGTCATTTTTTACTTACCACAGTAAGTACTCAACATTTTGAATAAACTATTTCCAAACGAATCACAGTTAACTCTTTTTAGTTTATTATTAGAAATCAATAATTTCCAAAAGTAGTGGATGCATTTTTATAAGAACAACTGGAAACATATTCTATACAATTGTACAATGTTACGTAAAGTTACACAGCTACATAAATGGTTGATTACTTAAATACTACTCACAATTTGATACTGGAGGGAAATTGTTTATGCGGTGAAGATTCATAATGCAATGTCGATCTTCTTCTTCTCCTCCTGCCAGCCAGTGGAGTCAGATTTGGGGATACAGGAACATTAAAAACGCTAATCGTGTTTGGAATCGGAAGGAAATTAAGGGCTCCTATATTCCGGAGACCAGTTTGAGCAAATCCAATATTTAGCAGGCCTGCATTCAAGAAACCTTTGTTACCAATCCCCACATTTCCCACGCCGAAATTTCCTATTCCAAAATTCCCAACGCCAAAATTGCACCCACTAGTTGCTGTAATTGCCTGTAAATTAAGAGGAATATTGTACACAATTTATATAAAAATTATCCTTGAAGTAATCACAATAAAAATATTTCTCACCAAAACCAACCCCAGTGCAATTTGTAATACAGTCATCGTGGATAGCGGATGGAATATGACATGAATATTTTATTTCACATTGGTTCCCAACCATAAGAAATAATTAACACAGAAACACATAACTTTTCTTCCTCATCGCAAATGGAACAAATTTTAATTCAAAGTTGAGTCTATATAGATGGTCAATTTTATACTCATGCAGATATGTACATATGCGTATAACGCTTACATAAAGATGCATGCTGCAAGCTGAAAACGCCACAAAACAGCAATGCAAGATGTTTAGTATGTGATAGCAAAATATCAACAAATCTCATAATATTATATTGCGCTTGTGGTAAAGGTAAAATGTGTTCTTATGACGACACACGAATAGCTTGTGTACATGTTTAAGCATATGTGATCACACTGCACTGCAAAGTAACAAAGCTTTACATTATCAACCATTATTAGCTTTTTATTGTTGTATTGTTGATCAATTATGAGCATGTTGATAAGCATGTACCTATGTGATACCTACCTGATACATGTCTGTATATATATAGTGCATCTCTAATTCTATGGTACTGGCACTGCATTGTTGGGGCCCACAAATTATGTATCCAACCTCATTACAATTTTGTCTAGTAATATTCTGCGTATGTCGTACAAGAAACTGTCATTTAGAATTTCATTGACAAAAAAAGGATGCCTATCCCAAATATTTATTGGCCCTATTAAGTAAAATAGGGGACATGTAATCATTGGAGGTCCACATGGGAAGAAACCCAATATCCGGAGAAGGAATTATTTCATATTTTTACATGACAATAATTGTCATAGCAGTAGCACATACATTTGTGCCAGCAAGTATTTATTATAAGTATCATTTGTGTGGAATGTTACTAAAATTTAATATGATTTATAATTAATCAAGAAGTATGTACATTATGTGGCATGGATTATTAATGTCACAGGATTTGTATGGGTTTTTATCAGTTATACAAAACGAATTTCGAAAAGCCTACTACACGGGAGTCGTGCATTTAGAAACCCTAACCAGAAAATCAGAACCATAACCATAGAAGGATGTATACCTATGTATGCAACACATTCATGTTCTATTTAGACTACAAGCTTCATTTTCAGGAATATTCTCATCTCTTAAATAAATGAAAATTTCACGGCTGAAATTGTATACTAACTGCAAATACTATGCAACTAACCTATGCTAACTCCGAAACTGAATTACTTTTAAGTACTTTCAGAACTCTGTCGATACTTATTTAGCATTATATATTATTTGATCAGTCAGGTTTACCAGGAACTAAATAAGTAAGTACACATTACAGTACAGTGCTCACAGCCATGAACGATCTTGTTATGAATGTATTATCCAAGTTCAGCGAGTATGCTATTTTAATCCAAAACTGGTTTTTCTTTTTATCCAGTAGTTTTTGCGCATGTAAAAGATCAAGCAAGGTTCTTATATATGCTAATTGCTTGTTATCCATGACGCTAATATAACTTGGACCCTATAAATCATGCATTCATTTTGCAATTGCTCACAGTTTGCACTTGATACTTTGCAATTTCCAAATACTATTTTTTACACACAATATTCTATTTCATAAAAACTTTCCATTATGAAACAAATACACTTTTTGATACTCTTAAAATTTGTGACAGTGGCGTTTTCAAATGAAACCATATCAGGCTCGACTATATTTTCAGGTCTAACGAGGGATCCAAACCACGTACAATTTTTTCTTGTAAAGTATGTAATCTGCATACTTATAAATTATAATATTTGATCTTACAAAGGACAACTTATTTCGATGCATACATATTCTGCGTAATTGAAATACGTTTTTGTTTCTCAGAGACTGGAAGAACCAACAGAAAATTGTGGTAAACGATACAAATTCCTTAGCAAACTCAGGATTTCGCCAAGGGACCAAAACATTTTTGCTCATTGACGGCTATGACTCCCCACGAACCCCATTTTATAACTTAACAATAGAAGGTAACACCAGTAATTAGTCGACTCACTCAGCTATTTCCAAGTATTTAATAACTACCAACTACATTGTGCACCTCAATTGTAATTGACTGTACAGCAATTCGTGCCAATCGTGCCACTACAAACGATAACGTGATTATCGTTGACTACCGCAATTTATCTGGACGGGAAACAACATTTTCCGCAAACTCCTTCACCTCAGCGTTCCTTTACCTGAGCGTCGTGAGGAACACGAATATTTTGGGGGAGAGGGTTGCCAATTTTCTCCACTTTCTTCAACGCCAAGGAAATTTGTCCTTGCAGGATGTGCATGTTGTAGGAATGAGTTTGGGATGTCATGTGGGTACGTGTTTGAATTTGAAAGTCAGAGAATAGAGAACAAAGCCATCCTTGTTTTATTGCAATTTATTCTTTGACTCATGTAGCCGGTGCAACTGCACATTATCTTCAAGAGAAAAATGGTCACAACGTATCTCAAAATCTGGGTCGAATCACAGGCCTAGATCCAGCACGAACATTTTACCCGCTCCGAATGGTGCAGCGTCTTCGTTCTTCTAATGGTGGCGCCTCATTTATCGACGTTTACCACACCAATCGAGGAATCTTGGGCGAAGTGTACGAAGGAACGGTAGACCTCAACGTCTACGTGAACGGGGGCATTATCCAACCTGGTTGTGGACGAGAGGACCTTACTTTAGTCCCGCTACCAGGAATTTGTAGTCATCTATTCGCCTGGGAAGTGTTTGCAGCCTCGTTTCACAGGGATTTCTTTGCATGTCCGTGTACAGGGTCTGATTGCGACTGTAGTGTGAACTGTCGCACCTGTTCGCCCAGTTCGGATAATAATACTGCTGTCAAAATCGGATTAAATGTTTCAAAAAGGTGCATATTGAATATACCAAAAGAAAATTGTATGTCAATGCCAGCTGAAATATTTTGTTTCCAGGACACGAGGGACTTATCATCTAAGCGTGACAGATCCAGCTCCGGGAAAGTATTATAAACAGTATAAACAAATATTCTTTGAAAATGTACAAAGCTGAGTGTTTGATTTAAGCGAGTAAAGCTCAAGCTCAATTAATGTTCAGGAAATATGTGCAGAAGTCGAATGTGCTTTTAGTTCATCCAGATATATTCATGTATTAAAGAAATTACTTGTATAAATAATGATACTTATGATTAATTAAAAGTTAAAATGACGTAAACAAATCCACAAGAAAAAATTGTCAAAAAAATTGTACGCCAAGGGCACCCGGGATTCCCAAGCGGTCACCCATCCAAGTACTAACCGGGCCCGACGTTGCTTAACTTCAGTGATCGGACGAGAACTGGTGCATTCAACGTGATATGGCCCTTGACAAAGTGATACGCATTTTATCCTCCTTTTATGCTCTCTAAATGCTTCTGGATTTAGAGAGCTTTAGAGAGATTTATTTATTTAGCTTTTGGATTTGCTCAATGAATCAATGTTGATGTGCAACATAGCTGGTTCTTATTTGGCTTCGGGTGCCATTAGCGTCTACTTTTTGTTAACAAATCGAGGAAACTTTTATAAATCAAGTTTGATTATTACTAACTGATAATGTCTAACGTTTATTGTTACACTTGGCATTATATCATGTGATTTTATGTAATGGTATTAGTTTTTTTCACAGAAAAAAACTGACGTATTAATAAATCACTTTTAATATATGTAACTCATTTCAAGTCGTTTCAACTTGTGCTCTATCCATCATCCCAACAACGACAGAAAAACTACGGTTGGCATGTCAAAAGATCAGATCAGATCTGGTTATTCCAGTTTATGCAAATGAGGATGGCAATGACATCGTGATTATGAACTTTGTGGAAAATTTTGAAAAAATTGGTTTGAAAATTCATTTATTTGTAGCAGAGAAAAAAACTCGTGCACCCCAGTCACGCAGCTTTAGTAAAGTTTATTTTGTCCCGTCAACCATTGTGCATGTGTTTATACCAAGGGTAATAAATGTTACTTGTTTGCCGTGTATCATTGAATTTGTTTAATAGTTGCCACGCAGTTTAATCATGACAATACCGTTTATATATTACAATTCTTTCGTCTCATGCAATCCGCAAAATTGTGGACTGGGGACGTACGGCGGAGGGGAATGATTTGGCGAAGAAGAAACCGAAGAATCCCTTCTGCTCATGCGAAAATTAACAATTGCATCAGTGTTCTCTTTGTCCTTGTTGACTGCTTCCATTTCTAGAAATTTTCCCTCCAGCTAAGGATTTGAAAAATTCCAAAAATGAACACACGAACCTGAAATGCATATTTAGATTACATGCGGAACTAAAATAACTTCCAACATACGTGACTTCTCCCACAGCAAATGGCTCTCCCAGTCATAAACGTCATAAAAATAGAAACGAAAATCTGCAGCATAACCAATGATGACAATACATTTGAGCCAATGATGTGAGCACTGGGATCTAAATGTTAAGCAATTATATTTAAAAGAAACGTTAAGAATGTATACTTGGTCTCAACCTCCACGTATTTAATCTTACGAGAATGAGTCAAATTTTCAAGTTCATTAATATGCCTGGGAAATTCTGTAGAAACTGTGTGCACTAATTCTTTCAAGTCCACATGAACCAAGGTTGGATGCTGAATGTTTCTCAGCAAATACAATATTCCACAAAGGGTGCAAATCCCAATAATATTGAGAGCCATTCCAGTATGCAGTTTGGCGTAGGACGATCTTTTAGATGCCCATAACGTGGTCAAGGATGCGCTGCCATGGATAAAAAAGCTAAACCAAGTGACCAGGCTAATGTTCTCAAAAGCTGAGCTTGTAGTGCCATGTTTAACCTGGAGAGTTGTGGACATGGTCACCTACAGATTTCATCAAAATTAAAGGAACCAGAGGATGGATAGGCCTGTATACCAGCAAATGCAGTGATAATTATATATTTAAATTTACCTGGACCATAGATACAACTGCCCCCAACATAATTTGGACCCATGATAGTTTCCTGGCGAAAGAAGAGTTAAAGTAGCGATGGTAAATTTCTGCTTCGTGGCTAACTGCACGAAGACGAAAGCGCTTGGTGTCATTGTGGGGGCGAGGAGTTGCAAAGGCCACCACTTTTTCTGGCGTCTCCATCTCCAACATGATTTTAATTCTGAACACCTGAAATTTCCAGATGTCTCGCGTGTGTGAGTTATTTTGGAATTTGTTTGGTTTATGAGAAGTGCTAGTCGAATGACATAAAATGAGCGCAGGGTATGAACCTATCGATTGAAAATATATTGAAATTTTATGAAATAAAGCTTCTATTCACTAGCACGCACATGCATTAGATAGTGTTTTTTTAGTATGCACATACATAACCAGTATTAAAAATTACATGCAGTGTATGCATGCTTTTGTATTATTATTGATACATTTTTTTACTGGACGAATGGCTGGAAATTGAAGACTAATGTCGTGTACACTCGTGTGGCTATATTTTTGTTAAATAATAAAAGAAGTCGGGACTTGATTGAGTTGATTAAATAATCAGAACAGCGTGTTGCATATAGTTTCAAACTTTAAATTCCTTTTTTTGTAAATACAGTAATTTAGCGGTGGTCAATTTGCATTGAAGTTATAACAATTCTTGTATGTAAATATGTAAATTAAAATTATGAGGCTAACACACATGCAAGTATAAGCACACATACGTAAATGCAGAGCAGTTAGGTTTAACATCAAGCCCATTATAGTGGCTAGGGGCAGATTTATATACGTAGTGCAATGATCGCATAGACAATATAATGTAAAATTAATCTTATACAATTCAAATCGCACCTTTATTTTTACATATGGAGTTGTACATGAAAAGTTATTATTAAACAAATGCATGCAGTCCTACACACTTTTAGGCTCCATTTTACTAGAAGCAGCACATTCTAAACATTTTAAACCAACTTATGAAAGCTTGGAAATATGAAGAGACAATGTTTTCAATGTCATCATATCTATATCTTCCGTAAACTCTTAATCTTGGCTATCAGATAATCAGTATTCTAATGGTAGTAAGATAATGGCACCGAGCAATCAAGTTCAATACTTATGTATTTACGATGGGTTTCATGTTTCGTCTAATATTCTACTGGTAATAAAGTGCACCATGAATTATAAAAGAGCACCGCTACAGAGTAATAATAATCATAAAGTGTCTGGTATTTGTACTCTATAGCTACATCAACTATATAATAACTTACAATAAAAAATAATAAGATCAAGACTTATGTACCTACGTAATATGTACTTAAATGCCTTGCTAAAACCTTATCCTAAATATATATAAAAATATCACAGCTGTAATTTTCAAGCAAATTCGAACGTCGTAATCATTGTCCAACTACGGGCAGAGGACAAGGTATAAAAACATGACAGCCGTTGTTACGCCGATAACGCCCAAATGTCTCCTTTGTGCAACCAGATGACACAATGAGACCCCTTTGCGCCCCGCTATCTGGCGCAATTCTCTCCACACGACAAACACTTGGAGGCAGTCTGTAGTCATGAGTAAGATGTCGCGAAGTACCTGGAACAAACATGTATTAGTCAACACTGAACACAGTTATTCAGTCATCGTACAGTGTCCAGGTCGCTTTTATTTTTATAGCAAACTACCTGATGCATTCTTCCTCCAAATTTTAGCACGTTGAGGAAGAATTGATCCCAGGTGGAGGAAGTTATGTGAAATATTGCTATCGTCCCCACAATCAGAAGCGGCAAGGGCTCCATGGCCTTACGTCGATCCACCTGAGAGAAAACGAGAAGACTGGAGAAAAGCTCTGTGACAGTGAAAAAGAGCTGGTGCGACCATTGGGGATAAAAATCGTCTAAAATTCAAAGAAATTAACATTAAATGTACTTAGAGGATTTACAAACCATTTATAAATTGAAATTATCCAATTCGTGTTTAGTACCATTCCAGTAGTTCCAGTGCCCCCACCAAGCGTAGTAATGAGAGTGGATTGACACGAGCTACACAAGTAAGTTTCGGTTATGTATTATCATCTATTTATTTAAATGCTTATCGTTAGCTTCGATAAGCTTCCGAAAACATACCAACAAGAGGCCCAGGGACCATCGTAGTCTCCGCTTGTACAGAAGCAGAACCAAATGCTTGACGGTTTCATACAAAGCGATGAAAAAGAGGAGAGAAGTCACCCACATTTTAAAAGTGTTTGAAGTACTGTTGAAGTAGACGTGTTTGTACTTTGCAATCCCTGATTCATACGGTCCTACCGACAAAAACATAACATACGTAAATATTGACGTTCTTCTTACGCATGAATATTTGCACAAGTCGCGAGTTTACGAACCTTTGAACACGGTGTCCCAACAGGAGCAGGTGCATTCCTTCTTATCAACCTCATTGTCTCCGTAGCCCCAGAAGTGGGCAAAGAGTAGCATGTGTCCCGATGGGAGGAGTATCGGCAGGGACAGACCGGCCAGGACAGAGACAACCAGTGACCTCGACGTTGTTTTGACACTTTGACCCCGTCGTGAGTGGGGATGGTAGTTGTTGTTGAGGGGACTCTCCATTTCGAGATCGGTCTCCATTATTTTTTATTTTTTTGTTATATGGTCTCAATTGAAGTGCATTTTTTAAATTTAAACTGGGGTCACAGCATATTTATGTTTTATTGATTTAAGCTGCATTCTGATAATTACACCCCCTGAGTTGCTAAAAGACTAGGAATATGTACTCTCATTGTTAGAAGCTAAAGCACCAACAAGCTTAAAAATGTAGTTTCGTCCGGAATTGGGCTCAAAATATGTTGTAAAAAAGACTGTTGCAATACTAATAGCAATATTGTAGTACACTTTCCAGATTTATCATTAATATTTAATCTCATGACGAGTATTTAATGCAAAGTCATGTGTGAAGGTATTGTAGAAAAACTTGACATAAATAGCACGCATCTGGCCAATGTCATAGTTTTGCATTTTCATAGATACACAATATCTATCCAATTCGTATATGTGTCAAACTCGAAATGAACACACGAACTGTAACTAAAGAAGGTTGAGTTGTGGTGAGCTTGGATTGTGTGTTCCTTTTATGCACGAAACAACTGAAGATGAGCACCGAAAAACAGATCTATAAATATTTTGGATAACGGACTTCGATCCGTGTCAAAATCACAGCGTTGCACCGAAAAGTACGCAAACTAATTAAAGATATCGCAATGCGTAGTGCTTAATTTGACTACGCAGATGTTAAAGGATGCTTGGTTACCAGTTTAATGTGTGCAGTTTATTAATTTACGAGGTCACTTATCTATGTATTTATCATAGTGCTATGATTTGGATAAGTATAAAAACTCACGACGTACACAAAAGAAATCAGGAAATGACGGCGTATTATCTGTTTTTAATTTTTCCTAACAATTCGAAACCACAACAAGTTATGAGATTCTCAGAGTTTGTTGAGCACCAGCAGATGAATTTGCAGAAGATGAGAGTAGGATCGAATAAGGAGTTGGCAAAAGTAGCGAAAAGATGAAAATATTATTGATCTACTCGTTTGAGACGAGAGAATCAAACCCGCAGATTCGGAACGTATCCCATTTCTCGGAGTTTATTCGGGACATGGTCCCGAATAACTGAGTTGAGTAAGGAAAGTGAAAGCGAATAATAAACCAAACCATGCGTTTTTTGACTTGCAACGCACTTCGCTGGAGATATGTTATCCGTAAATGTCTCGAGTATTTCAAATTTTGGACACGGAGTTTGAAATTAATTTACTCATTGATGAAGTGTACATATCTAGAATACTAGCAAATTATGTGTACGAGTGTCCTGATTGTTGTTATCATTTGAAAAGCGGCATGCGATCAAAATCTACTCCTGATGAAAAAGTGAAAGCTTGTAGGATTCCCATGGTCATCTTTCCCATGAGCAAGTGAAGGTGGAATGTACCGTGTCCTCTAACCTGTCGCCAACAACGCACATACTATTTCTCGCATCCATCTCTGCACCTTTCATAACCTCACCCACCCCTGGTCGCGAATTAAAGAGTGACAATTTGCTTGTGTAGAATTATGGCAATCAACAGGGAAAATGCTATATCAGAAATCTATAGAAAATAAGCTCTACATATGCATTTACGCATATCTATGCAATTAAATTATGTAGGTACACAATGTTCTGCAATTATAATGATACTGATAAATTATCGATTGATAGCAGAATTATTTCTAATAATTGATTTGCGCCTTATGTCAAGTGCTCTTATTCTGATCTCATGGAATTTTTATGACCGTCTGTCTGTTTGTGATACGCCTTAAAACTTCGCTCGACAAGGACAAGTTCCAAGATGAGCATGTGGTTGGTTGGGAGTAATTTAACCCCCATTTAAGTAGTGAGAACTACTAACCAAATTAGAACCAAATTTTATAAAATGCCTTAGAAACCTGAAATTTAGCATGGAAAGGTGGTTAGCTTATCAGATAAAGAACATGAAGTCAGCAATACTTTTCGCAGAATTTTATGCGTTTGTGCCCAGAGGGATCAAACAGGATGATCTACCCTACTTTTTGAAATGGATAAAAAAACCTGAAATTGTGCATGCAGGGAAAATTGAAGAAGTATGGGAAAACTTATGCACAATAACGATTTCACTTTTGTAAATTGAGCAAAAAACGAGAAAATTGACTGGCTCGGGCTATATCAAGTCTGTGTTGTATTTTTTATTGCATACAAAGGCCAATAACTTGTCACAAATTATGCGTAATGGTTTGAGTAAATTGAGCGATAGTGAGTATCAGTATGTCAAGAGCAATGACTGGCGATCTGATGACAGATTTTATTACCCAAATGTGTATAAATACTTTCCTTAGCACTCGACTGTTCATTTGTTCAGCAAAAATTTAGCATTCATAGAAATGTCTAATGCATACTTGCCAATAAATATTTATAACCGGAATTGAAATCTTAAGTCACGATGCATAGCACGATAGACACCGAAATGCAGTCCTAATCCATTTATTTTTAAATTATGCGAGTGCAAAACATATTTACAAATGTAGTTGGCGGATTAATCACATAACAAGACTAACAACACATTATTGTGTTGATGCAGTCTGCTAAATAACATGTTGGTCGGTATACATATTTATATATGGCAATAACAATTATATATCCAAATGATAGCAGCCAATGTGCAGTATAATATGCAGAAAAAGAATGCCAGCCAGAGTCATATAAATAAATACATAATTAAATTGGTTTTCCGAGAAACTTATGTTTGTGACCCTTGTTGATATAAATCGTATCTGGATTCTGTTTGATGTGATAATGACATCGGATTCGACATTTAGTAACAAATGTTAAGTTGTGGTGAACATAAGTTGCAAACATAAATTTTTATGTTGAATTTTTTTGGCAGCATTGACTAAACATGGTGAATGACACACTAAAAACGGTATGATTTTCATCTTTGTAAACTGTTATGATATTTATTCTGTTACCAATTTTAAGTTTTTTTCATGTCTTCTTATTCATGATTTCAGTGCATTGCTGATTGTGGACAATGCCACTGGAACGGAAGTTTGGGATATTGTTGTAGCCAAAGCTGCAATCAGGTCGGAGGACATGATTTTGGGCATTGTTCTCCGGAAATGGGAGGAGGATGCGACGAGGGGAGTTCGACCAAGCCAAGCGTACGTAAAATTCATAAATTCTAATACTTGTTAATTATCTCACAACAAACAACTTTGTAGAAAATCATGGTCTAATTATGAATTCAGTGCATCCCAGATTGTGATGTCTGCCATAGATCCGGATCATTAGGCTTTTGCTGCAGTGGAATGTGCATCCAAATGCAAGGAGATGACTTTGGTTACTGCCAGGCCAGAGAAGGAACTTGTGAGTCAACGGAAAATCCGAACTGTATCCCGGACTGTGATGAATGCCAATGGTCTGGATCAATGGGGTTCTGTTGCAGTGGGATGTGCACCCAGACACAAGAAGTGGGTCATTGCAGACCTAGAAATTCCACCGTCCAGTGCGAAGGGGTCGACTTTTTCGAAGGGGAAAAGAGCAAATTTATTCTGCAGTTGTTGCCTTATTTACTCTCTGGACTTGTAATCATTGTCCTGGCCAGCGTCTCAATATGGTTGTGGCGTTATTGGAGAAATCGGGTAAGGTCATTGAATTATTCTAACACTGACCAAAAATGTAAATAATACTTTTGCATTCCAGAAAGACAAAATCTTGGACAAGGATGAAGTCCTCCGTTTTTACAAAGGTTCAGACAAAACAAATTACACCATTTTGTCGGACATAGAGCTTGGAGAAGTATACTCGAAAATATATCAACACATTGACAGCATCCCCTACGATGACAAGTTCGAAATCTCAAAATCTGCGTTCAAGATCGGTAAATAAGTGAATCAGAGTAAAGGTTAATCGTGAGATAAATGCATAATTCGAATTTCAATAACTTTGACTAATTCTTCGAAATCGTGTATTTAGATGTGGACCATGTTCTTGGGGAAGGGCAGTTTGGGACCGTATTACAAGCAACATTAAATGGGAACGCTGTTGCGGTAAAAACCGTGAAGGAGAACGTGGACAAAATTTATTTGAAATCTTTGCTCACCGAACTCAAGGTGCTAATTTACCTTGGTCATCATGACCACATTGTGAGTTTGATAGGAGCTCACACCACACAATTGAGAAAAGGTATCAGAATTTGGACTTTCATCACAGTATCCGATTTAACATGAGAAATTCTACCGACATTAATTTCTCTATTTTGCAACAGGGCATGTGTACATATTTCTAGAATATTGTGCAATGGGGAGTCTGGATTCCTTCTTGAGGAAGCAGAAAAGGTCCTTGGAACAAACTATTGATATTTCGAACGGGTATTTCCAGTAATAAATAAATCTTGATAGCTCCTTGTCTGAATCTGAGTTTGTTGCGCCCCATTAGGCGAAACGGCTACTCTCAATTTTCTATGACAAATTCTCTACAACTCACCACCACTGAGCCTAATAATCCTTGTTCGATGCAAAATATGCTAAATTGGTGCATACAAGTCGGAAAAGGATTGAGTTATTTGGCTGAAAAGAATGTTATCCATGCAGATGTTGCCACACGAAATGTGCTTCTTTACTCTGAAAACCATGCAAAACTTACAGATTTCGGTCTTAGTCGTCGTCTATATGAACATAGCATTTACTTGAAGAAACATGAGGTAAGTGCATCAACACATTTAGTGGGATCCCTCCCTCTCTGACACGTGTCGCACGAACATGGAACCAAACTAACGAAATTCCTACTTAACACCACTCCCGACGTAGGAACCTCTCCCCTTCAGATGGATGTCGATCGAATCTTTAAAATGCTTGAGTTTTTCAACCCATTCAGACATTTGGTCGTTTGGAGTATTTATGTGGGAAGTATTTACACTGGGTGACCTACCATTTCCGGAAATGTCATGGTCTGAGTCCTTCGTCCATGCTCTCCAAGCTGGCATGCGTCTCAGCAAACCTGTTTCAGCCAGTGATGCGATGTAAGACTTGCGATATCGAAACTTTACATTTTTATCGTCAATGAAATCAAAATTGCCCCTTTGATTTTAAACAGATACAAAATCATGCAAAAGTGTTGGAAGTTAGATCCTAATGAAAGACCGTCCGCAGATCTAATCGTCACAGAATTGTCAGAAGTATTACGAGAAAATTCAGGATAATCCATTACAAATACGCATTTATTGCATTACCTATAAGTATTTTTAGTATAAATGAAGACAGTCTAGTTGAGTTATCCCACTAAAATGAAAATTGATTACCCAAAATTATGACTCTGAGACACCTTAATCATTTACATTGTTTGCCTATTAATTACGTATATAATCCATAAAAGTTAAAATCATTCTCCATTAACCAACGAACAGAAATGGTTGTGCCAAACAACTTTTGAGCATAGTTAAAAGTTTAATGTTTTTGCAACACAATATGGATTTCGACACTGCAATCCATTATTCTTTAGTACCCCGGTTCCACAAGTAAGGCAATACTGCTTCTCCACTGGTTTATCTGTTTCTGAAATTATACAACATCAATTTCAGAGGGAACGATCCGCTAAAATTGTTATTACTTCAAAATTTGAAGTTCAAATTGTGGAAATTCAAGTCACAAGACTTCATACTATATGAAAGCGGGCTTACTTTACTTACCATCGTCTGCAGACTTTTTCGCCTCGTCCTCGTCGAGCTTATCTATGCAATTTTTAGTTTATATAAAATCAATTTATTATTTTGTATATGGTAAAGCAACATACAAATAAATAATTTTAAATATGCGTATCTATTATTCCGTTCATACTATTTACCTTGATTCTTCTTCCCCGTCAGCCATTCGTTGTAGTCCTTCTTAGACATTGTGAATTTTCCCCAACCGGCCTTCCATTCCTCCCAACTTCCTGGCCTTGGTTTTGGCTTTTCTTTCTCCTTCCCCTTGTCACTTGGCTTATCGGTCTTTTTATTCCCCCCGTTCATTGCTTGCAAAATAAAAATAAATACTTGTACAAAGGGAAGATAAGCGGTATGTAATACTTTTGACAGATACTGACATGAAAATGCAATACCTGCTTCAAAATGTATTCAATAAAAAATGGTTTCCTTATAAATTATTAAGCAGAGTCACTTTTATTAATTGATGGAGGTAACACGTTGAAAATTAAACCTGCAATTTTACGATTGTATAATAAAGCCAATCTTATTTCTTGTTCTTACGCATTCATGAACAGACTCGTACACATTCTTCATTATGTAACATGATCTCCGCTTGGTTTACTTGGACCTTGTATGTTTATAGTTAATTTTCAATGACATGGGTGTCTTTCCATGTAACAAAGCTTATACATGTATAATAATAAAATATATGTAGCAAGTAGCTGACTCTGATGTTTGGCTAAAATAATTTGATCCGGTCATTAAAATTCGTGGTTTCGTTTAGCTTATGGAACATGATTACGTGTAGAGCTAGCTAATGTTCACTGAACGATAGACATGTAACAATACACATACAGAGACATCCAGTAATGTCAATTCTGAATGCTACTCGAAGCCAAAAATTCCCAGGAATTATGTTTTGTTGTTTGAAATTTACAAATGATTTGTCAAATGGTGTCGGGGACGAAAGCACTTTACGTAACATCACTTAACATGAGACTTTGTGTGAAAATTCATGTGATATATGCACGTTGATTAGTCTGTTTTATACATTGAGATCATATTAACATTACTAAAAACACTAAAATAGTCATATAGGAGTTTCCCCCTGAATATCACGAGTTATTATCTACGTATATGCAAATCACAATATCATAAAATGAAGAAATATATAAGAAAATAATTTTATGCTCAAATTTTTCATGCAAAATACCCTATGCTGTCAACCTAAGCGTTTCTATTTTTTATTGCAAAGCATACCAAATCGTTAAGTATACATAGAAATATCTGCTGATCTGCTTTAGTGTATAGATTTTTAAGCTTATTGTTAGTGTCGAATATGTAAGGCACAGGAAATCGTCAAAATGTTCTGTCGGATATAGAAAACACAGCAAATTCCTCAACCTTCAAACAAAAGTAGAAAATTCCCTTATGGCATTACAGTTGAACAAATGGGATGGAGAGGTTCGTAAAAATTAAGTCTCCCTCAACTATTGTTCCATTTTATTGGTGTTAACTACATTCGACGAAGTTCGAAATTAAAAATTAAAGATTTAAAAGGTGAATTAATTTGACTGGTTGATCATGAGTTGGAAAGCTCCGGAGAAAGGCAAGTCCGTACCCAAAACTAATAAGCCAAAGCAGAAATCAAATTCTGCAGCCTGGAACGAATGGAGAGAAGGGCTGAAAAAAATAAAAATGACCAAGGAAGAATACGACAATTGGTTATACGGGAAAGAATCACATGTTGGTAAGTGTACAACTTATCTTTGTTGCACTATGTAAAGTAATGCGTGTAAAGTGACGCTTTTTAAATTATGCAGAATGGTCCACGGATGATCCACCGCGTCCTGTCGCAGGGAAGGCTAACACAGTTATTGAGAATCAATAAATCGTGGAGGACACATTCAGATAAATTTCAGCACCCTAATCTTGACTATTTAATGAATAAAGAGGCGACAACGCCAAGTTAGTGCAATATATAATGCTAATAAATAGCTTGTTTGTGTCATTAGCTCTAAAAATTGTGGATGACATTTTGCATAGTCAATACAAGTTCATCGTGATGTTGCACTTCTTCTTGTCCATAGTCCATGAGCGCACTGTGAGCGGATACTCAGGACAGGGACACTTATCAATAAAGGGTTCAGTCCTTCTTCAAATAGGATATGGCAACAATCTTTGAATTTGATAGTTATGCATGGCGCAGGTGCATTTTAAAATTTATTGACTTTTGTACGTTACCAGCGACAATTCTGACTTTAATACGTGCTCCTGAATATATCCGGTCATTTATTCAAACTTGATATAATGGATAAGTACATTTTTATGTACCCATGTAGTGACTAACAAAGTTTTTTATGCATAAGGTGAAATGAGTAGGTTGGTTGTATCTCCAATAATTTTCATTTGCATAAATATATAATTCCTGTAATATGTACATGATAATTCTTGCACGTGCATCTATATTTAACATTACCTTGAAAAGATTTTTGCACTAGCCTTGCAAAAGCAGTGACACATATTCCAGTGCGAGCGAAACTAACGTTTTCGATAACATACATACAAATTAATCGAGGTTCAACTGCTCAAGTAAATAAACATCACATTTTTTCTATGTTTTTCATCTTTCCTCTAAACAAGCTCATGCAAGAGTGAATAAGAACAGCCTTATCAAAACTGTGTACAACACGACGCCGTCAGCGAGCTACATACATGCATAAGTCTTAATGTCACAAACACTAAAATCAAGACGGTTATATGTACATATTCATCTAAAGATATTCGAACTTGTGTGTCAAAGATTAATATTAATTAGGGGAGGATCTCTCTGTAAATAATTTATTTTTGCTCTTGGTCTGCCAAATCACGATTGATTACTTATGTAGTTGTCATTTGGTCATCATCAAACCGGCCGTACGCGTCAAGACCAATGTCATGCACAATTATTAAAGTTCGCATTGCTACATATTCTTACAATAGAGATGGAAACCTCACGAGCTGTGAGATTATGCATCCGTGTTGTGATTCTAACAGTTATATTCGGTAAGTTATAAAGTTTATAAAATTTATAATTCATAAAATTTTCAGGTTTACCATTATTTCCATAAATATGCTACTATTTTCAGTCCAGGTTTTGTCGCATCACGGCTGCGATCTCCCAACTTGCGATCAAGGTTGTCATACATATATCTCAGTGTTAACAATTTGTGTGCATTCATATTGGTAAAACAATTTAACAATTACGTACTATTTTCACTCGTCAATAAAATTCGAGTACAGGTAGTAACGAGAGAAGAAATTCTCACGAATTATGGTACAATGAGCAGCCTGGCTTTGTGCATTCGCACATCTTCAGGATTGAGCAGACAAGTTCGATTCAAACAACAAATTGGCCAATTGTGAATGAACCACCGACATCTCTACGCGACGTGCATGGCGTAAGTCCGGTGACAATTATTTTGTTCGCCGCTATGTATTAGCATACGTATTATTTGGTTTCATGCTTGCAGGAAGTCATGGAAGATGACAACCAAAATGAGGGGTCTCACGATGACCGTGCGCATAGAGACAGCCAAACTGCAACGATCACTGGGTCAATAGATCTAGTCCGCGGAACGGGTGCGATGTCATGCACCGCGTCCTTTATTGTTACAAATTCCACCATCATGTTCAAAGACGTTGGTACCAGATTTTACATATTAGATATTTAAGTCAAATGCGAAAATTATTTACTGTTGACTGTGTAATAATGCAATTTACATACATCAACGCAGCCGAATAGAAATGACACGACCTCTCGACCACTCATTCTCGAAGGCCCGACCATTTTTCCTTTCATATTTTTTTCCTCTGATCCTGAGGAGCAAGATATTCGAAAAGAGCTTCATAACATTTGCGTTCCTCAAGGCGAAGATGTTTGGAAAACGAATCTGAGACGCTCCCTCGTGTTCATGCTCGCGTCCAATGTAAACCTGTATCAAGACCTAAAAACCAAAGGACCAAAGGATTTTCATCGAATTTCAGAAGAGGAAGCTCAACTAATGAACGAAGTACTACATACATAAACTTATGAGCAAGTTTCAATCAAGAATATTTTGCATGTCAAAAAATTTGCTTGTATATATTTTTATAGACTGACCTGTTTGGTCCTAGCGAAGAGGGTGTAACCAATTACGGAATGTATATTTCTGACAATGAGACATCACCCACTGGACTCATGAAATTACGTGTGAGTCCCCACACTGCTAACCCTCACCAACTGACAGCGCTTCGCACACTGTCCAAGGAAATCGACCTGCATTATAAAAACTCAACGGTTGTGGAAGAACTAAGGACAAAGGCTCCCGTCGACGTGGTGGATGGATTTTATTCAGACTGGATGAAAATATTGGACCCATTCTCCAATTTTGGTTTGACCCTTTGCTATCAAACTTTTAGGAACGGAATGGTCGATACTGCCCACTGTGGGGAGCTGCAACGAGTCGCAACACAGTCTTACCTTGCCGTCGATGTCACCACCATGGCAGAAATAAAGTGAGAGTTTAGAGGGAAATAAGTACATATATGATGGAAATCCTATATCTTTTTTAATAAAAAATTCATTCTTCCCTCAGAGCAATCAAGAAAGATAGTCCAATTCCGGCCAACACAGCGCAGTGGAAATCTGATGGTGTGCCAATGAACAAAGTGTCGATGAAATATGACTCATTTTCTACGATTCTCAACAGCGACGCAGCCATAGTTCAGGACTTCTCAAGACTCTTGTCCGAGCTCTGTGAGAACGTTGACAGCCCAAAATCACTGCTCGACTTTAGAGAGAGAATTCGAACGATTATGCCTCTAATTTCTACAAAAGTACTGAAAGAACAGTTCGCTATTTTGAAAGAGAAGCATTGCGGTACGACATCAGCTTTTTTGAATTTGGTGTCTTCAACCCCATCCGATGACTCAGTGGAGTTCATGGTGGACTTGATAACGAAAAGAGACGACGCCGTCAATGAGGAAATATTCGCCAATTTCTTGTGGACGGCAACATTAATGCCAACAACTGAACGAGAGTAAAATGATTAAAATATACATACGCGCATAGTCAGATTGGAATACTAAAAAATTGATTTCATTGTTTTATTCGGTCCAGTGATTTTCAACGCTACGCAGGTCCTCAATCCATTGAAGCGTTGCAAAAGCTGTTGGATGGGAAAGAGTTTTATCATCGTAAATATGGGATGTCTGATTCTGAATTTTTACTTCATATGGTTGGACTTTTGGACAAGGAACGAAAATCGGAGGAAATTGAAGATATTGTTCCTGGCGCAATGTACGTTTTAGAAATAGCAGCCTTCATCTCCGCCGTGGAGAACAATGGGACAGATGACTCCATCGATCGTGCCACGCACCTCCAAATAATTCGAGCTCTTGAAAAGTATAGTCAACAAATTGACCCGAATAGTGACGACGACGATGACGACATAAGTGACCCATACGAGCGTCTCATAGTGAGCCATCCTTGCTCCAAAAAACATGCCACATTTTTAGCACAAATATTGGAGGATGAGAAATTCGAAGAAGATTTAAAGATCATGGCGTACTTGTTTATGAGAAAATGCTACATTCCAGAATGGAGAGAGATGGTTAAAGGGTACGTCAAGAGCAAGAAGGCAAACGAAGGTACGCTTAATTGCATTATTTCAAATATTCTTGGTCGGGTGGGGGGTTTAAAACACATTGTAATGCAAAACTATTTTTTAGAGGTCGTGCACTTCATCGTGCAGCATGTCGAAGCAATCTCAGAGGGGTACAATTCTCTCCAGTATGCAGATGACGAAGAAGAAGTTGCATCTGCAGTGGAGTCCACAACGGGAAATGGGACCAGTGAGCTGGGTTACACAATCTTCTCAACGAGTGACACAGACATTAAGCTTTATGGTCACCGAGAAGTTAAGAAGGCTCAGATCGGGCTTGAGATTAATGTCGTAAAAGGAAGAAGCTTTATCCCGAGGTTGGTCAGGATGCAGGTGCAAACGTTTGGGAACGATGGAGAACAAACCAATGTCGAAGTGCGGGGATGTTTAAATACATAATTATAGTTAATTGTAACTCAAAATGTACACGAGTTACGTGCTAACCATGCATATATTTGACTATTGCATGAATGTTACGTATTTCAGTTAGAGCTGTTGAGGCTGGAATCTGGCAAGTCGAAAGAACCTGAACTTTTGGTGACATTCAGTGAAAATAGCGTGGCCATGTACACCACAACAATTACGTTGGACCAGTCAAAACTCCTCCAACTTTTGCAGGATGGCAGTGAGTCTGCTTTTGTAGATTTCCTTGCAAGCTTCTCCATCATGAATCGACCGTTTCTTACTAAATTTCTGCAAAACAGAAAGGTTTGAAACACATATCTTAATAATGAAACTGCCGCGTTAATAATTTGTATATGTAAATGATTCAAGTTGGAGGTTTTCAAACGAGTCCTATTTCACGAATATCGCCGGAACTTTCCAAGTCTATCTGGCCTTCCGATAAAATCCAGAGTCAATTTGGACTGGATTTTCTCGCACAACTTTACCAATCATTACGAACAAGGGATTGATGGGGAAAAGTTGTACAGTTTAAGGTTGAACCCGGCCATTTCTTGTCAAATGTTAGAACAAATCTCTGTCGGATTCGGCCACGATGAAATTTTGGGGTACCAACTAAGTTCCGGAATTAATTTAAACTACAACTTGGAGTTGGTCCTATCCCGAAGCAAGGATGGCGTGTACAAAGCCAAGATTGGTTTCGGACGTGACAAATCCAAAGCAAAATACTTCGAATTTGTGAGTATTAATATTTTGAAGCTGGAACGATATCAAATACTGCTTGATTCCTCTGACGTCAAAAAATCATCTGGACATATTTGGAAGTCAAAGTGTGTATCGCATATGAAATTATATTATTGGTTATCACAATCGTGATTTATTTGAATTATTTACTATTTCGAAAAAGACATGGACCCTCCGTCGACCAAGTTGAGCTGGAGACATATTCAGACCTGCTCAAAGACAGGATTTGTAGAGCAGAGCACGAGTTGCAAGGATTATTTGCATCGGGACCACTTTTTCTCTCAGGCAGCTACCTTTGTGATATACCGTCCGCAATTATTTTTGAACTTTCACCCACCTTTGACAGTAATTCACTTTTTCATGTATATTTTAGATAAGAATTCCAACTTGCGAGTGAATTTATATATATTTGCATAAATTTTGTAGATCAACAAGTGTCGCTTGGCTTGAAAGTCTATCCGGAAGGGGGTTACTCTCATCATGACGAAATTCCTCATTATTTATGGAGGATTGGAATACGTAGAAATCAGACCGAAAACTTCAGGTTGTACGACTTTCATGTTCAGTTGGTAGATCCATCCAAACACCATGAATTAAATGGTATTAAGTACATTATAAATTTATGTGCTATGAATATGAATATTGGTATTTGTACATATTTACGGAGATAGTGAATTTTTTTAATTGAGTCATGTTGTTTCAAACAGTCACTTTACGATTGCAAGGAGAAATCCCAATGGAACAAGTTTTGACCGTTAACTACTCGGGAAGTAAGGGATCGTATGGGTTCGAAATTTATAAGAAATTTTCGGGCTATTCCCAGTACCATCAGTCTCCAAGAGGCGAAAACCAACGAAGAAGACGGGTACAGATTTTTAACACTATTAGCGCAATAATATTAGACTCAATTATTGCAATTGGTGTTTATATTCTAGTCGACTGCAGCAGGACTTGGAAAGCTTACATTTGGGATTACGGCATGGTCACCCATTCCTGGTTATGAAAAAGTTAATGTAATTGTGGGCGAAATGAGTCATGTTCCCGAGAAAAGTATTCATGTCTTCATCGAGACTGAAGGAATTCATCCGAGTCTAAATTCAGAGCTGCAATGTAACCTGACATATGTGCATTACTCTCATGAAAAATGCTTTATGTCATATTTTAGCGATCCATGATTTCAGACACCATGAGTAAGGATAACGCAGCTACCGTAAACTTACCCATGTCCATCGACGGTGAAGACTACACAATTCCAACGGCAGATAGGATTAAACTAACATTTGAGATGGAAAATGATGAGTTGGGTAAGTTCACGTTAAAGAATAATGTCCTCAAGTTCCGTTCACCGGTTCCCAAGCAGACAAGGGATCGACTTAATGGAACTTTTGAAATTACCTACGGGCGGAGGGAGTGGAACACAATTTCTGGAGACTACAACGCTTACATAAAAACTTTTCCAACTACAGAGGGTAATATCCCAACATTTGCTTTCACTAAAAAAAATATATATGTAGCACTATAATGTACATAGGCATTTGTTTTTTTCTGCCAAAGACGAACAGGATGGTTGGGTCGTTTCCATGGATCTAAAGGAAAAGGTCGTTTCGAAAGACATGGGGGTTCAGTGTGATATCCGGTTTTCCCAGTTTGCAACCCTGGATTTTACCTTAGAATCAAAGTGTCATGAGATAAATAGATATGAATTTAACGTCAACCTGACTAATGACACCGACTGCATGAATGGAACCCACAGGGCTAACTGTCATAGTGAAGTGTGGTTCAAACATAGTCCCAAGAACGTCGTTCAAAAGGTTACGTGGGAACTTGACAAAACGTTCGACGAGGTCGAGAAGGACGATGAGGGGTGTCGACTTTGGAAAATAATAACAAAATTGGATGGTCAGTGATCCATAGATGTCAGTTTTAAATATGGTGGTTGAGTACGAGTCTAAAATCTTAACTTGGGTTCTAGTGGATCTGCCTGGTTTCACGTTGGTGCGGTACTACACAAAAGAAAATAATTTCAAGAAAAGCATTTCGCTACTTGAGATTGGATTCCAATTTGGCTTAATTTTCGAGTCTTCTTCTTTGTGGAGTCGCGTGTTTTATAAAATCGATGAAGTAACTCGCGATTTTCATCCACGCCCTCAAATTGTATTTGAAGTGTCGGTACGAAGTAGACAAATTATTGAAATCTCACTACGCATTTATGCAAAAATTATGTAATGAATTTTTATATAAATTTTATGAAGGCCAGAGAAGCGGATGGTGCGAACTACATGCTTTTGCTTGAGCAAAAGTTGGTTGTAATATCAGATCTGTTAATTGACTACAATGGAACCTTGTCCTTGCCCCGAATGGGATTAAATTACAAGTTGGACGGGACGCTGGAGCCGGCCTACGCTGGAAGCTGGTTTATTTATAAGGGCTTCAATATTGGTATTAAGACAGACCAAGAGGGAATTAAGCCTTATTCGTAAGTTGTACAAATGTGTACTAAATTATGGATGCACGATTGCAATCAAAATCTCAAACTTTCTGTGTATATCCACATTCTACACAGATTCTCTTTAAAAGAAATCTCGGACGAGGATTCGGCCAAGCACTACAAACTTTTACTTACAGGACAGCATCCAATTTTTGATTCATCCGTAAAATTTCTGAAAGCAAAGTCACCTGAAGGTTACCTAATGTCTGTAAAGTCATCAGTTCCTGGATTTTATAATATAAAGGCAGACATGGGTTCTGGAATTGCGCATTTTGTACTGCACATTGACGGCGAAGAGCTAAAAGTTCAGGGGAAAATTGGTTGGCCAGGGGATGCTACCCAAGATACATTATTCATCGTTAAATTGGATGCCACCAACGTTGAAACAGGTCAATCTGTGCTCAGCTTCAATTCTCTTTCTGAACTCAAGCACATTAATTCATCAAACTCGATATATTTACGTGATTTTCAAATCATTAACTTTCCTGACATCCTGGTAATATCAAAGTAAGTCCTGCCTGTAGTTTTACGAAAGTGTCCGAATATACATATACATATGTGCACATAAATATAAGCGATTGTATCTTCAACAGATCTGATTTGCTGATCAGCTACCCAATTGGAGCTCCCCCAATTAATAAAACGCTCGACGTTTCATTCCAATTGCTTCCCCATGAGGAGCCACAGCGTCCAATTATAAGCACGTCCCTCGTGGACGGAATCTCTGGAGACAAATATAGTGCCCAAATTAGCTCACAAGTCAAATGTTTAGAAACGTCATGTGATATGCCCAATCTCGTCGTGGGTCAGTGGTTGGTTCTCGAGAGGCCTTCCGTGACGCCCTACACTTTCAGCTGGACAATGACACCTTCCTACAAGGAAAACAGCCAACGACCACTCTCAGCCAGAAATCGGGTCCTTTTCAATGATTCCCTAACTCTTCAGATCGAAGTCCAGATGTCACACCACGGGTTCTTTTGTCCCGAATTTGATACTGAGATTGACTCACGATTTGTTGGGACCCGTAAAGGTAGATACTGGGCAGAGTACAATGGCGATAAAGAAAACCCATCGATGAGGGAAGTTTTATTCCTCAACACGACGGCTTCTGTTAGTTTTGATTTCTTGGTTAAGGCTGCCGGCGTGCAAAGTTTGGCGGAGAGAAATCTTCACGGTGAGGTCACTAGGATCGAGTACGAGAACAAGGCGGACTCTCTGTGGGGTGGCTACTTCCGAACCGCGGGTGGAAGGCGGGATGACTTGAAGCTGCACTACAATGTGACTCTTCAAGAAAATAACTCACGCCATCGCTTTACTGACACTACGAATTCATCTAATCCTGCACAAGCCTCAACACGGATTGAAGGCTTCCTTCGAGACGCATTGAACTCGAGGATGTTTAAAGATAGATTTACAGAAATTGGTTGGAGTTGGATTTCAGGGATTGATGGCGAAGATTCAGATGAAGATATTAAAGATGTTTCGGAAGGGACTCATCGGGTCAACGTATTTTTCGACAGTTGGCGTAACTTTGAAGTACGTATTAAATTATGGCATCGTACATAGCTAGGAATATTTTAGAATTTTTTTTAAAGGGTACGCAAATTTTTAACATTTTCTTAGCTACAAGCGGGGCACACGATAAAAAGCATCTTGGGAGATTATTCTTGGACTGACAAGTTGTACTCGGTCTACCCCGCCGAAGATGGCTTATCAGAGGGCACTTGTGGTATCCAGTCATCTAAGTTGTTCAGTGGATCTGCGAAGACCAAGTTGGGAGGAGTGGAAACCATGGTGGAAATTCTGTACCCTATGCTGCGAACTCGCCTGACTTCCACGTACGAAACTCCTGCACCTGAAGCAGGAGACCCATTCATACATATAAAATACAAGCTGAAATGCTCCTCTGTACTTTTGAACGAAGACATTTTGCTGGATTTTAATTCCGGTACAGCCCACAGCTCTGCTGGTGTTGAATACAAGACATATCTCGTTTACAACACCCCGTGGATTATCAAGACTAATTTTACCAGCCACATCAAACGACAAAAGGGACAATATGCAGATCGTAAATATTTTTGAATATTTAAAGTTTTCTAGTGGCTGTGAATTGTGCCTACGGTAAAATTAGATCTTTTTCATGTTTGCTTTGATTTTTGACAGTACACGGAGAATTTGTGACGCATACAGCAACCTCGATTCAAGATCCAAGCCGATATGGCAGCAGAATGGAGTGGAAGTCGATTTCTCTTATACTTTATGAAAATCAGCGTCAAAGTGACCCTATATTTTTGCATTACGATTACGACACACAAGTCTCAAGATATTATGCAACTAATGCAAAATACTCACCGAGCTATAAATCTTCAGGATCATTCTCGTCAACTCCTGGACCTGCACAGCAATTGCTTCAGCTCCGTCTGGACAAAAAACGCAGTTGGAATCCAGATGATTGCATTATTGAAATTAATGAGGCTATGATCCGATTAGGGCGCCTTGTTGACGCCAAGGAAATCAAATGCCAAGAGTAAGTGTATTGATCATAATAAAATTACTATTTCGTGATTTTTTATAATTATCTTGCTGGACAGGCTAGAAAGTTACCTTTCAACGTTGCTGGATAATGAGAAGTCATATGACATGGAGAATATTATAAAATTCTATAAATCCAAGCTTGCTTGTGGTCGGTGTCGACCAAATGGGGATTGCAAAGAGTCGGTTGGACACTTTCTACTAAATTCAATACAAACTAATGAGAGTGTGGACGCACTCAGCTTAAAAAGTGGACAGTTGCCAGCGTCAATTCAACAGAATAACTTGATCCAAGCAGTTTGGTCGGAAGAAGGATCGTGTTCCTCGGAACGTGCTGACTTCAACCTTTACAGGACGAACAGCTTGGAAAATGGGGACAAGATTTGCGCCATGGCTTTGAAGGACTTGGGAGGTTGTTGGGCAGGGCTGAAGGCTGCGAAATGTAACAAGTCTGCCAAATCTAAGGGGGCCAAGCTCTGGAAAGATATCGTTGCAAATATGAATCCGACAGCAATCAGTGGGACGGCGGATGGTATAATTTCATATTTGGTTTGGTTTTTCCACATGTAGAATGTGTAGAAGGACTATTTTTATGCGACAGCCATATAGAAGAAACAGAATGGTTCATTGTTAATTTCTCAACAAATAAAAAAGTTTGTAAGGCATCAAAAGTAGTTGCGTGGATCACTATTAGATACATGTACATACATATTTGTCCATTTTGTTAAAAATTTAAACTGTACTTGGGGACTTATTACATAAATATACAAAGTTAACCAACTGCCTAGGCGTACGTATTTATTCTTATTTAGTTGCTCATCAATAATTCATTCTGATGAATCAAATATGTTATTACAGAAGTGTGGTTACTCAATGAACGACATTATGCACAATAGCAAAATGGATATTGTATTAACTATTAATATGGCGGACCAGCGTATGAAATTACCATTAATCGGCTAAACACCCCTTGGTAAATGCTCATTATGGATTCAAATTGTCGATTATTTGTATATTTTGCACACCTGCTTATTTTATCCTTGACATTGGACTAATGTTCCACGAAAAATGAGACTTGTTTCTTTCACGATTCCTACATACCAAGGCGTTTCTTTAACAACTCCTTCGTAGTCCAATTAATTCAAGTTTAGTGAATTTGAGTCCCAAAATGTTACAATCAGTCCAGTTTCAAACCTTTTTGATTGCCATCTTCATGTTATATCGCTCCAATGCCCAACTGGCCCCTGAGACCGACGAGTATGAGAACCAAGATGAGAACGAAGGACTTGAATTCCGACTTTTGCAAAATCGAGTTCACAAAACGGTCCCATCAATTCTGCCAATAATAAATGGTACGCGCACACACAAACATTTAACCAGAAACGTTATACACGGTATTTATGACTCTCAAAATTTTATCAGCGAACCTTTGGACAGGAATCCCATGCTTCAATCTGAACGAAACATCCTTTTACAGTTCAAGTTCGGGCGAAAGTATAAAATGCATATGCGGGAAAGCAACGCGATCACAACTTCCCGTGGTTCGAGATTACAAAACTTGGCAGTGTGAAACGACTTCGTTTACTGGAAAAACAACAACGAAACCCCGCTTTAGTCTGCTAGGACGGAAAACAACCACGAAAAAGGTTGTACTCCACAGAGTGGGTACAACCACCGCAAGGTATCAGTTTGGTGGGGTGAAGTTCTCCTTCCCAACCTGGAAGCCTAAGAGTACCACTCAGAGACCGGGATCTGGGGGAGAGAACGCTGTCGGTGTCGGTGGTGGTGGGGATGGACTTGGATTTGTAGAAAAGCCGTATCGACCACCCCCACAACAACATCAGCAGGAGCAACTCCAGCAAAAAGATCCTGGATGCAACTATTGTGTCCTTCCCCCAGGCTCGTCATCCTACAAATGCACTCCTGCATGGAGTTATGAATGCGTGGATGAGTTGAGAAGATTAAATACTAATCAGAGACCGGTGCAGTGTATGGAAGATTTTTGGACGTATAATCAACACACAAAAATTTGCCATTCACAAGACACGAATCAACAAATTTACATGGTCATTGGAACAATCCCAGACTCTCAGACTTCAATATAGTAGTCGAAACTGAATATTACACAGTTTGACAATGGTAAATTAATTAGCTTATCGTGAGTCATAAATGGTCGTACTGTGGTGCAGATAAATATACTTATTTAGCTTTACTGATTGAGATTTATTAAATAAATTACCTCGAAAAACATTCATAGCAATTAACCACTTCGCCCCTATAACGACTATGTGGCGTATTTGACATTTACGCCGAATACGACTATGTGGCGTAAGTTCCCTTGGCTCCGAAATACGACGATGCGTCGTATTGACCCTTGACAACGGATACGACTATGTGGCGTATTTTCCGTTCCCACCGGCCTACGACTATGTGTCGTATCCAGAAAAAAAATTAGGTCATTGCTCTTCCAAGTATAGTTTTAGTCAAGAATCCGCTATTTGGGCGGGAAGATGAATTGCCTCTTCGGAACCAATGTTATAAAGGGAGGTAAAAACAATTTGAAGCCAACTGGCTATTTCTAGCTAACACGCCCGATCTTGAAAACTGCTGTTGCATGGAATTTACATCCCATATTTAAACAGCAATTTCAGATAAAATTAGTGAAATTGTTTTTCTCGGATTTCGAACGCCCCAACGACATTTTGGCGGGAAAACTAACCACTGGAGCCGATGAAATCTCGTTGGGCGGGAAAATTAAGAGATTACCTTAAAAGTAGCATATAATTTTCCCGTTAAAATTGAGTTATATTCAAAATGCGCTAAAGTATGGTTTCGAACAGTTGATGCTATAATTGTTCATTACCACTGCTATCAATTTAAAGTCACTGTAAGAAAACGTATGTTTTCCCGCCCTAAGTATGCGTAAATTCTATCCATGTTAGATGTACAAGAAGCAATTTTACACATTTAAGTCTAATCACAAAATTATTTATAGCCGATGTCACGAATTGAAAGCCATATGCTATGTTTAATTTTCCCGCCCAAATAGGCTTCTGGGGCCCTTGAGGCGCTATAATCGATTTTTGCGACTATATGTACTATTATGCATGTATTAATCAATATTTGTGCAGCTTTCCATACAATTACAGCTATTTTTAAATTCGGCGTGTTGGCTATTTTCGGCTATAAACATTAGTGGTTCGCAAAAATGCACAAAGGCAAATTACAACTCAAAATCCGTTCCAAAATGGTTATTCGCATCAACTTTCATAAACAAGTGTCCAGAATAATTCCGGTGGGAACACCATTTTCCAATTCATCTCCCAGTAATTAACGTCATGCAGTAGGTGAAAATTTCGGGGTCAAGGGAAGATAAAATTCGCCGTTACTAGGGGTGAAAGGTATGAAAATATTCGTCTCTCAGGGGTGAAGTGGTTAATTTGGTTTGAATTTACATGACATTTTAAAACTGCTCAGCCAATAGAACTGCAAATGAAGCACTCTCCCCGATATGCCATGTGTGCTGCCGATTTGGATAATAATTGGCGAAAACATTTCTTTTAAAGTCATTCAAAATCTTTGACGATTCGTCCCGCGACTCGTTAAGCTTAACAATTTCCCACAATGCTACCCATGGAAAATCGTCCGCTTTAAGAGTTGTCCAGCGACTTAACCAATTTGCTTTAAATTTATTGTAGACAGCGGCTCGTTTATCCCCCAACATTGCATCTGGCAGTTTAAACACCATGGGCCACATGTTCGATGTTGTATTCGCATAAAATTGGTTCCAGTAGATAGGTTTTGCATCTTTGTAATATGCAGCCTTGTGATTTAAGACAGCAGATTAGCCTTCGCAAACCGTTTGCAGCTCTAAAAATCTACAAAATTATGTAAGACTCGTTACTTGGTATTCATTTCGTTTTGCATTCCACAAGTTGTAGTAAATGCCATTCCTTATGAGCTCAGCCCTATAATGGTAATGTTCCGAATCGGGGTTATCCAAGTCAGCCAACATAATCCCGTAGTCTTCCAGGCCTTTCCACACTTCTACATTGTCCATGAGGTAATACTCTTTGTAATTTGGTTTCGCATAAGTAAGACGGAGAGTCTCATTATACGTAATCCAGATTGCATTGGCTATTTTTCTGAGACGACAAAGGCACCAGCATATTATTTTCATTTATAACCATATTTATTGGAAAATGGAATTTGGATAACTTATCAATTTACTTTAGTTGTTGCAACTGTCCTGACACCCAGCCCCTGTCCCCACTGGCGTCCAAATAGCTTTTCACAAGGGAGAGATACGTGGCGGCGTACGAGTCGGTTGAATCTGCAGTCAAATTTGAAACCACGGTGTCGCTCGTGTCAAGGTGATGGTCATAAATGGTCCCGTCCGCATTCAGATTGGCGATATACCATTCAAGGTACTTTTTAACCTTGGCCAAAGTTGGGCCAGAGGTGTTTACTCGTAGCACATTTTTTAGTGCCAAGTTCGTAACGTATGGTAAAATGTTCACAATTTGCTGGGGATTTCGAACATTTTGTGGTATGCACCCTATGTATAAAATTCTTTAAGTTGTCCATTCTCGAGATTACAGTGTACATATATGTATAAACTTTTTAGTACGCCAGATACTGTACCTGATGGTCGTTGCAAATTAAGAATCCAAGTTACTTCTTGGTCGACAAGGTTAATATTTCCAGAAACTAAGGTGAAAATGGTTATTATTATTAATATTGCGATATGGGGAAATTTGCCCAAGTTATTCGCCATTTCAAATATTATGCTTGCGTACAACATGTCAAACGTAGAATATGTACATCCTAATAACCTTTGTTTTTATAGACAATTGTATCGCACTAATTTTGCTAATACATGGTTTTATTATTTCATCCATTTTCCATATCATAAACAAAGTGCACATGCGAATTGATTGATTAATTTACAGGTTTTAATTAACTGTCGGATGAGCGTCAATTGTGTTTTTTTAATAGCTCTGAGCACCACATAATTACTTTGTAGGTGTATCTTTATTAACCATATATACGATGCATATCCAAGAAATAAAATTAGTGGTCAACTAATTACATAAATTAGCATGCAATCATAATAGTTTCATTCAAGTATGAAAATAACCTTGAAAGGTATATAAAACGCATTTGAAATGCTTTTTGGAAAAAATTATGTAAATGATTTATTATAGTGTCAACAAGCAGCTTTTTGATAATTTAATAATCAACATATTACGTATGAAAGCTAAAAATATTTAAATATATCACAAGATTGCGTATTTAAAAAATGCATGGCACATCAGTTAGTAAAAAATAAAACATGAGACTCAATAAATAAATTAGTACGTATTTCATACGTATATGTAAATATCTTATAAGGATATGCAATGCATTATGCATTACTTGTATTATTAATATGTTCCTTTCTGACATTTATTCACCGCCGGTCAAAGATAAGTACTGCCCAAGGCATGATTTCCGGCTAAATTGAAACGGCTGTAGCAAGTCTTGCCAAAATCACCTTTCTTAGATTTTTACTCTAAATTTAGTTTATAATGTTAACTAGCTCTTAGCGAAAAAGCTAAGAAAGGTGATTTTGGCAAGGACCGCTACGACGGCACAAAGTCAGGTCGGATTTTGACTTTTTGGGATAGAAAATAATTAAAAAATAAATTTTATAAGTGTTTCGTTGTCGTGAACAACCTATTTTCACTGAAGTTCTATCCCTCTTCTTACAATGCGATGGTGTGAAGTGTAACCCTCCGATTTGGATAAAATTTCGAAATCATGTGGTCCATGTCAACGTTTCTTGAGGCAGTTTGTGCGATGGTCAGACTTTGTCAAAATATTTGAGGTCAAAGTTGAAAAATGGGCGATTTTTAGCACGGGAAGAGAATGGAAGTTGAGTTTGCTACCTCTACCTGGTAAAAATCACCCGTTTTTCAACTTTGACCTCAAATATTTTGACAAATTCTGACCATCGCACAAACTGCCTGAAGAAACGTTGGTTGTATTGACATGAACCACGTAATTTCGAAATTTCATCCAAATCGGAGGGTTACACTTCATACCATCGCATTGTTAGACTACTTCGAATAGCCCGAGCCTATGTAACTAAGTCCGTCTGTCCTTCGGTAAATTGATAAGTAAGTCTTGTAAAACTTACCTGATTGACTTGTAATTTTGTATGCACTTAATATATCTCAAATAAAGAATTCAGTTAGGAGATTAACCCTATGGAACCTTCTAGTTTTGCTAAAAAGAAATAGAAGAGGAATTTTATAGCCAAGTTTTAAGGATTAAAAATGATCTTGCAAGAAAGCCAATTTATGGATATTTTCCAAAGTCTAGATGGGTGACCTACATTGATTTTTGAAATTAGTCGGAAAACATTAGTATGTGCAGTGTTTATTTAGCCCGAATCCGGGTCATAACCCGCTTCTAAAATTTTGTCAGATGATACAACTAAGGGAAACTTCCTACTTGCCAACAGATTTCGATGCCTTTTTGATGTGATAGTATCCCATGAGTGTACTAAACAATCAAGTTGCTTGACTCCAGAGTATGGGAGCCCAAGTTTTTCGGGCATGCCATGCCCAGCCCAGCCCACGTGGGCATTTTATTGCCCAAGAAATTCGGGCTGGGCTTGGCTGGGCATTGCAAAAATGCTGCCCAGCTACTCTCTGCTTGACTCACTGATCACACCCGCCACAGCCACTCAAAAAGCCAAACAGATGAATAAAATTGGATATTATGCTAGATATTATGGAAAAATTTTTTTGCCAAAAAATATCCCGGTTTTAGTAAGGACAAATATGGTCACCCTATCTCGGTGTACGAAAAAATTTAGGGCCAACGTATAAAAATTCAGAAAAAATATCTTTATCAACTAATAAGCGGTTTCTTCCCGATTTAGCCCTCTCCCCCCACAAGTTCGATGCGAAGTTTCGAGATGGGCGAACAATGTATTTTGCAATGCGAGAGGGAAGTTGAGACTGGGAAAAAACTCGAACCCACTCTTCTTATTTTGGGCAGGGTATGCCACCCCGGGTTTTTGGGGTATTGGGTATTGCGAGTTTTGGTGGGTTTTGGGGTAGCAAATTTAACAAATACCCCGACTACCCGCAAAAACCAGGTAAAGCCCCGGGGTATGGGTTTTCAATAGCAAAACCCCGGGGTTTTCCTTACCCTGATTTTGGGCTTATTTTGTATTATTTCCCAAAAACAAATAACCTTTCATGAAGTTTTCTAAGGAATTTGGACTATTAATATTCGCAGAAAATCGTACTAACTACTATTCATAAGCGTCAGAAATGTTCCTATAATGCGGTATGCAAAATTTCAGCTTTTCGACTAATTTCCAAACCCAGTGGGGGTCACCTTGTTGGGTCCCCTGGCATAAAAATCTTACAATTTACATATTTCTTATTTGTTATCTGATCTGCCCCAACAGTTAATGCAAATTTAAGCCTTCTGTGTCCATTTTCGAAAATATGTGGGGGTCGCCAATTTGGTCGATGACATTCGTACATTAGTACGAGTTAGTATTTGTGTACATTAGTACACAAATGTCCCGAATTTTAGCCGTCTAAGACCATTTCAAATATTCTGAACCAACAACCTCACCCGATTTTAATACTTCGCCGATGAGCCATTCAAATTCGTGTATAAAGTTCGAAATCAATTTGACAGTTTTTAATCTAAATTAAGTTTAAATGATGGTCTACAAGCAGGGTTCGGAAAAACCCAGGGTTTTATTCAAAAAGTATCGACCCAGGGGTTTTAATGGGTTTTAATGGGTTTTTTGGGTTTTAATGGGTTTTAATGGGTTTAATGGGTTTTATTGGGTTTTATTAGGTTTTACTTAAATAATACACTGAAAAAAATTTTCACAACTATTGCAACCCAATTCCAGTCATACATATGCAAATCCTTGTCCATGTTAGAATATGTACGTATCTGTTCATATTAACTGATGACAATTTAATACTATTTGGGACCATAATTAATTCTTTTTCCTGAATACTACCTCTCATCATAATGAAATCCAAGTTGACCAGAACAGCAAAAATCTTGTCTTGTAAGCAGTTCATGTGAAAATGTCCCCCATACGACACATTTCCAAGCATACATATTGAAAATTAAAATATAAGCTTTTTCTACCTCCAACAGAACCTAAATATGTCCCTATTAGAGAGAAATTCAAACCAGCAAAAGCTTCCAGGGCTTTTGTGGTTGAGTAAAAATTCATAAAATTTGTAAAGTTTTTCAAAATTTAATGTTTCCAAATTTAATAGTTTTTAGCGATCTCAAGGTGCATTATTACTTCTGGAAAAAATCGAGTATTTATGGATAACGAAATACATTATTATGAGCAAAAAAAGTATATCCGTAAAAAGAACTTGTTATGGTCTAGAGTAGTATTAAATAATACATGATCAGTTAACCTATTCCGAAATTACTTTTCTGTATCACTTGAAACCTGTGATGGTAAGGGATGGATTCGTTGATTTATTCCTGGTTTCAAAACGTACAATATTAAAGAACTAAACTGCTTAGCTGCCGTAAAACAACTTCGTCTCACGTATGATAGATGTTTCCAGCTTTTAGAATATAGTTTTAAGGTAAAACCCAGTTAAAATCCATTAAAACCCAAATAAAACCCATTTAACATGGTAAAACCCAATGGGTTTTATTCATTAACAACCCATTAAAACCCATTAAAACCCAAAAAACCCAACCCAATAAAACCCTGGGTCGGAATACCCTGTCTACAAGGCCTGAATAGAGCCACGGGTCTCCCTGATAACAGACTTGAGCCATATTCTAACTCAATTTCTAATTTTAAACATAGTGCAAAAAGTTTCAAGTCAATCGGTTAAGGTTTATGGGACTTACAATTAATTTACAGACAGACGGACTTACATGGTTACATAAGCCCACCCTCGGGAGATATGTTCATTCATTTCTGAACCATATTACAAAATAGTTGCCAATGACGTATATTTTATCAATTTAAAAAATAAAATTCTTGAGCCAGGCCGAAAAACCAGCCTTGGAGAGTACTTTCCTTTATGATTAAATCCGTTGTTTATTTATTCATGATCATTAATCCGTCCAATCATCAATGCTTAATTAATACAAGATTTCCGAAAAAGTCATGAAAAATGCAACTATGAAAATAATACAACTGTCTCACTGCAGCAGCAGCAAGTTCAAACTGAGATCGGTTGCGGCCTGGCTGTTCATTTCACATTTTTTACCACTAAACATTGAACATATTTTAACATGTTGATTGCTTGCATTTTAAGTTAATTACTAAATATTTGTCTTTTTCTCTTGTAGTTTATTATACTGTTCATAGTGTATTCAAATTGTCACCTCTGATTGCCATATTCTTCATCGCCATTATTGCATTCGAAAATCGTATCCAGGAGATACAATCCTCAGATTTAAGGACGGGAAGTACCAACTGAAGGTAATTTTTTGTCTTTAATACATGTGAAATGCTGTTGTTGCATCATTCATATTTTGAGATTAGTTGTTATGAAACGTTCCAACTGGGCGTAGTGGTGACATAGTGATTGATTATTAAACTATTGTTGTAATTGTGGATAAAACGAAAAGAATAATGATTTGGAATGATGTGGAGGTTGGAGGGTTGATGGCGTCCGGCTTGGCGTTGGAGGACCGTGGGGGAGACGAGGAGGGAAGAAACGTCCTCCAAACTCTCGCCTCAATCAAGTCGCAGATATCCTCGGTTCTTGGCCTGCTCCAAACGGCACACGTGTCTGCGGAAGGTGCGGTCATTGTCTGCCCATTGCTCATTATTACCAACTTTCTGCTTTTTCCAAAATTAATCAAAGTCTCACAACTCTTGTTTTTATGATTAACTGTACATTGGTTGCCTTTTACGTTGAGCATTATTACAAGTTTGGTTTGATAAAGTATGCATTTGATACAAACGTAGAGCTGATTTAGTTTGTAATGTTACCATATATTTTACTGCAATTTCAGAATTTTTGATTTGTGTCCTTAAAAATAGCATAAATTAGTAGTCAACTCAATAGTAATTTTATTGACTAGGTGCAGCAGCAGCAGCAGAAATGTCATCACCATCCGCTACAGTGGCAACAACACTCCCTGTCGACGAGAGTGAGGCGATTTCTCGAGATGATGTCAAGGCACAGAGAGAGGCAAAGAAAGCGGCGAAGGCTGCTCGAAAGAATAAAAGCTTGGGTGGCGAATCCGTGACGGCAGATGGAAATAAGACAATTTCGACGCCGAAGAATAATGCTCCCAAAGGTGACTGACGTGTCCAACTCTCATCAGAAAGATGAAATTAATTTTAAAATTAATTTTTTCTGTGTTTAGAAAAGAAAGAAAAAGTCTCAAACCCTGTAGGAGGTCCGAAGGTGCATAAGGAACAAAATCTATCAAAACCGGATAGTAATAAGCCGAGTAAATGTGAAGATAAAGCAGAGGAGGTGTCCCAAGAGAAAAACCCACCTGCAAAACCCACAAACACTCCAGCTAAAATCAAGGAATCTATTGAAGCCGTCCCTGAACCTGAAGTTGTTAACGCCAAGTCATCCGCCACCATAGAACCTGCACCCAAACCACGCCCCACTTTTGAATCCCTCGTCGAAAAAGTTCACCCTAAATTCCGCGAACTTGGTCTTAAATACTCAAACTATATCCTTCGTGGTTCCAATCAAAGAACTATCGCCCTTCTCTCCACCACAAAGTCGTACATTTTAGGATATCGTACACCAGAGGGAAAAGGATTCAAGCAGGATCTTTCATCTCAGCTCCAATTTTATTACGAGAAGCTCAAGCTTTATCGGCCATATGCTGTTGGGATGACCACAGCGGTGGAAGGAGTGAATGCTGCCATTCGTGCATTAGAAGAAGGCATGTCTGATCCGCAATATAAAGAGGAACTCGAAGAGTGGGTCGATCGCTTCATTGAAGAGAAAATAACAAAAGCGGTGGAAGCCATTGCAGAAAAGGGCGCAGAAAAAATTCGGGAAGGGGACACCATCCTCACATTTTCGCTCACAGACGCAATTTATGAAACATTCAAACTTGCTGGAGAATCCGGAACGCGATTCAATCTTGTTCTCGCCATCACCAAGTCAGATCACTACCTTGCTGAGTACACCCAACTCAAGCAAGCCATGGGCGGAGACGTATTGAAAAGCCAAGTGAACATCAGTTGTATCAATCTCTCGTCCATTATGTCGTTTATTTCTTCGGTAGATAAAGTATTTTTAGGTGGACATGCTCTGTTTACAACTGGGGGAGTTATGGCACATGCGGGGGCCAGTACCGTAGCCCTTTGTGCGAGCCATCACAATATCCCCGTAATCTTCTTTTGCGAAACTTATAAGTTTTGTGACAAATCCCCAACGGATGCATTCTACTCTGATGTATTCCCTGAAAATAAATTTGGTCTTGCCGTTGATAAGGAAGTTGGGGTAGAGGATGACGAAGGTTTAACTGTAGCTCGGATTTGTTACGATGTGACTCCGGTAGACTTGGTTACTTGTGTGATAACGGATATTGATATGTTGCCGAGTTCTAGTGTGCCGGTAGTGTTAAGGGTGCAGGAAAGTAGACCCTTAACCAAATGTTTGTGACCATTTTAATTGTAAACGTTTACTATTAAACATACTGTATTCTATACCATGTCAAAAAATATTAATAAAATTTGTTTTACATATATTCATTGTTGTATTATTTGTTGCATTGTAGCAGAAAAATAGAAACCCCAATGTTACATTGACTGGTTGGAAAATCCTTTCGAGATAAAATATAATGCATCAATTTGTAACACATTTAATAGTTCAGATGTTATTTTCTAATTAAATGTTCATGGAAATGACTTTACACTCCAGTAATCACAAACTTGAGAAATATCTAATCGAATATAAAGTGTTTGTACAAATTAAGCATGCACTCTTGTCCAACGAGGTTATCTTAATCATTTTGTTAACAAGAACTCGTCAATTCGTTGATTGCCAGTCCAATCATTACGTTTATTTTCCATAACTTGGATCGATTGATTGACACTTTATAAAATAGTCTGTTAACTGATTATGATTAGATGTCCTCTTCCACACTCCTTTGTGCATGCCCTATATTATCAGATAATGAAGACATACATACACAGTTTAAGTGTTGCCAGCAACACTTTACGAATTCTGCTACAACGCTCGTCCTAAACGTTATTTAAAAATGTTTCTTTATACTTCAGTGCTAATCTTTTTAGGAACTGTGTGTTTTGGACACGGCCAAGAATCGTGTAATTGTGGTCCAGATGAATATCCACTTCCTAAAATTGTCAAAGTAAATCAAGAAACTCATCAATTCATTGATGAATTTGGTCGAAGTAGTTGGTTTCATGGGACAAACGTGGTCACCAAACAATTTCCTTTTCATCCTGACCTTGGTGACCCAAGCGTGTGTAATAACACGCTTCCCTCACCTTTTTGCGATGCAGATATGGATTATCTCCAACAACTTGGCGTCAATGTTGTCAGACTGGGTAACAATATACAGCCACGCTTTTTTTGCAGCAATCCTAATCGTTTCATATTTATACATAGCCTTTGTTACAACTTGTTTTACAATAAATAGGTGTAATGTGGCAAGGGGCTGAGCCTACACGTGGGATTTACAATTGCACATATTTTTGTGTAATTCATGGAATAATTCAGTCCTTGGCCAAGAGAAATATTTACACGTTGATTGATGTGCACCAAGATGTTTTAGCGAGACAATTTTGTCAAGAAGGAGTTCCAGATGTAGGTCTTCTAAATTACAAAATAAAAATCACGAGCACATATGTAAAGCAGTTAATATTTCCAATTCTCGGTTCAGTGGTTTGTACGGAAGGATTGGATTGCAAACGAATCTCTACGCTTTCCATTCCCACAAGCAGCTCCGTTCACTACAGGTGAATTGTTTTCGTCAAAAATCAATTAATAAGGCGCTGTTCGTAAACTTCGTAACGCTGGCTAACCATAGGAAGATAGGGATTTTTCCCTATCCTGCCCATACTGGCCAGCGTTACGAACAGCGCCTAATACCAACTACCAATTAATAATAATTATGACCCATGCATTTGCAGACGACAACGGTATTCCCGATCCGTGGGACCAGTGCTGGCAAATTGGTGCAAATTGGTTTCTCAGCTATTTCTCCGTGGCCACGAGTGACGCCTTTGGCAAATTTTATGCAAATTATGATGGGCTTTTGGATTCATTCGCTTTATACTGGGCAAAGATTGCTCAAGAATTCAAAAATCATAAAAGCGTGATGGGCTATAACCTATTGAATGGTAAACATAAGATTTACGCATGTGCAAAAACGCGTACAATATTGATCAAGAAAAAACTAATAATTGAGGTTGGTAACAATTTTATACAGAACCATGGGCTGGCGACATCTACGAAAATCCTGCCCTCCTGATGTATGTAACAAATATTAATTAATCGGAGTGAGTAAAATTGGTTTTTAAAATAACCCATCTTGTTCAACATAATCAGCCCTGGCGTAGCGGATGATGTAAATCTGGCTGCTGTATGGGAACAGGTCACTACTTCCATCCGCCAAGTGGATAACGAAACAATCATCTTTTTCGAAGGTGTCACGTGGGATATTGTTGACGGGCATCCCAACGTTCCTGGTGGCGACGGTTCAAAAGCCGCGTTGAGTTATCATTACTACGCTCCACCACAATTGGGACTTCATCCAGCCTTGCAAAACCGTGTCAAAGATCACGAACGTCTCAAATCGGGAGGAATCCTTACAGAGTTCCGGATGTGGGGCGGCAACGGAGATGAGGATGTGAAACTAATTGACACCCGGATTAGGGATACTATTGATGCAGCTGAAAAATATCTGCAGTCGTGGGTCGGTTGGGGTTTCCACTCCGTCGTTGATCGAAATCCATTAGTGAAAAAACATTATGCTCGAACATATGCGTCAGCAGTGGCCGGAAAACTACTCTCAACAGGGTTCAATGAAGACACTGCAGATTTCTATGCTGTCTGGGAGGTGGACAAAAGTGTAATTGAACCGACAGAGGTTAGACTGAGTCAAGAAACTTATTATGCGGATGGATACGAAGTTCGAATAATGCCGAGCACTTGGGCATCTTGGGAGGAAGTTGACGAGGGGAGGATGATAAAAATTATTTACAAGGATGATGTGGTCGTGGACAATGGAAACATTACGATTCGAATTTTTCCAAGGGACCCAACTTTGGATAACAACAGCGGTTTTTCCCATTTTTATTACGGACCAAGGAGCCTTTTGAGTTGGTTGACCTTGTTCTGTATGGTGTGGTATGACGTCTACCTTGGTTAAAAAGCTGTTGGATTGAATTAAATGACATACTTGTTAAATAATAAATACATATTTATTTATATCAAAAGAATAAAGAGCTGACGATAGGGACTAATTGCAGAAATTACTGATCATGCCACACATGTCAAATCAGTCCACCTGATGATGTTACCACTCCTCCTTTTCTAATCTGAGCCTAATTGAAATGTCACGTTTTACACGAGTAATTTATCAAGTACAAAGCCCGTACAAAGCAATTGCTGAATGAGATTAATCAATCACGAGGGAATGAAAATCACGGATAAACATTAGGCATCGATAACATTATTGTGGACTGACATCAATTAATTGGGCCAAAGTGCACATTGTTGATAAATTATAAAGTGCTGGAGAATCAATCAGTGGATATTTCATTTTCAGGAAGAAAAGTTTAATATATTCATCCATCCCGTTTTTCTTTGTTAAAAATGGCTTTGAAAGTCTTCTCGTTCCTGATTCTGGTAGGAATTGTAGCCTCCAGCAAGCCAGCAATAGTTCAACAAGACTTATGGGAACAAATTGTGACAATGCGTGGTTCTGCAAATGTACTTGTATCCTTCCCTCAGGATACCGGCATTCTGTCAAAAGTCGTAAACTCGTTGTCGCCAAAGGTGGAACGATCCACAAAGATTTCAGCCATAAAAAGTGCACTCGAAGCGTCAGCATCCCAGAGTCAGGAGCGGGTAACATCTTTTCTGGAGAAAACGGGAGTTATTTCTTACTCATCCCTTTGGATTTCTAACCAAATCTACATTCGCGACTTGAAAGCAGATTTACTTTATGAATTGCTCCAATTTGAAGAAATTACCAAGATTTCTTTAGAACGGATGCATAACACGTTCAATCCCGTAGGAGCAGCAGGCCCACTCTCATCAACACAGAATAGAGAAGTTAAGGCTGAATGGGGGATTTACAAGATTGAGGCGGAAGCTGCTAATCAATTACTGCGAAACGTATCTGGTGGGACCCTTCCTGAAATTCGAGTTGGTATTCTTGGGACAGGTTAAAAAATATTTACTTTCTAGAGTGACTAAATTTCTACTGTACTTAGGATTAGCTTAAAAGATTAATGGTGGTGGTGCTTAACCAATTATTTGCTTTCATGCAGGAGCCCACGCCACCCATGAAGCAATTCGAGACTCGTTTCTCGGTCCTTACGGATGGTATGATCCTCATGGCGTGTACGACCCACCGGTTGACGTCGTAGGGGTCGGCACGCATGAAATTGGAGTGATTGCTGGGAGCAATGGCGTTGGCGTTTTTCCTTCTGCAAAATGGATGGCATGTCGTGCTTGCGCAGATTTCTTTTGTGGAGATTACGCTATTCTTCGTTGCGCTGGTAACACATTTCATGTGAACAATATTGTTATAATAATTTATGTGTTCTACTTGTGGAGGTTTTGAACTTAATTAAAAATTCTTCCAGAGGTTTTTACTTGTCCACTTTATCCTAATGATACGCTACCCGATTGCTCAAAAGCACCACATGTTGTTCATGGAGATGTCTGGACAGGCCCAGGAGACGATTGGTTTGACAGGTACAGAGGTCAAATGTCAATTAGTACGTCATAAATGGCATGATCTTTATTTGAGAACTCTGACCTGATAGATCCCTCGAAATTTGGGAGGCAGCCGGAATAATTCCTGTCTGGCCGTTGGGAGGAGGAGGGCCTGCTTGCTCTTCGGGTATGTAATAAATAATATAATTGTATTTATTAACTTGTGTGCTAAGTTTGCTTATATTATTTATTTGAATTTTAGCTCGCTATCCATCAGAATCTGCAAAGGTGATCGCAGTTAGTGGGACAACGCCGGAAGATGTTTGGTACGAGCGGAGCAGTGCAGGACCTTCCATGACCTCTGGACGAATGAAACCTGAAATGGTCGCCCCAGCCACAAATATTTTGTCTGCGTATAATCTTGACGATACTACACTCATTCCACTGTCAGCAACTAGTTGTGCCTCCGCCCACGTGGCTGGCGTCGTTGCAATTTTGAAAGCCTATGATCCAAACCTGTCCTTCACTCAGATTTTGATCGCTTTGGCGCGTGGGGCGCAGAGGGAAGGGCTTGGTCTGTCTGTTGACGACCTCGTTTGTGGTGGAATCCCGGTTACGACGTTTCCAAATAACATTTTTGGATTTGGTAGATTGAACGCCCTGGGATCGTTAAATTATATTATCAAACACTTCTAAACGTTTATTATTGTATTCAACTGACAAATTATTTCCGAGAAAATTAAATTCGTGAATTTAATCAGTGATTAATAATCACTCATTCGCTTGGTAATGAATTTTATTAAAGGGTGAAAAACACTTAGGCATTTTCTCCCAGACTGCTGGAACTTGCATTATTATTTCAATGTCATATTTATTTATTTGTAATGAACATCTTGTCATAGAATAAGTTGAAAATTTATTACACACATAATACTCTTATCACGAAAAGTCGTACGCCACGAACTCTGACCTCTCTAGACACGAGAGTCCACCATGCACGACCAAAGTAAAAATTCGGAACTCTAAATACAATGAATGATGGTGTGGTTATTTTCCCGACACTTTGGCAATTACCCATTATGCATTTCCGAACAAACTTTATACAATTCATACTCTTACATCCATGGCTTACTCATAAAGATTTGTTAACACGATTACTCACAGGATTCATTCTGGCATTTGTCAATGATTATCTTTATAGTCTAATTAAACACAGTTTCCGATGTTGTATCATACAACTTGTATGTGACATACATATGCATTTTATACGTGTGCATGCATGTACTTATATAAATATGTGCTACCATTTCAATAAGTTGGTGTATTTACATATATGCACTAACACATCACCAAATAATATATATTGATGATGTACATATATAAATGTAACAGTAAGTAACTTTATAATCTTCTTTGGCTGGAGTTTCTTTCTAATCAGTAAATTAATTATCAACCAACCAACACAGAAGAAAAACTAATACGAATTTCTTATACTTTTAAATAAAATAAATTTCCAATTAAATTATGTCAAGTGTCTCCACGACCGTCGGGAATATACAAGCTCCGGACCATCCCCACTTCATTCTAATCGACACAGATGCCGGAACGGACGATGCATTGGCTATTTTCCTCATGATAAAAGCTCACCAAAATTCAGAGCACCCAATTCACATCGTGGGGATTACTACGGTTAATGGAAATACGAGTGTAAATAATGTGACGGAAAATGTCGCCATGATTTTAAAGGGGTGTGGCGCTGAGGAGTTGTGTGTAAGATAATAAATATTAGCTGAGTATTAAAATCTTGAGAAATTTTTTTTAACAAAATCTCAAATTAACTTAAAATCACAAGACTCGACTCTACAAAGGATCTTCTGCGCCTATCGTGCACCCATTTCGACACAAAGTTGAACCTTATCACGGAGAAGATGGATTTGGGGACGTTGAGGACAGGGAGCAACTTTTAGAGGATTATGGTGGAAATATAAAAATATCGGCCGAACACGGCGTGGCTGCTATTGTTCGATTGGCGAAAGAGTATTACGGTTCGTTCGTCGGTTCATATGCAAATGTGACTGTTAAAATATTACAATTATACAACATCTTCAGGTCAACTCACTATCCTTGCTCTCGGACCCCTCACCAACCTCGCTATGGCCGTTCGCATTGACCCCACAATTAGGTCGAGTTTAAAAAGTATTTATTGTATGGGAGGCAATATTGAAGGTTATACCGAAATATGTAATATAATTTATTATCAAGTATCATACTTACCGACTACTACAAAATGCCACAGGGGAAGGAAATGCCACAATCAGCGCAGAGTTTAACTTCGCCATTGATCCGGAAGCTGCTTTTATAACCTTGAGTGAATTTCAATGTGAAATTACGGTGGTTCCTTGGGAAGTTTGCAAACGCCAGGCTATTTCAAAGGTATTTTATTTAGTTATAACTACTTATATGCGTATTTCTAATTTTAAAATATTCATCATTCATATTGTTTGTGTGTTTAGAGTTGGCGTACATCAGTTCTGGGACAAATGTTGACGCCACAATCAATTTTGTTGAACAAGATCGAAATGAGAATTATAGAAAAAAGTTTCGATGTTTGGATTCCTTGTGACCAACTTGCTGCTGCAGTTTTGGTGGATTCCAAGGTCCTGAATTTTACTTAGTTACGTGTCTACATAAGGTTAGCTCATTTGATGGTAAATTTTGTGACCGAGAGCTTGGGACGAGTTTGGGATTATTGTGGGGAAAAAATTTGTTGTTACGTGAAGTTAAGGTAATTTTATAAAGTAATGATGATGATTTCTGGTGGTGGTGGTGGGGAAAATTGATGATTTTTTAACACATTTCTTGAGCACGTTGTCGTCTATCGTTTTTAATATAAAAAGACAATGGGGAGAAATTGCGCAATTTCAAGTTGTCCAAACAGAAAAGGAAAGCCTTCTCATAAAGTCCACGCATTTCCCAATGCGAAACATGCTCTCCTCCGGACCACTTGAATTTCCAGAACAATTGGAACATCATCCCTTAAAATTGACAACTTCGGGGTTTGCAGCCGTCATTTCTCTTCAAATGATTATGTAGCAGGTCAGGTCACCGGAATAAAAGCTAAAGGAGGCGCCCCAGTCTTAAAGTCAATTGCAATACCAACTCTGAATCTGTGGAACAGTCCAACTGGTATTATAATTGGATTATTTATTATAATAAAATTACTTATAATTTCGATGCATTAAAGGTGAGACACAACTGCCTGATACGGATTGTATGCGGATTGACATGGGCGCACCCATATGTATTGAATTGGATCGAATAGAAATGGGTGGCACAGAAATTCAACAAACCGTGGCGAACGTCGCAATAAATAGCGATGTCACCTCAAATAATGGTATTTATTACCACTATAAATTATTTTTCGAACTCTAATTTACATAATACATATTTGATGTTAATTACTAGAACTGCAGCTTCATATTGAAATTGCCGGACTAAAATCGGAGATTCAAGAATGTAAAACGGCCCTTGAGTCCAAAAACAAAACCATACGGAGTTTACGTGTCCAGATACAGAGAATAACAACAGAATAACAGAATAACAAGTGCAACTATCCGTTCCCGTCCATCTCAACATTAAAAAGATGGTTGCAAGAGGTCTCAATTATACCTGGGAAAATTATGACTCCAGTCATGGATGTTATGAGAGCTAAGTTTTTGGAAAAGTCAGAAAGGGAGCGAGTTTGCGTCCTAGCCTTAGATGAAGTGGGCATCAATAAGCGTTTCGTGTATGACAAATCCGCAGACAAAGTGTATGGGGGACGAGACTGTGTTCCAGTTATCACTGCAAGAGGCTTATTTTCTTCCTGGAAGCAGATCCTCTACTACGATTTAGAAAACAAGACGACAGGCCAGCACATAACAGAAGCAATTAAAGCATTGTTTGATATTGGACTGATTATTATTGTCGCCTTCGTATCAGACTTGGGCACGAAAAATCAAGGACTATGGAAGGAGTTTGGGATAGGAAGAGTAAAAAACGGTGAAATAGGAGCAAATCATTTTCCACATCCGAGCGACCCAACTCGAAATGTGTATGTTTTTGCCGATTTTCCCCATTTAATTAAGCTCTTGAGAAATCATTTACTCGACAACGGTATCAAGCTCCCCAGCGGTCCCATTCTCGATCGGAAACTCCTGGAAAAGTTGTTAGCAGTGCAAAATTCAGAATTCCGGTTGACTCATAAACTCACCCACAAGCATATATTTCTCAAGGGGAAGAAGCGTCAGAATGTGGCTACTGCATTCCAATTGTTCTCAAAGAAAACAGCATCTGCTGTTCGATTCCTAACATACGGACATGTCCATGAGGCCAATTTTATCGAGAATGTCAACAACTTTGCCGACCTGATGAACACAAGAATAGCGGAAGAGCATACAAATAATTACAAGTGTCCTTATGGAGTGCGGAAAGACAGACAGGACCAACTTTTAAACTACGTAACAAAAATATTTACAGACCTCCGAGTTGGCAGTCGAAGAGCTTATGCACCATTCCAAAAAGGCTGGCTTATAAATATTCGATCGCTGCAGGATCTTTTTGACGACATGAAAGACAGATACGCCATCAAATATATATTGACAGCAAGACTGAATCAAGATTATTTAGAAAATATTTTTAGTCAAATACGAGGATTAAACGGCTTTAAACTCAACCCCGATGCTCTGGAGTTCATGTATCGAATGAAAACTCTTGTGTGTAACTGGAATCTCACGGTACCAGTAACTGGGTCAGTTCATCAAGATGCGGAGGATACAGCAATGGTCACTTCTGAGGTGCTCAAGTCATTGATGTCCAGTCAGAGAGAAGACGAAATATTAGCCGGGCCGGTAATGAGCGAACTTCAATTAGATCAGTTCAATGATTTAGATTGGGACATCGAGAGTGTAGATCCAAGGACGGAAGAGATGACGTTTCAGCAGCGAGCTGAAGAAGGTGGAATGGAGTACTGTGCCGGATACATCGCTAAAAAATTTTACGACGATTATCCAGAATTAAGAATAATAGGAACAGAAGAACGGTCCCCTTTCTGGATAGATTTCTTGTCTAATGGACACTTGACCGAGCCATCAACAATGTGGTACTCCACCGTCAAAAAATTTGAAGACATTTTTGCCATACTGCACCCAAACATGACTATCGACATGAAGCCCAAAGTTGTGAGAAGATTTTATAGTTTACTGACTACCAATTATTCTCATGTACCAAAGAAAGTGTTGTCTACGTATGCAAAATTCCGCACCCTGCTACGAGTTCGCCATCTTAATTTAAAATATGAGGACGCGTCGTACGTTAATGGGGAAAGGAAACGGTTGGCGTTCATAAATAACGCACGTGGACGCATTGATCGTTCGGATGAAGAAGATGAAGAATTTAGGGATGGCGAAGAAGAGTTTGAGCTTCCTCCCGACCCAGCCGAAGCTGATCTGGAGATGATCAATTCAATTTTGAACTCTTATACGCTAATTTAATCATATTTACGTTCAAAGTGTATTAATTATGCTGCCTATAAGTTTGTAGGCAAATTGTATTGTAGTTGCATGCATAAACTTGTTTTTCTAAAATTTACACTTTCGTTATCATTACCATAATCAAATGTGCTCAAGAAATCATCAATTTTCCCCACCACCACCACCAGAAATCATCATCATTACTTTATAAAATTACCTTAACTTCACGTAACAACAAATTTTTTCCCCACAATAATCCCAAACTCGTCCCAAGCTCTAGGTCACAAAATTTACCATCAATTGAGCTAACCTTATGTAGACACGTAACTAAGTAAAATTCAGGACCTTGGTGGATTCCAAGGCGAGAATGCTTCTTTGGAACAGTATCAAAAGTTAAAAATGAGCATGTGTATAATATCTATGCGTTTATTTATCTGGGCAGGCAATAATTACATCAAAGTCAATCCATTGTACGGTTGAGCTCCAGGGCCACCACACTCGAGGGTTGCTGATCCTGGACCACATGGGGATTCGAAGAAAAGAGGACAACGTTAGAATTGTGACGGAATTAGACAAGGGTCTCGTAATGGCGTTGATGCTATGGGCAGTGGGCGGAGAAAAGCCTTGATTCATTGACATTAAAACAACAAGATTTTTTACAAGCAAATACACTTTCCATCATTCCAAGGGATGGAATTAACTTCATCATAGTAAAAACGTATGCATATGCATTTGCAATAGTAGCTTAGTAGTAAGCATTGTGTCCGAAAAACAAAATAAAATATTAGTGAACTGTACAAATGCTTTATTTTATTAAGGAAATACTTTAAGTTTTACAATTCGTGAAGAAAGTGTTGGATATAGCGTAAAGTTTTCCAAATGCCGAACTGGCAAGTTCTTCATTTCATTATTGCTTTCATCGCAGCCTTTTTGGGCAGCAACGACCTGAACTGACTCAAGGACATCGGAGAAGGAAATCCCCATCAGAAACGGGTCGTTGGCACCGGGTTGGAGGCAGTATTGTTCACCTGAAGATAGCGTCAGTGTCCAAGGGTTGTTCCCAGTGTAAGCAAAGGAAGTGACCGACATTGGGTTGGGCAGACGCAGACTGTCGCCTTCCACAAAGAGCTCGTTCCCCTTCCAACGCTCCTCGAACAGCGAGAGAGACGTGGCATCCAAGTCGTTGGAGGCCAAGTGACGAATCGACGTGTATGTTGCTGACTGTCCGTTGTCATCGTCGTGCAGAGAGACGCACACCATGCCCAGGTTCGAGTTTGCCAACAGACCATTGCTAATGTCAAAGGTTGGATTTACGGGGTCTTCTTGATAAGTTGGACCAAATGTGATGTTCCCATAAATCACCCAACTGTTTAGGTAACCAACAATTTTAATAGAGAAATATAATCAACTCGGCTATAAAAATACTGGTCAAAATTATACTTACACTCCTTTCTCGACACAAAATGACTTTGCCACCCGACCAATAATGGTAACATCCTGGACGTTTGGAACGCTATAGGTAAACGATTCCGAGTCCCCTGTGTAATCTTCGTTAGTAAAAAACGTGAATTTCTGAAGATTATCGCTTCTACTCTCTATAAATTTCCCAGCGTTGGGTTGTCCCAATGTCAAGAGCAGAGTTGCTGCCAGGACGAAGGATGGTTTATTGAGGACGATCATGATCAGGGTTGGATATTGAAGTTATCGGAGGAGTGTTGCTATGAAATAAAAACAAGGTTTATGATTTCGTATCAAGTTGTGACTGAAGTTTTGGACCAAGAGTTGCGCCCTTTTATACAAGGAATTACTCCGCCTGTGTCGCCGTAGTTTATTTATTGTTTGTCCGAGGACCATATTTGTCGCATGCAATGAAGACGTATGTGTGCAAACGACATTGAACTTGTGTTTATATTTATCCGTTCCGGCTGGTAGCAGCAGTATGCAGTCGCAAAATAAAAATGCGTATTGAAATTTCCGGTGGAAAATGTGAATGAATTAGATATTATACATATGTACACATACGCAGCCACACAATAATAGTATGTGTATGCATAACTTTTTAAGTACGTACCTTAAATTAAATTGCATTTAAGTTAGTAAGTAAGTAGTTGGGCAATTGTTTATTGTTTGATATCGCTAATGATCTGCGATGCTCGTACGAGGTTCATTCGACGATAAGCCATATGCGAACAATTTCAGCTGAGTATGAGATACATACACGGAAGCAAAGTTTACTCCTCGTCGAATCATCATCACGTTACAAGTGTCAACTGCGAGTGGTTGACAAAGTAAATTGTTTATGTCCGGTTTTAATGGTCAATATTTATGGCATTCCCGATTATGTGCATATGAAAATTGTACATACACAGTTCCATTAGCTTGTTATTTTATGAAGACAATGTGTGGATTTATATATTTGCAGATATTCTTTTAGTCATGAGTGCATTGGAAAATTTATTTTGCTGGAATGTAATTAAGATTACTGCTCTTTGCTATTCATTTCCTGATTTATTTAGTAATTTGTTTTCATAATTAATTTGAATTTTAAATTTAAATTTACAATTTTAGAATTTAATAATTATGGAAGTCTCAATAATGCTTTTGCTTCAGAGTCATTTTGGATAAATTTGAAGATTGAAATGTTATTTTGGTTATGCTTGTCGACGACTTTCCTCCTGTACAAGGCAATGGCTTGGTACAATCTCCCCACGGTGACGGGAGGTGCTGCCTGCTTAAAACGGTTGAGCAGTTGGACAATGGCGTCCTTCAGACCTGGTCGACCAACCGTGAAATATTTCATGTTTCTCTCAGACTGCGATGCCGCCATCCACTGAATTAAAAACTTGAGCTCCTGAAATAAGTAAAATATTTGAGTTATTTTTAATACGAACTAGTATTCGTAATTCGTTGCCGCAAATTTACTTGATCGCCATTAAAAACCCCGCTACCCCAGTTTCCGGTTGCTATTGGTTTCCAATCTTCGGTCCTGCCTTTCTTTGAAAAGGCAGCATACGCTTTTTTCAGCTCTCTATCGACTTGCCACTCCCAGAATTGTTCGTACTCTTTTCCATCTTCGAATTTGAGCGCGTCAAAAGCAAACACGGACGTGTCTCGACGCCCTTCAGCATCGAGTGGAGTGGTATCGCGAAAGTCTCCAGTAAATCGGAGGTTAGAAGCGTAACCCGAGGTCGTGCTAAATTGCTCGACGCCGGTGACGATGGCAGCTTCATTGTTGTCCAGTTGTTCGAACAGGAGTGAGGTGATGAGCAGCTCTGGGTTGACTGCAAATCTTATTTCTTCTTGTGTGGCCCCGTTCCCGAGGATCCCCCCACCTTTGAGACGAAAATTATAAGGAATTCGTTATAAAATTATTAATTTTGTGCCAATCGATGTATGTATGTACCAAGCATCTTGTTTGCAAAATCAGCCTGGAGATGTTGGAACCCCTTTTCGTCTTCAATGTGTCCATACTCCTCTACCCAAACACTGGTCAACGTTTTTCCTGAATTTGTCCAATTTGGTACTTCCCCAGGTGAGAGGGATCGTCTCTCGTACGTGATCAACGTGCCAGTGCCTTTACTGCCTGGAGGAAAACGCTCCAACATTCGTTCAAAATAGTGAAGAAATGCCTTCAGCTTCTCAGCCTTGGACGCTTCCGATCCACCAGCCCCTTCGAATAGTCTGTCATCATAAAGTACGTCACCAGCTTATTAAAAATCCTGCAATGGCTCCTAATTTAATTCATTTAAACGACGTTATTACGTGCAAAACTTGTTTCTGGGGAACCCTTCCTCCTTGGCTGGGAATGTGCAAAAGAAGGAGTTGGCCAGAAGTGAAAGCACTTGAACTTGATTTAGTCGGATGACACCGTTTTCGCCCCGTCGGAGTACGCGGACGCCAGGATTTGGGAGCAGTTGTGGAAGGCGAAGCGCAATTGCTGCCATTTTGGGAAGAACAACTTCCATTCGACGCTTCCACTCTGGGTCACTTTCGACTCGGTACAGCGAATCATAATTGTAATCTGCGGTAGCAGGGTCGAACATTTTGATGGCGTAATTCACCTCATACGTTGGCGATCTCCCAGCTAATAAAAAAATGATGACAAATTAAATAAGTAGATATTTAATACTCGTAACATTAATAACTTACTTTTGATTTGATAGTCTAATTCGCTCAACCGTTTGGTTATTGCTGGCCATTTGTCCGTGTTGTACGGCATTCTAAAATAAGTTTGGCCGTAGACGGAGTCAAATGTGGCCAACCATAACATGATCACCACGACTGGAAGGATTGAGAGGGTCATGTTTAGATTTGGAAGAGGTACAAGAGGTAACTGAGTACTAACCGTCGTGATTCTGCTTTTTATTGGAACTCGTGCCATTGTACTATCGTCTGCAATTAAATATTTGAATATCTGTGGCAAAGCCAGTCTGCAACTTCACACTGCTGATGACTGCAATGCCAGAGCAATTTTTTTGTTAAAAATGTTTCAACAATTAAACATGTGCAAATTGCAAAGGATTACAATTGATCCCTTCGAGAGTTGTTAATTTTTTCTCATTTACCCGAAACCACAAAGTTTCCATTACGATATTACATATTTAATTGTTAATTATTCATGAGATGAAAATCATGGTCAGGCAAATACAGGGTGGTTTAAATGTCAGGTTACAATGTAAAATTTTGCAATGGGAAAAATTCGCAAATATCCATTAGTTACCTAAATTTTGCCTCTGAAATTCAATATTTTAAGAATTTTGTCATAAGTTTTAATAAAAATTAATAAAAATCTCAATCCCAAATCCGTAACTAATGGAAATTTAAAAATTTTTCCCATTAAAAAATTTTCCATTGTAACCTGACATTTAAACCACCCTGTATGTATGACGATAGTTGTTGCCGTGGAATTGCACAGTTGTAAAGCAGTTGGTGTGCAAGAACTCGTGACGTTAACAAAGTCTTTACTGCTAATTCATAGAATTAAAAAACTTCTCAGTATTACATTGTGTCAAAAAAAGTGTCATTTTAACATGCCATATATGCATCTACTTAATAATGAACGAGTCAATTTTTTTTCAGAAATTCATAAATCATAATTAGTTTTATAATAATCTGCTAGATTATTAGATTCTAGTTTATTAGATCACAAATAATTTAATTTAATGAAGAATAAAATTTATAAAATTAATTAATTATAATAATGCCCCACCACCACCAGTAATAAATAAGTAAATAACACTAATAATGTAATGTAATAAATACTTTTTTATTTTAATTTTTACATACTACCGGTCTATCCGATAACTTCGTACTTACAATTTTTAATGAGCCCCTGATCATGATTCGCCAAATGGGCGAAAGCACCGTACGTCAAATCAACTATCCTCTCTCGAGGCGCACCCCCAAACCGATCGTCCACCACGACTTCGACAGATTTGCCCGTATCCATGTCCGATACACGGAGTTTTGTTCCACAAGGAACATCCGGCCATGTTGCCGCGGCCATGGCGTACCGATCGAATGGTTTACCACACGACGTGGGCCAGCCTGGGGGGATTTCACCTTCAGCGCCGTACCAAGAACAAACGCCTGTCTTCGTTTCTATATATAATCCAAAATGTTTCCCATATCAAATAAAATATCGAAAGTACATTATTTCTTCATATTTGCGTACGTCCTCCTCCTCCAGAAGAGCTAGTGCTAGTTCCGGACGTGGGTGTGGTAGAAGTTTGTGTGGTTGTCGTTGTTGTCGTCGTCGTCTGTCCACCACCCTCGGAAGTGCATCCAGCAGTTGCAGGGTAGTCGCAGTATTTTCCCTTTGGGGACCAGTGAAGGCCCGTGTTGCAACTTCCTACGATTTCTTGTCCATTGGAACACATCAAGTATTTGGTACAGTCTGTGGGATGGGGTGAATATGACCCATTTTCGCAGGATAGTGCTATATTTTTATAAATATTACAGTTTTTATGGTGACAAATTAAAATTGAAAATTGATTTAATTCGTACCGAATCCGCTCCAAAATGCCAAAAGGACATTGAAATAATTTGTAATGTGCAACATTTTTCTTAATGCTCATTATAGTGCTGGCTTCAATTTATTTATATACAAAATTACAAACGTACGTAAGTCATTCTCATAAAATATGTCACATGTCATTATAATTGGTACTTATTGTGGTGAACAGCACCTGTGCAAATGTTTCGCACCTACAATTTTCAGGGAATTGCATCTTACGTAAAGAATCCAACAAACATGTTTCTAGAAATGGGATCATTATACGGTTATTATCGGTTCGGAGGAAGTGTCAATAAAACGTCTACATTTAAGACAGCTTATTTCCAACCATAATTTATAATCAAAAAGTATACAATGAATATGCATTACAATAACAAAATACATATTACGGATATTCCGTATTTTCATATCATTCTGAAACAACTTTTGTTGCCTGGTTCATTTTCGATAAATTGATTCGTAGTAAACTCTTCTTTAACGGGGATTTGCATTGATCCGATTATAAGTTTTGCTGTAAGAATTGTAATTTTGTATGAAAAGGTGGTTAAATGGTGGTTAAATATGCATGCATATGAAAAGTATCGACGCAACGACTCTGCGTCTCATTGTTCATTCTCGATGCCTCTGCATGCCTGTCGTGAGACATTCTTCTTGTTTGACAGCAGACGAGTTTGCTAATTTGGTTTTTGACACGTGTTGCTTGCACATGCCTAAGAAATATCCATTTCTGAGTCATTTTCTGTTGTTACCCACTAAATCAAATCCTGCTGTTGGATGGAACGCATAACAGATTAGATAGTCGTATGTGAATTTTGATTTTCACCATCAAATAAATAACTCTGGAGTAGAGTTTAAAAGAAATAATCTGGCTCGGCTAGTAATTAGTTGGCTAAATAGCGAGATTGACCTGAATTGTGTCAATGCACCGGAGACAACAATAAACATTGAACATCATGGTAGGTTATAGCCGTCAGAAAGTTCAAGTTAACTTTTTCGTTGGTTGCTTCAAGTATAATTTGATCATTTCTTGCCGTTAAATTCAATAATTTCGTTCATAACATGAACTTTATATTTTAAACGAGTTTGTATGCGGTCATTAGTGTCAGCGTTTGTAATTATTAGTCAATTATTTGTTGTTATGCCATAATTATAATGCCACCGCAGGCTCCTCCCAGACGACCTGCAACTTATGGTCAGCCCTTGGCCCTGCCTAAACTGGCGAATTTTAAAATCCGAGCGGCAACAGGCCAGACTTATGGATCGGCCATTCCAGGGTTGGAAGCCCTGCATAATGAAACGCGAAAACTGAGCACCTCGAAGATGACTTGGCACGAAGCTTTTCTCAGCGAGTTTAAGGTAGGCAAGAATTAGTATATATTATTTAACTATAAACAGAAATTGTGCTGTTCTTGATCGACACCCTTAATAAAAACTAAATCAATCAAAAATATAGACATACATTTCTTTGCTTGCTTGCTAGATCTCGGTTGACTCGACGAAATATTCAGTAGCTCGAGTTAGGAACAAAGGATCTGCTCCTCGAAAGAAACACAATCTGATGGAAGACGTAAGTGCATGAAATGTACTTGTCCGTGGTCTTCTTAAATGAACCTCATCAAATCAATACGACACATTTGTCTTGCTTACAGATAAGCATCCTAATGTCCGAATTCAAAAGAGTTTTGCCACTTTACACTATTTGCATTACTGAAAATAACGCAGAGACAGGAGCGCCTGTTAATGGTGAAAATAAAAAAAGTAGAAACGCTTCTACTAATGTTCAAGAAGTTGGACGGCCGGTTTTTGCTAGGATTGAAACTCGCCCGGACATGGATAATTTTCCCAACGAACTACGATTAGGGGTTGGAAATGTGAGTATAAATCTACTACTGTCAGCAACCTAAATATCCATAAAAATATTGTACTAATTTGCGCCTCACCATGTTTAGATCGTGACCACCAAGGTCTGCCAGGTCACGACTGACCTTTCAGGACGTAGAAAGAGGGTGCCTATAAGATTGAGTTCTATAACTAAGAAATCTGGAAACACTGGTAAAATAATAACCTAATTACATCCATAAAATGTATGTGCGAATTTTGTGTCCAAAACTGTTATCACCCAGCTCAAGCGTCTTCTTCGGGGATCAACAGAAAAGGTCTTAAAGGCAAACGTCCTTCTCCTGTAGGTCCACCAACCACAACTTTGGAACCAAAACGGCGTGATTCAAATTACCACAATACGAATGATTTGTCTCAAATTGTAGCTCCATCGTCAAATTCGGCTAACACTAACACAGATTATGATAATTTGTTTCGTCTGAAGGATGTAATAATAATAATAATTCATATTAGTGCAATGTTTTTAGCAAATTAATACATATTACAGAAGGGTGCTGCTCGAAATTACGATGATGATGCTGGGAGTAACATTAGTGACGACTCTCAAATTGGTGATCTCGCCGATGTTGGTATTGAAAATGAAAATATTCTTCAAGACTTTGTGTCACGAGCGCAGACAAACTATACAAATTCTCAAGTAATAAAGTATTTAAGATTATGCGACTTTTTAACCTGACAAAATTTATTATTTTTTTAATCATTTATGAATTACAGATCTTGCAGGCTCGTCACGAATTACGTCTTCTCAGGTCAACAAAATCCCAGCGATGGGCCAGATGGACTTTATCTGCGCCTTTGTGTAGCAATATACTCCGAGACCTTCTCGGCATTTGAGCTATGATCATCATTCTTCACATATATTTTTTCCTTGTACATAAGTTTAATACATTTATGTTGCCATATTATTCCACATTTTTTATCTTTAATTTATTTGAGGGTTTTCAAAGCAACCGATTATAATCATTACAACGAAAAATGATGACAAATGACATAATCCAGTAATTGATTAGCACGATAACTCGTCAATGCATCTCTCTAAAAATTGTGAATTTGACAATATTTGTTTGGAGGATGTGTTTTTGTGTTGGTATTAGTTGGTAATATAATTTTTGTTACGACGAGTTTGTTATGAACTTTGAATAGCATATTTAAATACCGTCCTTTGTTGAAACGTTCAAATAGTCCGTCGGCCGTCCTGTTCCTGTTCGTTGTATGCATAGGTTAGTGAATGAAGTTTGTTTTCTTTTCTTTCATTTATTCTCTCCAGTTAGTTTTGGCATGTAGAATAACGCTGAACATAAAGGGTCCAGTTCCGTCCTTTTGAATATAAGCTTTTATAATATTTAGCTGATATTCTTATGGAAAGTGCGAATTGAGAATCAAATAATTGTCCAGACAAGTTGCATGCATTGCAGCAAGCTCTCTCTTTCCAACATAACAGTTCATTTCATGATGCATTTTGCTGCTAGCCAAATGATTCTCAATTCCACTCTGAATGGCGGCTGACACACATCCGTAATCCGTATGTTTAGTGTTTTCCTTTATAAATTTCTGTCAATTAAATAACAACTACTTGTTACATTCTAAATACTTGGTTCTCCGTATGCTTATTGACCTGACTCAATTGGTAAGTTCAATTTTTATAATAAAGATACCATTTTTTGTCTACTAACATGCAGAATAAAGTTTTTTATTGCTCGTATTATAAAAATTCCTCTATTCTTTTTCATTCCAAAGAAGTTTGAAATTCCGAATTCTGATTTTTAAAATCACAAGTTACATTACTGCTAGAGGAGTTAAATTTGCTCAAGTCGACGTCCAACACATCTTGCGGCTATTACAATTTTTAATCATGGTATGTACGAAGAAAACAGACTATTTCTTAAACTGATCTAATTTAATGGATTGAATGTTTTAATGGTTTGTGGCTAGGTTGGAACTAATGTGAACCCACTGACCGCAAGTATGGTTCCGATCAGTATTAAGATTGGAGGCAGTGGTCGCCCAGTCCAGTCCAAGGAGTTACAATCGTTATCAAACAAGTGCATTCTGCTGGACGTCACCACAACATGGTATCAAAGCAAACATTTTTCTTAAACTTTGTTATTCATTATATATTTATATTCAGTAAATGAAAGTATTTATTTTTTATACTTGTTCAATTTGTTCTTTTTTAGGTATAATGCGTTCCTTTCGCATTTTAATGTCTCCGTTGATCCACAAATTTATTCCGTTCAAAGGGGTACAAGCGAAGGCCCACCTGTCAAGCACAACTTACATGAATCGGTAAATTATAAAATAACCTAAAGAACAGTTATGAGAAGACCCAAGAATGACTGCGAAAAGCTATTTCCGATGGTCGAACGATAACATTGATACTTAGCTATAGAATGTGGCACAATGTTTCGGTCTCCAGCTCCCAAGCTCTAAAGCCAACCGTGAAACACCTTGAGCGCTAGTGCCTAGTGCGCTGGATAACCGGAGTGAGGGTGTGGGAGACCATTGTGGCACATACAGATTATATATAAGTGTGCAAGTAATAAATTGCTTTATTCTTTTGATTTAGATCAAAATTTTGATGAGAGAATTTAAAAAACCAAGAAAAGAATTTGCAGTATACATTGTGGAGAATCAAAAAATTCAAACAAAGAGGTCACCAGTCCCACGAACCGACGCTGTCAGGAAATCAGCACCAAAAGCTGGACTCAACCATGAGCTTTTCATCGGTGGTGGGCATAGATATAATGAAAAAGTGCGTTTCTTTCAATTTGTAGGACAGAGTGGCCGCGTAATAGTGCTGAATATGTCTTAATTTATGTCTTTTTTTTCTAAAGATTCTCAGTTCTGCAAAGAAAAATCTGTTGCAAGCTCAGCCTCGGTACAGCAACGTTATGCCGTCATCAGGTACTGCTCTATCCAACAAACACAACTCGTTTTCAGATCACCGACAAGGAGAACGCAATAAACGACCAGCTCAACGGCCTCCAGCAGGAATGCCAGTTACACAACGACCACGTTTTGCTGAAGACGACATGATTTTTTCAAGCAATGGGCATAATCGAGTACGATTATAGTATTTTTTTCTAATGTATCCATTGGAGATTAACTCATAACATGTACATCATGTATTACATAGAATGGTGCGCATAATGGATATGACAACAATGACGACGACAATCGAAGTGATATTACATCTGCAAGTCAGGACTCGCAAATGGAGGACTTGCACGAATTAGGAATTGCTTACGAGGATATTAAGGCATCTTTTTGCAAAAAGGCAAAAAGGAATATCTCAAATACGCAAGTAAGTATTTTTAAACCGTTATCATATATGGTCGTTGTAAGGAAGATTAAATAATAACCTTGTTCGTTTTTGTCCTTTTATAATAGTTCCTGATGGCTCGAAACGAACTTGAGCAACTGAAGAAAAACCATAGCAGCCGTTGGAGCCGTTGGACGACAGCTGTCCCAATCACGGCGAATGTTGTCCGGGATTTGCTGAATGTCTAGCAATACATAGGTTAAAAAAGTTGGACATGTACTAAAGTCGACAGTTTATTTTGTATATTTATTTATTTATCTTCAATGTTTCTACTTTATAATGGTGAGTGCAATTCTTAGATTATGTATGACTATGATTATGATTGGTGAGTCATGTCGTTAAAATCTTTAATATTTTACACCAATAACGCTTGGTGTTTTTAGTTGGACAATTTTTGATTCGCTTCCCTTCACTTCAATTCAAGTTTTTTTTTCAAGAATGATTACAAATATCATCCCATTAACTCGACATGCAAATATTGTACTGGTAATTGAATTGGCCTATAAGTATTTTCCCTCGGATGTTCCCTGAAATTACTCTTATAAATTTTGTGTTGAAATGTTACTTCAATTACTACAATGTGTTATCCATTAAAAATAAATGTTCTTATATTTTGATTTGTGTACAAAATGTGGCGTTATTTTTTATCATGAAAGGATCACTAACAGGCTCTGCAGACACTCTTATCTTTAATTCGTAATGACGTTATTTGTATTTGAAAAGATGTTTGACGCACCCCAGCATCTCTTATGACTATATAGGAATTTATCTATTACTGTGTAGGTTGGATTAAAATCGATAATAGTTAGAATGTAATAAACCCGCATTGTCACCATGTGCGAAATGAGTAGAATGATCAACCAGTAAAAAATAAGATAACCGTCACAATGCGATATGTAATATAAAGTAAACATGATAAGCTGATATACAGACTTTCCATATTCACACGTTCATTTCAGGCAATTAGTTTCAATTTTTCAAGAAAATGGAATGTGGTAATTTTAAAAAATAAATAAAATGCTCGGAACATCCTCCCGACCACGTTAAATATTAGATCCAAAATCAGATATGGCCCCAAGCAATGGAGTATACAAATTTGTGATCATTTTCTTGCTTTGTTGTTCTTTAGTTGTATTTCTTCTAACACAAAATTTCATAGATTATGATGTTAGAACTTTTAATATTTCGGTGCCGTACCCCAAAGTGTGGTCTCAATGGGTGGAACCCATTTTCGAAAATTATACAGTTATATCTCAAAATGTTTCACACATTACAAGACTGACCCCAAAAGAGCCGGGTTACGTGTTTGTGCCAAAGAATGATAAAGCAGCCGATGTTATGGAAGCCAGAAAATCACTTAGAAATATACCGGAAGCGCCTTATATTTTCGGAAGAACGAACAGTGGACCTCAAAATTTCAACAAGACTTGTGCACCATTTTCAACCTTGGACAGAATCAATTTCAATAACATTTATTGGCAGGTGTATAAATACACTAACGATACATTTACTAGCAAAAAAAAAATTAAAATAACTAACCAACCATTATGACATTAGACGGAATCCACAGCAAACATCACGTTCTACTTGCTGAATGCCTACCTTGATACCAGAGAGATGAATCCAGATGCTCCAGAAGTAAGAATTGTACTCATGGCTGATGTTAACCCATCATTGCAAGAAACATGCGAAAATTCCTACTGCCAAATCTGGTTTGATCTGAAACACAGGCCACAAATTGTTCCAGTAAAATACATATCGAGCTATCCAACTAAACGAAATTTTACAACATGTTTATGTAACATCAGTTTGCTTAATTATCTGTGAAGGTTCGCGAATGTCGTCCACTTTGGCAAGACGCTTGGGGGAGAAATTCACGTTACGTGGGTCGCTTGGTTTCCTGTCCACTTGGACAATCTGAATCTCACCTTGACGGCGTCATTCCAACTTCTGTCTCATTAGTGCAAAACATTTGCGACTCTGCAACGAATAATCTTCACGTACATTACGAGCTTCCTGAATCTGGTGAAGAAGTTGAGCCGAAGGATGGTGATGGAGATCGGCTCCGATTCGGCGTCTGTGTTAAAGGTCTTGATTTTCTGGAAGAAGGGAAAAAACCTGCAAGAATGGTGGAATGGATTGAGCTTTTAGGGATTTTTGGAGCAGAGAAAATATTTATTTATGAATTTTCAATACATCCAAATGTAAAGAAAGTATTGGATTATTATGTCAAGAAGGGAAACGTTGAAGTATTTCCTGTGACGCTGCCAGGTACATTGCCAAATGAGAAAACATTGAGACACATGTACATTTCAGACAAGGTTAACTAACAGTTTTTCTTTCCATTCATGATTTAAATCGTACAAAAATACACAAATATGTTTGTTGTTTATACATGTATGTAGAAGCATTTAACAGAAAAGAGAAAAAATGAGGTGATCACGTACAATGACTGTTTATACAGAAATATGTATCGGTTCGACTTTTTGGCTCTACTAGACACAGATGAGGTATGTACTTATGTGCATACGTGGATAGTGTATTTAGGTAGTTCATCATGGAGGATTTTTTTGTCCATTTTATCATTTTTCAGATTTTAGTACCCACAGAAGATGCCAACTGGCAGGATTTGTTTAACCGACCAGAAGTTGCGGAAGCTATGAAAGAAAATTCACGGTCAACATATTGCTTTAGACAACTGCACTTCTTTGCTGACCTCACCGTTCCGGATGTAACTTCCAATTGCCATATGCTCGAGGTTTGTCATTGCGTTGTGACAAAAAAAGTGTCGCACTCTCAATGGCGTTTTGTATATTAAAATATTATCTTATTTCAACACAGCATTCGTACAGAGACATAAATTTCACTCGACCAGGGGTTGCTGTGAAATGCTTTCACAAAACGGACCGCACACAAACTTTGCATAACCACTTTCCATTCTCATGTCTGGGCAAGTGCAAAACGTTCAACTTTGACCCAGCAAATCAAGCAAGGATGCAACATTACAGATCGCTCAGCAGGTTCGATAATTTAGTAAATAGGCCGGAGTGTGAAGGGATGCAGTACGAAGAGTGTCTAAACTATTTCACTTCCATCGACAAAACGCTCTGGAGGTTTAAAGATGAGCTGGTCCCTAAAGTTGAAGGCGTTATGAAGGAAATTGGACTTATGTAGCAGTAACGAATATATAACTAATTATTCAGAAATGGAATGACGAATATCTATGTAAGATCCTGATAATAAGGAACCCGGAGCTATAATTTATATTAACAGAAATCTAAATAAGTATTTATATTCTATAGATTTATGATTGAAGTATTGACCAATAAAGATTTCCTAAAAAGTTTCTGAGAAACCTGCATTACAAAAAACAGGACAACATAGTATACATATGTACTTGTATATTTTTTATAGTTTCATTCTTGACATTTTCTGCTTTGATCTGCTTAACAACCTGGTTTGTCTCAGTTTTGCAGTTTTTGCATGGAAATGTACAGCCTCATTATCAACTGATTATCCTAATTATCTCCCATGATGATCTTGGCACATGTTATGCATCCAAAAACTTATGAATGAAACGCAGAACTAAATCAATCATGCGTTCACCGACCACTATCAACCAACATCAATTAGTCCGTCGCCCCAAATGCCCATTTTTCTTTACGGGCTTTTGGGTAACACCTACCTGTCTGTAGGTTGGAAATTATTGCGAAACACACGTAACGTCATTACCTCCAAACAGTGAAATCTTTGTCTCCCATTAAAATTAATGCAAATGCTTTGTCCTTCTGATGATTTTTAATACAAAAATACTGCCCTTGACAATAATACTCAGGATACATAAATGCAACTAAAAATCTGCCACACTCAAGTTGAATCGAGTTGCGGATTGGAATTTTGACCCAAACTGGATTTGATCTTGATAAATGCATGCCAAATTACTTATTAGTTGCGCTAATGCTACATGCACGTCGCTATCTCGTGAACTACAAAGATGAAAAGATTTATATCTACCCTGGTCATTAGTAGTCGCATCTTCATTTCAAAAGTTGATTTAGGGCTGACGTTCTCTGGGAGTCTTTTTTGATAAAGATCTACGATATACTTTTGTCTCGGGAAACTTAAAAAATACATATTAGGCACACCTCAAGATAGTATTTCGCCATGGCACAGAATTATGTTAACAGGCGAAGGCAGTCAACGATTGTTATAGAAGTATAAAAACAACCGTCAAAATTTTGCGATCCTAAAAGCGTTTAAATTTAATTTCCCTAATTTTATAGAATCAAGACAGAATTTTGATTCCTGAAAGAAAAATCTCCAGAGTAAGTTTTACTGGGAGTGATGCCCCTTCTCGGAAAACGTCTACGGTCTCCTATAAATCCAACGTCGATGAAAAGGGCACCATCAACCCGTCATTTACTTCCGATGAACAAAGTCAGGATCAAATTTCTGTAAGTTTTACATATATCAACCACGCATGCACGCAATGTGCATGGCACAACGATTCATGTAAATTGTGGATCTTGGCGTCTCTTTAGTTGCGCGAAGTTCATGTTGGTCACAGTCCAGATATTCGCAGAAAATCTGTGACCTATATCAAGAAAGAATTGGAAATTGATTACCATGCAGTGGAGCTTGGAACCCTGTGCAATCGATACAACTCACATGTGCAATTGGTAATTATGCAAACGTGCTGTTTTTATAATATGTATATATATATTGTTGTATGAATAAAGGTACAGATTAGATATGTAACTAAGTACGTGGAAACTCTTGCACTAATTTAGGGTCTTACAGACGCCCAAGCACATAAGAATCGAGAACTTTACGGTAAGAACATCCTGACTCCGCCCAAGAAAACGCCATTATGGATCACATTCCTTCACACATTGGTCGGAGGATTCCAACTTCTTTTGTGGACCGCCGCCATTCTCAGCTTTATCGCCTATGTGGCGCAGATGGTGCAGATAGGAGACGCTCCTCCGGATAATGTAACTATATGGCTTTGTCATGAAAGAAATATGTAAATACAGCATGAATTTCCCGACCTTTAAGGTGATAATTGTACCTCTTAAATTTTAGTTATATCTCGGAATAGCACTATCCGTCCTGGTTCTGGTTCTCGGACTCTTCACTTTTTACCAGGAATTTTCTTCTGGGAAGGTGATGGACAGCTTTTCCCGACTGGTTCCTACCATGGCCACGGTGACGCGAGATCATAAAATCTTGCTTATTCCTGCTTCCGAACTGGTAGTGGGAGATGTTGTTCATATAAAACTTGGGGATAGCATTCCAGCCGACATCAGAATATTGGAGTGCCAAGGTCTCAAAGTGGATAACTCGTCACTTACGGGGGAATCTGAACCTCAACCAAGGTCTCCTCTTTGTACGGACGATAATCCAATGGAAACTCAAAACTTGGCATTTTTCTCCACAAATGCACTAGAAGGTAAATATAGCTTCAAATAAAAATAGGCATGTAACGCCGTAACAGGTGGAAAAAAGTTTAATTGTGTTTCCTTTTTCCCTCAAAGGAACTGGCAAAGGTCTCGTCGTGGCTGTGGGAGATGGGACATTCATCGGTCGAATCGCTGGGCTAACCACGGGAATGAATAAAATCGATACGCCAATGTCACGAGAGGTGGCCTACTTTGTGAAGGTCATCTCCTTTGTTGCCATAATTTTCGGAATTTCCTTCTTCGCCATATCTCTAACAATGGGATACCAAATTTTGGATGCTGCTATTTTTCTAGTCGGAATTATAGTGGCAAATGTGCCAGAAGGATTGCTTGTCACGTTCACCGTGATTCTAGCTCTCACAGCAAAACGTATGGCCAAAAAGAATTGTGTAGTAAGACAATTACACGCTGTGGAAACGTTGGGTTCTTGCTCTGTGATTTGTTCTGACAAAACTGGGACGCTGACACAAAATAAAATGACAATGTCCCATATTTGGGTAAACAATCAAGTGCTGGACGTATCCTTAGGAGAAAATGGCACCCTTCCAGATTTGGAAGATCTAGCTGGATTTCGAGATCTATCAAGAGCAGCGGCTTTATGCAGTCGAGCTACGTTTCTGGCTGGCCAGGAGGAGTTGTCAATACCGCAAAGGTACATAAAGTTAATTTCCATTATAATTTTGATAATTCTGCTATTTTAACCATGCAGTATTTTTGTGGATCTGTAAATAGGTTGGTATCAGGCGATGCATCGGAATCAGCAATATTGCGATTCGTGGAAATGTCTCTCGGGAAAGTTGAAGCTTTCCGAGATAATTACCCAAAACTATTCGAAATTCCTTTCAACTCGACCAACAAATACCAACTGTCGATCCATAAACATGATATGACGCGATGTCTGGTCGTTATGAAGGGGGCTCCAGAGCGAGTTATCAACTTGTGCTCAAAGATACGCATAGGGGACAAAGTTCACAAGATGGAGGACTGGAAAGAAGTATGCATTCAAACCGTGGACAACTTGGGATCTTTGGGGGAACGAGTTATTGGTTCGACCTAGTTTCAAATTTGTTCAAATTTATCATTATGGACTCGTCATCAATGTGGTTTGTTGTTTGTCGAATAGGGTTCTGTGAAGGAGAGCTACCAGAGAGTGAATATCCCGTTGGATACAAGTTTTCAGCAGAGGATCTCACTTTCCTTGAAGGGAATTTAGTCCTCGTAGGCCTGGGGTAAATTTTATAGAATTCATTTACACAGTAATTATTAAGGTATATAATTACTTTTGATCCTTATAATCCTAACAAATCTAGGTCGATGATAGATCCACCGCGTCCAGGCGTCCCAAATGCGGTAGAATTGTGCAGGAAAGCTGGCATTAAAGTGGTAATGGTGACAGGAGATCTCCCAAGTACTGCAAGAGCTATTGCTAGAAAAGTTGGAATAATTACTCCTGGTCAGTTAAATTCTTAAATCTAATAACCATAACTGTGCTTGGTGATAAGTTATATTTATTGCTTCAAATAGAGAATTTGACGAGAGAGGAAATTGCAAAATCGCGAAATATTAACAAAGACGATATTGATCCTGCCACTTGCAATGCGGCTGTTATTTCGGGAACTGAATTACAAGAATTGACCACACAGGAATTGGACTGGGTTCTTGCGTAAGTTATCCATGCAATTCCATAAAAAATATTTGAGGGAATTTAGCTGATTTTTTTCTTTACCAGAAATCACTCCGAAATTGTATTTGCACGCGTGTCTCCCCAGCAGAAGCTCATCATTGTTGAAGGTTTTCAACGCCTCGGAAAAATAGTGGCCGTGACAGGAGATGGTGAGTCGAAAAAACGAGACAATGAATTCTTGAATAATTTTGTAATTACTTTTTTAAGCATTTCCACTTTTAACAATATAGGTGTCAACGACAGTCCGGCATTAAGGAAAGCGGACATTGGAATTGCAATGGTTAGTTTTATGTACTGATGCATTGAAAAGAAACTGGACAAATTGCTTAAACCGGCATCATAATCCATACTTATTGCAGGGTATTTCCGGTTCTGACGTGTCCAAACAAGCCGCAGATATGATTCTTCTGGATGACAATTTCAGTTCTATTGTCACCGGAGTGGAGGAGGGTCGTCTCATTTTTGAAAATTTAAAAAAGTGCATCCGTTACCTTCTGTGTGCTAATACGGCGAATTTACTCCCATTTTTGCTGTATATCACTCTACAAATTCCACTACCTCTTGGTACGATTCAAATGCTGGCCATCACTCTTGGCACGGATATTTTACCAACGATTTCATTATCTTACGAAAAACCGGAAGGAGAAATCATGATTAGACAACCACGAAACCCAGAGAAAGACAAGTTGGTTACTCAACAGTAAGTGTACTAAATATGTAGCTCTCGATTGTAGTGTATAACTTATAAATGTTTTGTCACTTTCGGGATTTATTGAATTGCATAAATTATTTTAGGCTGATAAGCTACGCTTACGGCGTGATTGGGGTAATTGAAGCCTTCGCCGGCTTCTTTACCTACGTCGTCATCATGGAACAGAACGGATTTCTTGTCAAAGATCTGATCGACATTCGTAAGCAGTGGGTCTCTTCTTTCATAAACGACTTGTCCGATTCCTATGGTCAAGAATGGGTACATGCCGAAACTAATATAGCACAAGTTGTCTGCAACTTATTTCTAACTTTGCCTAACTGACAACTTTCACTCAGACTCACCAACAAAGAAAAGAGCTGGAGTGGACTTGTTGGACTGCTTATTTCTGCACCATTGTTCTCTGCCAGTGGAGCAATCTTTTGATTTCGAAAGTCAGAAAGGACCCTCTCCACAGGAAGTTATTTGAGTAAGTGGAATTCAATGTCACAGTGGAAATTTATTTGCTATGATGGAACATTTTATAATAATGGTGGTCCAATTTGCAGTAATTGGATCGTGCTTGTGGCAATTGTTGGAGAAACGGCTATTGCCTGCTGTTTAACGTATACTCCAGGACTAAACCACTCACTTTCTTATATGCCAATCAAGTAAGTTTGTATCGGCGATCAAGTGTATAATACTTCGTACTTATTTTAATTACTCCTCGTGATCTAGGTTCGTTTGGTGGTTGACGGCCGTTCCGTTCATGTTTGCAATAATTTTTTGCGATGAAATTAGGCGACTACTATTAAGACTTAGACCAAACTGGTCTTGGTATCAAAATGAGTTCTTTTATTAATAATCCATTATACTTTTGTACAAATGTGTTCTTACAACAAGAAATGCATTGAAGTAAGACATTATTCATTGGTGGGTTCATGTCAAGAATTCATTTAGTCATTAACTTGAACGAAACATTATTTAACTCTGGGTCCCATAAACCAATTGAGTCTATGTCCTTATGCTAACATTAAGCGCACTAATCCTAAGTTGTCACTTACATAATAACTAACAAGGGACACTCACGACCTGTCGTTTGAGTCCAGGGTACCCACTATGTTTTTTAGAATCTACTAGGACCCCAGATGAAGGATTCATTCATATTTCCGTGTAAAACTCATATTTGGCGCCAAGGCGTGGCGCCAAACTTAAAAATTTGCATTTTCGACCAATTTCAAACCCCCATAACTTTTGCAGTTTATGTCGGATTTTCAAAATTATATGCTTAAAATGATCACAAAAGTCGACATTTTTGAGAAAAAAATAAAAATAAAAAATTTCTAATTTTTGAGATATTTTTAGCATTTTTTCGACGAACCTCCATTTGTAAGAAAATTACGAAATTTTTGCGAAAAGTTAAAAACTATAATTTTGGGAAAAATTGCATGGAATACGAAAGTTGAACTCCTTGTCATGATTTTTGCCAAAAATTTTTAAAATCCGTCCAGGATTTCAAAAGTTATGGCGGCTTCAAAAATAAAAACATTCAAATTCAGCGAATTTGGCGCCACGGCACGACGCCAAATATGAGTTTTACACGGAAATATGAATGAATCCTTCATCTTGGGTCCCAGTAGATTCTAAAAAACATAGTGGGTACCCTGGACTCAAACGACAGGTCGTGAGTGTCCCTTGTAAGCTCGCTACTTGTTTATGTCTTTTCCATTCCGGACGTACATAAATACACATGTAAATTATATCTAGGTTGATTTTTTTAGACTTTAAGCAAATCATTAGTACAAATTGTACTGTACAATGGTAATTATTTATTTCGAAATTAATCAAACTCACATGATTTTCTATTTTTCTTGTTGCCATCATTGTTCATCCAGAAGTATGATCCAATGCAAATCCTTAACAATGACACCAAAAACATGTCAAACGTCCAAATATACATGAAATAAATGGATGTTTGTAAAGTTCGGGAGGCTGTACATTTATCCTCGTCCTAAACAAGAAAGGAAAATCAGTTGTAGCAAAATATACTGTAAAATAAATAAATAAATGTCAATATTGATTGAAAAAATAAACAGTGATTACAATATTTTGTGTCGTATTCGAAGTCCCACACACAGTCGCCATGTAAATCCCGAATTTTGTAGGAACTTTCGGTACAAATGATTTTGTACATTTCAGACTTAACTCTAGACACTTGTCCCTGTTTACAGATTCCTCTTGGGCACCAAATGCAACGAGTAGCATTTCAATCCAACACAGCAGCAAAATTAGGTCAAACTAGCAAAATAATAAATTATAGTAAATTACACTTCTATCTACTTGCATACATAGTATTTTTAGTAGTATTTTTAGCAAATTACCCATATTGTATGTCTCCAGGATAGTTTGTATGTTGTGCATTTGTGCAGAACTAAGATTGCTAGTCCAATTCCAATTGTGATTAGGCAGGTAACAATGAGTATGATAAACGTCCAATCGTTATCTGTTTCCGAAAAGTCCAGTATCATTTTCAGCCGTATCCAGACAACGGTGTACGCAACCAAGAAAATAGGTGCTGTAAGCTATTCATAAATATGCAACTTGTTGGTCAAACGATATGAAATATTTAATAATGTTGTTGTTTCGTACCAGTAGAATTATGAATGTGATTAGGTTGAATGTTTTCCAAAGATGAGAAAAATTTTGTTTTTTAGCAGTTTCCCCGTGAAGCTGGCCTTCGTAATATGTAAACGCATCCTTCACGGGAATAATAATTAATTCCATTGTCCTGCAGATGTATTGGGGACAAAGTTAAGCACAAGACGAATTTAGCAATTCATATTGTTATCCCAAAGCAATTTTTAAATGTGCATTTTGAAATATGTATTTGTACTCTCTTTCAAGTGGCAACGAATGCTAGTGAAAAATGAAGGAATGTTTAAAACAAATATTGTGCATTACAAATATTATGGGGAAGAATTATTGAGAGCCACCTCCATTAACATGAGAACCATTACTTTTTTCTTGGAAGAATAATTTCTACCCAATATCGATTTTATTCATAATAACATGACCAATTACAGGTTAGGTGTCTATACGTGCGGATGTACCATGTATGTATAGCGTCAGACCAGCTTTACGGGAAAAGTAGTTTAAAAAGTACCAATTATTCCTGCCCTAATTTATACAGAAAGCCAACTACTAATAATGTGGTAATCAGCTCTCAAAGTGAAGTGCAATGTACGTTCATATGCCCACAATATATGTATCTGAGAGAGTTCGTTATGCAAGATGTCATGTTTCTATGATGTTCGTAATAAAATGCGCAAAATAATGTGGGTATGCATTTTAAGTGTACAAGTATTCCGGAACATTTCTCCTCCTCCAACTTCCAAGGCCAAAAATTACATCGAGGACTGAGAGGATGAAAAGTTCCCCTGACCAAATGTACATACAGTAAATTTCCAGCTTCAGGACATGGGTTGCTTCGCACTTGGCAGGCTCCTGTAAATCGAACGACGCGTGTAACTCGATGAATAAAATGTATAAGGTCGACAATAAATGTACTCACCTTCACGTACGGAGAAAACATCACTGGGGCAGACTCCAAGTCGGACTCGGTCAAGTTTTTTCCACAAACACCAGCCACGTAAATCCCGAATTTGGTTGGAACTCTTGGGGCGTGGCGTTTCGAGCACTTGGCACCATCTTTATTGCACAAGTCACGATCTTGAACTTGTTCCATAGCTCCAATGACCACCAGGAATAGTGCACCCCAACATATGATGAGCAATATGTCGTACTAAAATGGTTCAAGATATCTCAAATACAAACGTATACCCAATTCAATACTCGTATCCATTCATGCTTAAAACCTCTAATGTAATTGTTTATATGTGTCGCTAACCCCAACTACATGCTTCCATCTTAGAGGGAATTTTGCATGATGGCGAAAAACCATTCTCAGTGCTACGAGGATTACGATGACGCAGGTTATTATGAACAAGATGAAGGTCCACAAATTTCCAGTCTGCAGGAGATTTACGCGTGATTGAATTTGAGACCAGAGGACGCTGTACGTGATAAGAAAGATTGGTCCTGTTGCCTGAAATTTCAAAAAATATGGATACAAAATATGCCTTTCAATAGTTTCAATAGGTTTTTAGTACTGTATAGAAATTATAAAATCGCAGAGATTGGTCATACCAGCAGAATTGCATAGGCTGCATGGTTCACAGCTCGCATCTGTTTAATTAAAGGGTTGATGATGCAGCTTGATGTCTGAATATTGGTTTGCATATTGGAATTAGTGGAGTGCGAAGGGTTATATTTTTCCGGAGTTATTACTGAAATTGAACCATTTTCCATAATGCGGCCTGTTTTGTATAATCGATGGATCTCGAGCTGCAAAAGAAAAATGAATAAAATCTAAGGTCGATTGAAGTGCACACTAAATAAATATAAAAACACCTCATGTAGAGGTATCGATTAATAAAGCATTAATTATGTAAAAACTGACACTTGTATGAGAGTAAAGTTCAACACAGCAAAATTCAGACCAAGGTAAGGACATTATTGGTTCAAAAGAAGGAAGAAAAATTATGAGCATAGTCTATTTTCCAATTTTCCTAATCGATTTTTTTCAAGCTGCACGAACTTGGAAAAGTAAGAACATTGTAATTATCCTGAACTGATGATCGTGCATGAAATGCTCAGCCACGTGAAGGATAAACTACATGCATGCCACTTAGCGAAAATGGATTTACTTTCTGTATTCAACAGAATCTGTGCTAAAGTTTAGTGAAAGCAGAACAACGGATATCTCGATTCTAAATAATATCTATATTGCATGTTTGGGTGTTTATCTCAATAAATCACTAGAATAGAAATATCTAAGTGTGTACTTATATATAAACTTTGTATTTTATATTTATTTTACGACAAACGAAATTAATTATCAAATAAATAATAACGAAGCCATAAATAGCATACCGTTTCTAGACGTGCAAAGAGATTAACGTCCTAAACAATATAATACAAGTCGACATTAGTATGTAAATAAGCAGATGCAGATAACAGAGAAGATAATGAAGAATTACTTCTACCAGTTGCTTAAAGTTGACATAAGATGCTCTTTAGAATTATGTAAAATAATTGGAAAGGAATTACAGAAAGGAATTTATCTACTTCATAATTTCACAAATTAAGTTTTCGTGCGGAGTACTCATTCCAGTATCGTGATAATTTTAAATTATTAATAAAGTCGTTGTGCAGAAATTTTATTGCCAGGGCTACGAATTATACCTAATTACTGACTGGGACTGATGATTTATGCCAAGTTAGCGACTTTCATAAACACAATAATAATTATTACAGATTAAGGATTAATTAGAAGAACTATGGAGCACAACCACAAATAAGTAGCTGAGTGAGTTAATTTGATTTTGGGGTGGTACTAGTGGTACTGGTACATGCTTATTTGGGTATTTGATTGATGTACTCACAAATGCTCAGAAGCTTGTACATAATTCGTCGTGTTGTTAGCTAGTTTGCAATGATTCGGTATATGATCATAGTATAAATGCACATTCTCTCCTATTCCACAAATGTATGTACATACACAGGAATTTACATAATATACATACAGTTAGTCACTTATAAGTAGAGTTGGTACTGTTCCGGAATTAAATTTAAGGGGTATTTAATTTTGCCTTTGATTCAGATTACACCTAGCTCCAAACTTTGGATTCTAACAAATGCAAAATTCTCATTGACATACGTAAATACACACTTGCAAGCAAACAGTAAACTTGCTATTAATAAAATAATTACACATGAAATTAATTGTAATCCAAGAATACTCGTCAATATTTACAACGGACGATTGATAAAAATGCATGACTTGACTTGATGTTCAACCTAAATTCACAGTATGATCTGCTTTGTCCATACATAAGTATTATCACTTTCGGGGAAAATTATTATAATTAATGTCATTAATTTAATTACCAAAGACGGAACAGTGTTATATGTACTTCTTAATTATGACGCTTCCTTGCTCATGGAAACAATTTGTGAATTAGGTTAAATTCAGATCATGCCGTGTATCCTATCTGGATGAAGCCAAGGAAATAATTGGATAATTGCCGTAATTGTGTGAATGAATCCGACCCTTCCTGATCATAATTGATTGCGCCATGTCGCACAAAGCTGTTGTATAAATAACTCTGACTGTGGGTGGGACGACCGATGTTTGAAGAATTACCTATTACGAGAGCCAAAGTTGAGGATTTTGAAGTTTCATGTCCACCTTTAGCTAATGCATTTCACTTTTAAATGTGAGAACTACAATTGGTACAGCAATGGGAAAAAGGAACGCCGCGAACCTACTCCAGGTCCAAGATTATCTCCCCCTGTCAAAGACCCTTGCCTTCATCGCGTCTTGGACGGTCGGAAACTGCATTCGATTTAACGAGAAACGAAACGAGTTTGAAGCAACGACGCAGAAAAATGGACAACTTGGAAAAGCTCGTCGGTTTATGTCACAACTGGCGACTGTTCTCCTCGGATTGCAAACAACGAGACTTATGAGCGTTTTAAAGGCGACCGGATTTATACAGAATATTCCATCCGTTCTCCTGTACGTCGGATTTTCCGCATCTTACCGAATGGGACTAGCTTCGTACAAGCATGCTGGCGAAATTGCACAATTTTTAAACACGCTGGTGCAATACGAAAAACGGTCGGATGGACAACAACAATCAAACAAACCACCTGAACAAAGCAGTGGCAAACTAAAGACAGGTAATTTTTCTTTTATGAATTTAGAAGAAATGAAACGTATTTATAATAATTTTAGAGTTCAGTTATCCATAAAAAAAAATTATATTCTACAGACAACGTTTCACACAGAAAGAAAATTCATATCTCCATCAACAAAGCATTGCTCAGGTCCTTGTTGGATGACTTTCGATATGGAAGAATGGTGCGTCCAGTTCTGATTGCAGGTGTTTTCACTCAAACTGTGATGCCCTCGTTTACTGTGATACTGCTCCTTAGCAAACCCTGCGTCGCGAATCTTTTTCTTCGATCGGCCCTTCAAGATTGTCCAGCTCGTGGTTGGATTCCACAACTTGAGGCATCTTTTTGGGCCAAGCTCGTGACCAGTCTGAGTGACAGCTTTGTTCATGCGTACACGTTTGGGCAGGCCGTGATTGCAATTGGGATTGTCTTTTTTGCGAGCGTGGAAATTTTGAGGGATCACATGACAAAGTATGTCCATAATACGCTACATATTTTATTATCCCTCAAGCAGGCCCGCTGATTTGAAGAAAACCTATTAATTTTTTAACCAGGTTGATCCATGTCACATCTGAAATCAAAAATGGTCAAAACTCAGTCAATGCTCACACTTTGCAGTGGTTAATGCGATATAAGCAAGTCCAACTTCTCGCCAGACTCTACAACAACATCGCGTCAGGCGAATTAATCGTCATCATCATGTTTGACATGTTGGCATTTGGGATACTCTCCATTTATTCAGTCGTTGTTTTGCATGCATCCCTATCCACCGAAATTCTCATCACTGTTTGCATCACTGCGTTTGACACCACAATCATGGCACAAATGATGATGTATCAAACGGCTGGAGATGTGAATCACATGGCGAAAAAACTAAAGCTGTACTGGACACAAAGTCATGAGATACAAAAGGGTAAGTACTTGCGAAGAATGGTCAAGTCGTGCAATGAAGTCAAACTGATGGTGGGGAATTCTGGGAACTATATGGAAAGGACAACGCCACTCATTGTGACACAAATGACGATGGAGCAAGCTGTGAGTTTGATACTTATGAAGGGCTAAGCGTTACTGTTATGTACTTTATTTATAGCTTAAAACCCACCAAATGGTATGAAAAATTGATGTTACCAAAACCAATTAGCATGAGAATCACACGATCGTATGTAGCCAATATTTGAAAACAATATTTACTTCAAATAGTCTTTTGAAAGTTTTATGTAATAAATATAGGGTGATATGTATCATCAAACAAACTGACCCGCCCCGTTAGATAAAATTAAAGTCAGTGGACTAGAACAAATAAAAGTTCTGAGTATGCAAAATCGAGCATGTATCTGTATTTACATATATTTAAGTACTCAGTTAGTCATGACCATAACATTGGGTCATATGCATAAAAATAAGTAAATGCTTTTACCCCAAAATTTCCTTGGCAAATTATTTTTTTACGCCCGAAATTTTGGAGTAAAAGCATTTACTTATTTTTATGCATGTGACCCATTGACTGCCTGCTGACCTCAATGACATTCCCTTGTGAATAATGTTTGTCGGGCTGAAATAATGGTATTACGAACATCTTCTGATGGGTTTTCTAAGGTCATAAAATTACTCTTTAAACTGGCAGCTAAGCACGAAACAGAAAAACAAGTAAATTGTTCATAGTTGGTAATTCGTTTGTTTTAGTATGGAATCTTGCATAAATAAATGACGACAATATAAATCCACGGTTTGACCTCTTCTTAAAATTTTAGAAGCTTTACATGAATGGGTTCCATATATAAGTTCATGCATACATATTATTACATATGTATGAACGTGTATACATATCTATGCATTGTATATCTAATCCAATTTTCTCATGATCGTCCTCCTTTCCATACTAAAAAAACAGTTGTTGCGTCAATGTCACGACCAGGCCAATTATTTATTTACATGACACCTGCCTAGTGTTCGGCTCTATTTTCTCCAGACTTTTAAAATGCAAGAGTATACCCCGATCAACAAAAATTATTACTTTTGCGTCAAAGTAACGCATCCATGGTGAAAATTTTTAACAAACAAAAAAAGGCGTGATTATTGCATAAATTTTGTGCTAAGTTTGGTGTGCACCGTGAGACACGCTAAATTTGCATTAAAAAACTGTAACCTATGGTTGAAAAATTATTGCACCCAAACGTGCTGAGATATTGCGTAAAAATACCGCACCAATATCTCGTTAATACCCACATTACATGAGGCGTTAAAATCTTGCAATTTATACGCAATGAATGGTGGGTGCGAAGAGACAGGCAACGCGCGAGAGTTTGAATCTAAGAGAAGCGTGGTATTTCCTTTTCTCTCCCACCCTCGCAGTCTCGTAAATTCCCTGTTAATTTAATTCCCTGTTAATTTATCTGTTGTCTCAATGTCGCCAAAAAAATATTACATAATTGAATTCCCCCCTGATAAATACAATTCAGTGCCTGTGGAGCTTGTTCCAAGTCACTGGGTTATCCCCGCAGAGAAAGTTTGTCTCTGGCCACCAAACTCTGGGCCAAGTATTAGAAATTTGATAAAAAAGGGCACTGCTATTCCTGATGTCAAGTGGGGAAGAGTTAGCTACGCCAGGATTATTGGGAATTACGGTAAATAGCTATTTAATTCAAATTATGAGAAGTCATTCCAATTATTTTACATTTACTAACAAATATCATTATTTTAGATGATTATGAAGTTGCGACAAAAAAACTTCAAGTAGCCGAGGACACTTCCAACTTGGAAAGTGAAACAGAACCAGAAAGCAGATTAAGGAGCAAGAAGATAATTCCCGATATTCAGCCCAGCAGCACACGAGGGGATGTAACGTCTTCATCCGATGAGGAGGATAGCGACGCGAACAAAAACAGTCCTCCGTCTGGCTCACTTCTGGATAATTTGGAGCTGGGTAGGCTTATAATACTGCCACAAATATTTTATACTAATCATTATGGTGATGCTTTTTAGACCAACCATTGAGCATTCCTGAAATAATTCCCGAAACTGAAGAGCAAAGCAATCTACAAGTAGGAAATCGAGTTGAAACTGGAGACACCTCTTTTGTTGTTGTAAATTCGCAGGAGTTAAATGATTTACGGCTGTTGATTTCAAGTTAGTACAAGCAAAATAATTTTATTAAAATTGATGTATTATGTTAACGCTTTGTAATCACGTTGCAGGGACAACGCAAAGTGTGCTAACTTTGTTGGAAAAGCAGGCTGAAGACATTAAAGACATTAAGGCTTTACTGATTAATGTGAAACAAAGGCCGGATGGTAGGAAGGCTCCCAATTTCAGTGCCATTCCAAAATTACCCCTCGACAACGAGGTAGCACTGGCGGAGTTTGAATCTTGGCTCGAGGTGGATTCAAATCGCGAATTACTGGTACGATTTAATCGAGATATTTTACATGCATAATTAAACTTTAATGTTTTTTCTTATATTTGATACTAGGTTGAATATTTGGCATTTTCAACTGCGACACAGATCGAGGCGAGCACTAGAAAAATCTTGAAAAAATTATTTACGAATGAATTTGGCAGGCGAATTAATTTTACGGGTAAAGGAAACAAGACATCGATGAAAAACCTAAAACTATTGGAAGTCGTAAAAGGTGCTAAAATATATTCTAAAATGGAGAAAATTTTCTAATTGTTGGTCTCTATTTAATGTTTAATTGGATTGCAAATTTCAGAAACCGTGCGAAACGTCTTTACAGTTGAGTCCGTTCCCGATCCCAAAAATCCCAGCGGCCGTATTCCCACCGATGATATAATTCAAACTGCAGCAATGAATTGGTTTCGTTCTTCAAAGAGTAGGTGCAACGACGACGCTCCCTCGGGAATTGCATCATAATCATGGATCGAGATGAAAATCACCGAGAAACATTAGGCGAATAATTGCAAAACGGGTTAGAGAGAATCTCACTCGTGCAAAAAACATACCTGCTATTAGTAATAATCTTGTAAATTTAGATATATGTGATTCTGTCGTTGAGGATAGCGATTCAGGTAGTAATATTAGCAATAATGATAGAAGCAGTAATGTTATCCATAATAGTGACGAGCCATTAGTTTCCGATTCACTAAGCGACAATGGTGTAGTAGAAAATAATAGGAATATTTTAGATTTAACACGGGACTTGAGGGACTGGTCGCTTCGACATAACATAACGGGAGTAGCTTTAAACGATCTTCTACGCATATTTAACTTTTATCAAGAATTTAGATTTCTTCCATTGGATAGTAGAACATTGCTTAAAAACTCAATTAAATACTCTATGAAAACTATCGGTCAGGGTCAATATGCACACTTTGATGTTATTCAAAATATAAAACGGCAAATAGATTCCAATTGTATTCTTGCTTCTGGTAGCGAAATTAAATTAAACCTTATATTTAGTTTTGATGGATTGCCCATTTCTAAGAGTAACAGTAACCAGTTTTGGCCAATTCAAGCAAAGTGTGAAGAAAGTACGTACGGCGTATTTGTCGTGGGTTTATTTTATGGCAAGACAAAACCAGAAAGTATTGACGAATACTTGATGGATTTGATAGCAGAGTTAACAAGTTTGCGAGTTGGGATTAGTTACAATAATTTGAAAATATTTTGTAAGGTTTAAAAAATAATAGCTGATGCGCCAGCCAGGAGTTTTTTAAAGCAATGTAAAAGTCATAATGCATACAATGGATGCGAGAAATGTATAGATCCAGGTTTCTGGAAGGGACGTGTAATTTTCAGAACATTCGATAGTCCACTTAGGGCAGATCAAGATTTTTATGTTCAAAAAGATAAACACCACCATGTAGGCATTTCCCCGTTTACGGAGCTTAAAATTTTGATGATTTCTTCGGTTCCTCTTGACTACATGCACCTCATTTGCTTAGGTGTGGTTAGAAAACTATTAAGAAGTTGGGTAAAAGGTCCATTGCCATTTAAATTATCTTCTCGTGATATTTCAACTTTATCAAGTAAATTAGTATTATTTTCGCATAGTTGCCCTAAAGAATTTTGTCGTAAGCCGAGGTCAGTAAGAGAGTTAGATATGTGGAAAGCGACAGAGTTTAGAACTTTTCTTCTTTATACAGGACCCGTCGCTTTAAAAGGATTATTGTCGCCGAAAAAGTATACACATTTTTTAAATCTTTGCGTAGCAGTCACGATTCTTATAACTACCAAGGCGCAAGCAAATAATTGGAACGATTATGCACGACAGCTTTTATTGAAGTTTGTTAAAAATGTTCCCAATTTATATGAAGAAGAGTTCTTATCATATAATATGCATTCTCTTATACATATTAGTGATGACGCTTTAAAGCACGGCCCGTTAGATTCTTTTAGTGCTTTCGATTTCGAAAATAATATGCAAGTAATAAAGCGCTCCCTACGAGCTCACTATAAACCTTTTGAGCAAACTGTGAATCGCACTGCTGAGAGAGAAAATCATAAGTACCAGTCCCCTGTGAATTTAAATAGACACTGTATTATAAAATCGAACGGAAAGGATCATTGTTTTATATTAAAGGATGGGAAAGTAGTTGTTATAAGTAGTATAAGTAAAGATAAAAAACATATAAATTGTAGAAAATTCAAACACTCGGACAACTTGTTCACTTGTCCGTGTGAAAGTAAAATTTTAGGAATAATTAAAGTTAGCAAATTATCAAATAGCGTAACCATAATAGGTATTAATGATATTGATAAGAAATGCTGGTTACTCCCGTCGGATAAAATAGATGAAAACATTTGCATTCCCTTGTATAATGTAACAATATAATTTTTGTTATGAAATAAATGATTTTGATAAAAATTAATAATTCGTGTTATTTGACTGCAGTAATTGCATGGAGTTTAACTGCAAGTTTTGCATCAAATTATTAGTTTCTTTTGCGCAATATTCTACGCTCTAAATTGCATTAATTTGACGGTTATTTCTACGCAATATTCTTGAGGCTAAATTGCATGAATATGACTGTCAATTCTATGCAATATTGACAGTTTATTTTACGTTAAATATCTAGTATCTTTTCACGGATTTTTGCCGGCCATCAGTTGCTGCAATTTAACTGTATGACTTTTGCGTAAAAGTGATAGCTTTTGTTGATCGGAACATATGTATGTATGTATGTATGCGTTTGCTCGTATATTGGGTATGCACATCGGACATCCACCCATTTAAATGGTTACTGATATTTATCGTATGAATATCGAGTTTGTTTGTCTCTATTAATTTCACTTTTAATGCTTTACTTGATAGTGTAAAATACGTGGGTAGATAGAACGATTTGGTCTTTCGCAGTAGTGAAATTTATCATATAATTTTTAAAGTAGTCTCTAAAATAAATATAATTCATGGTACTGTGCATATTTCTGGCAAAATCTACCATTGAGGGTTCAATTCACGAATCTTCTACCCATAAACGTTATACATAAGCATTAAATCAATCAATCAAATCATAAACATTATGGAATCGAAAAGATTTTATGAAATGTACTCAATTTCATTGCGAATTTCAAATTACTTTGGTGGGAGTCCGTTCATGTGCGAGTTTGGAGGTGCTGGACATTACTCCCCATCCTTCAGACTTATTGTTTCACCAAAACTCGTTAAAAAATGTGCATCGAGATTTGGAATTGTCTTTGGTCACACAGCCTTCCTCGCAGCGCAAACTTATTTTTCAGTTAAGCGTCACGATTTAAGTGGACTATGCTTCGCGACTCTCTTTCTGTCCATGGGAATGAATCTTTTGACGACAATGACGTTTTTTGTATTTTTCCCACAAGAATACGCAGACGCAATTAATTTACAAAATAACTTTTTTTATCAATATCAAAGTAAGCTGTATTCCCGCAGTAGTCAAAGCTTGGAAAGTTTATAATATGCGGATATTTATTCTGAACTTAGAAAAATGGATTCCCCTGCATAACACGAACAGCTCCAGATTAAACAAGATTGCCGATTTCATTACATACCTCACTTGCATATCGTGTGGCTTGACGCAACTTTTGTGTTTCATTCATTTCTGCATATTTCCTAATACCGTTATTTACCTCACGTCAATTGGATGCTACGAATTTCACGGTAACCGACCTGAAAATTGTGTAGTGCTGTACTTTCTAATATTATCTTTAATCTGTTTTATAATGACTGTAATTGTATGCTAAAAAATAGTGTGGTACACACTGGGAATTCGTGTAACAGGAGCAGTTTTCTACTTTCACTTCTTCGGAGTCGCTTACTCCTTGATTCTTGTGTACATTCTGGCTGCCAAAACGTACATTACTTTCATCTACCACATTGTCACCGATTTCAGATGTCTGACTGGTTCTAGGAAGGAAAAGTCTCATAGGACGATGCATGTTCGCTTTAAAATGCAGCTTTCACTTAATCAGAAACTGCAATATAATTTTGCCACTAAAAATAAGAACTATTTATTACGCTCCGTAGGCACTTCGAAGTCCAACTTTCCTACCAATCGAATACAGAAGCTTGGAACTTGTTCATCGCATCACGGTTTCTCAATACGGTCCAATAATTCCCATCACAGAAGCCCTTTGCGGATACATAATTATTCTCGGAGCATTCATGCTAATCCGACATTCTCGAGAGTTAGATAAAACTGCGTTTGGCATAGTTACGATGTGGTAAAAATATACACATACGCGAAATATGGTTGATACAATAAACAAGAGTTTACAATTCTAGGGTAACAAGCATGCTCCTCCTTTTTACATGGATTCTCCGTTTTGGGGGAATATTCTTTACTGGATCAAAGAAGACGATAAATTCCTGGAAGTATTGGAGAGAAAGTGGAAATGTAATATGGAACTCAACTTCGACGCTCAAATACATGAAACAATTTTCAAAATCATGTCGACCTCTGGCCATAGAGTTCCCAGGATACTACAGAATCAGCAATGTTAGTGTACTCAAATTTTGGCAAGGTGCAATCCGTGGGGTGGTTCGAGTTTTGTTAGCCTTTAAATAAATCAGGTGACTAAAAATTCCGGTTTATGTGAACAATTAGGTATATTATTACATGCGTTTGTTGTGTTTGTGTGCGTATAAACACTTGCATACATCGTAATTGACCATTAATAAGCTTGTAATTTTAAGTTCATCTGGAATTCCAAAGCTGCTAAAACTGTCCTTTATAAAATATATTACTGCAAACAGCAATCCCTTCCGGTTTGCATATTCTGTCAACAATGTCAAAGAGTGATCCCTCTGGACATCGGAGTAGGATTGGAAAGCCCTCAACACATTTTATGTAGATTGAGCAGTCACCCGGGTACGGAAGTTGATGTTCACCCTCCGGTGGACATTCGTTGACAGGAGGAGTAGTCGTTGTCCCGGAACTTATTGTGGTTGTCCCAGCAGGAGTTGTCGTGATCGTACTTTGACTCGTAGTTGGTGTTGGTCCATACTCGCAATCAACCTCAGATGCAAAGTTGCACTCCTCCAAGTTCGGATCAAAGTAAAACCCGTCTGGACATTCATGATAAGGCTCCGTTAACTCTCCGTCCACACAAATGTAGTAAGCATGACAAAGTTCTGGTCATAAAACAAAATACTTTAGTAAGTAGTTCATACAGTAAAATTTAAAAAAAGCTAGACCACGTTTATTACCTGGATGTGGAACAGAATGAACTCCTTCAGGTCGGCATGGACCGGATGGGTTGTCAGTGGTAATAATTTCGGTCGTAGTCGTTGCAGTGGTGGTGCTCGTGCCGGTTGGTGGCCTTTATCACACGTTTATTACAAAGCAGATCTTTGTCGACATATGTCAAATTTTTAATTACCTAGTTCCTCCGACGCATTCTGGAACGTTTTCTGGATAGTCACACACCAACAAGTCTTGATTCCAATAGAGTTCATTTGGACATTGCAGGCGAATTGGTGGAACTTGACACACAAGATAAAACCGACAGTCCGGATCAGGCCAAAAATTGTGCCCATCGGGACATGGCTCCTCTTGAGCCTGACGAAAATACAGAGAATGAATTAAAATTAAAATTATTAAATCGATTTTAGTAAAAAAAACTCACCAATACTCCAGAAAAAGCGAGTAAAATCGTGAAACAATTGAGGAGTAATTTATTCATTTTGATGGAAACTAAATTGAGTTTGTAATTAATTGGAACATTTGCAATCAACCAATACTTAGTTGTGATTTGGGAAAGCAAGTGATATAACAATCTGACGTCAATCTTATCAAATTGCACATAAGGATTACAAGATAATAACCTAATTACATTTGCAAATTCCATTAAATTCTGGTCATTCATTCAATTGACCCATCTTCATATCACCAGCATACATTAAACCAACGTCATTACGGTTCTCAATTGTTCATTGAATTTTAGTAGCTCAAGATAATGCCCAGATTTTTCTAAGTACTCTGTGGACCCTGCCCCTTTAATTATTTAGTCCTGAAATATTTAAAGGTCTTTCATGCTTAAGGGTAATAACATACTGTGAAAAATGCAACACTTGTAAAAACTAATATACAAAATCGGGACAGGCGAATGCACATAAATATGCATCGTGGTGTAGCCTTTTCATTCTTATGCTTATGCAACAGAAGCAAGCTATACATACATTTCAACAATAAGTAAGCACTGCTACTGTTAATAACTTTGATAATTTAATTTGCATGCATAAGAGATCCACAAAATATTCGACTTGTGTAATATTGCCCTCGTATAAGTAGTACTAATTCAAGTCATCTTATTTCAGAATTCCAACCATGGAACAAGATATACTGATTCCAACAATATATTGCCAGATGTTGAAGCATATTCTTCGAGCCATATTTTCTATACAACATTTCCAAAATTCTTATGGAAACGAGATGGTTCTAAATTTTTATGTCGTCGTTTATAAAGCTGTCTCACTGTGCTGTGACCTTCAGGTTTCACTGCCATCATCGCCTTGGACGGAGTGCAAGATAAGGACTTTCAGCCGTAAAATTTAATCATGAAAGTTTATTTCGCAATTTTTGCAAGTTTTTGCTGCGTTGTTGTATTCCTTGTGCAGGTAATGTCAACTAAACAGAGTACATTTCTAGGGGTGATATCAAATTAAGTATAAAACACTGACAGGGATTGACAGCGTTGGGCGGATGCTCTGATGATTCAATTTGTACCGACTTATGTGGCTACGCAGGCACTGGTAAATGCGTAAATGGGACTCACTGTGTTTGCGAAACGTGTCCACAAAGGAGTGTAAGTGGTAACAAATTACTTATTTTTGTATACAACTATATTTTGACTGTCAATATTTTAGACTGCTGAACTTTCTTTGGCCTACGCAGTCAAGATTTGTACTCCGGAACCATTTTGCCAGCTAAAGTGTCCAAAATCCTCCTTCTCATTGACAACTGGGAAACTGTATTCGGGGCATATCTGCAGTTCCCTCACGAACCCGTTAGATATTACGTGCATCTGTTTTTGCATGCCGACCACGCTTGCCAGTCTCGGAACTATACTGAGATGTCCAGTGGTTCCCAATTTTACTGAAGTACTCGGATGAGTACGTAGCACCACCTTATGCACATTGATTACGAACATGTGTGTATCAAAAATGTAAACCAATTGCTATTTGTGACATTTGGGTAGAAGATCTTAAATTGCCACTAAAATATTTGTTGATTGATTGACTTATTTCGTAAATTAATTGTGCTATAATTGGGACATGATTTCATTAAATACAAGAGGATAATGTAACCATCGCAGGTCGCCACCGACCAATTTATTACATATTGCATTTATGTTTTCACCAACTAGATCACACCCACGCAGGCTGTGTCAGTCATCGTATCAAGCAAGGCCCTATGGCTCAGAAGCAAGGCCCTATGGCTCAGAGGTACGAGGGTAGGATTGTCACCACGCAGTCACACGTTCGATTCCTCTGGCCGGGAAGCTATTGCTAATCCTACTCGGCTCGGTGTTAGTACGGGGTAGGTGCTGTCTCGTGACAGGGTGAGCCCAGCCATACGGAATGGCAATGTCACTGTGTACAGCCCCTAGCAGAGTCCGTTCTCTGTGGGGATGAGACAACTTGCTACGAAATTATGGCAAGAAGTCGCCATCTGAGGCTGAAAAGCAGAGAAATCTGAGTCCTGGCGATGTAAAACTGTCACATTTTAACATTTTTAACATTTTAACATATCATCAGAATTAGCATGCGTTAATAAAGAAAAGATAATGATACAAAATGTTTCAATTGAGCTAGCACATATACGAGTACACACGTACATAAATTACCGGATTAATGTAAATTATGTGTCCTAATAGCTTTGGATTAAAGTTGTTGAGGTGCTATGGGGTTCAAGTGCGTGACGAACGTCACAGTCACACATATCTGTACATACATATGTACATGAAGGATTACTTATTTTAACATATATAAACTAGCGTAATTCAGCAATGGTTTCACCAGCATTACTTACCTATTATTACTTGTAACTTGATAAACCAGCCTCTCGTTTCCCTCTTTATCGAATTGGACCCTGTATGCATCAATGTCACCATAAATCATTATTATCAGCAATTCTAGTTCTGAGTCAGTCCTAATGGAATATTTTATTGTGGCACTTGAATAGCAAGAGAATTTGCACGCGTCACTTTATTAACTCGTAAAACAACGATTTGCATGTGTATCACTGGGTGGGGTTCCGTACCCTATATATAAAATCTCTTTCGTGATAGCTGTGACCATTTATTTTCAATCACTCCACCAACAGCACCAGCAGCTACAATCTCCTCGGTTAAGAGTGCCATTCTCCAAATTAATTCAAAATGAGGCTGATTTTTGCTCTGGTCATTGCAAGTATTTTGGTGATGGGCCTGTCCACTGCTAATGGTATATAAATATTTTACATTATATTGAATATGTAAATGAAGAACAGAGTTCATGTACAGATCAATTTGTTTTGTGTATGTATAGCTGAGCTGACATGTCCAGAACGGCCCGGACCCTGCCAAAACATCATCAGTCCCTGTCACCAAAACCCATGCACCAATCCAGGCGAGATCTGCTGCGTGGATAATAAAGATTGCAGTGCTTTCTGCGTTGCGTAATAAGTGATGTGAGCAGAAAATGGAAAAAGGGATGGACCGAAAGGGCAAATTACGAAATTTTTAATCCATTTGAATTGAATTCAATCAAAATTTTCGGTCAAATTAAATCTGAATTTTTAAAGCAAAACATTTATTCTGCATATTTTGTGAATTATTATATTTATCTAACACAAATTATGTATGCGGGTGGATAGATAAGGCTCGTAATTTGAAATTTTTGTCAACATGAACAACTTTTACCAGGATAAAATTATTTATTAAAATTAGATATGCATGAATTACATATACCGATACTTCGCACCAGGGTTCGGAAAAACCCAGGGTTTTAATCAAAAATTATAAAACCCATGGGTTTTAATGGGTTTTACCATGTTAATTGGGTTTTATTTGGGTTTTAATGGGTTTTAATGGGTTTTATTGGGTTTAAATGGGTTTTATTGGGTTTAAATGGGTTTTATTAGTTTTAAGTAATAACTTAACAAAAATAATTAGGAATTTGTATCTATTCGGACATTATTTTTGTTTTATAACACTTGAAATCTGTGATGCTAAAGGATGGAGTCAATTATTGAATTGTTCCGAATTTTCATATATTAGAATAGTAATGAAATAAACTGCTTTAGAATGAATTGAGATAACGTCTTCTAACGTATAGGAGATGTATTTAACTTTTAGAATGTAGTTTTAAGGTAAAACTCAATTAAAACCCAATAAACCCCATTAAAACCCAAATAAAACCAACTTAACATGGTAAAACCCAGTGGGTTTTATTCATTTACAACCCATTAAAACCCATTAAAACCCAATAAAACCCAACCCATTAAAACCCAGGTCGGAATACCCTGCTTCGCACCATTACTATTTCATTCATTTATGAACTACATATATCAGTAAACAAGTAATACAATGCGTATTTAGGCAATGCGTATATGGGCCAATGGCATGCCTTTTTTTATTTAAGAGGTTTTGTCGTGGATTAGAAATTAACCGAACGAATATTGTCAAACCGTTTACGGAACAATTCAAGTACAAATAATATCAGGGAGAGTGATAATATAATTGAACAGAGCCAAGAAAGCGCTAAAATGTGCTCAAGCAAGTCCGAAACTTTATTTTCAATGTTTTCAATTAGGTCGTTGTGAATATTTCGTCGATTTGCTACCCATCTGCTCCAAATTTCAATCAACCCAGTGTCCAACAACCAACGAAACCGATTTGATATGTATCCATCGGAATGGGCCGTGAATGAAAACGACTTTTCATATCGAAGGAAACTATCGGACCCCATCATAAATGGGATTTGATGCGTTCTTGGTCTAAATTTGTTTCCCAAACTTAATTCCTCCTTGATTATCTCGTTTCTTACAATTACTCCAGATTTGTTACATTCCTTTACTAGGTCCACCCCAGTCACAAGTAGGTCTGCAGATCTGCTCAAGGTCGGGGAAACGTTAATTCTCCCCATCAGCAAGAAAAGTCGTTCCGCTTCCCTGTCCTCTTTCAGAGTAAAGATGAAGTGGTGGCGAAGCTTCCCCCAGGTGAGGCTAAACTGTGTGGAATACAGGCGTTCTTTCAGTGCAAACGACTTTCTGAAAAAGCCAAGCTGATTGGAGGAAAACAGCGTAAAGTTTTCCAAGTCCAGAACTTTTTCATGTACCAAAGTCGATCTGGAGGGGTGTCCAAAGTAGGAGAGCAAACACCCCTTGTACCCACTGCTCAAGGTTAGGGCAGCAGCCAGCCAAATTATTAAAAGGACTCGAGTTACCGTCATATCAACAACAAAGTCTGTTCCCTTAGATCCAATATCCTTCTTTTTGTATTTGAAACTGATGTCAACTCCTTGATCCAAAACGAGAAACACTAGCTGAATTTTGCTTAATATTGTCGTCAATTTGAGACCTCTGCGAAGAAGAAGGGAAACACATAGCACGGTCACAAATAATGCCAACCACGTGTACAAATCAAATGGTCGCATGTAAACCTTCCACGTTGGTTCAATTTCAACGCCGTCACAAGTAATGAAGTTGTACGAGTCCAAATGTGTGTATACGACATCACTGACAATAAATTCTGCTAATGGATCATCAATGCAAATTGCAAAATTTGGCTGGTAACCAAACATAACGTTGGAGAAACAATAGCCGGAGCTCCCATTGTCGATAAGCATTTGCAAAAGGGCAGGTTCGGGGGAAGTGATGACTTTCCCTGTCGTAAATGGTGAGATATCTTTGCGAGCACCTTTGCACAATGTTCGAAATGTGATAAAATCGTTGGGTGTCTCCAACAGAGAAAGCGGAACGCTCCATTGCACGCCACGACCAGAGTTGAAAATAAAGCGTGAGATCCGTTGCATCTGAAAAAGGCAGACCTCCTGCGTTTCACATCGTAGCGATTCTGAAGACATTTCCGGAGAACTTGGCCAATGGAGTAAATGAATTCCACGAGTAAGCGTCAAACTGCTCTTATCTGTTGACTTTATTTTGATAATCCAGAATAAAAAGAGCCTCAAGTATTTACGCTGAAGTGGTGACCCCAGAAGAAAAGATTTTACGGACTGCACATGTTCAAGCGTTGTCAGGACAATAAAATAGTCGGAATTTCCCCGTGAAGCAGATACGGAGTTGTAAGGACAGTAATGCGTCGTTAAGTCGTGATGTTCAGTAACGGATCCTAACAAGGTTTCTTGGGAAGGTTTCACGTTTGCTTGTGAACAATTTTTACGGGGGACATCCGCATTAGGAAATAGTACAAGAAATAGAAAAACGTGTTCGGTAAAAGTCAGTACATGATGTAGTGGATTGTATGGGGTGATATTATTTGTTGCCAATAAGCGGTTGATGATAACAGGATATTTATTGCTGTAGCTAAAACTGGGCCCAATTTCAAGATACGATGGTATCGCCAGTTTTATCGACACGCCTGGAAAATTTGCAATCACCTGGCTCACGTTCACAGTGAAGTCCATCGCAAAACTATGTAGTTATTTCCCAGGAGTTTTGCCACGTTTGGAATTTGTCAGAAAGGAATATGGCCTAAGAAAATTATGTTTTATTGTTTCCTCGGTCGAGCTGTATGTACAACATTCATGGTTTAAAGCTTATATTTAACCGAGTAAATAATTATGGTTTTGGATTACGACAACTTGAATGAGGGTGCAGCGCAGTTACTGGTGCTCAAAACCTTTAACAATTTCCAACTCCATGTGAAGATGTCTAAAAATACTGATATTGACTTATCCCTTGTTTCGTGGTTTAGTGCGTATGTGTCAATGTATTAGTGAAATTATCTAATGGATTATAAAGGAAGCTTTTTTCTAAGAACACAACTCTCCAAATCGTTCTCGCCCTTGACCATAGAATAATAGTCGTATCTTAATATTTGGTAATCGGAGAAATGTTGATGCAATATAGTCATCGTCAATGCACAAGTACAGAAATTTGCATATGTACATAGCCAAGCCATAACGCATATAACAATATCATTCGCCAAATTTATCAGTTCCAAACAAATATATGTAACTGGTTCTCATTTTATTTGTGTCATGCGGATCTGGTAGCTAATCCGCTTTTTAGAACCACATTATTGCACTATGCAATAACACAGATAATTTCTATGCAATTTACAATAAGAGCTGAATTTCCATAAGGTCGGGTAGTGTTGATGACGCGAAGTGTAGTGAAAAATCGGTTTTAACTGCCATGAAATTTATTGCTGCTTAATTATCTATTAGCCATGTTAATTGTCAAATTGAATAATGACAACAATGTCCCATCCGTCTACCCAGCACAGCTAGATTGGTTGATCGAAGAGGGGAAAATGTGTGGGATTTCCCAGCATAGTACGAGATGCATATTGTACATATATTCTGGATTCGTGCAGAGATGTGCAGTTGCAAATTTCACGAGGATGGCTTGTGCTCAAATAATGGCACACGCAAAATTTATCCCTGGTTAACGTCAAGAAGACTGCGAACTATAACATTTTATTCTTTCATGCATTCACTCGCGGATCTGCAAATTATTTATAGTTGCAGACAAACAAACACCATATTTGTATGAAAATTAAAATAATGTCATTTTCCGCCGTCTTGATTTTTTAGCATGTAGATCTATGTAGCATGTGAATGCATTAAATACTGTGCTGCTATTTGACAAATAAGTGGGCGTGTGACAAGATATGGAGGACGGGATCAGTCGTCAGCGATCTACTTTGATCCAGAATATTTCTGGAAATGCCAATTGATTCAGCCTGGCCAGCCATATAAAAAAACGATGCATGCATGCAACACTTTATAGTATTTTAAAATCGGAGAAAATGTGCGTTCCAGCCGACTCCAATTTGCAACTTGCAGAAAATGTACTCGAATTAAAAGAACCAAAGACTAAAGACAACATAGAACAAAGTCCTAAAGGTGACTTAAATACTCCTACTTTAAAAAAGTATTTGTAATTGATAAGGCAAGGTGTGTAATTAATATGCGTAAAATCCAGGATGGGGGACACGACATACATTCCTCGTGCTGGGCTTTGTAGGATTCGCTCTGTGCTACGCATTGAGATTTAATTTATCGATTGCCATTGTAAAAATGATCAAAAGAAGCAATGGCACTGTGGGCGCTGGTAAGGGAGGAAACCTGACCATGCCTGATCATGAGGCAGCAATTTGTCCCCTTGGTCTAATGCCAAAGACAAACTCATCTCAATTTAATTATTCCAATGCGACACTCGTGGACGAAAACAATAATGATTACGAGTCTGAGAAATTCGACTGGAGCGAAGAAGAGCAACAAATTCTATTGGGGGCGTTTTTCTGGGGGTATGTTCTTACACAGTTTCCAGGGGGCAAGCTTTCCCATGTTTACGGCCCCAAATGGATATTTTCTGGGGGTATTCTGATAACCGGAATTTTATCACTATTCATTCCGATCGTTACCATTGCATATGAATATTATGGACTCATTGTGATCCGGGTCGCACAAGGACTTGCAGAGGTACATACGGAATTAAAAACCTAATTATCTAATATAGGCTTCATTGCATATGGTTCTTTGTAGGGCGTCACTCTGCCCTCAATTTTAGTTCTGTTGGCGAGATGGGCACCAATTGGCGAGCGAAGTCGAATGGTCAACTGGTTATATGCAGGAATTCCTCTGGGAACTGCAGTCACGATGGTGGCTGGGGGATATTTGCTCCACTTTTTTGGATGGCCTTCCGTTTTTTACGTTGCTGGAGGGTTGACCCTGGTCTGGTTTGTATTTTGGTCTTTCTTCGTTTACAATGACCCATCCGAACACCCACGAATTACTGAAGAGGAGCTCAACTACATTCAATCACACTTGGAGGGAGAATCAATGACGGTACTTTTTTTATCAACATGCAGATGTACATATCATGTACAATTTATATACGTATTTGCATTGGGGGCAGCATTATTAAGTATAAATTTACACCACATACTTTGTTCTAGGATAATATTGCAACTCCGTGGTGTGAAATCGTAAAGTCGTTGCCAGTGTGGGCCGTATTAATAACAGACCTAGGGGACTCATGGTCCCACTATCTTCTTCATGTGGAAGTTCCAATGTATCTCAGCTCCGTCCACAACTTTGATATCGAAACGGTAAAAAATATTTATAGGAGTAATTATAAATATTTAGTTAAGTTGAGTTGTGTTTAAAACCAGCCGTACTTTTATGCTTTAGGACGGATGGCTATCAGCGTCGCCACAGGTTGTTAATTTCGGGGTGGGAATACTATTGGGATATTTGGCAGATTTTCTCATCAATAGAAAATACCTGTCTGTGATCTCGACTAGAAAGTTGTGCAGCACAATTGGTACATATTTATATGTGTACATCAGTAACCAATATCATCATTGCTCAAATATTTACCAATTGGTTTATTTCTTATTTTCAGCCCTATGGGGGGCAGCTGGTGGCTTTATTGGAATGATTTACGGCGGTTGCGATACTCCCATGGCGGTGGCTTCTTTAAATTTTGCTGGTACGTATCAGTAATAAATTAGAAGTACACGCCTAATTAGCTAACTTATTATTGTTACGTAATAGCCGGAATAGCTGGGGCCTCAAATAGTGGGTGGACTCTGGGTCATATCGAAATCGCGCCTAATCATGCTGGCACTATATCTGGGATTGCAAATATGTTTGGAAACTGTTTAGGTTTCGTAGCTCCTTTGGTCACCGGATTAATTTTAGAAAAGAATGTAAGTTAACACTTGATTCATTTCGTTTAAAACTTTGACTCATTATTACACAATTTACACAGCCTACGTTAAGGGGCTGGAGAATTGCGCTAAGTATTCCGGCGGGAATTAGCTTTGCGGTTAGCCTGTTCTACTTGGCTTTCGCCTCTTCTGATGTCCAACCTTGGAATAGAATTACGGAAGAAGAGCAGGAGAGTAAAATCAGAAAAGATTCTGTCACTTTGGCGGTTTAAAAGCTGTATTAATTAGTGGAACTATTTATGTTTTATGTTTCGGTTTTATTTTATCTAATATTTAAGGACTATTTGTACTTAATGATTAGCAAGTAATCATTCTGTGTTTTCAATGGGAACGAAATCGAGGATATTGCATAGTGTCACACGTTGTGCATATGTTGAGATAATGAACAAAGGGAAATTTATGCAGAGTCAATTTAGGACAATAAGTAATCACAAATGTAATATGTTGTTCTCTCGGTGAAGCTAATTTCAGATATTGTACATACAAAACACTATAACTAATTACTTGAATAAGGCGTAGACCTCTATTGAATAACACAAATGTTACCGTTAAGAAAAATGTGTTTGTAGAAGCCATTCTCGTATTCCGTTGGCATTCTTCTTTGCCCACGCCAAATTATTGCGTACGTTCTCCAAGGCTGCTTCCCTGGCGCGAGTACCTGCTCCTCCCTCAGGGTGCTTGGCAAAGAAGTCTTCCACCTGAGAACCAAGTTAGTCAACCTAGTTGTTAGAAATTTTGTTAGAAGTTTTTCTTAAAAAATAAAAAATACGCATCAGCCAAGTGTGAGAATTAAGCATCAGCCATTCACAGGGCTTTGTGGGGAAAGTGGTTACCCGGTAGTGATCAGAACGAAAGGTTGCCGGTTCGATTCCGGCCAGCTCGCAACTTTTTTCTCATTCTTGGTTCAATTGGCTTTTCAAAAATTCAATGAGTTTCCTTCTCATCTTCCTCACTAGTTGTTAGAAATGCCTAACGCTTGAACCATACAACGCGGGACGATTAGAAAACATTGTATCATTGGTTTGAATATAAACTACAATTTAGTTTTCTCGAGCTATTGAATCTACCATTATTTACTACAAATTAAGTGAGATTTGTGCCTCTAACTTTCTTGGTATTAAATTCAGGCTTAGGTTCATTTTGTCGCATATTCCAATTACTTCCGATATTGTGCAGTGTGCATGAAAAATTTTCAAAGTGGAAAATAATAAATTCTCCCGTTATTTATGGTTCAAGGCTTATTATGGCATGTCATTCAATCAAATTTAATCAGTCATTATTAAAAGTTTCTCACCTCTTTAAGTTTATCTTGTGTCGCATAACTGTAGCTGATGGCTGTAATGGCACGTCCAAATGTCCGATCATTTAAGGAAAATCTGTTCACTAAGTAGTCGTACTGATTCCTATTCACGTATGTACTTATGTTAAACCATATTTTTCTACAAACATTTTTACGTCTGTGAATTTTTAATGTACAAACCTGTAAAAGTCCCAAACGATTGGATTAGCAATTGGGTTTCCACTATAATATTTTATCACGTGGAAGTAGTCCTGCCGTCGCACGAGGGTCTCGTTTTTAGATAGTTCGAGAAAACTGTTGGAATGAATTTCGGTAAATGCATTTGTCAATATGTAAGTTCTTAGCAAAGTGACGAACTCACTTTTTAAGAATGGAAGCATCCTGAACGTTGGCTAATGCACGAAGCTGTCGTATACTTTCTTGTGGGTCAGGCTCGTTCCCATATATGTTAAGAAGGCGGTCCCAATCAGCAAGGTCGGACTGATACATTCCTTCAATTACATAATATTTATCACATTTTTTGAAATTCTATGCTTACAAGTTTTAGCTAAATTAGAAACGCGTGTATGTACCCCATTTGTAGACGACATCTCGAAGACCTGAAGGGACTTGAGTAGATGGAGATTTTGGATCTGCAATCCATCGTGAGAACAACTCCTTCGCACGCTCAAGGCAAGGTCGGTGACCATTTTCACAGGCGAGGGAAAATATGAGAGGTTTCAATAATCTTAAAAACGAAAGTAGTTATTTAGTTAGGTTGGTAATTTTGTATGTCTTGTTAGATATGTTTACCACTCACCTGTCCAAGTGGTTATCGCTTTCAGTGTCGCTCCAGTCTAACTTGTGGTACATGTTCGATACCAGAGCGAGTATATATTTCTGCGATAACGAAATATAAATTATTCTAGAGAAATCATTAGAAATTATGATTTTTAAATAATATTCAATAACCTGAAAGAGAGAACTCGTATCAGAGTCAATCGATTTGATAAGTCTGCCAAGAGTGAAAAAATGTTCACGTGCACAGCTCCAAGGAATATAATGATTCTCCATCTGAATACAAAAATTTCGTGAATCATTATTTATCCAATTCAAATTTACATGCACGTTTTCATTGCTTAAATTGACTGTACTAACTTTAAGATATTGAGAAAAGTCCAGGGTAAATTTGTACTCGAGATAGTAGGCGTATGATAATGAGAATGCATCATCCACTGCACCGCATCTTTCTCGTGGATCGAAATTAGCGAGCAGCGTTTCCTTCAGAGTTTGGTAACTGGGTGGCGGATAAAGGACGCGAAAGTAGCCAAACTGACCTCGGTTGAGTTTTACCCATGGCAAGGAAGCATCCAAAGGAAGGGTCACTGGATTGTTACGTCAAACAATTAAAAATTACGGAAAAAAATTTCCTACAGCGTTATAACAAGTACCTGAACCCTCGTCGTGTCGCATCCAAATCATTTTTTCCGTACTTTTAGAATTTATCGTCCACTCCAACTCTATTGGAATTTCCCATCGATAATGAAACGGACTTTCGCTGTGGGTACCTTGCTGGACAGCATCACGATTGTCTAAGAAACGTTGTTGGCTTACCATCCAAGCTCTCCCGTCCTCACTTTTGTTCAATATGAGCACAGGGTAACCCATCTGTCCCGTCCAAGTGTCCATTACCAGAGATATGTTTGCTGGGTTGGACCGATCAACCTCTTTTTGAAGATACGACCACAAGTCCATCGTTTCTGCATTTGCATAGGAATACTTTTGCAGAAAGTTGGATACTCCTTTTCGAAATCGAGAGAGCCCCATAAAATTTTCCAACATTCGGATAACCGAGGCTCCCTTGGAGTAGGAAATACGATCAAATAGCTCTGTAATTTGGTTGGGATGCTTCACGTCTTGGACGATGGGATGTGAGCTGATTTGTCCATCCACACCTATTTCAGGTCCGAGAAGACAATACATTTCAGTATAAGTAGATAAACAAATTAGTCGTCTTTTTAATCATTTATTACTCAGAATAGGTATCAAATCTTCTGCCACAAACTGAGCTTCAATTTCCCACTCAGGATGTACCACCGCCACGCCTTTGTACTCCATGTACGACGCAAAGCCTTTATATTATATTTATATCATTATTCAAGTGTCTTTCTCAAATCATTGATGCCCATTTATCAAACAAATACCTTCATTAAGCCAAAGGTCACTCCACCACTTCAGTGTCATCAAATTTCCAAACCACATGTGAGCTTAGTAAAGAAACATCATTGCATTAACCTTTAGAACAAGTTATATTAGAGAATGGAAATGGTCGATTTACCCAATTCGTGTCCAATCACTGTAGCGACCCTTTGCTTGTTGGCTGCTGACCCAACACCGGGTTGATACAGAAGGTTTGACTCTCTAAACGACACCATTCCCCAGTGCTCCATCGCCCCGGAGACAAAGTCAGGGATTCCGACAACATCTAAATGCATACGATTAATTAGAAAGTTAATTATAAAATTATAATTTATTTTTGTACCCAATTTAGGAAGAGGGTACGGAATTCCGAAATAGTCTTCAAAAAAATCTAGAATGTCCGCAGTGATGCTGGAAGCGTACTCTCCACTCTTGATTTGGAACGGCGTGGTGTAAATTCGGACAGGGACGCCCCGCTTGCTTCTCCTTTCGATAAAGGCAAGATCGCCCACGGTGAAGGCGACGAGATATGTCACCATTGGAACGGATTTGGCGAAACGTACCGTGGTTAACCCTGCCGAGGGTGTGTCCGACTGTTCCGTCGCTATTGGCATGTTACTTATCGCGGTAAAATTATACGGCTTCACCAAAGTGACAGAAAATGTGGATTTGATTGAAGGTTCGTCAAAGCATGGAAATGCTCTACGAGCTGCGGTGGGTTGAAATTTACTGGATACGACGTACCTTTGAATATAATACAAGTTAGAAATTGGGGACCGATCTACAGAAAAAAATGAGGGGATTAAAAAGAGTAGGTTGTACTTTGTTTTGTTGTCCCGTGGATCAGAATATGAGGAACGGTAAAGACCAGTAATGTCACGGGTGAGACTACCCCCGAACGACATACTTAGCTCATACTCCCCTCGTGGAAAAGTGACCCCTTCAGAGTTTGGTTTTATCACCCAGTAATCCAGGAGCGGGTATTCATAGGTCTGATGAGACGTAAACGAAAATTATTTGATTGCACAAAGCCACCTCATTCTCAGTTAGACTCACCGTAACAGAAAAAGTTGTCTGATTGGTTGTAAAGGTTAGCTTAGTTTCAGACACGTCAAGATATTTCACGTGAAGTCGAATATGATCCATTGTGTCAAGAAGCGTTAAGCTGATGGATACATTTCTAAGGGAAACATGGGTGCATGTAAATATCTATGCATACATGAACTTGTATTTATCATCTAGTATGAAATAGTACCCAGTGAAATTTCCATATTCGAAGCTTGGAAATAGATAAATTTCATAATGGCTAGGGTGAACTTTTGGGCTGAGACGAATTTCGCATTTTTCCTCAGGAATGGTACACCTGCATTCATTTTAGAATGGTCATAACTAGAAATGACCTATTCATAGGATATAAATCAGTTAGTCTTCCTTACCCCGTCGGAGTGTACGATTCTCCACTTGTCCTCACGATGCCAAAGTAGCCCAGGCATCCCAATGCCAGAAGAACAGCCACACCCATGACGCCGAGAACCAGTGATGTGCACGGCTTCAAGCCCATACCCAATCCAGGAGGGTCTGCTAGGTCGTAGTTAACAAAAATATCACTTTTCCTACTGCTTACAAATGCACTATTGTAATTGTACTAAATCTTGTGCTTAACGACACATTGTACGAATATCAGAATTTGCAATGCAATTTTTGTACTATTGTGTGCTAATATTTTACTTGGAAAAATTATCCTCTCAAGATTCGTGCCCACCGGACTGCAAGACTACATATTTTATGCACTCTTGATTATTGTCTTGATTCTGCTTGACTCGCTGTCATTCTGTCTGCAATAATAATGAAATGACACTGTGTGAATGCATAATGGGTTATCATCATCTCATCGCATCCCCGTTGTCGTTGTTCCCAACTGGTTTGGTGTGGTTGGTGTGGGTAAAAATATGTACATGAAATAAGTAACAGCAATCTGTTCAATTAATAAATTATTTCGATGGATGAAATGAAGATAATGATCCTCATATGCATAGAACTCGCTTATTATTGTTCACTGGCTCGCACAAACGGCTACATAACTACTATTCCTCGTATAAATTCAATTCGCTTAATTCCAATTTAATCTCGGTCACTAACAACACCAACCAAACAACTTGGGTACGTATATAAATACACACACTCGGCACGACCACACCATTGCACCACTTGTCCTATAAAAAAAGATGCGACGTGGCGATACAACGACTGACCGGCCCTAAAAAAAGAGCAAAATGCGAAGCAGTTCTATTCCATCCGGGGCACGCTACGGATTGACAGAATGGAATTGTTGTTTCTATTTTTGTATAGACATGCCCGCAGATTGATGGATTGATTAGATATTTCATTTCGTCGCCCCCTATTCACCACCGGCAGCGTCAGTCTAGTCCGTGTGCGGCAGAACAATAACATTCCAGCTAGTGAATAAATTTGGTATAAAGCTACATAACAACTTACCTTCATGGTCACCTGTGGTCGCAAGTTTTATTTATTTTAAAATCACGTTCTATTGTTAGAATATATGTATGTACATAACTCAATATGAGCGAGGGTTAATTAGTTGGACTGAATTGTTGTCGCTGTGTTTATCTATCTCACTTTCTAATCTGGTGTTCAATTCAATTCTACATAAGTTTGACAACCTACAATTTGAGGCTCGACTATAGTCAAATTTCTCTTGTCCGAATTATTTCCCTCGTCTCATTTCTCGTCGCATAGTATTAAATATCATCACTATCGGATATCCCAATGACGTGATAAATGTACGTTGTAAACAGGATATGAATACACTCAATCAGGGTATTCATAATTGTGTCCTTAGTATCATAAAATAGTTTGTGAAGAAAAAAGAAGGGGTGAAGTTTCGTAAAAATGGTAAGCTTAGTAACGCGATTTTTAATGACCAAATTCTACAACGCTTAAAAAATCTCGTAACCCTCGTAACTTATTTTACGATACGAAGAATACTAAGATTACAAAGGAATCATGAATACCCCCAATGTAATTACTAAAACGAGCCTTATTCATACATAGTGAGGTTGAAAACTTAACTGGCAGCCTATATTTAGTATGCATTGTTTTAATGTGTATTGAATGGAGTTTGTCTTATGTCACTTACAATACAATTAGAATCATTTAGTGCAAATGAATGTGAATGAAAAAGCATTAAAGAGAACTTTTTACTTTAGTTGTTGACATTTACAGAAGTAACTTATTTATTATTTACTACACAGTAGGAGTACTGTCCTCAGATATTTAGTATCCACGAAACCCAGCATTGAAAGTGGGCGTATCGACCCCTTAAAGAAATCCGGGTCTTATTTCGAGGTTAAGGTCAATAGTTTATTTCATTATTAGCCTTGGCACTCACGGGATGAGAAGGAGAACGATTATAGGTGGCCCTGGCCTTTAATTTCGCTTACGACCAGTAAAACCTATTTGTGAATACATATAAACGTCTAAATAAAAGAGAGCTGCACTTTATCCTTTCTTATATATTTTACATACAAAAAGATCTAACACTTGTAACATTTGTACTCTGCGAATACAATCTATGCTCCAATGCATAAATCAATACAGCTTTGTATGATTTTTTCCTATTTATTTTAAGTATCCTACAATAAAAAATAAATATTTATTTATGCTTGATAGATATGAAAATGTTCACGTGTCATGAGCACGTTTTTTCTAAAGTATATTTTCATGTCTTTTCAATAAAAACAATTTGCAATTATTATAATTTATTCAGCCAATGTCACAATTCGAATTATCGATTAAATAGCATTCATATGAAGAATAAAAACAATGAAGCTAATTTACAAGCACTGATTACTCCTACAATCACCAATCACTGGCAATATCGGCAGCTGCTTTTTCAGCGACTAGAATAACCGGACCGTTTAGGTTGGCGTTTGGAGTTGTTGGTAGGACTGAAGCGTCCACGACTCGGAGTCCAGTCACTCCACGAACCCTGAATACACGAAAAATGTCCATGAAATATCGCCACAAAAGTAAGAAATGGCAGGAATAAGTAATACTAGGACAATAATTGACCTCAATTTGGAGTCGGTAACTGAGCTGGCCTCGCTTCCCATGCCACAAGTTCCCACCATGTGAATGGCTGTGGTCACTAGCTGCTGAGTGTAGCATGCCCAATATTCCCTCGACCGGAAAAGATACTCTTCACACCCTTGAATTTGGGTTCCATCATATCTCGCCCCAAGAGAGGCGAATGACTCTGTTTCCTCGACCACCTTGAAGATTAGTTCGATTCCTGACAATTTTTGAAGCAATTTTCTTAATTAGAATCAGGATTAAAAACTTGAACCCAAAAAGTTAAAAGTTTCTCAATAGTTAACCGCTTCAGTCTGCTAAAAAAATGCTAAATAATACTGTAGTACATACCGTCTAAAATCACATCCAAATCGGAAGGAATGCCTAGTCCGTTAAAATCAACATTTGCCAACTGGACAAAATCGGTCGACCCGGACAAGAAGGCGCTAGAATTTAGGGTAACACTACCCCTCGACTTGGGTCGGTCAAGTTCGGAGACGAAGCAAACTTTTGTGAGACTTTCTTCCGCCGAGAAACTTATCGGACATGCAACGTCAATGGAAATGCGTCCATCTGGCCAATGTCCTTCCCCTTCAGCCACAGCCCTTGAACTCGAAAAGAAGGCTTGCGGACTTTCTTGAAGTTCGCCAAACTCGCCTAGACCGGTTTCCAAATATTCGGTTAAGGCAGCCTCCAGATCTTCCTCGGGAACAAAGGGCAAGTACGGAATTGCAGACGAGTTGAAGGAGAAGCTTCCGAAAAAGACGTGGATGTGATCAGCAAGATTTTGCCCCACGAAGGGACGATCTACTTTTACTGGGATCTGTAATACATACACATCCCATGTTACACGTCAGAAGCATTAATACATAATTGTGGATTACTTAATTACCTCTGCAGCTTCCAATTGATCTCGAGGTCCAATTCCCGACATCATTAAGATAAGAGGGGAATTGATTGCCCCCGCACTGAGCACAACTTCATTGGTGGCATGGGCAATTTGAGGTATCCCGTGACGAAGGAACGCCACTCCATACGCAGTATTGTCCTTGTCCAGTAGAATCTGAACCAGTTGGACATTTGTAATTACATATGTGTTTCGTGGAAGATTATTAAATAATTGGTTTTTCGAGAAATTATTCATATGTAAGTACTTGTGTGACAGTGGCATATCGAATGACTGTCAAGTTGGCCCTTGTTCCCTCGTATGGTAAAACATATCTGTTGTATGTGCTAACTCGACCTCCTTTGTCAATCAATTTTTGAAACGGGGCGAAGCCTGTTATTGTAATTTCAAATTTGTGTTTTAACAACGTCTATAGAGTATTGCGCAACCAATATAAGAACATAAAAAATAGGCTAACTCGGAATTTGTAGGGCATTTGGGTCTGCCACTGGATATCCCAGTTCTCTGCCAGCATCAGCCCATATTGGAAAGAAAGCTGGCATATGAGTGTCGACTGTGAGGGGACCTCCTTGACCGTAATACTCTACTCCGTGAAGAAGTATTTAATTACGCGCAAAGGAAAAACAATTCATAGTTAAGCATCAATACCAGCTTGTTCCGGTTGAAGCAAAAATCCCACAAAATCCTCAGATTTCTTAAAGAAAGGGAGCACATTCTCATATCGCCAAGAAGGGTCCCCCGTTACAGAGGCATAGTAATTCCAATCGTGCGGCGACCCACGCTGGTGTCCCATATCGTTGTGTGACCCTGAACCACCCAGCATTTTCCCAGTTTCAATCCCAACTACCTATTTATGAATGGATGCGTTATTTTTATTATGTATCACGAATTTACGTTATTCATTCGGATGCTCGCTCATACCCCTCCATTTACTAAGGACATGTTCCTCTGAGGGACGGATTTGTACAAATAGTTTGTGTCCGGGTCGACTGCAACCTCACGTGTAAATATTGGAACGTGTGCCAGAGGGACAGGTTTACCTCCAGCTTCCAACAAGAGCACATTAAAACGCTCGGAAAGTCTCCCTGTAACAATGCAGCCCGCTGAGCCCCCTCCAACTGCGAATATTTAAAATTGTAATAATTTGCATAAATCTGCTTCTCGAAATCCAAACTATGATTTCAGATTGAATAAATGCATATGTTACCGACGATAAAGTCGTATTTCTTGATTCGGGGAATGCCAAAATCATTTTCCAGTTCGGTCAAGGTTTGTGCTTTGTCTTCCTCTATGTATTTTCGAGCGTAGAATGAGACCATGAGAGGTACCGTTCCAAAAACGAACGCTGGCAATTTCATTGTTAAATTTATTGTACGAATTTCAAAAAAAATTTGCAGGGTCCTTCCTCACCGTTGGACAATTAGGCACAATCAGTAACGAGTGTGTGCAATGTCCTTGTCAGAGAATTTTAAAAATGAATCTACTTTTTTTTACTTACAAATAATGAACTGTACATACCGACGAAAAAATTCAGTTGCTTGTCAAAAGGATTGATAACGACCTGATGGATAATGTAGATTATCAGATTAACTGAAATGTTCAAAGTGATGATAAGTAATTGCTTCGTGGTAGGACAACTTTATCCTTGACGTATGGAAAGAGTAACGATGTTACACTTGAAACCTGTTAGCCGTGATGCATGATTAAATCAATCAATCATAAATAAATCACACAGAGTGATGTAATTTTTTATAAATATATTATGATTTATAAAGGTTCATTATTTCCACATTACGTATGGATCAAACCATTAGATGAAGTACAATTTAATAAGAAAATAAGATAAATATTATTAATAGTAACGTGTATCTCAATTTTTTAATCCATCCCATTGTTTCGTAAATCCTTGGTCTTTTCATGTTAGTAAGACTGATTAGCATCCTTCAATTATAATGTAATTGTAATAATTGAATTTAATAAATAGATTTAAAATAGTGTAACAACGGTTATATTTATACCTCCAAATCCACCACCTCCTCCTAGAAAATAAAATAACAAACAATAAAAAATACAGTCTCGACCTCAAAAAATAATGAAATTGTTTCTCATATCAAAAGTACCAAATCCACCCCCACCGTAATATTTCTTGTACTTGTAATGGCCACCTCCACCGAAACCTATCAATGCAGGATCACCACTTATGTTTTAATAATAACTGATTTGCTAATAATGGTCATTAATACCGCCACCGATTCCACCTATACAAAATATTAATTAGCATTATGAATTCCACCAAGTCATTGTCATTGCGTATTACATAAAATTACCTCCGCCTCCGCCTATAAAACCTCCTCCCCCGAAACCACCTACCGAAATATGACATTGCAGATTAAAGTCGTGAAATTTCAAGTCACATAATAACGCATGGTAAAACACCGTATTTCTTATATCCAGCCTCTGTCAGTCCGGCAAGTAGGACCCAGACCAAAATTATGGTTGCAAACTTGACATACTAAAAAATATTATTTTATGTACCAAATATGTTTTTAATAGTTATATATAGAAGCGTATAATTCTATAAATATTAAAGTTTACAGCTTACATATTTCATAACAGTTCCCATCTCAACGTTTGCCTTTTTTTTCAAAAAAAGTGTGAAATAAAATTATCTATGTATGCAAAATTTTTAATTTAATATCGGAAACTTGATCTTCACAACTTTCGGATTGAAGATCAGTTGTCTATAAAACACAAACTTTTAAGCAGTGACTCAATGATCTGACGGAGATTTATACTTAATCGTCTTTTTATACCAAATTCGAACTTTGGGTGTGACAATTTTGTAAACTGTTAACGAAGATTGAGATGAGATTTAAAAATCAGTCAAGTGGGACATGAGCGTGGATATCGCTAAGAAATTCATCGAAATTCGGATATTACTAGATCTTCCTTTAGTGTGCATGAATCTTTTGTATTTTACACTCAAGCATTTAATTTAGGAAACGGAAGAAGGGGGAAGAAAGGGTGTGGTACTGAAGTATCAAAGTTGTCCTGACATTATGAAAAAGTCTTAATTGCAGAGATTACTTATGTATAATGCATACTATGCAGTATTGAACTTGTGTGTCTTTGTCTCGCATTTTCACAATTGATTTAGAGGAATACATTATAGATCCATCCTGACAAACACGTTGTCAGCATTATTTCCACTATTGTTTCCTATTGCTCAGAAAATTACAAGAATGGTACGTACAAGAATTTATGTCAGGGAAATAATTTTGTTAAATAATCAACTCAACTTTGGATTGTACATACATTTTTATTGAGATTAGTAGAACATGAATTTATACTATTTTATCTGTTCAATACACACAGAGACATTTTGAAATATTGTTGCCATTTTCATAAGTAGGATGAATTAAGGATTAGGTAAATTAATTTCAGCTTTGACACTCAGATGAGAGGAACAATTTAAAAAAAGTAAACTGTAATCCTTTAAACACCTACTTCTCAAGTCGGGTAACTCAACCGAATCATAAAGTGACACTATAATTCAATCAACAACTGCTACAGATATGGCGTCCCCACTTCCCATCGACGTGGATGAAGATAACGCGTTTCCACCGTTTTTTGTGAGGGATGTTGACTTGGCACTGCCTCCTAAGGTGGCCCATGAGTTTGAAATCGAATTTCCACCAGCACTTGTGATCGATTTGCTTATAGCATCACCTATTAAGTATATGCATGACATTCATGAAAATATTTTCATTCTGAAGGAGGGAAACAAAATGAAAATTAGACGCACCTCCTCCTCTTGCAATCGAATTCGTTTTGGCCGTTCCTGATTTTGCATTTGAATTCGCCCTCGCTGATCCCACCCCATTAGACTCTGAAGTACTAAGAGCACTTCCATACCCTTTCGCGATGGAATTAGACAGAGACCCACCACTTCCCCAAGTTTTTGAATTTGCTTGTGAATCGCCACCACAGTTTGTAAGAGCATTTGCAACGGCCCGAGTTCCATTTACAGCATTCGCCAAAACGTTTCCTCCACGCATGCTGGCTGCATTTGCGGTCGATTGGCCCATGTCTGCTTTCGAGTTAGCGACTACCGTTCCCACTTTCTGGTTATTACAGCCGGCTTAAATGCATAACCATAATAATAATCAATATGAATTGAAAAATGATAATGTGAGTAATATATGTATTCATACCATCATATCCTGCAACAATCGGCCGTGTGGGGCCACCTTGGAATGGTTTCCCATAGCTTGATAGAGGATATGAGCCTGGAGAAGGGGCATAACCACTTGGGCTGTATTGTGCATATCCACCGGGGGTGTTTCCATAGGGAGAAAGTGGTCTGGCATTACTGTCACCCATGGATCTTCCTCCTTGGTCAGATTCGATTCTCGAAGAAGAGTTGGGTTCGTCCTGGTAGTCTGGAGTATTAAAAACAATACAACCAAATCCGAAACCGTCAGACAGATAAATGTATATGAATGGATGCAATACACGTACAATCATCTTCTTCGTCATTGGCTGTTTCATAACTATCTTCATAATTTTCATCCTGCCCATAATTTAATTCATCAGAATGAGAATCCTCCTCCTCCTCGCTTCCGCTCGTACTCTCAAAGTCCTGGTAATGTCTTCTGTTTCTGGGGGCCGACTCCAAGTTCAATGGAAGTAGTAATAGTATTATTGTAACTACTAATCTTGCAGAAGGTTTGTCCATTATATCATTCCAAAGATAATAAATTCAGGGTTTAACTTCTATCTGTAAAATAAATGAAATCCTTCATGAATAACAGTAATTGTGTTTCACTAATATTTATGTAAGTACTTTAAATATGCCTTTAAATCAACTTACCTGGATAAAGTAGATACATACAGGCAGTGTGAAATGAATGACTATTGGAGTAGGTAGGTCAATACAATTCATCCATTGTATTACATTGTATTATTGGGTATGAATGAAGGGGTAGTACAAGTATACCTCCTGGTTTGTGTGTTTTTGTTTTGAATCGCATTTATAATCAAACTAACCAGCTAAGAAAATAATTGAGCCCATGAGATGGATATGGGCTAATGAAATAACTTAAAGATTGAATAAAACTTTTAAACAGACGAGATCTGGGGTGGTCGATCGAGAGCGTTATTGTTATTCATGCGCAAATAATAATGATGAAATAAAGTAAAGATAATCTTAACCTAATAATAACAACGTAAAGGATAAGTGATACTACTACTAAACTAATACTACTAGAGATGGGTTAATTAAAGGTGTGCGATTTTTTTAAATCAGTCTTTTTTTCTCCTCTCCATATTGCCATGTACTCAATTCACTAAGGTTTCTCTGGGCACCAGGCTCCTATAGCGAAGGTGCCTGCTGCTGCTCGTGGCGGTGCAGTAGTAGAAGTAGTCGGACCCCTTGGAGGAGGAGGGGCTGACGACGACGACGGCGGTATAGGTTGATTTCCAGATGATGCAGGTGATGATGTCACAGGAGCAACAGCCGCGACCGTTGGCGGGGGTGGTGGAGGTGGCTGCCAAATGCCAATAGTGGGAAAATCTCTTCCTGTTCCTGGTCTTCTATCCTCATTATGATGCTGTTGGTATCGTGGTAGTTGTTGTTGTTGTTGTTGGTACTGAGGTGGGGGCTGATACACAGGACCAAAATTACGATTCGCACCTCGATCACCCTTCTCTAGACTGATTAAAACTCGGTCCGTTGCATTCTGCAGATCAACTGAGTGCGAATAACCATCTTTGATCCGCATAAGTATTGCCACCCTACAGTTCGATTAGTTTGGAAGACAATGCATTAAAATACTGTTGATAATTTTGTTTTATATGCTCATTTTATACGGACCCATCAGATTCCACCATAAAAGCATTTCTTGCTGCTGCACTGAGACGAATAAAAAATTCCAGAGCACAAAGACCCCAGAATTTTGCTACTTCTCCCTCACAACTATCCACCAAAGTGACCAAATCCGTATAGATTGACTTATCCTTAAGCTTGACGTATGCCGGGGTGGAAGCTTGATCTTCACGCTTGAAAAGATGGTACAGAAGTTGAGCCCCTTTTCCACGAAGGAGGGGGATTCCACATTCCAACAAACTCGAGATCATGACAGAATCACAGATTTTCTGAAAATACTCTGCTTTCCTTTCGTGACATTCTGCTTCCATTTGCAACAATTTTCTAAGAGAATCCACTTTCTCCGCGATAGAAGAAACTGCAATGGATTGTTTTTCTTTATCCTGGCTAGAATTATTTAGACAAAGAGCAAAAAAAATCAAGTCAATCACAAAATACTTTCCTTACAATTACAATTGGAAAATTAAATACCAGTTAACCAAAGATTTCACATCTGTCTTGATGTTGGTCACAGTTTCCTCCACGTTTATGCTGGTAAACACACTATCCATGGACACGGGGACGATGCTGGCGACGTCCACGCCCCAGGTTCCCGAGGGTGTGGCACCCCTGTTCGCACTCCCCCACACGTCACATCCAGATCCGGCAATTCCCCCCGGAGGTCCACGAGACACAGAAGACATGCTGTTTTTAATTGTGTGGTGTATTCGTGGGTCAAAGTGCTAAACTTTGTGGTTTACTTCTTACCAGTGCTATTAATAATGTTGAATATTTATGAGTTTTGTTTGTTTATTTTACTGTGTACTAATGATGGACCAGTGTTAACAGTTGCATGAGTTGACTGCTACAATGGCACGTACTCATAAATAAACCACTATCAATTTGTGCCAAGAAATTAAAGCTTTTGAAGACCGAGCTAAATTTGTGCTGCTGCTGCTGCCAAAGACGAGGAGGAAGAAGAATGGATATTTTGCAACAAGGGCGAATAAAGGAGATATGGAGTGGCACATGTCGATTTGGCCGGTTGGTCTGCATGGGGCAAGGACAACTTCAACAACATGATACGCAGTGCAGCAAGGAACTTTCTAGTAATTTCTTGTAATTTTTGACCCCTTATTCACCGACAAAATGAAAATGTTATCCATAGCATGCCAATGGGTCGTGCAACTTTCAGTTTCTTCAATCTATCTGAAATTTCTTAAAAATTGAATAATTATTGTAAATATACGTACATTACATTTGAACCAATTCCTTCTTGGGATTACATTAATTCTAAGAATAGAGCCATATAATTATAGTCGATATCCACATAATATATTGAGGGGATTCATTATGCTTTCGTTTGTTCCCCTAGTATTCTTCGCATCGTAAAATATGTAAGTTAGGTTACGATATATTGTAAGCGTCGAAGATTTTGATCATGTTTAAGATTTTTACAAAGCGTGGCCCCTTGTTTTTTCTTCGTAAACTATTTTATAATACAAAGTATATGAAGATATTTGTGAATACCTTCACCTTCATTATTATTGTTCAAACATTTTCTAAATGAAAATATAAACTGCTATGTCGCACGGATTTGTCGTCACTCATTTAAAATTTCATAATTTGAATAAACCCCGAATTTTCCATCATATTTTTGATTATTCCTAGTCCTCAGAAATGCTCCATTCTACATAGACTGATTAAAAATATACATACAATATAGTAGATACGTGAGAGTTGAGAGGATGCACAAATAATCCATTATCCTTATAACATTATGTTATCAAATCAATTTAAGTTGGGTTCAAGTTTTGAAAATTTAAGTATTTCATTCCCCAGTATCATTTCCCTGTAAATTACGGTTCGTTTATTTTTATTAATTTGCATAACCTTTAAAATATCCACAATCAAGATCAAACTCCATCCAACGAGGGGATCAAGAGGTTTAAATTATTCTCCTGTATAATTCTTTCCATCGTTTACCAAGTCACAAGTTATTTCAACTTAATCAATATTTACAGTTAATTAAAAGATTTTTTGTACTTAGGAGTGCTTAGCAGAGTGCTTAAGTTATTTTATATAAGCAAAACAACAAGCAAACATAATACATGGTCAATTGCTTGCATATTTTTTAATCTTTCTCATACTGCCCCTCGAAATTAAGTTTATTGCAGAAGTACATTGCATACATATGTATAATGCAGATTTGCAGATTACGTGACTTGCAAACTCAACAATGCGATCTGTGACTATGTTTCGTGGTGACTGATTCATACAGTATTCTGACTTTCATACTAATTTACCACTATTTAAAAAGATCAGACGAGTACATACAAAGTTTTATCAATTCATTTTAAAATATGGCATGCGATATAGTTGATAAATTATATTGAACTAATCTGATTTAAATAAAGCAAATCTCGTGCGTGTCTATCACAACCAATAATGACCAGAAATTCACTCAAATACATACATTTTTCCAGAATTTTACAATTTTTTCCCATCAACCTCCAAGTAATACATTCCCCTTGCCTCCTTTTGACAAAAGTACCCCATCGTAGCTGTCTTGTCGGGAATATCGTCAATCTGCTTGGTCTCCAAGTCGCGGATGTGAGATGATGAGGCATACTTATCCTTACTTTCTTCGTCCAATATCGTGTGCAGAAAGAGTTTCAAGCAGAAAATATGACTCGGAACGTTCAGGTAACCAATATTCGGAAAACCTTTTTGTGTGGAACCTGCACAATGCAATTTGTTATACACTTTGTAAACTTCCGATAACCCTACGATATTTCAACTCACCCCAATTTATGTAAAAGTCGACGTGCCCTAGACGCGTTGTGGTTCCTGCAATTTTAGTAAACGCATTTATTTAGCTGTGACTTATACATATTTAGCACTATGTAATATCATATTTGTGTTCTGCACACTTCACTTGTGCACTAACCTAAATGGTCTGAAGTGTGAATTACATCAACGCTGCAGAACAAGAAGGACATATTATTTTCACGCTTACGATGTGTATGCAAATCAGGACTTTTTTTTATAACTGCTTACAAATCAGCATGTTCACTTCTCAAACGTCCCGTCTGATGATGCATCAATGAGAAAATGCCTTCCTTAAACACTACGCCCGGTCCTGCAGGGTCGAGTCCAGTTATCCGATCGAACCACTTTCTCCCATCACTTTCCGCCTCCAACAATCCCTCCGCCGCATTACCCATTAGATGTGCCCCCTGAGTATCGTTAAAAAACAACAATTATTACGGCTCTATTATTAACAACATGTGCATATTTTTTATGTTACCAGACTAAATCCGATGCCGTGAATGTACACCTTATCTCCAAATTCAGTTCGCAGCACTTTCACAAACTCACCCACCCAACCAGAAACCTTGAGGACATTGTGAATTGCGAAACCATAGTCAAACACCGTATTTCCAGAATAACTGCTCCAGTCGACTAAAATCACGAGATTGGATTTATCTCGTCCACGACGCAAGATCGCATCCTTAATATCGTAGAAGTATTCACCTTCCTTCTTAATGTGGGACATATAGCCATGCGTAACAAACGTGACTGTGAATGGATCCTCTTTGCTATAAGATTTTGCGAGTGCAAGTAATTTCTCGGTGGCATTTAGTGAAGTGAAATTGATGTGGAGGACGGGACTCGTTTCCTCGTTCAGGGCGGAGGTGGTAGCATAAACTTCCAAAAAAGGTTCCGAAATTTTTGGTTTGCTTCCGGTGAGCAAAGTTACCAGCGGTTTGAACATTTTAAATATTGCGTCTGAGATTTTGGCACACCAACTTTTGTATGATTATATTTCACTATTCTCCTCGCTCGAATGTTATCCAAATTAATATGACATGTCTTTTTTGTTCATTCTTTGATAGCGTGTGACAATTTTTTTTACTGGCATGACATCATCCTCCCGACAGAGTGATGAACAATTCAATCGCACCAAGCCAATTTCCATGACTACTCGGAAGAAGGTCCGGTTCAATATTCACTGAACTTTTGATAACCAACCGAACCAACTGATTCAATGAAACTGAACACAAAAACCAAGCGTGAATATGGTTGCATAACGTGCATGTACATACATATGCATACATCTAATGTACGTACATACGTTCGTATAAATGTATGATGCTCATTCCCACTCAAAGATCAAAGATCAGCTGCATGCACATGAAAAATTCTGGCTCATATTATGTATGATCTCGTATTGAGTAAAAGTGATTCCGTTGTTATACGATTCATGCACATTTTTACACAAACGTCGAGTATGCAACATGTTCATGCAATATGGTGACGCAACAGCTTTGTGAGAACAAGTTTAAGGGTAGTGGATGTTGAAGCAGTTCTTTTATCGTTTGTAGTGGTTTGCATGTGTATCTTATAAATATTATAAAAGACCTTTATGTATGCACACATCAAATATTTATACTTTCAGGAAACTGGTTTGGAAATAAGTTGGGTTTGATGTTTTGTGTGTGCGTGTGGTTATGTTGGTTTAAGTGGGTTGGGATAACAGCCTGAAACTAATTTATTTGCAAATGGGTTAAATTTATACATGGTAGATTAAATACACATTGTTTTTTGCATATAGAGTAGAATATGGCATTGAAATTTAAAGGCCTGACATACTGACATATAATGGTACATCTACATATGTATACATATGTATATGCTTAATTTATATTTCTTGAAGCGTTCAAGGAAATTTTGTCTTAAAGATGTAGAACGTGTATGGCAGATATTTTTCGCAATATGCACAAATGCGACAGTCGTGGGAAAGCTGACTCATATTAATGAATCATATTCATCGTCTTAAGATGATGATGATTGTCCGTCAGACCAGTGACAAATTCTCAGTGGTCGATCTGACTTTGATGTATACTGAATGCACACACGTACTAAATGAGGAGCTGTTCACAGACAAGGTAGATAAAAATCAATAATTAATAATCTCCAGGCCACTTAAAATATGACAGACCACTTCGATATAAATACATACATTCAACAAATACATGAAAATAAACTGCTACTAATGCTGTTTTCTATAATTAAAAGATGCAATAAATTGTTACTATGCATATTTATTGCCATTTTTACATAGGGGAATAGTAAAATCGAACTTCAATGAACATCCCAGGCATTATACATATGTAGTTACATACGGCTAGAACTTCAACGCCTTATTGGTTGTGTTCAAAGTACATGAAATCCTGCAATATGAAAAATAATTGTGCATTTTCGCAAAATTTTTAATTGAATAAACAAAATGCTTACAATTAAAAATAATGCTCCGAGCAACACTGCTTTCAGCCTGACGTCCAAATCAACTGGAAAGGAAATGCCAAAATTGTCCGCATCCGTTAACATTTCCCTCGCGAGCCCTCCCCATTTTTTTGAAATTCTGCCAATCTCATCTGTAGAGATAGTCTCGTCGTTTTCCATCTTGCTGGAAAAGATCTGAAATTCCACATCAGAAAAGCAAGCAAGCGTGCAACATGGTCCAACTATTTTGAAAATATCAACGCCATCCCAATTTTTCACGGTAAATTTTGGTGTCCACCACGTCCACTCTTGTTCCACGGTACCAGCGAGTTGTCCAAGTGGTGCGTATACAGCAATCGACTGAAAATCGGCACAAGATATTATCTCTCACAAACCGTTCTTCAAATATTACATTTTTAAGAAGATACTGATTAGTGATTACACCGAGTTGACATAAAAACGAAAGACCTGAAAGATTTGTGATTGTATTTTACCTGAAGACAGCAAGGAAAACAACACAACCCACAAGCAAGTGGTCGAGAAAAGGTGATGACGTCCTGGTCATTTGCATCTCTAATTGTGAGCTCGAAAGGTCGGAGGGGGCCGCAGCATTGCCTCGTACAACAATCGGACTCTTCCTCCGCCTTGAAAAGCTCTTCACCCTGGTCATTCATGATCACGTAGCGATTTCTTGTTTCACACCCAACAATCGCTGAAGTGAAATATCGAAATCGTAACGTTAAAAACACAAACTGCAATTTACAATGCTTAATTTTACCTTCAAGAAGCTCTATTTTTTGTTTCACAAAAATGGTATCAAGGGACACCAAACTCTCCAAGCCAAGGGGCGTCGGTTCTGAACCGTTGGGAAATGACAATGGCTGAATTTTATTCATGTCAGCTTCATATGTTATGCAGCTTATAAATAAATTGAATTATCAATGCTGTCAAACAAGTATTGTATATAGTGCAGTTTTTTATTCGTAATTTCAAAAACTAGTATAAATCAGCTCGTCATTTGTACTCGTGTGAATAACAGGAAACCTTTGCAACTGGTGTAAATGGCATAAGACGTTATACAAAATTGAGAATGTATTGGTATCGATTCATCAGAATATATAATCAATAATCATGTATTTTTGTGCTGGACGAATGTTTGATAAGTTTTTGGAGTGAACACGGTAGTAAAGAGAGGTGGACGTTTCGTGCATACTTTTATTTGTCCTCAATGAATGATTGTGTGAGTGGTTCGAACATTTTGAACACGAAGAGGTGAAAGAAAATAAAACCAATACAAACTCTGGTCAAGAGTTTTATGGTACATACATTCAATTTCGTAAGCCTATTAAAATATAACTCAAACTAACCGTTATATGTAAAATATAAATAGGAATGCCAACGAATGTATATTTTTGTAAAAAATGCATTATGATTAGCGAAGAATAAATTTTTCTCCGTATTCATCTTTCATTGTTCGTTATTTCATTACATCAAATGCATTTCTTCACTACAAGTGATTGATTAGAGCATGGAATTTTACAGTCCATTTATTTGCATATGCCCAAAAATGGCTCATCTACATTACTATGTAGATTTTAGTAAATCAAATAAAATGCTGTGAAAAAATCAGAACTTGTCTTTGGACAGGCTTCACGCTAGTTGATATATTTACATATGATTTGCATTCGTTATTTCTCATGTTTTATAATGTTTTTGGTTTTCTCTTTTCTCCATGTATTCTCATTTATACACTTGTTTCTTGAGCAACATGCAAATGCAATGCAACACGTGAAATATCGCAAATGAGATGAGAATGAGACCCGATCCGAGTCGAACTTCAAACACAATCCATATGAATTCAATACACAATGAGCATGGGAATTCAATTGAATTCATAGAAAAAAAACTACCGAAAAATCAGCAGCTGTGATATCTTGTCGTTTGTAATTTGTATACTCAATGAGTATTACTAATTCAATATAATTAATAACTTCTTCAGACCTTTAAATCCAAGGTAGCGTCGGTAAGTTATACGTTTTAGAGATTGGCAAAATAATAATGATTAATCTACTAATAGTATTTAGTAGATTTTAATTTATTTATTGCAATTAGGTATTAGTCTAATACAAGTCTTAAACTTCCAGGTTCATTTGTATACTCCAGCCTGATAATTATTAAATTATTGCGTACTTAAGGAGATAATCGAATATCGATGGATAATGATGGCGCAATCTCAGTCGTCCTTCCTCCATTGCCGGCAGTTGTAAGCATACACGCGAAATGGAGTTTACAATGATTTATTATCGCTGCATTTTTGCTAATTAATGACGAAATGTAGGTGCTCCGAAGTATTTTCAAACTCATGGACTACCACACCTTAAGGACATGTCGGTTGGTCTGCAAGGAATGGAGGATAGAAGCAAGTGCCTTTTTTAAACTCAAGTCAGTAACAATTCCAAGGCATTTCTATGGACGCGAACCAACGAACTCGTTTCCGGTACAATGGACAGATCATGTCCAAAGGGACAAGGCCTGTAGATCGTTTTTTACCTACAACCAAGCCAGAACGAGAGAAGATCATGTTATGCCTATTGCAAATATTCAGTTGGAACAAACATTTCACAACAATGGAATGCAAGAAATGTTGCTGTGGTTGAAAACTAACGGAGAAAAATTAAAATCAATTAATTATGTTGTCAATGGAATGTCAGTATTGTCTGAACATTTCATGTTTTACAAGATTCGAGAACTTTGTCCAAACCTTGAAGAGATCGTTGTGGAATTGGAGACTGCGGAATATGCACCAGAACTCAAAATGTTTGAGGAATTAAAAATATTGCCAAATCTCAAGAAAATTTGTGTCACAGCACTCTATCTAGATCGAAATTACCTTCTTAGATTGAGCTTATGGGACGACCCATTATTTTCAGCGTTGTTTAGAGTCGCTCCCGCTCTGGAGTGTTTAGATGTTTCTGCTAATGAGGGCACGGCAGTGGCAAAAGCGATCGTCACGTCTTCATCTTGCCACAAGCTTAAAAACATTACCTGGAGGAACGTGATGAATGAAGCAGATTTGCAGTTGTTGGTCAACCTGAAAAAGGAAGTCAAATTAGAAACCCTGTGTTTAGATTGTGAGTTGCCCCCATTAACCACAATCCCGTCCATGATTAATCAAATACTTCAAAGACATTCAGAATCACTAAAGAACGTCATGTTCTACGGAAGATTGGTTGAAATGTGGGACAGTAACAGTATCAGTGAAGACGAGGAGGAAAATGACGATGAGATGGAAATAAATGGACATTTTCGAGAAATGTTTAAGAAACTCGGGATCAAAAACCTCGCTCCCAACATTCCAATGAATGAGAGGGAATATCTGCCATTCTTCTCTTTTCAAGTTCCAATACTTCCTAAAGTTACAAATTTAGAAATAAGTGATATATTTCATCTGAGAATACAGGGAAACCTTTCTTCATTCTTGAAAAATTTCCCAGCTTTGAAACGACTGAGTTTGAACAACTTAGCGTATGCATGGAATGTTCATCCTTCAACCCCCGATCAAGTGTTGCAAAATTTACTAACGTGGTATACAAATGAAGATCAAGCACACGAGGGGTTGGAGGAGTTTTACTTGGACGGGGAAATAATTGAGAACGATGCAGTGACCAGCATTGTCAATACACTTCCCAAGCTAAAGAAACTGAAACTTCAGGTTCAGACGGATGGTGTGTTTTGTTATACCCTTGAAGAATTTGTAAAGTAAGTCATCGGGTTAACGTTTTAACTTTTAGTCTAATAAAAAGGAACAATTAATGACGATTCATTTATGAATTTTACTATTTCACTTACAGAAAGCTAAAACTATCTGAGCTTGAGTTAAATGTCCGTTCCATTACGGACATGGGTTGGTGCAATAATATAATGACGCTCTGCTTTCCCAAGATGACGGGTATTTAAAAAAATCCATTATCATATTTATATGCTTTTTGTTTAAGCCATTTCAGCTAAGATGAGTGTATGTATTGAACCATTTCAGATCTCAAAAAATTACAGTTGGTATATTCAAGTACTTCAGGCTCTTTCGGAGAATTTCCTTTCAGATTTGTGGAAAACACGATAATCCATGGTTTCTGTAATGCACCATCACTTCGCTGGTTAAAACTTACCAATTTTTCGGTAATATAAAATGCAATATTTTGAATAAGATACAGTGTTGAGATTAATTTTTAAAATACATTTTGACAGTTCTGTTCAACAACGAAGGAGAAGTCAATTGAGCGGTTGAGGGCCCACTGCTTTTCTGTTACGTTGAAACATTGTGTGTGTTACAGCCCTGTGTTCAATGAAACGCATGACCCATGGCACAAGATTAGCTCATCGGACCAATTAGCAATCAACTCACCCTCCGATGTTGATAAGACTGATTATTGATTAATATTTTACAGGTGAGCACTTACTTATGTATGTACTTACTTGCTTTTTAAATGGTTATTTTTATACTTGTGAAATTGTAGAAATGTGATAATAAGAATACATATTGTTAAAACCGTTTAAAAAATTTATGTTATTGTCCAAAATCAAAATTCAGTAGATTTGGTGCTTGATATTTATACATTGCAAAAATGTATTTGCATGTGTCTTTTTTTAATGAATAAAATATTTGAATCCTTTGCATTTGAGAGATGATCTGGAAGAGCAATATTATTACTCAGGACGAAGAGAAAGCAGTCAAAGAAGGGATGTTTAGTTAGGTATAGATGCCAAGCACATTTTTCTAACAATTTTTCTAAATTAAACACATTTTCTGCTTTTGGCAAATTATCTACGGCGTGCATTGTTTTTATGTTTATTGTTGGTTTTAATTTTCACATTTATCTGGTTCAAATATCAGGGATTTTCTTGGGAAAAATATAAAACTAGAGGATCCATGCATAATCGATGGACTTAATTTGATCAATTACTTTTAATAAATCCTACATGTTGTACATTAAAGTTTCGCATTGTTTCTATTTAAATCGTTCTCATCTTCATCGTCGTCATCTTCTGAGAGCTGTGTAGTGGTTTCAACGGGCTGAGCTGGTGGGGGTGGAACAGCAGCAACCACAGCCTGATTTGGTATGACTTGTTGTTGAAGTTGAGCTTGACCCACAGCACCAGCAGTGCCCACATTTTGTAATTGCACCACCTGCTGGTTTTGGTTGCCAGGTGTGTTGGGGAGACCAGCACTGTTGAGCTGCGTCTGTGTCGCATTGTTCTTGAGTGGAGATTCCGTCGTGATGTTGAAGTACTTTGTTCCAGCAGCGATCCCACTTTGCCATAAGTGGGACAGGGGTAAGGATACACCGGTCAAGATCGAACCCACTCCTGGTTGAGCAGCTTCGTCCGTAACGGTTCCAGTGATTCCATTGAAAAGTTGACCAATGTTACCACTGAGCGTCCCCGTAATGATTTGGCCGATTGGGCCAGCTACCGTTTCAAAGCCGGCGATTGCCTCGTCCACGTCACCGTCTCCATCTTGGCGAAGTTGAGTGCCATTAATTGTGGTCACAGTAGTGGAGTTGGTCGTGTTTAGAACAGGGTTGCTCAAGCAACTTGCCTTAATAAAATGTCATTTTTGTAAAAAAAAATATTAATACATTTACTTGTAGAAGGTTTTTTTAGACAGCTTACCACTCCAATTGCCAATAGTATAGAAATATTGCTGAGGTACTGCATTGTAATGATCTGATAGCGTGGTGACATCCGATTGATGGTTGTGCTGGAGTTGTGATGTATTTATCTCTCAAATAAAATGTGCAATCCCATGTTCGATGATGAAATTAGCTCACTTTGGTTGGGAAAAGGGTGATATTATCGATCAGTTGCGATAATTGGTGGTATAAATGGATAGGAAAATGCGAATCGCTGCTTTAACTTATTCTACTAATTATAATTTGTAATGATTCGAATCTGGAGGCACAACAAGCAATTTAGTTGTGTTAATTATAAGCATAAATAAATCTGATTAAGAATTAATTTAGGTTTATTGGTAAATACTACACACATACCTATAAATCACTTTCGAAATGCACTAGAAAATTACATGAACGCATACGTGCAATTTTTTTACGACATTGTTGTGATCTGGAATTCTGGATGATAACGAGACAAACGTTGATGGATACATGTTGTTTCGTTAGTAGTCTTGAAAAGTAGTTCCGTTAACAAATAGTTCACCGTAGCAGCTCTTATAGACTGACATTTATCTTCTTTTGTACTTTGGTGAATTAAGTTTAATAAAATAACATCCTCGTTTTGGGTTCTTTGCTATCAATGATTAGACAAAAATGATACATGTCTGAAACATTAGAGACATCAGATTTACCAATTGAAATAATCAGATTGATCTCATTACTTGTTTGTTTTTTTGAAGAATACGATTATTACTTTTCAACTATGATTTCATTAAAATGGGCATGATTTTAACAAAATTGGTGAGAAATTGATTCCATATTTACATATTCACATATTCATATCTAAGCCCATTTTATTCTACCAGAAGTTGTGCAAAAACTAACATTGAATCCATAACCACAGTGATTTTGAGGGGTTTCAACTGCCCAACAATTTTATTCCAGATATAGGTGGACCTGGCCTTGGCAGATTTGTCGCATTTTATCCCTTGGTCAAACCAGCACGGATGTCGCTCCTTCATCTTCGTCAACATTGAGGTGCAGCCCTTGCTCAAATTTTTCCGTGTTGCTGGAGTTGAATCACTTTTGGATGAAAATTGTGACGCCTTACACTCATCTTGGGACCAGTTTGCAACTAAACGGTCTTCCTTCTGGACCAATAATGCAGTTCTTCTTGAAGTAGAATTTTGTCGTCGTTCTGCAACCAGTGTCCCAAAAGACTCGGAACAGGACAAACTTTTGCTACCATCATTGTCACACTTCTCACAGTAAAGCTTCCTATAATGAGTTTGGTTAAGTATTTCCGGCGTAAGCTGAATTATTTTTTGTTGGTATGGATGTAGTTCGGAAGAAAGGAAGGAAATTGGATCCGCACTGGAATAAGTTCACAATGTGTTTATAACTCTTAAAAAATGAATCTGCGCAGAAATAGGAAAATATTAACATATTTCCTGAATTTTCCTTACTTCACAAAGTCGCATGTTTCTAAGAACGTGCTGGGGACTCTGCCCAGTCGTAGAAAAACCTCAAAGTTTCCACTCCTACGAGGTTCATTCATGTCATAATTTAACGTGACCTGAGCAACCTGGGGCTGTTGGGCTGAAGGTGTGGGGGCGCTGACTGACATGGATCCCTCAAACTCTGACCAATCGGTTCCATTCCTTAACCCATTCGATGTAAAATCGCGATGTATGAAAACGGGATAATGGTCCTTGATCAAGACGGTCGTGGTGGACCCAAATTTCAGGGATGACGATGCAACCACAGGGTGCGACACTCGTGTAAAACTTAACACGTGAGCGACAACTTCCGCAGTCACACGGTCCTGTTGTGACATTATTGATTAATTGACCATAGTAAATTATGCGTTGCTGAACAAAAATAAGGTATTAAATCTTGAGGATACCTCCATTTCTAGAAAATAGTGTTGCAAAAAGCTGTCCAGTTGTCCAGTATAGGTTTCATTGATGCCATTACACGAGTGTGGAATGGAGTAGACCATTTTGGTGACATGTTCGGGCCCGAGTGGATTGTCCAATTTTTTAAAACAGCGGTGCAATATTTCTACCTCTAGATGACTGTGAAAGAATGCAGAGTCACAGTGGAGATCCCACTTGAGAGTTTGTTCTCTGGGAACCAGCGAACGGACGAATTTGGTCACGAGAAGCGTCCTTGCAGGTTCTGGAATGATATTAAGTGTGAGACTTCCCTCTGATGGGTCTTTTCGTTCCAGTGTCAGATTAAACAACTTTGTGGAGTAAGCTCCTATAATGCCGGTATTTGCGGTGGGTTCGATACTGGAGTAGATTTTGTCTTCCCAAGTCGTGTTAAAAAATGTAGACTTTATAATATGGTTACAGCCGACCTGTATGTATGAAATTGCAAATCATAAAGAGATATTCATAGTCATTTAAACAATTTAAACTCATCCAATTGTATTCAGAATACAGAAATTAACTTAATATTGTTTACCTCAAACTTTCGCCAGGTCTTGTAAATTCTCGTTAATTTATGCTCGCCCTCCAGATCAAAGACGGCATTCCCAGAAATCTGCAAATTTTTCGAACTAAATCCATACCCAAAGTCGTTCCTCCGACTGTATAGGATTCCATTTTGGGACGTCACAGTTCGAAGGCAGGAGTCCATACTGTTGTCGGCCAAATCAACGACAGAAATTGTAGAAGACGCTGGAACTGCGGACGAATTCATGCTGATATGGGCTTCGTGGTGGACCATATTATTCTTGAAGTAAGCCCGAATCACTTTTTCGTTACGTTCCGTCAATTCTGCTGCCATTTCTGAAGCTTTTAACAGTTGGTTGGCTTCAATTCCTAGATTGGTTTCAGGAAATTGCTGTCTGCCGTTGGCATTCAAAGTTATCTAGATTGACATCCAGCTAGTTACATACTCGAAATTTACGATATCCTGGTATGAAATAAATTATTGCGGATTTCTTGCCTCAAGTTTATTTGAAAATGATGACATTGAGAATTCATCCCATCGCTTTGGAGAACTATTATCATTAGAATTTGACTCGTCATTTTCTGTTCCACTTCCGTCTTGCGTAATTTTAAGGTTCCCATTTAGGCGAAAATGTGTATCAAAGTAGGGGACAAAGAATTCGTGGTGGTGGAGGCTGTAGTTGAATATTGCATCGACATCATAAAGTTGCTTAAATTTCCCATCTGCGGTGGGTTTCTTTTGAAGGCTAAAACAGAAAGAAATAAAGCTTTTGTATCAACCAGTGCTTAGTTTTGTGCAGGTTCTTAGCCTCAAGATAATTTTTTTCACTAACTAATAGGTTTTGAGTAGCATATCTGAACTGAAGGACTCGTATCCAGGTTGGTCCATTTTGATCCAATGTCCCAAAACGAGGCAAGGGGTAGCGGTGGCAGAATCTGATAATTTTACGTCTCTGTCTTTGACATGGGCATAAACAAATTGTTTCTTAACCTGGATCAAAAACTTGTCCGCAGTTGGAAGAACCCATTCGAGGAACAGAGCGGGCGTTGGTATTTTCTCGTCCGGGAAGAATGTGACCGCCAGTGTAACTTTCTGAGATATTGACTTGATTCGCAGATAAGTCCTACAAGATCATTGATAAGCAAGTACTTATTGCATAAGTTGAGATGTTTCCATACTCACTTTGAGAAAATTCGAACATTGGACCACAATGGTAGATTTACGCCTTCTAATACGTTCTGAATGCTTTTAGTCACTGGGAAATCCTCCAACTCGTTTTCCGTCTCTAATGCCACATAACGCAGTCGTGGATTTTGCAGGCTAAATGACGTAATAGATCCCTTAAAGGATGAGATGTCATCTCCTCCCTTGTCAGAGGTCTTCTCGGACCAGACGAGGTTGACGTTGACATTAAAGTCGAGTGGAATCACTTCTGTCATGGCTGCAATCTTTGCAGGGGTAGCTAACAAAATACAATATACATACATACAGTGACATAAGTGGCATTTGAATAATGCGCACCACTCACCATCTAACTTCACGGTCACATAATCTTTCGTCATTAACGATGCTGACACCAATTGTACTTTGTCATCTCTGTCCTCAGTAAAGTCATAGCTCAAGTTTAGGTCCACGTAGACATTATTCGTGTCATTTATTAAGAATATTGTTTTTCTTTTGAGGAGGAACACGCCGGAATCGTCGTGATAATAAATTCTGTACGTCAATGTGTGCAAATACAAAAAAAAGTTTCTTATAAAGTGACTGGTCCCTGAAGGGGCCGAAATATATATTGCTTACGAAATTGGCTCTTTCAAACTTTCTTCTTTTAACTCTCCTTGAAGTTCTCTAACGGTTGTTGCAGTTACGAAATGATTTTGAACGAATGTTTCGGCAACATAATTGCCATTCCAACTGTATTTTGGACCCGTTGGTTGATTGACAAACGTTCCGTTGTACGTCATCCGTGCTTCTAAACTATTTGCAAAATCCGTCATGTTGAAGGCGACATTGCACTCATATCCAGAATCAGTTGCTCTGTTTAATTTCTACATATGCAAAGTTTTCCTCAATAAAGTAAGTACTTTGTCAGGTTAAAAATAATTATTGACGACGGCGAAGATTTTAGCTTACTCCAAAATTACAAGACTCTTTACTGTATTTTCCTTGGAGTGAATTGTATTATAAGTGTGTAATCCCATAGTTGTAAGTAAAAAATATCTTATGTAAACACAAATACGTTCATAAAATGCAATTCACTCCACGGAAACACTTAAGAGTCCATGAATCTTGAGCTTACTCTAAAGTTTATGAAAGCCATGTTCGTATAATCGTGACTTCCTGATTGTTCGAATCGTGGGTACGTCCAGTCCCAGTGACTGCTGTAAACTACAATTCCACGCTCCATGTTCATTTCTATAACATGCCGACATTCGACGCCGCCAGATAAATCGGAACAAAATTCTCCTTTGGAGATATTAACCCAGGCATCATGTCCCAGTGACGCTATTCATTGTCCAATGTCAATGATCATAAAAAATGACAAAATAATGATAATTTCATTGTAAAAAACAACCTGAAATCAAGTAACTTACTTTCCAAGCTAACATTTTGACCAACCATGGAACACCGGGCGTTCAAATGGTAAGCTGGAAAGTGTATTGGCTGCATGTCGAGTGAGGCTGTGGTATTTAAATCGTTGCTCACATTCAGCCAATAATCAAAATTTGTATGAATCAAGGGAATCGTAGATGATTCTATGGTTCCGAAAATATTGCATCGTTTTAAAGAGGATTTCACATCGGAGATATTTTCTACAAAACCATCATTGATTTCGAATCCAGTATACTCGGCTGCCAACAATGAACTCGAACTCCCATTTCTTGTGGACATTATTAACAAGACCAACTATTAGAATTAGTGACCATAACTTCTATCTTTGTGTATGTGTGTTTACCCTCTGTGAGAAATTTGTGCAAAGCCGCTGTGTAGTTTGACATAATTGACAGATCCGTCTTCGGATATATGTGGGTTATTTGTGGAGAATTGTTCTCCAAGTACGGTTACTGATCCAATTAACCGTTCGTTCGTTATGTCAAAGTTCAGCTTTGTGACATCTCCTGATGCGACTGGGATAACAGCATGAGCTTGATTTACTTTAATCGACCTAGTCACGTTGCGACGAGTGGAGAAAGAAACTGTGAGCAAAGGAAGATTCATTCAATTCGATAATAAGGAAATTGCCTGCATTATCAAATTGTATGAAACCAATGGGTGCATTACGATTTAATTTACTGTCCAACACTGGCAAAATACCATCACTGTCAAGCATGACCCAGGTAGAGAATAGTTCTTTCTCCACAAAAATTAGGGCCCCTTGGACCGTTGGGGTCACACCAGCAACGTTAGAAGAGGATGTTCCTGTCCTGTGCCAGCCTTTCACACCAAACTCATAAATTTTGTGAGACCATGGATCATTTACTTCTACTCCAGCGTTCGGTATTTTGAGGGCATTTCTCTTTCTCCTAGCGATGACATAGGGTGCTTTGTCAGTCTTGAGCCTATTATGCTTAAGGAACAGCTCAACCCCTGCCTCTGTTCGCCCCACGATAGCTGCAAGCCTCAGGGACTTTTCGGACATACCCTGAGCCAATTTCACTGCAAAAAGAAATGAATTGCAATAATAAACTTGCAAAGTACACAAAAGGTGAGAACCAATGCTCCGAACGGATCGAATATATTTGATTTAAAAACTTTAACGTCTCACTGAGACGAGTAATAATACCTGGATCATAAAATATGGACATTACGATATTTGACCCAAATATTAGTAATTGTAAATTTCAAGAACCTTATCACCCTCAATCGTTTCTGGAATTTTTAGCCCGAGTCAGGGCGTTTATAACCATCATTGACCATTTTCGAAAATGATCACCGAAGCCTTAAATTTGGAATGATTCTACATGGTAGATCAGGTTAACAAGTACAAAGCTAATTTTATAATTATTTGTCAAGGTGACCCAAACTGTTTTTTTAATTGGTTGAAAAAGCTGAAATTTTGCATGCTGGACGATGGGAACATTGTTGACGATTGCAAATAATAATACAGATAGTTGGTGATAATAGTTGGGCCACCTGACAAAAACTTAGAAGCTGAAAACTGAGAAATTGAGTAACCTTCAAATTTGACAGGTTGTCCAGGAGTAGTAATTTCCAAGGTGGTAGTGAAGGAGTTCTCCTTCCGGTTGGCCAAAATTCTCAAATGTCCACTGTAAGTGTTGGCTTCCGTAGCATTGTCAGGATTTACTTTCACTTCCAGCGAGGCTTTGCCAGGGGCTGCACGTACCAATGAAATATTTGTAGAGCCATAACTATCAACTATAATTTGCCAATCATTTCATTTGCATCTAGATGTGTACATAAATAATATTACTTCCAACTGATAGCTTCAACCTAATGAAGATGTTGGGGAGAGAACACGTCGTTTCTCTTGAGTAATAAAATGGGTTGGGTTTCTCAAATTTGATCCATTTGTCGATATATTTCCCTTTATCCAGTAAAGCCAGGCCGTGAACCAATTCTACCGTCCTGTCCGACGTGGTCTTACTAAACAAAGGAAAACATTTGTAGCAGACATATAAACCAACGAGTTACATCGTGTGCCTAAAGTTTTTGCGAAAAAATGCGACCCAAACTTTCTCAACTAATACATTAAAGACAAAGATTCAGATTAAATTATGAAGATTTTCCTGATTTTCACATAATTACAAATACATCAGACACTGAAAAAATGGATAAATTTTGTAAGAGAAATTGCCCTGAGAACTATGTTCACATTTTGGTTGAAACATTGTGAATAATTCATTTCATAGTCTGAAAATTTGCCCCATTGGCAGAATTATTAAAAATACAGAATACAGTTGATTGCATTCACACCATATATCCAGCCAGAGAACTTCAACTTCAACACTCATTTGATAAACTTTAGACACACGGTGTAATTTAAACTAGCAAATTATGGTTCATTAAATTACTTGAAAATATAATCATAATTTTCAGAGTTCCAAACATGGTCTGATTTTCTGACGCTCGTATAACTATCGACATATTGTATCCGTGATAATTTCAAAAATTTCAAGTCATTCTTGAAGAATACTTTGTTCTCATCATCATCTCCGTCTTGGGGAGGGGAGAAAATCAGCTTTGTTAGGATAGTCCTTTGATCATCTTGTGTGGTAACGTTGACGCCAAAGTTAAAAGTAAACGAATTGTGTGCTCCTACTTCATAACCAATGTTCTCATTGTGACCAAATCCTGAAAAAACGCCCATGGAAAATCACATACAAATAGGTATCTAGGATCTAGTTTTTTCCTCGTTAGTCAAAAAACTGCTAGAAACGAAGCGTGCGCATACCTAGGGTCGCTGTCTCTGTCCGTTCTAATGTAAATGTAAGATTAATTTCGAAAATTGAAAAGAATTCGTTATTCTTCCACGACACTGAAGACTTATAATTGAACGATATGGCTCCATCAAATTGAATGCCGCTCTTAAATGCAAGTCCTAAATGAGTAAATGTGGGTTTGGTCATAAATTAATTGTGAATATCATTAAATACATATTAACATATTATGCATTTTGATTAAAGACGTTGAGTTTGATTGAATAGATTTATACCACTCATTGTTGGAAATTGCTGAATCCTATTCTCAAGCAAGATTGTTTTCAAAATGCGAATTTCCCTATTTTCGAATAGTTTGTCAATTTTTGCTTTAATCAGTGCCAATATTCCTGAACGATCGGATTCTGATTTGTCGTTAAGTTTTGATTTATATTCCTGTAATTTTTCCAGCATTTTGGGAAAGTCGAGAGAAAACATTCTTGTTCCAACCGTGATATCACCACTTTCTCGATGCGTGTAGTAAATGTCAAATTTTCCTGGATTGGAAGAATTCTCAGATGATGATCGGAGCAATTCAGTCTGATTCACAAAATGTGCAAAAATTATTATGCAATAGTCACAAATATAATTTCATCAGATTAGTTAGCATCAACCAACCTCATAAAATCTGTCCATCCCGTAGATGGACCAATATGCGAGGTCAATTCTTATCATTCGAGGCAGTGAATCCATGCCCATGACAACGTTCAATTCTATCAGCCACGAGTATGAATAGTTTGAAATCGAGTATTCGCTGTGACCAACAACTTCTAAATTACGATACCACGTTCGTCCAACTTTGCTCGGTTCCGGATCAGCCGAGGAAGATCCACTCAAAATTGGGTCGTTAATCACGTGGGAGTGGTGAATGATAAACTTTTTCACTTCTGAGGAAATTAAAGACACAATTTATAATACATGCATGCGTACATGATTTACATACATATGTACATTCTGTATTGTTAAGTATGTGTCATGAATAATATTTAATTGCCAACCTTCATCTGCTCCCTCGTTTTCCAGGAATTTGGCGAGGACTGGTTTCCACCTTGTTACAAAATCTGGACATTTTCTCATCGAAATATAGGCCAGTACTTGCACATCCGTAAGGGTGACACTCTCCAGTAACTGGGACAATATAGGTTGACAACTTCCCAGACATTTCAGTAAATGGTATACATTACTTCCAGCCATTTGTGAGCATGTAGTCTTGGTCGAAACATAATTCAAACCCCTTTCTTCCAGTAAAGCATCCACTAACTTCCTCGCTTCAAGTCGCGTTCCAATGTCAACCTTGCTCGTTATGTAATAAATCAGAATATAATTACTCAAAAGTTTTTATAGTGCCATTAGCATAATTCAATACCGAGTCTTGAGCAATGAAACCATCCAAAGTTTCAATATATTGGGTCAAAATCGTATTAAAATTTGTGTCCCTTAAAGCATCCTTCGTTCGAATTTTCTTTAGAAATCCGACCATGGCGAGGAGAAGATTTTTCTCATCGACCTTCCAAGCCAGTTGTTCCCTGTTATGAAATAGCTGTGTGACTGCGCTAACTGCACGGGAACCGGCGTATGGTTCCTCCTCTGGGAGAGTGGACGGCATTAGCATGGATGACCACATAAATCCCTTAAATATCCCAGGATTTCCGCCTCCACTAAGGAAATGCTCTGTAAATTGAACATGTACACAGTTTTAGTATACTAATATAAATAGAAACAAAACCCTGCTGGATTTACTAAATGTTGCACCGTACCAACGACAAATTCTACCGTGTCATCGGATTGGCATGAGGCTAACACACTGTAGTAAAGATCTAGTCCAGTGGAACAATGAGTCATCTTTTGTATCAAGTCTTCCCCCTCTCTCAGAATGTGGGTTGGCATCACCGACGCTAATTTACGCATTTTTTCCACAAATTCCACTGTGTCCGAATTTCCATTGAGCTTACAAATTTCAGAAAGCGCTGCGAGAAAGTGATTAATGGGTTCCGAGTCGTTCGTAGCCTTTGGGGGAGTCACATCCCATTTTAGTGGGGCCCAAAACAACGTTTCTGACTTTTCAAGGTCGCCTGCTGAAAATGATGTTGAGACGATTTTCTCCACATTGAGAAGAGTTAGCATCGTGTGCGTCGTAATGTTTGTGACCATTTGCGACCCTCCAATATTTATTTGCTCTTCTTTCCCATTAAATTGTTCAATCGTAACTCCAGGACCAAAATTGGTGTTGTTGCACTTCACTGCAAAGGTTTGAAACCCATACTGCGGAAATTTATCTTTTTCCTCGACAAAATTTAAGATGTCTGAATAGGAAACTGAATTTGTATCAACGTCAGATGCCGGGGACACATCTTTGTGCGGAGGTAACCCATCATTTGGCATCCCAGGACTGGTTAGAAATCTAAAGCCCCGCAGTTCCTTGGCTGAACTCCTTCCATACAATGTCATCCTTGAAGGGTAAGTGGTCGGTTGGGCTGGCTAAATAATAATGCATTCATAGATTGATAGAAAACATTAAATTACGCAGGAATTACGAAATTTAATTCGCGAGGATTATCTAAATTCACGTTTATTATTTTGCATAATTACGTGCATAAGTTATTTATTAAGACGATTATGACATTGGTTTACCTCTGAATGCAGATCCAATTCATTCAGTTTCTCGACTATCGTAAGTACATTCTTATTTATGTTAATGGCCGATACGATGGACCGAACTAGGTTATCCTTCCACTGATCTTTATGAGAAAGACAGATATTTTGCGAGACGTCAGTATTGGTAGAACCTGGGAGAGCATAGGCAGCATGAATGGAATCTTTGAAAGGTGATGTCACATCTATATTTGTATCGATCTATATTTTCGAAGAATTGACAAGTTCATTAATACCTAAAATGCGCTTAAAAATCTGAGTAAATGTCAATTTGAGTACATTTAATAACGTACATTCACATAGGAGACGGTCAAATTGGAAATGACCACATCAATTGCGCAGGCCTCTGCCCCAGTTCGTCGCGTTATACTGACCAGGCCTCGAAGGTAAATTGTTTGGCTATCTTCAAGTGAAATCCCTTGGCGTAGTCGGTGACTAACGACTGTGATACGTTGGGAAGTGTTGAGGACATAGTTGTATTGTTTCCTTGGCTCGAACCAGCTTTCCGAATACTCTGACAGGTTTCCTAGAGGTGCAGAAACGTACAAAAGATTGAATACATGCATATGAGATTATGGAAAGTCTATGTTACAGTATTTACCTCCAGTGCAAATGTTTGAAAAATCGCACAGCTCCAAGCCTTTGACTTCCCAGGGTGTACATGTTGCCAAAAGTACAAATATGCTCAAGAGTATCACCCAACAAGATTTGTCAACCATAACTACTTTGTTACATTTATATTAGTAACACTGTGGACATGAAATATATTTTTTACTCGACTGACTGAATTGATGGATGGCAAGCGTGTGAATCTTTGAACTGGAAATTAATTCGTTCAACTGACCCAGTCATTTCAACTTTTAATGTTTTAATTCGTTGATCAACGACGATTTATATTAGCAACATGATTATCAACCTCATGGTGTCGTACTAGACACTGTGTATGCAAATCATTTCTATGTATGTAAATATATTCGAGTCATGATAAATAAACCTTGAAAGTTCATGTCACCCAGGGGTCAAAATCAACCAATATGTGTAAGTAATCTATATATATGTACTTGATTCACTTCAGTTGAGATGAGAAATTATGCTTACAAAATGATAATAAAATGAACTCAAAAATTTAATAAATTTAATGTCACGTTTCACACTGTTTTAACAAAGGCAATAACTACTCCATAATTAAAATAACTTTCGCAATTCAAGGATTTGAAAAACTTTAACGACCAGTCAGAAATTGTAGATCCACTCATTTTCTTGTCTATTGGGATTTTAGGTATAAGTTTTATGCATAAAATTAATTGCTTCAATGACATCTTTTGCAACTACATCTGGGATCTGGAGGGGGTTGAAATGGCCACCGGTTTTCCATTTTGTGTACCTCAGCCTCGGAAATTTTTCTACCAAAGAAAACTTTGGTTGCGTATACGGTTCTCCAGCCAAATTTATGCAGCTCACAGGAACTTTGACAGCGACCCTACAATATTGGACGAGGATTAGATTACATTAGTTTCATAATACTGAAAATCACCTTTCCACAGCAAAATAATGTGAAGTGAGGAGGTTAGATGTTTCGCGATACATTCGCATTGACGTCGTGATTGATTTTCCCACCCAGTAAACCATGATATTGTCCAATAGTTCATCCAGGTCGAATGCCGAATTTATTCCCCCGTCTTCCAAGTCAATCCAGGTTTGGTTTGTCCACCAGGAATATCTCTCCAAAAAATAAGCAGCGTGTCCACCTGGAGAATTGGAAAGAGCTACGCCTGCAGATGTAATGTTATACCAATTATTCAAACATTTTGAAAGAATTACCAAGACGATCAAAACAGGACGATAAAACTAACCAAGAGTATCAGGCTTCGTTGCGTGCAAATGCATGTATCCAGTTTCCCTCACCATATTTATAATTGGCCATTTATAAAACAGTGGAGAATGTTGTGCAACTTCGTCTTCGTCCATTAGCCAAGTTGGAAATATGTGGGCAACTATGAATTTGAACAGCGAACGAGGGTGAAATGTATGGCACATGGTCATGTGGAGGCCTAATACGCTTAAAGCATCAAAAAATAATTTAAAAAGTCAGCACCTATTTTACAGTGCATAATGCATACGTACTTTTCATGGAAAAGTGTTGCCATATTGCTACCGATTATGCTGCCCCAGTCGCCACCCTGGACGTAAAATTGTTCATGACCGAGACGTTTCATCAGCTTGAGAAGAATAAGTGAAACGTCGGTAGCTCCCATTCCTGGTTTCTTTGAACCCTCAGAAAACGGGAATCCAGGATACGACGGAATTATAAGCTATCCAAAAACATGGAAAGTTTTACTATTTGATATGAAATTGAACCCTACGTATAGTATTTGCTTTTGTATGTACTTTTGTTACTAATGTAGATAAGGTACGCATTTTGATTAAAATACCATCTCGTAGTACAAATTACATTTTATTAAATTACCTCAAATCGGAAATCAGAATTTTTTCCTTCCACAAGAAATTCAATAATTTTTTGATGTTCTACAAAGGAGCCTGGCCAACCATGGAGGAGAAGAAGTGGAAGCACTTTCTTCTTCGGCGTCGTTTCCTTAGTGGGCTTGATGTGTCTAAAGTAAATATCCAGCCCAGAAATCCGTGTTTTAAACCCAGGCCACTTGTTGATCACCTTCTCCCTCTTTCTCCAGTCGTATTTGTGCAACCAGTGGTCCAAGACATTCTTGAGGAACTTTGAATTTATTCCGTAGTGAAATCCAGTCCCTGCCATGGAGGGTTCCACTCTCTCGTCAAATGTCTTCACTTCCAGGATTAGCCGAGCCTTCAAATCTTGTAGAACTTGCTCAGAGATATTTATGGCAAAGTTGCGAATAGATCCATCGAGCAATTCTTGGGAAGAAACGAGTCCCCAATTCTCGTCCGGAAGGGTTGGCAACTCCCCGTCACGTAGAAAGAAGTAGCCCACGAGACCACCTCCAGTTGCAATGACGAGAATGAGAATGGAAGTTAAATTTACGAGTCCCATAATGCACACGTTACAGGAATTTAAACAAATACAAATTTTGATTTTGTGCTCAGAAGTACGTTCATTTGTGTAAATACAAAATCTAAAGTACAAGTACTTTACTTGGCAAGTTTGCGAAGTTGAGCTTTTGTAGGATGTGATATAGGCTCGGTTACTACCCAATGACGCTGTAATACAAGCGGATTTATGTATATTCCCACGACATGGTCATAGATATTTTGCAGTGTTGCGCAATACCTGGCTTATTTGCATGAACGTGTGTATGTATCCATGTACGTGCATATATGTACAGTTGCACAGCGGTCCAGTTTTTACAGGCAATGTGGTTTTGCATTCAGTTTTAAATTGTTCAAATCTTGATAATTACTGGTAACAATGAGATTTGTTTATGCTACTTACAATTTGTTAGAATTGTGGGGATCGTTCCAGATAGGCATACGTGCATAGTCTTTACTCATCGTCAGCTTGGTTTAGAGTAGTGATCAATAACTATTTTCCGGTGAGGATGGCATTCGTAATAATATGTAGGAAATGATGAGATATATTTCCATGTTTGTTTAAATTCGTACTTTCAAGCTCTAACTGGTTTGTAGCCTATAAATTCTAGGTGGCTCCGTTATTGAATTACATAAGATACAAATCCCTTAAATTATTTATGTAAATACAAGCGTATGTATATCATAAAGCTTGACTTCGTTGTTGAAAAAAAGATTCAGTACCGGCATAATTGAACATTCAACCTAAATTGCATATTATGCATATTATAAATACATATTAGCATTACATTTTGGCCCTAGCGTATTTCTTGTTTACATATGTATGTCATGTATAATTCGAGGAACATGTACAAATAAAAGACTGTCCCATTTGTAGTAAATTGTCCTCTATATTTGGCAAAATTAGGATTTTAGCGAACAAAGCAAGCTAATCAATTTATTGAAAGTACGGCCCCTTCCTACCCAATATCAATAACCTTATTGAGGTATTGGTACGCTCGACACATTATGTAAATTAGTTAATTCAAACAATCACAGGCCATTCATCTTGCATTCACTAGGAAAAACATTTTAAAAAATTTAAAAAAAGTTTCATATAACCTCTAGTTGAGTAAAAAGATTGGCATTCCAATTTTAGAATTTTGACGCTGAACTCGGATTCAGAATATTCAAACTCGCGCATGTCATGTCAAACAAGATAGTGAAGCTTTCAGTTGATGAGCAGGGACGCCAAGCCACGAAAGCTGCTGATGCTTGCTCGCAGTCACTTTCCTGTCACAGACCACTCACTCACAGTGCTTCGGACAGAACGGTCGCTCCTCAATTTGGATTAGCTCTTTGGAAATATTATTTCTACAAGGTTTAAGACTTTTAATTTACATCAACACTTGCATCCGACTGATACAAATTTTGGTAAGAATTAATTTAAAAATATTAATGACTTTTTTTAAATAAATATACTGCAAGCTTTCCAACTTTACTCAAAAATTCTTCGTCAGGCAAAGCATAATCAACAAACTAAAATTTATGACAAGTTTAATTCGATTTGTAATTTTTTACGATTGGAAAATAATTGTAAAGTTTATACATGAATACAGTGGTGATAAATCAGGCGTTGTGGGCTGATTGTTGCGAATATCCTCTTTGTAAGAAACTTGCAATTTTTGTTGTGCCTGCCTATGGTAAAATTCGTTAGTAGTCGCCAGGATAAGCATGCCACAATATAAATATAATTGTGTATGCATTGCTTGTTTAATAGGATTGTGTGGTCCGAGGCGAAGAAAGAAGTATGGCATCTCGGGAAGCAGGCGGAGGAAGAGGAGGTCGAGCCTGTCCCTCTGGACGTCACGGAGTGACATTTAAAGACGACCGAACGACTGCAGAATCCCTCCATTAGGTGAATATCAACCGGCTTCATCGTCAGCAACGGCAGCAGGAAGTTCAGCCTCCTGTCGCAAACTTTTTCAATTTTACGGCAAAGCCCATGCCAGTCATCCCCCAGCTTCCTCAACGTTGGAGCAAATCGAGTGCGGCTGCTGCTCTTTTCAAGAACGACAATCTGCACACAACAAAGTCAGCCTACAGTGACGACAATACCGACTATGCCGACTACTATCAGCAGTTGAACGAAGCAAATGTAAGTGTCCAGCCTCCTGAAACTAAAATTGTTTATATGTAACATAAAGGGTAGAGTAAATCATACGAGTAATATTCTGTTAATAGCTGGCTAGCCTTAAGTTGCACCCTAAACCGCGAAAGAATGAGCAAGGAAAGCCGTCTGTAATTGGCACAATTCCTGCAAACAATAGAATTCAAGGCATTGATGACTCTAAAGAAGATGACGTCTTCCGGAAGTTCAAGATGGATGAGAAATATGTGGGCACTGCAGGATTGGTCATCAACCAGTATGAAGATAAGGTATTAGTCCATTAGCATTATGTACATTCTTTAATATAAAATTGCAAAGTTGATTACATCATACATAACTCTATACTACTTATAATTTGACACAATATTAACACTAGATTATATCAATGCTGGAGTCGAACCAAGTTCTGATCGTCGAAGGGTTTACGGGATGTGAGTACATTACAAAATTTGGGCATACCGAGAGGAATATCTTAGGTCGCGGTCATTAATTACTATGATTCTATACAAATACTTTTTAAGGTGGGAAGACGACCCAAGTTCCACAGTTTATTCTCAATCACGCATCCAAAACAAAACGTCACACAAGAATTGTAGTTACGCAGCCGAGAAGAATTGCTGCAATTTCTGTTGCTAATCGAGTGTGTGAAGAAAGGGGATGGACACTCGGATCTCTTGTTGGTTATCAAGTAATTTAATTTTTAATTTAATTATACTATTATCAGGTCTTATCCATTTGTAATTATAAAGTTATGGAATATGGGTTTAATCTTTAATTTATTCCATTGTAACTTGTCGCGTAGGTTGGGATGGATTGTAAACTCACTGATGATACCCGAATATCTTACATGACCACGGGTGTCCTCTTGAAACTGTTGATTAACAAAAAGAGGCTAACGGACTACACCCACATTATTATTGACGAGGTGCACGAGCGAGACTTGGATACCGACTTGTTGCTCCTCGTGATCAAGCAGATCATCATTGATAGACGAGATTCCAACACCAAGATCATCTTAATGTCTGCCACGTTGGATACTGAAAAGTTTTTCAAGTATTATCCAGTCTTCGGAGCAGGAGATCGACAAAAAGGCACTTCAGTGGTATCAGTAGACCAACCGTCTGCGTTTGCGGTAAAAGAATTGTATTTGGATCAACTGGCAATACGACATGTAAGTGATGGAGTTAGCACATATTGACGAACAATGGAGCGTTCTTTCATAATTTGTATTGTCTTTTTAGGGTTTTGAAGGACTTGAAGTTGATGGTACAAAGGAGCCCAAGGTTCATGCAGAATGCTACGAACTCGCCTGCAGCATTATCAATGGTTTAGATTATCATGAATATGAAGAAGATTGCAAACTCAGAAAAACTCCACCTAGTGTGGGTAGCAGACACTCGTATAATATTTGATGCTAGACATATCAATTTGACGTGATATTATTGTAATGCAATATTTACGCTTGCCCAATAGGTCATGACGGAAGCAGAAAAAGGAACTTTTACAATGTCCGAGTTTTATACAAAAATTGATTGTAATGCACCCTCAAGGGGCGCAGTGTTGGTATTTTTGCCTGGATATGTAGAAATTGACACGATGTACAAACAGCTCCACGAGTTAAGTGCTGTGAAAGCCGGGTATGTGAATGTTATACATACGGGTCCAAGTTTTACATATTTGACGTTCTGGATTTTTTTACAGCAATTGCAACAAGCCAGATGTCACCAAATGGATAATTTACCCACTTTATTCATCAATCACTGCTGAAGAACAGTGCCGAGTATTTAAGACCGCTCCATCACGTTTCAGAAAGATTATTTTGACCACAAACATTGCCGAGAGTTCCATCACTATCCCTGATATCAAATATGGTATGCAATATACACCGAACCACAAATCATGACTTATGCAAATATATTATATGACTAATTGTGTTACTAATAATTTTATATAGTGATTGATTTTTGTTTAACAAAATCACTGTCTTGTGACCCTGTCACAAATTTCTCCTGTTTACGATTGGAATGGGCATCAAAAAATCAGTGCATTCAACGTCGTGGAAGATGTGGTCGAGTTGCACCAGGAATTTGTTACCGTTTAATTTCGTACCCATTTTATGTGAGTATATTTTTTCTGAGAATTTTGTCAGCAGAACTTATTATAACATGACATACTGCATTTGCTTACATAGAGAGATTTAATGCCTCAAGAAGCCCTTCCCGAAATGGAGAGGGCAAGCTTGGAAACCGTAATTCTGAATGTCAAGCAGTTAGAAATGGGTTGCCCTTTGGAGGTCTTGTCCTATGCAATCGATCCACCAAAACAATCTGGAATAGGCAGAGCAGTTTCCAATCTGAAAGAGGTAAGTATTTATTTTAACCCTTGAATGATTAACTGGAAATTAGTATATTCTTTTTTTGATGAGGTGGGAGCACTGACACTCAATGCTAATGGCAAATATGATGCATATGACGGAGACATGACTTACATGGGCTCCGTGATGGCTCTACTCCCCATTGACTTTCGTCTTGGAAGGTTGATTGTACTTGGGCACGTCTTGGGATGCCTCGATGATGCCATAATAATCGGTAAGTAGAATGATTTTATTAGATAAATATTATTATTATGTGTTCTATGAATGAATCAATCTAATTGCACAGCGGCCGGGTTACATACAAAAAGCCCCTTTAGTCATCCTTACACAAAAAAGCTGGAGTCATGGCTATCTAAATTTGACTGGTCTAATGGGACTTACTCTGATTGTCTCTCTCTGATGAGCGCCTTTCACGTAATTTGCAACTACAATAAGCAAAAGCTTCTGCTAATGATTTTACTAATTATTTACATATTAATAATTGTATTCTGCTTAGGATTGGTCTGCAAATCATCGAGACGGCAAGTTCCGTGGCGATCATGAGGAAAGAAATTGGTCACGTACATACTTCCTTCAGTTAACTGTTCTTCGGTAAAAAAACATGCTTGATTAATTTACGTAAACACATTCCAACAAACAAGATAACCAGATTTTTTAATTGTTATTCTTTACTAGCAATATTGGAAGAACTGTGGAGGAAATAAAGAAAAGACTTGAAAACGTTGGGATCATATCGGATTCTCGCACCCTTCCAACTCTTGAGCGAGGGTTTATTCTGAAGGTGGTTGATACAAAATATTTAAAAGTGGTAAAGAAAATCAACTAACAAATTTGTACAATACTCATAGTTGCTGATTGCTGGAGCATTTTACCCAAATTACTTTTTACGACCCCGTCCGGTCGCGAAAGAGTATCAGCGCGATATCGTTAGAGATGTAGCTGGATACAGTCCTTTCAACTCTGTCACTCTCTTGGGATTCCCAATTGACCAACCTGGCAAATTGTAAGCAAATCAACGAATTTTTTAGTGATTGATTGTGCAGAGTTTGATTAATTTCAAGATTTTATTAAATTATTGACAATTCAAGATATGCGAAACATATTGCGGACAAGATGACTCATACCAACTGCATTCCTCAGATTAACTTCAAATCATCTAAAGTCATTGTCACCTTTGACCCACGAGGCGATAAACATGGTTCAATAAGCTCTGGAGTTTACAGAGCTATCAAAATCCGCATGTTAAGGGATCTAGTTGTCTTTCGTACTCTACCGTAAGTCTGGCTGCAATTATTAGAAATTTAAAATAAATATTCACATGGGTTGAATTATGAGCAGGCGAGAAGATTCAAAAAGAGCTGTGGACAAGGCTGCCTCCAATGCAGCAGATCAATATATTCAAGAGACGCCCAAATTTGGTGGTCTGCCCAGTATGAAAGAAAATCAATTTATGTGCATGATTTGCCATATCAAGGTGAGTATCTTTATTCAATATTGTATGCTAAAGTTGATGACCAACAATTTTTAAATAAATTGTTTTTTGTTTGTTTTTGTAGACTGAATCTCCTAATGAATTTTATGTAACACGAAAAAGTGATGAAGCTTGTCTCGCCCAAGTGAACGAGATCTTGAATGGCGATGCGTGTGGATATGCTTCGCAATTAAAAGTTCTCTCCCCCTCTGATCGCCAGCCTGGAGCTGTTTGCATTATCATGAAAAAGAAGCGATATATTCGCGGCCGAATTGAAGCGTTAGCCAGTGACCAAGCACTGGTATGCAAATTATATCGTATTTTGTTGATGATCACATTTGGTATTACATTTTAGTTAGGATAAGTTCAAATAGTGTCACCATGAATATTTAGGTATATGGGATTGACGTTGGAATAACTACATGGAGGAATTTCCAGTTCCTGTTTAAAGTAACGGATGAAATGGTTAATCGAGGCTTGCTCAAAATTCCAGCGTTGGTAAGATAATGCACTGTCAATTGCGACTACTAAAATGATAACCTTATGCAACTAATTAATGGCAAAATATATAAATAAAATAATGACTATTCTACTTCTTTGAATAATTAAGGCTATTCATTGTCGCTTGAGTGAGCTGAGGCCGTCTTGCAGACATGGTCACGATTGGGTGCAACCGGCATTTGCTGATTTTTCGGATTTTGTGGAAAAATCCGGAAATAATTTTGAATTTACAGTAATAATATGAAACAATACAACATTTCAATGAACAACTGGACAATTTAAAGCGTTACATTTATTTGGTATTGTTTGTCTTTTTGAAGGTGTACTCGGTGGTTGATGGAGTTGTAATTGGGGAACTTTACAATCCTAAGCTTGATGACACCATCAACAATTTGTTTTTAAGAAAAACATACTTGGAAAAAACATCTGAATGTCAAGATTCTAAGGTAATCTACACACGACTATGAATATTATTCTGAATGTTATTAATATTATTTGTATTGTGGGGTGAAATTCCTGTATCCCAATATTATTCTGTATTATCTTAGTTTTATGCATATGTTCTCTTGCAGGAGAATGCTCAATACCGTCAGTTGTGTCACTCTCTAAGATATGATGAAGAAATGATTGATTCAATCGATAAGAAGCAGAACTGCTCATGGGAGCCGACGCGTTACGTCTTTCCACCAAAGTTGAATGCCGAGACAGGAAACGAAGTTAGTTTAAGGGGTCCCACGTCTCCTTTAGAAATGCACTTCACGTCACTCTGTCGTAGCGCACATATGAAAGCTGTTCAAGTGGAAGGAAGTAGTGTTAACTGTGTAGCTCTGGACACTGATCCATTTAATCCTAGCTCTCGTGTCATGATTGCAGGTAATATTTTAGCGGTTTCTTAAGTAGAAATTAGTAGGTAATAAAAGTAATATAGGAAATGTTAATTCTCAATTACAGCCAGTGTGGGAATAGCCCATCGCTCTGGAAATATTCTCGCAAGGTATTTCATCACTATTTTCAATATTTTCACCTCGAGTCCCTAAACAAGCGTAATAATTTTGTGTGTAGAGAGACGACAATCATGCCACCAGTTCCTGGTCTCCTTTCTTTATTGACGATGCTATTCGCCCCCAAGATTGAATTCCGCTTGGATCCAGACCAGACTCGCTACACGGGATGTGTTAGTGGTCTCGGAACCGATCCATTGGAGACAAACTCTGTGTATCCTGATCATGACATGGAAGTCATTTTTGACGTGAATATCGACAATGAAGACTTGGATCGGATCAATTCAATTCGAACAATGTGCAACACGATTCTTCGTCAGTACTCTGGGAAGCATCAAAATCTCGAATCTCTCCAGGAAAAAATTCGATCCGAACTGACGTTGTGAGTATATTATTAAGTATTATTATTTGGTTTGTCAATCAATTCAATCGAGATAAGGGTACATATTTTAATTTAATTATTACTTTAACTAGGTTATTACAACGTGAGCGAGAACCAATTGAAGAAACTTGGCCACATTTAAGTCATGTTTGGAACCGCCTTCCGTACAACGCGGAATTGTATAACCCCCCTGTAGAGTACTCTGACATGGTCAATGACGTCTTTTCTCTCCATGTCGGCGTCTGTTTAAAATCTCTTGGGGATTGAGAACCAACTCCAGCTCGGAACATTTTCAAAGCCTCTGCAGTGCATCCGTTTTTTTAAGGAAAATCTTAAATTATGAAATTATACTCCTTTCGTCCAAAAATTTGTTATTTGTTATCATATATCATCAGTTTGTTGTTTTTCCAGTTAGTTTTATTTTCCTGAACTCAATATATATGTGTAGAACTAAATTTACTTTCTACACAACAACTCAATAGGTGATAGGATTCTACTTCTATGACAAGTACTGATTAATTATATAGCATAAACTTGTTTGCCAAAAACTGAATCCTGTGATTATCATCATTTTAATTAATTACTGATTTGTTCAGAATTTACCTCATCAGCTATGTAGCAGTGTGGTAATAACTATTATTGTAAATTACAATTTGTAATACCTCTAAAAAATGTATAAGAATATGAAATAGCATTTTTTACTGTACAACAATTAACAATTGTAACCAGTACATATGCTCCTATCAGAATTACCGCAATTCTATTAGAGACTGACAATCAATATTTACTAGTGTGCTACAATTTTGGCAAATGTTAGCCGAAATTTAATATTTTGAAGTCAATTTATTGTATTTAACACATTACAACTTTAGAAAATTACATACTTTGATATCAGAAAAAAACATCATCTTTTGTTTTTTATTATCATTCGGTCGGACGACGACACTTATTTTAACTTAAATACACTTCTTCAAATTACAATTTAGTGGATTTGCTGGTCAGTACGAGCAACGAAACAGTTTGGTTGACGCAGAAATGTTGAATCACTAACGGAGTTAATGGATCTACAAAGTTGCTCCCAAATTCGACTCTCAAAGGTTTAAAAGACTTGAGCGTTTTCGTTTTGAGTTTACTAAACGGAAAGGTTTTAGCCAGTTTTTGAATCCAAGTCTGGCTGAACAGATAAACTCGACCAGCTCCAGTGAACACCAACATGTTAAAAATCAGGACATCAATGTAGAGACATAGATAAATTATTAGGCTGGATAATCCTATTTTGTCATGGAGTTTGGTGACAGCAAAGCAGGTCATCACCTGTAAGGCTGGCAGCGTGAAGGCGACTATGGGGAATATTCGCCCTTTAACACAATCATTCAATAGTTTTTCTACGACTTGCAATTTCCTGTACGCATCAATTTCCGTTTTTCGAAAGGCCAGGTTGCATTCTTGCACAAAATTTGAAATGCCAGTCAACAAACCGTCAACGTCGTAAAAGGTTCCTCCAATAAAGACTTGAGTGAGTAGGACCGCTTCCACCAGGGATAACAAGAGGCGGAGGGCGAACTGAGCGTAAGAAATTGTGGTGGAACTGTCCGCAAGTTTCGCACATTGGTCCAGGGGCATAAATACGGATCCCAGGAGGGGGACTTGACATGGAGAGTAGAGGACGAGGACAATTTCGCCAATCGGCAGAATCCAGTTTGTGATGTGCATCATTTGGAAAAATGTGTAGAGTAGATTAGTGAAATTCGATGGGATTCCTTAAGCAGAATTGGTGCAATTAGAAAATTCTCGTGAAATGCGAGGAGTTCTGTCATACCTTTTGATTCCTTTGATATTATGTAGTTGAGCAGACCTACGACCGCAGTGTCGACCTTCCAATCCCACCAGAGCATGAGACATATCACGTACAAGGTAATGAAAAGTGAGGATTCTGTCTTCCCAACGATTCCCAACTCGCTTCGAAAAACCGACCACAACTGAAGCAATACGTAAGCACTGCTGAGCAGAAGGAATAGCTTGACCTGTCTCTGTTTTTTGGGACTTATCACAATGACTTTTTGAGAATGGTCGTCCCATGCAAAAAATAAGCACCGGACAGCATTTCCTAGTCTAAATTGCCTCTTTAATCTTTGGGTCACTATGTCTTTCATTGCTAGTTTGTTTGCCATTTCTAAATAGGAATAAATATGCACTCGTTGAGCTTGAGAGTATGATTTCGACTGGACTTGCTTTCGAAAGTTCCTTACATCTCTACATTCACAATTAATTAGTATTTAGACTACGGTTACTTTTGCAGCGATGATGTTAATGTTTTGATTGTCAATCATTAACACAATTTAAGCAGTGCAAGATTTAATGGACGACATCAATTGTGTTTTGAGACAAGAAATTGTCTTCAGTTTCATGTCCGATTGGTTTTTAGTTCGGATAACGGTAACCCTTCCGAGATAAAAGCAATTTTATCGGTTCCATAATTCATGCTGTGAATATTCATATGCTATTTCTTCGTATTAATATAATTGGCTTGTGGTGATGATTGGAACCCATTAGTCTACAATAGTCTACATTAGTAGTTTCCTATCAGAAATTATAACCCTTGTAAGCTTAGCAATGATTTACAATTTTGTAGATAATTATCAAATTATTCCATGAAGGGTTTATTATTGAGGAGTTATAGCATCTATTGCCCCGTGTCAAATGCAATTTTGCATAAACTAACATCCATCCCGTACTTAATCCTAATGTAAGCGTGTACTGTATGTCACCACGACAGGCTTGTTCACCAAATCAGTATGCATTTGAAATTTGAGCTGTACTCTACATATGCCAAAATCCAAATTGGATGGAAGGAATTAATTATGCATTATTAAATCTGCTGAATCTGTTAAATGTTATTTTATTATTCGTAGCAAAGTATTCAATGTTTCATGGTTAAAATTATGATGGAGATTCAGAGACCCACATTATCCGCAACCGCAATATGTACTTCTATGTACATAACTGACGATGAGCTCTACGCCTACATTGTAGATATACGCAGACAATACATGAATAATTTTCAGCACCATTTATCTTTTCGTCACCTACGAATATTTCATTTGTGTGTAAAATGCGGCAAAGTTTGCATTATTATTTACATGGAAACTTGGTATTATATAATCACTTTCTGACTAGGCGGCTATAAGCTGATATCATATCACTGAATTCTGATAAGGCAGGTTTATTGACGCATTCTTACCGTCTTACCTGCCTCCCAGCCGGCTTGAAAATCTGCATTATCACAATCTATTTTTGTTCATTTACTGTGTTATTGATTTATTCACAACGTAGAATTACCAATAGTTGGCTATATTTATTGACATTTAATTGACGTTTAACCAAAGCAGCTGCTGTATCCATAGCGGAGGTTTAACGATTTGACATGGTCGTGATTATCAAAATTGTAGATAAGACTATTGAGTGCAAAACCTAACCAGATTCCTCATGCGGCGTAACTCATTTGTCAACACTTCGCCAAAATTTGCCATGTCAGCTCCTTGGCAAAGGTTTGGAATCCTACTTGGGACAATTGGTTTCATAGTTGTCTGCTTTAGAGTGGCAACAAAGTCCTCAGAAGACGGGGACAAGTCTAAACATGGCGATCCCGATATTTCTTACTCAAGCATGATCTCAGTCCCGATCGAGGAAGTGATGGCTGGTGATCCCATCGTCTTGGCCCAGGATGATCCTCGTGTTACACAATATATTTGGAATCATGGGTATATAGTAGCCCCATCGGAAATAGACTACAACTTGACGGCCCCCAATAAAAATCCATCTATGGGACAGGGTCAGATGATTCGTAAAATTTTTAAGGACATGGTGAGTCAATGCGCCGATCATTGCGTATTAAAATTTTGTCCCCAATTATAAAAAGATGTTTGAGATTGATACATACGTACGGTTTCAGAAAGGAGGATTTTTTATCGAATCGGGTGCACTCGACGGCGAGACGAGATCGAACACCTTATTTCTAGAGAAGGAGTTGGGGTGGAAGGTGTGGAAACTATTTAAATATGTGAAAAGAAGTATGAATATTCGAAGAATTTGATCATTATTGCATACATTTAGGGATTGTTGATTGAGGCCGACCCCAAGAACTATGGCATGGTTTTGGAAAAACGAAGAAAAGCATGGTCATCAAATACGTGCTTGGCAACGAAGCCATATCCCCACAAAGTACGCATCGCCGACATTGTTTATTGCATCACAAGTAATATTTAACCATTTTATTAGTTTGTTCCGTGCCGTCCACTAAAGATTACAAGTCGCTTAATTATACATGTAATTACGATGAATTCCGACAACCCGTAATAACAATGGGTTCCAATTAAATTTTCCAGGTTGTGTTCCGACAACAATTTAATGTTGGTAAAATCAAAGATGATTCTTCGAAATCTATGGGCAATAAAACCGCCTCTGGATACGCCGTTGTGCAATGTTTCCCTGTTTACTCGCTGCTGTCGGCCCTCTCAGTCTCCACGATTGACTACTTTAGCCTTGACGTGGAGGGCGTCGAAATGGAGGTGCTGGCCAATATACCGTTCGACAAAGTATTTATCAAGGTAAACAATGCGTGATTCATATTTAGAAAGAATTATGTTGCTCATATTTGATTGGTCGTCACAGACTTTATCCGTGGAATTCAACCACGTGAGTGCAGGAAAGGCTGGGTTGAGAAAGGTGATGGAAGACAAAGGCTATGTCGTCGTGGGAGAAGTGTCACATCCGCAAGGACTCGCAAACGATTTTATTTTTGTACATCACAGTCTTCATGAACTCATTGCAGCTTCTAAAGAACAATAAAATGTTAGGAAATAAACTTGTATTTATTTACTTATTTATTGTTCGATATAATTAAAATTTATGAAGCGTTATATAACTTGGACGAAACAAAAGATTGAATTGTATCTCTACTCATGGTCAGGTCAGGAGAAAATGACGCTGAATTTATTTAGTAGTACATGAAATATAATGGAACATGAACATTAATCTCGCAATAGGGAAGACTCAAAGTTTTCATATTTAGTTCTAGGCTATCAGTCGAATTTGCATCAATAGAACCCATAAATAATAAGTGTGCGTGTGGAGAATTAATTCATTAGGTAATTCTATCATAAATACTTACGCATTAAAATTGTTTTTTGATTTCAATGTGCTTATTTTTTAGATTAAAAATTCTAGCAAACCGACAGAAAATACGTACGTACGTATAAATATGTATGATTTATCTTGAAAATCTGTTTCCTTGAGCTGCAGAATTAAATTGAACAACGATGACAAGCTGGACTCAAAGTATGACACATCATGGACAACCTAAAAGTATAAATAGTTTTGCGATATCAAAATTAAACTCAATTCGAGTCAAGTTTTAAAATCAATAGTTCAATTATGAACCAACGAAGCGGTGCAAGTTATCTTTTTCCCATTCTACTGATAATAATAGCTGCTTTCGAGTGCTATGGACAATCAATGACAGACGCAACGTGCGCCAAGAAAAATCCTCCTGTTCCTACGGGATCCAAATGTATTTGGCAAAAAAACACTTACCAAGTTCAATTAATATTTGCTGATAGCACGTTAAAAATACACATTAATTTTTATCAGGGGTAAAAAATCCTAACTGTTCTAAGGGAGGTGCTTATAGGACGGGAAGTGGGACCTCGTCAGACCCAGAGTACCGCTGCCACTGTTGGGGCCATTGTGGTTACATTTGTGATCCAACAGGTATAAAATTAATTTGCCTCGTAATAATTACAAAATGCATCTTCATATTTTACATTGATGAGTAAAAATATGTACGCATGCAGCTTCCCAACAACCAGACGCAACTTCTTGCGGAAAGAAAAAGCCAAAAGTCCCCTCAGGATCAAAATGTAAAGACATAAAAAATAAATGCACTTGTTATATCTGTAGATATTTGTACACACATCGTTTCACTGTTGTGTAATTTTTACAGGGGTTGATGATCCCAGCTGCACTGCTGGGAAAGCGTACGACACTGACGACGAAGCCTACCATTGCCACTGTTGGGGTTATTGTGGTTACATTTGCGATCCAAAATAGAGGTCCAGAGGAACAGAGAGGACCGCTATTAAGTAATTTATAGCTAGCCAGGTGAAAATAGAAGTCAGAATGGCTACAGTTTACAGTTGTTCATGAAAGGATTATAGAAATGATTGAGAATAAAAAGTTAAAAATGATGCATTTTCAATTGCATTTTAAACATGCATTGTGAACATGATGCATGTTCACAATGCATCCCGGAACATAAACAAAAATTGAGTTAATAATTAGGCATCACCTGTTGGGTTTGTCTTGAATTGCAATTTGTCCCACTTTTGGAGGAAGAACGAAACCGTTATTCATTCATTGGCGAAAATTGCCAAGATTTTAGCTGTGATCATTCATTACTGGAGATCCAATATTTCTTTGCATAATATTTTAAGTATCTGAAGTATACGCTATGCAAATAAACGTTGTTCTTTTGTCTTGCTGGCTTGCATTTGCAGCAAGCTCCATCCTTGGAGGTCTCAATATCACAGGTGTGATATATTTATAAACAGGTCATATTTACAAAATAATTCTCAGGACACTTGGACACATTTTATCCGTTTAGATCCGAACAGTCTCGTGTCTGATACGACTGGGAAAGGCCGGAGCATGTTGGGGAATCTGGGATACGCCATGTTGGGGGTTGGAGCCGGGATGACGATGAAGACGGTCTACGACCAAGGAGGGCTCAACTGGAGGGGCGCTGCTGGAAATGGGACTCTTAATAGCGGAATCACTCCCCTCGTGACCTCGACCACTGAAGCACCAACAACAGCCACAGCTGCACCAACAGATTCAACAACCACGGCTGCACCAGCAGCAAAGTAAATAAAAAGAAAAAAAAATCTCAATAAAAACTCGAAATTAGTCGTACATTTATTGACGTCCTGGTTCATGTATCGCACAATATCTTTATTGAAATCACAATCAAATGGAGTCGTAAATAATAACAATTATGAATGCTAAACTATGCCATCGTCAACTCAACTCTTGCATAAGATAGTTGTCCACAAGTAGTTCGACATTTCCATTGAGTTGATTTTCATACTCGTTCTCTTTGGTCGTGGAATTGGCTTCGGTCTCTTCGTTACCATTTTCGTTGATAGAGAGCTTTGTAGTCAACTCCAACTCCACCAGCTCCTCCAGACATCGCGAACACGTGCAGTGGAAATAGAACAATTCGAGAAGCTCTGCTCTTCTTTCTTCAACCGTGTAGTGACCTGGACTGACATTGACGTATTGTATCGTAATGCTTTCGCCAGCAAGGATATTGCGAGCAGCATGAATCATGATAGCAATTCCAGAATCTTGAGAAGAATGTAACGATTCGTTCACCGAAGAGGAATTGTTGTTGTGCGATGCTGGGGGTTGAAGTTGAATCAATTTTCGGATAGTGTTTGGATTACAGTCGTGTGCAAATAGGGTTACTTTATCAAACAGAACGGACGAATACCTACATAGAAAATTAATGGATTAATGATAACTCCAGAAACTTTTTTTTAAAATTCCGTCCGTTTTTCCATTAATTTAATTACCTCTCCAAGTCATTAAATCCCCAAAAGGTGTTCACACTTAGGACGCCAACGACGTGATCCACGGTAGCTTCGTCAAACTCATTTCCTAGCCCACATTTGTCCAGGATAAAGTTTGAAATAAATTGGAGCATTTCTTTGGCTTTCATACTTTCTCCACGCGGACCGAGATGTGCTTCAAAAGCCAAGATTCGTGCCCATTTTTTGGGTGAATTCTTGCGAAGTAGGAGGCAACGAAGTGTTTCAATTGAAAAATATTCGTTGGGCAAACCCCGCGACTTGACATTGTTTTTAACAAGTATGTCACACTCATTCGAAGCGTGACAAGGATCCTGTTCAGTTAAAGCATACATTTACATATACATAAATCTTACATAACATATGTAGCAGAATGATGGTGACTACAATGCTAATAGATAAATCTGACCTGAGCACAAACATCACCGCAAACAGGCCACTTGCACCGTGGACACTTTGTCGAAAGGGCGACATCTCGATGGCAGGTGAGACAGAGTGGGAGCTTATCTGACGGCCCGTACGGCGAAACGAGGAGCGGTTTTTCGAGGATAATAAGCTCTCCCGTCTCAATCGGTCTCGACGCTACGACGTGATTCCCGTAAATTGGACTCTGATAGACCAGGCCAGGACCGGGGAAGGAGAGGTCGGTGGGAGTAGACGTCAGGTCCACCTGTTTGGAGGAGGCAACACTGGTCAAGTCCCAGTAGCGTCGCATATTTATACACGTAGGGCATGGAGTGGACGGAGATGGGGGTGACTGGCACAGGGGACATTGGCTGATGGGATGAGGTGGTTTCGCGGTGGGGAGTAGTTCAGGTCCCATGGAACTAAATAAAAATAAGAGAAAGTATGTGCGTTATAATCAACAAGTTGTAGAAGATGACAAACGCGTAAATGAATTACTTACGTTGTTAAGTTAACAAACTTTAGCCTTCAAATAATTATGTATAACTACGAGCACAAACTACAGAAGTAATTTCAGACTAACATATAACTCTGGCAGGTCTTACCAGGCCAAAAGGTGAGTTGAACCTGAATGCAATCTTGACAGCTGGTTGAACACATGGCGATCGTAGGAAAGGCGAGACGGCCACGTGGTGTGGGTGGTGGTGATAGGAAAGAGATCTGCTATTCAACTATCTCTCTCTGTAAAAAACGAGACGCCACTATTGCAATGGTTCACTCACAAGATCCCTCAGACTGAATGCAGTCAGACTGAATGTCAAGTCAACTCGTTTGGGTTGGATGATTCAACCGAGTCGGATGTGAAAAATTTTGCAGCGTAACTTCCATTACATGCTCGACATTGCATACTCATGATGATTTTTTTATCACTGGAAGTGTGATGTGAATTATTTTTGACACCCACGGCCACACTGTATCATATTTATGCTCGACGAGTGGGTATAACAATGTTCTCATCTTACTCATGTTCACAGATATTTACATGATTTTGTTTTTGTATCATGGGATGGTTTTAAATTTTGGTCACTTCATCAGGAATGTGTGGATCACAGAATTCATGACTTTTGCAGGTTTGACATAGATATGCCCCTCGACTCATTTTTCCAGTACGTGAACACGTGAACATCCGCATACCACAATCTTTAATCATGGATTGCACCTCTTGCAAAACATCACCTACTAATCTGTCAATCGGTATCCAGAAGTGCAAACAAAATATCAAGTCTCAAATATAGAATCGAGACAGAAAATAATAAATTAGCCGAGATTTATTCCTTCTCAGAATTTCATCCATTCGTTATTTTTAGGACAACAAGCAGCCGACATTCCAGAATAATTACAAGCATCAGTACATGCATACGAAATGTGTATAAACTGTATTGTTCCAATATATGTATGCAAATTAAAACCGGATTAACTTTTTCAAATTATTTCTTCCTGTGGTAAATGCCCAGAACTACAACTAATCGTAATTATGTACATTTTATGGCATGACATATTTATTCGAGCTCCAGTTTAAGGAAGTCTGTAAATATTTATATGCGGAATGATACACACTCGTCTCATCTCCCACGTATTTGCATACATATAAATTCTACGCTTCAAGGGAATGAAATACATCTAATTCTCATCGTGGCAATTCCAGTGGCTCAGTTGAGTGTTTTTAACTGGTGTTCAATTAAAGCTTGATTGCATGGTTTAGTGCATAAATTGCTCGATGAATATAATAATCATATCTAGCTGCTAAATTATTATTCCCTTCTATAATAAGAAATAGCGCATAAATCGTTGATTGAAGTGCAGAAAAAGAGAGGAAGATATACGACGTTTGGGAAACCCATCAGTTCAACCAACTAGATTTCCCCTTTAACTCCACACTTCTTTCTGATGCTGAAATACGTGATGTAAATTACGTTAGCGAAGATTACCAGGTATGGCAAAAACAAGTTGATGACGATGACGAATTCTACTCACGATGACGATGACGCTGATGGAATATTTTTTATAGATTGTAGCAAACACACATTGCGCCAAGTTTTACTAAAGTATGAACCCATGCTTTCAAATCGTTAAGTTTTACCAATTTGTTTATAAACTTTTGAATTGTCTTAACGCCCAACGCCATTGTGTGTATTTCTACGAAATGTATAAGCTCAAACATCACACGATGAGTTATCCTTACACAAACAAATGAAAAGCATGAATCACTTTTTAACTCTAACACCATTCATATTTTCATGAACAAGTATCGACTAACTTGGCCAATATAGATATGAGCATGAATTGACTATATGGATAAACGTATGTATGTACATGCATGGGATGAAAGAGCATGGATAGTGGCGTTGATTCTCCTTTGTGCGTATTCAGTTCAGGATGGTTTAGGGCGAACGAAGCAAAGCACAGGGAAATAAAGTTTGGAGTCACGGAATAATAAAGCCCCGATATTTTGTCTTGTTATACTTGTTGCAACGTATACTTCCGTCCAGCCAAGCTCTGTGAATCATCGTAAAATAGAAGGATAGACATATTAAAGGAACAAGGCAGCTGCATCGCAAGGACGAAATACTAGGATCCCTTTAAAAATAAGTGCACCCAACCATCCAGCACCACCGAAGGACGCGTCCCTTCTGCATCTGCCATTCCACGAGCAATCCACCCACCATTGAACCCACACACATTCGTTCATTACATAAAATCTCAATCCCACTTCCAGCTTAAGTGCAACGACGACACGGACTTTTCTAATACTCAAATCTAAGTTTTTTTCGTTTTAAATTTATTTTATTTCTGCAAAAGTTTAAAATCATGGCTGTTCTCCACGATCTAAGCGAATCGTTTATATTCCTCCCAATTTTGGTGGCCTTTCTTATTCTAGGACTTGTGGTGAGTGGAAGAATAATGTGATAATTTAAACTGTGACTAATATTTCATGTACTAAATAAATTTTTAGATTGCTATCGTCTCAGTAATTCGTAGGCAGCAGAGGATACGAAGGAATGAGCGATTATCTGACACCTTCCTCCCACCATTTGTTGGTAAGCAATGTCACTCTACTTTTTTTAAAAGTATGGCTGGAAACAATTCTATATTTTCATTATTTTTCAGGAGGGAAGATTCCCAAGGAGGAAACGTACGTAGTTCCACGAGACTGGAAGCCGAGTATGAACAATCGCGTCTACGCCCCGCTTTCAATCCCCATCGAGGAGCCACGGTCATCCTCGTCTCAGAAATTCGTCCAGTCAATCATTCACGTTCTTCCGCCTCGTTCCTCCGACTTTGTTTAACAACAGTGCAAACAGAAGGCTGCGGCGTTTCCTGTCAACTTGGGGAAATATTTGTAATGAGTTCCTTATCTATTATTTAGTCGCACATAAGATGTCGGACGTACATATGAACAAATAGTGTTTGTTGAGCTTAAAACAACTCGGAGGCAGCTACTCTCGATAAATATTTACCTAAATATGTATGCGAGATTTTAGTGATGAGGATGTACACATTTCTTGTTTGATTGTCATGTTATCATTTCCACTACGTGTATGTATACTGGAAGCATTCTATCTTTCTTACATTTTACATGTTGTAAAACTATATGTTAAAAATAAATCTTAATTTATAAATTGTATTCGTGTTATTACTCATTTTTTTTTAATTCATACCGGCGAATTAGTTTATTTGATGATTCATACTGTACTGTATCAGATCGAGTTGTAAATCCAATTAACATAGTATACTACATATAAACACTGTAGGTATACGCAACTTATTTATTACATACAGAAAGATTAGCCATCACCTTATCAAATTATGAATGTCACTGAATATCCACCAAATACCTAATGAAATCAACTTTTCCCGTTATTTGATTCTAGGAACTGAACTTTCTTTTCTTTGATAGATCCATTTCGATGAGTTTTTTCCAATTCTTTGACCAAGAGCTCCAACTCCTCATGTAGAATTTTAGTGTATAAATCAGCATCATCCATACTTCTGAATGCCTCATCGTACAGAAAGACACTTATGTCCACTTGGTCGCCTCGAGTGAGAGGGGTCAAAATGGCTCCTTAATAAAAATGTTGTTATCAATGAGATTTGACAAGCAACTTCTTTGTGAGATTCAAATAATATTAATTTTTAGTTCTTGCCTCTGTAACCCATGTTTCCCTCTACGTGAACCAAGAAATACAGGTTTGTCACCCTAGCTCCGAGAATATTGTACTCCAACGGTGAAAATATGAAGGGATTAAATGTAGTTGCATATGCATTTTCGTCAATTTTAACCTTATCAACAAGAAAATTTGGGATGAAGAAATCCAGAAACATGTTTTTCATTAACATTATAGCTGATGAAAACTCCGACTTTTCAAAATCCTCTACTCGATCATGAATCGTCTGCAATTGTTTTAGTCGGCTACTTTCTCTCAATGGAATACCAATGGTGCACAGAGATCTATAATAAAAAATTGAATTATTAATTAATTAATCTTGTTCATGTTGGTAAATTGATCTCTGCGTAGATTCTTACACATGGGTGCAGAAATTCCCCTGGTCTGCGGGGTGATTGGGTGCAGGTAATGGGCAAGAAAGTGGACCATCACTTCGAGCATAGTCGCCATCCCATTTTCCCAATTTGATCAACGTCTTCCTTATCGTGCTCGCATGGAGGGACATCAGAATTGGAGAAATTCTGCACCCAGTTTGTTTCCATATTTGCCTCAGTTTCCTAAAGTCCAACGTAGTTTTGGACCATACTGGTTTCAATGGAGGGTGTACGGATCGCTTGTCTTCGACCGGGTGATATGGGTGAATATTCATATTTAATGTTTTCATATGCTTCATGTAATTCCAAACGAGGACGGGGAGTTTGGCGAAAATTTTTGTCTACAACGATAAAAAAATTTCAATATATTTTAAAAAAATTTCCAAAATTATGCATGTTCACCTTGTACAATAGTCCACGTGGCTTTGCAGAGTCTGGAATCCGGTACGTGGGTTTGTTGTTGGTGAGGATGCCTACAAGATTTCGAACAGAGTACGCGTCGACAAGGCCGTGGCTCATTTTTAAGATCATTGTGCTCCTCCCCTTCTGAGTGTGGTGAAGCAGCACAATTTCCCATTTTGGAACTGGGCCTTGTAAATTGGACTTGTCGTTTGCGATCCGATTAATGGCTTCGTTTTCAGTTTCTGTACCAGTGTCCTCATCGTATTCTTCCTCTCGAATGTGACGATTTAGGTCAAGTGGCACTCGCATCCTGAACTTGTAGCCCAGCACAGTAGCAAAGGTGGAGTGGAAAACTGGAAACTGAATTAATAAATAAATACATCAGCGAAATCTCTCATTTTTATTCAAGAAATACAATATCCTTGAACGTCCATTATATTACGACTGTAAACATTTATCTAACAACCTTAGAGTCCTTTCCATCCTTAATGAATGTGTCGTCAAAGTGAGCCCGAAGTTTGACCAGGTTGATTAGCTCATCACTGACAAAGGCATAGGCTATCATACAAACAAAGTCATTGTCATTTGTGACAAACGTGGCATCCATAAAACCCAAGGAATCAAACAAACGTGTCCCATCTTTGTATTTGAGTTTTATGTAGAGCAAGACAAAACTTTTCCAGCACGCTAAAAATATTACACTAAACGCCACAAAAGGAAATACTAGGAGCCAAATTATAATTCCAGCAGTTATTTGTTTGAATTCCTGAAAACATTGTTGCAGCATTATGCCAATATTTTTATCAAATAAATATGACACTATTTTAAATAAAATTGACTTTAAGGAAATGAAAATGTTTAGCTGGTGAGTATGCTGGATGAACATACTAATATTGGCGATGAAATGACGCACGTTTTATTCTGAAAATCACTTATGAGCCAGAAAAGCGTATCCATTTCTTGGTCTAGAATTAGCGTAATAATATTTTAAAACCTCATCATTACGCATTAGAGAGGCATTGTCATTAACTTGAAGAAAACTGCGAAGGTCATGAATTTATTTTTGGTTCGGGCAATTTTGCCGAAACTGATTCACAGAGTAAAATCGACATATATATTAAGGATGTGCATTCTTTGACATATCCTTAATAAGGATGCACTTATGCAAGTACATATAAAACTACACATGCTTTTAAGGCATCACTTCATTATAAACTATGGAAAGATACATATGAACAAGCAGTTTTGCTAAATTTAATTTAAGATTTACTATGAAAATGTGTTACTAAATTCATTGGAGTTGTTCCGTTGTACCTCGACCCATTGCAATTATTAGTAATAAGCATCAGTAGCAATTGTTGTGATATTGGGGAATACCATGATATTGCACAGTTATCCTAATCATTAAACTAACTGCCATTTAAGTTCGGAACTATTCGGTTTAATACCGCGTTTAATTCTATCATGAAGGAACAAATAATCATTTGAATAATGTGCCACCAAACGCCTATAATTGTGTATGTATCTACAAATCTACCCTAGAAACAATAGCAGAGAAATCAAAACAAAAAACTCTCATTTTAATGATTATGAGCCATAATTAGTGCATTCATATTGTGGAATTAGTGCATTCATCGTGCATTAAACAGTTTTTGACAAGACATTTTTTGCAGCAGAATTATTTAATTAGGTATTTCAACCTTCTTATTCACTCAAAATTCATTTCTGGCAAGGCAGTGAAGTATGTAATAATAATTTAATGGCACAAAAATCCAGAATACTTTATGACTGATATGCACGATTGTTTGAATTTTAGTATCTAATTTTGTAAGTAACGCTTGGGAGAATAGAATTTATAGAATCATAAAGTATCAAGTAATCTTGACTGATATGAATAAAATCTTTTGACCCCGTCCATTTTTACATGTTGGACGGATCTAGAGTTAGATATGATTCTATTTATGCATTCATCTTAAGTTTATATGCATCATTATCCATTCCCACATATCTTCTATATTATAAGCTGGAAATGTCTGTCCACAACGGAAGTGAAAGTAGGTGAAAGTTCATTTGCAACTACGACCACATTCCATGGCATCTCTTTTCACTTCAGACATCTCAATTTTAGATTTTGAATGTTGAACACGAATATGATAACCGTTTCGACCTATGACAACCAACCCAGTGACCGTGTGGGTTAGGTCAAGGTCAAAAACATAGGACAAACGCTCGCCCAGCGGGAGACAGGCTTATACGCTACATTTTACATAACTCGGCAACAAAGTGTCGTTGAATCTACTATAAATTCAAGAATTTTCCATTCAAGGTTTTCCATTATAGTGCGAAAAGACTTGTGACCTACTTGTAGTTTTATATATTCCAATGTAATTAACACATATTTCACTAATTGCAATATTTACAATAATCAATGTATGTAGTTCAAGTCTTTATGCGAAGATTTAGAAATTTAAAAAACACTGTTGCCCTCTTACCCACGACTACATCATATCTTCCATTGACCAGTAAATTTCGGCTTTCTTTTTAATAGTTCATAAGAAGAAGGGAAACGGTTTGTATTAAGCAAAAATTTTGTGTAATCAGCGGTGTCTCCGTGTCAATAAAATTTGACGAAAATCGTGCCTTGAGGGTCTGCATTGAGTTTAACTTTCGTTGATAATAATTTCTGGGTTGTCCGATAAAACTGTTTCTTCGCCACTTCCACAACTGCTCTTGTGATTTTATTCGCATCAATGAAGCCACCATTTGAATGACAAAAAGCCCAGAAAAAGCTGTTAGAAATGCCATTGGAAAAACTAGAAAGCCTGGAAATGGAATTTCTCCATGAAATTTAATGATTGCAAAAAATGCCACAATTTCTACTACAGGACCGATGCAAATGGCAGATGAGAGGATTCGAATTCGACCAAAGTCATTTAATAACTTCTCCATCACTTGCAGTTTCTGGTAGCTTGAAATACTGACGAAGACATTGTCCTCAATGTTCTCCAAATATCGGAGAATGCATTGAATGGTTACGAGATAGATGAAGAAGTAGTAAATCAAGCCACAGTGCATTATTGTGTTGTTGTGGTGAAAGTCGACCAGAAGCAGGAATACTCTTCCATTGGTCCAACCGTTCTGCTCAGACACGCCGCAATTTCTACAATCCAGGACGATTGATCCAAGAAATGGGGGAGCACATGAATCCACCATTAGTCGAACTGTGTTCACGGCAGGAAATGTAGCTGAGACCGCAGTGATTGTTATCAGTAGCTGCTTAATGAGCAAATCCAATTTGCCAGCTTTCCATTCTTTCTGTTGATCTAATGCATGTATGCAAATAAAAAATTGTACATAAGGATCTTAGATTAATTAAGTAAGCACACTGTTCTAATTTGGGCTTATTAGAGAAAATATGAAATCATTTCTGTGTCTACATAATTAATTATTAACTAACTTGACCCTATTTGCAAAAAAATATGGTAATAATTTTACACAGAGTTTGAGGCCAAAATGCCACGCCCATACAATCGACCATTCTCAAGCCTTCACTCACTACTACAAGTTCTTCGATGTTTTCGGCTAGAAAAATGACATATTACAAATTTCAGGATGAAATTAAACAATGCGCTTACTTAATCCGTAATTAACGTAAGCGTGTAGCCTTACTTTTCATGAAATCGTCGTCCAACTTTAAAAGCGCATTAAAAACCGGGGTGACTTTTGCATTGGGCTCCCAGCTCGTGCTCCACAATAGAAGGACGAGGTCTGCAGCAATTATAACGACGCCCTCCATGGCCTTACCGCTACAGCCGTCGATCTGAAGACGACACACTGGATGAACATCACGCAGAGATAAACCCATTGCGAAAAGTGCAAAAGTCGTCGATACCAACGAGTGAATAATGATTCGGAAACCAAAAGTAGGTTGTTGGCATCGTCAAACTCAAATGGGAAGCAGCTTAAGATTTTAAGAATTTTGAGTTGGAACTTTATAAGCGAAAGGTAAATTTTCAATGCCATCTTTCCGACTTTTAAGAATTGAAATAGACTCTGGACTTGGTATATAAAGTCATTCACATGTATACAAAAAATCTGTAATTTCGTCAGTAGTATGAATTTGAGTATAATTGTAAAATAAATATACATTGATTGATGTTGAACCCTTACGTATCCTTAATTGGCAGACAGGATTGTTTGCTGAAACAATTTTCTGGGGACCACATGCCCCGTTATAACACAAACAGTAAATATTGGGAATATACTTTTTCGCAATGTTGCATGGAGAAACTTTGTTTTTAAAAGGCTAAAAGTGGACGTTATTTGTTTAATAAATTGCAGCCATTTCGCTTTCTGTGCTTAATAGTTGTCAATTGGAATATGTATGTCTGAATTTCGCTACTGTCTGTTTTTTTTGCAAATATGCAATGTTTTTGAAAATTTCGAAAATTCACATGGCGGCATTTAAAATACATGTACATTATTAGGAACCAAAAACAGAAGTGTTTCCAAGTCTGGTTCTGAAGATATTCGGAAAAGGATATTGACTCTTGTTTGTGGTGTTCCATAAAAACGAGTCAATTAATCGTAGATATTTGCATATGTACGCATAAGTGTACTGACCTACATTCATATGTACCATATTATACAAAGCGAATTATAAACCAATCTAAAATAAATAATATTTATTATGAACGTTTAGAAATTTGTCATTTGTTTCGGTTTGTCTTGTGAAGTTCCGTTTATGGGGGGGGGGGGGTTCACTGCATTGATGGTGGTGGTGAGGCAGATGAGACGATCGTCGTCGTTGTTGTACATGGAAATAAATTGCGTCTTGGAGGCAAGGTGAGATTTGGTGAGACAAAGTCAGGACAGGTTTTATTGCACGTATCAAGATACAGGCAGTCGACTCCCTGTCGATGGTCACTCTTGTTCTTACTTATATACCATACGTATACCTATTTAGTCTACTTATATGTCTAACCGGTTATTGGGTGGTAAGAGTTGTAAGAATTATAAGAGTTGCCTTTTTGACATAGTGATCATTGATCACTAACACAACTACGAAAAGGAGATAGTGAGAGTTGCAGATCTAAAGAACCAGTTTTTCAATAAGGATTTGGCAAAGATCACCTCTTCACAGTCTTATCGATCTTATGTGTGTACAGAGGATCGATTATCACTCAATGTGGGCAGTAAAGATTATTTGAGTTGATAAGACCGAAATGTTGATATTACATATGTACAAATATTGCAGGTTGTGTTGGTGCAATATTGCAGTTCTCTTTTGTATTGTGTTGCTGAATTGTGCTGCGTATTAGCAATTAGCAAACATTATGGATAGGAATCAAACTCCCAATAAAAATAGAAATCAACAACAATCTTCTGAAAATTCAGATGGACCAGGTGAATCCATTTTAATTTTAAACATACGTATTCGAACTTCATCTTGGTTAGTGAGAGATTCTGTTAATTGATTCTGATTCTGCTTAAAATAGGCTGGGGAACAATATTCGGTGGCATTGGGCTTGCGTTGGGTGCCGCTGCTGCTGCGGGGGCAGTCCTGATTAGTCGCCACTCGGAAGAATCGTCATCTTCATCGTCATCTCGTGTTACCAGAACGACGTCGTCCTCCGATCAGCCTAATCAAATAAGGACAGAATTCCAGAGCACTTCCTTCCACTCGAGAACTGTCCACAACCCGATGCCATCGAGTCCTGAGAAACCTGAGGGGAATTGTCTCATTCTTGCAGTTGACGCCAGCCCTGTAAGAGGTGGTGCCATTCTTCGGATGTGCAGTGCCAGCCGAAAACTAATCTACTTTTACTCGGTTGACTGGTCCAGATATTTAAACTTTCCACATGAGTCAGACAAATTTGAAATGGTTAACGCACTTCTCGCTTTGCTTTCTTTGAAACAACAAATTAATTCTTTGAAGACGGAATGTTGGCAAGAACTTGTTTTGAAGACGGACAATAATTTCATCAACACGACAAGATATGTTGACCCTGAAGATGACCGTCTATTGCGACGATTTAAGGCTGAGATATCTGAGCTAAATGTTACCCTAGAGCATGCAAGGCAGAGATATGACTTTGATATGAAGAATTCCAATCAGTTATCAAAAAGTGGAGCTAGCGAATGGGTTCGGCACAACTTACAAGAAGATTACAATGAATACACAGTGATCGATATGTCAGATGAGGCTGAGAGTTATTTAGGAAGAAATCTAAATATGGTCCCCACCAGGTATCACGTCTCTCGTTGATTTCATAACGAAATCGGAATTATCATGAGTTTTTTTAACTGCTTGTATGGTTAAAACAGATTAATTTTACAAGCATGCGTCTGGAGTATTTATGTAAATAGAGCATTATTGGTTTTAAGGAATTCAAAAAATTGGTAAATAAATGCAAATATGAAGGCTAAACCTTTTATGTACCCTTAAAATGTATTAAGACCTTGAGTTATGAAAAGATTTATTCTGAAATTTTTGAAAAAAATATCTTTGTAAATATATGTAAATGCTCTGTTGGATTACTAAATCGTTAATGTATTATCACATTTGGTAAGAATGCATAAATTTCTGTGTTACGTTTTTTAAAAAAAAACTTTATCTGTACTTTATTTGTACATGTAATTTAGTGAAAATATACCATCATATAAAACGTTCTCTGCAAGCACAACCTAATAACCAGGGCCGTCCTATCACGCTTAATAATCAGAAATGAATTCAGTGGAACTGAAATAACTCGACACGACTTTGCTGCATATCGTAGCCACACAATCCGTTTTGCATGAACTAGTTCCGCCTTTCTCCAACACGACTGCAGTCCCATTGACCTTTGTCGAACTTTCGCTGCTGTTTCCAGGACCATGATGAGGATGGAGACGTAGGTGATGAGTAACATTGGAAACACTGCGTATGCCGGCATTCCTAACGTCGAATAGAATTTTAAGGTTCCAAAAAGCGAGAGAGTCGTGCCGACGATGTTGATCGCGATTCCTCCAGGAAGCAGGGCATAGCATATCGTGTTTTTGAATAAGGTAGCTAAAACCTGTACTTGACGATAAATGAAAATTTGGTCGAAAAGTGCAAGGTCAAAACTGCAGGCTGTCCTGGGTCTGGGCGTAAATCTAAAAAAACTCCAGTTTATAAAATTTCGCAAAACATTATCAAGTTATACATAATACATATTTATATTTCCCATAAATCGAACTTAACCTGATAACTTTAATGTAGCACAATAAACACTGCAGCTCTAAGATTATTGTGAGGCCAAAGAAGAAAACGCATCCAAATAGTTGGGTAAACATCCAAATTTCGAAAATGAAAAACGGAAACTTCTTTAGCCCTGTGGAATTTTTATCCACAAAAAGTGATCCCACAAAGGCCGGATTTGCAGGCATGAACCAAAAGAACATGGGGAAAATTATAGGAGATAGCACTTGACCTAAGAGCATGACTGCTGCCACAACGGCTGGAGTGTCTGTCATGCGTTGCCGATAAAAATCATTTTCTGGATGGAATTCATAAATACTTAAATTCGTAACTTTGAAATGACGAAAGGCTGAAAAGTAAGCTACTAAAATACAATTTACCTTTCAATTTGTCTTCGAAAGTGATGAAACTATTCACCATGTTTCTTACACTCGTACATTTTACAACCATTGTGTGCCTGCAGTGAAGTGCAACTCCGTATATCACTATCCAAAATATGTGAATAAGCTTGGCTGGGATCGACGTTTTTCGCGACGTTTGAAAGAATCGGGCAACAATGAAAATTGCATACGATATCAAAATGTAGGTCGAGCAATTAAAAATTGACTTCCGCAAAGGACTCGTGTGTTTCAAAGCGTGTGTCCGGGTATTCCAAGAATAAGGGATGTTCCCAAAAAAAGATGCCATTTTCACAATCATGGCCAAATACGGGAGACAATTTCCAGTAAACATGACGCCCAAGTAGTTTGAAGGATATGCGTAGTTGCGAGAGTCAGCTTGACATGAACACAGCTTATAATTTAGCCTTTGGGCGAGTGTATGCCATTTTTGGTGTTTATTAAAAAGTAATTCGTCCGCGTGTGGAGCGACCTTTATCCACTATAACATTTGACATGGTTTGTCGATTTCGGGAAATAGCTTCACTAAATCATAAAAACTAGGATTGTGATAATAAACTAATTAGAAAACCCTATTGATTGACATGATCCATTACCGCAAAACAGAGTGCCATGACTAATATCATATTTTAGGATTTTTTGCCGGTGATGATAAGGTACGTTAATACTAAGATGCTTCTGTCGTACCCAATATATTTTCAAAGCGAATCCCAGTATATTTATTCATACGAATGTATTTATGAACCATGTAATTTTGTCTGAATACCTGACTACTTCTAAATGTCAGAGTACATAAATATTTATCCAGGCTTGTGTTTTTTCATGCAGTTTGGCATGAACGTATCGTAACTGTACTTTTGCTGTCGGGCTTAATTAATATCTGTTAATAATGATGGAACGAAATGGGAGGTTTTGATTCATCACTAATTGATTGGTGTCCATTGATAAGCACACAAATGGGAGGAATTACGTATAGTCATCTTTTAGCGAAGAAGTAAGAAAATACTTTTAGTACGAAGGGTACAGGTTTTCAGAATGGAAAAGGAAGTGCTATTTAGGGTAATAAATAACGTATTATATTTGCTACAGAATACATCATGCATACAAATAAAACTCATATTTTTATATCACTGTTGTATTCGTTTATGAATGTAAGTCATTGCGTTTAGTTTGATTGAAAAGCGCATTTGGAGATTATTTACATACGTTAATATCAATGAGCTTGAACGGGATATCTTTGTCCAAGCTACATATAATAATATTTAAACAAATTAGCATTTAATTGCATTACATTCTTGAGTTACTGGGGAAAATTGGAAACCAGAGTAAATGCCTACTTTTCAACTAGGGGCATTATTCTGATCTACGTAATTTAATTATTTGTCTTACAAAATACGAATATTATTCGTAATCTTCGTTAAAGCCATGTTTCGAGCCACTATTCAATCAATAAATCCATAAATTTATTAAATATTCAGAATTTTTCTCGCTTATTTTGGTGGCTACTGGCTGTTGTTATATAGCTCTATGATTTTGGTGGTGGGTTTATAAATTAACCGTCGTCTGAAATTGTTACCGAGGACGATTTCACTCCTCAGGAATCTCAAAGTAGTCTTTCGTCCTTTCCGAGACTTGCATGCTTACTTTTATTATGCATTCTAGGTTACTATCTACAACATCCTTGCGAAGAAAGAGGTTGGGAAATATTGCAGTTTATATGAGTGTAAGTCAAAACAGGTCCAAGAGATCGAGAAGAAACTCAGCAATTTGTACGTTTGATATGTTCTATGTCTATGCAAAATTTTCCAACTGAAAGCTCGAAAGTTTGAAAATCACAAGCATAATACAAAAATAACTCAAAGTTGCAAAAAAATCAGCTAATGCAAACAAGTTTATCTCCCAATTGAGACTAGTTTTCTACAACCTAGTAAAGCAACCTAGCAATTCGACAACCGATACATATACATATTTATATGCATATACCAGCCCTGTCCAGTTACACATGTACATGCACATAAAACGAAAAACGATACTTGTCGTACTTGTTGCATGCCATTTTTAAGCAACTTATCGCGTATACACGCATGCAGAATTCTCTTTAGTAACAACATACAACGACAAAAGAGCGAGGTTGCTTCGTAATATCAACGCTATGAGGTTATTTTTTTGCATTGTTTCTTTGTGCCGGACTGGGCCCACTATACATTCTGCTTTGTCCGTAAATAGTAGAAAAAACTTGTTTGACTGGAAATTAGGGTGAAATACTGACTGAGGAGGTGTAAAACTTGGCATTTTGTTTAGTATAAAACTTGTCCTGAACAAATTACGTAGGGTCCAGCGTAGTAACAACAACTTTTTGCTTGTTTTGTTTGTCTAATTTTTTTGAAAAATGCATCCATGTTGTGGGAACGACCTACAGCGAGGAACGAAGATAATCGGAATTGTAGAAATCGTATGTTGTTAAATAAAAGCAGTTAATAATAAATCAGAATATTTGTAATTTAAAACAATTGTTTACTATTAATTTGTAGGTTTGGTATGCTCTACAACTCTTCTTCGTTGTAATCGCTTTGGTCTTCATGGTTGTTTTGGGGGTATTTGCTGTGAACGAGTCCAATAAACAGGGTGAAAATACAAATGACGAAAATGACAAACCTCCGGTGGCAGTCCTGGTAGCTGGACTCGCAGGTAAATATCTTACAGTCGTTTCTTTAATACCTAAATAGTGTGAGAGACTTGTATGCAATGTAAAAGAATATCTATATGACTTTCTTCAAAATTGCAGTGCTAGGGATTGTTATGCTAATCTCTTGTCTCACCATCACAATTTCTATCATTTTTGGAGTAATTCTGCTCAAGGGATCTAACCAGGTTAGAACTATTTTATTTTAAAATGAGTATAAGTAAGCGCACGAATTTTCAGACTGAACTATTTTTCGACACAGAGAGAAATTGGAAAATGCAAAGCCTGGATGATCTTCCGATGTGTCATGTGGGTCCTGTCCCTACTTTCGCTTTTGGCCGGTTTTGTTCCTGGCTTGTGGGAAGTGCTAGTGAGTCCGTACTTTATTTGGGTCACCTACACTTTCATCCAGGAACTGAAGAACGAATCGCCACGAAGCGAGGGTGTCGTTTACCATCAGGCCCAAAAGGTCTGAGTTTCTAATTTTATACGCTCCTTGCAGGGTGACCACTTTAATAAGCTGAACCTCTTTTTAAATAATCGGAAATATGATTGGATAGTATGAACACTTTATGTTCTCTAAGCAGTATTCGTACTTATTATCTTCTTTGTTACTCTTATTAGTAGGATGGCATTTATAAATATCTACATGTAATGAATTTGAGAACGTTAAATCCTCGATTTGAATGATTTGTATGCTTATATAATGTGTATATATATCATGAGCAATATTGCCTTTGACAATAAAAATTAAATGCCACCAAAAAGGAAAGTTCTTTCTTTCATATTGTTTTCCACGATTGTTTTGTGTCATAAATGGTAAATTAAAAAAAATATTTAAATGCTTAACTTATTAAAACACTAATAACGTAGAATGTAAAACAGAATAAATGCGTACAACTGGGAAGTGCTACAACGTAAGTAGGGCAGGTTGATTAAACAATGTCGACGAAAACAATGACAACCAAAATTTTCAATTCAAGGCGACATTTATCATTATATTCCACCCTTGCACTTTCGTGGAAGTTATTACTGTGCATATTGAACTTACTTAAGCACTTTAATTTGGTGTACTTAATAATTTCGTCGGGAAGAAATGTCGCGTTCACTTGTCTTAGTACTCGTTGTCGTTATCGTTTTCATCGAAGCCAATGGACAGGTGAGTTTAATTGCCTCATTACATCCAATTTGTTGTCAATTTATCATGTGTCTTATCCGTCATCAATATATGTATGATTTCCTCTTATGATCTAAAAATTACAATGGAAATTCTCACGTAAAAATTATGCCACTAATTTTTATAATTTGTGCAGAGTAATTCTCGACCTAAACGTGACCGTGACGAGGCGGGCTTTGCTGGACAATTGTGCGTATTTTTAAAATAATTTTAAAAATGATTAACGTGTTTCTTTAGGCTAAATGTATATCATTTTAAGATGCGTGTTGGCGTGCAACCAAAAAACATGTGGCAAATTCCAAGGGCAGGTGGCCAGTTTGAACGGAAAAGCGCTGATTGACCGCTGCCTTACTGTCTGTACTCAGGCCCTCATTGAAAGTGAAAGGAGCCGAAAGCGACTTACAAATTTATGTTGATCCATCCTTCCAACAAACACGCTCAGAAACTGCTGTGTTTCATGCTCAAAAATTTATATCAAAATTGATACAATAAACTCGGCACATGTTTTCAAATTAACGAGCATGTCGCCAAAGGAAATCAGTCGGTACATATTTGTCGTTGGAAGATGTATGTAAATCATTAGTATGCATAACTATTAATCAAGGTTGGAAGATACACCGTTCCGTCGCTCGACTATATTTAGGAATGTGGCAGGCTAATAAATTAGTACTATTTTTACTTGTTATTCATGGTTGATGCCATCCGTAATCGGTGGCGATGGTTCGAAATCGATAAGATCGGAAATCATGAAAACTCGTTTTAGGCTCATAGTCAGAAACAAACGAAGGACTTTAGACGGGTGTCTCACCCGAGAGAGCGGGAGAGCCACCGGTTCGATTTCTCAACGAGTCCATATTTCCCTTCGCCTGTTTTAATGCACACGTTTTGTAAATACTCAGTCATCTCCCTTCCACCCTTCATTCATCATCGTCTCCTCCCTAATTTTCGTTTTTGCGAATATTGGCTCCTTGTGGGAGACGTCGGTGGGGGACCGGTGACGGATAACGTTACTTTTTTTGCGTGGAATTAAAATCAACAGAGACGAGGAGGACGAGTTAAAGACTGAAAATAAAACGTTAATTTGCTCTCCGACCTCCCTGTACTTATCGCTATTGAGGAGGAAAGATGAGTGGGGGTGAACTTCTTATTCGGTTGGGGGCTTCCCCAGACCACCTCCAACATTTATGGTGCTGCGGAATGAAGTCGCCAGTCAGCTCGCATATTCGAACGTTTGGTGACCAGAAGTGGCAACGTTTTGCCCTACTATACAATGTTGAGGGAGAAAAGGTGAGGTTGAAAATAATTAATAATAATAATTGTAATAACTTTGTAGAGTGGTTGATTTTAAAAAATAGTCATGGTCATCGTTCTAACGTGTTATCTTTCTTGTGTTTCCACAACAGTACACTATTGGCCAACGCTTCGAGGATAGAGAAACCCAAGGCGAATATCTATTTTGTTACTGCGACAGAGTGTCAAAGTCATCGCATTGTCAGATTACTTGTGAAGGTGGTGATTTTTTTGTACAGAATTTGCAGGTGAGTCATCTGATTGATAGTGATGTGCTAAGCAAATTTACTTTTTATATTACCATTTTGTATGTAACGTAATTTTGTAATTATAAGGGCCGTCAAGGTCAAGGGACATTCATTAATGGAGAGCAAGTTATTGGAAAGGTGCAACTAAAGTTTGGTGATATCCTTTCCCTTGGAGTCAAAGGCTTAGCGGATCCTGCTCAAGTTGATTTATCAAAGAAAGGAAAAAAGAAGGAGGATAAAACAGCAGTGTTTTGGTTTCAGGTACTCAAAAATAATTCATTTTAATTACTTATGTATAATTATACTGTGTGTGTTTGTAGTTGATGTAATATGTATATATGACTAACACAGGAACCCCTGCAGCTCGAATCGATGTACACTAGTTCCAACTCGAATGGAGATATACACAAAGACGGGTGTTTTTCTGGAACTTTGGTGAATATGGTGATGGAAAACAATTTCAGAGTCCAAAAAGCGAAAAAGGAACAGAAAAAGGGACAAAAGTCGTCTGACACTAAAAAGAAACCCAAACGAGGTGATGGCAATGAACAACGAGGACAAATTTGTGATTTTACACCTGGTCGCAACACTTTGGTATTATATAATAAATATACAATAATATTGTCATTCTTTTTAGTATTAATTGCTAAGACATGTTAATCTAACATTTGTAGGTGTTGTATGAAATCCTGAAGCATTTACCTCTCGACGATATTAAAACTTGCCGCTTGGTGTGCTCAACCTGGAATGATGAAGCTACCAAGTTATTAATGAAACGATCTGTCGCCCCTCTCGATCTGTCCCAAGGTTATATCTCCGTAGCTAGCAGGGTCAAGCTGTTTTCATACGTTCACGAAATGAAGGACGTTGTCTCGCAAGGAAGATTTTGTTTGGAACTTCCATCGTGTTCTGACTTTGGGCCAGAAGGCAAAGGAGGCAAAGGAGGACCTGGAGACAAGCTTTTGTCAGACATGACTTGGTTCTTCAAAGGTGGATTTCCTCATCCTGTCACAACGTTAGACCTCAGTGGATCCGTCCGTTGCAAAAAAGAGTGGGACATGTGGTCATCCATCTTAGAAAATGTTGGTCTCCATTTGGAGGAACTTTCAATTAAGTTGGAATTGGATCTGACGACTCAAGAATCACCTTCATCAAAACCATTCCAAGTTAATTTCCCAGTCTTGAAACAACTCGCACTTAAGCCCGCAGCAGTAGATAAGATATTTACGCAACAGGGATTCGAATTTATTGAAGTTGACAACGGTCTGAAAATGAAGGATTGGGTAGTTTCATTCGTCAATGCAAGTCCAAAACTTCAGTCACTCACGTTAGACTCGAGCGACTTGTACTCTGCTTTTACTACCTTAGTTCTTGAACAAGTCATTCAGGGTGGCTTTCCTCATTTGAACAGTCTCAAACTTTCCGATTATCCAGACTCTACACTCAAGGTTTTGCTTAAATTGCCTCGGCGGTTGGAGAAGTTAACGCTTAATTGTAATGGATATGAAGAAGAGACCGTAAAGGACTTGAGCCTGTTGGAGGAAGTCATCAAGAAATTTTCCCCCAGTCTGGAATATTTTAAGATTACCTTACCCGAAGTTGATGAAGAACGTGAAGAACTTTGGAAGAATAAAGGTGTGAAAATTCCAGAAGTCTTTCCAAGATTGAGAATATTTAAAGTTACTGGGGCTCCAGGTGAAGTCAGCGTCAACCTTATTTTCTCCGACGTTAGTGGATTGAATTATGAGAAACAGTTCCCTAATCTGGCATACTTGAGCGTTGACCCTTTCGAAGACCCAAGCTCGACTGGAAACGTTGGGAGCAAGGCATTTTTTGAAATGTTTTTCCCTGCTGAGACTGAACAAATTTGTAAATCCGTAGGAGCCTTGGATATTCCTTACTTAAAGGAGAGTGGGGGACTTTGTGAGTATGTGGGTAGAATAGCCACAATGTTCCCAAATGCTAAAAATAAGTATTTGGATAACGCCAGAATCAAAGAAGCCCAATCATCAGGGAAGGGACGCAAGCGAAAAGTTAGCGCAGTCCCCTCCACTCGAACGCTTCGCCCACGTAAAAGAGTCGCTGTTCCCAGAGAAAATGATGATTTCCGTGCCTTTCCATGTAACGTTGTGTGATTTGTAAGATTGTATTTTTCCTCAAAATTACTTTATCGAATTTTTTTTATTCGAAGTTGTCCTTGTACGTACTGTCTCAAAATATTTAAAGTGTCAATATAAATTGTAGAGTTTCTGATAATCATATAACTTGTTAATTAATGTCACAATTTAAATTCATGATTTCATAAACATTAACTAAATGTTGATAACAAAATTTGAAAGTCATACATAGTTGAATCAAAAACTTTGCATTTGTTAACCATATCAGTTTGTGTTTCGCTTGTTAACTTTACCATTTAACCTGAAAAGAAGAAGACTCCAAAGTTATAACTTTATCATAACCATATGAAAGTCATGTCATACATATATGATTTTAATTCCTGTTAAAAACATGTATTAATAAATATTGTTGGAATATTAGCAATGACTTAATCATATTCTACATACATATTATTCAATCCGCATGTATACATAACCACGTTCATAAATAAATTCCTAACAATAATTCAATCCCAAGTGGGTCCTGTGGGTCATATTTCGCTCATCTACATAAGGAGCAAAGATACTGTTTGCGTTATGCAAAAGTCCTGCGTGACCAGTGCAGTTCCCCGGTCGATGAAGTTGCTCCCAACCTTGATCCTGATGGGTTGAAATGATTTGATAACTCTACGGTTGATTTTGGAGATGTTCTTCTCCATCAGCCAATCACCTGACAATTTCTTGGATTTGATCCCCAGCTGTGCAGCAAATGTTTCAAACAGCATGCACGCCACGACGCAGACGGAAATGATGAAGGGGTAGGTGATATACCCCTCCGAAGTCAGAGATCGGGCGAGCTTGATGAGGACGAAGGTGCAGAATATTTGGACGATGGGGGCAACCACGAGGATGGCTGGAACCACGCGTTCAGAGCCAAATCTATTCTGTTCTTTTTCCAGCACTTGGAGACATCGGTAGAGCTTGATGCGGGTGGTGAGACCTATTCGCCTCCCAAAGGCGCTGCTCACACTCGTTTTCGTCATCCTAATAACATATTTCAAAAAATATCGAGAACATGAATATGTATATATAAAATATATGTATAAAATTAGTTAGATACTCAGCTAGAGATATGTAATGGAGGTCTCCCAGCATATACTCTCGGATTTTGACCAAATTTGTGCCAATTGACTACAAACTTAATTAATATGAAATTTTCAAAAGGCACTGTCTACCAATGCGCAAGTTTAGCGGAGATATTTGCATCCAAAAGGAGAAAACGTGCAGTAGATTTGGAAAGTATAAAGTTTGATTGTGAAGTTTATTACCCGTTTTCTCCTCTTCGAATGCAAATATCTCTGCGAAACCTGCGCATTAACTGAAAGCGTCCTTTGCAAATTTCATATTAATTAAATTTCTAATCGATTGACACAAGTTTGGTCAAAATCGGCGAGCATACGCTGGGAGACCCCATTGTAATAATTGTCTAAAAACATTGGAGACCTTTCAAGCAAATCCAGATAGTCCAGAACGCACCCATTGGCCAGCAGAGTGACATTGAATAAGAGAAAGAAAGACTTGAAGACTTTGACGGCAATGTGATACCCGTCAGCAAACATGACCAAGATTTTAATCAGTTTCCACGCCGGGCTCAAGTAAATCCCTTCTGTCACCAGCATGCCGCAACCTGTGCAGTATCCAAAAGCGAATCCCAAGTACGGTGGACTACAACAATTAGCATAAATACGCCGGATTCTTGTCAATGCGATAATTGGACACATTGTATTCGCAAAGATTAAAACTTTTCTCATGAACTTGTTCCTGCGACTCCTGTAAAATGCAGAGGACAGCTTTTAGAAGTGCATCTCTTAACGAATAAATAAATATGCAAAGCTGATGTACATATTTATGTACCTCACGTCTCCCTTCGATGTGAGAATATCCATAGTCTTGAACGTATCTTGAAGCCATTGTTCAAACTTTATTGTTGTATTCAATAATACGGCTGCCTTTTTTGCCAGACCGACCCCCATCCCCCACAAGTAGACGAGTAATGTGGCCAGCAACATCCGAATGCTCGGCAACAAGATGAGTGTACATCCAACTTTGGCCTGGCTAATAATTGTGCACACCATTGCCCCAAAATAAACAAGTTGTAGTACTTCAATCCCCCGAATGAGTATGATCTGAGCTCTTTTCTGGAGGACAGCAATTCCTCCAGAAACTGGATCCCACACGAGAGGGAAACATTTTAGGCGAGCCATGGAGCGGAGACTCCATTTTATGAAGAAAAAGTGGTCATGCAACATATTTTAGAAATGATTGCACATCCGTTAGTGCAGATATGCTAATGCAAATGAGAAAAACTATCTGCCGTCGAGACCATTCAGCTGAAAAGGAGTGGTCAACGCGGACTAGAATTTAATTGGGTGTAAATACTTAATTCATTATAAACTCAAGTTTACAGTTAGTTATGACACTAGTTTTAGTTTAATGAATATTGAAAAATTAACCACGACCTTTAATCTTTTACCATGTGGGCATTCCATTCTGTCCAGCCCTTGATTCCCAATTTTGCCTGCAAGTAGAATGACACACCAAAAAGACGACTTTGATCAATAAGCAATGGGAGATTGGCATAACATGAACGGACCTCATGTGGAAGTCCTAATTCTTATGGGCGTCCTGACTTATTGAGTCGGACCATCGAAATTGTTATATGTAAAATCGCCTTATGTAAAGCTTCTCATGTTAAATTTAAACTATGTACATATAAAAGTACTAAATTGCCAATTTTCTATCGCTTTTGAAGTACCAAATGTCATATGCACAGGTGTGATTTAATTATTAAGGAGACTAGTTCATTTTCCTCACTTTCATCTTTGCCTGAAGTAGTGGCTCTGTAAGTCTTGAAGAGAAAGTGCATACTTCGATCTAACGATAAGCTGTAAACTTTCCATAATGCTTGCAAATTAATTAACTATAGATGTACCGAACTATTTAATTGCGGGGTTATTTTTGAACCACCATTAAAAATCATTTTTTCCTTATCTAGCATCTATATCCATATAGGAGAATTTACGATGAATATTTAAGAATACACAGACTAGAGTTTCTCAAAGCTTAAAGATCTATTTAATTGCATATTATGTAGCATTTTACGGAAAACGGAAGACACGGAAAAGTCTCTACTGTTTTATACTCCACTTGTGAACAATTTAACTGGATTCTTTACGCTGCATAGTCTCATTCTGAAAAGATAAGATCGTACATACGTATGTAGATTAGACTGTTTTTGTAAAAAGATACACCGGAAGTTATTCTCCGCGTAGAAAGTATTTATTTATGTAATATACCTTTTCAGAGCAGCAAATCGCTGGCAGCAACTCCGAACTGAAATGTAGAACATGCATTGAATTGTATTTAATGAGCAGACATACATATCGTCGGACTAACTCTAAAACCACGTAAGTGCATTCCCTTCTTAATTCGAAATCCACCTATGTGCAGTCAGTAGTTAATTCTAAATCCACCTAAGTGCAGTCAATAGTTAATTCTAAATCCACCTAAGTGCACAAGAAAAACGGGGAAAAAGACCTAACTGCAATTCCAAAATTATAGAGTTTATTAATTATGCAAATAATACTATGAGCTGTAATATGAAAGTTTTTGGCAGATGAGGCTAGTAATGCGAAAACGTTCGAAATTTAAAAACCACAGGTTCAGGGGGTGTGGTGCTTGCGCCTAAATTAAGCTTAATATAGACTATCTAGCGTGTAATATGTCTTTTTTCAACCAAAAGAACCCCAATGAAATATTCGAAATTTAAAACCACACACTCAATGGGTGTGGTTCTTGGCCGCTAAATTAAGTTTCATAAATTCATGGCATAGCATATTTAATTGTACTGACAAAGTATAAATCGGATTAGAAACATCCGTAAAATTAAATAGCATGTTTCTGGGCACACCCCCTAAAGATTTTGTTCCACAGTTTTTAATATCCTGAACCGTTCAGCTAATTCAGATAGAAAAAAGATAGATTATATGGTTGATAGTCTTTATTAAGCTTAATTTAGGCGCCGAGAACCACACCCCCTGAGGGAGTGAATTTTTAATTTATCCCGTTGTTAGAATTTCCTTATGAGACAGAAAAAAGATAGGTTACCAGCCAGGTCTTTTTTAAGTTTAAAATAGGCGCAAGAACCACACCCCCTGAACCTGTGGTTTTTAAATTTCGAACGTTTTCGCATCACTAGCCTCATCTGGCAAAAACTTTCATATTACAGCTCATAGTATTATTTGCATAATTAATAAACTCTGTATAATTTTGGAATTGCAGTTAGGTCTTTTTCCCCATTTTTCTTGTGCACTTAGGTGGATTTAGAATTAACTATTGACTGCACATAGGTGGATTTCGAATTAAGAAGGGAATGCACTTACGTGGTTTTAGAGTTAGTCCGACGATATGTATATGTACCTATATGTAGATAGGTTTGCGTTTACGTTTTTGACTTTAATACGTAATTATGTCCCCATAAATTAACCCTGGTCGAAAATATACGAAGTCATATATACTTCAGTTTGTTAAAGCCAATTAAAATACTGTGTAAACATATAATGATTGACGGATGCAAATATTGCTTGTTGCGTGAACTTTAATAGATTGTCATCGTAGGGAATTACTAGTGTGTATAAACACTGCACGTCGTATCAATTTTGGTCTGTTTGATTATACGTCAACACATGTACATCTCACATGCCAATGTCAAAGTTATTCAAGACGTATAGCTGGAAAGACAAAGAGTGACATTGGTATCTCCAAGTTGACTTCTAGGAAACGCAAAGAGGTATTTAATTCTTCATTTGCGTGTCCTCATGTGGCTTATGTTTGATCTTTTATGGCTTTGCATAAATATACTGTTTACAGTTCTACACATAATCGGCAGACAGAATACAGCATAGGTATCCAGACACACATTTTATAATGAGCTTTTCTTTCAGTAAAAAATACGTGCCATTTTCGGGTCGTGTAACGTAAGTACCTTGATCAACGGCGCATATTTACTTGAACAGGCAGCTTGTCATAGTTTTGTTCAGCCCGTACAATATTTGTTCTTTTTACGTTAAGTTTTATAACTGAAATGGGCCATGAAATTAGTCTCAACCGCAAACATTCCAGCGTATTTGCTCCACGCGTACTTTTCTAACTAGGGTTCTAGCTCACCTGCTTATTGTTTGTAAGAAAAAGTTACCAAAATTCACCTCCGGCAATCCAATCATTTTTTCAGAACTGAATTTTTTTCTTTCACTGAAAACCTTGGAGTTTCTTTCTTGGAAAGTCCATTGTTGTCTACGCGTTCCGGTTTGTGTCAACTCTCATTTAATATGAATGAAATGGAATGAATGAAACCCAATTTATTAAACCTGATTTTTTAGACAATGTTGCCTGTTATCATTGATTCTAGGATAAGACCTAATCATCTCCACCCCTCGCTACCATATTTTGTATGGGCATGCACGAATACATGTGTGTTATTTGGGGTTTCGACCTTCTGCTTAGTTCGTGCGTCGCCAAGACCCGCGGTGGATAACCCAGTCATGGGCGAGATACCGTCGGATACCGCTATGTGCGTAGTGTAGAAGGCACAGTCAAGTGGAAAATTGTACTGCGACCTTATATAACGCTCTTATTATTTCCACTAATAAATTCAACTTGCGTGTGTGCACTTTTTCTGACAAATTGAGTGGGTATACATTAATATTACACGAACATTGAACATGCGCGTGTAAATTTATGCATGCATATTCATATGATGCACATTTCATATCATATTGGCAAACTGTGGCATTAGAGGAATCCAAGCCATGCTTTGCAAGCCAACTTTTTAGTTTGGATTTTTGCACAATTTATTATTTAATAATCAAATGGAAGTGAAAATATTTTGTCTAAGCAACATGCCTGACGCTGACAGCATATTTAATTCTGTTCCGCATAGTGATTGAAATGAAAGAAGCTAAATATTTAGTGGAAAACGACGATACTTTTTACATCAGCCAGTAAACTTATTAGTGTGCATCGTTTGAGGTCATGCAAAAAATTCTACATATTCACGTAGCACGGGCCCATTGAGTGCTTTTGGGAAGAGGTTGAAGTTACCGGAAGTACGTGGAGTTGATCGTTTGATACTAGCGCAAAACAGGAACCACTTACTTGCAGAGTATGCAATATGAGGAGGCATGCTTGATCTTGACTTTCACCCGGAGGGTCATCAGCAGTGGCGAAATGTGAAAGTCTAAACTGATTTCCTAGGATCAATTTTCCAGAATTGGGTTACGGAGGAAAAACACATGTCTTGACAGTAGTGTGGAAGTCAGTGAGAACTCATCACATGGATCTATTTTTATAGGGTCAGAGCTGCATCATGTGCGTATGCTTTTTAACATCAGCGTGTTCAACATCTTCTGGGGACATGATGACAAGTGGGGATTTATTCACGACTAGGAAGCCTAGGATGACGTTATCTTTGTGATACTCCATCACAACGTGCAACTGCGTAAGACAGGAAATTGATGCAATGGTGCCGAAAGGGGCACGTTCCATTAGACTCAATATCACTCCAGGACACGAACAAACCAGTTTTCTTTTTTGTCCCAAAATATTGTTCCAATCGGGCAAATAAAATAACATGTACGGATGGAGGAACTTATTTGTTTAGAACACGAGGAGGAAGTCATCGCATTTGATAAATTATACAATTTCCAGAAATGAACACCCAAGCAGCCCTGTTGGAAATGGTGTAACAGCGATTTAGCCAAGCAAAGTTATGTAGTATTTCAAAGGGTACATAATTAATTACATAATTTCCTTCAAATTATAGTAAATAATTTTATTAGGAAATTGTTCATATTATTTTGTGCTTTACCCAGCAGAACATGACATGAATTCTAAACTCTGCTCTGCATTCATCACCGAGAAGTTTTGGGCCGACGCGAAAAACATTTCTCACAATCATCCAAACTTTATTGATTCAAACTGCAACGTCGGGTTTTGTGTTTCAAGCAAAAAGTTGCGGTAGGTGTGGATATTGCTTCGCTGCAAACAATTTTTCTTGTTTCTTTTGCTAAAGGGATTATGCATGGGCGAAACTCGAGCTAATCCAACCATTTTTTTTATCCTTTCTCCAACACTTTTTTAAAACTTTGGTATACTACCCAAAAATACTTATGCACTAGAGAAGCTACGAGTTGGTTTGTACTCACCCAAGCCATTCAGCACATAAAAGTTTGACGATTTGTAAAGATGGAAAGTTTTTCGTATCAGACGAAGTGTATGTAATAACACCAAAAGTGCAAGACTGCTGCAAGCGTTGTAAGTTCTGAGATAAGATTTTCATTTCTATCGAGGTATGCACGCCTAAGAAATAATAATTAATTTTCCATACTGTGCGATTATTTCTTTAACCTTACATACGTTAACTATGATACCCTCGCTTCCCTTCAAATTACAGACTCATCAATACATAATTTTTAAGAATACATGTTAAAATTTATTATTTACAATCAAACACAGGCCTATATTCCACCCCAGATTGATTGTCTAACTCTCTTTACCACGCAGCCACTGACCTCTAATTTATTAACCTCACTTTGGTTCGAATTGAATCATTTATCCAATTGCAAAAACAAGCGGAGACTGATCTGTGTGAATATGCAGCGTTGGAGAAAACACGCTCTCGCTGTATCTGACAATATGCATGTGGCATCAAAGGGATGCACTATTTATTCGTCGGGTCGTGGGATGGTGGAGGTGTGGTTGGTCATGTTATTAAGCTATCGCTGATGAGGATCAGTCACATCACATTTCATTCCGTGTGGGAGTGAGTTGTGTTTCATTTCACCGCACAGCAGCCACGGTGAAACAACTTCAAAAAACTTTCACCCGTCCCACATATTGCGTGTCGCTCTTCTCGCTCCCTTGCCCTTCGTCTGGAAATGTTTGCAACTTTTGTTTTCCATGCGGAGAGAGGAGAAGTCGTCATTTTATTCTCCTCTTTGTGCAGTCTCTCCCCAACGGCTTTCCATTACGAGATGAAAACAAATTATCCCTCCACCCACTTCATCCTCACTGGAAATTGAGCCGGCTGCAAAATTGGCAAAGAAATTTGAAACGGTTAGCGACTGCTGCTTGTCAATGTGCTGTACTGCGGTTATAGGCTGGAAAGTGAAAGCGGCTCCCAATTTAACCTCGACTCACTCTGTTTTCCTCCCTTTATTTCTGCTCTGGCTGAGCACCAATAGAGCACACACGACGTATTTCCGGTCTCCTTTGGTGAAATAAATGACGACATTTTATACAGTGAGTTGAACCGACTAAATCCTAAATTGCAAATATCCGCACAATATGTTTAACTTATGTCGGGCTGTGTCGCTCACTCGCTTGCTTCTATTTGGACTTATTTACTATGCATATGCTCAAAGCAAACGTGTGCATGTGTATGAACCACATCTACAAACCGAGAGATCGTCGCACGAGGAATATTAAAAAATCGGAGGTCTTCCAAACCGTGCACATTCATGCATCCACGAATCTGGTCAAGTCCATTGAACTAGAGTGTGGGCTATTTCTCCACTAAATAGATTATGCAATATATACACACAAATCTAAACAAATTGTACATGTCCTGTTCTAGCTTTTATATTTTTCTTCGTTGTTCTGGACCACGACATTCCAATTTAGTCAACCAAATTAAATTCCGTACAAATGAATGGTAAAATAATAGGATTTCATGGCGAAGATATTTTATATGAACAACAAATTAATTCCTCTGCGGTGGATGTTGTAAGTGTAAGTGGTCCTTGTTATGTCGCACTAATTGTGCGACTAACCAACCAACCCACTTTCTGTCTTTCTCAAATTTGAGGGTTCTTACGTCCAACTTGCTCCGTGCGTAAGTAAATACATGTAGCTTCCAAGTTCGAACCAGACCACATAGTCAGAGAACTAAGGATTGCTCTTATCCTGACGAGAACTCTGATTCGCCACAATTAGAGCGTTGTTAAGTTAAACTATCGGATACACATGTCTCATCGTCCTCCTATTTGCACAATGGTGTGTCTTTCTGGAGGCTCACAAACTTTCTCCCTGTGTGCACACAGCAACAAAAAGAACAACCTCTGCTTCCTTTGAGAAAGAGGAAAATAGTCTGCCAACTAATACACAAAAACTGCTCCTCAATGCACTTTCACCACTATTTCCTCTTTTTCTCTTCATCAGAGATCATAGAAAATTCTCGAGCTTATTCAACGTGCACTTGTTTGTTGCCTCCATGTCCAGCAACCATATTATAGATAGAAATTCTGTTAATCTTCTTATATATTCGCGCAATTTGTCGAAAATTTAGAATAAAGGTATTTATTTTCCAGTACTAATGAGATGACGCTCTACTTGTACTCACTATTTTTAATTATATATGTATTCATTATATCGGAGAAAGCATTTTAAAAGTATGCACATTTTGCAATGAATTAGTGCACTTTATCTGAAACTATTACAAAGTATTAAACTATAGTAGTTTAAGAAAATACAGGCTGAATACTCGGTTTATTTTTATCCGTGCAATCTTTCCACAAGTTGCTCATATGTACATATAGAACCAAAAGTATATAAGGTGAGTTGCAAGGACTGTCACTCATTGTGCTAAGAAATATCCTGCATCAGAAGAAATTGAAGAGATCTTTCTTCAAAAAACGTGAACAGAACGCTGAAAACTTAGGCCGCACTGCGCTATTGATGGCATTACTTTACGACGTATTGGCATGTACAGAGTTTTGTGAGACAGATACTTTTCGCCAATGAAGACGACAATCTTGCTTTGCTCTACTTTCTATTTTTACTTCATATACCTTTCTCCACTATAAAATAAATAACTTTCCTCGCTTTCGTGAAGTTTTAGAATTGTTTAATCACGTATTTTGCTCTAGAGCTGAAATTTGGGGAACCATTCACATGTTTATTTATTCTATGCTGATCCTTACCCTCAAATAGGCCATTTATTTACTTAGATGCTGTTCGTGAGTGCAACACTATTTTACAGCTTTATGCAGGGATGGTAAGATGCACAAGTTGTCGACAAAGTTGAAGTAAATGAGGAGGTGAATTGAGACTTTCTTGGGTCAGATAATTTACTACATTTAGAAATACTTATTACATGGAAAATGACCGATTGATACTGAGCGACTGACCAGGTGAACTTGAGTTCGAGGTGTATTTATAAGTTTATGTACGTCACACTTAAATAGTCAGTTAACCAATAGAAATGTAGAGAAGAAACGCAAAGAGAGGAAAATATTTGAACTTTAAAGGACACGACAATGAACTGATAAAACGATATTATACATTCAAAAGTCCAGCGACAAACTGGCGACTTGAGACACAATTCTTGTGTAACGTACATATACTGACTTGAGTAAAGAGGAAAAAGGTAAGTTTACATAAAAAGATAGCTAATTATATTAGTCAAATCATGGAATTGAGATTAGTTCAATCATCATAAAGTAAAATGCATAAGAAATCATAAGTTAAAATACATACAAATAATAAGTCAAATTCATAATGCATTAATCATGTTAAGACGAAACAGATGCACATGGGAGAAGACGTAATCTGAATTTTGTAATGATTAATTCACATCGTTTATCAAAAATTGCAATTCTTGCAAAATAAATGGTACATAAAACTTCAAAACAACTAGAAGTGAGATGCACCAAAATCTTCTATACGTACGTATCTGCTGCATATGTATCTGCTTGTTAATCTCATTTGTTTATATATTTATGCTAGGAAATGTTCCATGAAATGTTCGACGCTACACATTTCGAGGAGGCGGCTCAGGGCTAAGCTCGAAATAATAAGCTCATTGTGCATTCCCCAGTGGGGATTTTAGTCAAACATGGTGTGGTAAATCCTGCTTTAACAGGGGGCCACTATGCCATCAGTGTTCCTACTTTGAATAAGAAAACAGGCGAATCATGAGATTATGCAGGACGTACATATCAGAGGTGCACAGTCTACGGGTCGCGCTGGACTTTCTCGCAATTTTCAATTTTACTTAATAAAGCCACAAAGACCAGTTTATAACTCAATCAGTAACACCAATATCTTCAACGGTTTTTGAATATTTTTCTCATCCTATTAAGCGTTTCTAGCCCCTTAATACTGGATAGAAGTATCGGGGCGGGATCGAAAAAGCCTAGTTCTAAGGCCGGGCTGGGGTTACAGATTTTGGGTCCATGCGCACCTCTGGCATGCATGGAGCTTACTCTCTCCAAAAAGTTGTACAATCAAACTGAACATAAAACTAAACCTAAAACCCAACATCCTCTTTGTCGACTGTTTTAATCTTTCTCCCGAGAACTCTCTCCCGTTTATCGGAGAACACTAGGCAGCCAGACGTCCATCTCCAAAGTCATCGTCAAGCATACGTACCTATGAGTCAAAAGGCGACAGTACATAGAGCAAAAAGTCATAAAAGCTGGGAGAGAGAATAGTCTTCGCAAATACAAATATAATGTGGTTCGTTTGTGAAAAATGTGGTGGTACATACATATTAATACTAAGCTTGTTTTTTTTAAATCACCATTTCTGCCCCTGCATCATTGTTAATAACGGTCTTCAAAGTAAGTCAAACTTGTTCAACTAATGACCAAGTTTCACTCGGATTTTTTTCAACTTCGAGGTTGCATTATGAAATGTTGCGCATGCAGTTGCAGCGATGAATCCTTATTTATTGCCCTAGATTAGCGTGTAAATTACAATCTCATCTAGCCTTCTCTTCTCATCTTCCGCTTCAAGAACAACTGCCCACGACGAGCGAGATGAAACTCGTCATCATTCGCTGGTGGTAAACACATGCCTGCCAAACGACCTTAATTTAACCAACCTATCCAAAAGCTAATAAGTGCTTGCCAACTTGAGAACTGGTGCGTTGTTGTTGCATATGAGCTTTCACTCCTTCTCGTGAAGTAGATCTTTACTCGGTGGCTGCTGTCAACTCCTCCGCTGCTATTATCACCACGACGAGTGCCACTATTCGCTAAATTAGCCATAATACAGCTCCATTATCCACTCAGTTTCACTCCATGGTTTCACTCTCTCCTGACCTTCCGACTCCTGGTCTTTTCACTCCAGAGACTCCTTCTTTCTCCTCGCTGCTTTTATGTCAGGAATATAAAAACACTCCGTCAAAGATATGTATGTCGCCTTGCATAACCAACGCAACCACATGTCACAATGAAGGCGTATAGTTTTTTATTTTGCCATTTTTACGCAATGAACATTTCAAGGTTAGACATGTTTAAGTAGTTCTCTGCTAAAGGATGTCAGTACCGGTCATTAGGGGGCCCGTTTTGAAGTAGTATTGTCCTTGCGTGCTAAAACAAAGAAGATTTTATACGTGGTAGCTTACTTTTGGCACCCATTAATTTGTCTCGTGTGTAACAGGACTCACTTTTCACTGCAACCTTCTCCAGCCAACTGCATGCTCCTGCACCCACCCAGGCAAACCACACCGATCATGGGCAAATCCACCACGGAATTACATTTGCAAGCCAAAAAGTCCCTTTTGATACTTTGTACGAAAAATTGAACAGCAAATAGGTGGCTGCAAATTACTATAAATATTGAATGTTACATTGTACAATTCATTAAGGCTCATGCTTAGGTCATATATATTTTCAATCAAACCTGGGATTCTCAAGTCCATCAGGAGACAGCCAGGCTGTGGACTCGTCCCACGATTCACTGTGTATAAAGCTAATTGATACAAAAACTCATTAAAAGCGACAACGAGGCGACAAACCATAAAAATCTGCATGTCCATCTCCACTTTTTTTCTGTCCCAGGCCCTTCATTCGCATCGCCGTGTGGTAGACATCTACAAAGTCGGCGTCTCCTCTGCCTAATCTCCACGTAAACCACTCGTGACTGAACATATTTCTAAACAAGGGTAATGCGGGGTCCAGCCCGGTAATTCTTCCGATTTTTGAACCATTATTCCAACTCTGGAATATCTGACCAGTCAAACCAGCGACGTGGGAGCCTAAGCTATAGCCAATCAAATGGATCTTGCCAGAAGTAACGTAACCCATGTTTTTTAACAGCTGCAGAAAAATGGCGAGTTTCCACGATACGAGTGGGATGAAGTAAAACACGATGACTGGATAAGATGAGAGGATACGTGAGGAGGTCGTCGGGGTGGATAAGACTGACCAGTCCAGGTAGATGATGTTCATTGATGGCTGGGTCTCCCCGTTGGCGTGGTCAGGGTTATTAAGGTAAGCTTTTATTTATTAAGGTAGGAGCTATGAATTAATTATCTGTACATGGAACACGGCCATTTGCACCAATAGCAAATAAATGCAGTGCTCAAATCGATATATTTGTGTCTCAACTCCGTCTCGACCAATGCTACGTGCTTACATAATCTCCAGAACAGATCGAGAGATTGTGTACAAACTCTGACAGAGTTGAGACACCTCAATTGGAGCTCTGCAGATAAAATATATACCCGTCTTAATTTCCAACGGAGTGAAACGTGTCAAATTTGGCCAAAAGCCGTGGATGATGATTACAGTTTTTGTAGCGTTTGATATGAATTTGGACGCTTGGATAGATTTTGGATCGGTTAGTTCTTGGTACGTGCTTGGATGGCTGGAATAAGTGAAATGTACAAATGTATAGGAACCAGTTGCACCCCGTGGAAGGATTAAATGAATTATTTAGGTCCTACCTTTTGAAAGGGAATAGACGAAAGTGGATGTCATTTAGGATGCCTCTCGACACGACAGGTTTTGTCAGGATTCTCCCAACCGAGGAATATTCCCCGAAAATCGGGTTTAAGCAGAGGATTACAAATATTATGGTGCGACACATTTTCAATCAAGTCCATTTTGTACTGTGCCTTTGAATTGGCCGAGTGACCGTAATATTGAGCTGACTGTATCATTATTGTCATTATCCCAACAATTCAACCATTCTTTTCAAGTTTACGTGGGAAATGATCCGGAAATAGAATATTTTTTTCATTGTTTTTTGACAGTTTAATGATCCACAGAGTTGGATATACGTAAGTACTTTTTGTTCTAGTGTAAATACACAGTATTTTAAATCCTGCATGTGTTACATAAGCAAACACTGACTTTACACATCGAACAAGTTTAGAAGAATTCATAAGCTTGTCGTCTACATCCTGCAAATTAATTGAATTTCTAGGAACACTCTGATCTTGAAAATGTATTCATCTTTCTACGATATCGAGTTAATTACAATTTGTGGCATGTATGTACGTATACAACAGAGCAAATAAATGCCATCGGCTGTCAAAATCACAAAGTGAAGATAGATGACATTCTAAAAACTACTTGTCATTTAAAATAGCTCGTAAAGTTTAATCTCCTAACCGAATTTTTAGTAAGGATATTAGTTTCAAACGTTATAATAACTAAATATTAAACATTCTGCAATGTTACTTAATACACTTAATCCTGCCACCCTATTAAGCGAAAACCTTGGAGGGAACCGAACCAGGACAAGCTCCCAATTAGCCTCCCCACAGACAAACCACCAATTATGTGCATTTGCGGTACTTATTATTCCTCGGCGGACATGTCATTAAAATTCATGATCCAATATTATGCCACTAGTTCCAAGAGAGAGCCAACCCTTCTCACTTAATGACTAATTAAAGGATGCACAAATAGTTCCATTTGTAGTAAAGTGTCACTCAAAAGTCATGAAGCCCTGAAATTCTGCCATTCCAGGCGAACCTGCCTCCCAGTTGATGACGTGTAATTAAACTTACAATGGTTGAACCAGAATCATTAAAAGCTTGTCTTTTAAGCAGGTGGATAAATTGTTGTGTAAATACGTGGAAAACCGTGCAAAAAATAAACGATGGGAATGGCTGGATCGAGAATGACGAAGAAGTCAATTCTTGTAATTAGAGAAAAGGAAAGGAAAAAGTGTGTTGCAATGTTGTCAGTCGCACGAGGATGGGGCTGAAGAGATCTCGAGAACCAGTGGGAGAGAAAGCCTGAGTGTCGGAGATGGTTTTCTTAAAAAAACATGACTGAAGGTCAAGGATAAAAAATCCATTTCTTTAATTCAAACACGTTCCCAACCATGTCGTCCCATAATTCCCACAACACAGTTCTTTCTAATCAAGACAAACTCAATGAAGGAAATAATTTCAAAAACTCGCTTCGGATTAATTGATTTTCTCCTTTTGCAAATCTTTCGATCCAATGAAGATAAAAAAACTTTTAATGACAGTTCTCAGTATTTCTCGAGTGACTACGTAGGTTTGAATCAACCAATCCTAAGCAAAAAGCACGAAGGATTTTTTCGCCTAAATATTTCTCTGTAAATGTTGAAATAATAAAAATACATGAGAGGTGTTTCATCCCCACTGTAGCAGACGTGTTCAAATATTTAAAACTATCGTATGCGTCACCATTTTAGAAATATAGTTAACATGGCGTTTAATTGAGTCAAAACACGTGCCTAGCATTTCGTTGTTATAATATTACTACCTCCGTGTGTACATAAGTTCCCTTACTTATTTCTGTAAATATGTAAGGCAAAAATTAGGGCAAATTAGCATAATCTAAACTAAATGTGCTTAAATTTTAGTTTATATTCGTGGAATTTGCCAGTGTTTTTATTCGCCTCTTTCTGCTCAAATCTGATGAATTTACTTTTCTGGTACTTTTATGTAAATCGAGTGAGATTTTAATTAACTCTGGCTACAGCTTGTATTACATTATTTTGACGTTGGAAAACTATAACATGAATTAATATGCATATGTAAAATGAGCTCCATGTTTAACGTAACATGCTTTCTCCAAGGTTGACATCCTACAAATTCTCCCATGAATATCACAAGTAGCTTATTCTAGTGACAGTTCACGTTGTGTGCACATATGGTATGTACATATGTGCATATTAAGTATGTACTCATCTACGCTATCATCGGTGACAGGTTCATTAGAATTCCATCCAACGATCCCAAGAAAGTACATATGTTGGTGCAATTTAAAAATTTTTGAATTGCATTTTACAATATTCAAAGATGAGGCAAATATATATTGCAGATAAATCCCGCAGGGTCAGTTTTATCATCAAAAATTTGAAATAAAACTTTGTAACCCATTCAAGAATTCAAGTACAATAATCCCAAGTTGTGAAATATGCACGATGGCATTCAAAAATACTTTTATGCATAATATCCTAATTCAACTAGTTGTTGAACGTTGCATGTAGCATCAACGACACCAAGTTCTAAAATTTATGTACGACTGGTAATAACTCTAAAGGAGACAGATCCCCGAAGGAGTCTCCAATTTTCCATACAGAGTCGGAATGACCTGTTACAACTCATCTGATTATCCCACCCACAACAACGCTGAAATTAAGTATCGTATTCTATAGCAGATTATTCTGATCGGGTATTACTATTTTCCAAAAACTTTTCAAACATATGTACATAATTACGAGTCACTGTCTGCTCTGGAATACATAGAATGTTGTTGGTATGAAACTCCTCAGTGCTTCGAACCCTTCAGAAGGTTGGTCTCCACATCTCATCTTTATGTCTACAGAAATAAATATCCAATCTCATTTCCTTTTCTCTGGTGCTATTTAGTTTATGTGATGATTTCGTGATTTCTGGGCAGACGTTGATTCGATTTGTTTTATATTTGACTAGAAATTTCAAAACTGGATATTACAAATTCATTCTGAAACTCTTTAATTATGCACATGCATACGGACTTTATACGATAACCCACTCTGCTCTGTATGACTTTGCCATTTTCTCTGTAGTAATTAAAACGAAAGACATGGACTTTCAGAAAGTGACTTGAGGATAAATATTAAACAAAAACAAAGAAATACGCGTCTAGTGCTCAATATTTAATAAGTTCGTACATATTTGTAATTCCTACTGAAACCCAAATGTGAAATGCGTCAACTGTCTGAATAAACTCTTCGCTTTTCTCCGCACAACACACTTTCAAGTTTCATTGCGAAACTGGTTTCGTTCTTTCTCCTCACGGTTCTGTATATTCTCCGTTATGCCAGAGACGCGTATCGTCTCGCACTAAATGAGCTCTTTCTGATCCAATCCTGATAATCAAGTTATAGAAATGGGTAATTTTTTGTGAACGTGTTTTTGCCTTCGAGGGTTTGTATTTCCTTTCTTTTATGATTGCTTTGGTAGAAATACTGTGTGAAAGTTGATAAATTTTTGCCCTCTATTCAATTTTGAGACATTTCTTAACAACGTATGAATACAGAGCGTGAATCAAGATACAAAACTCACTTTTGTTTTTGAGATAACAAGTGTTAGAGACATCTGGGATTATTGAAATTTGTATGCACCGTACCCAGATAGTCAAGGAACAGTTTGCAAAATAACTCTTAGCTCTGTGCATCAACATGCCCCCACTCCCCCCCACGGAGTGCAAGGTAGCCGTAAAAGGGTTTTCCAATGATGAATTGTACCATAAAAAATTCTTAAGAAAGTGGCGACAATTGAATTCAATGCCAGTAGAAGTCATGAGTCCAGTGTATCAAATGACACTAGCATAAAGAAGCAGGGATCATTGGCTGGAGTTCCACCTCCACCAAAGTGGGGTCTAAGATCGCCTAGGATCGAGGATGAGTTGTACTATATCGCAAATTTCATCAATAAGGAAAATCCGTCATGACAGAAAAGTATCCAAAATGTTGGGGGTGAGTCAGGCAATAGTTTTTAGGGTCAGTCACTCTGATCTAAATAGATTAAAGCGGAGGAGGACCTTGTGTACGTCCCCACGCCGTCTTACTTCAAGTTTTTCGAAGCAACTTCGCGATAACTGAATGAAAACTTAATTTCCAGAAATAAATTTTTCACTGAAATTACTCTTGACGAGTGGCATGACATTATTCAGATAGATTATTTTGGATTTTGGTACTTAAAGCAGAGATTTTTAAGCGGACGTCTCGGGCGCTAAGTGGGTTTTGGAAAACTTTTCAAAACGGGTGGAACAAAATCACTCCAAAAAAGTGTCAAAGGTGATAATGGCGTGGAAAAAGCGATTGCACCTCGTTTGACAAACTAATGGGCTACACATTGAAGCAATTTACAAAATTCACAAACGAAAAATAAAGCTGTAGAAAAATAAACAAAAGTGAGTTTTGTATCTTGATTCACTCTCTGTAGAATAGATATAAAAATGCTGATTCTGCGTATTTCTTTAGAATTCGGAAAAAGATGAGTCTGCACACGTTTGAAAAAATATGGGTCAATATGTTGATGAACTTTTGGCCATTGATGATGCTTCTCATATGCTTCTTTTATCATCAACACATGAGCAAAAAAAACTGGAGCAACATTTTCCATTTTATATTTTTTGCAACTACTTACTAATGACTCACACAGTCAGCATAATTCACATTCCTCACCAACCATAAACATAGATAAGCGAATCGAGGGAAACCCGTGCAGCATTTAATTAAACCTAATTCACCAAATAGAGAACCGTGTACGTATATAGCATCTTCACTGCCGGACACAAAACAGCTTCGACGAGGAGTCACCATAACTTACTTTCCATTTTTACTCTTTTTCCAATTTGGCAAGCATAACAAACAGAGCCAAATACGTTCGTAGAATCCAAGAGAAGTTACAAAACCAAAGCCTACAGTGCAGACTTCATTTAGTCCGAGTCATGGATCGAGTCCACTTCTAAATTTTTGTCCGAATTGGGCGACACGTATAGTTAATACATGGGTGCAAAATTTGAACTCAATTGGTTTAGCTATTTTGGCTCTATCGTGTCTCGGACGGACAGACATGACGATTCCATAAGCCCTGACTCGGGCTAAAAAGAGACACGCAATACCTTTGGTGCATGAGCCCCTTTGTGCTCTATATTTTACACCCCGATCGTCTCATTATCAAATGAACATAAATAAATTGGTCATGAGAATATCCTTATCCCATCTATCACCACCACCACACTCGATGCAATGCCACTACTGTGTCACCCAATACACTCCAAGTAAGAGCTCAAATTGTCTCAAATTTCCTCACATTGTGCCTGCCGACCTTTCCCCAAATTCTATCGTCACCACCATAAACGACTCGCATTACTCTCCGAATTACCCCAAAGTGCTACCAACAAAGGCACATCTGGAGGAAACGCTCCTAAATGACAAAATTTATCACAATACAATTAATCTTGACCGGAAATCCCACGCAGTAACACGTGGGTGTTTGGTATCACCTAGAGGATCAAACAGGAAGTGGTTTCACCATGACTTTCGCCACCATTAGAAACGATACAACAATGTTCTGAATCTGTGAAGAAAATTCAGAAGTAAAAATATTCGGACTTGATATCCACATGGCAAATGGCTACTTTCCCACTTGTTTGTGCTGAAATCTGGATCTGACAAGAATAGAAAACAACAGAACATCGTGGGGATCAACCTGGTTTTGTATAACTTTGTATGTTACTTGTGTGATGAAAGGCAAAACTACTTTGACAGCACGTTTCAAAACGTACCAGCTAATTACATCCTGCGCCGTCTTAAACTATACGTATACCATTTTACTTATACTTGTCCCCATTTTGTAGATAAGCACTCGAGGGGATATGTCAACTGCTGGCTGTAATCAGTAGTTGGTGAAGAGAAAGAAATTACATTTTTTATATTATTCTGTTAAAGGGCATTCCATGTTCCGAAAGGTCATAAAAACCATTTTATTATGAAAATAGGTGGATTTATGCAACTTTTCTGCCAAAATTACACGTCTCAAGTTTATATAAGTATACAAAAAATTCAATTTAACTTGTTGTTCAAGACGTGTATGACTTGCGCTTTATCAAAAAGTTTCTCCAACGTCACTTTCTCTCTAAACATGTCTCAGGTCGTTTATTTCTATGTGAAAGTCCACTGTTTCTCGGGGGACAAAAATTTTTATTTGGTAACCGCAATAGTACAAATTGTGCAATGCACCTTTAGATAATCCTAAACTTATGTATAATTTACATGTCTATGGATGCATGTACGAGAGTAAGAACTCTCAACAGTTTATATACATACATAATGCAATTAAACACTAAAGTTAGAACATGATTGCATTGAAATAGTTAACCCTTTAACGTGTATGACTAACGACAAGAAAATGCATTAAATCGGAGACACTATCATTATGTTGTGGTCATGGCGCGGGAGGAGAAATTCAGGAGTTTTTAATAAAACTCGAAAAACTGAAAAATCAAAAATTTAACATTGAGTTGTATAGGGAAATATCCAAATTTTTGGGGAGAAAATCTTCAAATTTAGCATTGTGTTGGCATAGGAGAAATCTCTCAAAATTGCAACAAATTATAGGTCGCGGAGAGAAAATGGTGAAAATCAATGACCTCCTAGAAACGACAATTGTCGTCCTTCCGCGCCATGACTACGATTTTTCAGGACGACTTTTGTCGTACTCCCGAATTAAACCATTTCTTATAAAACGACAATTGTCGTCGTTACAGTTTAAAGGGTTAATTTGTTCATCTGAAAATGCAAATTGAGATTTTTTTCTGGCTCTCTCTACCTTGTCACCTAAATATTTTAAGTATCTATTGTTGTAACTTATGACTTTTGAATTTCTTTAAGTTCCAGTCCAGACTGGAACTTACAGCAAGACACAAATTTTTCAATAATGTAGTCGCTCATAGCGAAGACATCATATCACGTAGCGTAATGGAATTAAAATCTTTTATACTATAAATAGATACTCTACGTATTGCATGAAACTTATAAATTATCAACGTTATTATGACGTAAATCCAATTCATCTCGTAAGATGACCATTGCATTAATAATTACAGGAGAATAATTACAGCATTCCAATTTTTTTAAATCACTGGAGGAAACACCAAGTGCACCGTTGTCTAATCATAAATTCATGATTCGGGTCAAACTATTGACGACAACGGGAAATTCATCATCCTCCACAAGTCGTACTTTCACCTTGTATGTACACTAAAGCCAGGATGAATACTCATCTCAGCCACTCTTGCCATCCAAACACACTTGACTTTGAGGAGAGGCAGTATCTTTCCGAATCTCTCCCTACCCGGGCATCAGTCAGTCAGTTGTGATTGTCCAAAGCCAGCAACCAGGAGTGCGTGTTCCAATTTTCAATTTTGGTGCGGGGCACTTTTGAGACGGCGAGGAAAGGTGAGTGCTTTTAGGATAAAATAGGACGTCCATTTTCCATAACTCAATTGACAAGCACTTTTGTGTAATCAAATTTAAAAATTGAAATCATTCCGACGTCATCCACTTCACTACTTTCTTTCGCATAATTTTGTTTTCATTAATATTTAAAGAGGAAGTTTCTCAAATTCAATTTTCTCAAAAGCAGATCAATATTTGAAGCGAGGAATGATTGTTATTGAAGACAAAACGAGAAATTCTGCAAAAAACTGTAGGGTTTCATTTATCAGTGAGACGGGCAGTGGAATAAAATTCAGAGTCGTGATGAAAGTATGTATGCACGTATTTAGGTGGTTTCGAGCAGTATGGAGAGAAAGTGGTAGAGAAATTAAATAGAAATCGAACCAGCAATCTTTGAAATTTGTCAGTTGGAAAGTGAAAAGTTTCCTTACATTTTTTGCAACTACGACATGAACTGTCACTTAACTACTTCATTCCATTCATCTTCCGTTCCTTCCGCTTAGCATACTTTCTGTCCGCTTCTTTAATTCTACACAAACGTGTCGCTATTTGGATCTCTTCCTATTTTGATAACATGTCCTGATTCCCTTCGACCTTCGCAGTTGAGTTCTTGAAAAAAAATCCAATTCGTTCACTTTTTTTGATTCTTTCAATCACTCTTCCACTTGAATAGATGTTCGTGTCAAACCGTATAAACGGGACTGATCCCATATGTATTTGTTTCCTTGTGTGACGTGACGTGCACACAAACCTAGTTTCATTTCATTCCATGTTGAGTGAGGGCGAGAGCGAGTTCTCCCCAGATCTCTCTGGGGAGAAAACACTTTGGTTTTGAATGCCGAGATTTAAATGTCATTTGATGTTAGAAGAAAACTTTCGACCAGGAAATTAGCAAGGAAGGCACGTGTCTCTCGTGTGGAGGGATGCATCACGCCATCAGCACCTCCCCACCACCTTTTCCTCCAGTATCAACCATGTCAAGTGGCACGGATTACGTTAATCTCTCCACCAATACGCATCCATCCGATATGACAGTTTTTCCGAACATATCGTCGTCCTTCTACCCCTCATTGGAAGCCACGGAATCCTCCCCAGCGGAGGACGCCATCCTGTCCTTCCCACCCTACTTCCAGCTCGTGGTGTACATCCTCTACAACACCATTTTCGTCGCGGCCGTGATAGGTGAGTGAGTTCAAGGCTGCCAAGTGCACTCGAAACATAAAAAATCACTCTCATTTCGAATCATCTCCTTCAGGCAACACTCTCGTCATCTATGTCGTCGTCTCCTCCGCCCGAATGCGTACGGTCACCAACTACCTCATTTGCAATCTTGCCGGTAAAAATCATATATGAATTTAACCCATTAATTTGAGGTCTTGGAGGTTGAAATTTAAAGTCTGTTATAATTTCTGTCTACCCAGTCGGAGATCTCCTCATGGCAATTTTATCAATCCCATTTTCTTACATATCAGTTCTGTATCAGTACTGGCCATTTGGTTTAGTTTTATGTCATCTCGTCAGTTACTCTCAAGCTACCTGTGTCTTCGTGAGGTACGTACTAGCACAGATTTAAAATTACAGTACTCGTTACTAGACTTAAACGTGTATAAGTGTGTTTCATCCATGCCATTTATATTCAGCGCGTACACCCTGATCGTTCTGGCTCTGGATCGTTACTTTGCAATATTATACCCTCTTCAACCCCGGCTGAGAAGGAGCCAAGCGTTGGGGGTCATTTGTGGCGTGTGGGTGAGTACAAGCAAACACAAGCCTACAGGTTGTTTAAAGGACAAGTAACTTAACTTAACGACGACTATTTGTTTGCAGGTAGTAGCTTTGATAACTGCGATACCAATTGCAGTTTTTACCCGGTTGGAAGTAGACGAGGGGAGGGCTGGAGGGCTGCCCTTGTGCGAGGAGGTGAGTGAACCGGTACCTCGTGTAGATTGAATTGTACGGATTTGCTTGCGGAGGTGGAAGAAGAAAACGGCTTAAAAGTCGCTTGTGTTCCACTACCGATTTGTAGCCTAACGAGAATAAGATGTAAATAGTGCAAATCCTTCCTCAGTTGTGTTCTTCGAAGCGTGTGTGTGGGTGATTCCGAGTGCCCAATGCTGAGCTGCTTTCACCCACCACTTTCACCTCCTTCGTAGCCAACTTGCAAAATAAGCTAATGAAATATTGAATATTGCTCTCTTCCTCATGTAGTCGGCCTGGTCGGATGACACACTGCGTCTCGCCTACTCCCTCACGTTGATGTTCATGCAATACTTTTTGCCAGTTTCGGTCCTCATATTTACATACAGCCGAATTGCCATCGCAGTTTGGGGTAACTTACACAATTTTGGCCGTTCCAACTTCTCGTTTTAATTTGCTTTTCCTTCCTCAAGGCAAAAAGGCACCAGGTGAAGCAGAAGATAATCGAGACCAACGACTCGCTCGTGCCAAACGGAAGGTAGATATGTTCACCACTCTCACTTTCCTTATCGTCCACGTCGTTGCAAGTGCTGATTGCAGTTAACTTTAAGCATTAGCCATGTAGTAAATTTTTCTGGGATTTTACATTTCCTGTGACACCATTGTTTAAATGGTTCACACCAAATTAATTTTCTAGTGCTGTTATCTATGTAAGTATGAACACAATATTTAAGCATAAAATGATACGGGCTAATTTAGAATAACAACGTTAACCCGGAGAGTTCGAGATATATATTGAAACGTTAGAGATCTCTTGTTTTCTTAGGGCAAATAAGCACAAAAAGTCCTATAACTTGTGTGAATATTGACCCAGAGAATCGCATATTATTGAATTCATTCCCATACCTGCAGCGAGATTCAATTGTCAAGAAAATCGTTCAAAATGGAAAGTTTACTCTGTTGACTCTCAATTTCTACTTTCAGATGATAAAGATGATGCTCACGGTCGTGATAGCTTACACCCTCTCCTGGCTTCCCTTTAACTGTTTGATAGTAACTGACTAAATAAATTAACGTTGCCTTAAAACATGCGCAGCCATTAAGTAACTCACACCTCTAATGAAACTAACTGACTAATTTCTAGATTTTGCTGAACACCGTCCCCCCGACACACGCTCTCTTCACGACCACCATTCCACCAGATCAACTGGCCATCCTCTACTTCACCTGCCACTTCCTCTCCGTCAGCCACAGCGTGGTCAACCCGGTCATCTACTCGGCTATGAATTCCAACTATCGACAAGCCTTTGCCTCCGCAACCCGAAGAATAAGTTGCGTTTCGAAACTATTTTATGATTTTGAGGCTGATCGCAACAGGCTGCGTTTGCAACGGAGTGGAACCGTCACGACGACGTACACCTTTCAGCATGGTGGACACGGGGGTGTGGTGCTTCACGTCGGTGGGGGCATGCCGCCGCCGGTGAATAGAGCGAGAAGGCAGATGTTCGGTAATGGGAATAAAAACGGAGGTGTGGACGAGAGCTTTATTTAATTCTTAGTTTTTGTATTCCCAAGTTATTCTTATGTAAATATTTAGCATACGAGTTACGTTAAACCTAAAATATTTATTTTTATACCATGTTCCAGTCCAAAGAGAATATATTACATAACAATATGTACAATCATGTATAGCTAAGAATACTGAATTAAACTGTGACTGCATGTTCCACTTTGGAAAAATAGAGAAAGCACGTCAAATCTACTTGGTAAATCTCACCTTATGTTTCGTTAAACTAGGCACATGCACCACTGGAAAAACAATATTGTGAGTCTGGGAATAAAATACCAAAAATTGACATTGACAAATGACATGACAAAGAAAATGACAGAACCCAACAAGGTTATTTTATCAAACATGCAGGCGAGTTTAAGACTTGCTAATCAATCACGATGAAAAGAGAAATCGATACACTTTCTCTCTCTCTGTGTCTCAGGACTTTATATGAGTGAGGCTCCTACGTATCGAAAAGTGGTCCAATGAGGAGTTTGATATCATTATACAAACAATGGATAGCAATTAAGAAATTTTGAGAAGGAGAATGAATAAGTGTCCAAGACAGGTGTCCATCCGGGCGGAATTAACAAGAAAGAGAAAGTTTGAAGGAAGCGACGTGACAGCGGATTTGACTCTATTTTAGTACAAAGTTATTGTCTACACTCACTCATTCTGCCGTTATTATCAATACTGTTACCATGCTGCATAGTCCTCCTATAAATTAGCGGGTTAAATTGGATTGCATGCTGTGACACACTTTGTCCAAATGATAAGTAAAACTTTCATGAAAGATTATTCAAGTCGATGGAATTAGTGAGATGGGACTTCTTTCGCCATATTATGTACATCACGTCTCTATAAATACATAAATCAGGGAATAATCACGTCAAAAATAATGCAACCACACCTCTCGCCCCATCCCCACGCCGTCCTCTACCAGTGCACTTTCTAAAAACGAGCACAAACCCCTCTCGAAATCTCTCGTTTGATCCATAAATTAATGGATTGAGACAAGAGTGCGTCATGGCCTGTAAGTAAAATTGATGTACGACAAGAGCAACCTCAAGATAAATTAAGGGGACAAATGGCCACTCACCAACCAATGACAGAGCACATATGCATACTCAACACGAGGAAATGGGTCGCTCTCAACGTCCTGGATGATCTCCAGGTATAAGTACAAGAGATTGAGAGGCAGCCAGCTAAGCGTGTAACAGGTCACCACAAGGATGAGCGTTGAGATTGTCTACATTTGGAGCAATGCAACATGTGAAATATTGTGTTGTCACTTTTAATGACCACTTCGCATACCCTCCGTTTGGCTCGATTTAACCGCTCCTCCCTCACGGACTTGTTCATTATCCCGCTGTTGCTGCTGCCCTCCAAAACGGGACTAGTTTTCTTCCACCAGATTTCAATGGCAATTCTGCCGTATGTGAAGATCAGGACAAAAATTGGAATGAAGTACTGGAGTAGGAGCAAGGTCAGGGTGTAGGCGAGACGAAGGTCGGGCCTTGGCCATCCAATCTGTAATCAAGGAGAATATCCATTCGAGTAAAACAAAGAACGTCGTTGATGTCATGGTTTGAGTCACTTGGAGGAACACTTAAACATGAGACAGGAAATAGAATTTATAAGGAGAAGGCAATGGCTAGTGAAAAGGTGGAGGGTACTCTTTATAATTAAAGGCACTCAAATAAATCAAGCTGTCCATCACCATTAAATCCCCACTGACTCAAGATAATTGAAACCAATTCATTATTGAGCTCTTTCCCCCCTGTGGTCCCATATTGTGGGCTGCTCTGTAAATAAGTCATGCTTTCTCCACGCGTTCTAATCGCAGTGGGACTCACCTCTTCACAAAGTATTCTGCCAGGCTCCCCTTCTTCTTCTCCTTCGTGCACCTCCCTCAACCCAACGACCACCCACACTGGCAGACTCACAAGAATGCTCCCAACCTTAACAAGTAAATATGTTTTTATAAGCAAATTTTAGTAAGTTGCTAGTCAAATATCAACTGCATAAGTCAAGTACAATCAACGTAATAAATAGATAAGTATGTACCCATACACCACCAATAACCCATCCAACTACTCCCTCCCCCCATCTCCCCCCTCCGCAGCAGCCTCGATTCTGCCCCTTGTCCCACCTCACGATGACCCACCACCTCTCCAAGCTCAACATCACCAGCGTCCAAGCACTCACAAAGACGAAGACAACGGTCAAAGGTGTCACCAGGTGACAGAGCACCTCTCCAAAAGACCAGGACTGAAGGAGTATGGAGATATATCCAAAAGGTACGCACAGAATGGTCAGCATGTCCCCCACGGCCAGGTTGGCAATGAGAAAGTTGGAGTTGGTTCTCATTTTAGGGATTGTTAGGACGACGAGTATGACGAGAAGATTGCCAATGACAGCAGCCAGGAGGGTGACGGTGTAGAGGGTGTGGAGAAGAAGGTGGAATTCGGGTGGATACGTAAACGGGGCTAACAACAGGGGGTAAATTGTCTCATTGTCGTAGGTGTGGTTGAAATTGTAATCCAAGTCTTGATCTGGGTGGTCGTTGCTGTTCCCCATGGCTAAATACACTTATTGCAATTGGAATCTTCTTAATATCTGAAAAACCGAAGTATGAAAAGACAGAAACTATAAAACTCTGACAGCTCTCAAACACGTCAAATACGTATATAAACCATTTATCCTGAACAAAGTCTCACTTAGCCTCTACATATGCATCTGTACACTGCTCCCAGTATTCTATAGTTATCCTGTGACAAAGTCTTCACTATCTTCACAAGCACACATGCAATAGAAAAATCAGAACGGTTAGGTATTTATTTGTGTCAGTGAGATCGAGACTTCAAAAATCTGGCTCTGAGAAAAGTAATCCGAGAGCGACCAAGAAAAGAACCTAGTTTCAAGGAAGTGTGGGAAGTCACCGAGTAGAAATAAATATAAATAAGTAGTAGCTGCTCCCCTCAAGTCTGAGACTGGACTGGCTAAACGGGTGAGAAAGAGGACTTTCTTCGACACTTTCACCACCACCACGTCTGCACTGCTGGCTTTCTCCGCTCCCCCGGCTCTATTCCTCAGCCGCCTCGCACTCATCCTTTGTCCGCCTTGCATTGTTATGCTTGTCAGCTACAATAATAGATTCTCACTCATGGACGTACTTGGTTCTCATCGGCCCTGTCCGTCTCGTCTTAAATTTGTCCTTGGAAAATGTGTCAATTTTTCACCGTTTCTTCCTTGCCGAATTAGGGCTCGTTTAACGCCCAATTTTTCATGGTCTCATTTTCCTGTCAGACTCTCCTCGATTTCCTCGGGTACAAATAAAACGGAGCAACTTATTCTAATTTTTCAAATTACTTATTACACAATAACTCACTCTGTCTCTCTTATCATAGTTTTCACTCTCATCCTTTCATTCAATGTATGAACACTGTGTCATCGTTTTTCCACATGGAATTACAATATTGTGAAAAAGTCGAGAGAAAGAGCGAGCGAGTCGTGTGAGGGAAGAATGAGAATTGTGTAAGCAACAGATCTCTTAGCAAAAAATACAGAAATAACTTCTGGGCTTGTGGGAACTTATGGACTTTGAAATCTCAAATTCCCCTAAATTTTGGTATTCTACTGTCTAGGAGTTATGCTCAATTTTAATAATTTTTGAGAGCCCAACCCCACATAGTGACTGATGCAGTGAATAACTTGACATGTTGATTAATGAGGATGGGAAATTACGGCATTTGAAGTGAGCATAACTCGTAATTACAATGCTTTCTCTTCTGGATTTGATTTAATGACTTGTACTGCAACGCATTGTACAGGGTTATCAATTAAGATTAATTTAACACAGCTAAAATATTAAAATAAGCGTATTTCCAAACTGCTCTATCAAAATTAAAAGTGAGAATCAGTCGTGCTCAGAATACATATTAATACATCGAAATATTCAAATTCGTTTCATTTAAAATGTTTTTCCAGGAATTGGAACAAGGATTTTGGACTTTTGAAGAAGGAAGGTGACTTGATTTCAGTCAGATAATAGCATTTCAAAGCTTCGCAAAGAGTTCCCACCCTGACCCCTTTCCGCCCAAGTGATTTGACCGTTCGTAAAATATCTTCGCCTTGCTCCTTGTTCCCCATCACGTAGTAGTGCAGTGCTCGCTGTCCTGCCTGCGATGCTGCCATCCATTGAATGATGAATTTTAATTCTGGGCTTCCATTGTAATTTCCACAGCCCCAATTTCCCGTGGCGATGGGCGAGACATGATTTTGCTGACTTCTTAATTTGAAGGCACAAAAACACTTATTGAGCTCGCGGTGTACAAATTCTTTTTCAAACTGTCGTTCTGCCTCATTTCTGAAAGGTGCATAAGTATATCACTTAAGGCATAATTTATTAGCAATAATAATGATAATATTTAATTTCTGTATAATTTGCATACGCTCGAAAGTAGCAAGCATCCATCACCGCTATTTGGCCTTTCCTCCGCCCAAAAGGGTCTAACACTACTGGATCTCGTGGGTCGTTGCAAAATGTGCCCTTGAATGCAAAGGTATCAGCACAACCAGAATACAAGGAAAACTGTTGACATCCAGTAATGATCATGACTTCGTTCGACTCGAGAGCTTCCGTGAATAATCTCGCAGCTATTAGCTCAGGACAAATAGAAAACCTGATTTCTTCCATCAATGCTCCATTTCCAGTGACGCCTCCTCCTGTTAAAATATGTCATACATTGAACACATTTAGCATATTATGCAATTGAAGAAATTAACTCTGGCAAGCAGATAAATGTATACGCTAATAGAAGTAGCGGAAGAGCTATTGTTCACTTTAGGTATACCATTAACTCGTAAACTAGATATATTTGACTTTTGATAAGCCTAGAAGGCCACTGACCCCAATGTGCACTTTGCTACCCTTAAAATGACCCCTAAAATGGCAACACATTTGATAGGAGTTTCTATTTCAATATTTACCGATCTGTGAAGGTCATACTGATTTTATTTAAGCACAAGCAAATTGATAAAATGCTTTACTCTCACCCACAAGGCGATTGGCAAAGTCGATCTGAAGGCTTTCTCGAGCATCTTCAATTCGATTACGATGATCCACATGCACCATGGACATTTGTTCCTTGGAAATTGTCCAATCTGGAGGGTTTCCTCCAGACTTTCGTTCGAATGATATTAATGAACCTTCTCCTTCAAGACGTCCAATTTCTTTGAAATAATTAAGAATACATACAATTTTTTCCAACTTTGGCTTTGAATTTCCACGAGCACCTCCATCGAACAATCTGAGAAAGACATTCATAAATTAGCCAGACCGATGACCAATGTGTCAAGCACGATAATTATAAGCATACTTGAAGAAGTTAATTTCAGGAAGTTCTTGCCCAACGAGTTCAAATCGTTTAGGAAATGTGCACAAAAACGCATTAGCTAAAATGCAACGAATCTGACCTTGTGTGAGAAACAAGGTTTTTTGCTGATTCTTTCTCAAAATGGGGATTCCAGAGGTGAACCTTTTGTCTATTTCGAGAGCTGCCCGAGAAATAATTGGGAATGCGGTTTGTAAACTGGAACTAACTCTTCGATCGTTTAACAAATTGAAGGAGAAATCATTCACTTTTGAGTTGAACTTCCTAACTGAAGCATGAATCTGATTTCCTGCTTGACTCATGTCTGCAAAGTGAAAATTCCAGACCGCACGTAAAAATTAGTCGTACTTATTTCTGTGCTTGTTCATGTAAACACAATTACCCAATTTTTTTTCAGAGATGAATTTGTTGAGCATGGCCAACTCTCCTTTGATTATGTCCCACTTTTTTACGGAATCCAGGTGACGTTGGTGATTGTTCGCCAAAGTCGGGATCGCTGTGTTGGCCGGGTTGTGAGGAAGCCGAACAAAATTGCCACCTACCCAGTGTCTATTTCCTGTACCGAAATCGCTCTCTAGCTGCTCAGATGACGATTCATGTGGAAATAGGCAAATGATACTCGTACTGTATTTTTGTTCCAGATCTCTTAAATCTGGAGAAATTTGTGTCCGGAACTGGGCAATTGCGGTGGATGTAGATGGAACCGTCGGGCCTTGAAGGAGCCCTTGGTAATTACCTTGTGCTGCTGAATAATTGTTCACATTTATAACTAATATTGCACCATTTTGTGCGAAATGAGGAGTATTTATGTAGCGTGATGATTATTACTGATCTGGGAGGCAGGAGTTGGTGATGGAAATGGTCTGACGGTTCCTAATTGTTGCTAAAATAATGGAATTAAGCTAGTTAATTAAATTATAAAAAGTATTAGTTTAGCTAAGCATTATTTATTTGGGAACAATTTTAATTATGTAAGTCACCACTGTTTGATGAGCGATAGGTTCAAATCCTAGTTGAACTGGACTATTTAGATTGCGCAAATCTTGATCCACCTTGTAATATAGACTAGATTCGGAAATTCCTTCGGTTTTTAAAATTGTGGACATTTTGTTTGGAGTTTAAATATAATAGACTGCCAATGTCAAGAATATCTACTCAATTTTTTGATGAAATAATCCACTGACCCTGATCTTATTAGTAAATATGTACATTTAGCAGTAAACACGTATTGAAATTATGAGATTTAGATTATGTGGTCGGTAATTTGTTTAACATGCAAATTAGTTTTTAATTTGAGTGTATTTGCGCAAAGTGCAAATATTTGCCATCATAATGTATGACAAATCCTCATATTTAGATATTGTATTATCAGGAGTTGACGCATTGTCAAGAGATAAGTCTCTCATCTTTATTATTAGCATACCCATATGCAAACATTACGATTTTGCATTTTTCGTAATTTTGTCTCATACTCATCACTATGGTGTGTGGATAAGTATAGCAGTGATATGAGTCTTTTTGCAGCTCCTGAGTGGTAATGCAGATAATATATGCTAAATGGATAGATATATGTACTTTTAGTTTCATATACATATTATTTAATATTCAACCACACTATTATATATTAATACACATCATGAAATGCTTAGAGTTTGGCCATGGCAAAGCTTCATGAATATCCATAAGAGGGATGATGAGTAATACATGCTTAATATAATAGGTCCTCTCAAAGCTCTATAAACTAATTCTTAAAAAAAAACTTAGGTGAGGCTTGCTTAAAAGGGGGAAACAAGAGGTTATCATCGTGTAGTAAAATAATATGCTACATCAATGTTCATCTCATGATTTATAATTTTAGGTGAATACAACAACAAATTATATGCGTTTCGGACCATTTGCCTCGCCGTGGGCAATTTTATGATTCAAATAATTAAAATAACTTGAAAATTTGCCCAGTGCATTTAATATATTAAATGCACTGGGCAAATTTTTTGTGTACACATATGCAGTAATAATTCATATGAAACGATACAGGATTTAGTTAGATAATTTCGTTATCCATAATCTATTGGTGATTTAATGTACGAAGCTTGAGTTAGTTTGTAACATGAAATATTATATTTCAGAACACTAAATGTTAAAAAATTCGACCTATCTTTGAAATATATTCATGTAGGCCATCAGTATAAGCAGAATCGAATAGTAAGAAGATTGCAACTTATGTATATTTAGGTACAAGCATCAATATGGCGCACATACTACATATATACATATATGCATTGGTATGGAACAATTAATCGGGCCCACGGCGAGGCAAATGGTCCGAAACGCATATAATTTGTTGTTGTATTCACCTAAAATTATAAATCATGAGATGAACATTGATGTAGCATATTATTTTACTACACGATGATAACCTCTTGTTTCCCCCTTTTAAGCAAGCCTCACCTAAGTTTTTTTTAAGAATTAGTTTATTTTTTGTTTTTAAGTCTCGTTAAGTTGTCATCAATAATAGATACCAAATTAAATCCTCATTAGTCTGGATGCGGTGCATATGCAATTAATTCTCCAGTGGGTGTGGATGCGTGGAACACCAAATTAAATTCCCCTGTCACCCGTGGACGTGGACAAGAAATGCATCAACATCATACATGTGTATGTATATGCACACACTTAGAAATCTGGTATAATTGAATTCTCAGTGGTACCTATTACTTGCAATATGACGCCAGCGGTCTAGCTCCGATTTTGACGAAAAAATGATAATCATGTATTCTTAGATAAATGATTAAACACGTGTTTCAGGATTTTTCATAATGCTCAGTTTAATTAAACAAAGTTATGATGGAAAACGTGAAAGAGAATTTGCATTTTCACCGTGAAATTTTACTCACATGGGAGAAAACGAAACATGATTACGTCAGAGCATTAGTTATGAATACCATTTTTGTAGTCATTTCTGAATACCACTTGGTACTATTTTAATACTGGATTTCTAAAAGTGCATACATGTACATACATATTTACATGTTTAGATATTTGCATATGTAAGTGCAGAGCTTACATGTTTCTATTGTGCTGGTTGCTAATAGAAACGAGTATTTATTATAAGTAATGAAGAAACATTACAAGTAACGTAACTGGCTGCACATGCTACCAAGAAAACTTTTTCATTTCTTATCCGATTTCGCTCGGGTTTGTTTTAAATGACGCGTTATAGATTTCCGCACATTAAAACATAGACGAGTCACAACCTTTGCATTGCAAAAGTGAATTTGCAAGTCGTTTGAAAGTTTAAAATCGATTTAAAATGGGTTAAAATAAGATTGTCATGTTTCTAGACCTGACGGGCATCATCTACCCAGCAAGGTCTGCACGATTGCCTTTTACACCATTTTGATATGATTAGCCGTTTTGCCACAATCTTGAGTGGAATTTTGGGAGGGGGGGTCTGTTTGCATACTTAGGCTTCGCCGTAACCATGCATTTTTTCATGTGTTCATGGTTACTATTATGCCTCACCTAAGAAAAAAAGATCGGATTTTTCTGCTCATCGCTCATTCTGATCTTTTCTGCTCGGCTGTGCGCATGCGATTTCGCTCAAAATCAGATTTTATTGCTCAAGAAAAAAATCGAGTTTTGGGTTGATTTTTTCTCTCATAATCCTGCTCATTCTGCTCCACATCAGCACATCAGCTGTTCAACTTTTCGCTTAAAAATTAAGCAAAGTTTTCTAAAAAATATTCTTTATCATTATGGGTCCCAAGACCAAGGTTAAGAGTACCAGTGTCGTTGCAAATCCTGTAATTTGTCGTAACAAACGTAGCGTCGTGGAGGTAGGAGGCCGAAAAACTTTTCGCTGGACACTACAAATAAAAATTGACATGGCACATTATGTGGTCGACATTTATACCGCATTTAAGGTAAATGATGGTTTGTTATCCACTTGTAATTTTGAATGACCAAATCCTTAAACGAAAAAAAAATATTTGAGAAGGTGACCAAATGAACTGAACTACTTCGTCGTCTCCAAGATGCTTTGGCCCTTAACTGCGAAGAAAGTCAAATAAGAAATGATTTCTTAAAACGTACACAGAGACTAACAAAAAGTTAATGGGTTTTGGGATTGACCCCGAGAAGGACGAAACTCTGGACAAAAGTGCGGTAGTTTCCTCCAATTACATCAAATCAAACTATTTTCAATTTTCAAAGCGAAGCCGAAATAAAAATACTGGAAATCAAAATTCAATTGGATACTCTTAAATCTAAATCCTAAATATATGACTTATAAAATTGTTTCTTGCTGCTGCATAAAATGAATTATTTGAGATAATGCTGTTCGTTTTAATTCTGCAATTTTTTCACAATGCCTGTTGTTGAAACACAGCCGCGTTAAGATCACATTATGATAAAAATTCTCATATCTCTTGACGTTCAGCTATTTTCGGAATTTTATGAATTATGAAACTGAATTTAAAACCATGAAACTGGTAAATAAACAAGAGGAATTCAATAGCTCTCATGCTACGCAGGGCGAGCTAATAATTGAACTTCCCACAAATAAAGATCACGATTCTCAAGAATTATGATCAATAAAAAAAGTGGTACGTTCAAGGTTTGAGCAGAAAAATCGGATTTTTTATTTTTCTGCTCATTTCGCTCATTTTTTGAGCCTTGAGAGCTCCTAATAACTACTGGGAATGATTAATTAATTCGTAGTTTATCTTTTTCTGGAAACAAATTTAATGTCCACAGCATATTTGACTTTGATTTGATGCGACTGGAAAACCATGTATTCATTGTAGTCGATTTCGAAGGAAGGGAAGCGAGTTGACTTTTCCGTCTCCCCAACTGGAACAATGGTCGACTTATGGGATAGATTCTTTTTCCAATTTGGAGTATATTTTCCGACCCCTTTTACAGAATCACAGCCCTTTGGAGGGCGATGACATTTGCGCCAGTGAGAATATCCATGTTCAGATTTTAACATATTTCCGAGTGTCACCTAAAGACAATATATCACTGTACGTATATAATCATTCCATTTTAACTGGGCTCTAATGGTGGGTTTTACACAAAACTATTCAATTACTAAATTACTAATTAAATGGTACATCAATCAATCACACCTTGCATAACAGTACTGTTTGTCTCCAGTTGTCGTGCATTTTGTCCGCAGCAGAGGGGAGGGCACGGGATGCTCTATCATAAAATGCGGTGCACGAATCTTCTCCGGCAGCCAAACGCCTGACCGAATCAGGCGTCGTTTTGAACCTAAAAAGCCCGAAACTTATTATTTTTCGGAGTATGAAAAAATGTGGAAATGTGTGTAATCTGGCCCGAATGCCTTAATTACCATAAAAGCATTGCCAACACATTGTTCTGAGCGTTGGTTTTCCTTTTTCTATGTTCCGACTTCGTTACGTCACCATTTCCTGACAAGAAGTTGGGCAGCAGTCCCTTCTTTTTCAAAATTCTACAAACTTTCACCTTCATACTGGAGCCACGTTGGATGTATATGCTGTTTATTGTGTATGCTTTGATCATTTTTGCGACATCTGAAGTTGCCTCAAGTTCCGAAAACGAACCAAGCGGTGACAGAATATCCTCTGACGATAAGAAGAATTTAGAATGCGAAGGAGGAGGCGATGATCGAATAGATGAATAAGCTCCATTTCTTGGCTGCACAGAAGATTTTCCCTTATGTGACTTAATATGTGACCCTGGGTAAGGAGAAAGATTATACTGAGCAATAGTCGTTCGTGGAGTACATATATTCACTAAATTGCACTTACTGCTACGAATAGCTTTCTGATTAGCCTCTTCGTCCTCAGAAATGTAGTATACACTGGTATCATCCTCTCCACCACAATAGTCGTTAACTGGAGGAATATAGTGTGCCTGTGAAATATTGAAATTATTTAATGTCTGAGAATAAGTAATGTCTCAGTTTTTATATGTAAATGTACATACATACGTACATTACGTACCCCCATCGTCGGATTCGGATCAGAAGAATGCAATTCAGTATCCGAAAATTGTGCAATAAGACTGGCAATATTTGGATCCGATTTTAAGTCGGCATCATCACTGATCGTGATTGTTCGGGTGGTTGTAACCTCTGTAATGACTTTAATGAAATCACAGATACAAATTAACTTCATCTTGCATTCAATCACAAATTGTATGATTTTTATAAGAAAAATTGTTTGCATTTGTTGGAGCGGTACATATATTTATTTATTTATATATTCACCAATCGGCTCGTTGTTGGCGTTTCCTACTTGTTGAACGGGGACCTTAACAAATTAAAGTTGCCAAAGTATTAAAAGTAGCTCATTGAATTTTAATGAGTTATCTTATTAAGATTAACCTTTTTAATAGGCTAAAATAAATAAATATCTTACGTTACGGTACTTATCTTCAAACCTGTCACAGGAAGAATCCATACTAAACAAACGACGATAAATAGAAATGTCTTGATAGTGCCGTGCAACCTGCTGTTAATGAATGCAAATCAGACTGCATTTGTATGTACGTGTGGATTGTGGATGATGAATGAATTGATGATTAGACGAACATCTCATCCCATCCTGTTGTTAGACCAACGTCATAATACACAATTGAACATTTAGCCATATACTTTTTATAATACAACGACGGCAAGATGTCAGAGACTCAAAAATTGCATTCCGTTTATTTGCATAATAAAATAGTATTTATATATTAGTTTAGAATGAATAAATAAAATTGTCAAATATCATCCATTTACTATTTACGTCAATTCTCTTGGAGGTACATAATGTATGTGCTTTTACCACAAATTGTGAGTCTTCTCAAAGAAAGTGAATAAAGATTTAGACGATTTGTTGAAACTGTATTCAATTTCTTTTCGATTGTACTCTTCGATTGCATGAAAAAGTTTCTTGATGTTGACATCCTTGCGACCTAGAAATTTTACAATTCTGATAATTTCTTTACTTTGTTCTGCATCTCCAGTATAATAATGCAACTCTCGTCCTGCTTCCGAAGCTGCCATCCATTGAATAATGAACTTGAGCTCCTGAAATAAATAAAATATTGTAGTTATTTTTAATACGAGCTAATATTCGGAATAAAATTACCTGATCTCCTTTAAACGCGCCGCAACCCCAGTGTCCTTATGAAGCAAATCTTTATAGTTTGAAGTTGATTTATGCTTAAAATTTGAAGCCCGAGTACATACCTGTGGCGACCGGGGTTTTCTCCTGATATTTTTTCGGAGCAAAAGCGCAATAACTTTTGTTGAGCTCTCGTTTCACCAAGTGGGAGCCAAATTGCTTCCTTGGGTCTTGCCTTTTTAAAAATTGTTCAACAAAATTAGCATTATGTATGCATATATACTAAACAAGTGTGCGAACCATACTCTGAAAAATTGTATGCATCCATTGCAACAATCTCAGTTTTCCTTCGACCATACTCGTCTAATTTCGTATCATCAACAATATCACCAGCGTATTGAAATGTACTGCCATATCCTCTATACTTGCAAAATTGCTCGCATCCCGTGATAATTAGAACTTCATCCTTCTCCAATTTTTCCGTAAACAGCCTGTAGTTTTCCCAACGATGAAATGATCCAAACATAAAAATACAATGAACATATTGAGTTGATCAATAATCAGGTGATCACCAATGAGCAAATAAATTTATACCGTGCGACAATTAGTTCTGGACAGATGGAGAACCGGCTAAAAATGTATACACATTTATGCATGAAGTTAGTTATTATAATATCTTCATTTAATAAATTAAAACTTAAAGAATTATTACACTTCTTCCATGACCATTCCTCTCCCAATGACACCCCCTCCTATGTAATTCGTATAATGTAAGCAGGTACATATATATGTGCGTCTATACATTTACATAACTCACCAATAAACTGGTTAGCAAAGTCAACTTGCAAACAATTTTTAGCAGATTCAATGCCTTCATTGTTAAACACATTGACATACGACATTTTCCTCGTAGAGGAGTATCCCCAATCTGGCTCTTCGGTAAACGACAATGATCGTCTTTCAAAGGATAAGATGTTCCCGTTTCCCTTAATTTTTCTCACTCGCTCAAAGTAGTGTAGGATGCATTTGAGCTTTTCAATCTTTTTCTCTGCTTCATTGTTTCCTAAAGTTCCATGGTACAATCTACACATGATAAATATTAATATGTGGCCCCTTCTGAAAACCTGATAAAGATTAGGTAATTAGGTACTTACTCGTGAAAGTTAATCTCTGGAAGTTTCCCTTCCCGTTTAGGAAATGTGCATAAAAATGCATTGGCCAAAATACTGCAAATTTGTTTTTGATTAAAGAAAATGCTGGTCACTTTAGAGTGTTTTCCGGATTTTAGAACCGGAATACCGAACGGAAAATTATTTTCCATTTTTGCAGCTTCCTCAGCAATGAATTCAAATTGAGATTTCAAAGAAAGACTCTCGGTTAGCAAATTGAAGGAACTCTTCCCATATTTTGAATTGTACTGGGATACAGATTGTCTTAACTTCTCACCTACATCAAGGGATCATTAATTACGTACAAACTAGCTTGTTAAAACGTTGTAGAAATTATCGGCTGTGTACATGCACGAGTATTGCTTAATCTTACTTACCAAAGCCTGGCGAAGCAACCAAACTCTTTAGTTTTGCCAATTCGTCATTGATTATCTCCCACTTTTTCTTTGATGTCCTGTCGAGGGACTCTTTGTATACTTGTATTTTTGTATTGCAAGGGTCGTATGGCATCTGGACGAAGTCGTTGTCCCCCCATGTGGACCGCTTTGGTAATGTCGTTTGCGTCAAGGCTCCTACCCCATTGCTGCTGCTTAGTGGAAACAAAATTTTTACGTTTGGATTATTTTTCTTTAGTGCAATCAGTCTGTCAAACATTCCACCTCCCTCGTGGTAATGTGGTGGCGACGGCGATACACTCGTTTCCTGAAAATTAAAATATTTATAAGATATAAATACCTATGCGGAGGGTTGACACACTGTTGACAGGTTCAATTGAAACTTACACTGGAATAATTGAAATTTGAAGAAGCGCTGTTGGTACTGTGGGATACATGAGGCTTATTTTGGTTGTCGTCTCCCGGCCTAGTTTGATATGACCCATTCGGACAAACGTTGTTTGAGGTTGACATGAAGCTGCTCCTCTCATTTTTTGTTTTATTTTCTCTTGCATAATCAGCAGGCCCCTTTTCCTCTTTTCTGTCCATACTTGCAAGTCGTCGTTGTTGATGTTCTAACACGTAAATACAAAACGAATAAACAATATAAATAATGTTGATGAAGGTTGCAGCTACGAGCATTTGATTAAACGAAATAACACCGCGTGATGAGCAAATATTAGTGCCTTATCTCTTACAATTGCAGAATTCCGTTGGTGAGAGATTAATGGGATCCCATATCATGTCAGTTATGCACCACTTTCACTTCACTTGCACTTTCCAGTTAACATTTGTTTTATTCCACTACCAACCAAGTTGGCAGGATGCAATGGTGAATGGATACCATTCGATTGATAATCATCCGCCTGCGTAAACTAATTTCTGGTACAATGAGTTCTTCCACCTCCGAAAGTGACGAGGACGATCTTGCAAATCAATTCAAAAATCTTAGCACAAAACACCAAGGAGTAAATAATAACACATTCAGCATTTTGACATTACATACGTTTGATTGATTCAGTTTCTTGGCTCCACAGCACCACAAGACAAAGGGGAAGCCCATACATGAACCCGCATCTTTGCAACTTCTTCAGCAAATAACTGGCAAGTCGGAGACAGAACTCAAAACCTACTTGTTCAAAGCTCAACTTTTGACGACATCCCATGAAAATTATACAAAAATTGTCCAATATGTTAGGAACAGCCAAGAACATGGGTTTGGTATCCAAGTTGTTAACATAGTTCGTTTAGTTAGAAATAATGATTTTGAGTTCCAGCATGAGCACAAACATTCATCTCCGTCCACCTCCAAGACTTCCAACTTTAGAATGATTTTGTGGCATGGCACAAAGAAAAATTCTGTCTCTGCTATTCTCAGCAATGGATTTGCAAAACCTCCAAATAAGAATCAAATGTTCGGAACGGGATGTTATTTTGCCGATAGAGCATCGAAGAGTGCAAATTATTGTGATGGTACTACGCCTGGCAAGCTCGGGTACATGTTTTTATGCGATGTGAAACTTGGGAAAATGTACAAGGCCAAGAACCCCCACAACGACTACTCGTCCCCACCATCGGGCTACGACACGGTCAAATGTGTGGGGGCCAAGATTCCGGATTGGGATACCAATCAGCACATTGACGGGGCAGTGCTGCCTTCAGGTCCGACCAGAGATAACCTCAGATTCGGCGCCTACTCGGTCAACTTCAACGAATATGTAGTTTATACCCCGGAACGCATAAAGGCCAAATATTTGGTTGTGGTAAAATTTCAGGCGCAAAAATGTTAATAATTTTATTTTTTAATCAGTTATAGAATTTTTAATCAGTCATTTTAATCAAAATGTGTGCAATAAATCATATATTTGTGTATGCATCGAAACGATGAGTTTTCGTTACAATTATTTCTAATGGGATATTTCAATATCGACGGCAAACTGAACTTCAATTTGTTTGCTTTGATACACTAAGTATTCATTAAACTCGAGCTCAAACTTTTGAAAGCGAGTTTCCTTCTCTGTTTCACCACATGGGACGATTGCATTATCAATTTTACGATTTTGATGCCAATTTGGCTTGTGTTTTCCCATTCCTTTGACAGAATCTGTCCCATAAGGTGACCTTGTTTCAGTGGACCACCGGGAATAGCCTTGTGGTGATTTGTGCATCTTTCCAAGATCCACCTACATACATATTTGGATAGTACATAAATTAAAATAATTATCGCCAATTTCGTGACAGCACGATAACTTAGTAACTGGTTATCTGTCACCTTGCATAATAAAATTAACTGACGCCAGTTTTCTGTTGTCTGACCGAATTGGAGAGGAAGTGCCCGGCTCAATCTGTCATAGAATGCAGTACAAGAATTCTGCGACTGAGCAAGTTTTCGAATCGAGTCCGAAGTTGTTTTTACCCAAAGTATCATCTCAAAATTGCTGTTTGAAGCTAATTTTGTGGTCAGATTTTTGAACGCTTTGGAAATGGAAGGTTTGGTGGGTTCCATTCGATAAACTTTCTGAACTTCAACCCCCAACTTTGAACCAGATTGTTGAAAGCTGTTTGTCGCATATAACGCCAAAGTTTTCCAAGTCGCAGAATTAACGTCAACTTCAACAAATCGACCAAGTTCACCTAACTCTTTTGCTGGGTTGGGAATTCGCAAGGGTATTTTAGGAATGTGGGCAGGATTCGAATGAGCACTGGCAGCGACTGCGCCTTTTTGTGAAGATGATATAGAGGCAACGGAGGCATAAGACGATGAACCAGGTTTCACTGCTGGGTACAAAGGGGTCGAGTTGGAAGATTCTATATTGAGATAGAATTTTGGATGAAATATGAACATAAATAATTATACAGATACATATCTTAATGTTATAAACCACTGTAAACCTTGTAAGGCAACACCATTTTGAAGTCGTTTTGATGAATTAGCGTCTGTCTCATCTTCGTCTTCAGAAATGTAGTAGAATTCATTGTCGCTGTCGTCATTTTTGAAGTCGATGGAAGACCTTTTTTCGATTAATGCACTGGACGGCTGAGGTTTAATAACATCCGCAGGAGCTTGAGAAATTTCTGAAAATATACGTTTCAGCTTACTCTTAATATTTTTGTTGATTTCAAGGTGGTATATTTTCCTTTGTCGGTTTTATAATTATAAAACCTTGATTCCTCCTTTGCGATCCCGTCTCATCACCACCCCCTGCTTCAAATTTTTTCCGTAAGTCGTCCACTGATGGCATTATTTTTACCATTTGGGAATCATCAACATCTAAGAATAATTGTTTTAGTTAGAATTTGTGAGTTTTTATCAAAATCACTTCAAGTCAAACGTACCCATCAAATCGTCATCTTTAAAGTTTGAGGCAGACCCGGTCGCCATGTTTTGCTGATACGAAATCGAAATGTAGCACACGTTGAGATGTATTTAGATTCAAATTAAATTTTATGTCAGTGTATATAGCAATACACTTTTGGCATACCGATTGGTGAGCCATGAACTTTCATATTATACATTGGCTATATTGATGTACGTATGTTGTATCAAGTTGTATGTATGTACATACTTAGAATGGTGGAATTTATTAATCTAACAGGGGAACCTTAAGTAGTGTCACATCTCGATTTGCTTTCGGATGGTCTTAATTGATAGATAATTTAGTGTAACTAAAACTTTGTCGTATGTAGGACACAGTGCAAAATCACGTTTTTGTGAAATATTTGGCGAAAGCTGCACCAAAACGTGCAATTTTTCCAATGCTTTTAACACAGATAGCAGCCTTCGGGATAATGAAATGAGGTTTATAAATTATACACCTGTCCGCAATTTCATGCTAATCGCCAATATTTTTAAAAAATCATGTAAACATTGGCCATTTTTTGTAATTTGGCAAATCTGCAAAATTTTCTAAATTTGAATTTCGTCGTTCTTAGAAATTTGTAATAAAATTTAAATGTTAAACTTCTTTTATTTAAGCATTGCAAAAAAGTTTTCAAAAAATACATTTTTTTTCTTATTGCAACAAAATGGGCGATAATTACAAAAAAAATGATTCTCACAATTTTTCATGAAGAAAGATATAATGACCAATGCTAGTGTATTTTACGTATTTTTCAAAATTGTTGGCCATATTTGTTTTTGCAAGTTGCAAATTGGAAATTTATATAGGACGTCCTATATATGCCATAGTGGAGGGACCCAATCAGGTCCCTCCAGGATGAAATTTTTTCCAGTTTTCCAAAAGCTTAAAATCTCGAACGAGGTATGGAAAAGTTATTTTGTCGAATATTCTAAAAGCTAACGATGTAAATTTCCAATTTGCAACTTGCCAAATATGGCCAACAATTTTGAAAAATACGTAAAATACACTAGCATTGGTCATTATATCTTTCTTCATGAAAAATTGTGAGAATCATTTTTTTTGTAATTATCGCCCATTTTGTTGCAATAAGAAAAAAAATGTATTTTTTGAAAACTTTTTTGCAATGCTTAAATAAAAGAAGTTTAACATTTAAATTTTATTACAAATTTCTAAGAACGACGAAATTCAAATTTAGAAAATTTTGCAGATTTGCCAAATTACAAAAAATGGCCAATGTTTACATGATTTTTTAAAAATATTGGCGATTAGCATGAAATTGCGGACAGGTGTATAATTTATAAACCTCATTTCATTATCCCGAAGGCTGCTATCTGTGTTAAAAGCATTGGAAAAATTGCACGTTTTGGTGCAGCTTTCGCCAAATATTTCACAAAAACGTGATTTTGCACTGTGTCCTACATACGACAAAGTTTTAGTTACACTAAATTATCTATCAATTAAGACCATCCGAAAACAAATCGAGATGTGACAGTACTTAAGGTTCCCTTGTAAGTCTCAATTCTTAATCACTCAACTCAAGTTATGGATGACAATCCCTATCATCTGCTTATCTTTTTAAATATTATTTGTACATTTAGCATAAAGCACAGTTTGTTAATATAATGGGATCTGATGTGATTCGGTATAATCCAGTCGTGCATTCAACATTTTATCTGGTATTCGTATAAAATGTAATCAGCTTTCGCATTTGAAGAATAAGTGAATGGACAGCGCAATTCTGGCTAAATAATTACCAATAAACTATCCAAATTAAAAAACTATTCAGAAACTATATACAGCTGCATATTTTTCCTGTCTATGTTGGCATATTGCATTGCCGTTATCCACACATGTATTCTCAACGTAAGACTAATCTTAAGATTATGTGATAAGTGATAACCCACAGATTTTCATCTTGTAGACTGTAAAAAATGTCAATCTGGTTAAGGCGAAGGGAATATGATCAATATAATGCAAGAAAATTTTCAAGATCTCACAAATATCATCTCATTTATATTGGTGCAAACTCTATTATCTTTCTTATCACTCTCGCCACCTGCAAATCCATGTACATTTATTTGAATCACCACTGCAGTCAGTATATGTGCATATGTACATACATACATATGAGCACAATTTTACTTTAAAAAATAATAAACGTACACTTTCCTATAATTTGTGAAGAAGAGTATTTTATAAAAAGTGCGAAATGGCGTATTTCCAAGATTTTGAAAGTGAAGAGGAAGATCCCAACCCATTCAGTACCATGAGTGACATGGACGACGATTCCCTACAACGGCTCAAGTTACACAAACCTCTTGGGTCTGACCTGCTGATAAAATATAATTTTAATAATTGTAAAGTCTTATGTACAAATTGTAAATATAATATTAACCATTTTGTCCCCATTTACCATTGAACAGCTACCGGTTCCTCTCCAGACTCACTGGATTAACGGAACTAGCACTACGAGAATCATTCACCACCACGCTGGTTAGTTCTGAGAAGTCAACTTACAACGATATCGACACGTATTTCAACAATGGTCAGTGTCACACGTTCAGACTCCGAATGACCAAACTGTTTCGAATCCGTCGATTTGAAGATGTGAATTGTTTCGGAGACGAAAGTCAAAATAGGAAATTGCTTTGGCATGGAACAAAGAGCGAGAACATCACGAGTATCCTGACCCGCGGTTTCACTCGACCTACACCCAATGGTCAAATGTTCGGAAACGGCTTGTATTTCGCGGATCGAACATCGAAGAGTGCGCAGTACTGCCTTCCCTCCTTGATGGGCTCTTCTTCTTCCTCACCTGCCAAGGGACAAAGGGGACATTTGTTTCTTTGCGCAGTGTCTCTCGGGAAAAGCTACCCTTCGAAAACCGCTCTCAATGACTATGTCGCAGCTCCAACAAACTATGACAGCATTTTGGGAGCAGGGAAATTAATTCCGAACGCAAGTGAAAGCCGTCGATATCATGATGCCGAAATCCCGTGCGGTAAAACAATTAGTCGGCCGACTTCAGACAGCATCCAAAACCCTCCGTTGAAATTCAACGAGTACATTGTCTATGATGTTGATAAAATCACAATAAAGTTTTTAGTCGAATTTCAAGTTGTCTAAGTATATATTAAGCTATCAATAATTACTTCAATAATGAGTGTATATTTATTCCTACAATTTAGCTTGCAGTTAAATAGAGAAAGTTCTTGAAAGTTCTTGTGACTTTTGGGACTGTTGCAATACAGCCAAAAAGGACATACTGTGACAATTATAATATGCTTAGATAATTTCTTTTGTACGAGATATGCGCAAATATAGATGACAAGTACTTTGGGTATCCGTAAAATGTACCCTTCCCACGTTTAATAACTAAGTTTAACTCTGAATTTCAATTATAATTTCACACTTGTAAATCTAAGTTAATTACATGTTTACATGTGTAGGCAAAATAATTGATTAAAACTTGTCGACCCTAGAATTAGTTATACGAGTATTATGCTACATTGCTACAAGAAGTCCTGAGATTCCAAGGATTTTGTTTCAATGAGAATATTTATGGAAACATGTTTTCACAACTGCTACTTCGACCCCATGCAAAAATGTGAATTTATGAGCAGCGTAAATCAATGTAATTGTCAATGTAAATATTTACTTTGTTGAATTTCCACGTATTTTAATTGAAGTCAAGTAATAAATTATATTAACAAGAAATGAAATTACGAGCCAATACTTTATTTATGCTTGGATGCGAGTGTGGCGTGAAATTTTACTGGGATGCATCATTAGCTGGGTACTCATCAATAATAGTTCCATTCTCGAGTCGAATATAGTTTCGCATTTGCAGGATGTCCTCCGTAAGTTCAACCACTCTGGCACCACGCGTCCAGTCCCCATAACCTCCGTACCTGTGAATTAAAGATATTCATAAATACTCTAATAATTGCTACATGAATAAAGGTGAAAAGGTACATAGTAATTAATAATAATAATAACAATATTATTATTATTAATTTGTAATTATATATAGGATAAAAAACTAATATAATATAAATATAAAATAAAATAATAATAATAAATAATAATAATAAAATAATAAAATAGTATAAATATAATAATATTATTATTAAATACTTTAAGGGTACACATAACTTACCCCGTGTGGCGATTATAGCATATAGATAACGTGAGATACGTACAGCACCATGCATTTCCATGGTCATGACCAACAAATGTGGTCATTACGGTTCCTGAATTGACCAGAGCTTGCATAAACAGTGTGTCCCTATCTTGAGGAACCACTGCTTCATCTACACAAGCATATTCACATTTGTAACGCATCATTATTAGCCAATAATTTATCAAAACCATGTTACTTGTACGCACCTACTAGTCCAACACAGTCGTCACGGTTTGGGATATCGGTATTGTCCTGCACATCCTCGTAGTCGATGCTGCAATAATTTATATAATTAACACGAATGCATAATATATTCAGTCAAACTAATTTTATAAATCAGAATTCTACACATAAATAAATATATGTATCAGCTTTTATATTTTACGTGGGGATGTGGAAGAAAGCCAACGCCGGCACTGCTCCCCATGCTGCCGTGAGCTCGGCATTTTTTGTAATAAACCAATTCACGACAGCTTCATCCACATTGGAGGGTTTAAAACCGTTGGGGTCGAATCCCCCTCGAGAATCAAAGAACCAAAGAATGAGCACAGGGGTTTCGCCAACACTTTCAACTGAGGGGTAAATAGGGAGGTAGTAGTTCGTCAGGCCGGGCAACAGATCAGTCCCATCGTTGGTGGTGTAGCAGTTCTCGTACTTGGATTCCGTCGCATAAATTTGTTCTCGGGTGGTCGCAATGCCATTATCATGATTGCCATAAGTGGAAGCCCAGCTGCGATAATAAAACCATTAATGCAGATCTAAAAACAATTATCAAGTGTCCTTTTTCGTTTATGTACATGTGCATATGATATATTACCGATAACCAGCATTGAGCAAGGGAGTCAACAACTGCTCAATGAATCCCGTAGAATTTACAAGAATAGCGTCGCCGGTTATAAGGTCGCCCGTAAAAACAACAAAGTCAGGGGTGTCGAATTCTATAAATTCGAAAGTTATACATTTGTATGGCAGAACTTTTGAAGTAAATGTCTTGTAAATGTACTTTGTACTTATGTCTGTATGTTACCTAAAATGTCCCTCATGACGCGAGTTGAGTTGCCGTCTTGCGCTCTACCACGATCAGTTCCAGGAAATTCTCCATAATGCCTGCGTGACCACAAGATCAAGTTTTAGCGTATACTTGTAAAAATGGCATCATAAAGAGTTAATATGTGTATTACAAATCTGCAAAGTTCACAATTTTAAATTTTCCTTCTGGATTGAATCTGATTTTTGGTTTCAATTGCTTCGACTCCAAGCTTTTACTCTCTGCGAGCACAACCAGAAGAAGAGCAAAGCACAAGCTGCTAAAAAGTTTTCCCATTTTAGACTTGCTCAGATATCGGACAACGTAATGCAAAGATGTTCTCTGATGTGGAGCAGAAAACTATTTATAAAGATGGATAAATTATTTATAATGCTTATTATAACAATGTGATGGAGTTTTTTTTATTGCGATAGCATTTTGTTCTGTCAAATGTTTTACATATATTTGTAGGCTTGTCATCATTTAACTAATTGAATGTCACAGATTATAATTATGATCAGAACAGGGTAAAAGTACATAAATAACAAGATAACGACTTATGCAAGACACTCATCATTCTGAACAAGATTTTCAAGTATCAGTGAGCGTCAATTATGTATATGGTGCAATACTCATATATTGTACAATTGTGTGACTCAATACTTATCACATCAGGAATCAGCATACGTTAATCAGATGTACATTATTACCCTTGAAAGTTCAATTAGTCATGGGTTTGTAAAAAAAATCTGACTGTCGGGGGATAATTTTTAATAAAATGGTTAATCTTCGCCAATAATCTTCCAACATTCGTTCATTCTTGCCCAGTAACAGTCAATAACTTCACCTATTAACCTTGATCATCTCACAAATAAGTTAATTAAAGACGAGTTTATTATTCGCAAGATGTCCCTTTCATAATCAAGTCTTCTAACAAACCAAGCTAAATCTGGAATTTGTTAGTACATACATGCGTTTGAATATTAAATACTTAAATACGAGAATGTAGGAGTATTATTAAATAGTAGAGGTCATGTCCTGGATGAACTGCAACCAGCCGATAATGTTACTAAGCTTGAGATACGCTAATAATATTGTAGTGCAGTTACATAAACAGTTTACAAGCGCAAAAGAGTACGAGCAAATTTTAAATTCAGATTAATTATTTAGTAGCTTTTTATTTATTAATTTTTCATTGTTACCTGTATTTTTATGTCATCAACATCTGTGGCTCAGAAGTTACACAATTAATGTCATCTGCCTCCGTGAATGACTTGAATTAAGACATGTGGTTCACATTCTCATAATTCTGTTTCTTTTCAGTCTGCCCAACTGACTCGGTAATCTGATGCCCTAGAAATACTTATACATAATTGGAAATATGCACCATTATTCTTACTGAATCTCGAATAAAGACTAATTTTTTACCGGCGTCACTACCACATTCATAAGTGCAAAAGCATAAGAGTATAAAATCGTGAAAGAATTAAAATGCTCGATCAGATTGAAGTTGGCATTTCTGGTTTCGCTGATTAATACGTTGTTTCTAAGAACATTATGAATCTTGTCGTAGTGTTTGCCCTTCTGGGTCAAATCCTTTTGTCCCAAGGACATTATGCCCCCTACCCACCTTCGTATTATCGAACCGGATTCCAACCCGGCTCCACTGTATATATATTAATTTTACTTTACATGAAAATTTAAACCGATTAATCCTCATATTTTATGTACATTTCGCAGGGGGTTTTCCCTTCTCCTTCCACTGTAAACATCCCACAAGGCACTTTGGTCCGCTACCCTGCAGGCGCAAATGTAGTCTATAACGCCCCCACCAGGATCACGTATCCTCAAGAAACAAGATGTTACTACCCCTCTGGTCCAGCCACGTATCCTTCCAACACGACTGTGTCGTATCCAGCTGGGGCCGGGGTAATACAGATCGTCAATAAAATTTTAAATAATTTGAGCTCACAATCAACTAATATGTATGAAATTGGTTAGGCCGTCTATCCTCCGGGGACCGAGTTGATTATGTTGGATAACACGACAAACTCGTACCAGCCAATCAATAACAGTCCTTATGGAATAGTAAATTATCCAACAGCAACAAATTGCACCTATTACAACAACCCCGGACCTCCAGCATATTATCCAAGTGGAACTCCAGTCAGCACATATTATGTGCCAGGTACTTAAGTCCTCATACGTGGTATTTCGAACAATAGCGACAATCCACTAAGATTGTGTGTGTTCAGGGGGAAGCACGCAATACGGACCGTCTCCACCCCCCGTGGGATTCACTCAGTATTTCTACAACCCCTACAACCAACCCCAGTACAGGACAGTGGTTGCATACAATGGAGGCACTGGCTACCCAATGTGGCAAACAGGTAATTTACTTTTATTAACTTATATTAATTTTTATTAGCTTATTACTTTTCTTTAACTTACAGGTCCCTACTATGGTCCATTCCCAGGATAAAAAGTGGACGCCACCAACTCCCCCAGCAAAAGAAATTTGATGAATGAATAATTTTGATGTGTTAATTGAACACTTGCATAAATTTTTAAAATTCGACAATGACAAAATTATTAAAATTAAGAAATTGCTAAATAAATTTGACCTATGACTTAAAGTCATCAAGTAATTATCATATGCACGTACATATACTTTAATTTTTAAAACAACTCAGACGTTTGTGAGGGTGATAACAAACTGGGTGACTTGAAATAGTTTTATACCAGTTTTCTATAAGAGTATACATTCATTTTAAAATAATTTTAAAGCAAGATAGAAACTTATAGAACCTGCATGATGAACATACAGAGAAATTAAATGATAAGAATTGGTTCTACAATTTTACATAACAAATCAAATTTGTAGGATACAAATACTTATGCGACATTTTTTTCATTTAAGAGAAGGTTTGCATGTAGGCAACTGGTATATTATTTAGAAGACGTTTCACCAATATTTAGGAGTTTAAAAAAATTTAATTCCAATAGTTTTTATTGTCATCTTAAAAATCGGCGTCTGTCCTATATCGTCTCACACTATACAAATTCTAATTATCGGACAACCGCTTTTAGTTTTACTTCACTACTAGTAAGCTAATACTTACAATATGAAAAACACTACAAATTAACGAATGCATGCATATTTATCGGAACGTCGATATATATTTTCATAGTTTTCATAATATTGTCGTGAACAGAAAGATGAGAATTTCTGGGAGATTCATAAGGGTCTATGCAAAGCATGTGATCGATTTGAGGGGGATAGGGATCAAGACATCCTTCTCATATTAATTATAACATGGGGCACATATGTGGGTCACACCCGGGGGTAGGGGTCAAAATTCTCCGAAAATCTATCGCATGCCTCATGCACGTCCCCTAAACATAGAAAAAGTTTTGCTTTCTAGAATTTTTCTAGAATTTTTGCGTTCTAGAATTCCTATCCAGAGTCTTAGTTACTATACATACAGCTTACAGATTCATATGTTTCTACAAGACAAGAAAAGGTCAAGGGATTCTGCTCCTCCGATTGGTTTTCAGTTTTTCTGGAGTGAGAGATTCTATTTCTGGAGGCTTGGCCAAGCGCAAACCAAGATTCGTCAAGTTCAATCCTGTCTTTTTCTCAGTCTCGAGAAGAAGTCGCTGGCTGAAGGAGCTCGCCTTTTATTTCTCACTCTCTTTCTCACAGCCCACCGCTCTGGTCGTTTTTTTTCTCTGCTCCTTCCAATTGTTGAAAATTTTCAAGTCCCCACTTAATCTAAATTCCAAGTAGTATCGTACTTCCCACAGACTCCATCATGGACAAAGTTGAGCCTCCCCCCACTTTGGATAACCCATCAAGCAAAGTGAAGACGGAGGAGGAGGATATTCTCACTGACGACGATGACGAAACTGTTGTCATTAGCCTTACTACTGGGGAGCAGGCTACTGACGATAAGAACGATATTGCCCCCCTTATTGACGTTCGTGACAATGAGCCGCCGCACCGATCTGCTGGTCCTTCAACCTCCAAAGTTCAACTTCCACGCAAAAGGGCCAAGGTCAATAGACGAAGGAATGCTGCTAAGGTGAAGGTGAGTTGAGAATTTGATAAATTTATTATAACCGAGTCTTGGTTAGATTATTTTACAAATATTAGAGTTGAGTTGTGGATTTTATTTTGATTATGGTTGAGTTGCTTCTTATTGTATGTAATAATGTCATTGTTTTTTTGGGGGGTAGGCGGAAGCAACGGATACGAATTCCAGTAAACCAAAACCAGATGAAGGGGAGGAAGAGCCTGAAGAAGACGATGAAACTCTGGATATGGCTGAAACGTATGCGGACTATGTCCCACAGAAATGTAAGTGGTTTGGTCTTGGTGGGATTGATAACTATTTAGTGTGTAATTTTATTGTTATCAGGTTTAGAATTTTTTGTAAATATTTATTTTTCTCATTGGGAATAGGGAGAGATGGGAAACCACACCCCGACCCTATTGTGGAGACGGCGTCATTGAGCGGAGTCAGCATGCCAGATATTAGTCATACTTTGAGTATCCCTAAAGCAGTGATTAACCAGGGTCTTTTGTCGGCGCCCCAACTTGAGGCTATCGTGTATGCTTGCCAACAACATGAATTCTTCCTGGCTAGCGGAGAAAGGGCCGGTTATCTAATTGGTACGTTTTTTTAACGATAAATGTCTCCTCGTGGTTTTTTTTGTGCGTCGAGTTCATGTTGCTAGTTAATGGTGTACAGTCTAACATTTTCACGTTGATGGTTTAATGTTATTGCAGGTGACGGGGCTGGTGTGGGAAAGGGTCGAACCGTCGCTGGTATTATATACGAAAATTGGCTCAATGGACGGAAGAAGAGTCTTTGGATCTCTGTGTCGGCAGACCTCAAAGAAGATTCTACCCGGGACTTGAAAGACATAGGGGCAGCAAAAATTGAAGTGCAAGCCTTGAGCAGCTTCAAATATGAGAAGATCAGACCGGATAAATTCAAGAATGGAGTTTTGTTCATGACCTATACTGGATTGATTGGCAAAACCAGTAAGCGAGGAAAATTCAATACACGATTGACTCAAATAATTGACTGGCTTGGCAAAGAATTTGATGGAGTGGTAAGTTTCTCATTCTCTAAATTCAATATAAAATTAAAAATTGTTCATTATAAAAATGGTAAATTGACAGATTGTATTCGATGAGTGCCATCGAGCCAAGAATCTGTGTCCCACCAAGACCAAAAACCCAACAAAGACTGGAATTGCTGTTGAAGCACTTCAAAGCAGTCTTCCTAAGGCTCGAATTGTTTATGCTTCTGCAACGGGAGCTTCCGAACCTAAGAATATGGCTTATATGACGCGTCTGGGGATTTGGGGGCCGGGGACTGCTTTTAAAGCATTTAGTGACTTCATAGACTCGATCGAAAAAAGGTAACAGCTAATAATATGAACTATTTACAATACTTAAATGTGTTCAGCTCAAAGTACTTTTACTCGGGTAAATTATGTGCGTTTTTTTAAATAAATTGATTATTTTGTTCTTACTACAGAGGAATTAAGGTTATGGAATTAGTTGCGATGGATATGAAGCTTCGTGGTGCTTACATTGCTCGTCAACTGAGTTTCAAAGGGGTCACCTTCAAAATTGAAGACGTCCAACTGAACTTAGAGTTCGTGGATATGTATAACCAATCAGTAAATCTGGTAAAGTCTCATCACTGTAATGTATCATGAAATTTAAATGGTCACCCAATGCCAATATCAACATTATATATTCCAGTGGGTGGAAGCAATGGGGAAGTTTATCGACGCAATAGACTTGCTGGAACTTGATGGGAGAACCAGAAGAGTAATTTGGTCGCAATTTTGGGGCAGTCATCAACGGTTTTTCAAGTATCTGTGCATTGCTGGGAAAGTGAGCCGTGCCATCGACATTGCAAGGTAAGTAGATTGTTATAAAAGTATTTGTAAAAGTATACTACACGAATTGTGCTTATATACAACGTGAATTATTTATTCATTTATGAACGATAGAGAGGCCGTGATCGACGGGAAATGTGTCGTAATCGGATTGCAATCGACAGGTGAGGCGAGAACTGCTGACGAATTCGAAACTCGAGATGAAGAGGAACCGGAAGACTTCATTTCAACTGCAAAGTATAAAAAATATAATACACATATATACACGTTTGTTTTGAAGTTCACCAATAAATTTACTTGGCTCAGGTTTTATAACAATGTTAAGAGATCTTATGTTCCATAATATATTTCAGGGGAGTTTTCCAAAACCTTGTGGAAAAACAATTTCCGCATATAAAAGTCAACACTACTCCACCAGCCACCAGGAGAAATTCTCGAAAGAAACCCGTGAATACAAAATACAATGTAAAAAGGGAGAGATTTGATGATTCTGAGTCTGATTCTGACGCCGGATCATCCTACAACGCTATGGGTTTCTTCAATACTTCAGCAGCAGTTTCCGGAAATGATTCTGATTCCGAAAGTTCGGCAAACACTGACACAGGAAGCTACAATGTTGGTACGATCGGCATGAACTATACAAATAAATAACACCAAGGTTTTTAATTGTTTAATTTGTAATTTATATTTATGGCAAGGTGGACGAAAGCGCAAATTAGGAAGTAAGGCTCCAAGGAATACCGGGGCAAATTCTCCTCTTCCGTTTATGCCAGGTGAGGCTTCGCTACAGCAAGTTGCACGAGACCGCAAAGAACTTTTAGAAAAGATTGAAGCGCTGGGAAACGTGCTGCCCAAGAACTCGTTGGACCAACTCATTAATGAGTTAGGTGGTCCTAGTCAGGTTGCTGAGGTACACAAATTAATTATGTATTTGTTTGATAATGTTATTCCAAGTACTCACTCGAATTCTCTATAACAGTTAACAGGACGAAAGATGCGATTGGTACAATTGGAAAATGGAAAAATCGACTACCAGTCAAGAATTGAGGTGGGCGTTACAACGAGCCAGATAAATTTAACGGGTGAGTTATATTTTTTTCTAATAATTATTTGTCGTAGCTTATCAATTTATGAAATTTCTAGTTATTAATTAATAATTATGAAAATACTTGCTGGTTATCACAGAGAAACGGCGTTTCATGGACGGAGAGAAACTAATTGCCATCATTTCAGAAGCCGCTTCTAATGGCATCAGCCTCCAAAGTGATCGCAGAGCTAAGAATACTCGACCAAGGGTTCACATCACCATCGAACTGCCTTGGAGTGCGGATAGAGCAATTCAACAATTTGGTCGTACTCACCGAAGTAACCAAGCAAATTCTCCCGAGTATGTTTTCCTGATTTCCGCAATCGCTGGCGAAAGAAGGTTTGCATCCGTAGTGGCAAAAAGGCTAGAGAGTCTTGTAAGGATTTTGCAATTTAAATATGCTCATTTAGATTATTCAGTTTTCGAACTATGTACAGGGTGGTTTAAATGTCAGGTTACAATGGAAAATTTGTCAATGGGAAAAATTCGCAAATCTCCATTGGTTACCGAAATTTTGCCTCTGAAATTCAATCTTTTAAGAATTTTGTCATCAGTGTTCCATAAGTCTTGATAAAAATCTCAATCACAAATCCGTAACTAATGGAAATTTATGAATTTTTCCCATTGAAAAATTTTTAATTGTAACCTGACATTTAAACCACCCTGTATTTTACTAAAAATATGAATTTTATTTTAGGGAGCTTTAACACATGGTGATCGCCGTGCCACGAAAACCAGAGATTTATCCCGATTCAACGTGGATAGCATCTATGGGAGAAAAGCTTTGCAAGAAGTTATGACATCTATTCGATCCGCATCAATTTCGGGATTGGCAGCCAATCCTCCCAGTTATGTTGGAAACTTCATTGAAGATGTTACTAATGGCTTAGTTGGAGTTGGCTTACTAGCGGATGAGGACGGAAGGTTTGCGTCCAGCACTTCGGAAATTGGGGCACCAAATATCAGCAGATTCCTTAATCGGTAAATTATATTTGTGTTTGTAATTGTAATAACCATGTGACGAGTCATAAAGTTAGACATTTCCTTGATTACTATTGCTTTTACTTTGCAGAATCTTGGGAATGCATATTGTTTTACAAAATGCTTTGTTCACATTCTTCACAAGCATCTTGGCATCCTTGATTTCAGATGCTAAGAAAAATGGGCGCTTTGATATGGGGTTGCTAAATTTAGGAAATTCGGAGTCGGACAAAACTGAACTACTTTCGACTGAAACGTTCACTCGGAAACATTCCACCGGCTTGGGAACAATTGCGTTACATAAGGTTTCGGATGATAGAGGCATCAGCTGGGAAGAAATTCATCAGCGAGCTCAAAATATGAGAGGACCAGATAATGGCTTCTATTTGACAAAGAATGTATGCAATTTATATATATTTGTCTTTTGACCACTTCATGAAGGTGTATAAAGCTGTGTTTAATTTTACGTATATTTTTTTAAACCATTAGGATGATCCCCAGAAAAGACGAGCCGTTTTTGTACAAGGTGACGAGTTTCCTGTGCACACGTCGGACGGTGATATCATCCAATATTATACTGTGTACAGACCTCATCTCGGACTTGATGTAAGCGAATATATATGTGTGACGATACGGAGCCATTTCAACATAATTTACCTAGTTTCTAAGTGTTTTGTTTGTAAATTATAAATTAAATAGTTGAGACGTGACACGTTGCACGAGATAGAATCGAAGTATACAAAAACCACAGCCGATAAGGTCATACAAATTTGGGAAAATCAATACCGTGACTCTGCGAAGTACTGTACACATGAGTATTGGTACGTTTTTTATTATTAAATAAAATACAAACTAATTAAATGAATACTTTTTTTTATGCATTTCTTGTTTGTATCAGGTCATATTCCAGGACATGTAAGAACAAAATGATTGGATTGGAGTGTGAGTATGGAATGAGGAAACGCACTTATCACGTTCTCAGCGGGTCAGTGCTGTTGTGCTGGAATGCCGTGGAAGCTGTTCTAGGAACCAGTGAAGATAAGAAGCCGAAAATTCAGATAGTTCGGGTCCAGTTTATCGACGGAATGAAATTTGTCGGAGTTCTCATTCCCACGGAATGTGTGGCAAGCCTGAGAGCAAAGCTGTCACAAAATGGGAAACAACCCTTGAATCCAAATCCATGGGAGGACGACTCATTGTCATTTCCTGAGGTGTATGATGCTGACAACCAGTCGGATTCGGAATAATTTGTGTATTAATAATAGTATTAATTCCTCAATTCCTTTTTTCATTTAACGGGCCAATGAATTATTGTACTCTTTATTAAATTCTTGTTCATTATGTTGCACAGTTGAGATATTTAATAAATTGAGATAAATAACGTATTTATGATGAGTATAATTATTTCATAGCCTATTAATCATTACGAGTAAACAAATAATTATGGGCCATACTAATTTATACTCGTTTTTTGAGATTCCAATATTAGTTCAGGTTTCAAGTTCATCCTCTGCATCCTCATCATCCACTGTGAGCAATCGAATAATGTAGTAAATCGGCTCTACGACACTAATCACTGAAAATCCCTGTTAAATTAAGCATAGTATCACGTAAATTGGTATTTTTTTGTGAATTAACAATTAGTTTGTGCATTTTTTCTTACGATGAATAATCCAAGAATTCCACCCACATTTGCTGATAATGATAATCAACACGATCATTCTACTTCAACGCACATTTATTAGTAAATGCATGTAATTTATGTACCAAATAGTTCGCTGAAGCCAAATAATCGTTTCCGAACCCGGCACAAGACAGAATCAGATCCAAAATAAACATGAACTATTGACGTGTTCTGCTTGGACCTGCACAAGTTCGAGATTTTCCGTATCATTATTTTAGCAATATTTACATAATTTTTTTAAAAATGTGGGAGAAATGTGTATGAAAAAGCTACCAGTCCATCCGTTTCTCAGGATCGTTACTCTTCCAAATGTTGACGTCCGTTCGGATCGGCAGCGACGAGGTTTGCGTGTCGTACACAATCCTGTTGCAGCTCGGATAACAGGCTTTGCAAAAGTATTTGGTGCCCTTCATCCCAATTTGCTCTAGAACAGTGTGATATGACAAAATTAAATTTAGCGTCATGAAGGCCAAGAGAACTTTGCGTGGAAAAGCATGCATATTTACTTCGAACGTTATCGGCGCACGTAAGATTTGCACAATATGGTTTCTTGTTCACTGTGGATTGGTACATCTCAAAAGTGACGCAATCACAAGCGTTGACAGTTCTCTCCATTATACACTCGTCAATGCAGTTGGTTGAGGTGTAAAGCAAGTAATTGGCAAGCTTCTTTTCATCAAGAAAGTAGCAGTGTCTCTCCTCCTTTATGCCGTGTCATTTTGACAGCGAGCCATGACAAACAATATAAAAATCAGCAGTTGGAATATAATCATCCCATGTCGAGTTGTGTCGTATACAATCTGAGCAATTTCCTGTATTGACCGTCGACGAAATAATTATTTCATATTGAAGTAAGTACTTCAATATATGGACTTCAGCACTGTGCAACGGCCAAAACATGGAGATAGCTCATCTTGTAGTTTAGTCAATTTACCGAAGTCAATTCATCAAGGCTTTTCTCAGCTATGGTCACCTCTGCTTGCACGTTTATAAACATTTCTGTATTTGGTCCAACGGCCAAGCCAAAGTCCAGCACGTGCGGAATCTCAATGGGAGAGTGAGCATAAATCTGGTTGTTAAAATTTCATTATACAGTTAGAGATATTATGTTTTTATGTTAATTAGGTTGAATTAAGGATCTTTAACTCTATATCCATAGGCGTCGTGCGAGGCGCAGAAATACTCGTCAATTGCTGGGTAGAGGAGAAGGGATAAGCCTGAACTTTGACCTGCTTTGGATTGCCGACGTGGAAACTTTTCCTTCTGCCCACGACCAACTTTCTCCATCAAAGCGTCGTCCAGATTAAACTTTTTCCAACTTTCCAGATCTTCCGGAGATATGTTTCTCTGCTCCTCATTCATGGTGGGATCTGTGTCACTGCATACAAGTAGATCCACGGTTATTAAGAGCTTGCCTGACTAGGGTTCGGTCGGAAAGTAAAGAAACATTTTTAAAATGCCTGTCAAATTCTGAAAACTTAATTAATTCCAATGAAATTTTTAGGGGTTAAGAACAAGGTCCTTAGCGTTCCATTTTTTGCTTCATATGGTCCATAGACCCCCATCATTTTTATTTGGCGAATTATTTGCCTCGCGGTCCCCAGAAGTGCTTTGCCACTCTTTCTGGCTACCACTTTGGAGGTGTGTGCCCAAATGTGACGGAATCTTACCAGGTTTTTGGCTGGTTTTGTTCGACGACTATATTCTCCCTTGCATAATGTCCAAAGTCGTTCAATTGGTCGTGCCCGAGGGATGTAGGGAGCACATTCCTTTTTTGCAAAAAAATCGATTTTTTTCTACCGCAGGTAGTCCACAAAAACTTTTGAAGAATGACATGTTGCTGTGTCCGGTCAGAAATGTACATTACGATTATTGATAAAGGGGATCAAGATCTTCTTTACACAGTCGTTCAAATATCTCTCCGAGGTCATGGTGGCTCTGGTCACGAACGACTTTGAGACGTCCCCCAATGAGTCCAATTCTTGTCCGATTATGTGCTTTGTGGGGAATTTTGACTTCGGCGTGTATTTGAAGGAATCTTTAAACGTTTTCTTAATAGTACATGAGTAGTACTTCCTCCCAGGGACTTCATCCGGATCAACTGAGCACTTGGTCTCATCATCCATGACCAGAACCACGAGCATGTTTTGCTTGACTCGTTTTTCAGTATCTGCCGAGAGTTGGGCTTTGCTCTTTTTTGCTGACCTTGGTTGTACTTTGGTGCAGGTGTCGCCTTATATTATTTGACCCCCAACTTCGTAGGTTTAATGTCATGTAAACTTAAGTTTGGAATTTTCACTTTGTAGCCCAAATTACCATCTAATATCCCAAGATTATTTTGGCGTTCCTGCTGAAGTCTACGTATCACTTTGGGGGTCGCTACACGAGCAGGACGATTTTTTTATTTTTTGAATTCAGCATTACTCCTCCCCTCATACATATTTAAAACTCTGCAAATTGCCCCATTATGATTTTTTTCTTTTTCTAAGTGGCTATAAACCATTATTCGGACGCGCCCGCACACGTTTTCGTGGTAGTGGCAAATCTTTTTTGCGAGGTGTTCTGAATTTTTTGTTCTCATTTTTGAACTATTCGAGATATCGACTTCCGGTTTTCAGATTCGGGTAGTCAATCGCATGGACTACAAAACTACCGCGTTCGAACTCAGTGACAATTTTTCTTTCATACAAATAAATATACTTTTTCAAATGTTTCTTTACTTTCCTACCGAACCCTATCTGTTGACTACGCATGTCAAAAATATTTACTTGAGATTCAGCAACAGACGAGTCGGCATCAAATTCCATACACAACAAAGGCCAAGGTCAGTCAAAACTGGGAAAAACGATTCTCTGCATTCGACCTCTACGCCCTAAATGATAACATTTAGATTTAGCATCATTGTTGTAACTAAACTATTTTTTATCACAAAAATAGTATTGAATTGTAACCTCCCAAATGCAAAGGTAAATCATTTCATGACACAATTGATTTGCCTGCAATAAAACGTTAACCACAACAATTTTTAGTTGAAGTCTAACAGTGTGTCGGCTCTATAAAAAATTACGGAATTTAAACTTTGCATGTGGGCTGGCTGGTAAAGTTCTTCAACTGAAAGTTTATCCCATTGACTCCAATATTTTTCCAAATTTTTATTATTTGCATCCAAATCAACGGTAGCATCTCCGATTGAAAAGTTGAATTTTGCACTAAAACTTTGCGTAGCGTCACAAATGTGATCAAGCATTTTGAGCAGAATTACATCATCTTCGACTGTCTTTGGATCCGCGTTGTTGCGAGCAGCTTCCTGCACTTTCCTGATTCATATAAATGTACAATTTAATTCATCTTTAACTGATAATTTACTTTCATTTACCGAATTGATGCTTCCAAAACACTCCTCTTGAAGTGGTTTACGTTGCAAATCGTTACTGCTGGAAATGGGACCTCTGAAACCGATGTTTGCGATGGTTGGAAGGAGACGATGACAGGGCTCGAGTTGTATTTTTCTACCACTTTGTAGCTAAAATAACCTGCCACTCCGGTACAACAGAGGACTGCGATTCCCCAGAAAATTCTAATAAAAGTTGATAAATGACTCTATAAGATAAGCTTCATCTAGGTAATTACTGCAAAAATACCTTTCGCAGATATGCCGTTTTGGTTGCACAATAAATTTCACTCCATGAATCGACCATTCCCGGAATAACTGAAGGGCCAGGTAATCCTTCTGTGGTTTCCAGTTCCATATTCGGGAGAAAATCCCATGTTTTTGCACACTTTCTATTTTTTGCACATAATTGTCGTGAAGTAATATGTTTTTGGCATAGAAGCCATACAGCTCCTTTTCCATGATTTTGTCCCTTTTCTTCTCAAGAGTGGACATGTCATGACAAAGGTCTGGCTTTCACAATTGGACATATTTTACGTACATATTTATATTTATAAAGCTTATGATAATTATATAGATTTGCTATACAGTTATAAACATCCAATCAACATAAATTATTAAGCAGATGATAAATAATAACCTAAATAATGTGGGTTCGGGATTAATTAGATATATTGATCGGCATACAAAGCTTACCTTTCGAGAAATAAATAAAAATCAATAGCTTAACTATTTTTTGGTAAAAACTTGTAACATGCTTGTGCATTTAGCATTTGGGTATGAAAAAATCCTTCCCAGAATTATTCACGCGAATTGCCGATTTGAAACAAATGTTGAAGTATGTAAATATGTAAATAATAAACATTCCTTAGAAAGAAATTGCAGATATGAAATTCATGTTTCATGAGATTTTGTTGCTTATTACGAGGCTAAATATGACATATTGATTTTTTACAACTTAATTACAAATAGATATTTAGGTATTTAGTACCTCGACTACACGATTATCCGATAAGGTGAATTTTTTATCTGAAATAAAATGAGTCTTAATTTTAACTTGCCCATTCTTTACATACATTCCTTATTACTACATAATGCAAATTGCGACTTTGTTAATATGATACAACTAAGAATGGTAGGTTGAGTTAGTACCAACAACGGTTAGTACGCTACATAAACATGGAGCTTGAGATACTTAAAAACTTATGTCAAGATGCTTGGAGATATGCTGGATGATGCATATGCATATATTTGAGACACAAGTGGTTTCCGTTTCACTCATCCTTAGTTTGCATATCAATTAGTGATATTTACACTTTGCCAATTGTTGGGTGTGGGAATTGAGTTTACGTGCACATGTGTGTACTTCAGTTTATCATGCATCATCCAGGATATTGCTTCGACGGTGCTTTGTGGTGCTTGGTTTAACTAATTGCATGCATATTGTGAAAATCCGGTGACCAATTGATTACCAGATATAAATTGACCAAGTATTGGTAGTAACATGCTTATCTTTCCTCTCGATGATGTGTGGGGACCAATTACCTTATCTGACTCGTGGATGAGGTGTGAAACCAATCCTCCCAACTTGCTTCATGCATATCTGTGTCATAGCCAATCTAGATATGTGCGTACGAAGATTGATTCATTGATTGTCACACGTAATTGAATTGTGATTTGGTCATAACTGAAAAATATATTGCTTCAACTATCAGCGACAACTATTTATAAATCTCGACATACAAAAAATAAACCGAGTTGTCTAAGCTTAACTGTCATCCATAAAACATATAAATCAATTAGAATGGGCAGCTGTGGGACCGTGGGGCTAGTTCTTCTTTGCATATTTTTACCTCCGGTCGCAGTTTATATTGAAACGGAAAAGTTTTGTCCTTACGTCGTAATAAATATTTTGCTATGGATTTGTTTCGGCCTACCCGGAATTATTAACGCGTTCGTCGTCTGCTTTATCTGCAAGTATGTGCTCGTTTGCTCAATAAAATACTTTTCCTTTAGGTGAATTCATTTTCTAATCAAAATGTTTTCTTTTCAGAAATTGCCGAAATAAAGATGATCAAGAGAAAGGCGGAAAAGCATAGGATTCGTATATGTTAATGGAATTTAGCCATTTTATAATGTTAATATATTTAATTCTCATTTCTTAAAAAATAAAATAATGCAACATAAATCTGTTATACGTACACTGTTAAAATAAATAAAACGCATCCATTGATTCATCCAGCAACTAAGGAAAATCTGCAGGACGCAAGTGGTGGGGCGTACACACGCTGTCTCACGTCCAACGTCATGAATTTGAGGAAGACGAGATTCTCACTTTCTTTATATTTAGTTCGAACGTTTTTTCCAAATTCACAGCTACTCTTTTTTTCATATTTAATGACCGGCTTGACTTAAATATTTTACATAAATTTACGTTATTTGAGGTATCATACCCACAGCTTGTGTATTTGACATTTATACGCTATCCAATTTGACTTTGCACAATTTCTTGTAATCAGAATCAGATGAGAACAATTTAGCCATTGTCAATCAGAAGAAGCGATACATATGTGGATACATATGTAGATACATACGTACATATGCACAATGTTTTTAAATACATAAACTTATATTACGTGCATGTACTGATTGCATTGTAGATTGTAGTTGTACAAATTCGAAAGCTGCGACAAAACGTCGGAATTGTCACTTTCACTAAAATGCGAGGAGTTGTGTGTAAAATAAATGACTTTAGCAAGTTTATTTTTGTGCGAAAATGATCAGTTTTCAGTTTTATTTAAAACCGGGATTTCCTGTTATCATACTATTGCAATATCTTATTGTATTTACTTCATGTGAAAGTGGCAAGCTTTCATTATGCTCAAATAGGGAACATTTTGAATTTGATCCAAACCTGTGTCCTGGGGGACTCCTTTTCAAGGGTGGACAACATCTTCTCCCGGAATATTGCGATACACGAGGAACAGGGTAATATTATTCAGAAACTACATGACTGATGGACCTCTGTTAATTTTTTTTCATCAGTCTAGATTTTTATGAAAGCTGTTCCAATTTTGAAGAGGAGAATGTCATGGAAGATTCTGTAACAAATGGTAAAAGACTTGTCCGACTTGTTGTTCCAAAGCAAGGGTACACGAAAGATGAGATGGCTGGAGCAAACGCTGGGTGCAGCAGCCCTGATAACCATTGCAGCCATAACACACCTCAGTGGTTATCTGACCCTTACATGAGTGATGACACATTTCCATTCCCTGTGTTGAATGATATTTCGGACCTCGAGAATGCAATCAGTCAGAAAATGTCCCCAAAAATTGGAAGACAGTCTAGAACCAAACGAGAGCTGTCATCGTTATCGTCGTCTCACTCTCCTCTCTTGAACATGGACGATTACGTGGAGAAACGGATTGCAGAGTTCGTGTCCACCTTAAACAAGTGGCGACGACAAGCCGAGGAAGAAGTTGCAAACAATGGTACTGGAAATGGTCAGGTTGAATCACAAGAAGTCACAGCAACAACCACGACAGAAAGCTCACCTCTCGAACAAAATGAGGAGGCTGAACAGCTTTCTGAAACATCATCTCCTTCCCCACATGTCGGAAACGACGACGATGACGAGGCTGCTGAAGCCGTTGATGGGGACGTGACCAAATCCACTACTGATGCTCCACTTACACAGTTCGAAATTGAGCTACGTGGCGTAATGAAGCTAGTCGACACGATGGAAAATTATCACGTTGGATCCCGAGAAAAGCTTAAAACGGAAAAGTTGTTCAGTTCGATGTTTAAAATTGCGGGTTCAGTGCAAAGTAGTCGCGATCGAAAGGTACATATTTGTTATCACTTTTTAACTATTTGTTACCGATATGGACCTGCATGCCGTTGCTGTTTATTTTTGCAGATAGTTCCCCTTCAATTCCTAAAGACTAATGAACAACTACTGTCCACAGCTATACACACGATGGAACCAAACCAATTGATCAAGATTGATAGGAACCTAGATTTACAAGTGTTGGATGCAGTTGAACAGTGCCAAAATTCACTTGGCAGGAAAGATGGTCTCCGCTTTATTGTTGACAACAACAAGTGTCCACCAGAGGTGGGTGCATATCTGGGGAGAAGCACGATATTCGATTATAAATCAGATTTGAATTTCATGTTTAAAAACTTAATCAGGTGACATTGTTCATTCATCCCACAACGCTCAAAAAGATTCCTCTCGCAACCATAAAGAAAGAATTACCGCTTGACCTGATCTACAACAGGGACGAGGAAGACTATGTTTTGAGCGTGGCTTGGAAAGTGGCGGACATTGCGTACACTTCTTGCTACGTGTATTGGATGGACAACAACATGAGAACAATTCCATTCAAACTGTTTGGATTTGTGGAAAATCTGTTTGAGCAGAAAACATTTCAGGAAGCAATGTATTAAAATGCTAAAGAATATCATCAATAAGATCCACAATCACGTTTGAATTATCCCAAATGCCAGGTATCCTGCGAATAAAGATGGGCTCGAGAAGTATAACGGAGTGATCCCCACGGAGAAAGAGTTGGTGGACATCATGGTGGATTTGGACGCCCTGGTAGCTGCTGTTCACCACGTTTCCAGATTCAAAGAATATTTTACAAAGCCAAACAATAAAAAAGAACGCAATAGTGACAAAAAGAAGAATAGGTGAGTGTTTTATGCAAATATGTATGTGCAACTAATTGCCGTAAAAGCTTGTGCATGTCTGAGACTTGTTTCATTCACAGAAGGAAAAGCTCGATCGAAAGCCTAAAATATTTTGAAGTTTTTAATGCTCAAGCGTACTGCTTACAACAATTGAATTCAAACTTGAAGCCGACTTATCACAATACATATCCCAGGATTATGAAAATATGCTAGCATTAGTGGATCAAGAATCATAATTTGATTGATTTATTGACTTATTTATTACGAGGAATTTCCTTGAAGGAAAAATAAAAGTCGTTACGTATCAAGGATGACATTCAGGGTCAAAGTTTACATGACACTATTCGTCGAGCAGGTTAACAATCAGCTATTGATGGTTAATAAAATACGTACATCGTAATGTGCTGATTTATATGATATTTTGTGAATTTTTGAATGCACAGCAGATAAGCACGAGTTCCCGTGCTTGAAAGGACAAATGCCGTTCCAGAAGGTTTCTACCACATAATTGTGCATTTAATTACACACTATATATACGTATGGGTGTGTGTATATACTGTATATACTGCGTACAGGTGTGTATAGTGGAAATTAGTAAACCACGCTGTTTCATTTTTCATATGAAGCTATCATGGCAAAACAACTCCTGGAGCACAACATACCTATGTCGTCACGAATTAGAATGATTCATTTTTCTATAACTTTCTAAATATGTCGTTGTCGAGATGGGCTTACCCTTCACGTGAATATGGCTTAAATTAGCGTGTAGTTAAACATTGGAATATACGATTCTGTCATTACAAGCCAAAACCAGGGTTTATCTTATCTCTATTATCGCTATTATCACCAGGAATGGATCACCATTACTTTTCAATCTGGACTGCCAAAATGTAATGTAATGACCTTTACAGCAAATTTTGGTCGGGTTTTGTATAATTGTCACAATATCACTCTGGTTGATACGCACTCCAATTCAACAAAATTAATTAAGGTAGACTCATTTTCTAACAAAACTGCCTCAATTCCAAATAATATCTCACTGGCCCTTTGCATACAAATTTTTAACAAATTCAATGAATTTCCACCATGAATAATTATTACAACAGCAACGCTTCACCAATCTCGCATCAGCAGCCAATAAAGTTTGGTTCTCCCAATTTTACTCCATTCTCTCCAATCTCTCCAGTGGGAACGATACAACAGCCCCCAAATCACCACCCACAAGCGTTAACAGCAGTTTTTAGTGGACAAATGCACGAAGTTGTCTTGGAGCATTTGAAGGTTAACGACGAAGTGGTGTGGCATCCACAAGGACAAATCTTGTCGATTAACAAATTGGATATTGGTCGCATTGAAAGAACTCTTTACCATGTGGATCACTCAAACCAGGGAGCATTGTTGGCCGATGTCGACTTTGTGAGACCACTTAATGCACATATTTCTACAGATTTTCTACCTAAAGACTTTCTACTAACTAACAGATTTGTTGTCTCCTTGTTCACGTAGCACGATTGGGTCGAAGGCTCACAAGAAGTTCGAAGCCCTCATGGTCACCGTGCTTTCAGACGCAGAGTTTATGCCAAGGACTTGAAAAAACTTGGAGAGTTTCTGGAATCTGTAAACTCTCACGGAATTGGTTTTGTAAATGCTGAGCAAACAGGACCTCAAAATAGAAAAAAGTCCAGCCACGAATTTGGGGCGTTACCTCAAAATAATGTTGGTGTAAAGGCGTACGTAGTTCGGCCTTGCATGGTGCAAAACAAGCGTGCCTCAAGCCGTAAGCATTTATTAGTATCAATATGCACATCCACATAATTTGCATTATCAAAAGCAAGTTAGTACGTTAAAACTTTTTATACTGTTAATAGATCCATTAATATCAGAGTCCGACCTTATTTATTTGTTTCTCAACAACACCGTGGTCAAGGGTTCTGTGAAGCGCATGTTCATAGGCGACGAAAATTACTTTATTGGAGCAGAATTTGTAAGTGAAATATGCACAGTTGTTAAGAACTTGTCGTCCAAGATCATTGCAATGCTTAAATAACTATCATTTTTAGGAAAGACCCGTTTACACCGGCCAGTTGCATCATGGTGCATCCTGCGCGTACTCAAAAAATGGCTGCGAGTTCAGAATTTGCATCCTTGTTAGCAATCTTACAAAACAAATTTGGGAGCAGGAATTCAGATTGATTGGAAAAGGCACAGTGAGTCCTATCATTTTTCACTATTTGCATTAAAGGACGTCGCATAATTTATTACCGTGTAAATTGCAGATGCAACTTACATTTGAAGATTTATTTTACCGAGAGGAACCTCCTCCACCATATTCGGTTGCTACTTCGATGCCAATTAGTCACCATCAGCCAACAAATAATATTTCTTTATTGCCCACTCCTGCTTCAGCCCCTCCACTAACACCTTCCCCACCGGTATCGAGAAGCACAGAAGAGTGGACGAAATTCGAATCTGATTGGTCAAACTCTCATCAGACCCAAGATTATTCTTCCAAACAACAACAGGATGTGGGTTCCTCTTCACTCTCCAAGAATTATTCTGCTTCCATGATGAACTTGGACTCGTGTGGAGTTCAAGAAGAAAATAAACCCAGTTTATCACATCAAAGGCCAAACGTAATGCCAAAATACATAAAAACGCAATCACTTTTGGTGGACGAGTTACACAGAAAGTTAAACATTCGATCCAAAACTGAAGTCCCTCCAGTTCAACCGATATGTGATCCTCCGCAGACGCCAGGTAAAGATATCAGGCCACAACCTCCAGACGACGTGCGCCAGGACAATGCACGCATCCCACTAACTTCGAAGCCAACTTCATTTATTGAAGAACTGCAACGACGTCAAGCTACAAAAAATCGGCCAGCTTCAATGGGACCACAAGCAACATTGCCTCGAGAAGAACTGCCTCAAAAAAATAGATTAAGCTTACCACCACCCAGGAAACCAGCATCGAATAGTGTAATTCATGACAAAATAGATAACGACGGTCCAGATTCAGTTGGTCCTGCCAGCTCATTGTCAATGTCACGATCTGCTGGGGCATCATTTGGAACTGGTATGACGAGAAGTACGAGTTGTTTCAATATCAGTGAAACTAAACCCCCGCTTAAACCTAGACCAACGTTAGCTCCAAAACCCGTGAAAGCTCTCGATTCTGGAAATAATAAATTCTCAAAAATCGAAATTATCTCGCAAGCCGAACCACCCAAACTTCCGCCTATACCACAAAGGCCAAAGTCACATCTGGACCAAGCGTCCCCTATCATTCCTCAAGAACTAAAGTCTTCATCTCCGCTGGCTATAAATTCAACAGCAAATCCATTCGAAGCTAAACGGCCTATTGCTCAACAGCCCCCACATTCACAAGTCCAGCGCCCCACCTCTTTTACTCAAATTCCTGAGGAGTACCCAATGCACCTTCATTCACAAAATGTCACAACAACAGCAGAGACAAAGTGTCAAGACGTATTGCCACCAATCAAATCTAAACTGTACCCTGACTTGAATTCGGAATCTGTACCGCGTCCAATGTCGGTTGAACTAAAACCAAAAATTACACAACCACCAATTATTGATAATGCACCCAGTTATTATTCCAATAATGCTGGACAAATCCCATATTTGGACTCGCATTCTCCAGCAGCAGCACCCTTGTTTTCTCCGATATTGGAACACACGCCACCAAAAGTTCTTCCTCAATCAGAAATCTACCAGGAACCAAAAAGCCTAAAAATTTCAAGGGAAAATCTACCCCCACCACCACCACCGCCACCACCTCCTCCTCCTCCAACTGTCCCTCAACTATCTGCAGACAAGGATGACCTGAATTCATTCCCTCCTCCACCTACCGAATGGCTGGATGTCAATGGTCACAACGATTTTAAGAATTCGGCGGATGACTTTACAGACATCAGTACACAAAAGCCAAGCGAGAAACATTCGAGTCCTTCGCAACCCGATCGAGGGTGTCTTTTGCAACAAATTCGCAAAGGAACTAAACTGCGCCCAGTCGGAGATAACTCTGACCTCCCACAAATCCAGAGTGAAACACAAATATCAAAATCTGAAGGTTTTGAGAACATTATCAAGGGAGCAATTGCAACAAGACGAGTAATGTTGGACGACGACGACGATGACGAAGATTCCAATGGTTCAGACTATGACGAAGACAGTGACGCGTGGGATTAAGTAAATAATGATGAATTATTTAAAATTTGCATAGGACTGCAATAAAGCATTTAACAATGCATAAATAGTTTTGCATTTATCAACTCACAAATATTTTAAATAATAATCCATCGAAATGACTCAGACCATTACGTAGTAGTTTATGTCATACAGTGGATTTTGTTGATAACCCAATCACTGTATTTTAGGTGGGAGTACGTTTGTACCTCGTAGCTCAAGATTATTTTACATATGTATGCTGCCTCCCAGTTTGTTAATGAATAGAATTAACTAGTCACTCGTGGTGTGCTGCATATTCTGAGCTTTTGCAACGCCTGACTACTGATAAATTGGATTTAACCTTATCATCAAACCTCGTTTACTCCAATGTCCCGACTTTGAAAGAAAATCTTGCTTTGCTGGCCATGACATTATACACAATATAAGCATGAGCAGCGCATGTTTGCCTTTGTAGATCAAGATAACACCTACATATTAATTATTTTATGTATGTACCTATGTATGCACGACGGTGTACCACTCCGAGTTGATAATGTATTGTCGCCTCTCTCCATAAATGATAAATATAAAAAATCCTTGTTTTTGGTTTCAAAACATTATTTTTTAATTCTACAAAATGGCCACTGCAAATTCACTAAAATTTGTCAAAGCTTCACCAACGAGTAATTCTAATATTAGTGAGCCAAGCCCAACAATAGCATATCAAGACGTAGAAGTTCCACAGTTTAAAGTTGGTGACCACATCCTTTGGGCTCCGGGAGGTGAATCCTTACCAAAATCATTAGAAAATCCCAATTTTGGAGTTGGGATTATTCACAGGATTGTTCATTATGTCAGTCCAAAAACGAGGAAGGCGTATTTGTTGGCCTTCGTATACTTTGTAAGAAGTAAAATAGTGTATAATCGTATACTTTGAAAATAAATAAAGTAAAACTGGAAAAATAATCATGAAATTGTCGTTGCTTCGTCCGTTAACTTTTAGAACCTAAAATTTTTATTTTGCCCAATGTCTCCGTAGTACGAGTGGGTACCAGACGCTGTTGAAGTCACTTGGCCAGATGGAGACAGTTACTTTAGACTTTTGGTCCCAATCTCCGATCTTCGACGATTAGACCATCATGAACCTCAAAAGCAGCAGACGAATCAAATATTGACAGGAAATAAGTCTCAGTCTCAAGAAGTTGTCTTTCGACCTTGCGTTTTAAAAAATACATGCAAACATCTTCGTAAGCACATCGTTGACTCAGAACTTGAATCGTGTCTAATGTACTTGCTATCCGTAGTTTTATATTTTTGGTTTGAGAGAATGGTTTACTTGCAGATCCACTGATTCCTGAAAATACTACAATTTTCAACCTGCATAATCAACGTTTCGTTAAAGGAGTTGTGACGCAATTTAGTTCAGCCAGTGACGGAACGCTTTATGTTGAGGCAGATTTCGTAAGTATACGATAACATAATTATTTACATTTTGCAGATTTAAAAAAAATTCAACCGTATTTTGTGATTTCACAGGAGTTGGAAATTTACCAAGACGAATTAGCTCATAGTAAAGTATGCGACAGGAGTTTATCCAATTGCGACCATAGAATTGCAGTCAATGTAGCAAATCTTTCTCAACACTTGTGGAACACTGAGTTCAAATTGATGATCAATAATGTAAGTCATGTAAATTCTGTGTCAAGCGTGAATTGTGAGTCTAGATACATATGTTTTTAGCAACGAGTGAAATTCGAGGATTTGTTCATAAAAAGCAAACCGTCCTCATCACCTCCTCCTCCTTACTCGGCAGTAGAAGAGGCAATTCGTCTTCCTCGCGGTCCGCCCTCGCAAACACCAAGCCTTGCGATTCCTCTTCAAGTTGGTCACGATATGAAGCCGGCTCAAATTTTGTCCCGAGAATGCAGCAGCAACAAATCTCCCACATTACACTCGTCGCCAGTTCTCTCTGACGATCGGAATAAAGTTGTCACTGTTTTGAGCGAACTTCGTTCAAAACTTCCTTTTAACAGAAAGAAAAGGACAGAAAAATCTGAAGAAAAATTTCCAAAAAATTCAATTACCAAATATTTGAATGGTGTGAAAGCACCAAAACCAATAAACAGCACAACTAATGGCACCTTAATTTCATCTGAAAATCTCAACGTCTCCACAAAAACGCACTATGTTGGTGAATACTATAATGATATTTCCGAAACAATTGAAAGCCCATCAACAGTCCACCAATCCGAAATCAACATCCGTTCCAAATCTGTCAGTAGCAATAAGACAAAAATAATGAAAAATACGTCGTTCAGTTCCAAGAAGACGTATCCAGCCCCACAGCCACCCTCAGCAAGAACAAAGCCACAAACACCCCCCAACTTAAGCGCAGTGACACAACAACACGGTCATGTGCAGCCAACAGCACCGACAACACAACGGCAAAACTTGCCACCCCCACCACCACCTCCACCTCCACCTCCACAAGCTCATTTCGAAGCAAGCCGCACAGCACCGTCATCTAAACCGCTTCCTCTGCCTGAGAGATCTGCACTTCTCGAACAAATTAGGCTTGGCAAGTCTTTGAAGCATGTTGAGCCAAATAAGAGAAGGAATGGAGTCGGCAGTGTTCGAGGATGTGCTCCATTTGCAGAAAATGAAATGAAAAGCTCACAAAAAAACGGGGACAAAGATGACTTTGCCTCCATAATCATGGGAGCATTGGCAAATCGACGTGCCATGATTGATACTGACGACAGCTGCAGCAGCAGTGACGATGGGAGAGAATGCGGCAACGCGAGTGAACATGACGACGATGCATGGGATTAATAATTAAGTCAAAGCATTGGAAAATTGTCGACATAGCTTCTGTCGAATCCTTTACTGTCTAATTATCATTACACGTTTTATTGAGAAAACCTACATATGCTTAATCCATAGCCGTATACACACATATTTACATAGATCGTGACTACAGTAAAAGTTGTATTTTCCAATAATTTAGATAATTTAAATCAATAAATAAGCAAGAATATGTCGCACTTGACGCAGGTGCAATTTGTACTTGAAGGCTTGACAATCAAACTTATAAAATTACCTCCGAAACAGTTCATAAATTAAAATACCTACATACACTCGTAGTCGATCGAAATACATATGTGAATCTAACTTTTGCCACCGATTTTTCATTTCCTGTCCAGAATTTTAATTGGTCTTTCCTTTGGATAAACGTACGATCCTTCTTTGTGAACTTTCTTTCGTTTTCGCTGAAACGATCGTCCAGCAGCGACTCCCAATGGTTTTGGCGTAGTTGAGCTTGGCGGAGCTGGGCAATCAGCCTCACTTCCGGTTATGTTTTTCGGCTTCATTCCATTGCACACTGTTTCTACTCCACATCGAATGGGATACACTCCGAGATCATATTCCCCTAATAAACATATGTATATTTACATATGCGTATATGTAAGTATCATGCACTTACCTATATACATATATGTCCAAATAGCATTTGTTTTACCTTCGTAATTGCCGACTGGATCGTATCGAGCGACCACGTGAATCTGAGAATTTTCTTTATTCGTCGCAACGCCAATCCCCAATTTTATCGAGTCATTCCAAACGACTTGAGTATAATGGTTGAGTTCTCCTTTTGGCCAGTTCTATCATTAAAATTGTTTAGTAAATACAACAAATTCATACCTTGAGCTCAATCAAACGTCAAATCGCTTAATTGTAGAAGTAAAGTAGAACACTATCGTTCATGATTATTGCTGATGTTGAAATAGAAAAAAATTGTACCTCGGTATCACACAACTCAAAGTACCACTCTCTCACAGCAAATTCAGTATTCGAAACTGCCTGAAAGCGTCTTTTGCCAGCAGGATGAGCTGCCAAGTACAAATTTTCTCCAGTTGACGTATGTTCCATTTTTCCCGAACGTACCAAATTTTCGGCTTTCAAGTATCAGAAATTAACATGACATTATTGATCATTGCTGGTTTTAACACTTGAAATGAAAAGGATTACCTGCTAGTTGTGCTTTCTTGTTGAGCTGTAATTAGTCAAGGAAAGTGAGGTTACTACAAAAGCCGTTTCATTTTATAGTAAGAAAGGGCAATGAATATATTTACGTACCTCTGCGTCGATAGTTACGTCAGGAACATTGTGCCATTTTCTGAAAATATTGTGCCATTTCACCGCTGTTGCTTGACACTGTAGCAGCTCAGCCTCTGTGTAGGGCTCTCCAAGTTCATGTGCTGAAGGTCAAATTGGAGGCGAATCATTGAAATGCCTAGAAAGCCAATTAAGTACACAAAAATTACCAGGTTTCTCTGTTGACACAGTTGGTGGTGCTACAGTAGTTGAGTCTGGTTTTTGTGTCGTCGTACTCGTTACAGGAACGGGCGTTGTTGTTGTCGTCGTCGGTGCAGGCGTTGTGGATATCGTCGGTGCAGGCGTTGTGGATATTGTTGGTGCAGGCGTTGTCGATACCGTCGGTGCAGGCGTTGTGGATATCGTCGGTGCAGGCGTTGTGGATATCGTCGGTGCAGGCGTTGTGGATATCGTCGGTGCAGGCGTTGTGGATGTGGTCCCTACACTGGTCGACGGTGTGGGGGCTGGAGTAGTAGTTGGAGGCGGTTTTGTTGTGACTAATAAATTGTAAAAATATTAATGAATCGACACGGAGACTTAATCTTTCCATACCATCCGTTTTCGTCACGTTACTCGCCTCCCCGCTACTGCAAACTGGATCAGTTGGACTGGCGGGTGTTCCTTTCTTACAGATAAAGTACATCTTAATGTCACAGGGCATGTCATTAAAATAGTGCATCTCTTTCCTTCCAGTGGCATTTGCTCCGCTTTTCTGTTGATCCAAGTGATACACAGGGTTCCAGAATCCCCCGCAATGTTCAGGCTTTAGAGATTTGCCGTGATCTGGCTGACCTGGGTACCACCGGTACCGAGTCGGATTCACCACCACGGTCCCATTGTCTTGTGGACTCTTCATCCACACCCACTGCCCCTCCTTCTTCAAATCTGTGAGACCGAACCAGTACCGACGATCTAGACCCCACTCGTGATGCTCATCTTTTCCGAGGTCATACGCACGGCTAAAGTAACTTTTTGAATAAATCAGATCTGCCACTTTCGATGCCTCCGCAGGTCCAGTTTCGAAGGTTGCGAAATCACCGACACATTTATAACAAAAATTTAAGGCATCCGACCATGTGAACTATACGGAATTTTTGTTATTACGTATCTCTATTAAACCCTAATAATAAAATGAGTTTGAATTAGTCACTACTTGAGACTAACCCTTTTCCTGTAGACTTGATAATCCTTATCCAACTCTAGAAACTGAATGGAAGGACTCTGGTCGTCTGACAATTAAATGTGTGCATAAACCATTTAATAATTAATTACCTTTAAAACAAAATAATATACTATTTTTTTGTATATATCTGTCTCACCCGTCAATCCAGTTCCGTATGCAAAATCTAACACGGCAATGAAGAGTATTACATGTTCAATTATACAGGAATTGTAACACTTCATTTGACTGCAACATTAGAAAGCATTTAAGCTTTTCAAGTTACTCCTTAAATCTAACATATCAATGATTGTGGTCATCCTAATATTCACTTTAGAACAAATTCTGCATGGGACACGATACGAGAGCTACTTTCTCTTCTTAATTATGAATGGTTGACACCTGTCTCAGCAATGAAATTGACAATTGAATTATCTAATTCATCTTCTGTGTGAACACTGACCGGCAATTAAATTCTGTATGAATCAACAAAGTCCAGTGGTTGAACGGCACCCTTCTGTCCAATAACAATATATTTATAACAATAAGTTTTATTGGCGTTAATTATTCTGTGTCATCATTGTAAAATATGCTTGTATACAACATAACTAGTTTTTCATGCAACTACATAAAATAGTGGACATTATTTGTTTACAAACGGAGTATATTATTTTCGCATTGCCTTCACTTCTTCTCGATATTGTAGTCTCTGGAAAAATATAGTAAATTGAAGTAAAATTGTAGTAACTCTCAATTAAAAATGAATACCAAATTCACGTCGTCATCTCCAAGGCCTCCATATTCCTTCGGAAACTGGTCTAAGGGAATGTGTCTCGATATTTCTCGAGTCCACTCGGCTTTATCCCAACCCAGGAACATGATTTTTGCCTTTGTCCTGTCCGTTACAAAAGGGCTGAGTAATCTCCAAACAATTTGGAATATTCTCGGAACTATGCAAATTATATTAGGGTATTACTGTTCAGTTATTTAGAACTATATGAATATCAGTTGCATAACTAAATGTATATTACAATACCATTAACAAGGATAAGCGTTTGCACAATTTCCGGATAGTTTGCTTCCGCCATGCGTGTGAGATTTAGACCGACTTCGATTGCTGAAATTTTGCAGAAATTATAGACCACACCATTAAAAAATAATACGTGAAGAGATCGCAGACCTGCAGCCAGACTAACTCACCGTGGGGGCTCGAAAGCTGTCTCCAACTCAGCCCTTTGAGATCATAAATCGAAATAAGTTGGGGGACATAAGGGCGAGATTTTCCCATAAGCAACGCTGTGCCCCATTTCTCCTCAAGCGTGAGGATAGCGTACCTTGCAAAGTCTTTCTTTCGCTGTTCCGTGGTCGTAAATCGTTGAAAATCCCATTTCACAGAGTCACTTATGCAAACTACATGCATATTTCGAAACTAATTAGTAGCAACTTAAATTGACAGTTAATGGGCTGTCATAAAAACGAGCGAATAAACCCATGTACCTGCTGACCCCGAAGGTGTGAAACCTGCCAACACCCAGGGCAATTCTTCATCCCATCCGGGAGGAATCCCATTCTCGAAAATATTCTCCACGTCCATCTCAACCTTCCATTCCACGTGCTAATGTCAAAGAAAGCCATGTTCACAAAAAATACGTTGTTTAAGCATAAGTAGCATCTTCCTACCTTTCGAAGCATTTGTTCAGCATCCTTGAGATTATTATTTCTTGCTAAATTCAAATCAAATCGTAAATTTTATCGGTATGTACGTCGTTCTTTATGAAAAGCTCACCTCTCAGCCATCGAACGAGCACTTTATCCTCCAACTCCACCTCGGATAAGTTCAAGTCTTGAATTTTTTTGCGAAACTGAGACAATATATTTACAAATAATTACGTATTTATGATATGCACTGCATTCAAGATAAATATGTATGAGTAAACGACCAACCTCTTTCATAAGGTCAATTTCTGCTAAGGACGGACAGAGTGAGGGTTTCTCCATTTTTTCAAAACGTAGTATTTAACTAGCTATTTGTTATGAATATCATTTGCTACGTAGTCAAATAGTAATATGATTTATTTTTTAATATGAAAATTGAGAGAGCTGAGTTTGTGCTGGGATGAAATGGAAATAATGTTAAAAATGGAACACGTTGCGCAATACTTAACATGATCACACAAGACGACGACATGTTGTACACACGAAAGGATGCAGCTATGTACGATGGGTGCGACGAGTATTTATTAAACCAAGGAAGGAGATGGCATGTGAAGGGAATTCGTCACAAATGAACAGTGTTCAATGCAATATTAGTTATTTGTGAATGAGCTGTTGTTTACTCTAGTATCTTAATAACTCTGTTCTTGGACTCTGCTCGAAGGGGTCAGTTGAAGGATGAGGCGAGATTAGAAATGAATGTGAAACATGAATGGGACTCAACCAGCATTGTCGAGCGAGAGAGTTCATATTTGTTGACCAGAATATTAACCAACAATTAAAAACGAAAAATTAAAGTATAGGGATTGGGATATTGTCAGTAAAGTGTGTAACTTGTGACTGAAATATTCCTAAACCATGCACTTGTTTATAATTTTGCATTATATATGTGACTCACTATTGATAACAAAACGGACTTTAAAATGTAAGAACATTCATGTTTCATACATAAGTACATACAAATACCGATAGATTGGCAAATTATTTAGCATGTCCGTAGTATGTGTGTAAATAAAGTTTTACAATTTTGGCTTCATGCATATTAGTTCCAGTAGTTGGATTCTATGTTTATAAGTACATAAGTACAGATATATTTTTTAGTTCATAAGTGATCGGTCTAGTTTGTATATTCCTTCACATATTGATTAGTCTCGTATAATAAGTAGGTACAATGAATGAACTACGTGTATATATTTATAACTCGTTTGAAAGCACACATTTTATTATTGCAAAAAATAAGTTCGGTGATTAATCAGGTCAAATTAATAAGTACATGACATCAAATCTCTTTCAGTTATGGTGGTGCGATTGTGGTGATAGGGTGAGTTGTAAGCATGACATACACATGACACATATTGTCGGTATTTAAAAAATCTCTTGAAGTCCGAAATAAAACTCAAATGGACATAAGCTCTTTAAATTACCGCTACACTCCTCATTTGCATCATGTCATGGAAATTTTTTGGTTTCGCCTTGGATTTGTAAAGCGTGAGCCAAGAAGATAGATAATGTCGTTCAGCGACATGATGAACTGAAAAGGAAATGGCAAATTCTGCACAAAGTTCCATGTATAATAAGTAACGGACTGATTACGATCACTTACAATAGTTGCGACATGTTGACTCAAGTGGTGTGCAGAAAACGACCATCTCTGATTGAACTGCGAGACGTCTGGATGTCTTAATGCATCATACAGCATTGTTTCTTTAGCTGAGGGAACAAACTTATCCCCCAGATTTAGATATCTCGTGAGGTAACAGTGACAATGGCGGAAATAATTGTTTTCCTTTGCTGCCAACGAAAACATTAACCCCGTCATGTCCACCTCCATCTCCACATGACAGCAGTTCTCGTTGAAGTACCAAACCCCACAGGCCCCCGCGACGCTTCCCATGAAGAGGAGCACAAAGACAAAAAGATGCACGAACTTGTTCTGTTAATGAAATTTTCAAATGACCAAGAAATACATGATAATGAAAATGAAATCCAACTCAAGCTCACCAATCTGACCCAATCGTTCGCCGCATTTCTGACCACAACGATCCCAACCAACACAGCGATCGACGTCGCAAGGCTGATGAGGATTGCTGCCAGAACAAACTGGTTGAGAGCTTCTCGTTTCCACCCAATTCCATATCCTCGATCCGTTTCCCCATTTGAGTTGATGCGCTGGCCAGTAAATTCATCCTCATAGCCAGGAAGCCAGAGGCCAAGGCAGATGAATCCAAGTGCCTGATAATAGCATCAGTGGCAATAAATGTGTTTTCATGAAACGTTAATTTGCAAATTGTCAGAGACTTACGATATTAAGAAGCCGTAAGAGGCCTGGAATACTTACAACGTATTTGATGGAGCAACCGCAACATTGTGGTGTGCACATGGCTCCCCACCATTTGGTTTTTATACCAGATTTCGTGTTTTCTTCCATGTTCCTGTTCGGATCGCTCATTGTTTAATTTGTACGCGATATTTTTAAATTTAAACATGAACGAACTGAAATGGCAGAACGATAAATACTATCTGGATGGTCAACGAGGACTGTCGAACGGATTGTCCTATGCGGAACTACTGCATTGCCGAGTTCAATGGGAGCTTATTTTTCATATGGTATCATTTAGCTTACTTCCGTGTGTCATTGCTACATTTCGTGGTGCCAATGCCCTGTTTCATTTCATTCCGATGGGCAACTGACAAAGAACTCCTACAACCTTTTTTATTCTCCGTAAAACCGATGGGGTTTGGGGAAAGTATGCATTTGTTTCTATACATTCGATTTGGTATCAATAAAAGTTTATGCAATTCACTACCCGTTGTCACTTTGCATGCACTTACTTTCACTCAATCCGATGAATCCACTACCAAGACCACTTGCTCTATAATATGGTGGACTTGCATGAAAATTTGTATTAGCGCAGGTAACATAACTGTCATTCACCTTATTTGACCGGTGTGCGTGATCAGAAGGTGAAATTTTGATTGGAACTGTGCACGGAAATACATGAAATACATGACCATTTTATCAAACATTTTTTATCCTGGCGAATAAATATATTTATTTTCAGATGCAGCCGATTTTTGGTGGTTTTGATACGAGCATAACTTTGAATTAACCCAATGTACAATGAATGATTTTAATTAAAAGTACTCCATGCCACCTATCATAGAAAATCAACCAAATAAATGCCACAAATATGGTAAACCACACGACAAACCATTTATTATTTTTAACTTTCCTAAACTCTTCGCCATATTAATGCCAAAACGGGGAAATAAACATTTACGTAATCATTGACGTTCACTTTATCGAGTAATTTCAAGTAAAATCTGAAAAAACGTTAAATATTGCAAGGTGTGCAAATTGTTTTGTTTATCGCTATGAAGCAATTAGGGCGAATAAAGCAATTTATCTTTGTAACTGAAAAGTGCAACCGGGTCGGTTTCAATTCTGGAGAATGGTATCGGGTCTTGTTTCTCGAAATTGTAAGGAAACATTTGTATTTTTATAACCAAACAATTGGTTTGATGATTTTGCCAGGCATATTCTTACCACATTATTCCAGATGCTTGGGATCTTCTGGGCTGTTCGATTAACAATTAAGCGACACACGGTATTCGAAGTTGGTAATATATGCATTTTGTATATATGCACCGATTGTAATTTGAAGCATCCATGATAGTACGTGATTTCTATTAAACGAAAACAATCTTTTCTTCAGCTTCCAGTGTAAAAATATATATTTGGCTTGTTATCATCATTGCAATTCCTATGCAATTCGTGAAAACATTCCTAGTTTGGAGTGGCATCATAAGAGTAAGCAGCATACTGATGTTGAGCAGGATTCTAGTCCGGGCAAAAAGTCCTGTTTTGATGAGAATCGAGCGTGCACGCCCTCGTCCCTACTTCTGCATGGATTCATATGAAATTTTCAACTGTCTTAGAGATGCGAAATTTGGCATGCACATGCACCAACATATGCTGTATCATAATACAACATCAATTCCCGTTCCGTTCGCTATAAATTTTTCAGGAAAAATCAAAAACCAAATGTCATCCCTATCATTTCTTGGTTTTTGATTTTTCCTGAAAAATTTATAGCGAACGGAACGGGAATTGATGTTGTATTATGATACAGCATATGTTGGTGCATGTGCATGCCAAATTTCGCATCTCTAAGACAGTTGAAAATTTCATATGAATCCATGCAGAAGTAGGGACGAGGGCGTGCACGCTCGATTCTCATCAAAACAGGACTTTTTGCCCGGACTAGAATCCTGCTCAACATCAGTAAATAATTCACTCTGATTTTCATAAGATTCTTCCTCCATGTGCCTCTCATCAGCAATATTTAACAATTATTTTCCTGCCTCTTTCCTTGTTTCTAGAGATGTCCCACCCGACTCAGAATATATTGTCGACTTTCGCAAGTGGAATTTCCACTTTACATCTGCTTCAAGTTACTCATACTCAGAAATACTTTCCTCACCAATTCAATGTCATTTTTGCTCATTGCCTCCGAAATCCTGACTTTCCTTGTGACCTCTTTCACCTGGGGTTGGCTGGCTTATTGGGCAGTTCCGCATTATTTGCGACAGGTGGCCAAAACGGAAGCTGCCATGACTGACTTTAAACGGAAAATGGACCAGTATTTAAATGAGGGAGATGAATACGTGCAAAACTTGGACACTTCCGAATATGTAACTTTAGATGAGTCCTTCAATGTTGTGGACAATAAGCTTTTACTGGACTCTTTGATAACACCACTAGAATTGCAAATTGGTAAATACAGTCCAAATATACCTGAACTCTTATACTTGTGATTAGTTCATGGGCTTACAGACTGGGTAGACTTTTATACGCATTTACATAATTCACGAGCATTTTTTTTCTAGACATATCTCATATGATCGGGGATGGACAGTTCAGTTTGGTTTACAAAGGAACCCTTCAAAGAAATGGGAAGAGTTTTGAAATTGCTGGAAAAACTGGGAAAACTAAAGAAAACAGTTTAGAAATGCTGGTCAAAGAAATGCAGGTTATTTTGCATGTTGGGTCGCATCCAAATATTTTGACGTTCTTTGGAGTTACTTGCGACCCAAACACTGGTTAATGCCAACACACATACATAAACTTGAACGTGATTTAATAACGCTGTGTATTTCCCATGATAACAATTATTTATTCTTGTGTGGGGTCTTGAATAGGCAGTTACTTCCTCATTTCGGAATTTTGCACCATGGGATGCCTTCACTCGTATCTAGAAAAATTACGTCCCACTGTTTCCGGTTTTTCGGCCTTGCTCGACCAAGAGGACAGAAAATAGTGAGTTAAAGGTTTATTTTATAGTAATGAAGTTTTCTAACCTTCCAATTAATTTGCTTTCAAAGTGTGAACATAACCATTAACTTTATGGAGCAAGAACTTCACCAATTGCGACAAACCCTGCAGAGATTTTCTCTGGAAATTTGTGGAGGCATGTGTCATCTCGCACTCAAGAAGGTTGTCTACTCACACTAGTTTTACCAAATACATATTTTGCTCAATTATTTAAATTTATGGGAATTACATTACTATTTCAATAAATAAATATTCAGGTAATTCACGGAGATCTCGCAGCAAGAAATGTTCTCATTACAAAAGACTTGCGTGCAAAACTTTGCGACTTTGGAATGTCTGGAAAATTATACAATTACCAGATTTATGTTAAGAATTTTCAGCAGGTAAGATAATCATGGGAAATAGTTTGATGAGATTCGGTGTCGTGAATTATTTCACATGTGAATTATTTCTACCATATTTCAATCATGTTATACGATTAACTTAGCGTACAAACAACAAATATGTAATTACATTCATGCTGCATAGAACTTCTTGCCCTGGAGATGGGTAAGTGTGGAAGCGCTTGACGATCTTAAGTTCTCGGAACAATCGGATGTTTGGTCATTTGGTTCGTAACTATATGAAGCATGGTTTCTTATTAAATTGGAATAAGATAATTTTATTTTCGGAAATGGGATACAGGAGTTTTTCTCTGGGAGTTGTACACGCTTGGTAGATTGCCATTTGCTGGTCAGTCCTGGAGTGTCACTCTTCCCGATGATATCCGAGCTGGAATTTACAAACTTGATAAACCAGAGCTTGCAACTTCAAAAATGTAATTTCTCAATTCATGCGGTTTTTGTGAAGGTTTCAATAAATCATAGTCATCCGTTCTCTTGCAGAGACAACATCATTCGTCAATGTTGCTCCATTGACTCGAAAATGCGACCAACGTTTAAAACCTTGTCCCAGTTGTTGCAAGATATTTGATTGAATAAACGGTTTGTTTTAAATATTCCTCACGCAATGCTTATTAGTCATCTTATCACTCTGTATGACAAGATCATTTTTATTAATAACAATAAAGTGAAGACTTCCAGGTCGGATAACTTGGAAATTGTCCCTGAATTATTGAAATAGGATGAAAGTTCTGAAATTATCTGCAAAATTAATATTTTCCTATTCTACAGTAGATGCATCCTTATGCACATATTAGTTATTCATGTCAAGCAATATATGTAGGTATGAGATTATTTCTTTGTGAGCTATAGTGCTTTCCTAATCTGCGACACAATTATGCACAAGAACATCCATCTCGAGATTTTCGATCCGTATTTACAGCAGAATAAAAAAAAACAGTGCTTAATCGAGAAACATAATGAAAATGTTCGTCGTAACGTGCTGGCCACAGATATGGCGATGCTATTGCGTTTCTCTCGAAACGTGTCTCTGATTGGTTATTTATGTACAATGCTCGAAAATTATGTACGCTTGACGTGCATTTCGTAATGTGTGCAGTAATTTTTCTTATTAAGCATAATCAATATATACGTAGTAAAAAAAAACTGTACTTTACATTTCCAATTTTGAAATTAAGTGCAGAACAACCAACAATAAAACAATTATCCAGAGCACGCAACTCAACTATGAATTTTCTTTATTACTTTTTTACAAAAAAGTAACACGAATCTACGATTTAAGAAACTCTGTAAAAATAAAATAATAGTACGAATACTGTGGATCATTACTCAATGATTTCATCAGCAAAATTAGGTAACTTGCTTTCCCATAAATATTATTCGGTTTTGTGTTTCACATAATTCATAATTCTGTTTACTTCGTGACGATTAGTGACGACGACGTGCATAAAACCAGCTTTACAGAATAAGATTGTGCAAATAATATATGAATAAACACATAATCGGAATTCTGTCCCGAATTGACGACGCAAAATGTTATGCAATATTTGCCATTGGTTTTATGTACCTTTTCATTACCACGAATATCGCCAATGGCCACTTTTATTATCACTTCTTCTCCAACCTTGCATACACCGGACACTAATACAAACATGTAACAGATATTGTGTATATCGTCTCATATTTTTCCTTTATCCAAAGTTTTAGCTTCCTTTGTAGGCCATCGTATGAACAGCTTAAATATGAATATTGTACATATGTATTTATATAGGCACTAAATACCAAATCATCACATCTCGAAATACTAATCCTCACTAAATCAAACTGAATGTGAATGTATGGATAAATACACGAAGCAAGTATAAAATCTTGCCGTGGTGACGTATACGGTCTCAGCTGCCAGTTTAGCAAGTTACAATAATTTGAATGAAATGACGATGTTGGACCCTTGCAAAAAAAGATACAATTCTTGTCACCTCCCTCACAAGACAATAACAACAACAACATCATCCCACAGCCCACATGTAACCAGCCACTCGGTATGAAAAAAACGATAGTGATGGCTTTCAAATGCCAAGTAACCCATAGGCGCATAATAATGATAATGATGTACATGTTCCCATCGCCAACATGTGCTTGGATATAGCACCGTCAAAAAATAATAACTACGACTGCATGACTTTGTTCCGCAACTACTTACCATATCAAGTAGCTATAAGGACGTTGTATTTGCACAAAAAGTCTGGATTGGAATGGAACTATGCATCTACGAACTATACGTATGCTTAATATGTCTGCCAAATTAAACAGGTTTGAGAACGGAGCAAAGCAATAAAGTCGAATGTGGTCACTTTACTCAATCACATTAAATTTACGACCTTCTTGGAGTCAAGTTCAAGAGTGCGTGGAAGGAAGAAGAGATCTTAATTGGGTTGCGAATGAAAATGTTAAGGAGAAGAAGAGCCAAGTCAGTCAGTAAAATTCAACAGTAGCACAAAGTGAGCCATTTTCTTTGTGTTTGAAATTTGTCCAAGTGAATAATACGCTCACCAAAAGTACACAAGTTTAAGTTGATTTGATATCTTTAGAATTTTAGTGGTATTAATAATTATACGTTCTTGAGAACTGTGATATTTAAGCAACGCATAATAATTTCTTTGATTTTAAATATTATTCTGTGCAAGTAAAAATGAACAAGCAGCCCTTGTTGTTGTGCGTCTCCATATTCCTGATACTTGTCCTGGTTGTCACAGGCCTCGTAGTCACACGCAGATTCGGTGGCAGGTCGTCTTTGGACCTCGACTACGACGCAGAGGTTGACGTAGAAAATGTTGGGAATGTAACGGTACGATGACATAAAATGTTTTCTGCTTGTTTTTTAAATGTTGCACCGATGTGCGTGCCATGTTACAAACGTTAATTGTTTTTTGTAGGCGGCTACATTATGGGATTTACATCGCGATATAAAAACGAAAAACAAGTTCAAAATCTACCTTTTTCAAGTTCTCAACCCTCAAGCCGTGTTGGAAGGAGAGAATCCTGAATTAAAGGAGGCTGGACCATTTGCATATAAGTAAGTGGATTTTAATATTTCCAGAATGTATCCACATTTTATCGAGTAGATATTTCTGCCATGTCTAGTTTAAGGCATATTTATTGGGATTAATTTCACAAACAATTGCAGAAAGCTAATATTGAAGTTCTATTGTTTCGCAATTTAGCATGTATGCAAATATAATCAAGTTTTAATGTGTTGTAGGGAACAATGATGCTTGTAAAACATGGTCAGTAAGACTCGTAGCGTAACCATGCTCAAATGCTATGAATATTTAGTACTTCCTGTTTCTGGCATTGTACATTTCCTTCCTCTGCTGGAGAACTGCATGGAGAGGTTTTTGCTGATTGACATGATTAAATTGCTTACACAAGTTTTTTTTGCAACACCCAAACCAGTTTTTTGAGTTGCTTCACTGCTGCTGCAATGGTTGATTCTGCCAAATATCTGCATAATATTATCGTTTGCAGAAAATAATCAGTGTTGCAAATGATGATAATTGCTATTTTTTATTAATGATTTCCTCAGCCAGAAGAAAACCCGGGTCACCCTCGGAATCTACGAAGAGAGTGACACTGTCCGATATAAGGATCATGTCACGTATCATTTTAATCAAGCCGAGTCGAAGGGAAACGACTCTGACATTGTCACCATTATCAATATGCCATGGGTGGTATGTACATAAATACATAACTTTGAGGCTTATCTGTAATTATTTCCAATATAAAACCTCATCAGAAATATAAAAAAGTCTATGCATATAATCCCAAGGTCCGGTAACATATCCACGTACATGACTATTTATTCTGCGCGTAATTATTGTAGGGTTTGGCTCAAGAGGTCTCAAGGATGTCAGCGTTCAGCCGTTTCATCGTGATGGCAATCGTTTCTCGCTACAGTGAGTCCGTCTTCATGACTCGACCTGTGGGCGAACTCTTGTTTGGTGGATTTTATCACGAACTCATCTCCACATTTTCTGGAATCACTGGGGAGACTTACATGCCAAACAACACGTTTGGTTTCCTTTATGGGGTGAGCCCTTTAAAAGCGTTCCAGCAACCGAACTTGTGTTACAAATGTTTCATGTCCGCAGAGAAACGATACGTTCCTCGACTCTCGCGAAGTCAATCTCGGTCTAAAAAACCCTCTTCATTTTGGACACACCCGAAAGTGGAAAGGTCTCAAAGAAATGGAGTGGTGGAGTCGTCCCAATTCTGATGACAGTGACTGGTTTGACGAAGAAAGTTCCGAGGATAAGCACAAAAATACTTGCAACCAAATCTCAGAGTCCTCCGACTGGAGTTTATTCCACCCTGGAATAAATAAGGAAGAATACTTATCCGTCTTTGCGGACGATCTTTGTCGGAATCTTAAGCTTTCTTTTGAGAAGGAAGTCAACCTTCAAGGCGTAAAGGGATACCGGTTCACAGTACCACGGAGTGAGTACGGAAATCCGAAAAACCATCCAGAGAACTCGTGCTACTGCACGCAACCTGGGGAAGATATGGAGGACTGCCCTCACGACGGGGTATATCAAATAAACGCGTGTCAGAAAGGTGTGCCTACAGAAATCTTAAATAGCGTTACTTTTATGACCAAATTTTTCCCACCCAACAGAGAATTTTATATTTTATTTGTATTGTCATGTACAACACAGCCGCATCTGTTCTGATATCACACCCTCATTTTTACAACGGAGACAAGACATATTTACAAAATGTGAAAGGATTGAACCCAAAATTGGAGCATCATCAAACATTTATTGACATTGAACCGGTTAGAAAGGCACAAAAATTGTTTCCCATAATTGACCACTCTTCGGTTCGATTCGGTCTTTAAGGTACAATTACAGGTTTATTGATGAGTGTCTATTGTGTCCAGATAACTGGCCAAGTCCTCCGGTACGCGAAGAGGGCACAAGTAAATCTCCATCTCCGACCGTTAAAGTCTATCACAGAATTCAACAAGGTTCCCAACATGATTTTTCCCGTCATGTGGACGGAGGAGGTATAAAAACGTGTAATTAATCCTTTAAATCTTTCCACATATTATACAATTTGCATAATATTTTATGACGTGATACGAACACAGACGGCAGAAATGGATGATGATGCATTGGTGGAATTGAAGGCCAAGCTGGCTGGCAAGAAGTTTACATTCAGTGGATTTCAACCACCGGTGTTGGTTAACCATTTAGGGTTCATGTCGTCAGATTCGGAACGGTCGAGATTTTGGATGGGAGTTACTGGAGGACTGCTTATCCTACCAGTTGGCTTAGTCGGCCTATTCCTTGCTCTCAAAGGTACGAACTGGTCGTCGAAATTCAGTCATCCTAATGACACAGAGGGTGTCGAATTTACTGAAATGCTCACAGAGGGACAAACTTCTACAGAGATTGTTTAAACAAAATGCTTGCAATTTGTTATTGCAGCTCAAATAAGACTGACTATGTTTACCCAAATTTATTTACTTAATGTCTCATTATGCCATAAATATTATATTTGTGATGTTAAAAATATGTACTCCTATGACCAGTGCGCCAATGTATGTGTGTACATATATAACTTAAATAAAAATGGTATGGCTATTGCATAACGATCGTACAGCAAGGCTCAATTTTGTCTCTTTTCCTTTTGGAGATTTACGATGGATTGCCCAGTACAACTCACTTTCTGCGACGGTATTAGTAAAGGGTTATGAACCCCGCTCACGTTTGTGGAATCGATTTCGAGAAATCTCCCGTTCACTGAGGCAATTGAAACATGTCAAAACTAAAAATGAAATGCTAGTTTCAGCGTTATATAGAAATTCAGAGAAGGATTTAACCAGTTGTCCTCAATAACTTTACTCATCAATTCGAAATTGTGCTGTTTCGCAATATCAAGTTTATCGCTTGTAAGTCCTGAATTTGTGGCCAGCCCAAACGCTGTTTATTTTATCAACACGTGGCTGTCAACAGTGCATAAATCAAGGTTGGACATTTTTCATTAGAATTTGCACGGATTGCATTTTGGATGTTTCCCGTTTTCCATAAAACAGTAGTACATAATAGGGAAACAGTCTATTTATTTTCTAGGTATTTACTTGGAAGAAAGAAAAGAAAATAAATGACATGTTTCATATACCCGGGCGGGTATATGCGGGCATCTAAATGGAGCTTAACGAATTTAAGTTTAGTTGCATTTTAATATTACCTAGATCCAATCACATATGTATGAGATCCTTCTCATGTTAATTAGCCTTATATTTTCCCCTCTATAGGTCAATGATTCTGGCAAGGTCATTGTTGTACGATGTCTACAGGAATGTTAGGTTCATTTATATTTTAGTTTAAGGGCGTGAAAGACCGATCAATACATTAATTGGACTAGACGCGGACGTCGTGGACAAAGGCTAATCGAATAGTTTGACGATTAATTTATTCTTATTTTGTACAATAATTTTAAGGTTTTAAGCAGACCGCAGTGTGCTAAATACTTGTAGTCATGAGGTCACTGTGGATCTTCTTTGAGGCCGCCGTAACGCTGTGGTAGTTCTGAGGGGTCTATTGCAGCTCTCACCACAGGACCCCATTCAGCTTCGTTTTTTCCATAAACCATTAGAGCCTCTTTGGTGCCTTTTGCAAGTGTGGGTCTCACCAACGCCAGCACCGTCTCGAATAATCCAGGTGCTAATAACCAAGCGTTTTTTTCAAATGTAATTTAACGACAATCGGTAACCAAATTCGATAAGTGTTAGTCTTACTGTTGACGAGGAATATTCGATCCCCCATGTGTGGAAAGTGGAGGTCATAGCCCAGTGAAGCTGCGATGTAATAGGGAAAACCTATTTACAAGACAAACAGCTTATTAATTTTTAATTTGTTGTCATTTTAAGTTTGATAGAATGCTCAAACTTACTAGCTGAATTTACATTTGTGATGGCATTAATATTTTTGAGGTCCAGAATCATCGTCCACCTCGTGACATTTTTGTTTTGCAACTCCAACTCTCTCACTCGTTTTCGACCTGCATCCCAATTTTTGAGGGTCCATCGGACAATCCGGTCGGTTTTACCAGCTAGAGCAGCTTTTCTCAAGTCCCAGTCCCCAAGTTCCCACACAACAACTAAAGGATGAAATAATGAAAATTAGTAATTCAGAAAACCACAACTATTTCCACATCATTAAAATTTAAGGTTATCATTACGTGGTCTTCCATCGCGGTCAAATCCTTCACTTCGCATGCCATAACCTGCATTTTCAAGATCCGACCAGTCTTCGTCATGTATGGTCTCCATTTTGTTGTCAGCCCTCCATTTCATTTGCTGTTAAAATAATAAATTGCGTATAATTGCAAAATCATAAAAGTCATTTATATAAATTTCAAAACGCAATTTAATTACCGAAAGTACATAATCTTCAGCTTTGTTTACGTCGAAATTTTTAGCTGCAATCAGAATTCGCGTGAATGAACAAAGTATAATAATCTTGCATGCAAATTGTTAAAAATTGCCTACCTCTAAGAAAGCGCAGGAGAAATAAATCTTCTTTCTGATAGTCATGTGCTAATTTTGGGATAACTCGAGCTTTCAGCTATTCAAAAATAAGACGGACTTTAACTTCATATATTTATCCATTCGCACAACTACGTTTTTGAAAATCTGCAGTGCTGACCTTTTGCAACGCTGCCCCCTGCAGCTTGGTTAAAGTTGTATCTTCTTTAAAGTTTATCCCCGTGGTTAAAACGGAGACATTTAGCACAATAAATAATATGGCTATGCCAAATGAAAATATTGAAAGTTTACTCGCCATCGTTTGGCACAATAAGACAACTTGTATCGGATCCTTGAGTCCGAAAAATAACAAAAACATTAAAGTTACTTATCCTGGGTCCGCTATATATATACATTTTCATCCAATTTTTTATCGTCTTGAACCTACTCAAAGTCAAACAAGTCCCACCCATCCCAAGAGTATGCACTCATGGAAGAAGAATGCCACCTCAAAACCACAAACAAGGATAATCTTGAGAAATTGAGATGGTCAGCTTTTATTAATGGGCGGCACACTAGGTTTCAACCATGAAGAGTGGCCATGTTTATTTATTTTGCTCCGTCGTACAAGTTACACACAGAAGCCCTATAAAAATTCCAGTGTTAATAAACCATTAACCCTGAAGTCTGCATGTATTATTCATGCATAAGTATGTAGAAGGAGCAAAAAATGATATATTTTAAAAGAAAACTCCTGGAATTAACTCAATTGTTTGGAATTTCCCAATTTCACGAGTGTCTAATTGGCCATGTTATGCATATGTAAATCAGAAGTTGTGTATGCCAATTTTTTATAACAGAATTTTTATGCACACGTGTAAAGAAATTAGATTAGTTTTTTTATTAAGTTATCTGCATAAGTAGTCTAGTCATACACTGAATAATGCAGATACAACAACATTTGCATATGCGTACTATGTATCAATACATGAATGTATTCTCAACAAAGTTTTTTTCAATTCTTATTGGAATTTGTTTATTGTGGTCAATTTTGCCACGTGTAAGACGTTCGAGAACCGGTTCGATCGGCAGACAGCCTATCCGTCTGGAACTTGTTTTGAGAATTTAGTGATATTTTTATATTGTGAAAATCGAAAATAATGATGGCATTCATAACTCAATATGAAACGCATTGTTAGATCTACATACTCAACGTAGCCATATTCTCTTGAATTCACCCGGAATGAATACTTTGAATTGGTGTTAGCCCCTCTCCTTAAACTATAATTATTTGAAGCTAAACTATTCTTGGTCGAAATTTTACAGCACTTCTCATCATTTTCCTAGAAGCCTAAATATTTTAGTACTACAATGGCAGTTGGGATTAAGGAAAATCTAACACCTGAGCTTTTAGTACATAAATACATAGGCATATGCATAAATATGCAAATGCATAAATATGCATGCGCAAATGCGCATATGCCAATTTGAAACCAACCAACCACGCATTTTACATTAGCAAAAGATTCACAACTTGATCTACACAAACTTTCCAGATCTCCAACGAAGTCAACCTATCGTAGAAGTTGCCTCCGCCCATGGTCAATTTTAGGGGGGTGCAAGAAATTAAGAATTTCTCTAGCCATTTACTATTTTTCCTCCCCTTTGCGTTCCTCATAAATTCCACGGATGCCAAGTATGGACGACACAGCGACTTGAATAAAAAATGAATAATTATGACAAAGTCGATGCAAATGACAGAAAAAAATAACGCGACAGGAAGTGGGAGCTCCTGAATGGAGCTGATCAGAATGTAAAGGGAGGATATTTCGCACATCATGGAACCACCAAGAATCATGGACATGAATGGTTTCCCTACCACATAAGTATGAAGATTCAGCAAGCACTCAGCTCTCCGGTACTCCGTGGCGTTGTACGAGGGGTACGCTCGCAATTTTCTAAAACATGCAAAATGAAAACAATTTATGGAGCACTCGAATATCACAACAAGATTTAATAAGTTCCATAAAAATTAATCAATACCTTTCCACAACTTCAACCCACATTTCTTCAATTACGGCCGGATATACAATTAACGAGGTCAATGCCACTACCACAGCTCCACCAAGATCCCACCATGAAAATGCTTCAAAGAATGCTATGCCCAACTTTTCCAGGAAGGACAACCCACCACTTCCACTCCATGAAGTACATTTCTTCAACCCCATGCTAATCAAGGGTGGCATACAGGGTCTCCAGAGGACGAGGACAAATATTGCGCTTGGTATGATAGCGGACGATGCAACTAGAACAGCGCAGATCATGATGGGAACGAGTCTTACCTGCGACGACGACAACTGACCATTTGCTACTCTTTCCAATTCTAAGGCTTGCTCAACCAACACCTTCACCTCATTCTGTCTGCGAAACAGAATCCATTTAGCGATCGAAATAATTGAGATGCTGGCGAGGAAGTACGTCATCATGACGGATTTCCAGAGCGGTTGGTGAGATGATTTTTGGATGTAAAACCATTCTAAAATCATGAATACATGGCAGAACTCGTTCAACTGGAAAAGAAGGAAGATGAGTTGATGAACGTAGGACTTTTTGGATGTGGAATTTTTGAAAGACTTTCTGAAAATGACCGGAAACGAGTAAGTAGAGGAGAGTGTGGTTATGATGAATGTAATAATGGGGATATAGGAACGGGGTAAGATTTTCCATGTCATGATCGTTGGTCTGCACCAAGTTATTTGGCGTTTGTGAAGGGGCGAAGGATAAAGGTCGTCTCTTAAATAGTCGTCGGAGTCTACATATCTTTTATACACATGGACATACATGCATTGTGCTTATGTAGAAATCAAGCTCCAATCATTGCTTCATCATCTACACGTATACATACATGTACATATGTAGATATGTACATATGAAGGCATAAACACGGACGGAGGTTCACACATATATGGAATTTCTAAGTAATGGCTGTAAACATGCCTTTGCGTAAAGGTTGAACGTGGTTTGTTGTAAATAACGTCCAAAGATGATATCTAGAGGTAAACCTTTTACTAATAATAACGAAAATGTAATTTTTGTTTGGAGGAGTAAACGGGACTTGCGTTGTACCACAAATGGTGTGAAATTGTTATGCAGCATAAGTTTGATGCACTAATTTTTTACTAGGCAATTTATTACTTGTCACACAATAATATATTACTATATATTTTAGTATATTAAGTATATTCACTAAAATCTAACGAAATGCATGTGAAAAAAAGTCGAAAATTAAATGTTTAAAATCAATAACGATTCCTATTCTTTGCAAACCTAACAACATCCGCTTCTTCCGGTTTACATACATGTACTTCATGCCTCAAATGCATAACTCGCTTGAAGTCTTTTCTAATGAATCTTTCCGTATTTAAGATTTCTCAATGATTAGCTATAAATCGAGGTTCCGGTGAATAACTCATTCCAACAAGCTGGGAGTTTATCATTCATTGTGGTTCAGTCGTTTAGTACATGATGACTAGGAAATTAGGTTCAGTTATTCCCAAGTACTTGAGTTTTGATCAAGTAAGCGGTCAGGAAGGTAAAAAGTATTCGCAACGCCCTTTGTTTACGATCCTTCAAAATAAAATGGAATAACTGAAAATGGGCAGCTGTCGTGGTCATCATATTGCTCCACGATGCAAAAGACTCTTGCTTCTTGCAGCAATATTTGTGTTCATCTTAGACGTGATTTCAGTTTGCAATTGTGATACAGTTATTGGAACATCCACAGAGAATGATGTCAAATGCGCTCAGTGTCCTCAAATTGTGTTCCCCTTGTCCTCATCAGCGGAAGATAAGGTTAGCAGTAAGTCCGCTCGGATATTTCCTGGCCAAGAAGAACTATTGCTGAGGAATATTGAACCCATCTACATTATCGAAGACGTTGTTGAGGACAATGAGGACGTCAATTTGGGACATGACCAACACCACAACTATTCATTCCCACAAAAGAGGTTCGGACTAGTAGACTGGACTCTGGGGATTAGAGGTATAAATACATCAATTAATTTCCTAGTTTTATTTCCAAATTGTGCTTTATACCTATTTTGAGTTAAAATGATATCATGTTTCTAAATATAGTAAGCACAAATCACAAACCGGTTTTAGCGTCTGCAAACCCGTGGCCCGGTTGGGGTTGGGACCACTCTTCTGGCAAGAACTCTGAAGATGAGGAAGATGAGGAGGAGGAAGAAGAAGAAGATGATGAAGAGATTATCAGCTCTATGAAAAATTCCACGCTTCCCGTAACCAACTCCACCGTGACCAAAAGCAAACAAAACACCAAAAGTGATGAAGACGACGACGTATCCGACGAGAAGGATTATGCAACTTCGAGTGAAAGCAGATTCCAAAGTCGAGAGTTGGATCTTACCAACGATGAGGAGGTGGAAAAACATGGTGATGTTAACGACGATAAGATTGAAGATATGGAAGAACATGATGATGACAATAGTGAAGAAATAGCTGACGCCAACAGTGAAAATGAACCCTCTCTTGGCAGTGATGAAAGTGAAGAAGACGACCAAGATGCTTCGAACGGGAAAGATAATTACGATGACACTCTAACAGAGGAGAATAATAGCGATACAGAAATTGAGCTCGGAACAGAACATGCAAATGGGAATGACCCAAGCTTAGGAAATCATGAACGACTTCTTCTATGTAAGACAACATGTACATGTTATATTATAGACTTGAATTGCAAAACATGACTTTTCTCAACTCATTTGCATAAACATTTGTAGTAAAAAAGAAGAAACTCTTGGCTGGAGCTATAATTGGAACAAAAATTAAAAAAGTTCTACTTGCCAAAAAGATGAAAAAAAAACTTTTGCTCAAGAAAAAGATTAAGAAAGCTTTAAAAAAGAAGGCCTTAAAAAAGAAAAAGAAATTGATCAAAATGAAATTGATAAAGGCTGCCAAACTGAAGAAAAAGGTAAAATTGAAAAAAATTAAGAAACATTTGATAAAAAAGAAGATTATTAAGGCAAAACTGAAAAACAAAGCAATTAAGAAGGCGATTATCAAAAAGAAAATTATCAAAGCGAAATTAAAGAAGAAGGCAATCAAGAAGGCGATTCTCAAGAAAAAAATTGTAAAAGCCAAGCTAAAAAAGAAAGCAATTAAGAAAGCCATCATTAAGAAGAAAATTGTCAAAGCAAAACTAAAGAAGAAAGCAATTAAAAAAGTGCTAATAAAGAAAGCGATAAAAAAGAAAGCTCTGAAGAAAGTAATCAAAAAGAAGGCAATTAAAAAAATTCTCAAGAAGAAGGCGATTAAGAAAGCTATTAAAAAGAAAGCCATTAAAAAAATTCTTACAAAGAAGGCGATAAAGAAAGCCTTAAAGAAGAAAGCAATCAAAAAAGCTCTACTCAAAAAGAAAATTAAAAAGCATCTTATCAAGAAAAAGGTGGTAAAATTAGCAAAACTTAAAAAGAAGAAGATTAAGAAAAAACTATTAAAAAAGAAAATTATCAAGAATAAATTCCTCAAGAAGAAAAAGATTAAAAAAGTATTGCTCAAGAACAAACTTAAAAAGAAGCTAAAAAAGAAGCTTAAAAAGAAACTGAAAAAGAAGGTCATCAAAAATCTGATAAAAATACAGAAAATAAATAAGCTGAACAAGTTGAAGAACAAGAAAAAGACGATAAAGGGTGCGCTCATCGGAGTTGGTGGTGGTGTACGGCTTCCAACGTCCAGTAAGCGGCCACCCCTCCTCTCCACAAAGAAAAGAAGGCCATCTTCTCCAAAAACACAAAAGAAAGTTAAGGACAAGAAAAAGAACAAGAGTGACGAGGACTCCGAGTCAGAATCAGAGTCGGACGAATCGGAAGAGGAATACTGGGACGAGGAACAAGTGAAGAACAGCACGGATGTTGATAAAGATGAGGATCTAGAAGAACATGATATCAACCCTCCTACAGATCAACACATCAATACCGACAACACGGACAGTACTGGTATAAAATATGCCTCTTGTGCATACAAATATTTCACATTCTACGTTTACGATGCATTATAAATTTCCGTCGCGTTTGTTTTTAGGATTGTCAGACCCTTTTCTGGATGTTGAACTTCAACCACTCGCTGAGGATTCAACAATTAATGATCAGTTGCCAGATATTGAAGTTGGCCTTTCGCAAAGCATGGTGGACTCTCCAGCTGCAGCTGCAACCAAGCAGCAAGGGGTGCAACGCTTCCCTCCACGCCCTGTGGACCTTGGTGTGAAGGCAAACTTAATCAACAGATTTAACAAGATTACTAAAAACGTAGTGCAAATCGCCACCGCGTTCGATGGCAATGGAAGGACTGGTTAATTTAGGTGAACAATTTAATGTTCTTAAATAAAATCATAAACGGGAATAATACATAATCAGCAAACTATGTAAGCATTATTGTGATAAATTAATTTTATTTATCAATTTTATTTTAATAATGAAGACTTCATTATTTAATCTTAGAAAACGAGAGAATTAAAAATTATGATTATGGTTAATGGGTAAATTTATTCAATTTTATTCAGTTTGGTACAAGATAATAAGAAAGATTTATGTTTCTTTACAGCTTACCAATAAAATAAACGACATCTCACTAATAATTTACCAATACGATGAACATACCAATGTAATAATAAAGATCATGAGAATACTTATCATAAGAGTATTTGTTTGAATTTAGGTTGTACTCAAGACAATGGATTATTGTCTTCTGTTTCCACCTGACTATCATCATCCCATTGGCTATCATTGCTATACGGTTCCAAAAAGCCATCCAAATTATAGTTATTGATGTCCTCCATATCAATATCCATGACGTCTTCAATTTCGTCTTTTACCAAATCAAGATCCACAAAGAGCGGCGTAATGCTTTCTTCAGACTCAATTGTTTGTGCCAACTTGACTGTCTTGGTTCGAGACTTGTTTGGTGCATTCGTTTTATTTGAAGTTTTTTTCTTGACGGCACGAGTACTAGGAGCAGCCTTTGAAGATGATTCATCATAGTCATTGCCTGAACTACTATCTTCAGTATTCAAATCAGACTCGGAGTCATTAGTTTTTTTTGTTACTTTCGATTTGGGTTTATTAAAGTTTGAATCTGAATCTTTGAAACATGAATTTCGGGTTCTCCTGGGCAATTGATTTCTGGTCCTACTTTTGGGTCCAGGTTTTTGTACCACGTAGGAATCCCTCTTGGTATTTTTTTTATGTGATGTTACTTTCCTTTGCGGTTTCTTGACAGAGATATGCATGTTTCTGCTATCATCATCATCATCGTTCTGATCGTCATCGTCATCGTCGTCATCGTTAGTTTCTGCTTCCATTGTTGAATAAAATGGACCAAATTCAGCTTCATCATCATCTGAGGCTTCACTTTCTTCGCTAGCGGATTCTTCATCTGAAGAAGAAGAGTAATCTTTACGTAATTTCTTTTTTGGTTTACTTTTCTCGGAACAATTATCTGTAATGAGGAGTTTAGTGTGAATCTTCTTTTTCTTTCCAGAAATGTTATTCCCCAATTGCACTCCAAATTTGTCATAAACCGTTTGAATCATCATAAAGAGTTCTAAAAGTGTAAAATAATCCTTTCGTACACTACGTAGTTTATCCTCAGCAGATATCTGTAAGAATACCAACAACTCCGTATAACATTTGTTTTCAAGGTTTCACAACTTTGAATGTTACTTCATACATGTTCAGGATGATGTATTTCAATATGTGATTTGATTCCCTTGGGATTCATCTGGAGCCCGCATATGTCTAAGGGTCGAAAAGTTATTTAGATGTCATACAATAAATAAGAATGAGTAAGAAAATAAAGTATATGATGAAATTGTGGGAGTACGAACCGCAAAAGGTAGAAAAGTGTGTTGGGAAGTGTTTCGATGTCATGTGCGACTTTAGTCCAACCTCGGTAGCTGTTATAAAATGTATTATTATTTAATCATCTAATCTATCTAATCTACTATTATTATTACACTATCTATGTATTATCCTTACAAAAGCTGTTGGTACATATTTTACACACGAAATGCTTCAACGTCTGCATCGCTTGCTCAAATGGCACCCTCTGCAAAAATATAATTATTGTGTCATTATTGCATAATAATGTACGTTGACATTTATTGTCATGATATTATATTAATATTTCCAGAAATGGACAGCATACTGTAATATCACTCATGGAGTAGGGTTCACCAGGATGTAATGTCTTCATGTGAACTCTGAAATGATCCGATCGCGTCAGCATTGCACCACATTGATCAAATGGGCATAAATAACGCTTCAAATCTTCTTGATGATGAAATTTATTGTGCTTCGTAAGATTTGCCTTAACAAGAAATAAATTACAAAGAAAATTTTAAGTCTTGTATTAAAACCATTAATAAGATGCGTCGTCCTAAGCATGCATTATAAGCATAAAATCAGAAAGATACGAGTACTCACCTTTGAAGCAAACGTTACATTGCACTTTTTGCAGAGGACTCGAGTGAAAGCATCCTGCTTGTGACTCTCCTCAATATGAGATCGGAGAAATTCCAGTGTTTTGAAGTTTTTGAGACACACTTTGCATGAAAAAATTGTTACTTCTCCAGCTGCAGTTTGTAACGTTGTACTTGACGACAGTTTCTCATAATCTTCCGGGACAAGTTCCCTCTTTTTTTGTAAAGGGAATTCCGAAGTCAAATTAGATGCTACAGCCATTCTAGCATTTTTTGGAACGCCGTGGTCATCGTGCATATGAGCCCAGTAGGAACTGTGATGATAGAATTTTTTGTTGCAAGGAATACACGTGCGAATGTTAGGATCTTTCTCAAAGAATAAGTGTTGCTCATGAAATTCTTGAATTGTAAATGAAACACCACATCTACATGTGAGCCAATCATTAGAATCCGCACCCAACGGAGGAGGTCCTACTCTGCCCGACGGAACAAACTCTGGCATCTGTTGTGGAAGGATTCCATGAATTGCTTCATTATGTTGGACAAGCACAGTCGGTTTACAAAACAGACGATCGCATGTTGGGCAGAAGCGTTTCATTAATTTATCAACAGCTATATGAGTTTGGTGTAAGTTGTGAGGAGTAGTTTTGCATATAGGGCACGGAAAATTCACCATCAATGAATTAGTGGGCTCCTTAGTGGAGGATCCAAGTGGTACAAGTTGTTTATCTTCCGAATTCTGAGTTTTTGGAGAAGTCGGGATATTCTGTATAAATAAAAAATATACAATTATGAGAAGACATCCAAGCCACACATCTGACAATGCGATGACGCCAGCGGTCTCGCTCCGATTTTGATGAAACCACGATAATTATGTAGCCTTACATAAATAATTGAACACATGTTTCGGGATTTTTCATAATGCTCAGTTTAAACAAAGTTATGATGGTACAAGTGACCGAAAATTCGCATTTTTCTCCCTCAAAAACAAAAAAAGAAAAACTTCACGAGAAAAATGCGAATTTTCGGTCAATTGTACCATTATAACTTTGTTTAAACTGAGCATTATGAAAAATCCCGAAACATGTGTTCAATTATTTATGTAAGGCTACATAATTATCGTGGTTTCATCAAAATCGGAGCGAGACCGCTGGCGTCATCGCATTGTGAGTAATAAAAATATGCATTCAGGTAATTTGTGGGACTTACCTTTAATTTTAAATCCTTCAAAAATTTAAACAACTGATGCTTGTGAATAGAATGTCGTCTCAACAAATATAAGCTTACATAAGAGCGTTTACAGAGCTCGCATTTATACGGTTCATGGAATTGAGCGTAATCTGTGCGATTTTCAGCAATCTATCAAGAAATTACAAACTATTGTTTCGAAGCCCTAATACGTATGAGTGAATGTATAAAGTATTTTAACGAACTTGATGTTTGTTGTAGCAGATTATAGAATGAGATAACATTTTTTCTTCCGAACGAAACTGTTTATCACAGGTTTGGCAAACGAACTGTCCCCAGATTGGCATTTCATCAGAGCAGTTACCAACAACCAGGGCGTGTCCCTGAGCTACGTGCTCATCCAAGAAAGATTGAGCAGAAAATTCAGAATTGCACTGCCCACAACGGAATAAATCGTCTGCGTTCACCTCAACTTGGGCTGGTGCAGCACCAATCTTTTTCTAAAGGTGCAATAAAATATTTCAATGTATACAATATGGCAATAATTATAATTATAGAATTCAATCATAAATCACCAAAAAGAGTATCTTACATCAGAATGAAAAAGTCGAACATGATCAGCCCACAAGTCCTCCATTCTTAAGTAGATGCCGCAGTGCACACAGCAGTACCGACGTCGTTCATGGTAAGTTTTATAATGCTCATTCAGATCGGAAATCTCTGGTACACATTTCTCACAAGGAAGACACCAAAACTTGACTTTCTCCTGGATTGATATATATTGGTCAATTCCCATAATCCACTAAAAAATAAATAAATAATGTAAATGACTTAAATGACTTTGTGAAATAATCAAGATAAATTAAATATGTAAAAGAGCAATAAATAGTTACAGAAGTTTTTGCTTCTATTGGATGAGTCCTCAATATATGACACCTCAAAGATTTCCTATCAAACCGATAGGTTCCACAACGAAACCTTTTTCCTCGACCGTATGGGCACTTGTATTGCTTCTTTTCAAAGTGGCATTTAAAAATATGTTCAACAAAACGATCCAGTCCATTTCTTTCTTTGTTGCAAATTGGACACGCTACTGCGGGTTCCGTTGATTCCATTGTTGCACCACTTTTTCGTTTACCCCTCTTATTTGCATTCATGCCTTCAGATTGTGCCGAAATCGGTGGAGGCAAGATAACTTCAGGATGTTGTGTCGTAATATGTTGGGTCAATGCGACGTCATCATCCACCACTTTATCGCACAGTTGGCACTTTGGCAGTAAATTTGTTAGATTTTCACTAAGCATAGAATCACGAATTTGTTCAGGATTACGTTCGAATGGGGACTCGTGTTCAACAACGGTGACAATTTGCCTTTTGCTTGGTATTGAATTCTTATCGCGTCTCTTTTTCCTCGCATTTCCCCAAATGTCTCGCTGCTGAGAAGAAGAAGGAGTGCCATTTTTTTTCTTGGTGGACGGTTTTTTGGATTTGGTCTTTGGTGTAGTACTCGTCCTATTCTTGGAACCTTTAGGTCTTCCCCCAAGTTTTTTTCGCGATTGGGAAGAAGACGGTTCAATGTCTGGACTAGAGGTTGTCATACCATGATTTCCTTCGTCATCAAATGGCGATGAATGAATAATATTATTGTCATGTTGCTGAAAGAATTGCGGTTGGTGAGGCGTTCTCTTATGCAGATGAGATGAGTGATGAGTCCATCCATAGTTCGTAGAGTGTTGCTGATTGTATGAAAATGACGAGTGTGGCTGATTTTGAGTCTACACATGGAATGGAAGCCACACAACTATTACTATGTATATATTGATCAAAAATTAAATGTGCGGGAAGCAGACACCACTTACCAAAGAAAGTGGACCATTGTGAAAGTTGACGTGATCCGAGGATTCTAAATTTGAATGCATGTTATATTGGTTATCTAGTAGATGCTGTCCAATCTGGGGATTGTGATGCTGATTATGGTACAATTGTTGATACGTTGCCGTTGGACGGTTCTGTTGCTGACTAGTAGAAAATTGCTGGAATTGTTGAAATACGGTTTGTTGCTGATTTGCACCAAGATTGAGCTGAAAATAAATATGAATAGCATGATAGATAATTTATAATAACCTCAAGTAATGAAATTGAAATATATTTTCGTACAATATCATTTCTTATCATGGAATCAATTTCATAAGATCCGAGGGGAACCCATCCATCATCGTTGCTGCCTTCCTCATCATCATGATTATCCGCACATGATGAACCCGTATATCCATCATTGCTAGTGCTTACCACATTATTGGATGGTGCATTGTAAACCACATGGGTCTGATTACGTGATCCTGTTGCAGCATTTGCAGTTGTTCGTCTACTCGTTTTATGCGTTTTAGAAGCACCAAAATTTCTGGATGACTGTCCTTTGCTTAATACTATCCCCTGTTTCTTCAGCATATATCTTCTTCTGGCAAGTTCATTCTTTTTTATCTTTGCATGGTCGTTAATTGGGCAAAGAGGTACAACAGGCTTGGGAGGTTTTTCTGCCTTTTTTAGTTTTTTGTAAAATCTTCTATACTCTAAATGCGCATAGACTGGATCCCCATATTTGGTTATGAAATCTTTGAATCTTTGAATGTCATCAAGAGATTGAGATTCTGGTATTGCCACACATTCGTACTCGGGAAGAGTCTCTGATAAATTTGGATGTGTTTTTTCTAAAGATGATGGCACAATGTTTCGCGTGGATGTGCTTGATTGGGTTTCAGTTCCTTTGGTATTAGCTTTTCTTCTCCTTGTTGATAGAAATCCAGCAAGCATTTTTCTGTATGATATGACCTCTACACTTGTTCGGTTAGGATTAGCTTTAGTAGTAAACCAATACTCAATTCCAGCAATATAGCGGTCTACTCGAAACGTGCGTTCAAAATTCTCCTTACAAGAATTTGATCCCATGGTTAACTGATTAACAGTACGTGGATCTGCTTCTGAATTTTCTCCAGAACCTAGTTGTTGTTGATTTCCGGTTCCTGTTTTTTGAGACTGTAAAAACTTTGGAACTGGAATAGAAAATCCTGTCGCTGTCAAGAGTTCAATGTGCATGTCATATTCTGCTCTCCTCATCTGAACTCGTATTCTCTCTTTCGTCGCAATGAGAGATTTAGTCTCTTCTTTCGTTAGATTCTTTGTTACCAACAACTTTTGCTTCCTCTTTTCTTCTCTCTCAATAATAGACATTTCTTTAAGTTTGTCATTCTGATCCCTTATAGTGCGTAAGTTGGATGCAACTGATTCGTAGAACAATGCGATTCGAGCTTCTCTAACTATCATAGGTTCCTGGCTAAACACGTCCCGTTTAAGTGCCAATTCTTTAATAATTTTGGAGATTGCAACTTGCTTTTCCTCTTTGATTTTTGTTTTGAGAGTGGATCGCCCTATGTCAACTTGATTGCGTTTCTCTTCATCTTCGGGTTTGCTCTGAATCCATTGCTGTCGAGTTTGCAAAAATATTTTACGAAGTTCGTCAAGCTGCCTCTGTTCTTTGTGCAAAATGTATTGCTGTCTTGACATTAAGTGTCGCCTATTGTTTTTTGTTAGGTCTGGTGAAATTATGTTATGTAATTTTGAGGCAGCTTGGGCAAGATTCCAGTCATTTTCGCTGTCCTTGAGACTTGCTTGCTCACTGGTGAGAACACGCGCAATCCAATCTGGCACATCCTCATCGCATCTTTCATGTTCCGAATTTTCAGCACTGTTGTCCCAGTCTTCTGCTTCAATTTTAATTTGAACGTGGCTGCAAGGGTCGATTAACTCATTACTATCTTCTGCATCGTTGTCGTCGTTGTTACTTTCCTGATTTACAACAGATTTCCAGCGCTTGTGAGCAACTTCTTGTTCAGTGGAAGTAGAAGAAATCTGCATTCCAGGGTCATTTATAGTTTCTTTCTCCCCTACGAAAAAAAAGAAGAAAAACACATTTTACAATGCTGAATTTCATTGTCAGATATATATTGTACTTTTCCTAATGAATTTTTTTGTTTTTACTAACTCTGCATTGATTCTGATAAACTATCGTCACCATCGTTCAAAGTAAACCTTGATTCAGGTTGAGGGATATTTGGTCCGAGTTCAATTTCTAAGGCTTCCTCACAAAGTCTATTTCTCTGGTCCTGAAACTCTATTTTTAATTCTAGTAATGTGACAGCTTTCCATGTCAAGTCATCTTCCTGTTCGGGATCCAGAAACATTGGCGGATTTGGAACCTTTGGATATTTCCAACTCTTGATTTCTGCTTTCATCATCTTTTCTTTTTGAGTGACTATTTTTTTGTCGACCCCATCCAAGATCCTCAGTTGACCTACGTGTCTTGCACGACTCTCAATGTAGTCTGGACCTTGCTCACATTGCTTGGCCGCCGTTCGTTCACGTTGAAGACGACGACGCCGATCTCCATATGTTTCACCGGGTATGACAACCTCATCTGAGCAAGCGTTAACAGGAAACAGCTCATTGTCTGTCTGAAATTATTGCAAGTACACCAAATATAATTTATCCGCATTTTTTCATCCGCCCTAATTATGTTATTACCTGTTTCCTACGCAAACTTTGTGATTCTGCTTGTTTTCGCATGAATTCCAATCTATCCTGTCCCACCAAGTTGTTCCTTTTCTGTATATAAGCCAACAATAGATATAAATTATCCATTTCACTGAATTTGTAAACTATTTTAAAACTCACATTATATGCACGCAATCTTCCTTTCTCTCTCTGCATTTCCAACTCGGCTGGAGTCATGCATGCTCTTTTCTGCAAATTTAAAATGGCACATCATTTTATATGCATGATTTATCTATTCAATATTCTCTAAACAACGTACTTGCTGCTTTCTCAATCTTTCCGCTTCGCGAATTTCTGCCTTTCTCATTACTTTTGTACGAGTCCCTATCGTTGCGAGGTCGTATTCCTTCTAAAAGAAGTTAAGAGGAGGAGGTTCTTCAAATTATCAAATAGTCGAATTCATGTATTTAGTTAGCAATTCCATAAAACTAACTTGTCTTCTACGTAATCTGGTTGCTTCCGCCTGCTTTCTTCTGTACTCTGCCTTTTCTTCTTCATTCAGACTATTCCTTTTCTGTAACAAAGCAAATTTCATTCATTCCTGTTTAAACTTCCAAAAAGTTTTACTGGGTACGTAATTATTTACATTAAATGCACGGATTCTGTTTCGCTCACGTTCCATTTCAATTTCTGCAGGAGTCATGTTAGCTCTTTTCTGAAATTGAAGAATACACATTTGTATTTTATTGCTATGCATGTATGCAGAGCTAAGCATTCAGAAACACAGTACAATCGCATGTATGTCAAAGTAGAATATGGTTTAGCTACTTGTTGTTTTTTCAGTCTGTCAGCCTCTCGACGGTCCCTTAATAATTTCTCTTTCTGAGCCGAGGAAAGGTTGGCAGCAGGTAAAGAAGATGAGGGATCGGGAGGATTAGTGTCAGTGTCATCGGTGTCATCGGTGACCTCCTATCATATAGTATAAAATTAAAGAACAACTCCATACTATGCAACCTTTTAATCAGGCCAAATTGACAATTGAAATTACAACTTACAAGCTTTATTTGAGGTTTTGTATGTGTTCTCTTCTGACGTGACATGGCGTAATGGCGTTGACAAATTGTAAAAATTCCAACTCCCTCACTCAGCCCTAAGAACTCGGAAAAAACATATGGACGGACTGGCCTTTAAATCATGAAGATAACTTTAATTCCAGAACTTTGACGAGCTGACTGAAAACACTGGAAATTGATTCCTTTGCTGCAGAAAGCAGGATCCAAATACTTGTGCTGAAAAAATCCAAATAATAATATTAACCCCGATGGGCAATCTGACAAGTCTGGAGTTGAACGGTCGGCGGTGCGGATTATTTCTGCTGAGGCACTTTGATAAAATTCACACGAGCCAAGACAAACATTTTTTCACAAAATATTTATGCTTAAAAGTAGATAAGTTTTCAATTGAGAATCAATCAACCAATTGAGATTGAGAACGATGAGGCAGTCTTCATTGAAAATGTGGTAAAATTCTCACTTTTATTATGAGAAGCGAAACCCCTTTATGCTTTTGAAATGTCTGTGAGTCTGTCCGTCTGAAGTCCGCATCATGATATCTCGAGAATGGTCACGAATTTAGATATGCGGTTTTACCCTTTGTTTAAATTGATTTCGTTTGTAACGGTTAATTATTTCCATCTTTGACTGTGTCTGGAAAATATATGGTCGAAAGTCGAAAGGTGGTTAAATGACCTAATAAAAGACTTTTCATATCGATGCCCAATGCATGAGTGGGAGCACAGAGTAGTATGCAATGCACGAGTGCGAATGATTTCAAATCGAAACTGTAAGATCTTTTAGATGCACTCCCGATTAAATAATGTGTCTCCACTTTTTATCATTGTAAAAGACTTCCTATGGATCCATTTTAAATCGTTTGTAATTCGTAAATTAATTATGTGATATGAAAATACCATTATTTTGTCTAAATGAAACTGAAGAAAAGGACGAATATAAATATTTTATTCATTTAAATGTTGTAAGCGTACATAAACGCATAAAGATAAGTATTTACATAAAACCTGTAATTTGAATTGAAACTTTTCAACAGTGGACACAGCAAAAATAGCATGCAACATTCCCATGCATTAGATGAGTGGACAGATTTTCACGTCATCTGTGGAATTGGCTTAAGTACAAGGCAGTGATTCAGAAAGACGTTCAAAAGTTTATAATATGTATCCAGGAATATAATTATATTCCTGGATAAAATAAACACATTTGTGTCTATTTCTTGGCGATTGTATCTGAGAATGAGTACTATTGGTGTATAGGAAAAGTTACCATTTCATAGAGCATGAATGAACGATAGGCTTGACTGACACTTTCCGGTAAAACTTTTAACTTAAATTATATAGATAATTAGGTAAAATAAACGCATTAAAGTGAGCTTGTTTATTTAAATACACAAACCCACAAAAAAGTAAATTATATGTATGCATAATCTCAATTACATGAAGCGTATATGTGGCAGCAAAGCGTTCAAGTGTATATCGTCCTGTCATCAGTCATGTCTTGATATAATCGTCAGCAGAATCTTAATTAATGTAATGAACAAGGATTTTTACGCTGCGATTTGTTATTTCAATGAAGACTTGACAAGAGATATTGTGATAAATACGGATACAGATTTTTAGGTTAGTTGGAGCTCAAGAACCATGCAAACTATCCAACGCGGCATCATTGCACCCTGGGATTACCGAAATTAACTCGGGTTTAACTTCTTATGCCTGTCCAGGTTCGTAGTAAACTTGGGGTGTGGTTGCAGCAGACTCTAACTCTTTCATGAAGAGGGTCACGATGACCACACCCACACCTCGGAGGATCGCGTTGACCATGGATCCTCCCTTTTGAGAGGGGGTGCCTCCCCCAAATATTCCCAGGACACAAAAAACTAGGAAAATGATATTCAGAATTCTCCAGCATTTTGCTTTGCTCAAGGCTTCAGAGGGCGAAACTCCCTAAATATGAAATAGAAATTCCTTCAAATATTTCATTCCCTTAATTCTACAGTCAATTTATTTTGTAATGGTATCCAATTCAAACCTCCTTCGTCGCAGCCAAGAGTCTCGACGCTGCCACTACGTCAATTACAACGAGCAGAATCGCAATTCCAAACACGACGGCGGACACAATCACTGCAGAATAAGTATGTAAATATGTACATTTAAACCAGTAGTTTTCGGCCAACAAAGTTCAGCATAATAAATAAATGTAAGATTTGTATTTTTCTCCCACTTACTAAAAGCTCCAGCAGCTTGTGACCGGTGGTCGTCAAATCGTTCATCTTCATTAAATTCGTCGATAGCTAATTTGGCTCCAAAGAGGACAAAAATTAATGCAAGTGCCAACAGACATATGGTGAGAATAGATAAAACCTGCATGAAAATTTGTCAAATGAAATGCTTTACCGTTTTGAAATTGCCCTTAATTTTACTTATTTCGTACCAAATCCACAATCGCAATGATTTTGGACGCCGTTCTCCACTTGTAAACCTGTGGTCCTGAGGACGGCATCGTACTGTCGGAAAGGAACCCGAGGTTTATTTCAACTACTGAGGAGAAAGTATGGCAATCACTGTGCTGAGATGCTGTCAAATGTGCACCTATGTATGTAGAGCTGGCTGGGCGTCGTCAATCTCTCTCCTCGGCCTTTCTCAACCCATCCCAACAGAGTTCAGTCTGTTGCTTTGGTCCTCGTCTTGTCGATTTGACATAATAGATGCATTACATTGCATTAGTCTTGGCGTCGTGAATATGTTCAACTATGAGATGTAATGTGCTATACGACGATTCCACCATATTACACTGTTACCCGGGTATTTCACTCAACAAGAGAACTTGCTATTTACACTTACAACCGGAATTTATTTCCATTTGTATTGCTGACCTGTTGGATGAGACGTTCGGGTGGTGCCACAAAGTCGGGGGAGTTTTTTGCAACCTCATTCTCCTATTGGCATGTTTTGCGGAATTACTGATATATCGCACACTTGTGTCTGCTGGCTGATTCTACTTATTCTTCAGATGCATACATATATGTGCTCACATATTCCGTACTGCGAAAAGGCGAGGACATGGCGAAAGATATAGGAAAAATCTGTGCGAAATCATGGAACGGAATCACGGAAGTTGGAAGTGCATTAGAAAAACCAGCACTGAGCTTTTGATCAATTATGCATATAGACAATTACTCATTGCGATGTATGCTCATATGTAGGAAGGTATGTATGTATTATGTATTTTCCAACGAAGTTAAGACAAATTATTTATACTCAGTAAATTAAAATTGTAGTAATTAATAAATACATAGCGCATTTTTATATGATCTGGATTTAAAGATAATAGTAATCCATAGACTTATTACTATAAATGAGAATATTTCTTTCTGATAAACTGAAATAAAGTGTTAAATGCATACAGGGATACACGGGTAATACTAAAATACCAGTTGTTGGCTTATCGTAAGATGACACTGAACGGATAACACAATTTAATTATCAATATTCTGAGGTCACTTTACTCAATTCTCTCCAGACACGGTAAAGTCATACAAATGCATCCAAGGTGAGATTTTCTCGATTTGTAGCTTTTCAAGGCTTGCGCGTCTCTGTTCCAATTGTTGAATAATTTCTGGATATAAATGAATGGAGCATGTTTATTTAGCAGGGTGTGGCTAAGAACTAATAAGAATATTAAGGAGTGGAGGCTTACCGGGTGACAAGTTCATCGAGTATCGTCGGGTACCTGCTGGAACCTGCTGACTCATGAAAGATCCCCTGGGCGACTCGGAGGGCGATCGAGTCATGGAGTTGGGGTTGGCTCCCTTGGTCGAGGCATCGCTCGTCGACTGCAACGAAATAATTTCAAAACTTCAAACCTTCTGCGTATCTAACGATGTTTTGCTTTGCATAACGTGCTTACCATGTTTGATACTGATTTGTTCACTTACAAAGAGGATTACTGCGAATCAACGAAATCTAAAAGGAAAAAAATTAAACATTAAAGTTCACATAATGTACAATTAAAATAAATATTAAGCATCGGGATCAACCAACTTGCTATGTATTACTATTTTTTTATTCTGATGCATTAATAAATGCATATGTAAATATTTTTCCCAGCTTCGTTTTCTCTAACCTCAATTTTATTTATGAGTGTATTTGCGGATATTTACTACTTTTAGAGGGGATCATACATATATGTGTGCCAATGTGGTCGTTATATTCCTTACATGAAATATAAAACTATACATTCAGCCAATTCAAGGGAATTACAAGACCCGAGATCTGGAACAGTATTTATGTAGCTGCAATCCTTACCATTTATGACTTTGCAATTATTACGCACAATTGGAGCCAATTGAATAGATTGTCACCAATTTGCAATACTTACTCGTCTACATGATTTTATACTTAACGATATGTCGGAAGCAAGAATAAAATTGTACCTCGAGTCTGATGGTGTCCACAGCAGCAGTAGCAAGAGGTCTCAACATGCAAGAGGTCTCAAAATAGAAAGCAGTGACTGGTTGCTTGCTACTAAATATTGTATACGAGGAAGAGACTATTTAGGTCTCCTTCCTTTTTCAGAAATGAATTGGTAGAAAGAATGCGAAATGCTGAATGTGCAGTCCGGTTACAAAATGCAACTGACAGTTTGAGGTGCTACGGGCTTGGCTAAATATATACGCTCGCTCGCCATAATTTTATTGAAGACGAAGTATAGCTGATAATGCTGGTTATTAAAAATAATAGCATTAGCTGATATACAGCATGCACGAATGGATTATATTTATTTTATGTGATTCAGCATATGCATACATGAGCATAAAGTAATACTGACGATGATGAGCACAAACGATGCATTATGATCTTTTTTTGTAGTTGTTTTGTGTACATACATTCGTACGTTTTCATGTTATGGAGTTTACTAACTATAAGTGCAGAAAACTACTGGTTTGAATAGGCCGTAATATTATAATCTACGGTTTTGTTGTTAATTCACGACGAAGTTCGCATGCAGTGAATTGTTATTTCAAGACTTTTTTACAAGATAAAATTGAATGGCTTGTTTTGGTTCATCCGACGAATACTGTTTATCATTCGATCTAACGATCCTCACTGTTTTGTGATGATGGAATAATTATGTATGTATTACCGTATTTTGTATTTCATTCTATATCTGTACACACTTGAGTCTCTTTGAGTCTTTCGAATGTCAAATCAAGCTCAAACTTTAATTGCGCATATTATTAGTTGATGCAGATTGAATGAAAATGCATCTTCTTCACTTGTTGACAAATTTTGGATTTCGAATATTTATGTTTCTGTATAATTCTTGGGTATTGTACAAAATTTGAAATTTTTGAAATCCATATTTATACAAAGAGTATTTACACATACGGTTTATAAAAAATACGGGCTACGCACGAGTCATAAATGTGTGCATAAATGCGTCCATATACAATATATGCACATGCATGCACACATATACAATGTACAAATAAATCGACATAGTTTGTTATATTTATTAAATCTACATCACAGATATTTACAAAATTAAACATTCATACATATATAAATAAAATGGTTCTGCATTGGTATATACGCGAAATTTTCCATTCTCGTAATAGGCGGAATCAGTGACATTTGTACAGAGTGATGATATATGTCCCGACGAGCCAAAATCTGCAAATAATGTAGTAAATTTGTACCAATGGATTAATGCATATTCACCGTTAAAATGTGAAGCTGATTCGTACTAATTTTGTACAAGTCGCAGATACAAAATTCATACCAAAATATTGTCAATACAACTTTATTTGTACAAAATTTACACAAACAAGGATGTACAAATTTGATGCGAATTTGGTGATAATTAATATGTATTAATATGATGCGAATTTAGTACTAATCTAGTGCGAGTTTAGTGCTAATTGTGTGCTAATGATACGTATGAAATTAATACACATTCATTTACACATATTGTTTTACTTAAATTTCAATTGTTTATTTATTGCAAATTCATTTACTTTATTTTTACAATAATTAATTCTCTTTTGCTTACCTTCGCAGTACAAATAAGTGCCAGGGACTTCTAAAGTATTCACCTCAGTCTCTGATAATTTTGGGCCTGGATTTGTCTTTGTCACTAGAGTCGATGGATTTATTTTTTGTGAACTTTTTTCAATTGCTTGATGGCCTTCTCTTCCGAATCTAGTAAATACCTTAATTCCCTTCGTATAAGTAAACTGCATATGTATGTACATAAAATTAGCTAAGAAAAAACAATACCGTATGGTCCGACATATAATATGCCATAACTCGTCCAATCTTTTCCGGGGAGAGCGCAGGGGTCACTTTTAAAACAGGAAAACCCCTTGGGGATAGGAGTAGGAGTTTTATCCTTGGAAATCCACATAGATGGACAACCTCCACCCCTTGGTCAATCTCAAACTCCAATAATTCAAAGATTTTTCAAATTATCCGAAATAGGATCAATCGTATCTATCTAATAAACCTTTGGTTGGAAATAAAAAATAGAGAAGAAATTCTTGAGTTGATATTACCACATGGCCAAAAGAGTGACTGACTTGTGTTTGGTTTATTTAACGGAGAATAGAGAAATGATAAGAATTTAGTACTAAAATAATGCAGAATAATCTATACGAATTTTTTGTGAAGATATTTGTACATGTTTACAGCATTTGGATTTGTACAATTTCCTGAGTACGAATTATGCATGAATTTAGTGCAAACAATCTCATGAGAATTTAGTGCCAACAAATACGCACTAAATTTTTACTAGTTCCTTTATAATAATTTGGTACTTATTAATTTGCGATAGTTTGGTGGATTTCGTGTGATAATTTATTAACAGCACACAAATTCATACAAATTTTGCACAAATCTTGTACAAATTAATGATTACATATTTTTATGCACAAAAATTGCACAAATTTGCACTGGGATTCGCAGTAAATTCGCATTGAGGTTACTTGGGTACTTAAAAACTAAATGTGTATCTTTTGTAGGCGAAATTCAGATAAAAAAGACTGATACAACCATAACGAACAAAACAACATTAATTATTACCATACACATTTCTATGTATGACGAAAGTTATGGTTAGTATTTTAGTAAGACCAGCACATCTGAAAGAAGTTAGATTTTGTTAACGGCGAACGCAGAATATTATTATTCCAAGACGTGTCGTACGAGAATTTAAGTATTTTGAATGTTTACTTCCATGACGCAGAGTCTCGTCTTACTAAAACCATTCAAACTTAGAATTTCAAGGTGCCATGCGGTGTGTTATTAACCGAATTAATTTGGTGCAAGAGACAAGTAGAATTTCGAAACAGATATTTTACGTGTTTTACTTAAATCCCCAATTCAATCTACCTACCAATTAAATGCTTCGAAGCATAGTTTTGACAGCGTTGACGTTCTTGTTCATTCTAACAAGAAAATGGCATGAGGGAGTAGTAATTTTGCCTTGGAATATGAATGACCTGGATATTTGTATCGCCATAAATAATTCCGAATAGTTTTTAAAATGCATACAAGTTATAGAAAAATAACTCACTATGCTCATGCATATATGTAACTGCTTTCGTTAATTTTCTCATATGCAACTCGTATTTTAACACCTTTTTTATATTTTGCATAAAATTTCTGCTGGACATATAAATACTTTGGCAATACTTCATTCTCAACCGTAATAAGAAACGCCAGCAGATCTGAGCATATGTACATCATTCTCCATGAATAGTAAGTTAGTAAAAAAAATCTGCAATGCTATTTAAATTACACAAACACTGTCTTGACAAGACAACTGATGAATGACCATAATTTTTTACTCTGTATTCAGGGACATTTCGGATATGAAAAGATTGCTGCACGAACAGTTCTGCACAATTCCAAATTCACGACTTGACTTGAGTAGCGTGTTTAGTTTGGGTAAGGTCAACCACGTACAACGTATGTACATATGTACATTTTAATACGTGTGTACTGGGCATTACTTCAATTGGAGTAATATCTGAATTATCTTGAATCAGAAAATTGTTTTGCTTGTTAATACTGCGTTACTGCGTGATGCCTACAATCAGTTCTTTATGTTCACCTTCATCAACTTTATCCATTATCGCACGAGCCTTTCGGATTTTCTGAACCATTTAAATTTATTATGTTATTGGTGCACGTTTATCCCATCTTATGGGTCAAAATAACGATTTATTTAACGCTGTAAATTAGCACCAGCGTACATATAAAATCTGCATAGTTTTATGACAAATCTCCTACCTACCTCCTGGGATGACGACTATGAGTCGGCTGTAATTAATTTAAGAAACAATCTTACAACTAAATATTTATTTATTCGTAAAGGATATCGATAAAATGGTATCTTCTTTATTTAATTTTGTAATAACCTCTTCGGACTCATTAGGTGTACTTTAAAATGCATATTAAGATGCATGTATATGTACTTAAGCCCCGGCTCGGGCTAAAAAGTGATATTTTATTGGACATCAGTTTGGCATCAGAATGCCAAATTGCAATAATTAGTAAGTTGGACCAATTACAAAATTCTGTTTCGGGTCCATTTGGCAAAAATACTGAAATTGGCACTATTCTTGATGTGATATGATATGCGCAGCGTTACTTGTGTAAACTTTCAAGCCATACATATATTACTTTGACACATGGCAAAACAGTGACTCAGACTTTAATTTGAGGTGATCCAATATGTTGAGAGCAATGTTCAAATTTTTCACATCAGGTGGAGAAAATCCCAAGCCTGTACAAAAAGAAGATGACCTTTAAGAGGAGGAAACCCGCATGGTAAACCTGCATATGTGCATAGTAGTTCCAATGCACTTAGGATTAGCCATACAATAATAATCAGTCAATTCATAGGATGGAGTAAGATAGGTCAGTTTGACCTGTTAAATATTTATCTGATCGCTGGATGTGACCACTTTCATCCAGTAATTAGGAGCTACGGCTGACAGCAAATAAAGAACTTGCAAGAGATCACTGGTTGGTTGGAGAATGTACAGCATTTTAATAATGATCAGCCAATTTCTTGTTGGGCTGGAATAGAACATTCTATAATTGCAAGCCAGTTTTTCTACTGCATATGTTAATTGCGTCAAAGTAATGAAATTTTCTATGAACTTGAGAAAGTCAATGTCAAGGATGCCTGAGTATTTGTTAGTCACTCCAGGTTATACATATGTACATGCATTCATACATATACATACGTATTATCTATTCCCATATAGATACGTTTGTATACATAGATTCATGTATGTATGCTAGGTTTGCACCAATTATATTCTCTCTTGTCCCACCAAGACAACAAAAGTTGTTGGATATTGAACGACATTTGCACATGTACGTATTTCTGACTTGACAAGATTGAGATACTGATAAGAATAATTTGATTCGACAAGAGTCTGGTTTTGAGATGTCGAAGAAAAATGGTTTTTATTTTCAAAAATAAAGATTTCTACCACAAAATTTTAACATCACTTTGTGCGTCGTTTTACGTTCATGATTTTTCTAATATGCACCCAGGTCTTGGTACATATGCAAATTTTTGCACCGGATCTAAATTCTTGTTCATACAATTCGCTTTCCCGTCCAACATCATCATTGAAACGTCACGTTTCTTCCGTTGGCTGAAATATTTACAAGACAATATTTAGCAATTTAAATTATTTTAGAATGATGGACAAGTGTATGATTGTAAAACTTGGTTAAAATGTGAATAATAAATGTATGTATTACATTTTGGGAGCGTAGTCATTTGTGGAAATTGGTCTCCCTAGTCCTGGTATGTAGTAAATGTCTTGAGACAATTCGTTCGCTGTGAATGGAATTTTTGGACGCTGTATCCATTTCGAATTCCAACCATAATCTGTATATTGTTGTGCCGCAAAGAGACAAATGTCAATTCCAAAGGCGAATTTTTTGAGATCATATGTGGGAAAAATTAGTTCCAGAATCCTTAGCGTATTGTTAACGTTAATTGGATCATACCTGAATTCACATTAAACAAAATCATACCACTAAATCCTCCGAGCATTTGTTAAAAATGTATGGTAATTATTTATTACCAGCGTTTAACAATCTTGTCATTAAAGAACAATTCCATTTGGTGAAAAAACCTGGCAAAGTCTGAGGCAGTTGTGTCATTGAACGATTTTGAGCATTGATAATGGGCAATCATAACCTAATTAAACAAACACGCGCGGTCATCGTATTGCTTGATTTATGTCTATAAATAATTATGCAAAATACAGTTTTCCAAGCTGTCTCAATCACGAAATCTACCAAGGACAAGTTAAATTTCAAATATCTGAAAAATACACAACAATTTCTGGTAAAATAGATATTATCAAAATATCCGATTACAACTTGTTCCATGTTTAACTTATAGAACTCCTTTTACGAAGAAAAAAATTATGGTGCTCATCAGCATCATAATGTTTACATACCCTTGAAAGCCACCGGTGACATTATGTAAAACGGTATACTCTCCATCGTGGTTCTTTCCCCAGACTCCATAAATCTAGGCCAAATTTCGGCATTTTTAGTAATACGTTATTACAACCAACTTTAAATATTGCATGGTCATATTTCATACAAGTGGTTCTGGGCATTGCTCAGGCTTCGGCCAGTCGCTGTCAGTCTCGTTCTTCCCAGTGAAATTAAAAGACCCAGTGTAATTGTAAAACACGAATCTGTCCATTTGCGTAATATTTCCGGTGCAGTTATCCAGAATGTTCATGATGCGATCGAATTGCGCGTCGTCTGCACCTTGACTGTGGGGCCTTTCGTGATCTGTATTTTCCCACAAAAGTTGCTTAAACATCCGCATCAATCCTCGCATTAAGTTTTCCGGAACGAATTCACTCTGTTTTAATAAATAAGTAAATATATAGGTAAATATAATTTTAGTAACGCACTCTTAATAAGAATTTCTTATCCTTAGATTGTGAACGAAGCATAAATCGATGATCGTTCTTCATTATTAGATTGTTTTTTGAATTGGATTTTGTCTGTTATTTTTTTGCTTGTTCTTTTGTTGAGTTAATGATCTGATGAATTTGATTTGTATAAGTACGGGATTGAAGGAGTTTGTTTCTGATGATATGTAACAATTTAGAAGATTAATAAAATTGCCCTTTCATATACTTATACACACCGTCGAATTCTGAAATTCGTTACATATATTGCATCTGATGACAAGTTAATGGCGAAACTAAAACGTCTTAAGTTTCGCTTCCTTTCTGGATTATAAGATTTCATATGCTTTCTCCATGCAGATAAACATATAGCACATTCCTCAGAGTGGACAAGGTCAGGTCACCCACCAAATCTAGTAAATTGACTTACCGGATAAAGTTTTTCCACGACGAGGCGTCCCTTTTGGAAGTAGGCGTACTCCCTCGTGCCCACCTCGTTGCCTGGAACGTTGAGTAGAATGGGAGATATTTGCGCATGCATCATTCGAAGCGTTTGTTCATTAATTTCTCTGTGATAGTCGTCCAAATCTATTAATATTTGAGCTCGTGCCTGTTCTTTTTCGTATGCAATTTCTTGACCAGTTTTTGGCTGTGGAGGTTCTCGCGCAAGGTTGGTGTGAACTGGGCGTGGAAGTTCGTCATGTCCAGAATTGTCGTCCACGGTACTATTCATTGGGACAATTATATCTTGGGTTGATCTTGAGGAAGGTGATATGTCAGTCGCCTCTTGGCTTTTGTTCCCTTGATTTTTCTTCATGGCTCGTCCTAAGCGAAATGTCGTTGGTTCGGAATCAGGACATTTTTCCTGGCAATCGCGCCCAATCAGTTCTTTAGCAAGAACTTTAGATCCTGAATATGATCATATTGAATATGAAATAACATCATTTTAGATACATACATAATCTCATTCCCATGAATATATATTACACCTCGAAGCATTTCTCCAAACCCGATATGGTACGAGTAGTCTGAGGGGTCACCGCATTTTGCCCTTGTTCCAAAATGCCACTTGTTTGAACTTCGACTTGGGTTTGCATAAACATGAACAGGTTTCCATTTGCTTTCTTCACTAGCTTGGATGCAAACGGTATGGTCGCTTCGCTCAACTGGGCGATTAGGATTAATTCCAATGACATACGAGCGATCAGAGCGAATCGTTTCGGAAAGGCCGGTTTCAGGGACTTGGTGAATGGCATCGAAACCCGAGGATGCAGTGTAGATGGAAGGTTCAAATGGGTCTAATGGATTTCCTATAAATTTCACAGCTCGAACCTGGTGAGACGTCGAAGTAAAATGGGTTCAATTTATTATTTCAAATAGCCAGCATTTTATTATGACTCACATCAAATCCAACATGAAAGCAGTGATGGTGCCCAACAATTACTGCTGTCATTTTGTCGCAAAGGCCGTCGGATAATGCCCAACTGGAGAGAACAACAGTTGTGCTTAAAAATAGCGTGCATAAAGAAATGCTGACTACTTACACCCCGGTCGCACACACGCATCCTGGATTTACGGGAGCATTCAGCCAAAGTCCTTTAGAACAACTCGTCGAATATACTGATGCTTTTTCTTCATCCCCACAAAATTTCAGATATCCAGGTTCACAGGATGTTTGGGTGCATAGAACCAAAACAATTAATAGTGAAACTAGTCTAAGGTTTATTAATTGTAGAATGTGCTCGAAAGATCTCATTTTGTATGCAAATATATAAGTGGGTAAATATAACGTTAGTAAAGTGCATGAATATAAGTGTGCAAATTCACATGAAAATATTAAAGCCGTCTGATTAGAATTGCTGCTTCGTAATAAGATTGTACATACAGTTATGTAAAAAATAATATGTATCACGCAATCATAATAAATCGTCATTGTTCTCTCGCAACTTTCTATCCGATGGCCATATGCATTTCACTTTCAATAATAATGCAAAGTTGCATAACATGGGTGGTAAAACAATTCTTTATTTTAAAACAAAAATAATAACTTAAATAATAATCAGCTAATCATGAATGATTTAATCAGTCTACTAGTAAGTCTATATATACAGCAAAATACTTGGTTAATGACTCGAAATGAAAAAAGCTCTCAGATACATAAATCAATTAAGAACGTACTTATGAAACAAATACGAATGTTGCAGCAAAGCAGCAGAAGTCAGTTTGAATTATAATTTCGTAAAAAGACAATTCAACATTATAAATTGTACAAATTTAGGTAGTTGTTGTCACAATTTAACAGGTATCATTGGATCAATAAATGTATTAATCAGAGTCCGAATCTGTATCATCTCTTCTCAGACCTTTCAGTGGATTTTCGAGAGCCTCTTGCAGCTGGAGAACATGCTGAATTGGTTCTGAAAAAAAATGAAAATTACTTAAAAACTTAAACCTTTTGGTTAAAAAAATAAAATTAGTTTACTATCATAACCTTAAAAAAACACCACTTTAAGTATCACATCCACACCCTCTTTTCAAAATTGCTAATAATGATATATTGCGAAAACAAATTGGTAAAAGCTTGTAAATACCAAAAAATGATCTAATTTTAAGTAATGAAATTCGTACAACACATACATGTTTACAAATGCATGTTGTACTAACTTTAATAAAACTTGATCATTTGTGGGCATTATCAACGTTTACAACTTGTTGTAATATTTCTTCCAATTATTACCTGGACGGCCGTCCGCCCCAATTCTGCAAGGTCGAATGCCCCCACTGCACCGATCCATTTTATCAATGGCCCTAATCAGCTTCATCGCCTCGTGCTCTTTCTGCTCATCCGTCATCCCTTCCATTGGGTCTGGACGATCTTGGTGAATTCTCCCCTCGATGTGGTTAATCATGTGTTCCACCTCCCGATATTCGTCAAGATCGGAACCATCATCAGAGTCAGAGTCCGAGTATTTTCCTGGGGGAGGACCTTGTCCACCCAACATTAGCCCCTTGTTGGCCAAAAGCCCTGCCGCATTCCCATATCCCGTGTATTTGACCAACTTCCCAACTTTCTCCTTGCACAGGATGAAGAGTAGATTTGCCACCAAGTCAGTAATGTGGGTGATGGGAGAGGTCAACAACGCCACCAGTTTATTCCGAATGGTTTTACCTTCCTCTGGAAGATTCTCAACATCTTTTCTCTTCAATGGGGGTAGAATCCTTTTCTTGAGATATTTGCGAATAGCTCGGTGGCCGATGCTCATGTTATGCAGGGCTAAGAGTGGGGGAGCAATATAGTCGGTGGAAATGGACGATTGCTTCACGGCATCCAACTTTTCGTTCAGATACAACAACGTCGCCTCTACGGCTGTCATGTCGTGTTCTAGATAGGAGGCGGCGAATGAAGTTGATTGTTGTTGCTGACTACCAGTAGCAATCATTGGGACAAATTCGTCAAAACAAGGAGCGGGCACGGCAGCTAGAAGATCAATCGAATGACGTCGAATATCCTGTTTCTTGGACTCTACTTCAATTAAATTTCCAGAAATTGTGAAATTGGGATTGGTTGTGTTTAACAAAAGAATTCGTGTAGCACACGTAATTCTTTTTAATTGTTCTAAATCCTCCCTGTCAATTTCCGATTCGAAAGATTCGCTCTTTTTGGTTTTCGGGATCATATCTGAAATGAGGTTGTACAAGACTTTGAGAATTTCACAAACTATGTCAGCAGCCAAATTGTCAAAGTTGTCAAAGTTGTTGGTGGTTGTGGATGGGCAAATAATTGACTCCATTTTTGACTCGAGATAAGACGCCAGAATGGGAAGACCGTTCAATGAATTGCGAACTTTGGCTGGAGCAATATCTTGACACAGGGCTGTGATGAGAAATAATATTCTTCCCACAAAATACTGGAATTCGTGAGGGTACTCCAAGTTGGACGATCCTCCATTTGAGAATGATGTGAAATCTTCAATCCGTTTGATCAGATGAGTCAGAATTCCATCAGTCATGAACATGACTTGCAGAGTTTGACTTTGAAATACCATATTGAAAATTGCCTTAAGTCCTTCCACTGACTTTGGCCTATCCTTAGGCCCCGCCACCTTCTTTGCCTTGGTGTTGTTATCCGAGGGCTTTAATTCATCATGAGGGAGATAAAGACCTGACAAAGCTAAGAGAGTGGTAACTCTGTCCTCCGTCATGACCTTCTCCAGAGTGTCCTTATCGCGACTCAGGATGCGCAGGGAGTGAAGACAGGACTGGACAATTCTATCCTCTTCATCCCCATCGACGTTTTGTGGTTTCATCCTCGAGAAAAGAGCATCCCACAACTGCTCTTTAGTTTTACGATCAATTTCTTTAAAATCCTTGTTCTTTTCGTGAATATTGTTGAATTCCGTGAGGGCGACAAGACATTCTGCAGATGGGCCAGATATAATGACTTGCAGAGTTTTGTTATCCATCGCGAGTATTGAGTCCTTGAGGGAAGGATGGATCTATTAAAGAAGACACACATTATTAATTAATATAATAATTAACACTGGAACCAATACCATAGGTCATTTAATTACATTCATACAACAAACATATCATGCTACTAGTTACTACAGGAAAATATTTATGCGTAAATGTACCCACACCTGTTTAGTTAAGTGGAGAGGACTTTCTCCCGTTAATGGTGCAAATCTAAATAGGAAAGCCTTAACTGGTTATAGTTAAGACCATATTTAAATTTTACAAATGTGTAAATGCTCTGAAAAAGTTCTACTACCTTAGAGTGACTTTTCGCTTTCACTGATGGGTAGATGGGTATTTACTGCACGTAAATAGGATGCAACGAACGACAAAGTAAAAAGAAAGCTGTGGAGTATGGAGCAGCCAAAACCGCTGCAGCCACACAAACAGATCGATTTGACAGAGATTTGTGAGAATGAAAGTCAAATCGCCTACGCATCACGAAGAATATTATGAGATCCCAGTCCAGAATATTTTTGCAAAGTATGTTGCAAAATACATGAGCTCCTTGGATTAGGAAGAGTTATGTATGAAGATATGTCTAATGTCTATGCACGGATTTTATCTTGTGCTCAAATCTTTGTACGTGACATTTAGCAGGGACCAATAATCATATTGCTAGACCGATGTTGGAGTTTCCACTCTTAGAGAAAGTAATAAAATTAATGACATTCATTACGTATGTAAATAAATAAATATTTTTTATGTGGAGAAAGTCTTGTATGTATTTGACAAACGACAAGCCATACAAACGTAGTGATTTCTGATTGATTTATTTCATAAGGATGGATCAGTGTAACAATTCAATATAGATAGCGTAGTAGCAAACTTAACGAGAATGAATTTTGACATTTATCCCATTCTCAGAATGTAACACAATATTTGCGGATAACACCAAATCCTCTAATTTTTCACATGATTCTATCCGTAAATTACGGAAAATGGTTGCAAGTAGAATTTTCTCTTCGATCATAGCAAATTTCTGTCCTATGCAATTTCTAGGACCTGCAGAAAATGGAAGGTATGCAAAAGAATTGCGCCCGATCGAGTTTTCGGGTAGAAATCGCTCCGGTTTATAAGCCAATGGGTTAGGGAACACCTCAGGGTCACGGTGCAGTTCGAACGGGAAAAATAATACCAACGTTTTAGGAGGAAGAGTTACCCCTTTCTCTGAAATAATTTTTAAAAAAAGTTCAACCGATGGTGTACAGCAGTTGCCATTATTCTCATTCTGATGGTAAAACTGTATGTATTTAGCTACCAAGCTCTAATTCCGTTACGACGCTGCGACTGGTCATTGGTACAGGGGCAGTAAGTCGCATAGATTCTTTTATGCAACACTCTAAATATTTTAATTTTGACAAGTCGTCAAGTGTCACTGGTCGCATCGCTTCACCTTTACCGAAAACCTCATCCAATTCTTCCTGAAGCTTGACCTGTATAAAATTGCATCATTGCTTAAATTCAAATAATTTGTTACTTAACGTCACACAGTGTGACTCATATTAGGAATTACCTGAACTTCGGGATGATTTCCAATGTGAAATATGGTAAATCCTGCTGCAGTTGCAGTTGTATCATGACCCTGATTATAATTCATACATAATTCCGATACTAAATTGAATCTAACATCGTTAACTTTCACTGGCTAAAACTGCTAAATTGTGTTGTACCCCAAACATGAATGTTTCTGCTTCTTCACGGATCCCTGCATCGTCAAAAGCTTCTCCATTGAGTTGGGCTTCGAACATAAGGTCCAACAACGCTAAACGTGTTTTTCCTTTCGACAAAAGAAACAAATGCCGTTATGATTTATGATTATCTCAGATAATTTATCTGTACTGTTAATTAGTCTTGAAATTCTTAACACATAGATGATAAACCATAAATGATACCACGTTAAGTGGTTGCTGGATAGCAGATACACGTCAAGTTGCGCCACATGCTAAAAGTTGGCGTAACTCATCATTTATGGACCACCTCATATTTAAATATATTTATGTACCACAATTTGATTCAACAGCAGAAAGATTTTTTTCAGATCTATCAGCCAAAAATTGTTTCTTTCTTTCTATAATAACCTGAACAAAATATTACTCATCATCACATTCCACGCATCGATTAAATAAAACCAAGTGCATTTTTATTTATAAATTTTATATTTCACTTCATTTGTAAATGCGTGCAAAATGGTAATTAGCTTTTGTTCCTCCTTTCCATATGAAAACGTGTCCCAAATCAACTTGGATTCTAACCATGGTCTTAGACTTCGGTAAAGTTGAAGCTCTTTCATCCTATGATAATTGGTGACCATAAAATTAGTTAAGCACATAGCAATAATCAACATGCATAATAATTGGATGCATTTCAATAACATCATACGCATACCGACTCAAGGCCCTTATGTATTTTTTTCCATGTTCTGTTTGACTACTCATTTTAACTCCCATCGCTGTCTCTATTTACAAACCAACAAGTCGAAACAATAATAATTTTCTGTATATAAAAGCACTAGAATTATTAATGATTAAGAATGACTTTTTTTACCACAAATGATTTCCAGTGTACACTCCGTAATGAATTGCGCAATATCAAACTTTTCCCCATTTAGAAATTGTTTCTTTAATAGATTGACGAAATTTTTGGCATGATCGTTGAAAATGTCAACAAAATTCTCCAAAATTTTAAAATGGAAAGCTGCAGTTAATATTTTTCTTCGTTGGGACCATTTTTTTCCTAAAAAGTTTGCTATGTACTGATAAAGTCCCTTTTCAATTAGAACACGCATATCAAAAAATATTATACCATTGGAAATAAGCAACCCCTCTCCCAACCAAGGAATAAACTGCTCGTAATCAATTCCCTTTTTAGTTTCCGTTGTTGATGACAGTACTTTCTTTATTAAATTCATTAGGAAACCCGTTCATTATTTAAAGGCTGTAATACTTTGCAAGCACATAATTTGGATAACTTGACTAACCTCCAAATCTTTCGCCCCCGACAACGTCACCATCCAGTAAGAACCTATGCGATATATAACCCTTGGCCCATATTGATTCGTCCACTTTGAAAACTTTAGCAGAATCTCTGAATTTTAAGGGTGTTCCACATACAACAAAAGAAGGTTATTTTCTTATTTTGTACCTGAATTCCGACTAGAATCATGTGTAATAATATATGAATAATGCATTACCACTTGCAGAGCCCAATAATTCGAACGAGTTTCCAATCAGAGGACTTTGCTTTGGTCCAGGAATAACCTTACTCAATTCATGGAACCTTTTGTCTCCCGTGTAAAACACTTTTGTTATGAGAGACACTACTAACACGGTCAGAATTGAAATTAAAGAAAGAAATGGGTTTTCTTGAACCAGATTTAAAATCATTTTGAGCCAACCAAAAAAATAGAGTTGCTATTAAAGAATAATTTTATTTTTTATCAATTTTAATTAAAAGTGAAATGTTAACCAATGGAGAACCGAATGAATATACGAATCATGCAGTTTGTCCAATGACAGCCTTGGCTTAATGCACTTCACTGAGGATGAGACGGACGGAATGATTGACCTTCAGACGACATGCAGCTAGCTTGTTTATGTATGTACATATGTATGTAAATAATTGTAGCGAAAGCATCGTATCATCAATACCCAACCCTACAATTACAATTTAGTAGTCTAGTATTTCCAATATGGTCATATCATATCATTAGACGCTAGATATATGTAGCTTCCTCATTGAAGTTTACTCTTGTTTTATTTATCATCTTCAAAGTCCAATTAATTAAGTTTATTTCTAAGTCGTCACTGAATTATTCGCACAATTAAAATATTTCGATTCAATAATGGGGAGGAGGAAGGGAGATTTAGAGCCAAATAATGTTGTACTCAACTCCACAAATGGATAACTATTTTCATGACAGCGATATGAAACAGAAGTGAACAAAGTGAGTGAGCACGAGGAGGAAATTGTGGCGTCTTGTCTTTGTTTTTGGGAGGCGGGACTTCTTCAGCCCAAAATCGGAACAAGTCTGAACACGACAGAAAGAAAACGCAGTTTTGCTGCTGCCAGTCGTAGTTGGCTGCTCGTTGCTCTCTCGTCGGTACCAATTTGTTTCTTGCTCCTCGTTTTTCAACGGTGGAAAGCTCAGCTCTCGGAATTTTAAAAACTTTAAAACAACTTGAAGGTAGGACTGAAATGTCTGTTGTACATCAATAATTTGAATGTCAACGTTTGTATTCCGTACTAATTTCTACATTTGTATTTAGTAGACAATGAAGACATAGACCGGTTAGTTATATCAATTATAGAAAACACTTGTATTTTTCTAGGCCAAGAATCAAGACGAGATGGCGGAACTTCCTGTGGAACTTCCCTACAGGGCGGAATACGCAAAAACAGGTATATGATACACAATAAGTGACTTGAGTTTTTTATGACACTTCATCTTTACAAATGTTGTAGGCCGAGCAAAGTGTAAAGGTTGCCAATCTTTAATTGATCGGGACGAACTAAAACTTGCAATTATGATCCAGGTAAGAAGTGTTTGGAAACTTATAACACATTACATCACACGCCAAGTATTATAATTATGAATAAACTGTATGATTACTTTATTTCAATAGTCGAGATTTCATGACGGGAAAGACCCTGCGTGGTACCACGCATCGTGTTTTCTGCTAAAGATCCGACCAAAGAGTGTTGGAGATATTGCTCACTTTGAGCAACTTCGTTATAATGATCAAGAAATGTTGAAGAAGAAAATAGGTGAGTGAAATCACCAATTTAAATTTTAACTTCTGGTTCATCTTAAAAACTCAATCATGGAGACTTATCAAAATATACATATATTTTTTTACAAAATCCATAGCTGTTGGTTCAGGGGCTGTTGCTCCAACTGGTAGAGAAAAATTGGCTCTAAAGAAATCAAATTTGAAGGACTTTTCCGTTGCTTACGCTAAATCAGGACAAAGCAAGTGTCAGGTGTGTAAAAAATGATCATATATATGTAAAATCTAAAGTACAAGTCCTTTTATAAATTTTTCTCAATCAGGCTTGTGAAGAGAAAATTCCCAAGGGTGATCTTCGTATTGGAAAGAAAGACTATGAGTCCGATATCGCAGTGATACATTCAAATGGAAATGGAGTGGTACGTGAACGATGCATGAATTTAATTAATTTTCTATTACTTTATTGTTACGCTTTACGCAACAATTGACCGGGTCAAACTAATGGTTTTAATTACATTTTTTAGGATCAGTGGCATCACGTAAATAGATATTTCGATATTTATATTTAGCCACGAAAGAAATAAACTAATGGTTTTACATAGGTAACCTGTTTTGTAAAAATCCGAGAACACCTGGGCTATTTTGAGTCTGGGAAATTACTTCCTGGCTACAGAGATCTGGACAGAGAAGACCAAGATGAAGTGCAGAAACAGCTTCCAGCCATCAAACCACCCAAGGTTAAGGTTCCACCGGCTGCTACAGTGACCACTGCTACTAGTTCTTCAAGCAGGTACAGTATAGTATATTGAATTGATGCTTCTGTTCCGGTAGTGATTCTAAATTATTATACTATTTTTTTATAATTTAATTATATCGATTAGCAAGAGGAAGCTAAATGAGACGCCAGCTGCTGTAGGATCCTCCAAACGTGCGAAAAAAGAAAATGACCCTAAAGAAAATGAACTGAAGGAACAAATGAATCAGTTTTACAGGTATCGAGATTCACTTAAAGATTACGAGAACACTGAGCTAAGGAGGATTTTACGACATAACAAGCAAGAAACTCCAGCAACTGGGACAGAGGTTAGTATAAAAAACGATCATATATATGTAAAATCTAAAGTAAAAGTCCATTTATAAATTTGTATCAATTAGATGTTGGATATGATTTCCGACATTATGACCTTTGGAGCAACACAACCTTGTCCCAAGTGCAAAACTGGACAGTTTGTATTTAGGTAGTTTAATAAGCTTGAGTGGTCATCACTCGGATAATTACAATAATGCGTAACAATTTTGTCCATCTACAATATTGTGTTATGATCTGGTAGGAGTGGAATTGGTTATCAATGTATCGGAGATTTGAATGAATTTACAAAATGCTTGAACGTCACCGATGATCCGGAACGAATTCCTTTTAAAATTCCAAAGGACTTTCGCGAAATTCAGCCATTGTATGTAAATACGATTAAGTAGTATAATAGTATTTACTGTTGTATTTAATTGCCCGTCATTTTCTTGCCTAGCAAATCCTACAAATTCAAACCTCAGAAAAGAATTATTCAGAAATTAGCTCCCAGTGCTTATGTTGCATCCGGCGCAGGGAAATCGTAAGTTTGAGTTACTTCTATAATTAATAATTTGTCTATTATGATGGATAACATGCCTCATGTTTATAGAAAACCGAAACTGGTGAAGTTGCCACTGAAGAATTTTTGTTTTCTGGTGTCTTGTACTGCTGATAAAAACAAAGTGGAACAATGGACAAAGAAGATCATTGAATGTGGAGGCGAGGTTGTTTCGAGGGGCACCACGAAAGTAGCAGCCTTGATAACCACTCAAGGTCAGTTAGATGAAACTTGTGAAATAAAATCTAACTCTTTCGGGTATATATTACATCATTTCGATTTATTAATAATTTTGTATAGATGAAATGACCTCGATGAAGTCTTCAGCCGCGAAATACGCTGAAAAAAAAGCGATTCCAGTTGTGAAAGGGGATTTCGTGGATTCTATTAATGAATTGAACTATAACCTGGCTGCAGAGATGAACAAGAATTTAATTTGCAACTGGATTACTGATGTTACTCCTTGGTTGCGGTCAAAAAACGGGGACTATGAACAAACTCGTACTGAAGGAAAAAGTTGGTGCATTTAAGTTCTATTAACCCATCCTGTTAACCCATCATGACTAGAAATGGGAAATATTGATACACGATAACTGCAAAAAGTTAATTAGTTACTCGTCACAAAGTTTCCCTAAATTAAGTTTGCCTTCTGATGACCGTAGTAGTTATAGTACAGCCCTGCGGACAGATACGGGGCATATATGTTCTTAATCTACTTCTATTTATTGTGAATGCACTATATTTATATATATCTTTTGTTGCATAGTGGCCAAGGACAAGTATGAAAAGAAGGAGACCTCTGTGAGACTCAAAATGAAGGGTGGTGCTGTGGTTGACCCTGATAGCCAGCTGGAGGACGTTGCTCACGTTATGAAGGTATATATACTATTAAATATTACAAATTATTTATTTAGTTAAGGTAGCTATAATAATTATCCTTTCTTGATGATTATTACAAGGACGAACAAAACGCGTTTTACAACTGTGTTTTAAACGCTACGAGCATTGAGAACAACAAGAATTCCTACTATAAACAGCAGATCATTGAATCCGATATTGGACATCGGTAATTCATCATATTGTCAATTTATTTCTTACTTTAGTCATTCTTGATATCTAGAGAACTACAACTAACGATAAACAAATTATCTCTTTTGTTTAGGTACTGGGTATTCCAAAGGTAAATTGAGCAAGTGTTTAAACTAAATATATAATTTGTAATTGTAATACGTAATGTGTGATTTGTAATACCTAAATAGTTGGGGAAGGATCGGGACGGTTATTGGAGGAAGTAAGCATTTTTTTACTTGTTTGAAAGAGGAAAGCAAAACAAGAAGATTCCACAAGACTGACTTGAAATTATTATTTTTTTTGTGTAGATAAATTACATGAGGACATCTCGAAGCATGAGGCAATTGATATTTTTTGCAAAAAGTTCTTCGAGAAGAGTGGTAATAAGTGGGGGAAACCCTTCACAAAAAAGCCGGGCTGTTATACAATGCTTGAATTGGATTATGGTGAGGTATGTACAATACCAGACTTGATTAGTTAATCGTATATTACTAGTTGAATATGTATAATATTTTGCTTAACTTGCTATTTCAATTATAGAAGGAACACTTGAAACTCAGACCGAGTGCAACGGAATCGACTCTTCCACTCCCAGTTCAAGAACTGGTTAGTCTGATCTTTGATGTTGAAAGGATGAAGCAAGCCATGCTCGAGTTCGAACTGAACTTGGAGGAGATGCCTCTGGGAAAAATTAGCCGAAATCAAATTCTTGGGGCCTACAGCGCGTTGAGCGAAGCTTCTGCAGCAATTGACAAGGCTGCAAGTGGGGACGAGGCCAGCACTGAAATCATTCGAGACGTTACAAATCGTTTCTACACTATGATTCCACATAACTTTGGGGCAAGAAAGCCACCAATGTTGGATAATGATGCTCTTGTTAAGGTAGTAGATTTTTTTGTTTGTAACTCGTCTGTCGTTCACTTGTAGGGTACACGGAACGGAATGAAACATATTAATGAGCAATTGTTTTATAGACTAAACTTGAAATGTTGGAAAGTCTTTTGGAGATCGAACTGGCTTACGATATGTTGCTTGAAGGCGATAAAGGAGGAGAATCTTCAATTGATTCTCATTACAAGACTCTTGCAGCAGCAATTGACCCTCTTGAATCTGGTTCTGAAGAATACGCTATGCTTGAAAAATATCTGAAAAACACTCATGCTGACACACATTCAACATACAGTTTGGACGTGGAACATGTAAGGAAAATGATGCATTTTGATGGATGGACGAATACGGTAATGTAATGGTGTGAATGTTGTCCGTTTCTCTCGTAGATCTTCAAAGTGAATCGAGATGGAGAACGTCGACGATATCGACCATTTGAACAAATGGATAACAGGAAACTCCTGTGGCACGGATCTCGAATCACAAATTTTGCAGGAATTTTGTCTCAGGTACAAAATTGTCCCCTTCACTCATTGTGACTTATTGTATTACTAGTTTGTATTAATATTCAATTAATTTTATTTTGTTACAGGGCTTGAGAATTGCACCACCAGAGGTACTAAAGATTTACAATAATTTATAATAATTGGTAAAAAAAAACTATACATATCGCAATATATTCATTTCGTTTGATTGTTAGGCCCCAGTTACTGGCTATATGTTTGGAAAAGGGGTAAGTATAATATTATTGTGTTTGCATTCTATTTTAGTATGTTTGAAAAGGGTAAAACTAAGCAAACGTTTTGGCAGGTTTACTTTGCTGATATGGTGAGCAAATCGTCTAATTATTGCCATCCATCACGCGACAACACTTCGGGGCTTTTGCTATTATGCGAAGTAGCATTGGGCAACATGTGAGTATAATTTATATCATTTATTCGAAGCCAAATTTGAAAAAACACTGTTTTGTGTTGTTTTTTGCAGGCATGAACTCAAGCGAGCAAATGACAACTTGTGCAAAGCCCCCAAGAATTTTCAGAGCGTAAAGGGCTGCGGTCAAACCCATCCAAATCCAGCGGAAAGCGTGACACTTCCCAGCGGAGTGGAAGTCCCACTTGGAAAACCGATTCCTTCAAGCATTAAAAACAGTGACTTGCTTTACAACGAGTAAGTTCAAACTCAAAACTCTCATTTGAACAAATGCATCATTAAATTGCTGTTAATTTTTACTTGACGCTTCTTTGTATTATTTTTCAATAGGTACATTGTCTACGATACAGCGCAAGTCAATATTCGATACCTCTTGAAGGTTAACTTCAACTTTGGTGGACGGCGCTAATCTTCACACATCTCTTCAATTTGACTTTTTTCAATACCTTAGATTTTAGTTTTCCTGTTATAACTTCTTCAAGATTTCGTACGTATAAGAAGAATTGCTTACTTTAATTTATCAGTCTTTGTTTACGTGTTGAAATAGATCTGTATTTGAATTTCCTACATGGAAGAATCTTACATATATTTATTAGTACAAAATTCAGCAACATTGAGTGGTTGATTTTGATGAATTTTTAGCCAATGACTGGCAAGGTAATAAACTATTAATCCCACCAAATATAATTATTCTCTCAACTAAGTAATGTTTTTATTTCTGGGCATAAATTGTAAATGCATATTATATCGAATCATGAACTCAATTGATCGTGCAGTATCTAAACATAATAGTATGCTTCAGAAGGTTGTTGGTAGTAGTAGTAGCTCTTGACGTAGTCTCGATAAACGGGGGTGCCCACGACGACGTAGGATTTGTAGACCGTGTCATACAGTCCCTTATCCGCAACGACGATATAACGTCCAGTCCGACCCTCTTTCACATCACTGCCTGCATTGCACATTAAATATACAACTCGAAAATCAATTAACTATACATACAAATAGTTTACTTGCCTTGAGCGACGACCATGAGAGTCAAGAGACCCTGAAAATATAAAGTTGCACCAGAAAAATATTCAAAAACGGGCAGGAACGTGAAACATGTAGTTTTGGGTGGGTTGACTTATTGCAACTTACCAGAAACAAAATGACCTTCATTGTGATTGTGTAGTTGTTTACGATATTGTGTCTGAAATATCAGGTGGATGCTATAGGATGCTTCTGTGATCAAACGATGCAACTTTCGGCCTTTTATTTGGAACAGACCAGTTGTTAACGAACCAATCAAAACATCATTAAGGAGACAAATAACAAGTAATCCCTAATCTGTCTTGACCAGTCTGCGTTACAACTAAATTACTTGCAACTGATGATAAAGAAGTAATTAACCTAACGTCGACCTCACCATATCTGCTCAAAGTCTAGAGTTGTGATGTTATTTTTTGTTATTATTTTTATTCAAATAATATGTTAGGATGATATTTCAGACTGTTTAACAATTGGCAATATTGTAGTAAAGCTATAACAAAATATTATGTATTATTAAGCTAAAGGCAGTACATACATATCAACAGTCAATAAGAATGTCATAATTGACTGAATAAAGAGTTTAAACCTAAATATGGTTAGATTCATGTTTGGTACTAATAATAGATTGGACAGGTAAATAGGTAATGAATTATTGTTAAGTTCAATAAATTATTACGTGTAAATTATTACACCTATTAATAATTAAGTAAGTAGTCATTTATTGAACTATTTTTTCATGAAGAGTTTTCGAAAGTCATCATTACTTTTAGGAGCAGTAGGCGGAGGGTTAGTTGTTAAGTCAGCAGTGGGAGCATCAGATTTCGGATGAACTTGCAGTGATCTTGGTACAAAGACGTTTCTTTCCCGTCGCTGCAGCGGGCTGCCAAAATATAATCAGTCAATTTCAGTATTTCATAATATAAAATCGAGTTCAGTAGTTCATATTCAAGTAACTCACTCTGTCGTCGCTGTCGCCTTAGAAAAGTAGGAGGGTTGAATTGACTTCCCTTCGTTTTTCGCCGGGGGATTGCTTATAGACACCGAAATAGTTCGGCCATCAATAACCGACCCATCAGTCTTTAGTATTGCTGCTGCCGCATGGCTCTGCAATGATTAAACAGATTTATTTACACAAAACTCTTATACTTTGATGAATGGCATTAATAATGATGAAGTTCCATTACAGCGTTTTCAAATTCCAAGTATGCAATTCCTTTTGAGCGGCCGGTTCGGTTCGCAACTAGTCGACAATCTTTCAAAGCTCCAAACTCAGCAAACAATTTCCGTAAATCTTCTTGCGACATGGAAAATGGCAACCCCTTCACAAACAGCTTGTTCTTTTCCAATGCTGTGGAGTATTTGAATTGAACTTGACGAGTGTTTTTGTCAGGATCACATTTCGAAACAAACACTGGTCGACCTTCTAACGGTTTGCGGTCCATTTTGAGTGCATTTGCATGTGATTCCTGCAAATTAAAAAAATAATAAAATGGTAACTTATAATATTAGTGGCTTCCATTTTTTCCAATGCAATATCTGAATTGCATAGTATTTACCCACCAGTTTTTCAAATACGACGTAGCCAAAACCCTTGGATCTTAATTTAAAGTCCTTGACTAGTCTGACTTCCTCGACAGTGCCAACTTCCGAAAAAAATCCCTTGATCATGCTTTCGTCGGCAGAGAAGTGCAAGTTGCTTACAAATACGGTGCGGTTATCTTTAGAGGAGTCGTGTTTTACTGGACCTGGAGGTGGTTGTTCAGTCTTCGCAGAATCATTCGAAGAACTCTTCACGAATTTTGGTTTTGGAACCGCAGGCATCTTAAACATGTTGTCTAATCCATCCACCGTGTCAAATATTGGTGTAGGTTTCTCTCTTTTTGGAGGCACAGCATTGTTTAGCATCTCATCAGATTGTTGCCATTTCCTTTTTTTGTTCTTCCCTTGCTCATTGTTTTGTCTATAGTCCTTTTGTCCATAATTCTTATTAGTATAATTCTGGCCCGGATTCGGATATACCATATTTTCCAGCGCTTTAGAAATTTTTGCTTCCGCGACGGATTGAGAGATCAGGTCTCCATAATCTCGTTCAAAATTCAGCCAAAAATCAGCTAAAAAGTTTAATACAACTATTATTTTTACAGTCCAAAATAAATAAGAATGGCAGACATTTTTGTGCAAAGGTTCATCACATAAATGTCATTATCAGAGGAGAGGGATGATCAACACGAGTAAGGATTGATAAATAAATAAAAATATGCGCTCTCTGGTCATTATAAATGTGACCATTCGTTTCGTTATAGTATAGGAAATATTTGGAACAATTTTTAAATAAGTATGTAGGGAAGCGAACTAGAAATGGTAAAACATATTCGATTTTCTACAGGAAATTGATTGTGAAAGGCAAAGAATGTACTTGGGAATTAAATTTTTGTTGATTTTGCCTCCACCTTAGGCAAATTGAAAAAAAATCGCAAAAAAATAAATGTCATGAATTGTCATGAAATAAAAAATATCTCTCACCAACAGATTGTGGGTCATCCTGAATTTGCAACATTGCTCTCCCAAGTTCTGCTCTTACTCTCTTTACGTCAGCCCCGTATTTAATTTCGAGCGTAAGGTACTGTGCCCATACTCGGTAATATTGTCCATATCCACGATTAAAAATGGCTTTCCACATTTCTCGAATTTCGCCTGTCATTCCTTTAATTAAATTACTCTCGAAGCGGGCCTGGAATTGTAGAATTTGGCTGATGAAATCGTTGGGCTCCTGTACCACTAGAAGATCAGAGATGTGTATATATTTAGACTAAAGTAACCTTGTCGTACAATGATAAAAATGTTTATAAAATAGTAAACGTTAAAAGAAACATACATTGAAGAAGGTGAGTTTCCGCAGCGGTAAAAGTTTTTCGCAAAATCTCTACTTTTTTCGGATCCAACGATTTTTCGTAGTCAATTCTTCTTCTAAGGAATTCCAAATACTTCAACCACAAGGTGCCAGCTTGATCTCCAGTTCCACAATAAGTTAGTGCCTTTTCAAACACGGTTTTCATCTTATCAAATCGCTGGCCATCATCATACTCAATACTTTCATCGATAGGAATAAATGTTTCCACCGCCCATAAATACTTTAACCAGACGGTCAAAGTCCAGGAGCAATTTCTTACTGCGCGTTCACATATGTCCATTATAAGATCTGGAATTTTGAGATCTTTGGTCAAGTAGTCAATGTAGTCCAACCACAACTGAGCATCTAGTGGCGAGTCCGTAATGGCACGTTCGTAGAGACATTGAATTCGAGCAGGGTTACTTTTGAATTTCTGTTCTTGTGCAATGTAATCATTGTAAATCGAGGATTTTTGAGAACCTTCTGAGGTTTGCACCTAGCAAGTTATACAATATAATTTTTATTTTTTAGATAAGTATTTTATATATTTAACCCCTAAATATGTGTATATCGAGACACTCTTTAACAGTTACCAGTTTAAAACATACCAGTTTCGCCTCCCAACTTTCCAAGTATTTCAGTCTGTCCAACGCTTTCTTGTATGCACTTTCGACATTTTCATCAATGTCGATTTTGTTCTTTAGCAAGTTGAATGTGTTCTTCATGCCCAGCAAGGGAACGGCAAGTTGTCGCTTGCAAAGCGCAATGAATCGCTTTTCCTGTTCCAACTGTTGTTCTTCCGTGACCATTGTTGCCAATAAAGCTGCCTCGAAATCTCGGTAGGTATCCCAAATCAACGAACCCATTGCCACATTCAATCCACAGCATCCTAAAGCTCTTTCAAAGACATCCCTGCACCTAACAACACCGTTCTCTTCATTCATGTTGCTCAAACAAAGGTTTATGTACTCCAACCATACTTCTACAGCTGGAATAATTTAAAAAAGTACCGGTTACAAAGGATGAATAAATTTAAATAATTAATTAATTGCTTAGTTTGTAAATATATTTCGAAATTCAAAGTCAACTTACATGTGTAATCCTTGACAGCCCTCTCCATCAACGTAAAAACGTATTCCTTCTCTTCGTCGGTGGCAACTGACAACATTTTCTGCTCATCTTGAAGCCATTCAATCCAAAGTGTTGGGCTCAACGGATATATCACGTTCATTTTCTCTCGAGCGCTACGTAGCTTGTCCAGCTCTCCAAGGCCCTTTAGAATCCGGATCTTCTCCAGATATAAGTCATACGAGTATGGCTCAGATGCCAACTACACACAATCAAGATTTAAACAAGGCATTCTAATTTTATAAAGTTATAAAATAGTTTCTTGCAATTTTCATAAAAAATCGAATACGAGCTTAAAAAGTATCATGCGCATTTCATTTCTTAATCTTAATCCTTTCCTCCATCCTTATTATAAAATCATTCAATAATACATGAGACTATGCAAAAGAGCAGCAAACTTGGTATATATATAACCAACAAATACTGTGACTGCGTATGAAAGTGACTTTAACTTTGGAAAAACAAAGATAGATAAGCAGTCAAAAGCCAGGTTTGTTGTTTGTTATTTATTTCACCGTGTTTACTGATGAAACTTTTTTCTAGATAACAAGCGAGATCCACACGAGAGATGTACAAAAAAATCTGTACACGTTGTTCTAATCTAACTGCAATGTTCATTTGGCTCTGCCATACTTCATTTTTGTTCAATATTACTTTATATTTACTTTGTGAGACAAGTCTTAATTTCTAATTTGATTTAGCTACCGTGAAGTATGAATAGCCGGACGAATGGGTAATCAATATATATTTTTGTGGTTCCTTTTCGTACATCTCGTACTGGAATTTTCACCAGCGTTAGCTGCCAGTGAACCAACTGAGAATCCAATAATCCAAGTTGTTAGCCATGTGGAGTTGAGGGGACAATCTCAAAAACAAGGCAGTGTGATATCTACGACGGCTTATGCTCAAGGTCCCAGCACAGATGCTCCTATTTGGTCTACAAATGGAAGGCAAGATGACAAGAACCCCACAATGGATAACAGCCTGGAAGGAGAATTGACTGGCTTGCCCATAAACAAATCCGAGATAATTGGTTCAGATTCTAACATTGAGATGTCCACGTTAGCGGATGGTACCACATCAATAACCACAGAGAGCATCATTGTTGTAACGTCAACGCCAAAGCCCGAGCCAAGCAGCTCAACAGTTGATCTCCACACTTCCAAGCCAACACGTAGTTCAAACCAAGACCAGGTTAGTGTTCAGCCAATTATTACTACAAATCCTAATGGAGGAGGAACGTCAACTATGTTGTTCCGACAAAGTTCGCCAATAATGCAAATGTCATCGCAACCTTGGAAAACTTCACCCGGTGAACCAAGGACTAGAGAGACGGAGGCGACTAGTGTTACAAATTCTGTACCGAAAGCAACTAGTAATTCGAATAAGGATTCTCATGAGACAAGTACATTCTCTCTTGTTGATGCTACTGATGCTACTACTAACGTGATAAGTACTACATCCGTGAGGGATACGAGTCTGTCTTCCCATCAAAATTCAAAAAGTAGTAGCGACGCGACTACAATGACTGAAACAAATGAGCTATCAGATCCACTTACTGATGAAACAAATCCAACGGTAAATGATAAATTGTTAAGATCATCTTCAAAACCACTAACGTCCAACACAATAAGTCAGAAATGGGACACTTCAACAAAATCAACCACCTCAACAAGAAAAATCGTTTATAAATCTACTACATCTTTACAACCACGGCGAAGTATGACCACAACAGAAACCACGAATCCAAGAAGAACAATAAATCACATCTCCACAATGTCCCAAAAACAGACGACCACTCCAAGCATGATTCAAGTCACAAACGAGCATCCTATTGCGACACCTTCGACTTCCACTGAAGGGTCATCCTCAATTTCAAAATCTACATCTAATACTAAGCCTAGACAAAGTACTTATATATTAAATACCACAATGGCGACACAAAACACGGCTACATATTTGAATAGAAATGGAAACTCTACATCGTCTACAAAATTTCCAGCAACATCAAGATCATCATATTCTACAACGCCATCAACATCAACATCCACGTCAGCAAAATTCACAACTTCTTCACAACTAAACTCATCGCCAAATACATTTACTCACAATATGGCGTCCACCACGCATAACCAATTCAGTACAGCAGTTCCATCCTCGACAATTAAATTAAATACGGTGAAGCAAGACACTTTGAATTTGACACAACATACGACTGCGAGTGGTGATGAAACAATCAGCACAAATGAGGAAATGGTGACCTTTTCTGACAGAAACCGAGAATCATCTCCCACTCCTCCTTCACATAGTCAGCAGCTCAACAATTACTCAAGTAACGCTAAAATTGAAACAACTTTATCCGTTACATCACACACAATTTCGACACAAGAAAGTATTCAAAACCAAACTGAACAACAGGGTGACAAGATTACAGATAAGATGCATGAATATTCTCACCACGCTCATCATCACACATCTGAAAATTCAATCAAAAATGATAATCGACATCGTCACAATCATAGCGACGAACCTTCTTATTCATGGACAACAACTTTGGACCCATCATCACATGTTGTCGACAATTGGAATTTGTCCCAGTATACAGCCTGCGCCCGACTAAGTGGAGATATTCACCTGGAATCTGTAGATAAGAAGTACAATCCCGTGTTTCCTTTTCCCAAAAAAGTGCACAAAAATATTGTAGATAAACTATTGGGCAACTGCTCCAATAACGTGGCGTCGTTTGAATTCCAGTTTCCAGCCGACAATGAGAACACAAGAATTTTTCCAATGAAGGGACAAGTTATGGACTACAGAGCCATTCTCAAGTTTGAAGTTGTAATAGAGACAACTGACGACAACAAACGTTATATTACCGTAAAAGAGACGCGATTTCAATTGGATGCCTTTTCATGGCATTTCAATTTCACCAAAGTTCACTCTGCCATCAGCCTTGTCTGCGATAAATATTATTGCACCAATGAATTTCATCAAAATCTAAGATTGAAAATTGTCCGATTCGATCTTAAACTTGAGATTTTCAACGGCCATCAATATTCGCAAATTTTACTCTACGAAAAAAATGAAAGTCTGCATAATTTGAGTTTACCAAATGAAGATGTGAATTATGGAAATAACTCTAGCACGACAAACATTATCGTAATTTCCATTTTCTTTATAACAATATCGGTGATGACAACCATGATATTCGTCATGCGTCGGTACAAACGTAGAGTTGGGTATGAAAGATTAGAATGATTGATATACATAATACTATTCTACACATTTTATAAATTGAAAAGTAGAGTGTAAGCAGCATTTATAATTAAATCGGTTGAACACCACCACTACTATTAGTGCAAATAGCGGTACACCTAGGAAAATTTGTAACTCACTGAATAGTAATTCAATAAATTATGCTATGCATACCTTGTTATTAACAACATCCAATTCAGATTGTAATACTTCTTCATCCACATCCATATCTTCTTCTGCATCGCCTTCGCCACTGTCGTCATCATCATCGTCCTCATCAGCACCAGCGCTGGCGAAAAAGCTGGCAGCTCCAGCCCGTTGGTGTCCCCCGAGGGAAATTCCCCCTTCCCCGCCTAAGCTGCCGGCTCCAGGTGTTCCTTCTCCCACCGACTCTTCGTCTGACGAACCTTCCTCCGAAGAATCAGCCAACAATTGGTCTTCGTCCAAATCGCTGCTCATCTTCCCTAACTAATTGATGAGAACAATTGACAAATTGAAATAATTTTTTTCTAAACAAAACACAAAAATCTCAAAGACAAAAAATATCAACGTCGTCGTTTGTTGAATTCCATGTGGCTCCGAACTTCCGCCAAATCTTAATAATCCCCACGGCACATTATATTCAGGCTGATAAATAAATGCACCAGTGAATTAATTTTGGTCTAAACTAATCGACAAATTTTAATTAATTGTAAAACTAGTTGAACACTCTCAAATTAATTCAAAATGTCAACAGAGGAGCCAGATCAAAATATTGTAATGTTTAAAAGGAAATCCAAAAAGAACCTCAGACAAAGACGAACAGAGGAGGACGAAGCTGCCGAGAATCTTGAAGATGCAGATTTGACGTATGTATGCGAATTTAAATGTCTAATATTATTTTGTTATGTAAATTTGGATCATTTGGGTATCAGGGAAAAGGTGGAGTTGTACAAAGAGCTGAGGAAATTACGAGAAAAGAAGAGTGGAACAAGCCATGTTACACTAGCGCTTGGAAAAAAGACGAATATGGAAGAAGAGATTATCACTTCAAACGTAATTAATGAATGATTAATTATTTCACATGTTTGGTTTAGAGCAAATAAGTATTTGTCATCGTATTCATTGCCTAATTATGGTGTATGGCATCGTTTAGACGGACCCATTTAAATCTGGAACTGGAGGAATGGTGGACATGGCTGCTCTCAATAGTGGAAAGTATAGTATGGACACTGATGACGCGTATGCGACTGGAATTGGAACACAGTTTTCTGCAGAGACAAACACCAGGGATGAAGATGCAGAAATGTTAAAGTATATCGAAAATAAGCTGCAAGAATATAAAAAATCCACAGCAAAGGGAGGATCTAGTGCATATGATGATGCCACTCTAATTGCAAAATTTCTCAGTCCTGAAGAAGCTGGTTAGTATATTTATTGCATTACTTTAAGATTTCAAAGTTAGTATCTAATTGGATAATCGTTTGAGTATGTTAATCGGTGAAGCAATTTATGATTTTGTGATGTAATACCGTTGTGCAATATGTTACAGCCTTGTTAGCCGTCCCTGAACACCTAAGAAAATCCACGGGATCGAACAAATCAGAGGAAATGTTAAGTAACCAAATGTTGAGCGGAATACCTGAAATTGATTTAGGAATAGAGTATGTGAATTTTAATTGTTTTTAAGTGTTTAATTTAGTATTAAATATACAAAAATCACAAAGGATCCTCATTATCTTTTCGCTTGTTCTCTTTCCAGAGTTAAGATAAAAAATATTGAAGCAACAGAAGAAGCCAAGCAAAAAATTATCCGTGACAGAATGAGTAAAAAAGAAATGCCATCTCATTTTGTTCCTACAAACATGGCAGTGAATTTCGTGCAACATAACCGATGTAAGTATGAAAAAACACTATTCTATATTCTGGCTTGTGTCCTGTGCATCTAACAAAGAATTCCCTGTCAGTTAAACTCAGGATAAGTAAACGTTGTTGAAGCAAAATGGAATTTGTAAATGCATATTTGTGACTAGTTGACGAAAGAGATTTAAGATTTGGAAGAATTGCGTTCACGCGTCGTATGTACATAAATACCAAATTTTTTGTTCACTTTGCAGTTAATATTGAAGACCCAACGGGATCGGCTGCTAAAAGGCCAAAAAAAGAGAAGGAGCCTGAAAAGCCAAAAAAGGTTGTTGTTGTGGTTGGAGCTCAGCCTGAAGAAGTTGGAACTGAGTCTGTACAAAAAGAAAAAGGGACTGAGAAGGCGTCAGACGATTTTCATTTTGAAAAATTTAAAAAGCAGTTTCGAAGATTTTAAGTTAAGTGATTTTCAAAGATTTTAGGTATAAGCAAATTATTATGTTTTTTTACCACCGATTAACGCATACTATTATACACAATATTATAAAGGGTTGTTGTACTTCTTGATAGCTAATTAAGAGAATTTGAGAAACACGGTAAAAAATTATACGAAATAAATATATAAGTATTATACTATTTTAATTCTACATGTATAAGGCTTTATTTCATTGTCTTTGTCATGTCAGACTTAGAACTTGAGATGTGCACATATTTGGAATAGTAATTTAGAGGTCGAGCGAGGGGCAAGGTTTCCGTTAATCTGGCTTCCGTTTCCTGTCTTCCGAGTTCAGCTGCTTAACGTCAATGTCATGCACAAGATTAGTACACTGCTTTTTGAACTGACAACATTTCCCATTTACGAGAAAATTCAAAACCCTATTGCATGGATTAGAAAATGGAGGGGAAAATAGAACATTATAAGATCATGGGTGGATTATAGGTACCCGGTTAGATTTTAATTTTAAGACGACAAGAATGATAATATTTTAGAAAAAACGTATGTACATGTATCCGAATCTTGTTGACATGTCTATTGCATTTACTACAACCATGCATATTTTCTGGGCTCTGATTGTTGGAGGTATCAAATTTCATCTATGAACCTCCAACTGCCTCAACCTGCATCCACTCACTATTATCCATACGATCCAGTTGGACTGATCTTTTCGAGCTGATCCGGATGGACATGTGAGAATGGGATGAATTCCTTCCTTTCTTGAAGCCTTTAAAGGGACGTGAGTATACATCTCTTAAGATTTTAAAGGGCGCTAGCAGTTGTAAACTGAGCTAGCCGAGATTGGGTCATAAACTGCACCACATGAAAGCAAACAAAAGGGTCCTTTAGCACATTCACTGAGATATGAATCACCAAATGAAAAGAATCTGGTCTGTTCGTCCACTGAAGAAGCCCTTTAATTTTTAAGTGCATATTTCAGAAGGATTTGACTCGAGTCTCACATTTCCTGCCCATGTAATTTTCTTTCTCAATATTTACTTTATGCAATCAGTGTGGTTCCAGATTCGGAGGAAGAAAGACGTTTCCGAACCTGAGTCTCAGACCGAATCCGGGTAAATATCGACCACACACCATCACCACCACGGCGGAGAAGAAGAAAGCACTTGTTCGCACATACATATCCACAAGGGCTCCGTTTCCGCTCTCCCTTCTCGAAACCATATCCCCACTAATGAAAGACTGGCTTTTCGAGTGTAAGCTTTTCCTTCAATAGTTACCACGCTTCTTCCAGAGCTGGCAAAAAGAAAGTGTGAGCATCTATATGTACGTACGTATGAAGTGAAGAGAGAGAGAGGGGTGAAAATCGCTTCAATCCACTCATCCGTTCTTTCTCCATCAGCAGACGACCCTTATAGCTTTCCTTCCTCTCTCTCTCCATATTTGTGTGCCAATATCGAACCAAATGTTGGCGAAAGACCAGTGGGAATGGAGTAACTCGTAGTGTTGGGCAATAGGGGAGCTTTCGTCATCGTCGTCGTCAACAATTCCTTACGACATGACCACGACACAAATAGCGTGCACTTAGTCACCTTCCCGTTACCCGGATACTCCAAGCAAAACATTGACGTTTGGTGGAACAACTAAGAAATTAAAGAGTGTGTCGTCGATAGAATCGAATAAACGATACAACCCACGATGAAAGTTGACTTTTGTAGAATAGCGAGATGGGACAAGTGAAAGAAAAAAATCAACTCGGATATCCTGAATATTTTCTTTGGTTTGATGTGTCTTCATTGTGTGCAAATTATAATTTACGCTTGTGAGCGTGTCAAATAAACCGTAAAATTATGATCTCTCTGGTTGCCACTGACTGACTACGACCGCACACATGAATTACCTAAATGTGCAACATTCATACGTAACAAATGTTTCAAAATGTGTACGGAGGAGGGGAAACGACGATTTAGTGTAAAACCAATTTAAACCCGCAATCGAACGACAACAACATGTTAGAAGAAAACGAGGAGGACTTTGTGGTTCACAAAGCAGGGCCACCACTTCCCATACGCAGACCAAGACCATTAAAATCGTCGACGTCGAATTCGTTGATGTCGTTGTCATCACCAAGACCCCCACATCAAAAGGAAATTTACCTCCTTCAACATCGGAGTGGATGTCCACATTCAATGAGCTATAACACCAATATTGGTGGTGGTGAAAGCAAAAAACCTGAAGAAAATGTCGCAACTTTATTCACTCCACAACGCATCACTTCAGTCTCACATCCAATGTCAGTGCCAAAAATAATTTCTTCCAAAATCCCCTCACCTTGTTCCTCTTCCATTCCACGAGCACTTAGCAACCCAATCGTGGGGAAATTGACAACTGCTACCTCGACATCGACACCATCTACTTCCACTCCCACTCCAACATCAAGGTCGAGGTCCCCATCGCCCTCAGTCACCTGCTCTACCCTAAAATCCCGACCTGCAACTCCATCCTACAATGTTGAGAGTAAAGTGAAACAGTACATTGAGCAGGTCAAAAAGTTTGACGAGGAACAACGGTCCAAGAAAGGCAAGCTTGAGAAAAATGAGAAATTTCTGAGTTTGGAAGATCTGTATCAGATCACCACTCCTTCAGAGGTGAAATCGGATCATACGCAGATGGAGGAAAAGTTGAGACAAACTCTTCGCATCGTCGAGGAGAAGGATGAAATGATTAATAAACTGAGAGAAAGTTGCCACGACCTCAAACTCAAGTAAGATTAGATTAGATGCAGATATGTACATATGTATCTTATGTTAGAGAGATAGGTACAATAAATCTATAATATCACATATATCCTTGTATACACTTTCAGATGGGCTGATGCAGAAAATCGAATTGACGAGATGCGATTTGGGTTGGGTGGAAGTTCTTATCATAATTTTAATACGGCCAGTTCGATAAGTGGTCAGGAGAGAAGGTCAAGTTTTACGTTGTATGGGGATAACTCGAAAGTCACAAATGCTACGTCACGACCAAAGCGATCTGTTTCTGAGTTAAATCTGCACCACGTGGATAGAGCAACCAATACTGAAGATATTAACAATAGAAAGGGATCAGTGGTCATTGCTAATAAACATATGGCAGATAAGGCCACCGAGACTTGCAAATCTGGCAAAGTTAACGACGCTCATGAGATGAATAATAGTCGTCGAAGCCAAGTTACGACAACAACGGATGAAGACCTTTTCCCAGATTTTGATCTCGAGAGCAATTTTGACCCCGTCCTAGAAGAGAAATGTTCAAATTGGTTGGAGAAGGTGAGTTTACATAACTGAGCTGACATACAAATATGGCCTAATGCTAAACCAGAGGAAATTACAATTCTAAACAATTTCCCAATTCAGGTACAAAGTTGGAGGACTGATCCAGTGCACAATAATACGAGCCTGGACATTAAGGATAAAGACTCCTGTGGTGACCGAGATTCGGGTTTCCGGGGGTCAGCCGAACTGGAACAGGCAGCGGCCCTCAACAAGTCTTCTACGAGACAAAGACAAGCCAAAAATAATCCTTGCCCTTGCGCATCATCCCGAAATGATAGGGAAAGTTATGAAGATAACAGCGCGTCCTCCAAAGCCCTTATTAGGAAGAAATCCAAATTGCAAACCAAAGAATCTAACAATTGCGCAGCAATCCATGAAACGCAGACAATCCCCCTTCTCACAACTCCTACGACTACTGCTACTGCTACTACCTCTAATTCCAAAGAAGAGAAAGATGACACAGAGGCGACAAGAGTCCCATTTTCTATTCACACAATAGCTGCACATTTCTCTCAAAAACAAGCGGAACAACTTGCTGTAGCTTCACCATTCGTTGTTAAACAATTGAGTGGTAGTTGTGCTCAAAATACCAATAAGCCATCTAGTCTCACCACCACCTTCACTCCTAATCATGACCTTCCAAACGAGTCTGCTGCTGGTGGTCCGTTTTCATCTATACAAATTGTGCAACCCTGGCACACTTTCACCGGAAGTGTGAATCCCCATTCGGCCACCGACTATGAGGGCTTCCCTTCCCTCTACTCGTCTTCGTCATCACGACAAGGCAGGCATCACTATTCTTCTTACGACTCTCACGAATCCCATCACCGCAGATCAATCTCAATGGATCGACTGCATAGTTTCTCCAAAGATAACGATTTCTCCACTCGCCAGGAACATGGCCAAATTTCGTCACATTGTGACCAGCGCGAGCTTCTTAGAAAAATGGACAAAAGCTTCCAAACACTTCATCCACTTCTCGATAGTACTACGGATCTGGCTCTGAGGCTCAAGAAGAAGACGGAAAATCTTGCCAAAATTTTACAAGAAACTACCCCATGCAATGTCAATCTCACAACGAGAAATTCTGAATAGAGATCATAAAATTAAGATTAAAATTAAAATGAGTGTGGATATACGGGATTAAAATGAACTCGTTTTAAGAACAGAAAAGTAACTATAAAGAAAAATGCATGCAAAATGTGAATTAAAATGAACGCATAATTATTTTTCACAATCTCTAATCTCTCGCCCTCTTCTTCTAATAAATACAATACAATAATAATTATGAGCATTATTTATCCACCATTAATTTCACCTTTAATATTTGAAGTAGTAAGTAGAACTTACCTTATATTTATTACTTAGAAGGAGATGCAAGTGACCTGATTTGATCTGAATCCGACCTTTATCATTTACGTAATAAACTTCATAATACCGTTAAACATGAATAAATAATTTATTCACAATTATTTATCTGTACTGATTAAAATGCGTACATAGATATTTTTATCATTTTTCACCATTAATAAGCTCAGCCTGGTCTCATTCTCCAAATATTTATGACGTGTTTAATTTTATAGACTAAATCAGGCCTCCTTCAAGACTCGGATGGATCGTCCAAATCTGAAACAGTTATTGACGCTATCCTCCCATTCTTTTGATTAACATGACCATCATCGTCATCGTCATCTGTGAAATCGTCTGTGCTGATGTTGACCAAACTGTCCTTTTTTCCTTCACCAGTGACCCAGGTTTTTACTTGAGACATTTGTTCTTTGATGCCTGCTGACTCTCGTTTGGCAGAATTAGTGGGCGCAGCAATAGTTGATTTTATTTGAGAACTGGAACCCCGGACGTGAACACTTCTACGTGTCGTATTAGATGATGGCATCTTTTTTTCTATACCTGTAGTTTTGTGGTTATGATGTACGTGAAACAGTTCCATGGGAAACAATTCATGATAAGTTGTCCGGATGTAGTGGATCTGACTTTGAAGCTGCCGATTTCTCGCACGAGATTCCTCTAATTCTGTGAGCAGTTCTTCTTGGCGTTGATTGAGGCGGCATTGCATCTAAAAAATACAGTGGCAATAATATTTCAGCAGAATATGGTGTAAATTCGTATGAAGTGATTATGTGATGTGGCTCTTTAGTTATTAAGCTAGACAATTACTGCATACCTTTTCTTTTGTTGTTTGAAGAATGTGGATATTTTTATGAGCATTGGCCAGTCGATGTCTCAACTCTTCAGTTTTTATTTTCAATTTCTTATTTTGACAGGTCAATTGTTGAACCACTGTTATTGAAGAGTGGGAGTTCTCTGAGTTCTGTGGCATTGAGGACGATGAGGGTCGAGCGGAGGTTCGAAACTTTTGAGACAATTTCAAAAGTTCATCATTTTTGCTAATTAGCTCTCGACTAAACTCATTAAAATTTGCCAGTCAGATTAAATCATCCAAGTTACAATAATCCCAATAAGCTACGTCAATATTGCTCACCTTAAGCTCTCATTTAATTGCTCCAACTCTTTTATCTTTAAATGATGATGAAAGTTTTGCGAGCTTTCCGCCCCTTGAAATTCTTTCCTCGTTTTGTCCATTTCTTCTCTCAATTTCGAGTTTGCAGCTTTCAGTCTGGAAATGTCATGGTCTTGCTTTCGAACCACTTTCTCCAACTCAGCCTTGGATTCTATCGCAGCTTTCAACCTACTTTCAGTGATTTGCAAATATTCAGGAAAGTTTTCAAGGTTGTCCAATCTATCTTCAAAACTGGATTTTAATAGTCGAACTTGGAATTTGGATTCAGATTCTACACGTTGAAGATCATCTTTCAATTCTTCCATGTCTCCTTCTGCCTCCATAAGTTTTCTTTGAAGTTGGAGAATTTTATTTTTATGCACAATTGTTGACTCACTGCGGTCAGTGGAAGAATCGTCATCACTGACGGCATATCCTTTTGATTTGGTCTGAGACTTGTGCTCATTTATTTCAAGTTGCTTGAGAAGATCACTTAACTGCTTTTGCAGTACTGAGACTTGTGAATCGTGTTTACGACTATTTTCCTGTGTGAATCTGACATTTTTGCTCTTTTGCTCATTCGACAGATGCGTTTTTCTACTGGGAACGGGTGGCAGTTCATACTGCTCATTGTACAGGCGAGTGAGTTTACTGAGGTCCATCGTGGTCGAGGGCGCGGTTGTGGCCGTGGTATTACTTTTGCTCTGATTGACGACGCGTGTCATTGTTGGCCTGGACTCATTCTCATGATTATTCAAGGACTGATTCAATAAATAGTGGGATCCTTGGGTGTCATTTGGGTCGGGATATGGATCTGTCGAGGAGTCGGACAAGGTCGCAAAATTTGCTGGGGTTTCTTTGATAAATAAAATGTCAGCATCTGCATCATTTTCAAGTTTTGTGAAATGTTCCTCCTTTTCTTGCCCAAGGTGTGGAGCTGACATCAGTCTGGATGGTTTTGTCGAAGGGGCAGCTGTTACTTCTTTTGATGATGACCTTTGTTCGGTAACTGCAAGGACTTGATTTTGAACCTGGCTATTGATTTTTTCAAACTCTTTAATTTTTGCTAGTACTCGTTGTCTCAATTGGTCCAAAAGTTCACAGTCTCCCTCACTCAGACTTGTTTCTTTTTCATGTAAATTTTGAATAGATATCCGAAGGTGTTCCACTTCATTAGCAGCTTCGGCAGCTAGTCGATTCGCATTTTCGAAAGTGGTCAAGAGTTCTGGCTGATCCCCGTCGACCAAAAAATGTTCCCAGAGACGCATAATTTCTTCACGTTTGGTGGTTAGAAAAGCTGTCTAAATATTCACGTAATAAAATTAAAAGTATAACATTATTGACCATGAAAAACTATGCATGTGTAAAAGTTGGTTAGAATATTTATTGTTTTACCACATCGACCAAGGAGTCTTTGCTCTTCAATGTGTAGGAGGAAGTTGACGACAGAGTTTGTGATTTCTTTGCCAACAGTGACGATTGCCCTTTCCTCGTCTTGACCAATGAAGATTTTCTACTTTTCATTCGATTCACGGGATACGAAGCGCTTGAAAAATTTGAAAGTGCATCCTCCTCCACATTAGAGTTTGGCAGCCCATTAACATAATAAGCCGATGCTGACGTAAGAGTAGTATTGACATTGGATTGGGTGACCTTCCTAGATGGCTCATTGCCGTCGACTGCAGCCGTGGACTTTCCTGGCGCAGGGACCCATGGGCCTTTAAAATGGGAGAGCGAGTGATGTTGAGAGGTATTGCTTGATTTATGATTGTGAGCTGTAGAGCCATAAATTACGGATTTGGCTGGAGGAAATTTTTGCTTATTTTGTTTTTTCATCCGAGGGATTGCTGAAGCCCGTCTCGGCTTCTGTGTTTCTGGTGAAGACAGAGGCGAAGAACTGAACCCTCCCCCTCCATTATTTGCGGAAAATGGTGGGGGTGGAAGGCCAAAAACGGTTTTAGTAGCACTGGGGCTGAGTCTGGATTTGATCTGCCCAGCATCCCCACTGGCGTTCATCTTCTCCATGTTTAAGCGTATCGAATCCAACGTACCAAATTAATACTAAACCACTTTGCCAAATGTACAAAACGAAAGACGTCTTCTCAGTCCCATCCGGCGAATTTGCTGTTACCCGCAATTGACATTTGTTGTGCATTTCGTTTGGAGAGGGTCGTCTGGGAGATTTTCTGGACAGGAAGTCAACTACTTATTGCAAAGCACGCACGGAACTCGCTCGCTTGCACCCCTAATCTACGCCGCTCGCATGCACCCTTATACATTTTCCACCCCGGCTCATTCTCAGTTGCACCCATCCATTTCACATCTTTCACGCCATTAAAAGTTATAGCATTGCGCTACGGGGGCAAAATTTTAAAACTACACTTTTCAAAAAATCACCTTCTCAAAAAAATTTTGAAAAATCAAAATTTTTCAAAATTGAAGCCACGTCTTACCACAAATACATGCATACAAATACATTTCAAATTGCTATCTCACCAACTGTACGAGATATATTTAACTCTGAGTATTAGGCGTTGACTTATGAAAATATCGGACATGAATTTATTATTGAGTGACAAATATAATTTGGCAAATGTACAAAATGTTATGCAAATATTTAACAGTATTGATTTGTAGTATTGACTCGTAGACGCAAGCTCAATTTCAATTTCCATACTTATCTCCTTGCTTCTTGCATAGCTATCTGGATTTCATTACATTTAGCTAAATATATTTGCTCATGCATTATTTATTATGTGCTATATTTCATACGATTCAACGGCGAATTTTACTCGCAATAAACAATTTGGTTGTCTTATGCAAATATATTCATGCATCGATATAATAGATGCAGTTCGCTACTATAAACTATGACTTTACTGAATATTGATGAACCAAGTTGTACTTTTGATTTTGCGACAAAATAGATTTTTATTTGGCTTCGTGATATACACTTTGTTTAAGCCTTGAATAGCTTTAATAGCCAAAGCCATATCCACCATGACCATGACCGTGAATAGCGCCACGATAACCGTGGACGCCGTGACTGCCAAATCCTCCGTAAGAACCGATTCCTGTGGCGTAGCCTCCGTTGTGCAGGGAGTAGGACCCGTACCCCAACCCGTTGTCGTCATGACCGGCATAGGCCACAGCCAACAACATGGCGAACATGAAAATTGCCTACAGAAAAGGAAGAATTTAGTAAATCGGATTTATTCTGATTGCATGGTATTCCATCAGAGTTATGATAATCTACATTTTCAACTTACGATCAAGGCGTTCATTTTGAGACTTTAATTATTCTGCTGCGAGACGAATTGGCTGAACAAAGTTTATTGTAGACTGAAATAAAATTGCGTATTCATGCAGGTATTTATAGCAGCTGGTCAGATCAACCGGTCCCTTTGTATACATAAATACGTATGTAATGCATATGCATAAGTTTTTTTTAAATGAAATCAATATTTGTTAATTGAAACCTTGTCCTTATAAATAAGCGCAAAGAGTAGGTAGTTGCAGCACAATCTCATGAAATTGGTATAATAAGAACATAATTAAGACACGCAAAGTTAATGGGGCAATGCCAGCATAATTAGGTTTAAACCTGATAAAAAACATTGTAATCATTCATCCGTACAGTATATATTCACTCGATTGCTCTTATGTGTATAAGTCACGTTGATATTTGTTCTAAAAGGTGCAAACACCAAATTCCATGTAACAAAGTAGAACGGAAACAATACTTGTAAGTTTGTGGATATATTTAGTATGTAATACCTGCTGCAATCCATACACATTTAAATACTTTGTTTAAAAAGTTGCTGATACTATCTATCAACATTTGTGAGCCTTGCATACTGCAACTTACTTCATGTGATTGATCACAAATAAATAATCTTATCAATTTCAGTTATGCACGTGTGTGTATTACTCGTGCTACGCATGCATACAACAACTTGAGACATAAATTTGAGACGTGTTTGATCAAAGTATGACCCAGGCCTATATGTAAAGCAAAACAGAGACAACTCCGATTAAATTGAGCAAGATCTCGTTTTTACAAATAAGTAATGAGACTTTCATACCATTTTTTAAAGACACCACAAATATTTAATAAGTTGTTTAGTTAGTCCTTTCATACTAAAAGTTTTCCAAGGTTAAACGACATTTAAATACTGTGGTCAAAGCTATTGGTTAATGAAACTAATAGCTTTGACCACAACCACTGGGAACATGTAGATTAGTTTATTGCAAAGGTAGTGTTATTTTGAAGGGCATTATTATGCCATGCAAAGAGTATATGTCCCTTTTAGTTTATGAAATGTCAGTAGAAATATTAATCATGGGATGTTTCCTTATTTAAGCAGTCCATATGTATCCTCAATCACCACCGACCATTCCAGACATCCAACCCTGCTGACTGAGGATGAGTGTGAATATTTTACATATTATAAATATAATATTTGTGTAAATGAAAATGCACAGTGAAAAATGTGAATATCGTTTGTTGTGCACTTGACCAACTTGACTCATACCAATCTTCCTGCTGGGCTTACGTGTGAGTGAACTTGGTACACCTTTCATCTGCCCTGTTTAATAGTATTCCACCAATTTTCAATCATTCTATTTTCTATTCTATAGACTAAATTACAGCCTAATTTATTTCTGTTTTTATAAAATATACTACGCATCTTCCAAAGTAAATAAAGGAATTTTGGTTCAAGAAGCCGGGTGCCGTGCATTTCTTTATGCCTTTATACGTTACGACTTTTGTAAGGTACTAAAAAAATTAATTTTTGCTTAATTATTTTATAACTCTTTTAATTGGTCTTCTAATTATAACGCAGAGGAGTCATTTAACAACGTATAAGAGCTGGACGCACTAATTGTAAATGAGACGGTATGTCGTCGGTTGAAATCCTTCACATGTCCTTTAACCGTGACGGCACTTCTCTCTCTGTTGGAACGGTAGAGTCCTGTTTCCACTTGTCCGTCGATGCTCCCGAACATCCAGAACGGCTCGAGTACGGGACAAACCTCGGGTCGCGGATTGTCACCCGCTTGGGCCGTTCATCACTGGTCGCCCTCGTCTTTGTTCACACTCCCAGGAAACTCAGAATTTTCAATATGATCAAGAACGAAGAAATTTGCAGGTTGGTTTATGCAATTATGGGGTTAATTTACATGTATATCTAGGCTTTCAACCAATTGTAGTCAGGCTGTGTCACCTATATATGAGATAACTTTGACTTGAGGAAAGGGCCGGATCATCTAAAAAGAAACGACGTACGGTCGCCTCTGTAACAGTGGTAAGCAACGATTGTAACTTCTCGAGGCAACCGTAAGTGGTTCTTTTTACATGATCCGGCCTTTTCCCCAAGTCAAAGTTATCTCATATATAGGTGAGACAGCCTGATTGTAGTACATTTTTCGTTACAGCCAATTGTACAAAGATTCAATTCTTGGGGTTCGGATCACCCAGCTAAAAATGGTCGTATGCCTGGAACACAGGATTTACATTCATTCGACAAAAAACATGCAGGATTGTGACGTCAAGGGGACGAATCCAAATCCGAGAGGGGTGTTTAGCTTGTCGGAAGAAGGCGAGCGACTTCTTCTCGCCTTTCCAGCGACTGAGACCACGGGAGAAATTCAAGTCTTTGACGTCGTGTCAAAAACAACGCAGCGTTTAATAAAAGCATTTGAGCAACCGTTAGCTAATCTGCAGTTCAATGATCAGGGCACGTTGTTGGCAGCTTCGTCCGTGGAAGGCACTCATATCGTTGTACTGAATCCGCTGGGTAATTAGTAATTTTTACTATTTATTAAGCGATTCAACAATTTATGACATTGGTGGACGGACTGATAATTTCTTTGACTATTAATTTTAGACGGACGTTGTATTTACAAATTATACCGTGGGTACAGTTCTGTGGAAGTGTATCATATGTGTTTTTCAAAGGATGACGTATTTCTGGCCGTTACTTCGAGTAATCCCACGATTCATATTTTCAAATTGGATAATGCTGTCGTGGACAATAATAATTGTAAACTCGAGCAAGAACACGGCGCCCCACCCTTGTCACCAACTAAGCGAAATACGATTCATCAAAGTGCCACTTGTGAAGCTTCTTCCTCTTCGTCTCCGCCAAGGTCGTCGCCGGTGGACGAGTCGGACAAAGATGCTCTTGCCACCAGCAATTCTGGAGAGACTGGGACTGATTACAATAGTTATTACTCATTAAATTCTTGGATTGGATGGGCCAAATCCACAATCGTGCCAATATTACCCAGTAATATTTCTGAATCCTTGACTGGTACAAATCGAGCTTTTGCAACCATCCGAATGCCATACAAAGACGTGAGAAGTATCGTCGCTGTTACTACAAGTTATACAGAAGAGGGTCCAGAAGGACGAGTCATTGTTGGTGCTTACGATGGACTCATTTACATTTATAAGTTTAAAAAGGATGTTGGGGGAGAATGTGAGCTTCTTAAGCAAATTGAAGCTGTTGGGAAGTAGAAGATAATTTTTACTGTTATTTTTTTACTGTCGCCGAGTCCACTTGCAAGTAAAACTAATAATTGTATAATATGTAAAATATTATATAATTGCCTGCCACTATTTCATTAAAGAATACACTTATAATAAAGATAAAGGCTGCCCATACAAAACTTTAATAAGTAGCTGGAAATTGGCCATTAATAAAAAAACCTATATAATGTACACAAGTCTTGAAAATACAATACGTATCAGTTCAATGTATCACAAGAAGCCGCAAGTCTTTATTGAAGTGTTTAATTATGCTAAAAATTATTCAGCAATTAAGTACTTACAATTCCAAGAACTAACCTTCCTTACTAAACCGTTTCTCAGTATGTATGTAACTCCTCAACACTCAGGATCAGTTATAATGGAACAGACTGTGCGAAAACAATTCTTTTACAAATTAAGCTGTGTTTACATGCATAAATAAGTAATCCGCATAGTGGTTCGAAATATATATAATGGTAGACATGAGACTAATTATAATCCTAAACATGAACTCTTCAACGGATTATATAATGAATTACATCCTTCTTCGCTTTACTTTGTCCGGATTATCTTGGGTTGGTTTGGCTTGTACGAAGGAGTTCATGGAATTTCATCTCATACAAATATAAAACGAAACCCTCTCATAAATATCTATGTATACATGGATTATGTATTCGTCATCGTCATCTGCTAAAATTAGTCAACGTAGAAGTTGCTAATTAGTCTTTAATAATTCATATCATATCTGAGCTTTTGTTGTACAAAGTCATGACCATATTTTCTCATTATTATGTTCTCTGCATTTTTAGCCACTCGAGTTTCCACTATATTCGTACAAAATTGGAGTTGAGGGTGAGGATATTTTAATTTGATTAGTAAAAGTATATAATTCAATCACATTTTATATCTTGGGTGAATGCACTAAACATCTAAATCAGAATTAAAAATGGGATTTCTAGTCGACGTATTTTCAAAGTATTACAGAATTTATTTGACGTTTTGACTTTTAAAAGTACTTCTATAATTATTTACTTGTAGCAGGTTTTTAATTCATTTCGATGTTATCTTATTTGTAGCATCAGAGTGTACAAAAGCCAAACTGTGCGTCATCCAACTCTTAAAATCCTTATTTTGTTAATTATGGTAATACCTGTCGTCATCATCATGTAAGTTTTTGTAAATAATATGTGTATTTATCATAATATGAGGATACAAATCATCATCACCATCTTTTAAAAATTCCTGATATCCAAATATACAGTTCTGTATTTGCTTCTAATCGGGGTTACCAAGAACGTTGCAGCCCAATCTTACTGACCAGTATGAGAGTCACAGTTCAAATATGATTGGAGCTGCAATTAAATTATCTAATCCATGTTAATCATATGCATAATTAAGCAATGAGACGCATTCGAGGTTCTGTTGACCTTCGCAATCTGAGCAAAGAATCCCTTCCTCACCAATTGCGATCCGACCACGAAAAGTATGCCAGGATTTGGGACAACCTGGAATTGACGTGGAGAGGTGACACCGACTCGTCGACGGACTCTGTCATCATCGCCACAAATGTAGCCATCACATCTCAGGAAAGCAACAAAACATGTTCTGAAACTGATTTCCTCGCTCCCTGCGCCACGGATGCCGACTGCACCGAATACGAGATTCTACCCAAAGGGCATGGTCCCCTGACGGGAAGGTGTGTGATTTCCGACGATGACCCCACTCGAAGGTCGTGCGAGATCAAAGGTTGGTGTCCAGTTGAGAAATACCCAGGACAAGTGTGAGTGCTTTGTTAAAGTTTATGCTCAAATTCGATGATTTTTTAAAACTTTGTATTTTTATGATTTATACATATGTGTACATTTGTACATATACAGCCCCATTTTGCAAGATGCAGGAAATCTCTCATTATTCCTCCAAGCCATTGTAAAATTTGATTTGAATGGAGACACTTTTTATACGAGAAATGTTCGATCTGTCCAACATGCTAAAATTTTGAGTGACGAAGATCTCAAATCTTGCCTGTATCAGAATAATGATTCCAAATTCCGATATTGTCCGAGATTTCTCGTTAGGGATGTGGTCAGATTTTCAGGGACTGATTACGAAAATGGTAATTATGTGCTTAATGAATGAATAATTTAGCACAAGCTATACGCGTATTTACATGTTGGCAGACGCTATAATATACGGTGGAATCTTTACCATCAACATGGAATGGAACTGCGATTTTGCAAAATACTCGGAAACGGAATGCATTCCAAAGTATTCGTTCAAAAGGTTGGACACGAGAACTGAGTACGAAACAGTGGAGCCTTCGAGTGTGCATGGAATTACAAACGGTTTCAGGTATTGATTTTAATATTTTATTGGTTGAAGAATGTTCTGAGTACAATTTAACCTATGATTTGTATGTCCAATGGTATCAAAAGAGCGGTATCTCATGACGGCCTGGTTCGTCGCACAGTTGTGATGACAAACGGAATAAGAATAGTGTTTACAGTGACTGGTCAAGGTTTTAGATTCAATTGGTGGGTCACGTTCGTGGGCATTGGGTCACAATTGGAGATCTTGAGCGTGGTATGCACAATCATTCGCGCAGGAAGCACACTTGATATGATTATAAATTAAAAAATTATGCTCAATTTTTCAGCTGTACTCAATTGTCCCAATTGCTATTCTATGGATTTTTTATAAACGTCACAGTACGGGATTAGGCTGCAATAAAGCATGTGCTTGCGTCTTTGCTGATGTGAGATTTACGGACGAGGATATGCATGAAATAAAAATAGCATTGCAAGGAAAAGATGCAATACCAAAACGCTCAACTATCAGTCCTCATTTTCAAAGTAACAACGGTCAAGTAGTTAATGAAAATGGAGGGTGCAGTGTTTCTCAAATTTCAGAGCCAAATGTGCCTCGAACAACAATTCCATTTGAAACATTTGACACAATACATTTGTAACAATGCATTAGCAAATAAGACAACAATCAGATATTATGTATATAATTGTGAACTTAATTTTTTACGTGTAAATATTCAGTAAATATGTATGAGAAAAACTAAAAATGGGGTATTCTTCATTTTATCCATCCTTTTGACAAGAATTATCTACGGGTTGTGATGAATAGCTTGACATGGTGGCGGAGTGATGACCTCCTGTGACCAAAACATCTCCATAAATAGTGCTGATTCTATATCTCATCTTACTTGGTTTGGTCGGGAAACATAAAAATCCTAACCCTAGTTTATACATCAGAAAAATCACAATTAAACATAGACGGTATTTTAACCTTCGTAAGGCGTCTGAGCATTGCAAATCATTCTTGAAGCGAGCGGAGGAATGAGCTCTAAAGATTTGGTGAGACTTATAAAATGTTCTAGTACTATATTTATAATATTGATCATAAATTGCCATGCAGTCTATTTAAGTTTATTTATTTAGTCTGTTTGCCCTCCATTAAAAATTATTGCAAGTTAAAACTATTTTTTATTGTATGTAAATTCAATTTTTTGATGACACTGCCGTTTGATTGAGACATTCATTGATTTCCATTTCCTCGTGGTATATTGGTACATACTAATTGAACTTCTAATCCATTGCTGCTTGATAACTGTTAGGTTGGTGACGACTTCTAAATAAATATTAAAAGCTGGCATATCATTACATTATCATCCATTTTATTGTAATTCATATGGTATATTGATTTTATGACACATAAATTATGATCGGAATCCTACCTTGCATATTGATATGCCAGACATAAACTAAGCATAATAAAATAAATGTAATGTTTGGGATACAAAATAGTTATTGCATTGCTATCAACATTTTTGAGAACTTTGTAGTGAAGCTGCATGAAAAAATAAACTGATGAATTACTCTCTGATAAGACTAATGGTTATAAAGGCACTGATTGTGGAACATTGTCGCATTAAAAAAATATAATCTTATGATAAAGACATTCACTTTACAGATCTAAAGTTTTTGTAAACTGCAAAAAATGCCACCACGTCTTTTTGTTCTTTTAACGTTTATATTTCTAGTTCACCAAAACCTAGCCATTTTGAAACAGCCTCATTTGCAGCGACCTTTTGTCACACCACAATCATTTTGTCGAAACTGTGATTCAAAACTGCAAGCCTTACAGTTTCATCAACTTGTGTTATCCACTTTGCAGAAGGACGTAGTTAGCAAAAAGTTGGTTGAGTTGGATGAGTTGTTGAGCCGATGTGGCTCAAAGGAAGTGGACATTCGTGAAATTACGATAACCGAAGCTCAAAAGTTGTTTCGATCTGGATCCCTGACGTCCTCTCAACTTACTCAATGTTACTTGAAACGGATTGAAATGATGGATCCCCATCTTAAGTCTGTGATTGAAGTAAATCCAGACGCTGTCCAAATAGCAGAACAAGCCGACAAGGATCGCTTCCTAGGAAAGCCCATCAGTCTCAGCCCAATTCACGGCATTCCAATTCTTATCAAGGACAATATGGGAACTTTTGATAGGATGGAAACTACTGCAGGGGCCGTGGCAATGGAACGCTTAAGGCCAAAATCGGATGCGGACGTTGTCAAGAAATTGAGAGCTGCTGGGGCTGTGATTTTGGGCAAGACGAACCCATCGGAATGGGCATAGTAAACTTTCATTATATTTTATTCTCAGCACCGTTGTGCATTGAAATAATGATGAAACACTGCTGCCAAAAATAAAGTCATTAAAGTTATTCGTATCAACAACAGCTTTCGATCCGACGACATTCCGAGCGGGTGGAGTGGCAGAGGCGGACAAACGCTAAGCCCTTACAATCTGACGTCAAATCCTTCTGGTAGCAGCACTGGCTCGGCTGTGGCGATATCATCAAATTTAGGACTTGTCGCCCTTGGAACAGAAACAGATGGGTCAATCATTGCTCCTTGTTCGAAAGGAGCACTTGTTGGCCTCAAGCCTACGATTGGGACAGTGTCGACAAGGGGAGTGATTCCATTGGCATTTTCACAAGATGTGGTAAAATACTTATGTATTCATAACGATCAATTTTCAGCTGGCTAAATAAGTCGAGCAAACTTTTAATATTATATTTTTGTTGTTAAAAAGGTGGGTCCAATGACAAGATCTGTTTCGGATGCTGTAATTTTGATGAAAGCGATAATGAATTTAGATTTTCAGCCAGATGTGCATCCTAACATTATTAAAGGTGTCGACAGAAGGGTAAAAAGTGTACATAAGCCTTTTATGATGATTATTCAAATGACAATGAAGCGAAATCAAGCAGCTAATTTGTAGTCATTGCCAAAATTTTATGCTTACAGAAGTTTAACGTTGGTGTTGTACGAAACTTTTGGGATAAGAAAGACGAGACGATAGCACCAATGATCCCACAACTTGAATCCAGCTTAGCAAAGTTGAGCGAATCTGGGATGTTATCAATTGTGGATAACATTCAAGCTAATCCAAAAATTTTGGCTGATATCACTGCCGACAATGGTAATCGGTATTTAGTTATGTATATCGACATACTTTGGAAAAAATCTTGAAATTTGTTTATTTTTTGTGTAGAAATGATCGTTCTCCGACACGAATTCAAATACTCTTTGAACAAATATATTCGACGAGATGTGGTACATTTGGAAAATGAACTACAAAGAAAGATAAGTTCACTGGCAGACATTATCAAATTTAACATTGAGCACCCCACTCCGGAAGGATACAACCAAACCCACTTGATTGGAGCTGAGGCCACGGATGGACTTCAGAACACGACTTACCAAAATGCACGAGATACAAATAGAAAGCTGTCTCGAAAGCTGCTGAGCGAAGTAATGGACATGAACCGAGTGGACGCCATCGCTGCCCCCTGCGCTTCCAAGGACTCACGAGAGCTCTACAGCATCGGAGCTGCTGCTGGATATCCATCCATTACGGTGAGCACATTTATTTACATATAAATATGACGACCCGATGAGTGTAGTAATTAAAGACTCCATCCTAACAAGACTAATATGCCATTCATTTATTGAGAAAGGTTCCAGTTGGTGTCGATGAATCCCATATGCCATTCGGGATTTGCTTCTTGGGAAGACAAAATTCAGACTTTTTACTTTTGGAAATTGCCCGTGTAATGGAAGCGGTATTGTCAGGAACAAATGAGGGTCGTGTCACACCCCAATTTAAGTGGTGATTATGTGTGAAATGACAATATTTGTTTCTTTTTTTATTTTGATCAAATATTTTGCTATATAATTTACTTACAAATAGTTTGGACTTTATCGTTAGAAATATTAGTACTAATTAAAATTAATTAAATAATCTGAACAAATTCGAGTCCGATTTTTGCTTAATATTGATCCTCGGGAACTCCAATGATAACGTATGGCGCAGCATCTTTGGGAGCGGGGCTTCCGTCAGGCCAATGGGTTAAAGCAGGGACGCGGTATTTCTCGGCCCGCATTCCTGGCATAACTTCATCGCTAACTCTCATGAAGCCTTTCAAGGGGACGTCAATCGTGTCTGATGAAGTGTCCGTGGTTGGAAACGTCATGGCAAAAGGGGACAATGTGAGGATGACCAGCAATGAAAAAGCGACCACAAATCTGGTTGGATTCTGTTAAATAAACAAAATATGAGCACTTTAAGATTTTATTCGGAAATGCGAAAATCAAGTTGTTAAACTCACCGATTTCATTTTGTTGGTTGTATTTGTTTCTTCCAAGTTTTCAAAGTAGATCCTCCTTTCAATCAGACGCTGGCTGCGAAATGAGGAAAGGATGTCATGTCCAGGCACTTATATAGCGTGTCCAAAATATTGCAAGTATCACGAAGCACATTATGTAACCATGAAATCTTTCCACCGTGTCATCCCATCCCATTGTTCTGTTCAATATTGGCTTGACCATGTCTTTGGAAAGAAGTGTGAAATGGAAGGAGGAAGGATGCGCTATTCTTATCTCACCATCAGATTTACTTTTCGCCTCCAGGAGGAGAAGAACCAAATAGCCGTTGAAAATCATGCCGGAACAAATCGAAAATTTATTATGCAAGAATAAGACATTCCATTTTCGCATTGTCATTGCAATCTCTGTGGCTGCTTAAACATTAGAAACACGACTCGATTCGTTTGCTTTGCAATTTCCTACTACTTACGTACATACACAAAGATTATGAGATTATGAAGAATGAAATCCATCTCTATATACCCGACCTATATAGTAACTCATGTATCCATCAACATTCCTCAATGATGGGCACGTGGATTGTTGACTGGACTGATGAACCTACAAGGTCAACGCTTTATTTAAATAAATGAAAATATGCACGTATAATCTAAATAAACACGCTTTGAACAAGAAGCAATTCCATTTATCCATTACTCTCAAGGTGAGACCGATAACTTTTGAGCAAGTGCTGCAGTGAAGGACCACCACGCTAAGGAAAAAACCAGAAATCCCTTTGCCTTTTCAATCCAAGGGTAACTTTCACTTCCTTGAGTAGGGTTAATCTTTTGAAGGGTATGACTTTGTTTGGTGGCAATATTTTTCATTCGGGATTTGGGTATTTCCGTGTTATTAAATAAATAGAGCAATAAACTTTATTGCAGCAATGTAAAATAACATTGTCGGCAACTGAAGTCATCAAGTTGCATATACTTTATGTCTGCACTCATTCATAATATCGTGAACTTCTTTCAACGAATAAAGGTCGATACAGTAACGATTCGTATACAATTTGAATTAATTCGTTATATAGACACACCCAACTAAGCAAACAGCAAAATCATTATGATGAACGTACGCAGGTATTAATCAGATATATGAAATGTACATTTGTCTAATAAAAAAATAATGAATTGCTCGATCAATTGAGTTATTGCGTGGCGTAGTACATCTTCGCAATCGAAATCTGAATGTAGGGACTTTTTTTACATAAAATATAATAAAGACTAAAAAATGTATCCATTTCCAGCGACCCCGGAATATAAATCTGACGTATTTTCCAGCTATCATGTTTTCTCTCAGATTTCATACTACAGCTTAATTTCCCCATACAGAACCAGTATTGCAAGTGATTCTTTAGGAAACCCAACACTGAAGATGAGGAGAAACAAATTTCAGCAGATTCTTTGCGGTTTTTTGCACTTTTGGATTGTGGTACTTAGCGTGCTTGGTGCTATTTTAGCCATTTACGGAGAACGACCAAGCATCAAATACAATCCAACGCTGGTCTACGACATTGCAAAAGCGTTATCTTTCTGCCTCGGCAATTTGCTGTTCATCTTCATGATTCGTATAAAAAAAGATGGGTTGCTCGACTTGTACGTGTTCTGCTTTGAAATGGCACCCCCACTCAAGCCGGTTTCTCTCAAGGTCTCTAATATTGTACTACTTATGCATGTGCCATGAATATCTCAATAATGTGAACGTAAGAAATATTTAATTTCGAAATTCTCAATTAAGGCAACTTGGAAAATATGGATTTTGCTACTCGTAGTCATTTTTTTATCTGCCATGACTTTAATATTTGGTGTGGAAGTTGGTGAAGATGTCGGACTTTCAAAGATGGTGGAAATTGCAAAGCAAAAACTCTACTTAACATCCATTTCTGAATCTAATCAGATTTTAGATTCCATTATTTCTTTAATTATAACTCTTCTCTTCTTCTATCGAAATTTCATCGTCACCTTCACAGCCGTATTTCTCCCTTTCACTTCTTCTACTTCTATTTCGAGAATATCTCGGGAATTTTCAGAAATATTAAATGAAAATCCAGACTTGGAGCTTGATCAGGTACATATACTCGGAAACATTAAATGAAAATAATAAAATTCATATGCTTTATTTTAAAGTATTACTGTACTTTAGGCTCTTACTTTGTTCTCAACTGTAAAAACTTTGGTGTCGAGAATGAATAAAGTGCTAAGGTTGCATATCCTGCTGTTCGTAATAACTGGAATTTCTAGCTATAGTTCGAGCATTTTTATCATTTTTGACCATAAAATACCTCTTGTGCGAATCATTTTTGCAACTTTTTCTATACTATTCTCAATTGGCCTTGGATTTGCAGCAGAAGCAACATCAAAAGTATGTACATAATATAGATGATGATATTTATTGGACATGCATGATTTACAATTACAATTTGTTCTCTAGTTTCAGAAGTTTTCTGAATATTTGTACAAAAATATTGACAGACCTTCGTATGCAAATAGGATTAGCACATTTGTTGCCATTCAGGATTCAGTATCCAGACCGCTTAGCTTGAGGGCATACAACTTTCCAATAACCTATCGTCTTCTATTCACAGTAAGTGTTCTTGAAGAAATTGGAAAAGTTGTGCACATACAAATATCTTATATTACTTTCGTCTTTGTTTTAATCCGCAGATTCTGAGTGTTGTGATGACATACGCAATAATATTACTTCAATTTAAACTCGCTGTTCAGAGCAGTGGCCAGTAAAGTAATATCAATAAATACAAAATGATATGATTATCTTAGGATTATTCACTAGCGTCAGTTTCTTATTTTTATTTATGGGAAACGGTAAGAATTGAATTATGAAGGATAGTCAAACTTATTGAACATTTTTGCAAAAAAATGTCTTCAAAGAGTGTGGAATGTTTGCGAGATTTTAGCACAATCTTGATTCATATTTTCCAACTATTGGGAATATTACAACTCGCGAAGTAAATATATTACATATACTCGATAAAGCAATTGACAGACTTAAAAATTTGGCATAAAAATAAGCAGCACATGTATAGCGGAAATGTATCTATAATGAATGGTGATTATATTTCAAAAGTCGCCTTAAGAGAACGTGATTTCGAGGTATATAATGGACAAGACATGAAATAAACAAATCTTTCCTGACAACTTATTTGCAGCATTGTTGATGTTAATTTTAATGCCAATGTGTCCATGTGAAGTTAAAAATCTTAGCATTTGCATTCCTCTTTCTTGAGTTTCTTGAGAATCTGAGCAGTTTCCTACATGGTTAAACTGCCAGCTCAAAATTCCATTATAACCTTGGTTGTAGGCATGTTTCCAGAAATATTCGTTTTTCATGTCGGCCCCACAAGACGCGCTAAATTCTCCAATAACTAATGGCTTATCCAGTTGGTACGTTGCAGCATCCACCTGTTGGAACAATCAATTCAATGCTAATGCAGTAGAACTAGGACGAAATATTTCAAAAGGAATACAAACAAAGAGAGATTTGTACCAAGAATGGGGAATTTTGGAAAAATTTTCCTTCCCAAGAGTAAGCATGCATCTGATAAAAGTCGAGCGTTCCATTGGCTTCCCCACCAGCTCTAACCAGGCAAGAATTTTTGTAGTAATTGACTGAAATCATAGACATTGCGGAACTTTGTGGATAAGTAGAATTAAGGAAAAAAGTATAAATCTCACAGGTGTCTGAAGGAAATGCGTCAGTTTGTGGCATAAAATGCCATGATCCTAGAGTGACAAGCGCCTTTGGATCTTCATTCTTAATTGTTGCAGCATGCTTGTTGATAAAGTTTAGCACGCGCTGCATAGAAATGTTGCTTTTAGTCCAGCCACCTCCAAATGGCTTCATCTTTGCAGTATCAAAGCAAGAATTGTCATCTGAAACCATTTCTAGCAGTCCTTCAGGTTCGTTCATAATTTCCCAAGCTGCCAGGGCTGACTTGGTTTTTATCGCTTTCACCATGGGCTGAAATATCCGGCAGAATTTTTTTACCAAACAAAAATTTAAAAAATATACTTGCACACCGTAATAAATACCAAAAGAACATTTTGTAAATATGCGTCCAAGTTGATATCTTTCATAATTAAATCTTTATAACGGGTATTAACTCCAACTGCTCCATTCCATAAAACCAAAATTACAAACACGTTGTTGAATTCTGCAATGTCAAGGAATTGAGATAAGTCGGAAATTAATGTCCGATCTCTGTCGGGAGCCGTGGGTACACCATGCGAGTTAAACTCTGGTGTGTTTTGTCCCTCGCAATGAAGCCATATTCCTAATAATTAAATAATCTTTTGTGCCTTAAATTGTTCAGGTGATTTTGAGTATCGATTATACGTAATCATAATTACTTGCCACGTTCCCCCCACTTTTTGCTATATCTTTAATCCAAGCCTCTAAAACTGCCCCGTTTTTGGAGTACTGTCCATTTCCAAAATCGGAGGCATAGCTATTCCATGCAAAGTTGACTCCAGAGAGGAAAACTTGAGACTGTCGAAAATACAATCGCGTTCCATTCACGAACAAGTAATCTGATGAGGAATTGGTCGAAGCGGAAAGAATAAAGGTTAATGTGACCAACGCCAAAAGTTTCAAAAATAACTGCATTTTACGTATTTATTCTATCGAATCAAGTAAATCTAAATACATGTCCAGCGTGTCGACAACGATATTTTTATGTGTTAATATTTGATGGGTCGGCAACAGTAGACAAAAATTAAAGTTACAAGGCTATACCAAACATTTCCGTTGACCACTTGGCAGCCTTTAATTTTTTCTTCATTGTGGAGAATAATGCATCAAATTGATGTCGTGAGAGTAAATAAACCCGATTTTAGAATTCAAGTGCTTAGAAGCATCGTTATTTTTGTAGATTTGAACAACGGGAAGTCGCCCTTTCTCTGCAACATTTTTGGACACACATTGCATCGTCATTTTGGCAAATCCATGTCCTTGGTATTGTGGTTTGGTGTAAAGTGCATGAATAGAACCGAAAGGTAATGCAATTGCCCAGCTCACTAGAGTTGTGTCAACAATTCCTGTCTCATTATTTTTATTGGAAATTTGAACACCGCCAGAGCCAACTAGTTCGACGGAAATTGTCAACATTTCCAGTGAACCAGGACAAGACGCAGGCCAGACAGAGTCAATTTCATCGGCATCCGTGGAGTCAAGTGATCCAAATGAGATGTGATGGTTCCACAAATTTGAATCAGCATCGTTTTTCATCTTTAATCTGTAAAAAGAAAAATTAGATAATTAGGCATCGGCATTCCACCCGCAAAATACGTGCGAATTTTGTGGATCATCCATTAATATGTAATGCAAGAGAAGAGAGGGTGTCTAAGCTTCAATATTTGTATCATGTTAAATAAAAATATGTAGGGATCCGAAACTTTTCGCAATTTTTCATATGTTCCCTTTTACCTCAGAGCTGTCTCCTTTTCCATGTAATGTAATTCAATTGGATCGTGCAGTTCCCATTTGAAAGGTTGTTCAGAACTTTGAATCAGAAAGTTTGCTATTGGATTTTCGACGCCTTCGAATTGAAGCGGGATTGACCAGTCGATAAAATCATGAAGGCTTCGCAAAAATTGAGAACTTGGTGTTGTATTTACAGTGAAAACAACCACTATAGTTTGGGGCAGACTCTGAAAAGAATAAATTTATAATCAATAATGACTTGATGAAAAATTGATGTTGTTGAGCTTAACCACAAACTTGGATTCGTATCATAGCCAGATATCCCTCCGTGGAAAACACAAATATCTCAATATCGAGTTTTTCACTGGGATTTTCCATCAAGGATTGTTTCAACTTTATGACGTTGTAAATCTATAGAATATGATACAAGAAATTTTATTTAATTACACATAGTTTTTTAAACAAATATTTTTCATGCCATTGCAGATCGTGGTAAATGCAATTTGACTTCTTCCAGCACAAACCGAAGTTTCCAATCTATATTGACAAAGGATTTCATTATTCAAATTAAAAAACACTGGAAGAGTTAAAAAAAATATTTTGATGGTTGCAGAAATTCTGTTAATATATATATTTATGCTAGACGCAGTCATGAAACTAATATAGGAATGTAGAGATCACGTATCAAGTAGTGTAGATCTGCATGCAAAATTATCGGTCAATGAAGAAAAACATGAACCATCATTCAACTCCAATTAATTGAGATCTTATCTTGTTTAATTTTTTTGCGACCAATCCAATTTTCCACTGATGATGGCGTAATGAGACATGATTAATGGTTGCAAAATCGGAGAATGATCATAACTTGTAACTTATTAACCTACATAGCTTGAGTGTTGGGTAGTAGACTAGTAATTTCCATGTCGGTTCTGTACAAGTAATAGTTGTGACTCCTGTCTTGCTTATCTATACTTTTCAGTTACAGGTTACAGCAGAGCAGATTAAAGATTAACTATTGCGATTCAAAGTCAATGGCTCCATTCTTCTTAATTAAATTAGGTTTGGCCAGAGGCATTTTATTTTTTATTTGTAAGACATTAATAAAATAGTCCGTAGTTGCATTATATATATACAAATCAGGGTTAACTCTTGCAAAGAAAGTTGAAAAATATTGGATTTCATAACAAATACTTACAAATTGTGTCCAGTACATTTGCGACAGATTTTATAGTATACCACGCACATCTTTAGAAATATTTTGAGCTACCTTGTTCAATTGTTTTGAATATGTATAAATAGAAGACATTGCATTCTAGATTTACGTACTTGATGCTGCACTTACATAGCTAATAAATTGCTTTGTCAAAGTTCATCAATGTACAGATTATGAATTGGATGGGGACTTTTGTTAATTTGAAGTTTTTTGTGAATCAAGAATATTAGAATTATTAGAGATAGACCTCCCGTGACACAAGTTACAATTAGTGCCGTGGTACTCATGGAGGCTGATGGCTTCGTGGAGTTGGAGAGATTTGGATCATGTGCAGTTGACGAATTGCTTTCGGATTTTACGCCAAGATCTTGTTCGTCCTTCAACGTAGAAGAAGATGCTGATGGCTTGGCGACAATAATGTTGGACTTTGTAATCCTTTGCTCCACAACTTCTGGGTTTTCACCCATTTTGATGACCTGTTCTGTTCCTAGAGATGGGGTTTGGAGGACAATGTATAGCGTGATGTTACGATTTCCTTCCATTCCTCCTCCAACTTGACTTTTCGAGCCCACCGAATATTGTGGACCAGCCCCATTTGCATCAGCTATGGTGGCTTCAGTCACATTTGCTCCGTATGTTGAGATTGAAATATTCGAGAGGAAAAGATATGCATTTGCGTCCGTAGGTTCCCACTCAAAGCTTACCTGTCAAGTACAAATACAATCAATTCGTCCAACATGTGAAGCTTGTCTGGGTGAATGATTAAATAGGCTTGTGGTACACACCTTGATGTTGCGATCTGGATTTTCCTCAAATTCCAACAAGAGCACCGTATCATTCCAAATTCCGTTTTTCCTTGGGGCTGACCATCTCCCCATCACTGTTGGAGACTGAGACGATTGCCAAACACCCAGCCAGTTATCAAACACCACTTTCTCATCCACCTGCACTTTAATTCGTTCGCATTTTCAGAGTATTTACAACTATGTAATGTTTAAATTATTGAAATATACTCGTACCGTGACGTAGAAACCTGGCGGTCTGAAGTTTGAATTATCCATTAAAGCACGCCAAGTTTGGTAAGGCAATTTCTTTGCAATGGTGCTGGGTTTATTGCTATTTTTGGGTTCTGTGACCTTGACTTCTTCCTCCTTCTCCTTTACCACAGCGTCTTCGTCCTGCGAATCTTGTGAAGCTGAAGTGATTTCTTCCTGAGTCGTTTTAATTTTTGATTTAACCTTTTCTTTTTCTGGTTTATTGCTTTTCATATTTTTAGTTAGTGTGAGGATTTTATGAATTTGTGAGATTTCTTCGCTATCCAAAGCTCTCCTCTTTCTTTGTAATGGTTTTCCATCTATTTTGTGAGAAACTGGATCCACCTCTTCACTAAGCCCTTCGGATCTTTTCGACTTTTTGGGCGTACTTTTTGACAGGGCTTTGGAATCGATAGCAATTTCAATTACTTGATGACCGTCTGAACCATCGGTATTCAATTTTAAAATGGCAGGATTTTGTGGTGATGGAGGTGCAGGTGGGATTGGAGGAACTGTTTTCACTGTGACCTGCTCCTCTGACGCTGACGATTTGACAAGCGGGGACGATACCTTGTTTGGAGGATTATTACTTTTCACCTCAGTCTTATCCAACTTGTTGGTAGCGGCCGTGAGTTTTTTCGACGAGGTTAATGGTGATGGTGGTGGTGATAAAGTTGAGGTTGAGACTCCATCGTCCTCATAAACCGGGTCGGAGGTTGACGTAATAAGTTCATCCGCGTCTGGGGCTGTCGTAGTTGGCTCCTCTTCGGCTGGTGTGGGTTCAGTATGTCCAATAATTGACGAAAACTTTATTACCAGAAATGTGTGAGTAAAATCTTTTATTTGAGTGCTCAGCATGGAAGCTTTCATTGCCAGGAGGAGTTTTGTGGATATGTCGATCTGAGAAAACGATGCTCATTTTATTATTCTAATTGTAAATGGGAATTATTTCCTGGAATTATTATGTAATACCTTCCTCCCCAACGAGCTTGTAATTTGGGTTGCGTTTGCACAAATGAACCCTTCGTTGGTCCACAAGGGCTGACCACTTTCCCCGTGAGTATTACTTAACGTGGCCCCATTCCCTCCAGGAGTTGCAATTATGTTGTTGCTGCTGTCAAAGACTTGAGCCATGTTTCGGATACCCACTTCATTCAGTTTGCTACTGCCAATGGGACTAATCGAAACTAATAATATGCAGAAGACCCAATGTAAAAGTGTTCCCAACAATTTAAGAAACTGTATTTCGTACATTTTATAATTCAATTAAATCAATATAATAATTTATTAATAATTTATGTTATAATATTGATATTAACGTAATGAGTGCTTGCAATTTTGTTGAAGAGACTAAACCAAAATATACATGACCATCATCACAAAGTCAATGAGAACAATGGGCGCATTAATAATAAAGCCTGAAAATATATTAAACAATTGTTTAAAAAAGTCAGTATGACTTTCGCTAATTGATGTTAGTGACTATATATATGTGTATAGCAGTTGCTAACAAATAAGCCGATCAATTCGTGATGTTTTAAATTATTAGGGATAAAGTGTTTGCATGAGAAATTGGAGTCTGCATGATTCCAATCAACTCGTACGTACAATTCAAGTCTGTGCATACACATCAATTGTACGAAATCACTTTCAAGTTCAGTAGCATTGGTCTTTGGATTCATTGAAATAAAAACAACTCATGATACGCTATTTTATTTTATCTAGTAGTATTTGAATTGGTACATACATACATTGTAAATATCTGTAAATAATGCCGTAGCTAAATCCGGATTATCACAGTAAGTTTTACTGGATAATAAATAACAAATCTAAGCAAGAACTATTAAACTTTGTCCTATTATGAACCTTGTCAACTATTTAATAACTACGGTGCATAAAGAAAACTGCAAATTATGGATTTAGCCGTCCCATATTCATCAGTTTGCTTAACGGAATAATTGTTCCTGTTGTCAGCATTTTCTCTGATTGCCAGTAAAAATTGTAAAGTAAATAAATTTACACAGTTGATTCCTGTTTGACAAGGCTAGCAGATTTGCACATTTTTCAACAAATTTGTACTCTGAATTCCTGGAAGCAGCTCTGAACATGAGTTTCACACAGTATTTGCTTAAGAGATCCAACCATATTTACATATTACATTTAAAATTAAAACCCATTCCGCATATTATTGTAAAATATCGTTAGACGTGAAAACTTAGCACGGTCATCGGTTTAATATAAACCACTATTTATCTTAGAAATGTCCATCATATTTCTTGGAATATTAATATTGAATTATGCATTTGTTGTAACCTCTTTCCAGCCATATCTGGACACTGAGATAGATTACGCGAGCAGTCCAGTTGACATGAAAAATTTGATTGTACTCGAGTGTCACATTGTGTTTGAACTTTTGAAGATATCGGATAATTGTGGCACGGCGTCATTTTGTCCTCTAAACCGTCTTGAATTACAAGAGTAACTCAATATTTCATTTGTATTGATTAGTAATCAGTTCTTAACTTGCGTGTATTTTTATTACGCAGCTACATTGATGATTTCCAGTTGACCTTGCTAAATGATGTTGACATTGAAATTGATCTTTTTAAGTCACTTTTCAATCGCTCGATTATTGACGTAGAAGGTCTGGGATCCGATGCAGTCAAGCACCCCTTCAAGATCTACAGGTCCTTGAGACGAATGGTAAAAATGCTTCCAACGCTAATGAACTCAACCACTCGAAAAACGGGTAAATTCATTAATTGTGACTTCTTCAAATATACATAGTTCATAAATTGGAAAACCATCGCTCTTTAATTGTAGACGAAGTCCAGGAAATTAAGAATTTGATGACAGATTATAAATTTCCAAAAGATTCAGACTTGGAAACGTCAATTTTTAATGTGTTGCGCCTAAATCAAATTTTCAAACTATCATTTCTAGATGTAAGTATATTTAGCGCCTCAATATAATCACATTAAATTGTTATCAATTTAAAATCGCCATTTGGATTCGAATTTAAGCAGATTTATAATCTAACAGTTTCTGAAAGGAAAGGTGGGCCGCATGCAAACAAAGTGTGGGCTTACCTCTGAGCATCTTGTGGAGATGGGTCGGCTGGCTTCGTCCAATTTCATGTATGCTCAAGCCGTCGACGCATTTGCTATCGCATTGTGGAATGTAGTGAAACAGCAACATGAGAGGAAGGCCGGTGTTAACAATAAGGACAAGAATACAGCACCGATTAGCATGGTGGACCCTTCTCATACTGTCGGAAATGTTAGTTCCACAGAAATATTCGAGTTATTAAATGAAGCAATCAAAAAAGTGAGTTTCGTTCGGTCCTAACTATTTTTATGCTTTATGCAAATGATTATATGTATACAGCTTTCGTACTTTTCTTGGTGTTGTATTGTCCCAGCATGATGAAAAAATTCAAGGGAATATTGAATTCGAGGACATTCAACCCGATTCTGGTCCCTTATTGTTCAACGATCTGCTTCACAACATCAGTCACCCAAATTTCAAGTACAGAACCCCCGCAAAACTGGAGACTGTTTTACCCATTGCAAATTATGAAGAAGACGATCCTCGTCTCCAAGTCATAAAATACGGCTACAAATTTGAGCAGTTGTGTCGAGGAGAAGAGTTGAGAACTCCAGCTCAAAAAGCTTCCTTGAAATGCTACTATTCCTCAAAATCTCACCCCGTGTTTATTCTGAGCCCGTTGAAAATCGAGGTGCACAACTTGGATCCGTTATTGCTTCAATTTCACAATGTTTTCTCAGAGAACGAGATGGAAATGTATCGAAATGAAGTGACTGGAGAACTCAGGGCGAGTAGAACAATTCGAGCTGTAGAAAACGCCACGTCTTTAGTGAGTCGTCATCGGACATCTTCAAACGCATGGATTGAGGATTTCTTCCACCCTCGAGTCTTCAAAGACTTGCTCCACAAGATTGGAAGGATTGTTCACGTCCACACGTTTAGACCGACTGGTTCTGAAAACATGCAGATCGCTGCTTACAGGTTGACAAACAAAGCTTACATACGTATAGAATTTGATCTGAGAAGGTTATTTTGAAATACTTTTACAACTGTGGTTTCTAGTCCCGGGGGACATTATGTGCCACACACTGATGCAATATTCGAAGAAGAGGTTGTTTTTTTATAGGAATTAGATGATATCTACTCAAATGCCAATGTAATCTAATTTACATACATTGCTGGGTCAGGTTAAGGTGACACTTGACCCTACGGAATTTCTTCGGGGTGATCGCATCATAACATTTATGCTTTACGTAATTCTACAATAATCGTTCTACCAGAATTTCTGTATGATCCACCGCTCTCGTTACCTCACTAAATTTTTGTGCATGCAGCTTTCGGACGTGGAGGAAGGAGGGGGGACGGCGTTTCCACTCCTCAATCACTTCGTACCACCAGAGAAAGGTTCTGCAATGATGTGGTACAATTTGCACCCAGATGGAAGCATTGACAGGTATCTAAATGATGTTCATTACCGCAATAGATTATGAACGCTGTAAACAACAGCGTACAAATTATATTTTTCATTTTCCTGATTTCAGGAGAACTCTTCATGGCGGATGCAGCGTTAGATAAGCATATTTCTAGTCACTGTCTAGCCTGCAATAGCTAATTGTATTTTATTCTTGTCCCAACTTAGGTTGTCTACGGTGTAAAGTGGAGTATGAATAACTGTTATATTTCATATATGAGAAAATGTAGTAAATTCATTCATTTAATGTATTTGCAGTTGCTAACAAGTGGGTAAGAAGTAACGACCAATTTTACGCAAGAAAATGCCCCACTGAAATTCCAACTCCACTCTCATGGCCATTAGAATTTCACGTTTAATGCAACTTGTGTACGCATTTCTCAATTGGCAGTTCATGAGAAGGATTGTTTGATATTGGTTGTTCGAAATATAAATACAGATACTTTAAAACTTTATCAATCAGATAAATTCTATTTTTATAATTTGTTCCATCTAATGACATTGATAGAATAATTTCATTTTTAGAGGAGATATTTATTTTATAAGTTTCCAAACAAGTACACGAACTTTCGTAATAAACAAGTGAATTATAAGGTTTCGGCTAAGGTTTATATTTGGTGATGACCCATGCGAAATTTAGTAAATTTTGGCACAGATTAGTCTCAGATTTATGTAGAATTAGGTTTTAATAACGAGAGTCGAGTTAGACATTTTACATTAAATGTACATATGCCCTTTGTACAAGTGTGCATGAAATACTGAATAGGTGAATACTGTTGTTACATCAACCAGTCAAAGTAAAATCACGACATGATTGCATACATGCATTTGACTGACAAAACAGCTACAAACTTATCTTTGCGTTCTGAATATTCACCCAAAGTAAGCACAATGGAGAAAGTCGCAAGAAGCGTAGAATTTAAAGTGTCCAGTGGTGGAATTTTCGATAGAATCGATAATTACGGAGTGAAAACGGATTTCAACTTGATTACGAAAAACACAATTTTTCGTGGTCACAAATCGTTCTTTGGAGCTTGCAGCAACTACCTCTTGGAGCTTTTCCTGGTATTCAATGGAAAACATAAATATTATCACTTGTTGTATTGTAAACAATTATTCCTCCGTTTAGAAATCACCGTCATGCCCAGTCATGTATATCATGGAAGACGTGCGTCCAGTGGATTTGGAAAATTTATTCGCTTTTGTGTACGAGGGGAAAATTACTGTGAAACCCAATCAATCGGAAGGACTGCTTCGTGCAGCAAATCAACTCAAAATTGATTCTTTGGTCAAACAATTAGAAAAACCATCGGTAAAGAACAATAAAGTATTGAACCATCATTACAATATCGCAAGAAATAATGTGTTATATGCTGTTTCAAGTTAAACAAAGTTCCAACAATTCGTCTTGACCAGACGTTTAGTAGAATGCCAAATCTAAGCATACAAGATCCACTACCCAATGTGACCAAGAGTTGTGTTCCACGCCCTAGTCCTGAATTTCCAATGGAACCTTTGAACGATATTGGAAGCTCGACCTCAAGCTCTTCCGGAAAGATTTTTGCCTTCAAGGCTCCATTCGTCGTTGGAAAACCTATCTCAAACAATGACGAACACGACGTGGTTCCACCACAGGCACCACCGCAAGACCTGCAAAAATCCAAGATTAAGGTGAACAATGAGAAAACCTCCACCACAGTTGTAGTGAAAAGGGGAGGTCAGTTGAAAGGTCAGCCTCGAGTGGCTACGCCATTTCCATCCTGTAGCAGCCCTCTCCAGCCAGGTCATGCTATTCATGGTGATGGTGCGAAGATGAAGGGGTTTGACAGGGTGCGCATGGAAATTGGCAGTCCTCTTTTCTCGTCTACGAAATTAGGTCCAGAAAGCTTACAAGTTGAGGAGCAGTTTCAGAAGAAGGAACAAATTATTGTCACCGAGAAAGCGGAACCTGTTCGGAATATTGTAGCGTGGTCTTATGAGGCAGGAGAAACTAACGAGAGCGGTCGTGTTAGCTCAGAACGCGTGGATATGCATCCTCCTACTAAATTGGAAGCTGCAGGAACTTTTCAAGTCTTGAACGACCAAATTGCTCACTCCTCAACAGTCGCAAAATTTTCTTTGCATGATTTAATGAGGATTGAAAGTAACGGTGTGGTTAATCTATAATTAGAAATGCATTGTGCCCGATGTAATTCACGATTAATTTTCTTAGTCAACAATTCGACCATGAATTGTCCTCCACCCGCAGTGGAGTCAACCCTTCCGGACCATGAGTTAAGGAAGGGGAGTCAAGAAGTATTCACGTCTACAAAGAAATTACTCCCTACAGCGAAGGTTACAGATTGTGATTCTTCGGATGACTCTTTCTACATAAGTAAGGTTTATTATTATTAGTTATTAGCGTTTTCGTAACTATTTAGTTGTTATCTTATGATTAAGGAGAATTGCGACGAAAGCTACCTGCTGGCAAACGTCGAAGAATCCCAGCATCAACTCGTCCCATGATTATCAATAGTTCGTCGTCCAGTAATATGGAAAGTGTTCATATGCGAAGCAAGCGCCGGAAACCTAGATCTAAATTGCGATAGATCAATTTCAAATCTTTATGCGTTGATCCTACATAAATGTTAACTATGTTTGCACGTTCTATGCGAAATGTGCGAATTAAGTGGTATTGTTAATTGAATTTGAAAATCACGAAAAAATAACACGTAACTTCCTACTTTGTTTTAATCCCCTTCTGCAAATGGAGACGAATGCAGGTGGCAGATGTTGCATAATGGAAATAATAAAAATTGTTAAATAATTGCTGTGCTTGAAATCATGACATTTCCAAATTGTATTTTTTATTATGTAACAATTAAGAATCTGTCCAATCCTGCAATCCATGATTTTTTCATATATTATTAATATTGGTAGTTGCAAGTTGCAACTAAAAATGGAGTATTGGCGATGAATGGACATTTTAATACATGATCATGAACTCCACACGTGCGAATAGCAGGTCGACTTATGCCAAACAAATGATTAGCATGTTGTCATTTTATTTCTAAATGAATGCATACGGCCACCACATTTGACCTCTTGGGCATCATCAAAGTCATTTCATGTGTTTAATCTCGTTCATTTCTATCCAAATGTAAATGAATGGAACAACAGAATTGCATGCAGACGCTGTTGAAAAAGGCTCTTTTGACGCTATTACGCTTTTTATAAATTTTTCAAATAGTACGAAAATCATTTATCAAATTGGCCACAAACTTTGCACCATTAAATTAATTATGAGCAGACTTTTAAATTGAAAACAAGCTTCACTTTTGTCTGATGCAATTCATCTTGAAAACAAATCAGAGATGAGTAAAGTGCTGGTTTTATGAATCGGCTTCTTTTCATTTGATTGTTAATGAGCTTGTTTTAGTAAGCAATTAAGATATGGATGAGGAATTAATAAAACTACTTTGACCCTCCTTCGTTTCATTTCACTTTTGAATGCAAATTCACAAAGGATAAAACAGAATGATTTGCGATTTGCATGTTGCATGACATACTCAGACGACTCATAGTTGACTGTCCATTAACACTCAAAAGCCCAAACATATTCTTTTTGCTAATTGAATTATTCAATTTCATACAATAAATATTTTGTTACAAAATGTACTAGACTAGATTTACATCACAACTTTCCTATTTAATCATGGTTGGTAAAAACTGCGACGGAACTGAGAAGCAATTTAAAGATGAGTGCACATCATCAACAGTTACAAAATCAACAGCAACAGAGAACGAAAATACAATTAAAGCCCGAATCGAAGGCGGATCATCGATAATTCAAATCAGTAAAAATGCAGACACGGAAAGGGGAGGAGGGGTCGAGGAGCAGCTCAGTGACAGTGTTGGGGGCGAAGAGTTACACTTTTTCTCCAGATATCGAGGAATGCTCCTGGCCCTTCTGTCCAGCTTCATGTTTTCTTTGACCTCCATGCTGGTCAAATTCCTGGAGAGCTACGACCCAGTCACAATTGCACTTTGGAGGTTTCAAGGTGCTCTCCTCCCATCCGTCGTCTTTCTAGTTTTTAAATTAACCAAGGAGCGTTATTCCAATGCTTTGGAAAGCAATTCTGAAAATAGAAAAGAGTTTGTGTCGAAACAGAGTCCAAGAGCGAGTCTGTTGGATTCCTTATACCCACCGACAGACAAGAAAAGACTAAAAATGCTGATGCTGGTCTTGGTAAGTATGAAGTTGGGTCCATAATTAAGAATCGTTGTGCTCGTAAAGAAAGTGAAACTGCGATGAATTACAATAATATTATATACAATACTTGGGATCTGGAGTAAAGGGTTTACGTTTATGTACAGGTACGAAGTATTTTGACTTGCAATGCTCTTCTACTTCATTTTTACTCACTGAAGAATCTGGACATGGGGGACGCTCTTGTGATCTCGTCGAGTACTCCGGTTTTTGTGACACTTTTTGCTCACTATTTTCTTGGGGAAAAGTGTGGCGTGATACCAATTTTATCAGCCGTTATGACTGTTTTTGGAGTGATTGTCATTGCAAAACCCCCACATATATTTGACAATGAAGAGTTTGACAGGAAAACAATGGTATGTAAATATCTACATGTACGGATATACGCACTGCATGCCTTATGTAAGCTGTTTGATTTTATGAAGATCGGAACATTTCTGGCCCTCGGTTCCATGTTGGTGGCGACGTGTTCATACCTGGTTCTTCGTTACATCAGAAAAGTGCACCACGTTCTCACGACGCTGTTTTTTGGGGGCTGGGGCACTGCTGAGACGGTCGTCCTTGTTCTTGTCCTTGGGGTTTGGAGTTGGCCTAATTGCTACAAGGACTGGCTGGCGGCAATTGCGCTGGCCTCACTGACCTTCACGGGTCAAATGGCCATAATTCTAGCCATGAAATGTGAAAAGGCTGGACCTGTTTCACTTGTTCGAACTTGTGATGTAATATTTGCATTTTTCTGGCAGATCTGTGTATTTGACTGCTGGCCAGAAATTTATAGGTATGAAAAGGTTTAAAGCTTCGGATATTTTTATATTTCATTGCTTGTGATAAGATAACCATTGCATACATAGTTGGATCGGATGTTCAATCGTGATGTTCAGTTTAGTCGTGACGGCTTGCAGGAAATGGATCGAGTCCTTGGAACCAAACGACATTAACAGACAACGCTTTTTCTTTCTTTTGCTATGAAAATACCAAAATTCTTTCCTACCGAATAAATTTTGTGATGAAGCTTTTTTGTTGGCCAACATTTTACAAGTCGTCATCTCAATTTTGTAGCTCGCGACAGTTTTCTCTCCTATTATGTGCATACACATTTGAATGGGTTAATAAAGCCACGCCTAAATAGAAATGAAGTGGTAATGGTTACGTTCAGGTCGCCTTTGCCCATTAGTGACAATAATTTATTATTTCTAATACAAACATGGCTTAATCGGGGTACGAACGTATGCACGGTTGACAGTGCAAATATTGGCAGTTGCACTTTGACCACAATGGATTAATTGCTTTCGCTCAATCAAACAGACGCACAAGGTGGGTCTATACATATTTAGGTCTGAAATGAGAATTTTGACATTTTGAGTTGTTTTTTCTATTTTAAGAGTACAATAAATTGGTGTAGGTTAATACATAATGGGTCGATCGATACGCATACAAATTATACACACTTAAAATCACTCCATCCATGCTTTCCATACAATCTAACGTAATTTCACTCTAGGAAAAAATCATTTGTATCTGAATTTAGTGCATTTTTCAAATCGGTTTTATAATTTTTAACTTGACACCAGCAACGAAATAAGTATGACCACCATTTTAAGTAATAATTCGGACTTGTCAACGAGTAATGCTGGCAGGGCAGAATCAGAAGGGAGATTATTACATATCGCCCACTGGGCTATTTGGAGCATGAGAGTGCCTGGATATCTTCTCTTCACCGTCGATAGTGTGGACCCCACAAACGAGCAAGTTTATCAAAAAACAGCCAACAATGACAGGACTCAAAATATTGTTAATCATATCACAAATTCAAAATTATTTATTTTCTCTACTTCTTCAGAACAAAATCAATTTTATTCTAGTTCTCAAAATTTCAAAATGTTCAACTTATTGCATTTCAAGTCTCTTTTGCAGCTGAATTTGTACGCAATCTACATTTCTCTCTGGTTTGCTGCAAGTTTTTCAGTTACAATGTTTTCTCTTTATAAAGGTTACGATATTCTAATTCAATTTGGAAATGCTGCAAGTCATGATAACTTTCAAGTATTTTCCGAAGTATCCGATCGGTTTTTAGCCATGTCAAACATAATTGCAATGGGAGGATTTTTATTAATTTTCCGTATATTTTTTCTAAAGAAATCTGCAACATTGCAATTTTGGAAGAACACTGTGAATCTGTATCATGAATTTAGACTGAATTACTTTCATGACCAAACTTTTGAAGCCCTTCGTGGGGAGTTAAGCAGCGATGCTTTGTGGCATTGGCCGATGGGGATTCTTCACAGTGGGTGTTGCCTCTTATTGGGCATTTATGCGAACTTCAGACGTGAGGATATGAGTGTCGGAACTGTCATTTCATGGGTTATCTGTATCATAATTATCAACTGTCACATTGGTCTTACAATCTGGATAGGATTTTTTATCCGATTTTATTCAATGTGCTTCAGACAATTGAAGATGTGCATATCATCAAGCCCTTCAACATCATCACCGGATTTTATCACACTTTCGAATGGGAACTTGGAGATTCTTAATTCTCCCAACACAAATAATTATGAAATTCTAGAAAGGCTGATGGATCTTTTCGAGCTGGTTTATGAAAGTGTGGAAAATTTTAACAAGTTTTACGCCTTTGCCCTGATTGTGGACATGTTTATTGGGCTAATAAATGCCCTCGCGACAGTCTACCAGATAAATCGGGTGACTTATGAAAGCAGTCGGGCTTCCTGGGAAGACACGGTCTTCGTTCTTATCAAAATCCCGATGCATTGCGTCTACGTCCTGCGCCTCTTCTACCTCATCAATCTTGGCGAGACCATGACCACTGAAGGGCTTGGCGTCCTCAGAAGCCTCCAACGCACTAACACCGCCTCAATCCTAAGTGGAGGAGCTGGAGGTGGGGTGTTACTGGCAAAGGTGAACTATTATTTCGTAGTTTTGAACCACTCCTTATCAAATTAAATACATGTACATGGGATAACTCAGCCTTACCTTACTTTTCAGATACAAATGCTTGTCACGAGAGTGTCCCTTAACCCTCCCAGCGTATCTCCTGGAAATTATTTTCGACTTAGTCGAAGACTTTTGGCTTCAGTACGTAGAATTTGAATATTACTAATTTGTATTTAATTTTAACTACGTGTATAAAATTTCAGGTGGTCAGCCTTCTCGCAACATATTTTATCGTTTTAACCGAACTTCGGGAGGAAGATGAAGGTCGCAGTCTCATCCGCAGCTTATTAAAGAATTCGTGTGTTAATAATAGTAATAAATAATACCAACCTTGAAATCTTGTTGTTTCATATTTCAGAATCGTAATATTTGATTAAAAATGTGTTTTTTGGTTTTGGATTCATGACGCATATTGGCAATGTCAATTTGGCATTCGTGAGCAGATGCATAAATAAATGTGTCGTATCAAAATATCAAAGGCGGGAGTGAGATCCGGTTTATTCGTCCGGTAAACAAACCAAGTTCATTCTTGTTCTTGCGGCATTTCTGTTATTTCCGTATTCTCTTTGAACTAGTGGTATTTGCTAATCGTACATAAATTGCATATTCAGCTTATTGTGATTATTTTTTTTGTGGAAATTAGAACAAGTAGCGCAGTGTTATTATTATTGTTTGTGCAAATATGTCGTCATCGGGAGGAAGGCCTACGAAATCATCATCAGGAGGATCTAGGGTACGATTGGAAGATGATCCAAGTATATCAAACGGATTGGGAACGGGTATGAAATTAAAATTTGATTAAACACACACAAGTATGTGAGTTAGATATGATTTTATTAGGATCCAAAAGTAGGACTGCGACCGTGACTCAAAGATCAAAGACTATAGAGGCTGTCCCAACAACACCAACTTCGTCGTCATCAAACATATATAAAAAGATATCAATGAGCAGTGCATATCTACCGTATCAATATAAAAGAGAAGCGAAAATCCCATCTAGGGTTGCGGCACAGCTTCCGTCTAGAACATTAAGTCCAACCCATCGCCCTACACGTTTGGGGTTGGGATCAGCCGTCGGAAATTTGAGAGTGTTTCATATCATCAATAGCAAGAAAGCGTCTATAGTCGTTAATGGTGAGAGAAGAAGGCTAATTCCTGGGAGTTTGAAGAAAGATCAATCACAATCCGTTTCGGCATCAAAGAAAATCACACCTGGTGGCGATTCTGGTGCAAGTGTGACCTCTAGAATGAAAATGCTCACAATTTATGAGTCACCAAAAGCTTCTGGTGGGGATTGTCCACCGGAAGCGAGTACAAGTTGCAGGATCAATCCCACAGCTTCTGTTACTGGGAAAGTATTTCTGACTCTCAATAAGAAAGCCAACTATTTAGCAGCTTTGGATAAAAAAGTGATATTTACGCTGGGGAGTGGAACATCGTTTACGGTACAACCAGGCAAAAGGAACAACGAAGAAGAAAGTCATCGCGCAATTTCAAACTTGTGTCGGCATTTTAGAAACATTTTAGGATGGAAACTTAGTATTCATTTAAGTTGGAAATATGCAGAGGAGAAGATTCAGTCGTGGTATTCAACAACACAACCACCCAATAGATTATCAGTGGAAGAAATCGGCGCATTACTAAAAGTTCCTGCAGATAAGATAAGGAATTTTGAATTTGATCCGGAAATGGAGCACATTTTTACATTGTTGAGAAAAAATCTTTCGCATACTGCATTTCCCAGTAAGTTATTATTAAAGGCGAGTTGCAATTGCATGGGATTGCTCGTTCATGTGTTGCTTTTCTAATATTTTGTTTGTACTATTATTTGTTCAAAATTTAGGTTTCGCCAAACTATTGACTCTTCAAGGTATTCAAAAAGGAGAGGATCAATCCGTATCTCGATTTGTGGCGGAACACTGTGGGATGTATCTTGAAAGTGAAATAGTTGACAAGCACCTTACATTTATTCGGTGAGTTGAAATAATATTAATAAATTACCTAATAATATTTAAGTATAGTAATTAATATAAAATTTGATTTGATTAAATACTTTTTAGGCGGAACGAAGAGATGAAAATGGTCTCTGATAAAGGTGATGAGTCAAAGTCTGAAGTTTTTTGGGAGCAAGTCAATGAAACGTTGGACTTTAGTGACGCCTGTTTTGTCGATGATGGAGGAAAGGGGTACCGTAAAATTTCTACATTTCATCCTGGTAAGAGATAATATACTTGCAGAGTTTAAAATTTTGTGATGTATGTACCACATGCTGTGCACTGGGCGTTTAATAAGTACTACTACTAGACAATCCAATTGTTCTCTTAAGATTGGAATATTTTACAACTCTCAACGTCTCTCAAATCCACAAATCGATATGGTTATGATCTCGTTGGCAAACAACTTGTGCCTCAGCTCATATTGAGTGCATTTGGATTCTTGCCGGTTAGTTCTGAATATTGATAGTAAATAATTAGTAAAAGTCCCAAACAATAAATTTAAACAAACCAAACAATACAAGTTCAATAATATGATAATTTGAATTTACAGAATGAGTGCAAACTTCGTTGTGAATTCACCACGTTTTGTTCAGAACCCCCTGTAGAACCCGGATCACAAATGCCACATGGTCTGATTGATGCCTTTGAGAAACTGCTAGACAACAATTTAACCATAAGTGATGATAAGGTTGTTATTACTCGTAAAAAGTACTGGGAAGAGCGACGGAAACATAATGAAGCTATTGAGGTATGAACGTAGTCTTAAAAAACCTATAGGGCAAGCTTGATATAACCCCAAACAGTAGTCTTATTCGTCCCTTCCTAAAATAAAACTGTGTCGTTCTCGTCAAGCGTCTCTGATATTTGAACACCTTTACCAGTGTTCAGTACTTTACTATGTATGTTACAAAAATATATAGTTATTGTGCATTAATTTTCCCATAAATTCTGAATGAACAATTTAAACATTCGCCGACTTTTCATTTCCACATACTGCATGTGTTCCAAGTTTCATGATCGGATAAATTTTAACCGAGTTATCATATTTAGACAGACGGACATATAAAAATCCTGGCTTGGCTTAAAAATTACTCGCACGCTTATAGCTGGTAATTTTAGTAAAAGTATTGCCAACGTTCTAAAAAAACTAGATAAAAATCTTTACGGGTTTCGATTTTTTAAATCAAATAATTAATCCATTAATTAATATTTTCCTATTAAAGGCAATCATGAACGCGATGGAGGAGTGGATATTTCCTTGGACTTTCCTATTTACTGGCACGATTAAAAATAAATCCATTCAACAAATTATTTCTACAGAGGTTTTATCACATCCAATTCTGAAATCGTGCCCAGATTCACAGAAATTTGCAATTTATCGCCTAACTGATGGATACAATATACTACCCTTGAAATGTCGGAACATTATGGATACCATAGTGGCTTTTATTCTTCGAGTTGATGAAAATGTAGTGCAATCTCTAACCAAAAAAATCATTGAAATTGGATCGTTGATTTCTATAGTTGAACCTCGCAACCCGACTATTATAATTTTAGATCAGGTACAGATCTATTATGCTTAATTATCTTTAATCTCCATACACTGATTAACAATGTGTTTTGTGGCGTCATCCATAAGCTATGCATAACCTCGTAGATCAATTGCTTATTTTGGTGTTTATCTATTCTCAGGATATCGATATTTTACCCTGGGATGCTCTGCCGTGCCTTAAAACCACAGATGTTACAAGAATGCCTTCATTAAATTTGATAAATAGCACGTTACGCTTAACAAAATTTGTTGGAGGGAGCACAAACTGTCGACTGATAGACAAAACAAAATGTACGTTTGTCCTCAATCCTGATGGTTCTCTACCGCAAGTTCAAGCCAGATTAGAGACATATTTCAATGCTAGAAATGCGTGGACATCTGTAGTGGGAAGGTCACCCACAGTTCAGGAGATGCAAAATTCGTTGGAGAATCAAGATATATTTCTGTATGCTTATACATAATTCTAATTATTACACAACTGAATACTTATCATATTTACATCAAATTGTTCAAGGTATTGTGGCCACGGAGCTGGAAACAATTTCTATCCTGAGCACGCCGTCCAGAAGTTGATTTGCCGAGCGATACCAATTTTAATGGGTTGTTCTAGTGCACAGTCGCATTTTACTGGTCCTGGACTTTACGCCTATTCCAGTGTGCATGCTTATTTCACTGCAGGATGGTTAGTATATATCATTAGAACATGTTGGTACATATTCAGTTTAATAGATGTCGTTCAATTGTTATAGTACGAGCATTGTTGGATTCTTATGGGAAGTAACAGACACTGAGTGTGACAGGATTACGGCAGAGTTTGTTGAACGATGGTTACCACATCAATGTGCAGCATTACCGAAAATGCCCCTCTTTGATTCTGACTCTATTCGATCACATGAAAGTAATTTGTCTTCCGCATTGAAAAAATCTAGAACTGCTGCGACACAACTTTTAACGCAATGTGCTGCTGTTTGCTACGGAATTCCAATTGTAAAAACGTAACATATAATGTAATATTCATTGGTAAAGCATGCATTTTTATGATTTCCATTATAATATTCTTTTCGTAGCAAAAGTGTAATCGAATCGACATAGACATTACTATTATTATCCAGTGTTTTTGGTGTCATTATACTTTGTAATTAGTAATGCGCTTAATTTTTTTACTGTGCCAAATTAGAGGAACTGTACATAGTTCTGATTTTCAGAATGTTTAAAAATATGTATTTTTCTATTCACCATTCAAACTGGTATCAATAATAATTAAAATGAAATTCTTTTGTATTTTCATTTTATCGTTCTTGACAAAACTTTTTGTCATACTCATGTCATACTTGAGACACAAGAAAAATGCGTATTATGGTAAACCACCATTTAAGAATATAATTGATCTATTATAATCTATAAAATCCTAATTTTATTATTTACTGCGTTTACATCGGAATGCATATATATATTTATTTATTTTCTAGAGTGGTTACTTGCGGGATTTATGCATATATAATCACGAAATAATGAGGATAAGTTAAAGCTAGAGTATATTTAAATTTATGGGAAAAGAGTTTTCTTCAAGTAAATCATTCTAGACTCGTTGGTGTATCCCTCTCGAACAAATTCAACTTGATAGCCCAAACTTTCGTAAAAAGATTGTGTACCTTGGAAGCTCATTGTTCCAACTGTGGCTGTTTTGCAGTTCTTCGTTTGTCCCAGTTGATGAACTCTTTCCATCAAAAGTTTCCCATATCCTTTTCCCCGATGTTCTGGGCTGACCCATAGTTGATCAGTGTAAATCGATCCATAGACCACAGATCCGTTACATCCACCGATGAGAACATCCTTTTCGGGGGTTGCTGCTTTCTTGTTTCTTATGAAAATCCCGAACGGGTATGCTTCCTCCTTAATGTTCTGAGCTTTGGACTCTTCGTTAATCATTCGAGTTAAAAAGTCAATTTCTGACGTATTTGGAGTAAACGTTGTCGTAATTTCAATCTCGGTTTCAGACATTGTTCTTGAGTAGTAATTGCAAAATTGCAACCTCCTGGAATATAATTTGTTTACTGCAGTGAAAGTGAAGATGTTCGTACTTATTTTAATTGACCGATAAAACACCATTATTATGTTTATATCGCCGAAAGATCGATCCACTGCATTGGGCAAATTTGCATATTGTGCAAAATGCTCAATTGACCTCATCTTCTATGTTCATTCCATGGATGTATATTGGTTGGTATATGATGGTTCATTCAATCTTCAGATGAGATTTTTGCAAATTTTGCAGAATAGAGTTTTTACGATGCATCTCATTCACCATTTTCTACCCGGGAATTTGGCACCATAATGGTAAGAAATTTTTGTAAAACAATAATAACAGCGAAGTAAAAAATAACTTGAAAAATTTTCATTAAGCTACATAGTTTGCTGTGCAAAAATCATAAAATAGTTATTCATCACTAATATTCTGTGAACTAATAAGCTGATTTAGTCAACAATAATCTAAACTATATAAAGCAGGCGAGTGTATCGCTGCTGGCTGGGTCGGTGGCTTAGTTGAGAAGTTAGCCTCCCTTTTCTCTCTCCACTCCGCAGAGAGAACAGGAGAGGCTAACAACTTCGCTAATGTTCGGGCAACGGGCTTATCGATGGCCTATTTTGCACGTCGATTGACGGGCTTCTACACTAGTTGTAGAAATATTTCATAAAAGTTTCATAATTTTCAGACTTCACTATGCTGGAAGAGCATGAGTATGAAATCAAAGGATTGGAGGAAGCCAAAGATTGTGGCTTGTGGTACAGACTTGTCCTTGCTGGAGAAGACCAAATATCACCGCGGCTGGGCCATGGCCTCTTCTTCAGAAACGATGAGAATGGGCGTAAGGTTGTAGTGACCCTTGTTGGAGGCGGAAATCACGATGGTGCCCTTGCCGAGGTTTGGGAGCTCATTCTTTCAGATGAGGAGACTGATAAGGATTCGACAAATCATGTTGTCAAATTACCTCATGTTGAAGGACTAGTCGCAAAATATGAGTTCCTCTGCACCAAAATCTCTACCAAGGTTTTCATATTTGGAGGCGCAGATGCCCATCTGAACTTCAACAACGTGGGATATCTGGAGGACGGAAAGTGGGTGGAGTCTCTCGTAATGGATTCAAGCCCTCAGCCGTCAGCTAGAACGCAAGGTGGCAATTCTGCCAAAATTGGTGAGTTTACGAAATAATCAGGCTCAACTTCCTTTAGTGCGCGTAATAATATAGTACCAGCAACAGGGAATGTGATGTTTAATTTTTTAATTGTTTTGGATCCTATTAGTTGTAAATGAGAAATCCTGGCTCTGTGTCTTTGGAGGCGGACAAGTCGGAGTTGACGCTGTTACTGATGAAAACTTGTATTTGTACGATATTGAGGAACAGGCGTGGACAATTGTTCCAGTTGTGGGCGACATACGGCCTCAAAATACGCAGGGTCACATATTGAGTGCTTTTGGATCCAAGGTACAGGAATACTGATACGGTAGTACTTAGGAGGGGAGCTTGCGAGGTTGATAATAACAGATCTTGGTGCCCTTTAGATATGTGGTAGGGTCCTATGAGTGTATTAAAACCCTGAAGTGGTTTGACTCCATGGCCACATTTGCGCCCGCCACACCCACTCAAAAATGCCCAAAAAACGCTTTCACCCCAGTTTTCACTCACTCAAATCCACGCCAAAAATCCAATTTTAGTCGGATTTTGAAATTTCTTTCACCATTATACTCCCAGATAGTTGCTTTCCTCAATCCAATATCAAACTCAATTTTATTGATGATTATTTCGCAAACATAATTTGTTTTGTTGATTACTACAACAATGCTCATTCAGAATTTTAAATTTTAAAAATACTTAAAATTTCGAAAAAATTGAGTTTGATATTGGATTGAAGAAAGACACTATCTGGGAGTATAATGGTGAAAGAAATTTCAAAATCCGAGTAAAATTGGATTTTTGACGTGGATTTGAGTGAGTGAAAACTGGCGTGAAAGCGTTTTTTGGGCATTTTTGAGTGGGTGTGGCGGGCGCAAATGTGGCCATGGAGTCAAACCACTTCAGGGTTTTAGTACACTCATAGGACCCTACCACATATCCAAAGGGCACCAAGATCTGTTATTATCAACCTCGCAAGCTCCCCTCCTTAGCATACGTTGCATTAGTTTAACGATAATTGTAAGTCCATTTCCCTAGATATTTGTTCATGGAGGACTCAATGGTTCCAATCTTCATGATACGTTGCACATGATTGATGTTGCTGGCGCAGTTCAGACTCCACAAAAGCCATGTTCTTGGCTTCGAATTGATGATGCCGAACCTTCTCCTTCCGGCCGAGCAGCTCATGGAGTCGCTCAAACTCAAGCTTTAGAAGGTCATGAAAAATTTTACATTTTCGGTGGACTAGGGCAATTTGGATGTCTTAATGATTTGTGGGAATTTGACATCAGTTCTAAATCATGGAAGAAATTAACTAGTGAAAACGAAGCAATTAGCCCATCATCCAATAAAATATTTGAACCAAGTCCGAGATTCGGAGCTGCAATGACTTACATTCATGTTGAAAAAGAAACTGGGGATAATTGTAATTATTTAGTTGTATTTGGGGGAATGAATTCAAGTGGAGAAATTTTTAATGATTTGTGGGTTTATAAAATTCCAAGCAGATAGAAATTGCAACGTATAAAAAATTGTATTTAGCCATCTTATTAAATATTTATATCTATTTTTTTTACATCAAATCACACTGATTTGTTTTTATTATAAAAGTAAGTTTTGTATTATTACTGGAGGGTCAATAAATTGTTTATAAGCCACTGAAAATTGAGGTCTGTGATCTAATTAATTATTTCATCCTTAGTTCCTCCAACCTCCCAAAAACGATCCACTCATACTGTCAAGTTTGTATTAGAACGCATTTATTATAAACAACTATCGGTAACAGGTAGTTATATCGGTGTTGCGACCAAAAAATTAATATTCACAAACAAATGCGTCTCTTGCCGTCCTCTAAGAAATCGGTCTGATTATGTGGTGAACACGATGGGTTCGCATTGTTAAATGTGCGATATGTCCCGAGCCCTGCCCGACCTGTCAGAAAAAAGGTCTCATGAATGTATCATGTAAATTACCAAAGTCTGAATTTAGTAACAATCTTGCAACATTACATGCGAGCATTTCTTGTTCATCATCGTCGATCTGTCCTCCTCATGCCAAGAACCCAATAAGCAATATCATTTGTACGAATGGGATATTCATGAAAGAGAGTATTTGGTTATTATGCTCTTTACGCGAATTGCTTGGAGAACAACTCTTATAAAAGTACTTACATACCTACGTACCTATAATGCAATATCCTTCTTGTCCACTCCGGTTTGACCTATAAATTTGCTTCCCAGAATAAATTGTTTCCTCATGACTTGAACCGAACGTAGTGACGGATTAACTTTGCGATGTTATGCATTTCTAATATGATCACTGCCCTTTTTATGCTTTGCTTATTAAAGTCTCCATTGCACGTATCTACATACGTCGACATAACTCTAACGAAACGCTGCTATCGTGACTTTTGGCAAATCCTGTATTCCGTTTGACAGTTGACACGAGTGGCAGTTTGTGGCTTGACATAATTGTGCCCATCGTCTGCTCACTCAAAAAAGGCGTTTTCTTTTAATTACATTTGATACACCTTGAGTTTTGTTTCGCTCTTGGTCATTTCTTGATCAGTGTTACCATATTTTTAATTCTGATCACTAATTACTTGGCTCTCGTGCACTTGGAAGGATACTGGTGAACCAATTGAGTAAACTAAAATTTGGAAACAGTATGACTACTCCAGAGGCCGGTAGCGAATTGTTCCCAAATTTGGTTGTGCTTCAGATGACCAGCACTGTGTCTCACGACGTTGAAATTTCAAACAACGAACACGCCCTATTCAGAAATCATAAGGACAACTTCTTGGAGGAAAAGGATTTATTTTCTCCCCAAGACATGCTGAATCCACACTTGAATGAGTATGAAGGTGAAAGCATTTTTCCAGACTTGATTGAACCTCTTCTTCCACCACACATCAATTATGACAAAGTGAATAAATATGCACCCTTCACAAACGATACTTCCGACTTTTTTAAGACCTTTTACTTTCACCCATCATTCAACAACATTATGTTGCTTGTGGGGCTCGTTACTTTCACGATGTGGGTCCTGCTGATGAACTTGTTGACCATTATCGGTCTTTGGAGGACTCATCGGAGAGGTCACATGGCAGATTTGTACTTGGCTAACTTGGCCGTCGGCGACGCTCTACTTGGAATTCTTGTCCTTCCGCTAATGTCCATCGTCATACTGCTCGGCTACTTTCCCTTCACAAGATTCGTCTGCGACCTGTGGGTCTTTGTCGACTATTACCTCATTGTGGCTGCTAGTTTTGGATGTTGTGCTCTCATGTAAGTCATATCAAGTCAAATTAAGTAAGCATCCTTATTAATCCATATTAGAATGTTATCAGTTAATTTAAACCGGCTTACTGTAACACCTTGATAAATATACACATGCATAGTACATTCAGCAAATAGCCTAACAATATTATTCTATTCGCCAGGTGCAATTATTTGTGGATGATGAAATGGCCAGCAAGTTTCCCGATTACGGCAAAGCATCACACATTGGTGATTTTATTCTGCTGGGTTGCTGTCAATCTTTCTTGGACACCATCGTTTTTCAATGACCGACTTTACACCTCTTATCCTGAAGGACACTGTGGCTTCAGCATCTCAAGGAATCAATATTTTGTAAGCATTCCTTCCTCTCTTTAATACACAATAATATTCCAATAATAATTTCTTTCAAGACATAAATGTAATGTTTCTCTTTTTAATTAGTCATTCTACATTGGGATCAGTGGGTTCTATGTTCCTCTGGCCGTGTCACTAATTTGCTTGGTCTGGTCGCTCACTGGTCTCAAAAAGAAGTCAGGCATCCCCCTGCTTTCTTGGAGGCAAAGTTTTTCCATCGGGCGGAGGAAGAGGGCTGGCCGACTTGTGAATGAATTCATGTAAGCCATTCTAACGCATTTAAGTTACTCCCTCCCTGTAGTCCTCCGTATAGATAAATACTGTCAATGGTGTGAATGGGAATGCAAAAAAGTGCTGCAGGTACGGCAGTGAACCTTTATACGTATGCTGGTTATAAATGATAGATGGACCTTTTTTAAAATTTTACCGGACGCGATTATCGACAGTTTGGACGACGTGGAAGATCAAAAGTCTAGATTTTCCAAAACCGGAGGAGGGACAGGAAAAAAGCTGCCGAAATATTACGGACCTGGGGCTGAAAATGCAGCTCAAGGAGGGTTGGGGGTGGCTACTCGTCCTCAACTGAAAACCTTGAAGCATCAACAGTCCTTCACTAGTGGGAACGACTCCAAAATGATCGCTCAGATGGCAAAGGACCATTATCCATTGGTCGTGTCCTCGCTTGCCTTGTTCATCGTATGTCGCAGCTTGTTTTATGTTTATTTTGGGGTAAGGGTCAGAATTTCACTCTCATCTTTGCTGTGCAATAAATACCAAATACAATTGTGGCACATGATCATCTCATCAGCCAATGAATAGTCCAATCCCTTTGTGTTAGTGCAACTTTCCCGTACTGATTGAAAACTATGCCATAAAAACCCGTTCTAATGAAACTCGTATCGATTCTGTCGGTATAATGATGCAATGTCTCACAAGTAATATGTAAATGTGCGTTTTCAGGTGGGGTCATTCGTCCCTAATTTTTTGCCCCTCGACCTTTCCAACGGTGTTTATTGGCTAATGCACTCGAACGCTGCCATTTCTCCGCTAATCCACTTTGCCTTTGACCCCGAGGTGAACTTCTCAATTATATCATTATATTATCCTGACAATAAGAGTGACACATATTCACTCGTCTTAAACAAAGTCGATCACTTCCACGTCTTGTTCACCCGCATATTTAAGAAATTAATAACTCTTGCAATAACTAGAAAGTCATTATAATTTTCAGCTGAGGGAGGAAGTTGGCACCATGATTGGAATTCGTAGGAACCCCCAAAGAACTCCCGTGGTCCAACCAGAAGTCGTTCTACCATCAATCGTTTCACCCAGCACCACCAAACCAAAAGTTGGAACCATTAAAAACAGCATCAACAATATGAGCAAGGAGTCCACATTTTCAAACTGGTCACATTTTTCTGCAAACAATGAGAACGATAATGACGAAACTCGCCCTTCTGTAATTGAGGTTCCACAACCACCACAATGTTTCACAACGAATGAGAAATTGGGAGAAATGACGAGTGTGGATGTGAACAAGAATCCGCAAATTTTAGATGTTCACAAGTTATCCTTAGAAAATGCTAATGGCGTAGTGCTAAAATGATGATTTTATGTAGACAATTTTAAATACTAAAGCAAGATATACATACACATATGTCCGTACACGTCTGTAGTTAGATATTTTTAAGTGGTCAAATTTTTAACTATTCCTCACCGCTGTAAAATGTGAGGTGAGAATATTCGGAGGTTGATAACAAGAACCACGCATGTGACGACATGACGACACTTTATCGCAATCAAGGAACTAAAATCGCAGCAGGATCGTGAAGCTGGAAAAATAAAATGACATATTCTTTGGACAAGAGGAAGTCTGGGAAATGTATCGGCGCCCAGCGTTCATTTTCATAAAAGTTACTGGGAAAGCGGGGGATTTCTCGAAGCCGATCTATGAACCACTAAAAAACTATTTTGATAAAGGTATTCCTCTCGATATTGAGGCAACAGGAGTGTGGGACGGCAAGCTGTCCTTATCAAAGAGATCAGGTCAAGAGTCTTGCATAAGATGCAACATTGATTTTGCGCCTGAGGACTAAAATCGAAGTGCACACATGACTGAGGAAATGTTAAAGCATTCAAGAGATTTGTATGCCATACATAAATTTCAAAATTATGATTATTGAATATAATAAAACTTTAGTTCATAAAGAAATCTTTGAAAAAATAGAACTAAACTATGTCAATTGTACGTCTCAATCTGCCTCCGAAGTGAATTTGGGCTTGGTTGGCTTGGTTGGATTTGGGCTCAATCTCAATTTGCCTCCACACTCAAACTATTTCGCCTTCTGTCGTTCTACAGTCAATGTAGTATCCGATAAGAACAGGGTATTTTTTTATTGGCATTTAAGTAGCATGTAATTTTTGCAAAATTAAGAATGTTACTGAATATTACTGGGAAATTGTTCTACAGTTTTAATTTTGCACTCATCCTCAGTTTTTTTAGGAAAATCATTGTAATCACACAACGTCCTTGTCCTAAAGAAATTTCCTCCCCTTCCATTATTATCCCATTGTCTCCACACCTCAGTCATCTCCAATATTTTGCCATAATTGCATTATTAACGGACCTGGAACATGAAATAGCCTGACATAACTTAACATTCCCCGGTTTGCTGCGTGCAAGTAAATTCATTGTTTTTAAGTGTTAATAAAACAATAGTCCTACACACATATTTTAGTGCATATTATCCAGCTCGTTATTTATGACCAGTGTTATACAAGCTGTATCAAAGCTGTACATAGTTTCCATTCAGGTTATTATACAATCAGTGGCAGGCTAGAGCACCGTCGCATAATATAATGGTACACATGCGGTTCCCATTTCACAACAAAAGGAGTTATGGAGCATTACATCAAATGAAGTGGGTTGCTGAATGATTGCTTAGTCGCACATGTAACATAGCTATTAGATAATAGTGTGAGTTTGTCTGTGACAAAAATACAGGCTCAAGGATTTTGAGTTTTGCCCAGTTAAACCTAGACGACGCGTAACAATCTCTGATTTTCTTTGTGATAAAGAACATCCTTTCTCTGATTTAGTTTACTCCTCAGTAATTTCACTACCCATGGAACAATTTTATATCTTGCTGATATCATAATGATAAAAAAATGATGACCTCTGTATATCCTGAGGATATCAATTCATGTCCGTAACATGTCAGTGTATGTCCTCTGCGGATCGCTATTTCGCGACTTTTGATATCGCCTGGATGCTCTTGTAGACATCGTAGCGATGTAATTTAATGACACGGATTCGAGCTCCATTGGATATCCTTGATATATCTCATTGATATCAGTTAATGATGTCATATTGATGTCGTAATGATATCTAATTATGTAATAGCTTTTATCACATACCTTTTATTCAGCTTTTAAATATCAATTAATTATTAACTAATTAATAATTACAATAAACAAAATCAGCAACATTAGTAAACAAATTTACGCTGAACTATTCTTTTTTGTTTTGAGTCGATCACTGGCGTGCTGGAACCACGAAATCATAGCTTTAGAAATTTCCTTCTCGGTCACGTCAGGAATTTTATCCATCGCTGAATCTATTAACAAATTAATAAGTGTAATCGATTAGTGAGTAGAATGACTTATTTTGATTAGATAGATAGATTAATTCTTCAACAACTTACCCGACATCACTTTGAAGCTAACCGTGGCTGAGAAATTGTAATTTCCCTTGTATCCTTTGAGACTAATGTCAAGGGCCAGTTTATCGGTAAATAACTTTTTCAGCATTCCACTGACGACTTCAGGAACCTTACCCCCTACTCCACGTACTAAATGGCATTTCTGCAAAGGAATAGAAACACTCAGATTAAATGTATATATTTAATTTTACAAATATAAATGAACTTACCAATTTTAACTGCAACTCATCATTATTAAGTAAGGACTCGTCAAAGGTAGTAAACTCATCCAATTTCTCAAAAGGATTCTTAATTATTGGTGGGCCCTTTGGAGCAGAATCTTTGGTTAGGATATTGTCCAGCTTCTTATCGATGTTATTTAACGTGATTTTGATGTTGGAGACATCTTGAAGCAACTTATTCCATTGTTCTGTAGTGAATATCAATGCATAATTAATAAATCGGTAAAATATTAATACTAGAACATTTTAGAAATTCCTAAATATTACCAGCCTGAATATTTGTAACGAAAATGGGTGTTGACGTGTCAGAAATCGTCCACTCCAGTCCTCCAATTGCATTATGGGAAACTTGATTATATTCTACGTCCACTCGCAAAGGTGCAGGAACAACTGTATTGATGGCTGGTGGCGTATCTGCAATAAACAATTGTTTATTAACTCACAAATACCTCTGAATACAAAGTTGTAAATATTCGCACCTTCATTTAAAAGTGACGAGGTGCCACCCCCATCTCCAAAAGAACTCGTTTGTCCTCCTGCCGGTAGATCGGCGTCAGGACCGATATGTTCAGCTTCTAAATAAAAAGTTATCACGGGACCAAGCTTATTAGTTAAATAACCATTAATAATTATTAATTACCTGGTAGATTTAGTAATGGCATCGGAGGGAGAGTGGACATGTCGGCTGAATTTACATTTGAGGATCCAATTGGCCGAACAACTTTAGCTACAGCAATATAAATGGTTATAAAAGTTGACTATTGTAAATAAAAATATAATTATATTTAATGTCACCTTTTTTAACAACTCTCTCGTTCTCAGAATCGTCACTATCTCCGTCACTTCCAGCTGGCATTGGTGGTTGTCGGATTCTCGCTCTCTTATTTGGTAGGTCATTATTTTCAGCGCCTGATAAATCCGACGTTTGTTCAGCAGCAACTATTTTTTTACGAGCCTCATCATAAGTTTCTAAATTGAAATCCAATTAAATAAATAAATAAAAATAAATCAGCCTATCCAATCAGTCTTTAGTAAATGAAACCAACCATAAGCATGCAGGATTCTTGCATCATATCTTGGATAAGTTTGTTTAGGAGGCTTCCCTGACTTGACAATTGTGGCTGCATCTTTTCCTTTTGGCCAAGCCGACTTCCCTTCATGGAAGTAAGACCTTGGTACAATCGCCACCCAGGCAGTTCCGGCATCCGTCATCTCCACAATATAGAACATTCTGGGTAACTAAAGACGAGACAGAATAAAAATAATTAAGTAAATTAAAACATTCAAACATGTGTACATATGTACATTCAAACATGTACATATCTACCCTTCAAAATTGATGAATCAATGGGAAAACGGCCGATCCACCGGAAGTGGGAAACACCTGGCACTTGTACAAAATATCCGTTGTGGAAATTTTGCTGAGTTCGTAGTCTGGTTCACCAGCAACAAAAATCTGAATAAGTTTTGACGAGCACGGTTCAGTAAAAAGCGATCGAAGGTTTTGATATTTGTAGCCAATTAAAATAATCACTTCACTGCTAACTATTTGTAATATATTTACTACTCGAAAGAGAATGTTTTCCTTCGTCAGACAAAATGTGTCACGGTAAAGTTTGCAATTTATTTTAAAGTTTAAGCTGCTGAAAGTCGTAAATTGACGGAAACTACCTATAATATTTCCTGTAAGTGGACCGACTGAGTGTTCGTTGGAGAGGCACGAGGAGCTGACTTGGTTAAACTCCAACTTTAAATCTTTCTCCAGTAGCCGGCGCTTGAGCTGTTGTAGGGGTAAATTGGGAGTACGAACAAGTTTTCTTAAAGATCCCAACTTGTTCTCAAATTTAAATGCACTGAACTTATCCAAGATTCCAAACCTTTTTACATCTTCCGTCAAGTGAACAAGTCCATGAATATTATATGAAACCCTATCTTCACCATATATCGATTTAAAACCTTGCACAAAATATACTAGTAATGATTTTGCATAGCTATTGTGGCTGACATGAAGTTCCGATGAGCATAAGATACGGATAGCAATCGATAAGCTTAAAAATAGTCTGTAGTTGTCACTGGAAATTATTCTCTTTAATATGATCGGACCCGTGTACAGCAGAAAATGTCTGAATTCCGTTGCTTTCCATCTATCAATTTCTTCCAGTGGCCTCGGTTTTCTTGAAAATTCAGATGGAGTAAATTTACGACTCTCCTTTAGTTTTTCTGAAATTTTTGATATTTGAAAACTTGAAAGTTTTTGATCTTTAGGCTTTCCGGTAGTCCATAATTTAAGTAGCTTTTTTACAACTCCAAGGCAGACAAGATGCATATAGTCGATTGGGAAGCCATTTATCATGTCAAATCTTGGAATTTCTGTCAAGCATGTTGTGGAAGTATGATGGTCTGTGTCTTTGAGGTTTCGGAAGTCAGAATCGCTCCGCAAGGCCTTATTAGTATCGAAATAACTCATTCGACGATTAATACTCTTTCCCACCACGTAACACTTATCACAGCCATGATATCCATTATGTCCTTTAATCGCTTTAATGAATGATTTTGCTGGAGCATCGCACACAAAACACTGTACTTCTAATTTACAACTTGTATGAATCAGTTCAATTAGCTCACGAATAAACTTTTGAAGGTAATTGTCAACACTTTCAGGTTTCTTGCTACCACAGTACGCTCCGATTACAAATGGCTTACATTCTAATCCACAAAAATATCCTAGAATTGGCCAAAATGCTAATTGGCAACTTTTATAAATTTGGAGTCCATCAATATTTACTTGTAGTTGTAAACTGGTTAAATTTGGGCGAAGTTGAAGTATTTGTCTGACATAAGGAGTTAACCCAAAATGCACATATTCACCCGGTGGAACTATTTCGGTAGGTACACAAATATCTAATTGTTTAATAAGTGTTCTGCTATCAGCTGGGAATATAGAAAAACAATCGTGAACCTTTAAAATTTTCAAAAGCGCTGTTAGTTGAGTGTGATTCACAGAGTGTTCGAATGCCCACGATTTCAAATTCTCCAAAATTGATGTAGCACTCGCATCTGGGGGTGGTTGAATTACTTCCGCTTGATCACTATCATCACTACTAAATTCAGGAGTAATGTCGTCGAAACTTTCAGAAGCACTTGAACCAGAAATATTATATGTTTCCTGACCTCCATGATATTCTAAAACTATGGCGGGTTGTATTAAAGTGGGGGGTGGCGGTTGGCGAAATGTATTAATGGATACTTTTTTAAATTCTTGTTTAGCACGTTGTAATATACGTCTCTTTCCTACAACGGTTTTTCGCATTATTAATGAGACCGGAAATATAGAATATTATCTACTACAGAAAAATTAATTGGGATGGTGCAATACCCCGCACCCGATTACAAAGTTGGGCTGTTTTGATGTCAGAAACACGTCATAAATCTGATATCAGCTGAAGATGTGATTCTGATATCATTAGTTTGTCTTTTTAATGATATCATCAGCAAGTCAGTTAAGTGACACATTTAGGATATCATGACGTCACACATGTCTGCTATAGATATCCTATGGACATCAATGTGATATCCTTAACTAGATATCAGTCGACGTCTTAAAATGACATGTGGAAGATATCAGAATGATATTCTATGTTTCATGGGTACTGATACCCATTCTGTATGCATATACTGGAATACACGAAAACTGCATTAAGTTCTGCGGAGGAACCTGCAAAAATCTTTTAATTTCGCCTATTGTATCACGTTCGTTGCGTGCCTCATGAATATTTAGGGTTTCAAGTTTGCATGCAAGCAACTATTTTTTTCATCCTTAATTTGCATTAGCAGAATTGGCCTAGCTGTCTGTGCATACAGGATGATGAGACTTTTTCCTTTACATTTTCTGGCTCTCATCAGTCTATCAACGTGTCTCGACGTACATAAGGTGAAAATGGCTGCAGCTTTTTGTGATTTCTTAATCACGAGCAAAGTGTGTGATTCAGTAACTACGGATACACTGCAATAATTCTTATTAACCTTTTAAAAACGGATTCCACCAATAAGGTGGAGGGCGATTTCGATCTCTTGGCGACGGACTACACCAATAAGGTGTAGGCCAAATTTTTCGCCTTAGCGACGGACTACACCAATAAGGTGTAGGCCAACTTTTTCTCGTTGGCGACGGATTCCACCAATAAGGTGTATGGTTACAGAATTCCGTTGAGGCCGGGCTACATCAATAAGGTGTAGGAAAAAATAAAAATAAAATGACCGAGAAAATTTTCTCAGTTCCATTCTTTCCTCCTTATTTGTCGTTAGTTTTTCTTCAAGCCTGAACTAATTTTTTTAGAGTTTAGAGTTGTAGTTGTAGTGGGGGGAGGAACTCGGAGGAAGTGCATCAGAGGTCACGCCGCGCCCCCGAAAAATTATCCAACATTGGCGCCGCTAATAAATTGGTCGGCGTTGACCTCTGACCTGTATCATGTTGTAAATATGATACAGTTCATATTTTTTTTTAATTATCACAACGTTCTCTTTAGCTAATATATTCGCAATAGTGTCACCACCGATCGGAACAAGTCACAGAACACTGAAGGACAAAATTATAGCTAATAACTTGTTTAAAATATAAAATGCATCCCAAAATCAGTGTCATCAAATTGATGACATGAATGATGACGATTTATTCGTTTAGTTTATTTTTGTAGTACTATCAAAATCAAATCCGATTTTTTTATCAAAATTAATATCGTGTGTTCATTTGTTCAGTTGCAATTTCATGTTAAAAATGTATTATGTTATAATTTTTGTTGTCGAATCAGTTCCAGGTCTCTAATAAATCATAACTGCATCAGTAGAATATTCAAAATCGGTTTGCATTAATTCAGTCCCCAACTGATTTTATCACCGCCCCACAAGTCGGTCTCAATGGTATGCTGCCCCCCAGTAAATCCGCCCCCAAATGCAATAGAAACCATTTTTAATTCCGTTTTTAAATGGTATCCAGGTCAAAATTAATTAGTTTTTATAAGGTTAATCAACCTCTGCATGTATACATGTACTTACATGCAGCCACAGCTTACCTTGATTGTGATGTGATGTGGTTAAGTGTAAAAGTGTAATTTGTTACGAGAGTTAATGTACTATTTATATCAAGCCTCATGGGCTAATTTCATTATTTAAATTTAATATCTCCTGGATTCGATAAACCTAATTTGTCACTGTATTCATACAGTTAGTCCAAAAGCAACAAATCAATGGTAATTTTGATAATAATACTTGTATTCGTCGCCAGACAGTAGACGTATTGGTAGACGTAGGCATCAAATTTGTGGTAATTATTTTGGATTAAAGTTAGGAAATTTAGAGTAGTTTTTATTATTTACAAGCGTGGAAAAATATGTTATTTTCCTTATTTTATTGTAGACAAAATGTCCATGCAGACGTTTCGATCTATCATTTCGTGTGTGTACAAAAGGCGTTAGGACATGGTTTTGACGAATTCGCGGGTGAATATCTCTGGCAGGGAGTTGAATTTTGAACTGATTTTTGGTCAGTTGCAAGATAATACTCTCAAAAAGATATATTTAAAATTTTAGTCCGATAGCTTTATAAATGCCCCCTCCAGTGCCCCTAGAGTTGGAAGGAGCCAAAAAAACACTTTCCAAACTGATTTACTCATATAGCATGATAACCTAAGAGGTCAGAGGTGAATGATTGTTAATATTACAACTCTAGATAATCATTGCATGTAATAATAAAAGAATCTACATGAATTACAAAACGTTGGGCCTCCATCGTCGCTGATAATTTTTCATGAAAAGTGGTAAATCGGACCGTGCACAGGAAAATTGACCTGCTGACCTTGAAAGCGGACCCACTCGGTCAAATGAAGGTTGAGGGCAAAGTTCTAAGTGTCCCAAGTCACATTAAATTAAACAGTGAAGATTTTGTGTAAACAGTTTTGGAGAACGACCCTAGCTAATCAGCTGACGGGGAATAGTAAAAAACTCGTGAACTAATTTGGGAAAATAATCGTCAAATTTTGTTGAAAACAAATTTTAATAACTTTTTTGTGCCCCCTACTGCAGAACTATTTTATCTACAAGGTACATGTGACAAAATAATAAAATTATTGCGTTTTGGTTAGTTAAATTATTTCTGAAGTTCAACATCGAAAACGACGGGAACTTTTCCAAAAATTTTATAAGGTCTGATGAAAACTCAGCCCGTGTGGTATAACCACTTATCAAAATTTTGTCAAAAGTACTTACAGTGCAATATACTATATGCACCTTGGATAAAAACCACGTTAGGGATTTTTAGCATCAAAGTCGTAAAATGTGGGGGCCTTAAAAGTCGAGGAGTTGCGTTCACGAGAGCATTCCATTAGGACAAGTATGAAGCTAGACTACAAGAGGGACTTAAAAGATAAGCATGATACAAAAGTGGTTTTATATAGTGAAAAGCATGCTAAGTCCCTTGATAATAGTTGCAAAGACGATTTTTGCACCAGGACCTCAGAAAAAAATATTTTGTTCAACGCCATTTTATAAGAACGCTGGTTTGGAAAACTAAAAACGGACACCTCTCCAAATTTGACCTTGCCTCATTTCGCAGAGTACACAAAATCGGAAGCCAGATATGTTTATCTATAGTTTAAGACATGGGCTTTCACATAAAAAATGTTAGAAATCTCTACAACTAAAAACCATCCTGCAATTAAGGTATGAATTCGTCAAAACCATGTCCTAACGCCTTTTGTATCTATCTACACATGTATGTATCTCCACTTACATGCATTTTGGTCATTTACATCCAGACTTGCCACAAACCGGAATTGACAAATTTGTATTCTAAAATTAGAGTAATTTCTCACACTTTGAGGTAAATGTACTCATTACTATCCATTATTATAATGTGCATGCACATTCCTTGACTTTTCCACTCACTTGTTAGTTATCAAAGTGTTAAGGTCAATTTTGAATCAAATTATTTTTGGACATGTAACACAATTAAGGCATATAACATCTAATGAGAAACAAGTTTGAAAAGTTTTTCCAGCAATTTCACAGTGAGAGAAGGGACAAGATCTTTAATATATTTGGTATATTTCTAAACGATTCACCAATTTTTCACAGTGCCCCCGGAAAATATCTCGGCACTGATTTCTATAATATCGCTGACCACTCCGGCCACCCAAGAAATCGCCACATCATCAGAAAACATGGATGACAAAACTCTGTATCCTGCGGGCAATGGTAATAACGGAAACCTGACCAGTTCTGGTAGTCCGTCGCAGTATGATTCTGGCGAAATGGCGTGGCTCATGGCATGCACAGCCATCACGTGGATCATGAGTACAAACAAGCACATGTTATTTTTCAAATTTTTTGACTTTGACAAATTGCCAAATTCTAATTATTATGAAAAATGTGTAGTTCCAGGAGTGGGTTTTTTCTATAGCGGCGTGGCACGGTCCAAGAGTTCCCTCAGCCTTCTCATGATTTGTCTATGGACATGTGCCGTAGTTAGCATTCAAGTAAGCACTTAATGTTAAGTAGATAAAAAATTGACGATGACGGTTTGAGTGGTCATTGAGGAAATTGATTATTGTCCTTGCAGTGGTACTTGATCGGATTCTCGTTATGTTTAAGCACGAAAGGGAATCCCATCATAGGTATGCTGGACGTGATATCAATGCTATAATTGTTCTCACTATTATCATTATTAAATAACAAGGTGGATTGGACCACTTGTTTCTTGCCAATACTGACCAACCTTATCCCGGCAACCCGAAAATCCCCACGCTTCTTGTAAGTATTTGGTACGGTCTCTTTGCTGCCATCACGCCCACCATCATTTTAGGAAGCGTCGCCGAAAGGACGCGGTTCCTTCCCACCATCGTGTTCATTTTTTTCTGGACCACTTTTTGCTTCGATTTTTTAACGTACTGGACCTGGAACCAAAATGGGTGGACATATGTCTTGGGGGCGTTAGATTTTGGCGGTGGTACTCCAGGTATCCGTACTCCAGTTAAAGCAGTCATTATCGGAAATAATTCATGGTAAATTCTGTTATATAGTTCACTTGTCTACGGGTGCAGCGGCTCTTGCATTTGCATATATGGTGGGAAACAGGAAAGACCCGACCGAAAAACCACCCCACAATATGACAAATGTCGTTTTGGGGACAAGTTTTATCTGGTTTGGATGGCTGGTAGCGAATGCAGGTTCTGGAATTTCGCCAAACTTAAGAGCAGTCACTGTTTTTGTTACTACAAACATTTCGGCATCCATGGGTGAGGCGATAATTTGCCATTTAATAATTTTCAATACTTCATACGTAGTACAAAATTTTTCAATTTTTTTCTAGGAGGAATCACTTGGGGGATTTTGGATTACATTCGTCACGGCAGAAAGTGGTCGGCGTTGGGATTTTGTACAGGATCAATATGTGGCTTGGTTGCAATTACACCAGCGTCAGGGTAGATATTTATTATGAAATTTGTAAAAAATGCATGAAATGCATCCTGAGTAAAATTGCACCTGATTTTGTTCTCAGATACGTGTCACCCACTTCCAGTCTTGTATTTGGTGTAGTTGGGGCCATCATTTGTCATTTTTGTATGGACTTTAAGGGATTTTTATTACGAGTCGAGGTTGACGATTCCTTTGACGTGTTTTGCGTACATGGTATTGGAGGCGTTGTTGGCAACATTCTCACGGGAATTTTCGCTCAGAAATCTATCGCGGGGGTCGATGGAAGTGTAATTGAAGGCGGATGGCTGGACGGTAATTGGAAACAGGTTGGAATCCAACTCATTGACACGGTGGCCGGCATGGCGTGGAGTTTCTTTGTAACGGCCCTTCTGCTTTTTATTATCAATAAAATACCCGGACTTCACATTAGAGCTGATCCCAAAGACGAGAGTGAAGGGTTAGATCAAGCCGAGATGGGTGTCAACGTAAATGAGTATATTGAAGAAATAAAATCAGCTATTGTGATGACCGCAAATAGCACGACCACTCGGATTACGGTAGGTGGGAGTGACAATATTGGGCTCCGAAAATTGGAACTTCATAACAATGGCGAAATTAGTAAAGACAAAATGCAAGAAGTGAATGACGAAACCTCAGAAAATGCGATAGAGACAACAGGAAATTTGTAGTAAATATTCATTTTATTTCATGGATAGAATACAAAATCCATTTTATGTAAATGACGTCCTATTAATAAACTTTCAATTTCTTATGGAAGATGGTATGCGCAAATTGAATCTTAACAATCGTGTATTTTGTACGATAAAAATCTCTTCCACCTCTAGAAGAAATCCAAAAGCTAAACTAATAATCACGTAATTGGTAGAAAAATTAGTAGAAAACTAGAAAATAATATTTTCTATGCATTAGTAGTTAATACTGCTATATTGATAATAGTATCATGTCAAAGTTAATTAGTAATATCACAAGTTATGAACTAGCACAGTCAAGGTTTTAGATACATCTTGCAGTCTAATCTGCAGTAGTAACAAAAATAATAATTGATGATAAACTGATACAACCCCAAGATTCCTATGCAAACACAAACCACACAATACGCTCCACGGAAAAACGCTAAAATATTTAGGAACCTTAGACAACCGATTTCTTTCCCGACAGTAGAAAATCAGAAAACTATTAGGGCAGTCCCAAATTAGAAACAAAATTATTTTGGAATACTTGATGACTCTTAAAGAAATTATCTAGCTTATAGTAGCCGTAATCAAGCTGGTCCATGAAATCCCAATACCCGTTGTCGTTTTCTGTTGGCTCTCTCTCATTTAACTGTAGTCCTGACCAAATATATTGAGAATCTGCTGCTGTTGTCAGGTTTCTTTCAAGAATGAAGTTCTTTGCATCGTCATGAATATTACATCCTACCAAAATATTTCTCACTTCAACGACTTCCGTCTCGTCGATTGGAATGATGCTGCTCCGCAATAATTTTGCCGTGACTTTCTGTTCTGCTAAATATCGTTCATTCCAATCCAATCCAAAAATCCGGATCCACTCAATGTGGTTAAGATGGATAAGATTATGGACCATTCTGACGGTGATAGCTGACTTGAAGTCTTGACGAACCCGGTGATGCTCATCCTTGTATATAAGAGCACATCGTCTCAAATTTGGAAATATTGTCCCGAAATTATTCCCAAAGTTGGCAGGCCAGAAACAGGTATCCAAAAATAAGTCAGTCAAATGGGGTTTCACAGTTTTCGGGGGCACTGTCAATACTACCTTGTACAAAGCCAAGTGTTTCAGATTTTTAGAAACCAAGTCAGTCTTCATATCCAATTCCGTTGGACTATGTGGAGGTGGAGCATTGTTGCACGCACTTTTCTTCATGTTTTCCCACCAAGGGCATACAACCCAGCAACAAAACGACTGAAGCGATGAGCACTTTCTGACAAATTCTTTGACGTCAGTTGATGACAATGCCCAAACGTTATAAAACAGGAGTTCCTTTAAATTCTTGCACGGAAATCTTGAAAAGTTAGGAACGTCGGTTTTCATGAGGCTTAATTTCAATATTCCGCTCCATACACCCGACAAAATTAGGTCCGAGTCGTTCCGGAATCCAATAGCAATTTCCTTATTATTTTCGTTCATTCGGAGCATTGTTACGCCATTAATGATAATTTTGATTGACATTTTACTTCTTTGAACATTGTCCCACAATTCTTCCAAGTTGATTTCCTTGTTTAAATATTGGGAACTTTTCCGATAAAACAAATATCTCTTAATGTCAAAGGACTTTTCGAATCTTAGAAGCTCGCGTTCATATGCTTTCCTTCCACCAGTGCCAATATTATATGGCAAGTTCAGATCCAGTATAATTGTTTTGAGGTTTTTGAGCACCACTGTGGGATAATCGTGATTATTACTCAACGTCACATCCTTTAATCTGATTTTGAACGTAGAATCCAGAGCTTGTTCGTCATTATCCGCCAAATGGTGTACAAAGTTCTCCCATGACTGATATACACAATTACTTTTATCGTAAAATAAACTTGCGGTAGAATCCAAAGTATCTGCGCTAGGTGCTCGCTCAAGTTTTCGGTGCAATTCTTCAGACGACAAGTGCGGATCTGCTGAGTGTGTAGAAGCGGTTTGTACGTTTGCATTCTGAACTGTAGGTGTAATCAAACCACGAAATCAAGTATACATACACATGAAATCAATTTAAATATATTACAAACTTTTAAAAAATATACCAGTGTGTGTGTGCCTTTGTTTGGATGCAAATGTGTGAGTCATGGAATGGAAAATTGACAATGTTGTATCTCCCACATTGTTTCCGACTGTAGAATCTTGAACTTCAGCTCTTGCAGTACGGATAGTTGCTGTTGCATTAGTCTGAGCTTGTGTATCAATATGTGAGATTGGAATGATCAGGATGCCATTGGGTGTTGTGGTAGCAGTGGCATCAAGGGCTTGATCGCTAATATCCATATTATGAGTTGATAGGTTTTGTAAAGTTGTGGCCAGCACCGGCGAACGATAGACTCTTTGATTTGTGTTAAAGGAAATTGTGGGTTTCGCAGTATCCGAGGCAGAAATGTAATCATAAATTTCAAGTCGTTCTTCATTGGTCAGAATCTGTGATGGTTTAACAACTTGTGCGATTTCTTCAGAGGTCATCAACGGAAATCGTACTAATGAGATTAATGGGTTTATTATTTCCCGAAGTTGTGCAGCATTAGGAACAGGCTGTGACTGACCCTGTGGGATGTCTTCTAGATTCCTTTGAAGTTGGTACGTTCCCCACCTACAAACAATACAACGTCACATTTACAACAATGCAACAAGCTTGCATATTTAATATTTAGTCATTATCATTACCTCAATACGGAATTAAAAATGTCGATTTCTGAGGAATTGAGATTATCGCTTTCCAAGAGTTTCAGCAACTCGGCATTTGTAATGTTGAAGAAGTCATCCGTTGCCAAAATAGATCCGGAGTTTCTATTATAATTTATACGTTCAGCATTCTTACGTTATTCAGCAATTTCTGATATTTTCAGCAAACATGTAATGATAATATGTATGTCTATTTAATAATAAATGTCACCTAAAAATATAACGCAGCGACGCTTCCACCAAGTCCGCTATGTTATATTCAACGGCCTTCCTCCAGATCCTAATAGCATTGGGTACTTTCAATCGTTTCTTCAAAGTTGATCGGCAAGTGTTGAATAGATCGCTAGTGGGATAATGTTGATGAAAATTCAACAACCCAAATATGTTGCTTTCACTAATTCCTTTCTTCAGGTCACCAACCATAATAAACTAAAAAAATACAAAATACAACATTAGATAAGCATACTAGTAGATGTTAGAGACATGTCTTGTCTATGTCATATCAGAATCAATACTCGAATAATATCTCATACGTGCAATGCATGACTTAAAATCCCAGGGGTCACGTCGGGTAAAAGCACCTCGGTTGCAGTGGGAGGCAAACCATCGACAATCCTCGCCAACCCGTCAGATCTTAGGGCGATCAGAGTAGAAGCAACAGGTACTCGTATCTCTTTGTCTCCTTCGCGTGCGATGAGAACAAGATCAGCTCCATTACCCGTTTTTAAAACATATGCCAATATCTTGGACCAGTAACTCAGGTTTGCAGTAGAATTAAAATGCTTCTTGTTAACATTTCGTTCTGCCGCTACTGCCAGGGGCCGTTGACCGTCGTCGTCTCTTGCGTTCCTATCTGACATGTTACGTGAATAAGATGCTCAAATTGGTGGCAGTATTGACCGTAGTCGTTTCCGTCGCCCAGTATCTACATCCTTGTCATATAGTGGCTTTGCCTATGGCCTGAGCTCAATTGTCCCAATTGTCAAGTTGTGTAGTGAATCTGCCTGCGTCAACAAAAAATAATGTAAGTTTGCATGCAAATTGGTTCACTTTAGTTGAATTTGGGTGGAAAAAATACTTATACTGACCGATATTTATGCATAATTAATTAGCACCTAATTATTTATTTTATTGGAGGCTATATATTTAACTGGGTTTGGATTACTTTGGATTGGATACTTGTGTTGGTTTGATTGAATCAGCTTGATTTGTTTAGCAGAGATTTCCTTTTTTGGTATCGACGTTGTCAAACGATTTGGGGTATCGTGATAAAAATCTCAATATGTGCAAAGAGAGTGCGGTGTCAAAAAAATATGTAATGATAAATTTCTTCCAAAAATTTGTTATATTTCTTGTAAGCTGATAAGACCACAAAATGGCGTCCCGAACATATGGCGATAAGCCTATTAGCTTTCAGCTTGAAGAAAATGGAGAGTGGTTTTGTATTGGCTCTGAAGTAATATATTTTCCACAATTTCAACTTGAAATTTTCAAGTTATTTATTGAATTATTAAAAAACATGTTCTAATTTTAATGAATTAATTGGTGTTACTGCACTTAGGTTGGAAACTACCTCAGGTGCTTCCGTGGTTCGCTGTATAAAAAATATCCAGGTCTGAGTCGCCGAATGCTCAAAAATGATGAAAGAAAAAAGCTAGGAGAACTCGGTAACTACATTAATTTAGGAATTAGGATTAAACAAAACAAACTGTATATATGTTAATATGTAAATGTTTTTTAATGTCAAATTTTAGGGTTAAGTCAGCACATTCAAACTTCAAACATTTCACTACTAAGACAATCAGAAGTGGAAGAAATTATCGAAGGGAATGATGAAAAGTATAAATCATCAACCCTTGCCGTTCCCTCCATGGACGCAGGTCCTGGAAAGTACAGGAATTATTATTTTTAATTAATAAAATTCATTAGCATCAAGTTCATGTAAAAAAATTAAGAAATAGTATCAAGCTGAAATTGTGTTGTATTAAAAAAGGGATCCAAAAATCAAGAAACCAGTGCATTATGTGCCGCCCTTACCTACATCTTCGCATTTGGACGCAGTCCCCCAAGCAACTCCGATTCAAAGGTCTAAAGCAAAACGGGTCCCAATGTTTCCATTTTGCCTTGAGGATCAAGATGCGACTTCCATGTCAAATAATGCAGCTGTGAAGGAACTATTAGTGCCTATAAGGTAATACATATTCTGAATTTGCGCCTATTGTTTTTAGTAATATTACTGAATTATATACTTTTTAATTTATCTTAATTATGCATTATTATGATGTTATTCATAGATTAGATATGGATATAGAAGGACAAAAACTAAGAGATACTTTCACTTGGAACAAAAATGGTATGTGATTTTGGCTTAATTAATAATAGGCCAGAAATGTCATCACCTTTGATTTTCAGAAGCACACATAACGCCAGAACAATTTGGTGAAGTTTTATGTCATGATTTGGATCTAAATGCACAGCACTTCGTCCCTGCAATTGCACAGTCCATAAGACAACAATTGGAATCCTTCCCCGTGGATGCTGAAGATCTCATACGGCAACAATCAGATCAACGGGTTGTAATCAAGGTATCATAATGACACATTTTGATACCATCCCATGTTGCGGCAAGGGTATTGGCAATTTTGCATCTATTCGCACCCCCCGGGGTCCACTTTATCCCCGAGGGGGTGTGGGTCAGCGAAATTTGACTGACGGTCCCTCCGACTCTTAGGACGTCAGAATATGTCAAAATATTTGCAGAAAGAGGTCCGGGGAATAGATGCAAAATGGCCAATACCCTTGCCGCAGCATCCATTCTAAATGAGACTCTTTATTAGATGTTAACGACATGCGTATTTCAATTTTAGCTCAATATTCATATCGGAAATGTGTCACTTGTTGACCAAGTTGAATGGGACATGTCTGAAGTGCAAAACTCACCGGAAAAATTTGCAACCCGCTATTGTTGTGAATTAGGTCTTTCTGGAGAGTTTATAACCGGTATAAATATATAAGGATTTTTATCGATCATACCCAAAAATTTATTCATTCAAATACAAACTTTACTTATAATGATTTTATTATCTGTCATAGCTGTTTCATACTCTATTCGTGGTCAGCTATCCTGGTTTCAGAAGACCTATGCCTTCAGCGATAAACCTCTCCCAACAATTGGCATGCCTTTCAGGTACTTTAAACCTTTACTTTGTGTAAATAAATAAACACATTTCATTATGCCCTGCAGACATCCATCCGAATGTGAGGGGTGGGCCCCATCGATTGAAATATTGAGTGAAAGTGAGATGGACAAGAAAATTCGCGATCTTGACCGAAACACAAGGTAAGTTATAAACCACGAAATTAGACATTTAGCTTTCATGATAATAATTATTTAAATGGGTTGTTCAACAACGTTAGCTACTTTTGTACAGAGCTTTTTAATTAATTAGTGAAATCAATTAATTTGCTAATTAATTACCAATTTTCAGCTAATTAACAATTATAAATTAGTTTTAATTACCTTACTAGAGTAATTAAACTGAGTCAATTATAATTAATTAGTTTCGTGATATTTTAACCAATTAATTAATTAACTAATTAATTACTTAATTTTTGAGATTTATCTGGTTTGCGCTGTTTCGTTTTCCCTGGTAAAGTGGCGGTTTTTAATCTGGCAACTCTCCTATTCTACATGACTTATTTTCAAGCCCTCATAATTAAATTTCATGCAATAATTTCAACTTTGTTACAATAAATAACTGCATACTGTAAAGTATATAAGTGCCAATAATGGAAGACGATATTCTCAAAAATTAATATGAAAATCTTAACAAACTAACAATGTCAATACTCAAATACCATCATCAGCTCCAGTTGAACTTTACTTGATGGACTGATTATAATCATTCCATCAATTAAAGGATACATAAATGTATCCGAAATATGGGCGATGTTAAAATGTAACGATTATTATAAATTGTTGCCGGTAATTATTTCTGCCGTCCGTAATTTTATATTGTAGCTTGTAAATTTGCGTTGAAAACAATTCTTTTTTTAACTAATTAATTATTTTTCGAGAAGTAATTAATTACTTTTTTTAGAAGTAATTAATTAGTAATTATAATTAATTAGTTGAAGCTCTCTAATTAAAAATTGATAATTAATTAGATTAAAGATGTCAGCGCTAATTATTAATTACTAATTAATTATTCTTTGCGTTAATTAAAAAGCTCTGCTTTTGTATCTCTTTTCAGGCGAATGCGGAGGCTTGCGAATACTGGCACTCCTGCTGGTTGGTAAATAAAATTCGAGAAAAGCTAACTAACTCGGCGACAATCTTAGTATCCGATAATTATATCTACATGAACTGTGACTATTGTTACGTCGTTGACAATCAGCAGGTGTTATTTATGCATATACCTCTGTCGGACTAGGTTTTCTTTATTCTTTACATTTTATTTGTTTTATATTTTTGACAGGTTATTATAATATTATAATGGCTTCAAGCAAAGAAATCTGTGTAAAGCTCTTTTAAACATCTTAGGTTAATTTCATTATGTTACTTAAGTATGCATACATATGCATTATTGCTATGTTCTGTGGGAATAATAATTGTTATCCAAAAATTGATTTTTGAAATATAAATGTAATATTTGAAGCTTTAATTATTGAATGTCCAGTTTAACATGATTATTGCCTATATTCTCTTGGACACAACCGTGATAAATTGATCTGGAGTTGCATCAGGAAAAAATTGCTTCCCATCTTGATCCTTATAATCTTGCAACAAAAGTTTCACGTGTTCCGTAAAGTTGAGATTTTTACATGCTTTTCGAGTCCACGGGCTTGTCAGGACACTTTTACACAATTGTATTCCATTTGCCTGGAATAGCAGAATTGCTCGATTGTACATCTCAGTAGCCAAGCCTTGACCCCTGAATTGTGGAGCGGTTGCAGTCATGAAAAAATCTGCAAAGGCGTCAACATCGGGATAAACTGAAAAAATATCCGCCTGTACGCTCGCTTTCGTTAGGAAATTGATTATTATGGGATTGGCAGGAAAGTTCATTGGTGGAAAGTCTGGATTTTCTCCTTTCTTGGTTAAGGAGGAAACACGAACACCAGCCACCTTTTCAAAAAGTTTAATTAATTATGTAATTTATTTAGTGAGTAGTGCGCTTCATTAAACATTAAAAAGTACCTCCTTCGTCTCTTTGTGTTCCGCAAAGAAGCTGAGATTGTCCTTCAGTGCTAGCACAACCCAGGGGGCAAAGTCCTCCGCCATTTCGTTAAACATTTCCTCTCCGCTGCACAATTTACTGCACAGCACTTCATTCGGGTAGAAATTCTTCCGAAGCAGGTCAAGTATTTTGGGGTAATCTTCCGGTTTGGCCATTTTAAAGACAAAGTCTTTCCACTCGCCTTCCACAAGTTCAGCCATCCTCCTGAAACACAAAGTATCAAACAAACGACGATACAATTCGATTTTAAAATTTTGAACTTTTTAGTTAAAATATTGATAAGAGTTAGAGTTTGTCTGCTATATCTTTCTGTGGATAAATGCCGATCCATATACTAGTATCTATCAAGCTTTGAAGACTGTCTCATGTGTATGCTACTACTTGCATGCAAAATTGTCGTTTTAACTCAAGGCCATCCACTGTCGCATGTCAGTCTCACTTGAATTTAAGTAGTTTATTGATTGCGTACTTATGCAATTTACTATCAATTAACAATTGCTCCTATGTACTTATGGCCAACTCGTCCGCACAAAGAAAATTAAAATGTTACAACTAAGGAATCCATGTATAAAGTCATCATAGCATAGCATACACATAATCAGAGAAATAAATTGAAATTTTATCAAGATTATGGGGAAAGTGATTATGTGAGGTTTTGGCATCGTCTGAACTTGTAGAAACATGTATCTATGTATGTATGTCGTCCTTGCAAGTAAGTACTAATCCTCGGAAGTATACATACTTATACATAAGGGTCTGATAGCCAAAGACTTTTAAAACTTTTCTTATCTTTGTAGCTTGGGTGACAGGAATTTCTGACTATCGAAAACGACTTAAAATATATATGTATGCAGAGACACAGCACGAGTTACTGTGTACTGATTTTTATGGGTAGCATTTCAGGGCGCATAAACTTTTTGTTGTCCGTGGTTTCTCTTAAGGGGGTGATGCAGGGATGAGCATTTTTTCAAAAAAATTAAAAAATTAAAAGTTCGGGAATTGCATGCAATTTTTCCATGAATTTGGTTGTCAACCACATATTAGAAACGAAATAAATAAATCTTGTCTTGGTCTTCATCTCTGAAGATGAGGAATAATGTTCGACAACTGATAAGATCCGTCAAGTGGATGACCAGTGGGGGCCATATGGGTCGGGTGAAGCCCGTGGTGCAGAATATTATCATTTGTAAAATTTGGTTGACAACCAAATTCATGGGAAAATTGCATGCAATTCCCGAACTTTTAATTTTTTAATTTTTTTGAAAAAATGCTCATCCCTGCATCACCCCCTTAAGAGAAACCACGGACAACAAAAAGTTTATGCGCCCTGGTAGCATTTTATTAGTGGGATAAAGCACATCATCAGATATTTATGCATGTAGACACTATCACATGGACCGGTAGCTGGAAAAATCGGACTCTTTATTATCATGTATTCTGTCTAATATAACATCAACTTGCCACATATGTATTACACATATGACATGCAGCACATTTGTACTATGTAAATGTAACATACATGCATAACCGAGTACAGCATTTTTATCATAGTCGTCAATCAGCCGTATTTAATCCATCCTTCATGGCCGATCACAAGATATGTGTACTTATGCATAAGTACTCGTTGTTTAATGTTTATGAATATTTTTGATTACTACCAATTTATACGTCGACCAAGCTCTTGACTTGTTTGCATTTACATATACAATTAAAAATATGATGACCTGGAGTGAATGAGTGCTTCCAAAGATATGTATAATAATGAGCTTTTTGACATTTGATGTGGGTTGAGACTCTCAACTTGAGACTTGACCATGACTAAAACATATACATATTACAAATTGCACTCATATCACGCATGCATTTATTTCACAGAAACCAATTTATTATTGAATTCAATTTGTAACAAATAGATCATCCACGAATTGGTGTAATAATAATAATTCATAAAACTAACAATAAATATGTTAAACGTATGTGCATAATTCCGATGCACTCTGCATGACAGATCTTATTTGCGAATAAAATGCTTATCTCCGCATAAATGAAAGTCTCTTTTTGGCCATCAGCTCTTTGGCATTCACAACAACACAGTCCTTTGGCAGGGTGACGGGAAAGTATGTGATTTCAGGGTTGATCTTCACCCCTGCAGTAACCTCATAAATCTCAGAATCGACATTATTGCAAAACGAAGCTGGCAACCTGAAACGAAGAAAAAAACATATTACAGTCATCAGATCTAACGAACGAATTTCAGAACACTAAATTGACGAATTTGTGAGTATTGTAAATAAAAAACGAACCAATTGCAGTCTGTGAAATTCCCCGGAACTACTTTTGTCTTTTCGTCGTCCTCCTCCAAATAGATTCCAAGTTCACGGATAGATCGGCACACCATTGCAATTCGTACTTGTTCCTCCTTGGTTTTTCCATTCTGTTTGAGGAGTATTTCATTCTCTCTTAAAATTTGTCGTAATTTTTTGCCAATCAAGGATATTTTGACAAGCTCCTTTAGTCTGAGCAGTTCCGGGAAAAACTTCCCAATTTCATCATAATGTTTGGTGAAATCTCGGGCAAATTCGCCTTCCGGAGAAAGAATTGATTTCGCCCCGTTTAGCGTAAGGATCAACGTATTTAATTTAACTTGAGCTTTTACTTCGCCAACTTTGTACGTAAAACTATTTTCATCTTCCTCGTCTTCTTCAAATATTTCAGTCAAATTGAGCCAAAATCTATTTGGAATGTCCAAATCTGGCATTTTTGGGAGTGCAGCCATCTCATCCTCATTCCTTCGTTCTTTTGCCGGTCGTAGAATATGTTGCAAGTGTTCTTCTAGTCGAATTAGTAGGCCTTCGTCTGTGGGTTTCATGGCGAACGGAGATTTACACGAGATTTCCAGTCCGCTGCATAAATGGCATATGAGAAGTGCAGCTCTAGTCAAGGTACTGAAAAAATTTGGCACATGAAAGCTTGCCACGTCAGGATTTGACGTAGAGAATTTGGCCTCTTTGAAGGGGTGTGATCTCAAATGAGAATCAGGATTGTCCAAGCTCAATGTGCAGTCCTTGGGTTCAATCCCATTAGAAAAAATTTCTTGAATGTCCCGAGTGTCAAAGAGGTTCCCAAAAGTGTACGCGGTATGCTTGTCCTTTACCAGGAGAAACGAAATTTTGCCAGTTTTATGTTCAAGCTTAAATCCACAAATTGTTTTATATGATTTTGGGGGATTTGGAAATTTTAGTTCAGTTCTATACTCTGAACTCCACCCATCATCTGTGAGGTTGAGAAGTCGATATCCCATTAATTGCTCAACATCCTCGAGCCCCCAGCCCCTTAACGCTATCAACTCTTCCATCGCCTTGAGTCTCGCGGAGAAAAAGTTGCTTAGTTGAGAACGTCCTTTCCACACCTCCACAAAGTGGGTGTAGGCGTGCAGGTGCTTAGGAATTTTTAGGGACTGGTTCTTCTGTCCAACTTTCTCGTTACAAAATTGGCTCAGGAATGAATTCCCGAGTGTCTCAACGTACACAAGATCAGAGCAATTGAGGGTCGGGATATTGGCGAGGGGTTCAATCTTGGGAAAGTTGACAACATTTTTAAGAAATCTTGAGATTAAATGAGCATCTGAAGTTTTAATGAGGTCAATTCCAGGTTTTTTAACTTTTTGATAGCATGATGAACGTTTCGGTTTACGATTTTTTGGTGCAGTGGATTTTTTATTTTTCTCTTTTGACTCTTCGTCATCACTGCCGGCCGAGCTACTGCAGCTGCCTGAATCATCTTCCTCGGAATTGGGTTTCTTGATTGTCTTGCGAGGCTTCTTCTCGTTCTTGTCGCATAAATTCTCACTTTTGTCCGTGTCACTTTCGTCTTCCAGGTCGCTTTCCTCATTATCTTCTTCAGACGACTGGTCTGAATCACTTCCAGTATCACTTATTTCACTCTCGGGCACCACCACCTTCTGTCTGACAGCTTTGGACAGCTTTTCATGTGCTGCTAACAGCACGGATAACATGTGCTTGTGTGATAAGAAAAAAAACTTTTGAATTATTAACAATTACAATTAGTATTGATTTTTTAAATATATTTATATCATCATGTTGTAGTTAATCCTTACCTTGTGAGTGAGACCGTGTTGTATAGTTGCTTGCGTTTTACGATCAATTTTCAAAAGATTTTCAGCCATTTGCATGATGGCGTTCCGGTACGCGAACAAGCTTCCTGCGTCTGTTGTCTCGTCCATGGCACGCAAAAAATGAGAAGCAGCCATTACGATCGGCCTATAAATTTATATATATAAATTTGATTCGTGTATTGTGCCCGGCAGGAACAGAGAGGGGTCATAGCAAAAAACGGATCTGCGGGGATACCACGTTACGAAAATTTAATACTAACTTTGTCCTAATCTAAAAACATTGATAGAAGTTTTCCTATAAAATTTTTCGATATCTGACCTCTGTGACCTGTTAGTAACAGGTGAAACCCATAATGGGAATACCTTGTCTATCTGTATGCACAAGTTGAGAACAGATGCAAATTTTCAGAAGCTGTTTTCACCTCATGTGGCTGGGAACGAACCTTCGGCACACCCACCAGGGTCACATAGTCGTATCCAAGGTAGAACGACCCTATGAAAGGCATATCCAAAAATAAAAAATAATTTTCAAATTTCGACCCACGCCGCAGGACAGGAGTTGTGCATATGATCGAATATGATCACCATATTCGAAATTGCAACGTCCGGGCGAATTAGAAACACATTGGTGAATACCGCATCTGAAAATTCGCATCTCTTGTCAACTTGTCGTGCATACAGATATGCAGACAAGGTATTCCCATTAATGGGTTTCACCCGTTAGTAACAGGTAACAGAGGCCAGATATTGAAAACTTTTATAGGAAAACAAATTTTCTATTAATGTTTTTAGATTACAACAAAGTGTCAAATTTTTCGTGACGTGGTACCCCACAGACCCTTTAGTGGTTTGTTTCTGCCGAACATAGACAGAGTTGCTCAGGCATATTACTACGTAATTTGGATAAGCAAAAGTGATCCTATTAATATTTGGATGTTTTCATACCCTGGTTGGAATGGAAGGGGTAGAGCTTTCAGTAGATCGATGTACGACAATGCTGCATTCAATTGGCCCTGATTCTTTCCGGACCCGATGGCTTCCTCATTCTAAGAAAATATTATGTATAATATGATACGATTCGAAGTTTGATTTCTTGTTATAAAATTATGCTTAATTTACCTTGTCAAGAGTGACCAAAGGAGTGTTTGTCTCAATGGGTGGGGGCTCGTCCCGATTTTCCTCTTCTTGCGGAGGTGGTTGAGCTGCCAACTTGTCAGGATCCACTTGAATTCTTGAGATGGAGTGTTTGTAACCAAAATCTACTTGTGGAGATACATCTGAAATGACGAGAGAATTTCGGTTAGACTTTTTACGGTTGAACGTTTCCACGTCCGGATATTCTTCACAATCGAAGCATTCTTTCAAGTCTTTCACTTCTGATGTCACTTGAGATAGGATGGCTTCATGGAACTCAATGTCCTGACTTAGTTTTGAAATGCAAGGCAGAACTCGATGCATACATTCAGGACTACTGAGAAGGGCATTTTGATAGTGGTTCATAGCAGCCATCCAATTCTTTTGAATTTTGGAAACCGTCCCTTCAATCAAGCATTTCATGGCTTTCAAATGTGGACTCTTTTCAATCGACTGCTTTTGTGTTTCCGTGTCCATTTCTGCCAAGAGTGTTAGGGCTCCGGGCAGACATCGAGACTCTGCGGAGTTGGACATAAACACGAGGACATCTGCCAGCAAGTTGAAATCGCTGGTTTTCATGCAATTTTTAGTTTGCCTAACAATCATAGCGTTGCATTCACCGGCCAACTCGACTTGCAGCTCTTCAAATATTTCTTCGTCTTCCTCCTCCTCGTCGGGAATGAAATGGAGTGCGCCCAGGATTAGGCTAAAGCCGGAAGTAGTCATGCGACCCCTTCTCATAAAATTAATCGTGCCTTTGTGAATGCCTGCACAAACTGGAGATTCAAACGCATTTGGCCAAGTTCGCGTGATGATCCTGTATCCTTCGATGGGATTCGTGGTGTCAAGGTCGCTAATTAGTTTGATCAATTCTTCTAATTCAAAGTCAAACTCGGAACGTGGATCGTTTCGTTTTCGTTGCGAAAGTTTTCCAAGCAAAGATTTGGCTTTAAGAGAGTGATAAATATTTCTGTAAATGGAGGAACTCGTTCTGTCCCCTTTCTTTAGCTGGGCTTTGCTCTTGACCATCAACCTTTCTAGTTCATCATAATCGTCCTCGGAATCAGAATTATCGTTATTGTTTCGACTGCTGGTTCTTCGTTTTGCATTCAAGTTTGCGTATAAATAATACTCGATTGCTGCGTAATGTTCGCCCTTGTCGCAAAAGTCGTCCCCTAAATCCGTCCAATCTTCATACGCCGTGTCTTCTTCGTCGCCATATCCTTGGTACAGGAAACAAAAGTGGGCAAGCACGGGGTCAATTTTGTACAGCTGGAGTCCCAACTTGTACCTATTTATCATCAAGGAAGTAATAAATTAAACGTTTCGATAAGTAATAACGATTACTGAATGTATAAATAAATGTATTGAATAAAACGTGCCAGAATTAAGACGTGCTTCTTTCTATGAAGAAAAATAGGACTACGTAAGCCAAAGTGGAATAACGGACAAATGATTTAATAAAAAATTAATGGTAATATGTATCGACACATCTGAAGAAATTGGAAAACTTTAAAGAAATGGAAGAAGGTACAATTTAAAACCACGGTCAACGTGGTGAAAGTCCTTGTGGCTCTAACTAATCTTTGATTAATCTCTTACTAAGCTTTCGAAGATGTATTCGCCAAAATATGTGCAGACGTATTTGCGAGAAAGAGCTACAAAGGAATAGGGCATGACAATGTATGAATTTCTTGCCTAAACACGTAGTTTAACGCAAATATTTGCAGATACTCTATGAGATTATTACTAAATTACCAAATTCCGTTGAAATAATCGTTGTCCTCATCTTCGTTAAACTCAATTGCAACTTTTGTCCATAACATTGCCATTTCTGCTTGTTCTGCTTCCACAGCTTCCTTGGCCAAACTGACCCATTCCTCGTGATCGCACTCCAAGTAATTTTTCATAGCTGACACTAGATACATGATTTCCATGCAGTCGTCTCTCACCAAACACTCTTGAACCCTCTCCACAACCACGCTCTGGTCGTCTTGATTTTCAAGAATGAAAATAAGAATTCTGCAGGCGAGTTCGGGATACAGGTCCCAATCAGTTTCGCTATCACTGAGAAAAGTTTCTCCAACGAAATCTATGAATTCTTCAGTGCAAGAAAAATCCTCCTCTGGGGGGAGGACTTGTAGAATTCTGGCCAAAATGCAGTCGCAATTATCAAGTTTGCACCATTCTTCAGAAGCCCAGAGTCCCAAAATTGTGCTTGGGAGAGATCGTGGTTCCCAGCGGAAATAATTTGAACCACACAATTTTTCAAAGTACACGAGAAGTGGACCCACACCCATATTCATCAAATCCTCTTCTTTGATGGAGTTATCACCAGAAAACATGACAATGTATGGTTGAAGCACTTCTTCCCAATGCAGTGTCTCCGAACTAAACTTCTTATCACAAACGGCACAACAAAAGTCGTCTTCCTTGTCCTTGAGGGCTTTCGCGTTTTGTTTCTCTTCAACTTCCAGTACCTGTCCCATCAGGGAGGAAAAGCATTCAAAGTAGTTGTCACTGATCCCATCTCCGAGTGCATCAAACTCTTCCTTCCAGTCAAAAATACTTTTCAAGACGCGTTTGGACATTTGACTTTGACCAACGTCGTAGCAAATGTATCCTGCAGGGATAAATTGCTCGCCGGCCTTATAAGATGGGTCTCGTTGAATATCATACTTGCTCCGAAGTTTCCTATTAGACAGCACTCGGTAAGCTTCAATTGTCTTGTAGCAGAGATCAGAGTCCTGCCCCGGCACAATTTTGTCGAGATGAACTTCCAAGATTTTTTTGCGATAAGCACGCACAATTTCTTCTGGAGTTGCTGTAGAGGTCACACCCAACAGGGCGTAATAATTTATGTCTGGCTTCATCATATCTGCAATTCAATTCTGCAAACAAATAAATATTGTATTTATATCTAGCTCATAATATGCTAGTTGTACAATAAGTATATTAATGTACATATGTATGAACCTCTAATTCCTGAATTTTGACGTTGGGCAATATGCTTAGGAACAGCACTATATGGATTACCAGCGATTTGTCCAAAAAAATCAATCACTGCAAGCGTCCTATGTCTGAAAGTTGACAGCAAAAAGTGACCTATGTATGACGCCAACAAATCCTATATAGCGCACATGCCAAACCTTGACATTCATATAATTACAACTCACTTAATCTAAATGGCGAAAAATGAACAAGGTTGGGTGACGAAGAAACAGTCGACTGCAAAAGATGACATAATCGTTGTCAGTTAAATATGAAGAAGATGTTCCGTTCCGTCAAACTTTATCCTGATTCCTTCCTTCCTTCGACCGAAAACCAGGCACGCTTCAAATCACACAGAAGATCTCACAGGAAATATGTATCTATGTGTGACGTTCTCTAAAACCTCTCTCTCTTGAGTAAACAGGATTAGTAAACAGGATTAGTAAACAGGATGATAAGATGAGATCACAGCGATTTAGTCTTTGCGTAGGTGTAAAATGGAACTGGGTCAATATGTGCAGTCAATACGTAGCAGATTAAGATTGAGCATATAATGAGATAAGCACTTATCATTGGCGACAGTTTTATACTGTGAACAATTTGAGCAAATTAGAAGAACACATTAACCTCACTTTAGTTTTGCGGAGGATTCAGTACTTATATAAATATTTTGCTTGCTTATGCTAAATGATAATAATATTGATCTCGAGTGATCTGTTTTGACAAAAAGAGAGTGCGTTTTATTAGCCTTCTTCTTCTTTCGGTTGCACAGACAAGCACAAGAACTATATTCCTGGGGTTAATTACCCCAAAAGAGGTTCTAATCTTGATTAGAAAATCCGTGAACGTTTCAAGAAGCTGAGACAAGAAGAAGCTCGGAGATGGTCTTGAGATGGTTTAGTATTTAACCAAAATGAGACGAGACAGATCGTGAAGTAGTTCTGTTCCCAGACAATTTCTACGCGAACTGAAAAAGTCACATCGAAAAGCCGAGCCCGAGTTTGTATAAACTCTTTAGAAAAACCATTCAGTTTTAGCTGCTTGGGATTCAATGCAAAGTCGGGACTATTTTCAATGAAAGTCTGTGTTCGAAACTAGTATATTCATGCCCATACAAATAACATGACGATGACGATGAAGGTGTGAATGCATTACATACATGTGTACCTCTAAGAAAGGAATATTTGCATGCAGCGTCGGAATTGCCAGCTTGTTTTTACAACAAGGAAGTGAGGAGGAGTGCATATGGACGTATGTGTAACGCACAATGATTGTAATGCCTTTTAGATATGTGAGTGTTGTAAACCCCCTCAGAGGTTAAGCTCGACGACCTAATTTGCGCCTGATACAGACCCCCTCAGAGGTCTAAAAACTACTAAAATTGTTCAAATACCCATGGAAAATTCTAGTTAGGTCGGGTTTTTATAATTTTTGCACTAGTTTTTCTTAAATTAACTTAAAACCCGAGCAAAATATGTAGGACGAGTTGAAGGTATTATTCAAATCTTCAAAATTGAGGAGTTAAAAACGGATGCATGCAGAATAAAGTCAATGAGTTGCTGTTCCCTTATGTACACATATTTTGAACATTTCTGGAAGCGATAAAGCGATAATGTTTATCTTGCGGGAATATCAAAGAACGGATAATAAGAAGACTTTTGGGACGGATCGTAAAATCACGACCAAGTTTTAGCCCGAACTAAAGCTTATGGAATCGTCATGTTCGTCTGTGACACGCTAGCGGACGAACCGCTGAACTGATTTTAACCAAGCTTAAAACTCGTATCTCGACAATGCCTTAGATTAGTTCGAAGATGGGTATACTCGGTCAGTAGTGGTTGACCGGTAAGGGACATTTAAGTGGTAGGGATAAATGGTGCCAAATTTTAATGAGAGACATTTATAGGAATTTGGTTCAACAGAGTGGCCCACATTGTTTCTTGAAATTAATCTAACTGAAATTTTTCATGATGGATAAATGTGACCGTTTGAACATATTTAAGGTGGTGACAACTTGTGCTGCCGAGAAAACTGAAGATACACAGTCGGCGTCGTTGCATTTTGCATTACAATTTGATAATAGGCGTTGGGTCATCGAACAAAAATTTAGAATAGGATTCTGACCCTGACTCGGGCTAAATGAAGTCTGCACTGTAGGTTTTTATTGTGTCCACGACCTCATGCACGTATGAGAATGTACAATATGTATATGAACAGACGGGAAAGAATTCAAGCCATCATCCTTTTTATCTAAAGTGAATACACACTCTATTTCTGCTGATGTATGAAGGCTGAGAAAGAGCTAAAAATATCAGGAACTAGTAAAAAAAAATGTGGGGAGAAGTTGCCAAAAATTTGGCCATCACATATGTATTTAAATCACGAAACCAACTTGCTTCGGCTTGGGTTGGACAACCATGTTTCATTATTTTATGCATTATAATTATCACGGTTGAACTGGTGATTCTCTTTTGCACAAGTTATATGCAGGATGCAGTAGATAGTTAATGCCACCAATGTAGTAGATATATTAAAATTTTAGAAGCTAATGGGAAAAATCACAGAAATTAGACATGCCATGTATTATTTAAAGTTCTTGACTTCTTCACCACTAAAATACATTTGTGGTGGTATTAGGTATTAACCATAGACATGCACAATAACAATACACCAACATGAAAGATCAAGGGTTTGAAGATTTATTTTATGGTTCCGTGATATACGACATATGCCAAATGTCTATCATGTGTGAGCATATTTTTGCAGATTGCACAATTGTTATGTCTATGCCAATCTATACATAAGTAGTTATGCAATAAATACCTATTTGATGTCCATTAGTTGGTCAATGTTTATTATGTTCTGTTCTAAGAATAGCGATGATATGGATGTGTCAGAGGAAAAGTCCATAAATGTAGAATTATTACGTTTATAGATACACAATTATTTTGAGCGCAAACAAAACAATAAATTTTAGTAATTTCTATTCTACTAAATAAATACATAATACATGTATTTACAACCTATATATATGTATTAAAAGATGTTCGGTTTTTGAGTACATGAGTGTTGTGTTATATATTTCATGAATATCTTTATTTCAGTCTTTCCCTATTCATTGTTGTAGGTATTTAAAACTCGTTGAACTCAGAAATATTAATTCATTCAAATAATGCATCAAATTCATGGTTGAAAAATAATTAACTGTAATTGAGACATTAAGAATGAAGCATAAAATTGTAAATAGATCCCTTCACTTCCTCCAGTTATTATCAATCCGGTGTAGCGCGTCACTCTGGAAGTTCCAGCTTGTAAAACTTTATAGAAACATGGAAATAAAAATAATCTCGTGAAATACGAACGTACTAATTAGTTCTGATCACTCCAAGATGATAGTACTGCACTACTGGCAGAACCACTTACAACTTGGTCGTTCCAGGACCTATAATTTTCTTCATGTGTAAATAGTAAAGTTAATTTGAGCCACAAGAGTCAATTACGTAACCTAACTGCAGGAAGGAATAAACTTACTCGGATAACTGTTTGTAATAATTTTCATTTGAGCGAATTTTTTTCTCCAACTCGGTTAAATCCATTAGCGCATCTTCCTCTGATAATTTCCCACCCAACGACTTTGGTAAAATATCAGGGTTAATGAATTTGTGCAGAGATACCATATTGGTTGAGTGGAAATGCAGCTAAAAATTCAAATCCGATCTGCTTATCCAAACTTAAAAAACAATCAAAAATGTATTTACACTTAGAAAATGTTACCCTATTCTGAATCTTGTGCGGAAGAAGTTTCAGCAGTGATTTGGCCACAACGCTGAATAAGTACATTTCGTTGATTATATGCTGACCCTTCAGTCTCACTGGGCATGCACTCTATTGAGAAATTACAAGTTCAAATAAATTAGATAACTACTACTACTAGAGAGACTAAATAAAATTTGAATAATTCTGATTTATCTGTTTATATGCAAATGAATATCTCACATGGAATATGCTGACAAGTTTGTGCATTTGAGAGGGTGTGGCTATTTTAGCGTGTTTCAAACCGTATCCAGATAAGTCTAGAATTAAAACGATGCCCAGTCGCTCCACGTCCTCAATATTCATAAGCTCATCTATGTAGAGTGAAATCTCTCCTATTAAATCATCTGCAGGACAAGTCTTGGGGTCCCAATGTTCTGAATACGCAAAAGAATTCAAGACCAAAAAGTGAGACATTTTGATGACGATTATATATTTAAAACATGCATCTTACTGGTGTACCCGATGATTACAAGACGGCCTTGATCGTCTTTGTTCTTTAAAATTTTGGCAATATTTTTATGTCTGAGGGATTTTGAAGGTTGGAGTGGTTTAAAGATTTCTGGGAATTTATCTCTTCGAACTTTTATATAATTTTTAAGCTAAAAAATTTGTTTGGCGTGAGTCAACTCGTATGGATATCATATACAAATTATCAAATATCAAAGATATATAGATTGTACCGTCGCGAAAGCTTCTTTCGCTCGAAATTTTCGTCCACGCACAAAGTGTAGAAGAAAACGATCATTGAGAAAAGGTCCAAAATCAGCCAAGTCTTGCTCGTCTGATTCTAAATGGATTTTTTAGTAGGTTATATCACGGTTTTCTTAGTATTCATTCTGCTAGAGTACCTTTAATTAAAAGCTTCAGCTCTTTCAGACAAAGGGTTTCACGGCTCGTATGGTCTTCATGTTGCGACGTTGATGAGGTTGGAATCGATCGCCTTCTGTTTCCTCCAGATTTTTTTGATTTGCTCATTTTCAAACTCGCTGAAAATTTCTTGAAATCGGATTTAAATCAATTTAATTGATTTAAAATTGGCTCGGAGAGAGCTTAATGAACAATGAGTTTGATTCGTGGTTGATTAAAAAATCCGTATACCTACACCTGGACAAAGCTCAACAACTGACTGAATGGGTGAGATTGTTAAATCCTCTTGCAGATTATGAATATGAATATTCTGGTTCCTCAAACAAATGTAAACAGATAATCCGTCGTTTTATGAGCAACATTATCATTAGTTTTGTGCGATATTGCTTGGCATGGGAAATTGTATAATGCTTCAACAATTATCATATAATGGTGCATCTAATTTCTACTGCATGTAATCCATTGTCTGATTGGGTGGGCAAAAAATCTTCAAAACAGTTGGTAATTACAAGTTATCTTAAATTCAGTATTACTGATAAATTATGATTACTGGAAATGCACAAACAGCAAAGAAAGAGAAATTTGTATCGACAATCATCAAGCAATGGCAAAATTTATTAAACTGATCCAGAATCTGTATCAGTCTTAAAGTAAGGAAAAACATCGTCTAAAAAATGTTAAGGCGTTAAACCATCAGCACCAAAATTTGCACCCAACATAATTTCATGGCAAGGTTCAGTTAATTTCCCGGCCAGAGAGATGCCGTTGCACCATCCACTTCAGGAGCAAGTTGGTTATCCGGTCGAATAGCATGGTTGCCTCCACCTTCATAAGTCGTACGAATAAATAAATATATACGATTGAATGACTGCTTTTATAATATTTGTAAATATGTCGCATTGTTTCACACCAATAGTTGCATTGCATTCGAGGCATTTTGATTCTACCATCGCTCCGCCACAATCTCCAATTATGTAGTAGTGACCGTTTTTGCACTTGAACCATGTCCGCGTGCTCCTTCACCCTTCTCCTCGAAAGAACGAAGAATTTGCTGTATTTCCATTTGGGAAATTCCCAAACCTGTTTTCAAAGTATCTTCCAATTGCTGCAAAAATAATTTAAACAGCAGCAATCAGTGCGATGATTTTATTGGGATTTTTAGTAGAAAATGAATTTTTCAGCACTTACGCTTAGCAAATTATGCAGTTCCTGTTTCCTCATCCCAGTGTATGGTTTCGGCTCATTTACAATTTTAAGTATTCGACCATAAATGGAAGTCGCCTGAGAATGTCCATCCGTAAAACGAGGATTAGATCGTCTGAGGTACACTTGATTTATGTCGAACAATCGTAAAAGTTCAAGAGAAATATCTCTAATTTCAAGTTTGCCCAATGGTAGCTGTCTGTTTTGTATATTCGTAAACAGTTGTCGATATCTTCTATGAAGATCGCCAAGTAGCTCTGGCTTGAACCCGTCTTCTTGTCGACCTTTCATTAGGACATCAATTGCACCTTCTGCGCAAGTAACCAAAAACTTGATGGATTCAAGTTCCTGTTCGTTAACCTTGAGAAATGTTAATAATATTAATAATTAATAAAATTAATTTAATTTAATTATTAAATAATCCAAAGTGCATACAAAGCAATTGATAAAATGCAAACCTTTTTGGGTATCAAACGTTCTGCATTACTTCCTTTGTTAACTGTAACCGGAACAATGTCGACAACTTTATTCAGTAGAAACTGATGAAAAGTTTGAAAATTTCGGCTCCATCTTTGCCTATCGTGCCAACGTAGCTTTTGAATTACTTCATTCTGAACAGCCTTAACATTTTCTAGGTTTCCAAACATTTTCTTCTTTACGACAACAACATCTTCTAACCGTTTCCGTATGGCATTATTAAACCGCCGACAATATCGGATGAGCGTTCTACATCTAGGACATTCTTTCATCCCAATTTCACTAGCGTCCAAATTCATATGGTACTCAAGTCCTTCTGCCTCAATAGAATGCTTGCAGTCAGGCAAGAAAATAAACCTACAATAAATAAACTATGCATGTAAGCCATACACGCATATTTATTTTAACCAATTAATCCATCTGTCATGTGATACCTGGCATCTGCATCTTCCTCATTGCCAAGAAGGATGAACTCAGCTAAATGTTCTCTGTCGCAAATACGACAATGTGGGGGGCATGGCTCGCCACAATAGCCAATACATGTATGTCCACAAGGCAAAGGCCGAGTGCATGGCTCATTACAAGGATCTCTATCACATTGTTCTCGACAAAGTTTCGTACAAGTCTTGTGCATGCACCTCCAGGGGCATCGCTCCTTCAAATTTACCAAGAACATAATTATGATTTATCGATATTACAAAAATGGTAAATGTCAGAAAACTTCATACACTGCAATCCAGACAGGGCGTGCCACATTTTTCTCCGCATTCCGAGTGCTCACACTTCATGTGACATTTTTTATTACATGGTGGGCAGGATTTTGAGCAAGGAAAATCACAGCTATTGAACAAATCCATGAATAACGAATTTATTCAATTATGTATATTAATTTGCAATGTTGAGCATAAAAATTCTTACACGTCGCCACAGACAAGTGTACGGCCACATTTCTCTTGACATTTATTGTGTAGACGACCTTGCCAACAACTAGAGCATGTTCCCTTACACGTATGACCACATCCACCTTCAGCAACAGAGAATACTTCATTGCACGGATTTGTGCACAAGGCCGAAATCTCAATTGGGTCAGCTGCAAACGAGTATTTATGTATTACAAATGAAATACTTGATAATGGTAAGTGCTGCATATCTAGTCATACCAGTTTGACGAACGTTACAAGGAACTGGAAAATGGTGACCGCAGAGAGAACGGTTGAATGGAGCAACAAGTTCGACACAAAGATCTTGAGATGGTCTGATATGACACTGAATTGAAATCGTGTGTCCACATTCATTTCTTTTCTTAACAATTGTCTAATAGCAAATGATAGGTATTTAGCAAGTTCAAAGATATGAAAGATTAAAATATAATACCAGTCATGCATATAAATTTCGTACCTGGCAAGGTCCACATGGTTGAAAACACAAGTTTTGACACCTATGTCGGCAATTCAAAATTCTTTCACAAGGTTCCAAACACTCGTTTTGGGTGAAGTCAATGTGACACGGTAAATCCTTAATGTGACCGCAATCCAATTTTCTCGATACGATATTCAAACAAGGGGGACACGGAGTATTACATTTATGTTTTGCAGCACACGTGTGACCTAAATGAAATTTCAGTCGACAATGTAATATAACATCGTATCTAGCTTAAATATGAAACATTAAAAAACCTCGTTAACTATAAGGAAATGTACCTTCAGAACATTTTTTGCTACAATCTTTTCTACACAGGTAATTTAGGTGCTGAGGATCTTCTGTGAGGTGACAGTACTTAGTACAAGCATGTCCACAAGACAAACGGATAGAACACTGATTCTTGCAAAGTACTGGTTTTGATTGTTCGCCACAACGTACCTCCATCTGTAAAGGTTGTACATATTACGTGTATAGATATATGTACGTACATACGCAATGATACAGTAACAATTTCATATTTGACATTAATTATTTAGAATTAATCAGAATCATACCACATGTCCACAATCTGTTAGCGTCTTGTTCACAAGGCTCATACATTTGATCACATCCGGAGAAAATCTACACTCTGCATTCTGTTTGTGTCCACAGGGAAGCTCCTTTTCAATAATAATTTTGCATGTCACAGAATTTATATCGACATGACATTCCAATTCTCGTTCGTGACTACACATCAAGATTCTTCTCATTTTTATTTTACACGTATATTCTGCAGGGTCGAGATGACAAACCAATTCGGTTTCATGACCGCATGGCAGCTTCTTGTTCATAAATATTTTGCATAAATGCTCCGCCGGATTTTGGTAGCATGCCATATCAACTTCATGGCCACATTGCGGAAGAGATTTTTTGATAATTACTGGACATGGAGGACATTTTCGAAAACAAGGGAATTGGCAAGGATGGTCATTGATGCAGGACTTCAAGCAAGGTTCTCGACAGTCGTATTTCTCGTGTTCACGGTCTTTGATATGACACACTTTGATGCATCTGTGAGAACACTCTAGCAGTGCGTCACATACCAATCGACACCCGCCTTCGGGTGCGTTAGATTGAAAATCATTTCCGGATTCAACTTTGGTCTTTGTAGCATGAACTTGACACTCTAACGTAAGAAAAGACCCTATTTCGTTTCGAGCTTCCAACTTTTCCTGAATTTGGGACCAAATTTTACTTTTTGATGACAGCAAGCCCATGTTGCCTATAATGTAGAGTCCATGCCTGCAAATAAACAATAATCTTATAATCTTAATCTCCACAAAACTTATTACCCTTTCTACTAAATATATATATTATGGAATATTGCAATTTACCTGGCTCTAGAAACTGCTACACAGACCCTATTTTCTATGTTCAGGAATCCTATTTTGCTTTCAACGTTACTTCGAACAAGTGAAAGTAAGATAATATCGTTTTCTTCGCCTTGAAAATTGTCAACACAAGTCACCCGAATGCCGTGACAATTGGGTATCTCCGAGATATGTTTCTTTATCAGAAACATTTGCCCAAGGTATGTTGTTAACACAGTAATTTTATCCGGTCCATATCCCTGAAGAATCAAATATCGGCAAAATGCAGACAGAAATTTGGCTTCGAAATTGTTACATTTGCTTAAAGAATCCTTTTCCTATGAAAATATATAGAAACTTTATAATCCATTGAAAATAAATTTGATGATATAAATATATGCGCTGGATATAAACATTACAAATTTTTCCAGTTCCGTGTGTGAAATGAAAAACAAATTCTTAGTAACTCCGATCACTGATGGGTATTTATAAACATTGGGATAGTTTTGAAGCTCTTTGTAGATTGTGTCAACCACCAGGTTAGCAATTTCTGGTCTCATTCGGTGTTGAACCTATTGTATGAAATTAATTGCATTAAGTATAATAATTGTAACGTTCATAACAATCATAACAAATAAGTACTAATTAATATTATTATATAAATTTTTACTTTCAGTTGGTAGCAATTTAAGTTATTTTTTATCATTCTCTCGAAGAGAGATATATTCAAATTAAACTTGATTGCCAGTTCGTAAACGGTTGGATTGGGCCTCAGTTGCCGGTGATCGCCTAAAGCACAAAATAAAATTAGGAAGACATAGCTTTCAAAGTTTAAATAGTAACGCACGTACCAATCAAAATTAAGTGCTCACAATGGCGAGTAATACATGTCACAATGTGCGCTTCCAAAACCTCTGCAGCTTCCTCCACGATTACTTTGTGATAAATAAAAATAAAGAAAATTTTATAACAAGTACATAAGTTTATAAATGTACTTCTTACAACGCTAATTGAGAACCAACTGACTGAAGTATGTACAATTGATAAAACTGAGATGAGTTATTACCAACTTTAGATCGCGTCAATCGTAAGAGTTCGTTATACTTTGCGGCGCCAGTAGTTGTCATCCCACAAACTTTAGAATTCTGCAAAATGACTGCGTCCACAAGTCTTTGGCTTTCTCGCAAGTTCTGTTGGTTCCTAACCAATTCCTTCCCTGCTTCCGCTGCTTGTTCGGCAGAGATAACACGAGAACGATCAACAATTGACAAATAAAGGGCCCATCGTTCGCTTCGTGTAATTCGTTGCAAAATTGTTTCACTTATTCTGCAAGCTTTAATTTCTGCTATCAGATCAGTGACATCCGGCAGCTCAATCCGACCACTTGTATAGTAGAAGAAGATACGATCCAAAAAATTGCGTTTGTTTTGGAAAATTCTCAATTCGTTTTCATATTTACTTATGGATTGCTCCCGATTCGGATTTTTCCTATCTTCACGTAGTTTTGTGATCTCAATGTGCAAATGTTTTATGCTCTTGTCCAAAGAATAGAGAGAAAGATTATCCACATAACTGAGAAACTTTCCAGACACAGTTTGCTTTTTGGTGTCCACCTCGGCAAAAATGTCGTCTACAAGACGCTCTGCTAGCAACTCATTTACATCATAGTCCTCATCATATTCGTCCGAATCTTCTGCCTCATTGTTATTTCCGTTGGGGTTGATGCCCATATTTGAAGCAGATGCTGGCTGGTTATTGCGTCCAATCACTTTTCTAATCTTTCCTCTTGGAACTTCCCCAATTTCAAAGTATCTTCGGATATAATCTTCTTCGTCAAAATTCTGGGATTTAAAATTTTCGTCAGCTAAACCAAACCAGCTCGGGGTTTTGAAACATTTCCACATTGCTGTGGAAAATTCGATGGACAACTGATTCCAGGCAGAGAGATGCTCAAAATCAACAATGCCTATACATATAAATATATGTTAATAAGCCATACATTTTACAACTATAAGGTTAGGGAAAAATTTGACGTTTGCATGTGTATGTATGCATACCTTGAAGATCTCGAAGAGATGATATTGCATCCATGATAGTAGAACGTCGGAAACGACATTCATCAATTCTAGAAACTATTTCACCTCTGTTTGGCCAAAAACCTTTTGGCATCATGTGACGCTTTCTTCTTCCGACACTTGCAAGGGTATAGTCGTTCAGCCTTTCGGACTGGCATCGCCCTCCAACGCGTACAATAGGTGCTTCCCCTCCAATCGTTTTCTCATAGATGTCCATAATCCCTTCGAGAAACTGATCCAGAGCATGATTTGTATAGCACACCACAAGAATTGGACCGTTAAAGTTCAAATTTGTCAATAATGTTTCTGCTATCTTCAAACCTGAACCCATATGAATGCAAATGTAAATATGTATATAGGCACTTAAGGACAAATACTTTCGACATAAAATTACCTAGGAATGTTTTTCCTGTTCCCGGAGGGCCTTGAATAATTGCAAACTGTTTAGTAATCGCAGCTTGGAATGCGATAAACTGATTGGGATCTAATCCCAATTCTTCAGAAGAAGGCCACTTGTCCTCTAGCAAAGGTGAGAAATATTTTTCTTCTCCATTTTGTAGTTGTAATTTCATAAAGTCAGTGGCATTTTCCAGATATGTAGGAGGAGAAACATCCGACGAAGCTTCGACTATAAACTTGTACATAGGAAATTGCTCTAATTCCAGTTCCTTCAAAGTTTGTAAAGAATGTCTGCAATAAATCAGGATTAGAACAAAATATTATTTTATACATATATTACATTATTTGTAACGGACTTACCTGTAAGCTTCAAAGTACACTTCGCATTCCACCATCAGATACTCATCATCCCGATCCCACATGGGGCCATCTCCCTCCCAAACAACACTTAATATACCTTTCTTTAATTCTTCTATATTACGACTTGCAACGCTAGCAAAATATGCGCTTTTAAATAGGTCTGCTGTAAAAACAAGTAGAGATCCAGGAAGAAACCTTTTGGATTTTTCCCAACGAATTTTCTTGTAACTCTCTTCCAGAAGTTGAATTTTATAAATTGTCATATCCCGAATCAATTCTACACTGACGATTTGCACATCGTTGTAAATGCGAATGGTCCCAAGAGGTATTTTCTTTTTCTTGCTCATATACTCTGACCTGACAAAATATCACGTATGTAAGTCGGTCTGTGTGCAAATTAAATTACAAGTAATAATTAATAAAATCAGTGGCTACCTGTATTTCATAAAATCTTGTACTCCTTGTTTCAAAGGTCGAACAAAGTCTTCCCTTAGTAATCGGAATTGTACATCCAAGTAGTGGTGCGCATCCTGATAAGCACCAGTTATTTTATTTGGTCGAAGAAACACTTGCTCCTTTGACATCAATTCAGTGACTGTTGGAATAATTGACAACTCTTTAAAATCTTCTGGTGCCTCCATACTATGCAGTTCGTTTACTTCGTCATCTGTAAATTCTTGTCTCCTTCTTAAATATAATTTATTTGCTTTGATTTCTTGTGCCTTCAACTTCTCCACAAGCTGCTCCTTTTCTTTATTAAGGCGTTCAAAATTTTCTTTTAATGTGGAAAATACTGGATCACTTGACCTTAACGTAGCAGCTCCAAAAGCAGTCAAAACAATGGATTGGAGAAAGTCAATAGAAATTTCTGGCATTTTCTTTAGCATGAACTCGCAATATGCGAAAACATTTTGTAGAAATGTTTCCAGCGACTTGTCGATTTCTGTGAAACCACTGCGAAGTAAAACATTACCACATTATAAGCATATATATTATGTATTACGCAACATTTTATAAAATTGTATGAGTGATATACCTATCGGAATTACCAACCCTAGCATGATTTCGTTGTGTCGAAGCCATTGGCGCCATTGAACATTGATCCTGTATGTATCTTCGAAAATTTTCGCACGTCGTTGGAACACAGATATCCACCTGCTGATTTGGCAATGACGTTTCTCCAATAACTTTCTTTGTTAGAATTTGCATTACTAAGTGTAAATAATTCCTTGGGTTTGTCGGTTTGACATCGTCTGATTTTAAAAACTCTTCCCAGTGTTTGCTGTCTTTTGCAATCGAGAGAATGACTTCGTCAGAGGTTAATTCTAAGAAACCGTGTAGCCTTTTGAATCCAAATACGGGTCCTCTCCTAAGAATGTTTATGTAGGAAAATATATAATGTCTCCGTTATATATAATCACCGCTTATTTTATTACAAACCTTTCAAAATGGTTGTGATTTTCATTTCTTTCACGATGAGCCGGCTGGCCCTCTTCCACTGTACCAGTATTATGGTTATCAGTTTGATTCCGATAATGGTTTGTACCAAGACCACCATTCCCCCTGGTTCCTCCTCCCCTTCTTTGAGCATTTTCTGGATGATTGTTTTGAAAACCTCCGCTACTCCTACCCGCACCTCTTCCTCGTCCTCGTTGGTGGCCGCGACCTCGTCCCCCATCCCCCCCACGGGGCCCTCGGACATCACTCATACCTTTTCACCTTTGTTGGAGATTGTGGCCCTATTGATTAGAGTCATGTATTAAGTGAAACAACTCCAGGCACAATTGGAAATATCGAATAGAAAGATCCACTATTTGCTATTTTGTATTGTGATATGCAAATCTTCAAACCAAATCCAACCAACTGCAAAACTATAATAATATTTAATATGCATTTATGTATATGTACTAGTAAGTGAAATGAATGAAATTTGAGCCCATTGTTATCAGCAAAAACACTCGAGTGATAATAACAATAGACAGGTTGAGCAAGAGTACAAGATTGTAAAAAAATGATTGTAGCTAGAATCACAATCACAATCTATGATTGTATGTTCTTGAGGTTGAGCAAGAATATTTTATGGGAGGATTGTAATTCTCATTAATTTCCGGCGGCAGATTTAAAATTCCTGCAAGTTGGGTATATGAGTACAATACAATGCTGCCTGGAGACGGAGATTTGTAATCCTGAGTTTGACTAATTTTGATTTTCCCGCTGTGTTTACAATCGCAAAATACAATCATGTACTCTTGCTCAACCTGTCTAATCTCATGCCAAACGACTCTACGCTGCCATTCCTCAACTCATATGTAATAGGCTATGACAGGTTCAAGGATAGAGAAACAAAGGCGAGCCTGGTCGAATAAATTAAACGTATTTCACGTGGACTAATTAGTCCATGTTTTTTCTCTAAGGACAACCCCCTTACCTCAAAAACCATCTCACTCTCCTAAAGATCACTCGATAAAAGTTTGGACAAGTAAAAGTACAACTGTTGACCCTCAGCAGCAGCAGCAGCTTTCTTTCTCATCATCTGTGGCACTCCACTTTAATAACAACGAAACTGCTCCAACGTGCCCCCAGCTGGACGAGCGGAACGTTCTCCTCTAAAATTCAACATTGGCCAAACTGAAAACATACCGGGCCACAAATTTACTACATTTACTAAATATCTAAACACGACAGGTTTGCAAAATACAGGTATTATCCAGATTGGACATTATTATAATCGAGTATATATTATTATTTTGTTACGTTGCGACTTGTTTTAATTGTTGGATGTCACCCAGGTAGATCAAATGTGACATGATGGCTTCACTACTGGGGAGCGGTGACGAGATGAATTATCTCACGGAACGACTGAGCGACGAAACCCTGCTCCACATTTTTCAACACATTCACACCCACGATGACTTTATTCGATTGTCAGAAACGTGTCACAGACTGAATGAACTGCTCAAGGACAAGGATTTCTGCTGTAGGATCTTCTTACCTTGGTACTCCAATTTGCGGAGGGAAATGGTGTTTAGATTTTTTAGGGACAGGGTTCGAGTCGCAGTGATAAGTCAACTCGACTTTTCTGACCTCTACTGGCTACCTTCTGGCATTATTAGAGACTTGGTGACTCCAATGACGAATTTACAGGTATGGTGGTCCAAGACTTAGCGTAAATTGTGAACTGTAAGGGAAAATTTGACACTTAAATAATAGATATGTTATGAAATTCTGATCTCGGTAAACTTTGTAACTTTTAGATTTTTTTGGCTGCGGGGACTTGTCTCTCTTGGGCCCATTTATCTCAACTGCTGAAATGTCTTCCAATCAAGAAACTCTCTTGGTCCTGGGACAATTGTTTGGAAGAATCTTGTAGAAGACGAAGTTCTGTGACTCCAACAAAATTCTCGGAAATTACCGAAATGGAAGATGCCTTTTTACGTCTAACTTCACTTTTGATACATATCCCAATGATGACCAAAACCCCCACGGATGTACTTTTCTATTCATATTCTGCACTGGAATATCTAGTCTCCTTATGCCTTAACTTGGAGGAATTATGGTTCATAAGTTGGCCGAAAAGTTCAGCAGAGAGAAAGTCGTCGTCTTCATCGTATAGTCGGAGGGAGTTTGATGGACTTGAATCTGCTTTGACCAAGTTGCACACTTTGGTTATCAGTGTAAAGGGGCCTCCGAGATTTTCACCCATGAGTTTCTTTAGGAAATTGATAAGCACGTTTGGCGTGGTGACTCCGGCACAGGTTTTTTGGTGTGACCACCCCCTTCTTGGAATTCTCAGTATGAAATACAAATTAGATAATGATGATAATACACATCAAGGTTCTAACCAACAAATCCCTCGTTTCTATTTAGATAATGAGACACAATACCGGTTGGGTCAGGCCAGGTACTGTTGGTTCCCCCAAATTTGCTCTGAAACTGCTGTGCGGCTTTCATACCCTATGGTAGCAATCTTAGAAGCTGCAAGGGAAAATTTTAGCTATCCCAAGGTAATGTAATGCTGCTTAGCGAAAATTTAAACATAATTTTTCACAAGAGTTTGCTAATTCGTACCACATTAATTAATACATAGTTAAAACATGTATTACTTTGTCAAAGTCAACCAGTCGTAGTAAACTTGAATGGGTTTTTTGACAATTCACCGGATTTGGAAAGTTTATACACTTCAACGTTTAACTTACGAGTGGTGAGTTTGTATATTTAAATGCGTACATACTATATACATATCTATGTACGTATGTATCCATGTTGTATTATGTATATTGACTTCTGGTGTAATTATTTTAAAACTAGGACTGGAATAAATTTGTTGAAAGTCATCCAAAGCTGAGGGCTGTATCCCTTAGCTGTTCAGATGGCGAAATTGGTGATCATTCCGTAGCATTCTCAAAACTCACTTATTTGGAAAAACTGTCAGTCTCCATTGATTGTCTTTTTGGTAATTTATCAATTTTATATATGACTTTATTCGTATACATATAACTAAAACTTTTCAGAAAGAAATGAGTTTACTATAAAAATTATTTTTTTACTCATAGAAATCCGAGATTCTTCTTTACTTTCGGAATACATGACTTTGCAGCATCTTGACGATAAATTGGAGGCAACAACTGATTATAAACCAGAGAAAATGTCTGAATTGAAACCGCCAAGTAAGAAACGGCGAGTGGGGGCTGCTTCAAAGTTGTTGGTCAACGGCATTCCTAACAAAACAGACCCAACTACAGGGCTTCATTTTATCGCAAGGCGTTGCTCAAAGATAAACGAGCTTGAACTTGGATATTCTGGACTGTAAGATTTTAATTAGCAACGGATAACTTGCATTATTAAATCCAACTTATGTTAAATATTGACGTTGAAAAGGAATCAAGCAAAAGCTGGTAGAATAGTACTAGAGAGCTTATCATGTATTTCAAACTTCAAGTTCTTAAGAAAGCTGTCCCTCTCGTCGATTCCCATTACAAATGGAAAATTTTTAATACAGGTCTTTTACTATTGTTCCTTTATCATATTCGTGATGAATTTATAAATATTTACAAATGATTATTTACTTATCATTTACTATTCAATTTTTATAGATTTGCTCCAAGTGTGATATTATTGAAAGTTTAAGACTCACTCATCTTGGACCCTCGGCAAAATGCTGTTATGTTCAAGACCTTTGCCAGGCTTTGCCATTGTGTAGGAATACACTCAAAGATTTTAGGTAAACACGAGTTGATTATTCGATTTGGTCGGATTGTACAACATCAGATAATATATATGTATTTTTGTATTTGTTAAACGACGTCCCTTAGATTGGAACAAAACTACATTGGATCGCCGCTGGCTATTTTAAAAGCTTTAAAGAAGTGCTCAAATATCCGTAGACTCCTTATTTGGTCATCGCCGAACGACCACGCATTAGAATTCGAGCCAGTCGATTGTTTGTTTCAATCCTGTAAAGACCTCACCGTTTTCTATGCAACTATCGAATCTACGACAAAAGCAGACTGTTTTAAATTTAGGAAGGCTCTTGAAGCTAGGTATAAAGCTGAACGACCAGCCTTAAGTATCGTTCTTCGACGCACTTTAGAGGAAGAAGAGTTGATTCACTATCCTTCAATTCACTATCGAGAAATTGTAATCAATGCAACCCAAGTATGTCAATACAAGGATTTCTCGAATTTCAATAGTTAAATTCCGTTGATTCAATAAAGAATAAAATCATTGTCATCAATATTATTTTGTACGTATAAATTAGTTTATTACATAAATTAATACTATAAATCGTTAAGTAGATTTATTTGTGTGAAACGTGGACCGAACAACCACATAGAGACCTTCATGTATGTTACCTAATCCTACATTGAGATTGTCGAGGTTCGCACTGCCGCTGTCAGAACAGGATTCGGATCGGGTTCTTCCGTAATAATGCTCACTATTAATGACGATTTGAATTGTCGTTAATATTTATTTAGATAAATTGTTTAGACAAAGTTTGAGAAAATATTGAAATTTTGAAAAAATTCACACTACCTTTTGCCCATTGGCATTCTTTTGACGACCTTTTAATAGCCTCAATTACAGCTTGGATGTATAATCCATCTAATAAAAGTGAAAAATAGAAGTTTTTATACTAAATTTATATAATATTAGTTTTGTAACAAAACCTTCAAATCCGGAACCGAGAAGCCCGACGCTGCTCTCTCTCTTCCACTCTTTACCATTGGGCGTGTTGAAAGCTTCTCGCAGGGAACTTAGCAATTTCAAGAGTCCTAATAAAATTAAGAAATGCATACAATTTCTTACTACTTCGGAATCGCCAGTTCAATTGCCTAAACTGTACTCACCCGTCATATAAATCGGTGGCAAGAGTGGGGATGAAACAGCATTCCCTATCGCATTGCGTGCATTTCTGTCCACAAGTAGCAAATCTGTATCAGGATCTGTGTCTTCAAATAAGAGATTTTCTTTCTCTAGTCCTACGTCTTTATTGGAATTATTATTATAAAGAAGTCCTTTAATAGATCCGTTCTCAGCTCGGAGGTAGCCTTTCGAGCCAATTATCAAAACTTCTGAAATTACATTATCATGAAATCGCATTACAAAATGATGACACCAATGAGATTCCAACATTTGCATGCAATTTAAATACAAATGTTTCTACATACCCTGTGTAAAGTGGCCTTTTGGAAGATGATTGGTGAGATGGAGGGACACCAGCATTCCTTTGAAAGAATAATTAATTTCAATTACTACTAGATATGCATACAAGTAATCTCCAAGAGTAGTACAGATAGTGCACTAACCCCCATCCATTTCCATTTGTATCACTGAAAAATCGGGACTAGCAATACGTCTCGTATTGCCGTTGATAAAGGGTGTGCTCTGTGTCAACGTTTTTGTTACACCGTGAACTCTAATTGCTTTCTGTCCTGTGAGATACGTGATTAGGTCGATCAAGTGAGAGCCAAACAGGGTAACGTTGCCTCCACCTAAATATTATTATTATGTGCATTCATATTAGACGAAGAAGAATAAAAGATTATTTGTCATTTTTTTTATTTTGCATTTAATTTCTCTTATATGTATGAGCACCTACCCATAACGTCATCACACATCCAGTTAAAATGATTGCCTAAAATGGGACCCATTTCTATTCGACACTGACACAGTGTTGGTTGGCCAACATACTTTTCCACGTTTCGTTTCATTTGGATGAAACTATAAATTTAGTACATACGTTTAACCAATCTATTATTTTAATTATACGATCATCATAGAACGACACCCACCCTGGATGAAAACGAAGGGAGTGGTTGAGAATGCCGATGAGTGACGGATAGTACTGCTGGGCCAGGACCATTTTCAGAGCTTCGCATTGAGAAAGTCCTAATACAATTAAATCTCAATTTACTCATTAAACCAGCTCGACACGGGTAAAAAGTAACAAGTTTTGGTGTATTCGACCGAATAAATGGAGGAGATTATGTATGTATGGTACAAACCTGAAGGTCGGTCACACATGACATGTTTCCCTATGCCTAACGCTTTAACGGCAATTTGCGAATGAAGATTTGGTGGACATAGTATCAGAACTAATTCGACATCCTTTCTCATCAAGAGGTCGTCAACTTTATTCGTGTGGAATGGAATGGATAAGTCTTTTGCAGCAGATTCGGCGTCTGTAAAGAAGAAGTCACAGCGTTTCCAGTTTAAACTTGAGCACTAACTATTGCTACAATAAATAGTATAGTAATCAACGCGGTCTAAAAACGACGCTTTTTTTACCATGCAATGTCAAACTCCAAATAGCTTCCACCCTAAAACCCTTCGCTTGTAGGTAAGGGACTAATATTTTCACCACCGGATCTGTCCCAAACACTCCGATGCCAGGTAGCATTTTTTTCATCGGGAATTAAATTTTACAAATCTGAAGACTTTCACAAGCACGAAACCTGACAACACTATTTAACTTAGTCTTAAGAGTTGAATTTGAGGAGATTGCAGAACTAGAACTAATTTGAGACAACTTAAATTCATATCCTTTCGTTGCATTTATTTTTAAGTAGTACCCCACTGATGACAGTCAAATAATCATGACATTGTCTGTATGTATTATGCTAATTAGTTGTAGAAAAACGTTGCAATTAGTTTAGCATGCAGTTGTCTGCTGTAATTTGTGACTATTTTGTGAATATTCATAAACTTTTGTGTTAAAACTCTACCCAGCTGAGGAGCTTCTGTATCTCTAGAGCTGGATTTATACATAAATTATGATTGACGCAGGAACAACACTCAATACGAAACTCCTCCGTCTTTATCATCCGGCCGGAGTATTTTTTTACTGTAAGAACATGCATGAAAAGGGATTCAAAAATATGCCACAAGCCATATTTTTGTAGTTATACGTGGTGTGTATTAAAAACAAGAATACGAGGGGCAAAGACCCCACGAACTGAAGAAAGGATTGTTGTGCATCAACACATCACTACTCATCACATCACCATATCATGGTGTTCATGGTCAACAGCATTGTTGCAATGCAATTGCAATTGCATTTAATTTTACAACAATGGGTGCATTCCTCTCAGCTTAGCTTTGACACGCTTCGAATGATGATGCATGGGAGGAATTTCCATTACAATTGTAGTGTGAATTAGCGAGAACTATTAAAACGTAGATATTGCAAGAATGGGGCTTATCAATATATTGACATTTCTGTTTATTTTGTTGTCAAAGCCAAACACAACTGTTTTTCCGTAAAAAATATCATACATGAAATTTTGCTTTTAATCATTCTTGTTCGGGGCTTCTTCTTCTTCGGCACGATAAGGGGATGGGGCTGCTAAGGTCGCTTTTTGAATTATTTTTGTCAGTCCATCTGCAAAACATATGTGTGTAATGCGTTACTTATTGTGAGATTAATTTTTATGTACTCCAAGTAGAATTACGAATTACCCATGAATCTTGGTCTTATTTGCTTAAATACAAAGACATAATAGACCACTACTCCTACTGTTCCAAATGCCAGACAGTAGAGATATTCATATTTTGGATCATAGACAATCGGTATAATTACTAAGCATATTGACGTCAGAACAGCAATTATTGGTATTATTATTGGAACCTAATTAAAGTAAATTAAGTTTAAATTATTTTTACGTATATTCACATTATTAAAATTTAAGCAAACTTAAAGTAAACTTAAACTACATTATGTCATTAGTTGTACATACATACATAATATGTATATTATACATTTTATGACTCACCCTAAATGGTCGATCCACGTTGGGCTTAGAAAATCTAAGAATGACCACGCAAGCAAGTGCTAAACCGTAAATTGCCCATGATACAAAACCAAAGAGATCAATCAAGTCATTTATTTCACTTGCAAATATCATCGGAATGCTAAGAAGTGCCTGCAAAATTAAATATGTATTTGAAGCTGAATTAGTTGATTTACGTTATTTATGCTATTAAATACTCACATTGACGAGTATGGCCACAACAGGAGTAAGTCTTATTGCATGGACGTATGACATGACATCCACCATATGACCTTCTCGACCAGAAACATAAGAGATCCTAGAAAACGTTAATTCATCTTGTATAGTGCACATCAGGTGCATGTATTTGTAGAATATGTTATTACAAACCTTCCAGCAGAGAACATTGAGCCGTTCCCAGTTCCTGCGACCGATAGAGTGACCTATAAATTAAAAATATTGTTGTGTTCCACGTCCTTTTTTGCACGTTCTCAACGAAAAAGAAGTCATTCATTAAAGTATGATACCAACCATGACCGGAACAATCCATTTCGCTTGTCCCAAAACTTGGTCCCCCACAGTCTTTGATTTAAAAAATCAATCATAATTGTCCGTCTGGCTCACAATTCTCAGAAATAAAAGAATTATAGTTTAATTTACAATTGCAACAGCCTCAGAATTAATCATGGCAGTCTTCGATAGTGCTGTCAGATAAGCCAAGTTGATGCAGAGATATAAACTCATTACGAGGACGATTCCAATGATCTACATTATTACTTATTCTTGACATGAACAGTGAATTAAACCGAAGAATTAAAGTCCGACAAGATACATACGATTGCCAAAGGTAAATTTCTATAAGGATTAGATAACTCTTCCATGGCCTATAGTATTTTGTAAAATATAATATTAACAACGACTAAAAATCATCAATAAAAATAACCAATCGCTACAGTTAATTCTCTTACAAAGTTAAGGTTATTCCACCCGTCGTATGCCCTGAATGATAAAAGACAGCAAATATAGACAATGTCAGAAGCTATGGGGTTTGTGTGTCAGCGTGTGCAGAGGTTACCAGAGGCCAGAATAGAACGATGAGGCAATGTCCCCGACGGAGGCATCTCCCTTGTCCCAAGTTTCATTCAAGTCTAGAGCACCCCACTCCCCCTTCGACACATTGTAAATTCCAATCCCAATCATCAGCCCCATTGCTGATAGTTTTGCGACAAGAAACACAATGGCGACGCGCGTTGCAAGCTTGGCACTGAAGATATTCACGGCCGCAATCAAAACTGCAATCGTTTGAAGAGTTCAATAAATGAGGCGACGGATTAGAAGTTAAGGAAATGCGTATTCGTGCATGTACGTACATGCTAAAAACACGGCCAACAATTTCTTGGCCATGTCGTACTCTGTTGATTTGTCAAAATTGCATCCTTCAAAGTTGGAAGTGGACAAAAGTGGGTACAGGGAATACTGGCCGAAGGCGAGGCTGATGATGGCCAGGGAGGAAGGTTTTAATAGTAAAACTGTGAGCTAAATTACAAAGTTTCAAATATATCATACAAAACTTAAACTCTGTTAAAGTGCAAAATTTATTGCGCACGTATTGTGAGATATCGTATTTAATAAGTTTTATGACTTAATTACCCATGAAAACATGAAAGCTGGGAGAGGTCCAAAGAAGGGGTGCATTTTGGAAAATGTGTCCATGTAGTAAGCATGCTCGCCTAAATTCGAGTCAGAATAGAATTATCAATTGCTCAATGCACATATACATAGTTGTACTTGGACCAAAACTAGTATCAAAATGTTACATTTTACTTATACCGGTATTTCAATAAAATAAATCAGCATTAAATGATACATATCCTTATATAACGTAATGGTTTATTCTCAAAAAGACTCACCCCCACTTTTTGGCACTACCTGTTAGAGTGCAACATTATAAACAAAATATATAATTTTGTGAGTAATTTTGTGTGTGTAATTTTTACTCACCGTTCCCAACTCGCAGTAGCTCAATGCCGCTGGAAGACATTAGTTGGTTAATTATTATTTTTTAAAAATCTCTCCACGATCATTTGGTAATAAAATGCTGTATTACATAATAAGGCTAATATGCCACATGCAACCCATACTACTAAACTTGCAGCCACAGAGTCCGTTCTTTCCAGGGATAACAATAAAACTGATTATTATTATACCCAATTATTTTTTAGTTTTTACTTACCTTTCGAGCAATCTTTGTGGACTTATCTGCAAATATTTCAAGGGAGATCATTAAGTTTTGTAAGACAAAGATCGCTTCATGAACACAAATTCTGCTTTCGTGTCGGGAAATGGAAAAGTAAGTCTTGTTACTATAAATAACACCACGGGACCATGTATGAATTTATTTCATAATGTAGTTATGCAACTCGGATGATTTTATGGCGCACTGATCGGTTTGGTATGCTAAATTAGCTGTTCCCCAAATTTGAATTTACGAAAAAAATTGTACGTAGCAGTCCATTCTTTTTATAGATACACAAGTGAATTCTCATCCCACAAACTTACGAATATCCCCGAACCTAATTAAATGGAGCAAATGATAATTAACGTAAATACGGATAGAGTTTATGAATTGTTGGATACATGTGAATATATGTATGTACCTATCATGGTCCCCACTATCAGTGCTACACCGCCTAGAAAAATTAAATCAGAGTCGTAATAGTAATATGACGCGATTAATGATTAGTTAATAGTACTGATATAACCTAAAAGGCCGATTTGACGCTTCATGTGGACCGTTTGACTCTCTCTTCCTGCATCTTTGGAGTCTGTATTGCTCGCGTTTGTAAAGACGTTTGAAACGCCAGCAAGAGGATTTTGGTCTAATTTATTCCAGAAAATATTTTATGATCAAATATTTTACTGAAATAAATAAATAAAATTCAACTTACGGGCGTTAAATCCTTTGTTATCCATTGTAAAACAGATTTACAATAGTTTGCCAAATATTTATGCTACAGAATTAATTATGATTCGAATTCGAATTGGTTTGGATATATTTAGAAAAGCACGTTTTATTGGATATTTTGCATCTGTCCTGTACTATAGTAATTTTTATTCTAATTTCCAAGTGTTTATATACCAGCTACTTAAGTTCAACCTGCATTTCAAAAAACATACACTTGATGATGGTAGTCTAGATATTTTCGGTCTCCAGCATGAAACGCAACATGTTTCTGATCAAAAGTTTAATTGTAACTAAAACACTTTTGCAGGTTGCCAATAATGCATGATCAAAGAACATGAACAGTGTGTCTGGGTTTAGTGGGCACGTTATCAGGTAAAATCTATATCGCATATTTACCAAACACTAACACATCGAGCAGTTTGATAATGTTATCAAATTATTATGAAACTTTACGCGAAGGTATTTTAAGAAATACTCTGCGTCCAAGTTTACTCTACATAATACAATAAAATATTTAATGCATCCTGCATGCACCATTTTAAAACTTCCATAATGTCACGAAAATGTAAACACTTTCGTAACGAATTGCCGAAGGTCAAGCGCATTTTCAATCGGTTTCCAATTGTCGCCAACAATATAAACTTCATTTCATCTTGGTGCAGCGATGAACAGCAATGCGTAAACATGTATGGAGCTAATAATAATAAATAGTGAAATTTAATGGGCACTTATTCTTTCATTGACAAAAAAACAAGTAATTTGCAAATATATTGTTGTCTGTAATTTATTTCTTTGACGCGACAAGTACATGCTTATGTATTGGGTCCAATGGTCAGGCTTATCAGAATAACTCATGATTGCATATGCACAATACATTATTAAAACTGCAGAGTATGTGAAACCCAGTGACGCCATTAAACGATTGAGACAATGATAGTAATCAATGAAAAGTCCGATCCGATCATCTTATCACCACAGACAAATGAAATATTCAGTTCAATGGTCCACTTTCGACAACTACAACATTGCATTGAATTTTCAAAAGCAAATTATATAACCTTCGTATGCTGCACAGCACTAAACTTACATGCATTATCCATGAGTATTACAATGTGTATGACAATAATTTCGAATGTATTTTTATAAACCATGAAGTGCATTCCAACGAAGTATGAAGAGCAAGTACAAACAAATTGATTTATCATGTAGCATGATTCATGTTTGAATTAATTTTGCTAATCCTTTCATACCATCAATTATAAGTATGCGTTTTCATTTAAATTGACCTTTACTAAAGTGTCCATAGATTGTCCACTTTACAAACTATGTAAAAATATTTATGGGACAATTATAACTTTGATATGCAATAAATTATAGAACAATCTAAATAGTCGTAATAAGCATGTATTAATACTTAATATATATTGTTTATATTTAATATTGTTCACCGCGACTTTTATCTAACAATAAGATCACATCCTGGTAAATATTTGCTGCAATTTATCCAAAGCTCGAGTTTGTTTCATAATTTGATGGCCCAATAGCTGAAGGATTGCTGGCCAAATTTTAGCGTGGGGCTAATAAATAAGAGGGGCCAAAGACGCCTGCCTTCGTTGGCGAGCTTTCGATGTGCTTAAGACTTCAAAATGCAAATTCGTACAGATTTGCATGCGTAAGTCCCTACGCTCTCAAATAGTTTAAACATTGCATGCAATTTGAGACAAACTAATTTGTGGGGATAGATAAGTACACTTCATTTGCCTATTTAACTAATAAAGATAATGTGCCTGCTTCATTTTGTTTAAAAAAATGGCTTCTGATTTTCACTTTCTAAATTACTATTGCTTCTCTAGATATTCGATTTGTCAGTTGCTGCCACTTACAGTACAATTCATGTGGATTACCTCCAAATATTTTGTGCTACTCACATAAATAACTATCCTTAACTGCAATACATTACTATGAAAAGGATCGTCGCATCGACACTTGTTTGGTCAACAGCAATAAACTTATGGCAACCACATCGTGTGGGCATGCACAGATATATCAAGATGACAAAAAACAATGCTGCACTTTTAGAAAGGAGGTTGGACCTTATTTACTCTGATGGTAGTTGCATCTTGCATGCCAATTTTTTAAGGCAATGAAAATCAAGTCAATGCAGGGGACGTCTTTAATTAGGATTTTCCAAGTAGTAAGCAAACCATGCGTAGTAAGTAAGTACAACAATATGCAATGTGTTAACGGGTACAATCCCCAAGATTGTGAACAATGTTACTGCAAGTCCGCATTTGATATATTCCGATTCCTTCGTTGAGTTATTGTTGGACAATTATCGCTACTACTTATTTCTTAATCATAATAGAAGGTGCAAGGTACTTTAATGTCAATTTACATATGGAAGGATTCCCATTTCATAAAGCAAAAAGTAACGAACTGCAGGATTCAGTCATTGTCAATTAATAGCTTTTTATGCATTTGTGATCTTGTAATTTATAATGTTAAATAAAAATTTTCTCGGAGTAGTTGACTACATTGTGGTTGCGTTCTGTCTTCTATTTTCACTTTTCATTGGTGTATTTTACGCAACGAAAGGAAGGAAAACCAGCAACAATGACGAATTACTTGTTGGTAACCGAAACATGGGGTGAGTTTTCCTCACAAACACATAAGTATTTTTATAATTTACAGCGTTCTTTTAATTAAAACATGAATTAGGGCAATTCCAGTGGCAGCATCTATTCTTGTGTCCTATCTCTCAGCAATCACCATTCTGGGTCTGTTTCTATTACGCATTTTGTTTAGTTGCATATTTTATTTTTACGCTTAGATTAGATCACAGATATACGGCTTTTGATCAATCTGAGAAAAGATGACAATAAAAAATGAATGAAACGCTGGAAATTAGGTTATCCATCCGAGGTATACACGTACGGATCTCAAGTATTTCTCATGACCTTGCTGGGCATCGTTACCACTCCCATTGCTATTTTCATCTTTGTGAAAGTTATGTACGACTTGAAATTGACCAGCGCCTACAAGGTTAGTTACGTATTTGATCCGTTGAATGGGGTGTGGCAGACAAAAGATTATGTATTTATTTATTGTGCACGTGGTATTTTCAGTATCTCGAACTTCGCTACGACTCTGTTGTGGTACGATGGCTGGGGTCGCTGATCTTCATTTGTCAACTCCTCTTCATCAGTGGCATCGTTCTCTATGCGCCATCAATCGTGATGGAGACAATGATGGGGGTTCCACTTTGGATGTCGGTCATAGGCGTGGGCACCATCGGCACCATTTACACCTCTGTCGGTGGGATTAAAGCCGTGGGTAAGTCTCGAGCTACAAATCTTTCTCAGAATTATTTTAAACGCAATCAAATAAAAATATAATTTTTTTCTTAGTTTGGACTGATGTTTTTCAATTTTTCATGATTTTTACTGGAATGGCTGCGATCGTTGCGAAGGGGGTGTATTCCTCGGGGGATTTGGAGCAATGTTTGAAATTGCTGGAAATCGTGGCAGATTGGAATTATTTAAGTAAAAACATGAATAACATGAGTACACACAAATTGTGCAATGTTACTTAACATGGGTGTGTTGTTTTAGCTGGACTATTGACCCCTTCATGCGACATAATACATTAAACATTATTTTGGGAAACGGATTTTCTGGACTTCTTTTTCTCACACATCAGCCAGTTCTACAACGATATTGCGGTCTGCGCTCGTTCAAAGATGCTGTAAAGTGAGTATCCAATTAGGTCACCAACAAAGGTTTTTGCAGAGAAAGCACATTTAAAATGTTTTGAACATGTATGATGTCAAGCTGTTCTAATGTTCTCTTAGATCAATTATTTGGAGTTATATTTTTGGTTTCCTCACAATCGGTCTGGTGATTCTGACTGGAATATCCATTTTCGCCCACTATGCCGATTGTGATCCTTTAAAGTCGCATCAAATTGAGAAAAGTGATCAGATTGTTCCATTCTTTGTAATTCAAGAGCTAGCTTTCATCCCAGGTTTATTTTTATTTTCAATAATTAAAATCTCAAACGTTAATCTCAAATTTTAATATAAATAAAATAGGAATGATGGGCTTGTTTGCTGCAGTAATATTTAGTGCAGTTCTCAGGTATGTACTTATCAGTGTACAGGAAATGCTATTTAATTTCCATATATGCAAATAACTGTCTATTTTGTAGTACAATATCGTCCACATTAAACTCACTTGCAGCGGTTACATATGAAGATTTCCTGTCCAAAATTTCATTCTTTAGGAACATGGGAGATTTTGGGCAGACTTGTACTTATAAAACGCTATGTGAGCTGCTTATGCATTCGGATGAAATCAGATTAGTTGAAGAAAATATGATTATAATGCATAAACTATTACTATTCTATTTTTGCAGCCGTGATGTATGGAGTTATTTGCGTAGCATTGGCGTTTTCTGCGGAACACTTTGGAAGTATCTTCCAAGCAGCAATTACGGTGGTTGGGGCGGCAATCGGGGTTCTGGGATCTGTCTTTTTAACGGGGGTCTTCATGCCCTTCGTGAATAAGCGGGTGATTATCAGTTAAATAAAATGTTAATACATGAGTTTTGCACATTATTTAAGTTGGTCCGTTCTTATGTTGTTAACAGGGAGCAATTTCTGGTCTCGTCGTCGGAATTTCTGCAATGAGTGTTATTACAATTCAGGCTATTCTGATACAAAAAACTCACAGCTTCCAGCCCAAACTGGACGTGTCTATAGAACAATGTTCAGAGTCAGTTTACGAGAATTTAAAAAATGCAACTTTGGACACTTCCAAAAAGCTCTTAGGAGTCGATGATTTGTAAGATGCGATATAAATATGTGTGCCTGAATTTCTTGATGTAACTCTATTGGATTATTTGACAATTGACTAGAAAGTGGCCCACTAAGTTTTTTACCGTCTCTTATATCCTATACTCATTTATTGGAGGAATGATTACAATCATAGTCGGAGTTTTGGTTAGCGTCCTCACGAATGGTAATATTAGAACTGAAGCACTTGTATTGTGTAATTGCAAATTAAAAATTAATTACTAAATTTGGATGTAATGTACAGGTTGCAGGGATGCGAAATATGTCAGTCCAGAATTTTTACACCCATTAATCAGGCCAAAGAAAGCAAGCGTTCCTCCAGTATCGATTCCTAAAGCACACATCAACAGAGGATTCATTGATTATGGTGATAACATGCAAATGTCTACACGCCCATCGCAGGTCAACAAAAGTCAGGAATGAATGATTTAATGGGTTATATGGAAAATCTAATAACCAAGTCTTAAAACGAAGTAATAAAGGAAACAGGAGTTTTAAAAGTTAATTAATTATTCTAATTTGAATTTCGTAATTTTGTGATGACAGAATGATCGACTTCATGAATTATTTACTTGTGTACTTGGGTTTCTTGCAGAAACAAAAAGCACTGTAAAAACTTGTGCACGTGTACTTCTTCTTGTTGGAGGAACATTATAGTTCTAAGCATGCATGTACATATACCGACGAATTTCTGGATGGAATTCTTGAACGTCCTCATACAATATATGTATGTAATATTTAATTATGTACATACCTATGAATGAAATGAATATGTATGCTTTGTACATCTAACTTTCAATCCACAATAACAATGATTGACCATGCTTTCTGACTCAAGTGTTTTTGTGCATATTTCAAGGACAGTGCTCTGTCAAATGAGAAAATGCTCATAAATGATGAAAATCCTAATTACCCGGAGGCAGTGTAAATTAGGAACGAATATGATTATCACCGCAGATGAATGAATGAGTAATGCTGCATGATGAAATTATATATATGTACACATCTCGAACAATCTTTATCATGGTCATCATTATCCTTTACGAACGTTTACTTGAATGACGATGCAAAACTTAGAACCCACAACCACTAAATAATTAAATTACCTGGCAATCCATATAGCTCGATTAGGTATGGATCGATTGGGTATTTAGTCGGTGGATTCTCTCGACATTCTTCACTCGTCTGTTTTCTTTCAGTAGAAGCATATAGCATACCAATTTGTGACATTCTATCAGGAAATTTAATATTCATTAATATTAATTTATTACGAATAATTTCATCTTCAACATGGCGTACAAACTAACTTACTTCAACATGAGGGGTCGAGCCGAATGTATTCGTATGATATTTGCGGCTGCTGGAACCAAATACGAAGATAATCGCATCGCATCTGAAGATTGGCCAGCGGTGAAAGCAAGTAAGGGGAGCATCTTGAGCAAAAGGTACGATTTTCGCTAAGAAAGATTATCATCAATATTATGTACAGGTACCCCGTGGGGCCAAATACCCATACTGGAAGTTGGGGATAAGACGCTTGCCCAGACAATCACTATCTGTCGCTATCTTGGACATCAATTAAAATTATCGGGAAAGGATAGCTGGGAGGCGGCCAAATGTGACGAATATGTCGACGCTGTGAACGATCTGTTCAATGGTATATAAAATATGCACAACTAAATTGCTATAATTATAAAGAAAGGTGGATTAGAATGTTAAGGTAGAACCAATTTCTTAAATTTTCAGAGTGGGTCAAGTACTTCTTTGAAAAAGATCCAGACAAAAAAATCAAAGCCCACGCAGACTTCAAAAGCGTCCCACTCCCAAAATATCTCTCTAAATTCAACGACATCCAGAGTAAAGTTGATGGGCCGTACTTGATTGGAAAGGACCTCACTTGGGCCGACATTTTTATCGCGGACAAGCTTAATCGTCTTCAAGAAACTGAGGGACCAGATGTGCTAGATCCATATCCCAACCTTAAGGCGTTCAAGGAGGCCGTACATGCCGTGCCCAACATAAAAGCCTACGTCAGCCAGCGCCCCCCAAAATGAAACATTAAATTTATGTGATCCAGAAATTTCCCATGTACAAGTAAATTGGCAAATTGTGCTTTATTTCTAACAAATTATAAATATGTGGATGTATTTGGGCCGGAAATGAATTTAATAAAATTATTAGAGTATTAAAATAGCATGCATTTTTCATAGCATTGATTCTTCGTTGGTATGGATGAGATTGAGACATGTGAAAACAAGTTGAAAACAGGTTGTTACTGATTAAAATTAACATTTGAGATTACAAACATGCCATTTTGCATCTGAGTTGCCCAACAAATGAAAATCATGCAATGTGTTAAAGTATACTTACACCAATAAAAACAAAGATTGCAGTTCTCGCTCTAGATTCAACATCTCGAAAAAGGTGAGAATTTTTGGATTAATCAGGGTATTTTACTTGATGGATCTACGTATTATTCTAAATTAAACTATTTGTGAAGACAGAGTGAATGGAGTCCAGTAAAACACGCATTTTCATTAACAATTTGTGCAATTTTTAAGATGACTTCGACATCCTCAGAAGGATTCAAATGCTCAATTTGTCTAGAATTTTATTCAGGTTGGTAAATATTTCTACCAAAATGGTCAATATTTTGTGGTGACTTAAAACGATTTTTATAGGCAGCAGTTTCAAAGACTACTTTGTTAGCACTCCAGGAGGTCATGTCTTTCATCATGCATGCATCAAAAAATTGATCGAAGCAGGTCATAGCTGGTAAATAAATAATTAAGTGTTTTAATAAAAGTGTGTAAATAATATTTACTCCACCTAAAGTTGTCCCATGTGCCGAGAACATGTCAACTTGGAAAATTTAACTCGACTTTACGGAATTGATCCCTCCTCATCTCGGCCTGAAAATTCCTCAAATAACCAAAGCACATTTGTAAATCGGAATAAAGATGACATTTCGGGCACTGGAAAACCGTGAGTTCTGCAACATGTACAATAGGACGTATTTATGAAAGCATCCATGAAAATAAAATCGTCGTTGAAGCTTCCTTGGGGTCATAATTCTCCAATTGGATGAGGCTTCATTGGAAGCTTCAACGACGACATGTGATTTATGCATACCCATATTGCAGAGATTACGTGTTCAAGATTGTTCTATTGGGAAATTCTTCTGTTGGTAAATCTTCATTGCTTGAACGATTTACGGTAATTAAAAAATGGGTATTCCGGCATAATAAAACACCAGATTATTGTGAACTCTTTGTATAGACGGGAGAATTTAAAGGTGATATCAGTGCAACGACAGGATGTGATTTGGTACTCCGAAAAACTTTGTTAATTTAAATTCAATGAATTTATGGGGTTGTAACAAAACCGATTACTTAAACAGTGTTTCCGTACTCTTGAAATGGGAGGCCGGTTAATCAAGTTAACAATTGTAAGACTTCTGACTTGAATTTTTCAGTATATAAATATGTACATCAAATTATCAATTAAATTGTATCATGTTGACACTTAACCATCATCTTTTCTGATTTTTTTAACAGTGGGACACTGTTGGTAAGATTACAGAATAACCAGATTGTGATGAACTTGGGTAAATTCAGATCAAATAGTTAATCAATTCATTGGGGTTAGGCCAAGAAAAATTTCGGTCTATTGCCACCAACTGTGTTCGAAATGCCCATGGCGTGATGCTCGTGTATGATGTGATGGATGTGAATTCCTTCTCTGCAATAAGCGACTGGATGAAATTCGTGGATGACTATGCTCCCTCTGATGCAAACAGGATTTTGATTGGAAACAAGCTAGATGTGGGTGATCAACGGCGAATGGTTCCTCAGAAACATGGAAAAGTAAGAACCATTATTTCACATTTGTTTAGTATACCGTCCGACAACGGGATATGTAATTGAGCAAAATCTTACTCAGGCTCTTGCTAACAAATTGAAGCTTTCATTTTTTGAAACCTCTGCAAAAGAAGCAAACAACGTTGAAGCGGCCTTTCGCTGTCTGGTGGGAGAAATTATGGAGAATACGGTGCTAAATCCAGCCTCGGAAAATTATGACGATTATGACGATGGTCATACTCGGTATTCGGTGGCAAGATCTCGATCGGGGTGTCGACTTCATCTTCCATATAGACGTGATGATGACCATGTAAATGAGCGCCACGACGGGACGCCAGAATGCCTATGCTAACGAATCCTAATTATCGTTTATTGTAAGGCTACAAATTAAGCGGCATGTTCTTGTCATATACGTAACATACCCGAAACAATATATCGTGCTTTTATACATCGTTGTTCCAATGTAACCCATATTTTTTTAATTCGTTCGCACAATAAAATAATGATAATAATGTTCAACAAACAACTCGGAGTACAATTGCAACAGCCTACAACTGTTCCTCTAAATTTAGGTATGAAGTGTTATTTTACTTCAGTGATACAGATTTTTTTAGAGTTCTCATTTTTTGCATTCGTAGGTAGAAATGAGATAGATGCAAAGTTCTCCATTTCATAAAATTCATAATGATAACTCAAGAATCGTCGCATCAATAATCAGTCCATACAACATGTACAAATACTCTTCATGAATATCTGGCACATGAGCGTATGACTCATCACCAGTAATCTACGTTGCATAAAGTAACTTGAAAGGCAAAAATCGGACCTTGTGTAAAGCCGAAGTGGAGCAACCAACCAACACCACCAAACACCATCACGCAACATTTGTACACATTGTTTAACTCAACCCTTTCAACTCTTTGGATCCTTTAAAAAGCTTTCCCCAATGAAAAAAATCAAGTTCTAACTTGTTTTCGTCTGCATCCAGGAACGTGAATAGATATTTAGAGTGCAAGTGGTGATTGCAGACTCGTCTGATTCAGTCTCATTCTGCATTTAGATTTTTGCAAGCACATTTCTCCGATCCAGCTTTCAAGTAAGTAATAAAGAAAACTCATTAGTTTAAAAGAAATTCTCAAAGTTCTTCCAGTCAAGCGAAATTGAAGTAATTACATAACATGGGAAAGTGCAGCATTTGTCAAGAATCTGGGCATAACAAAACAACGTGCTCCCGACGCCTACAGAAGACCACTCCACTTCAGAAAATAACTCTGAATGGATTGAATGATACGCCAAAAACAGCCAATTTCTCGACCAATTTTCCAAACTCTGCAAAAACACAAGTATCAGCAACGACTTATAAACCAGAAATAATGCCAACTCCATTAAAACCTCCTTTGACACCAAAAGATGAGAGGGATAATAATAACAATAATAAATCACGCAATCAACTCACCGAAAAAGTCATGCCCACTCCCGTAATTTATAATAATGCCATTTATCCTGCTCAAGCTAAAAAAATTTTGGACAGAATAGAAGCAGGGAAGCAAAGACAGGGAGCAACCAACTCTAAAGAAGTGGATTTAATTAAGAAACTTGAGAAGATTCCCATTCCAGAACATCGTGCAGTTGTTGAAACCACTTCAAACTTTTGTACTGGCTGTCACAATCAAGGACATATGAAAGACAAATGTCCATCCCCCATGACCCGGATGCGTAACGACCGCTACGACAAGAAATGTGGTCATTGTGACCAATATAACCATAATATCAAGACATGCCAGAAACTGCTAAAACAAAAACTTCATAATGATGAAGAAGGGGAGGAAAAGTGCAGCGGACCTGGTTCTTGGCTGAATTGTCCAGCAAGAATTAGATTGAGGAAACCTTTGACCCCAACCGATGGTCCAGGTTACATTTACATGTACACTTACCTCAAACCAAAGAGTGAGGAAGATAAGGAACTTTTTAAGATTGGGATGTCAAAGAATGAGGAGGGCAAGCGGCGGATTGAGGTGCAAGAGGCGAGGAACAAGGATCAGTACCGCGTTGTCTACCACGAAGAGACGCCATACAGGTTTGGAGACATTAAATATTTTGAAGGTAAAATTAAGGTGTTAATTTCACTCCATGATTCTTGCAGGTATCTCACAGAAAACGTGATACACCTTCAGCTGAAGGAGATGAGAGAACCACGTGAAGAGGGGGATGGAAGGACAGAATGGTTTCGTGGAAGTCAGGACAGTTTCCTACGAGTGATTAAGGATGTCATCAAAGAAGTTCGATTTGCAATACGAAACGATTACTTTGCTAATATTCCCATTGCAGATGCAGCAGGCTAAAAGCCCCTTGTAAAAACTTGCACAATTTCTTTTCTCAAGGGCGAAAAAATTGTACCAAAATCTCAATAGAATATGTAGTAGAGAAATATATTATAAATAAATATGTACGTATGTGTGAAATAAAGTGGAATTAAATTTTCCTCGTTGTCAAAATGTGTGATATTTTTTGCCAATTTTGAGAATTTTAAATTTTGACTCAAAATGGAATATGGGAATAATTCGATACTTATGCAAATCAATCATAATATATCAAGGAAATTTACGGATATATCTAATTAGCATTTATTGATGTTATACTAATCGCCAGAATTTTAAATCAATAGTAAATAGGTAATTTTAATTAATATAAAATATGTACCATACGACAGAATGGTGGATTATTGATAACTACCAGGAAAACTGAATTGCACTTTCTTGTTTTTCGGTATACTCATTGGGATTGAAAAATTTATAGAGTCCAATAAACGCCTCCGAGTAATCGTCATCTCCAACGAATTCAGAGGAGAATGTCCGGTTAGATCCGTAGTATCTAAAATTGCCATAAATGAACTGTTCCAATATTGCATACTTTTACATGGAGAGCAAAAACATATAAAAGTTACTCAACCTGTTGTTTATAGCCCTATTTCCACCAGCAACATTATAGGCCGAACCACTTTCACTGCTTTCATAAAACGTAAAGAACTCGTGAGCTGGCGAATTCTGAGTGTGCACTCGAGTTAAATTCAATTGGAAACTTGACAACTTTTTCTTTTCATCATGTGGATTGATGATAAAAGTTGCAAATTCGTGATGAGCTCGTTGAACGTCTCGAAGAAAGTCAATCTTTGATGAAAATTGCCCTGGCTCTCCTGTTTTGTGATAATGGAAGTATTTGATATTTGGTTTCCGAATTCCATTTCCTTCAAATTGAAGGAAAAAATTTGGCATAGAACTTGTGCGGTTGTAAGCCAAGGTTATGAAGAACACGTCATTTGCATGTTTTGAGTGTGCATGAAACTCAATGGATGACGAATTCCTGTTGCTCGACCACAATGGCAACGAGCTAGTAAATTGTTCCTCAAATTGGACGAGCGATGCATTATTCGCAGCAAAATGATTATCTCCGGCAGCCAGCAAGCTTTGCATTGATGTCACTGAGAATTTGAAATCATTGGCATTTCCGTCTCTCAAGAATAGACGAAATCGAGTTTTGTGGTCATTCGTGCGAACTGTCCAAATGCATCGAGTTCGATTATTACTTGAGCGGTGTGGAGCTTCTTGAAATCCTGTGGTTTCTCCCTTGTAGGAAATTATCCCTTTCTTCCCCACGAGTACCCCACCACACAAACCATCTACATAAATATGATAAGGATAGAGTCAAATTGTAGGAGAAGTGAAGTAAAGCTTCCTATTTATGGACTGGTTACCCATATAAACGCACTGGTTGAGGTCCTCGTTAATGCTGGCATATTGAACTAAGGAAATAATAAAAATAAAAATGACAAGAATAAGAGTCCTACGAATGAAGTTAAGAAAGTAAAGCCTGAGCCATAGTCACAGTCCGCTTCTAAATTTTTCTCGGATGACCCAATTAAGGAGTACTAACGCCAATTTCTATTCGTCATAGTCAAAAAATTTCCCTGAACCTAGCACGCAAAATTTCATCTTTTTAGACCACTTTAAAGATCCAGTATGACCATTTCGCAAGGAATTCGTAAATTTGACCTCGTATTCTTTAGTCTGATGTGCCTTGCACCGATGCCGAACACAAACTTCTTCTACCATGCACTTTTAAAAATCAGTGGGGGTCATGTTACTGGGTTCTTTTAAATAATAATTTCAATATTATGACATTATGTTTTCACTTTAGTACACAAATATAACCAATGCCCTAAATATCAGCCTTCTATGACTGCAAAATATTCTATACCAAATGACCCCCACTGGTCAATAACTTGACCTATTTTGTCATCTTCGAACTTAACTCCTCATTTGCCCCATGTGTACCAAATTTCAAGTCGATGGGACAAGTTAACGAGAGTTATCGCGAAACAGACAGACCGACAGACGGACATGAACAAATCACTCGTCAAGATTTTTATTTGTAAGCACTTGCAATGTTTTATATTTCGGGTGGAGACTTGCTGCAAGATATCATGCTTCGACTGATTGCAAAATTGAATAACGGTATTCCAAAAGCGATCAGACGACTGCTGGCCAACAAAGGATTCCGAGAGTTTGGTTGACGTCGCATTTTCAGTGACCACCCCAATTTTGCCAGTAAGAAGGTTTAGTAACTGTTTTAGTTCTGAAAAGTGTGCTGTGTTCTTTCGGTCTTGTTGCTCCAAAATACCCTTTATTTCGTTGGTCTTGACTGAAACAAGTAGTAGTGATATATATATGAAACCCGTTAATGTACGTTAATTTAAATACCCTCCAAGGTTGTGAGGGACGAATCCAGCTTCTGAAGTAAATAATTTGGAACGCTCTGCAAAATAATGCAATTAATCAATCAAGCCTATCATAGATCGAGGTAGTTGATAATCTTCATTTTACCGTTGATCCGTCTTTCGAATGAAGAATGACCAAAATGAAGACTACAATACTTGATGCCTCCATGATCTCGTCTTTAATCCTCCAGGTCTGGTTGGAAACTAATATTTTTTTTTCAGAAAGCAGTAATTGCGATACAAATTAGTAGCTAGAGCTTATTGCGGTTTTTTGTTATGCAGCTTATTTATTTATTTGGCTGACCCCGACATTCGTGTCCGACATGCAGTATGTTGAGCTGGTGTTAATGTATTTATTTTCTGCTACCATTAACTTTCATTCATTTTTAAGTGACATTTATTAATTTATTGATATTCATGTATGTATTTAGTTAGTATCGCGTATGAAATATTTACAAGAATAATCACCGCAATTTGTATATGCATGCATAATGTACTACACACGTTTCTAGTAAGATTTGTCAAGATTTAAACAAGGTTATCTTTAATATATTCCAACCATATAACTATTTAGTCTTCTTTGACGTATGGAGAAGGTACAACAAGTGTCATCAATTGAATAAGTTTAGTAAATGTTTCTGAAATAGATGCGTTCATTTAAACCAATTTGGTAAAAGTAATAATTTACAGTAATTTATTCAATTAGGATTTTATTGATTCTTACCCATGCACGGAAGTTGATACTTTTTGTATACGAACGGATAGTAAACGATTATCCCCAACACCGTGAAAGCTAAAGGGCGGTTTACAGGTCATGTTTTTCACGTGAAAAATTTAGAAAAATTTAAACCTTACCTAAGACGTACAGGTACTCAAACGTTGGTGTGCTCACCAATGGAGCAATGACTAGAAAGATTGATATTAGAATGGCAACGATTGGGATTATCAGAGGAACCTGCAAGAACAGAAGGGGTTAGCTCGCTTATGCCATAGAATTGAAAATTTGGTGCAGAAATTCACCTTGAAAACTCTTCGAGCATCTGGCTGTGTTTTCCGAAGAACGAGGACACTGACCAAAGCAAGAGCATAAATAATCCAGGATGCGAAGCCGAAGAGGTCAATCAACTTGTTAATACTGCTATTGAAGATCATTGGGAGAGCGAGAATCACCTTTGAAAATGGAACGAAATCAATCATTTTATATGACGAAATGCAAGATGTACGGTAAATTGGTAAAAATGGGATAAAATACATTGAACATAATGGCGATTGTAGGTGTCAATCTCTTGGCATGAATGTAGGACATCACGTCCTGCAATTTTGAATCAAATAATCTATATTATAAGCTGGAAATGTCTGTTGGCAACGGAAGTGAAAGTGATTTTCCGTGACGGAAGTGAAAGTGATTTTCCGTGACGGAAGTGAAAGTGGAGAAAGTTAAGTTTCGAATGGCGCGAGAATTCAAAATAAATTAAATTCAAAAAATTAAATACCAGAAGGTGTGGTACTCTTTGTATGGGCTTATGGGGGTGGTGGTTATTTAGGGTGGTTATCTGAGGGGTGGTGGTTATCTGGGTGTGGTGGTTATCTGAGGGATGGTGGTTATCTTGGGGTGGTGGTTATCTGGGTGTGGTGGTTATCTGAGGGGTGGTGGTTATCTGAGGGATGGTGGTTATCTGGGTGTGGTGGTTATCTGGGTGTGGTGGTTATCTGGGGGTGGTGGTTATCTGGGTGTGGTGGTTATCTGAGGGATGGTGGTTATCTGGGTGAGGTGGTTATGGTTATCTGGGTGTGGTGGTTATCTGAGGGATGGTGGTTATCTGGGTGTGGTGGTTATCTGGGTGTGGTGGTTATCTGGGTGTGGTGGTTATCTGGGTGTGGTGGTTATCTGGGTGTGGTGGTTATCTTGGGGTGGTAGTTATCTGAGGGCTGGTGGTTATTTAGGTGAGATAAGTGGGCGGCGAGTAGTACTGTGCCCAAGCCCAGCCCAAGCCCAGCCCAAGCCCAATCACTCCTTAGAGTTATATTGAAAATCACAGAAACTACCCCCGTACAGGAGACGGACTTATACCCTAGGAGTAAGTGGTCACTCCGCTGCGGATTGGAGTAGGAGTGGAGTGGGAGTGAGTCGCGAGCACACCGAAATGTCACTCGACTGGATAAAGTGGGAGTAAGGTCCCGTTACATTAATTGAGTACGACACCGCATCGTGGTTCATAGTTTGAAGACGGAGGTTTGGGGTTTTACTTAATACAATTGTACCTCTAATTTAATTTAACAAACACCGTGAATAAAGAAAAACGGAAATATTCTGACGAAGGCACTAGACAGTCAGAATATTATTTATTTTACTTCGACGTGCTATTGTACTCAGTGAGTCTACATTAACCTCCCACATCGCAGCGAAATAGTCAAGATAACCACCCAAAATAACCACCATTTTACGACCATCCCAACATAACTACCATCAGACATTGAATTTTTTAAATTTAATTCGTTTTTACTTTTCGCGCCATTCGAAACGTGACTTTCTTTACTCTCCCTTGCGTTGCAGATAATTTTCTTTCACTTCCGTTACCGACAGATATTTCCAGCTTATAATTTTCACTCGCCCGGCGAGAGACGGGCTTATACGCTAGTTACAAAATAATGTGAAGTAGAGTATTAATGTATATTATCGAATTGTGGCTGTGGGTAAATACTTAGAGGATTGTAAAATTATAATATTAAGTACCACCATGTGTCCATCTCTACCGGCCACATAAGAGATTCTATAATTTTGGATGAAATTATTTGGCATCACATTTTAATAGAATAATTTTCGTTCAACTATTGATTTATATGTACATACCTGCCAGCCGTAAACATGGACCCGTTGGAGCTCCCGATCGTGGACAAGCACACAAGTACCGGAATTACCCACTTGAAATTGCCCAACATATCGTTACCCACGTCCTATATACATATTACAATATCAATAATGAGGTCGATTTCCCGTGTATTAAATGGTTTGAAACTACTATTTGATGTTTATTTAGTCTATTTTACTTACTACTGCAACTGCCTCGGACTCCATCATGGCATGTTTATCCAGTACGGTGAGATAGGACAGGTTGACCAAAATGTAGAGCACCGTTGTAATTGGAATACCGAGCATTATGGCCAACGGCAAATTCCTCTCTGGGTTCTTTAGCTCTTCCGTCACCTATTTCGGAAAAATATTGACAACTCCTACTTTACAAAATTCATACAACTCCACTGAAATATTAGGTCTCTTACAAAACAAAAAATATAATATTAACAACGGCTAAAAATCATCAATAAAAATAATCAATCGCTACAGTTAATTCTCTTACAAAATTCTCTTACAAAGCAAAGGTTGTTCCACCCATCGTATGCCCTGGAGGAAAACGGTAACGAAAAATTAATTTGCATGGTTTACAGGCATCTTCGACAATCATCACGGCATATGTAAATACATACCATAATCCACTGTAAAACGAAACAGCAATCGTCCCGTAATCATGAGAACTATCTGCCCAGTCCCCACTAATTGCTCCAAATTGTCCATGTGCCATGTTGTAGATTCCAATAACTATAATGATAATCATTGTGGCTATCTTTGCTCCAGTGAATACAATTTGTACCCTACAAGTTTGAAGGATACTTATCAGTCATCCTACAAATGAGCACGTCTCTGTACAAAGCAATAACTTAATATTTACCTAGTTGCCCCATTTACGCTCAAAATATTTACGGTAGCAATTGCACCTATGTACAAGGTATATATTAATTAATTTAGCCATTGAATAGATAAATAAATACCCTAATAATTCATTTAGGGAGTGAAAGTACACAACAGCGTTAAGCATTGCAAATAAATATGCCGGATTTATGAAAAACAACACAAATTAAATTAACTATGAACATATATTAATGGGGAATTGCTAACCTGCAAAACAAACCGCAAGCATCTTTTTGCAAATGTCATACTGCCAGGTGGTTACAAAGTCCTCGCAAAATTCAAAGTAGGTCAGGAATGGAGAAAGTGCGTACTGTCCGAATGCCATGCCGCTGATGGAGAGAGACGAAGGTTTCAACAGTAGCACAGTCAACTAATACCACGAGAACATTTAATTTTCTGATTAAATATCTTTCCCTTGATTATGTATGAAATTTGAGCATTTTACTAACCCACGCAAAGAGAAAAGCTGGTAACTCCCCAAAGAATCGATGTAACGGTGCGAATGCAGCCATGTAATAGGCATGCTCGCCCCCACTGCGCGGTACGACCTGTTAGAGTGCAACATTATAAACAAAATATATAATTTTGTGTGTGTAATTTTGTTTGGACGCATATCGAGCTAAAACATGTACGTTGTTAATTTAATTTATTGATCCTCTACTTCCTCTGGGTTAACAGTAATAATAACCATAATATGGTACTCGTGAGCAAAATTAATTGTGTATTGTATTTTTACTCACCGTTCCCAGCTCGCAATAGCTCAATGCCGCTGGAAGACATTAATTTAATAGGCTCATTAAGTAACTTAAAAATATGCAGAAAATACCTGAGACTTGCAGAAATATCTAATTTACACTTACACAAAGTCGCCAAAACCCCACATAAGAACCACACCACGAGACTCACAGCTACAGAACCTGTTTTATGCAACAGGCCAGAAGGACTTACGAATATCCCAGAACCTAATCAAATTGGACAACAAGATTATTACTGGAATTGTCATTTTAAGGAAGAATTTGTAAATTTAAGACAATTATGTATACCAATCATGGTGCCCACAATGAGGGAAATTCCGCCTAGAGAATAAATCAGAGCAGTAATAGTAACATAACATAATTAATTAATTAATAGTAGTTTGTATAAACCAGCGAGTCCTATCTGGCGTTTCATGCGAACTGTTCCATCACTTATCACTGGAGGTGCTTGGGCATCCGGCTGTTTTTTTTCGTCCAAGTTCCCATTGGACATATCACTTTTCATCCAGGTTGAATCGCCTCCCCCGTTAACTTTCTCTGGTTTAGTCTGTTGGACACTGCCATTGTCACTTCGAGGAGGCAGAAATTTCGGCTTGGTTTCAGTATCTTCTAATAAACCGATAGAAACAGAAGACTCCGATAAGGATTTGTTCCCCTTTTTCTTGTTGTTCAACATTACAGGTACTAAGATTTCAGGTTTGCTATGCGCGTTGCAGGTACTAAATTCATGCAATCACAGACTTGCCTCTGATTGATTAAATTAAAGATCAGGCGGATAGATAATCTGGATATGAATGTCTCGCCTGCTCTGCTTTAAATTCTCTAAAAATTATTGACGAGATGATGGATAACCTTCATCCACCTTAATGATTGACAATTAAGCCGAGCTATTGTTTATCCCAGGAAAATCACATAGAACAGTTATAAAAAATTTAGTATGAACTATGATTAGCTGTTGGAGCATGACACTCTAATGCAGACGAGAGCACCTGCATTTTAATTACATGCAAATGTGTATCAAGCAAGATGAGAATGAATAGAAACGGCACAACATGCACAACAAGTGAGTCCTATTATAATTCGACCTATGACAATTATGGCCATGAACTTTAAAAATATTTACTATATTATCAGGTACTTTAAAATATAAATATAATTTCCTTTCCAGCCTGTTTTACTAAATATCAAGATTTTGTGACTCTGTCCAGATTGTTGTTTCTAATTAATATGCAGCTTATGCGTCCTCCGACTTTGAGCGGCTCAATCGATATAAACAATTAATTCTATAAATAGTGAAATATCGATCGAGATCAACTAGTTGTGCTTGAGCAATTCATAAAATTGCAAAGGTACTTGTAGTCCTATGTATATAATCTTGTGGGCCATGTTCACGTGTATATATATCCACCTACTTAGTTCGACATATGATTTGGGTGAGGAACCTTATGCTTAAAAACTATGAAGTTAACCAGAACAATTAAAATGATAGGAGACAGCAGCAGATGTCTACCACCGGGATAGACGAGGAGAAAGTACTGCCACAAGTTAGAGAAAATAGTTCCCGGAATTCTGCTGCTGACATTTTGACGACATTATCATACATATGAACGTACGTACGTCTGTCTATGTATCCTGTCGGACTGGATCGGCTCTTGCCTTCAAACTTTGCTATGGACTGCAAAAAGTCTCATTTTATAACAAGAATAGAATATGGCAAAGTTATTTAGTTGGGAAAGATTCGCACACATTTTGGTTTAGCTGGCTAGCTGCTGGTTGCGAAAACCCGGAGAAGCAACTTGAGACTGTTCAGTGGTTTGGTCTTTTGCTGCTGCTTTTAATCTTGAGACAACTTTGTCTCATCCTCGCATCCTCATTTACTTAGGATTAGTACAAATCTAATTCCATGTAACCCATGCTATTCTCATTCTGCATTAAGGAATGGCCATTTTGAGGTTGAGATTTTGAAAATTCATGTTTGCCAAGTATAATTTATGATACATATTATTACTTACAGAAATATGTGTATCCATATAATATCATTGATATTGCAACTAATTGCAATGTAGGTAGTTAAACTTACTTAAACCGTAGTCAAATGCAGGGTTTTCCATGTCTACCACTTGCAGAATCTTCAACAAGTTTGACTTCACTGCTGGACAGAATCAGCTAAACATTGACGAAGGTGGAAACGTGTCTTGTGTCCCCAATGAACTCTTATCTGTTCAGAATTCATATAAATAAATGTAATAATAGTGGCACTTGATAAGAAAACCTGCACTTCAACATATCAACAAGACCAAGCACATAATGTCTCCAAAAATGTTAACATTCAATAATATTTATTAATAGCACAGTAGCTGCGTTTGTATTTAAGTATATGAGACTTTGACCAGGTTCAACTTGTCTGGGACAGCGAATAATGTGTGGTTTTCAAGCACGCATAACACCTTTACATAAATTCTATTACCGTTACAAAATAAACAATTGTTAAGAGCTATGTAAAATCACTTCACTTTTAAGCTCTGCCTACAACAGAAAAATGAGAACAGTCATTAGTCTTTCTTTTACAGCCCCTGCCCTGCTAAGAAAATTTGCAAGTGATTTCTTCAACCACCACTTCGAAATTACTTAAATGTTTATGAATTAAGTGATACCTAGCAAAGCTGCCTCGATCAGATATTTGTAAATTATTTTGTACACTAATCCATGCATGTGCATCACCATACAAAATGCACTTGGTTATAACACAAACCCAGGTTCAAGGTATTTACAAATATTTATTACACTACATACACTTTGATGTCATTGCATATGTGCATGGATCCGTTGCTTCAATGGTCATCCGAGTATTAATGCAAGTGACGTCTCGAGGGTATTGTATTGTTGGATGCTATTATTAAGTATATTTGTATGTATCAGGTTTTTATTTGTACCACGTTCACTTCATTGCACGCAGAGGAACAAATACCCCACGTCTTATTCGTACTCTCTCAAATCCGGTCTCGTGTTAGACCAATTGCAGTAAAAATAAATAGGTGTGGTTAGTTTTGAGGTATCTTAAATTCCAAACACGGACATCCACGGGTAATTGAACCAAGAAGACGCTCTTCCTGATTAAGTATTTTGATTTATTTACCATGTAAAAGTTGCTCTAATCTTCAGCCACCTTCTGAAATCCACGTATTTAAATAAAGTGGACTGCTTTTACGCAAGCGGAATTGTTTATCAGGCTACAATTAGTCGAATATCCAGCTCTGATGCAATTTAAAAACCTTGCCATAATTCTGAAGGCTAGATCTGAATTAATATACAAGTGATGAATACTGAACACATTGTTAATTCATCGGGGAAAAATTAAAATCTCACACGAGAAAGATCACGAAATGTCAAATGTGTCCAAAATCCAACTGTGTGAATTAAGAATTCCTAATTTAGGTAATTGTACGTGCTTTGAAATTTTGTACCACATCAATCAATCAATGAGTACTTATCCATGTCTGGTCCACAACAATATAAGTTACAATTCTAAATATACACATTTATTCTTGCTATAAACTGACAAAGATAAACTAAACTAACATTCCAGAATATATATCTTATACATATAGATTTATATAATAGCACGCAGCACAATTTGTATGACCTTAAAATTTTTGATTAGCAACTACAAGTCTACTTTGACACAATTAAAGTCTCGCATTAATTGCAATTGCCTATATACATATTTACAACATAGAAAGCTTCTTATTTTTCCTATTTCCAAAAGTAACAGATGAGTCGAATTTTTGATCCAATTTGATATGCAGTCAAGAAAAATTTTAAAGTTTTATAGTAATTGTTGTGAATAGAATACCCGATTCTCTTTGATAGATACATACATGTAAAATTTAGAAATATACGGACGACAAAGTTACGGCGACGGACACGGTACAGCTCAGTTTCAAATTTAGTAATAGTTGTAGATACATACATAAATAGTATATAGTCACAGTTCAATAGAGAGAATTCGTACTTGTTTTTTTTTGTTTGTAAAATCACTCGTTATTTTAGTCCCATCAAGTGATACATAAATATTTGCACGACATTAAGAAGATGCAACATTGATTATTAGTTAAAAATTTGCAAACAGTATATAGTCACAGACAGTTTGTTGCTTATCAAATCTCATTTCAATCTTTTTACCACAGTGCAGTTCAGTTCCTATCAAGAAGCTCATACAGCGTGTTGGTCTGTTCTGAGGATAGGAGGTTGAATTTTATAACAATAAACAAATTAGTATGCAGTGAATAATGGAGATAAATGTGTATAAATCCGTTTGTATATCATCTACTTATAAATAGTCACACGTGCGATGCTCTAATAAATATACCAAGTAAATATTTACAAAAAAAGGAACTGACAAACAGAGTATTGCAATTTTGACTCAATGTTGGCTGATTCACTAACATATTTGTAGCGTTCCATAAGACATGCAAATATCACACTATGCATAAACAATATTAATAGTTAAGTAATAATATACTTCGTACGAGTAAATTAAAAGTTGAGTTGGTAAAATTATCGACGTTACAAACGGGTTCACTTCCTACACAACATTTCCTCTTCGAGTTTTCTTTCTTTGATTTGAATGGAATTGCAAAATCCTAATTTAGTTTTTCCAAACGAATTAGGGCCTGCCGAAGTAGGAGTTTCTCTAAAATAAAATATAAACAAATGTTTAACAAAAATAATTATTTGTAGAACAACTGTCGTAATTGTACGTTTTACTAACCTTCCGATATTTTTCATTCTCATTTTACATTCTGGTGGCATCTCTTCTTCGTCATCATCATCGTCCACATTAAAAACAGAAGCAATTTTGGGTTTCAGAGCAGATGCAGCTTTCGAAGCAGGTTTCTACATAAATACGCATTAGACATGAATTTTTCACCAGACTTGAAAACATAAAAAAATATCCAATTACCACAATTGGTTGGATCATTTTTATTTGAATCCCAGAAGCAGCAGGAGTTTTCGGTGTTGATATAAATCCGTTTAGGTAGCAATTTTTGGGATCTTGACATTTATTATTTATAGGACTTCTGCTTCGACTTTTTCTCTCCTTTTGTTCCATCACTGGATGATGGTTATCCCGTGTTCTTCCTTCTACATCCCAACGACTTTTTCGCTTCTGACTACGATTGTCCTTTTCATCCGTTCGTGAAGACCTGCTATTACTACTACTACCATTATCACCATACCGTTCTTCTCCTTTCGTATATTTATTATTGTAGGATGAGTAATTTTTTCCCAAAGACGAAGAGCTCCCTGGAAAAGTTCTGAACCATTTAACAAATAATCTTTCTTAGGATAAATTAAAGGTCAAAAAACAAAAACTATTGCTCATACCACGACCATCGGATGAGGATGCTGTATTGTACATTTTGACCCGTCACTCGGTTAAAGTTGAGTTATATGGAGCTACATCAATACGCTAAATACCCAACTACAACTAACTAACTACTAAAAACCAAAAAATCAAAATTTCCGAAATAATCTAGTGGGACGGGGTTGAAGCTGGACTGTTGACTGGGAGTGTTGAATGGGGAATTTGAGCTGGGTGGGGAGGAAAAGAGGCAAAGTGAGATTGAGACAGAAATGGAGAACTTGAGACGAGCAAGACTAACATTACCAATTAAGTTTGGTATATTATACTGTTATCTTGAGAAAAATGAAGAGATGCTGAATTTAGGTGTTTTCAATCTTGGGTGGAAGAGGTTCCTGAGGGGGTCTCAGCAATAGTCCAGAAAGAATTGTTCAAAACTTCTCTAGCCGTGATGCGCTCGTTCACGTCAATTACCAACATTTGACTCAGAAGGTCGAAAAGTTGGTCCGCTTGAAATACAGATCCAATTTCCTAAAAAGAAAACATGAATTGAGACCATTATAAACGTACACGTGTTTTAAGAGAATAAGTAAAGATTTAAGTAAGGAACATAGCATACCCTGAATGAACTTTGGCTCACGTGTCGTCGAGCAGACATTGTCGAAGCATCATATTTAAGCCGTCCTTGGTCATTAAAGCAAGATAACATTGAAGCTAATCCGAAACTGCAATGTAATGTAATACAATATTTTACTTTGTTTTGCCAATTGTTGCTGATTGGAGAGTGAGTCAACTATTATTATAAACTCACGTGACTGGTAGTGGTCCAAAGAAGCTCTCGTATTGAAAATATTTCTCAATTTCGTTTCTGCAGTTGAAGAGCAAATTTCCCGTAAAGATCTCGAACAGGGTGCAGGCGGCACTCCAAACGTCTGATGAAGGGCTGAAGCAGCTTTTGTTCTCCGCTTCACGGTGGTCCCTGTTCCAAATGGCGTCGAGCCCCATTTCGGGGGAGCGGTAGGAACGAGTTGTCGCTATTTTGGTAGCTGTCGTCTCGGACGAGGACGCCGCACTCCCAAAGTCCAGGATCCGGATGTCTGTGTTTCGCATCCTGTTCACTTGTAGGACAGGGTCAAAGTCGAACGCTGGGTTGACGAAGGCAATGTTGTCAGGCTTGAGGTCGTGGTGAGCGATGCCAAGTTGGTGGAGAAAATTAATTGCATTTACGAGTTGAATCCCAATTTCGCGTGTTTGTTCAAGAGAAAATCCTTGGCGTCTATTTTCATTCTGAAATATAGAATAATTTCATTTGTATAAAATAAAATAAAATAAATATAATGATAGAAAGGAAATAATATTGATAGGAAATATAGGAAAATAATAAACTTACCAAAACTCTACCCACACTGGGGCCAAGAAGTTCGTAAGCAAGCAGAAGGTGATTATGGCTGGTGAAAACGTGATGCAAATGGACAATGTACCTGCACATCCAATAATAATAATATCAGCCTTGTCATAAATAAAATAACTAATCCACCGAAAATAATAATGAACTTTGTTAAATGTGTTTACTTTCTAGCACTTTCAGGGTTCTGTCTAAACAGGGTCCAAATTACTTCTACCTCACGGATCTGGGCTACTTTTCCAGTTTCGTTGTGCTTGGTCTTGATTATCTTCACTGCTCGTAAACATTCACTGGAAAATAACAGCATTCCAAATTAATAGCATTATTATCAAGACTCATTTTCGTGAATACTTCACTTTAATAATAATTAAAATATTGAATGTTACTTTTTCACATCGATGGTCTTGTACACATTTCCGTACGCACCCGAACCGATTAGTTGGCACATTTTGTCTGTAAGCAATAAAATAATCAATTACTCACAATTCAATTGGCACGTTTAATTCTTTTAAAACATTTCTTACATCTTCCGCCGACCAAGATATTCAAGGTAAGAGGTAGCTGGCTATTGTCTGTCTCGTCGCCCGCTAATTTTTTTATGAAAAGATCAATTGCAAGGTCATTGTCGAACGCCTGAAAATAAAAAAAATGAAATAGTCGACAAATTAAGTAAAATTTAACTCGAATGGTTAGAAAATTAAACCCAGACCAGACCTACCATTTTGGGAATTTCAGCTTCTGGTTGACGAACACCCAAAATGCCCAGCGTCTCGTCCTCTGACAACTCGAGAGGAGGAGAAGCAGAGAAATGATTCGAGTTTGAGGCTGCGATGCACTCCGGGCTCAAAGGTGATAAGGGCTTCATTGTGATTGGTCCTTGGTTTCTTATCACTCCGTAAGCGTGGTTAGTATGCGTCGTCAGTGAGCGTCGTCAGTGTGTGATCAATTTGTTTGACAAAGGGTAGGATTAGTTTCGAATTCTATTCGGCAATTCAAAATGTTTCGTGTCCGATGGGGTAATATTTATTTATTTGTTTATTTTCTGGAGGAGGAGGAGAGCGGAGGAGGAGATGTGTCGTGCGCACTTTTCACGAAGAAATGACTCGCCAAGACTTGATTGTGTTGCATGCAGTAACCTCTCAGAGCAAGCAGACACACCCACTGAATCTGTCAACTGACCCTTCTTGTTTGCTTGCGTGTGACCAGCACCAAAGGGTCGGGGCTGATGCAAGCAAGCAAGCAATCAATCAATCAAACAGGCATGGATTTTTTACGAACACGTATTCTAAAAATGATGGTTCCCAAAGGATAATGAGTAATATTGGTTGAAGAACACTTTCATAAAAATATGTTTACATACTTCATTAAATAAATTTTGCTTTTATTGAAAATATAAATCATCACGTTTTCAATTAAACAAGTCATTAAAATTTCGCATCTAATTTATTCTGGGCCGAAATTTGAGTCAGACATGACACTAAAGTCTGGAACATGTATAACTATATCGACCACATCATCGTCAGTATGGTCCACTGCACTATTTGGGTCACAAATTTTATGATTATTCACCCGACTTTGGTAATCCCCAAGGGCAGATGATGATGAGCTGATGGGGTTGTTGCCAGTGAAAATGTCCAAATTGTGGACAGAGGGTTCCCTGCTCCCGAGAGACGTTGCGGACCCTGAAGGACTGGACCGTCCAGACAGTCGCTGGTTGAAGCTAGTATCTCTCTGGTGAGAATTCTCTGGAGTCGCCAAGTCCTCCACTTTGGCCAAGTAACTCGTGTCCAGGCGAAAGGATGAAGCTCTCTTTTGGACGTCTGGACTTAGTTTTGCAAACAAGTATGGAGCGTTCGACTGAGAAAATGTGTGCAAATCCGGCATCGAATGGGACTGATGTAAACTTGCCTTTGTGTCAGGACTGAGTAAGTTTTGTGTAGGTGTATGTTGTCCTCGCAGGCTTCTCACCGACGCGATTGGTGACATACTAATTGACAGCTTAGGAGTTGGGGGAACAAGGATGCAGGAATCATCGTTCATGTCGTAGCCACCCCCACCAAGGAACTCGGTTTCATAAGGGAAGGGAACAAATTTTTTTATAGGAACTTCGTTGTTGGAGTTGTATTTGCCTCCAGAGTGGTTACTTGAGTTTGTACTTCGTATACTTCCAAAACGATTAATTTCCTCAGTTTTGTTTCTCATGTTGTTGTCGATAAGTCGACTCACCGTTTTTATTTGTCCCAAGCTCTTTCTTGTCTTTCCAGTTGCTTCTTCTCGTTGATTCATGACCTCTTCAATTACTTGAACTTTTGACACAACCTTTCCGTCGCCATCGTCTGTCCTGGGACCACCCCACGACCTTGTATTCCATGTCCAAACTGCATATAAATTCACGATCCAGTTGAAAACAGGGCTGATGAAGAATAACAGGATGTACGAACTGCAAATCTTATTTCGAGTCATAACCAGGGCATTAATGCACAAAAGGACATATTTCACCCCGAAGGTAATGACCATGATATACAGGGCAAGTCCTGGGTTTTGATTCACACTAATGGAAATGACCATGATGGGAAGAATCCAACTGAGACTACGACTAGCGTACGTGTATGTGTTGAGTAGGACAACAAAGGGCACCTTCTTCCACATCACGGGGCTTATCATCGTACTCACATCATTCACAAACCCGCCCAAAAACCATCGTCGCCTCTGTTTTAGCAGTTTTTGGAACGTGTCCGGAGCATCTGTCTTGCAAGTTGCGCTCGATATAAACCTGACTTGGTATGGGCCCTCGGAGTTCTCAGTGAGGAGAAAAGTCATGTATCTGTCTTCGCCGAGGTGAAACCTGTGAAAGTCTGTTGTCCGCCGTTTGTCAATTTCTCTAAAGTAGCTGGGCGCGACTTGTTGTAATGCGCTGAGTCGAATCAGTGTCAAGGCACCCGGGAGACATGTCACTGCGCCGAGACTGGCCTCAGAGGTCCTATTGAAAATTTGCCCGTCGATATATTCTGCGTCTTGAAGGTATTGGAAAATATTGAAGGTTCTCGATGTCCTACAAGTTACAAGCCCGGTCATCCCTGGAAGGCATAAATATATAAATAACGACTGCTAGCATGAGATTTGGCGTTGCATATAAATCAGCGTGGCGTCCAGCACATAAATAAAACTGATGAGAAATGTATTGTTCGTGCAGAATTCTTAACCGCAGCTATCGTGGCTGAGAAGTGGGTTAGAAGTAAGAAAAATCTAGGGTATTGGTGACAGCAAGATCTTGGTTACCCGTAGGTAATGAATTGACATGACGAATAAACTACCTTCTTCGTGCAGTTGTAGAAATGATTATGATGTTTTCGTTGCACAAATGTCAGGTATTTACGTACATAATACAGATACATACCTCGAATTTTTGGGTTGGCTACTGCACTCACAACAAAATTGTGAATGGCATTTTCGTGAAGAATAATGTCCGAGTCGATGAAAAGGATTAGAGTATTGGCCACTGAATCTGCATCTGCACATCCACCAGCATCGCTATCATCTTGACCTCCGTAGATATTGTTGATCACTTTGAAGCTTTTCCCCTGAGTTGGGCTCTTCCCTTCGTGAGGAAATCGACATATTGTGACCCTCACTGATTCAATGTACCACTCCAAACGTGGTGGGAATATTTCAAAGTCACAATTTCCTTCATTTTCTGGGATAATTTCTAGTTTTGCTTTGATTTCTTCGGAAACTTCTTTGGATAAAACACGCAATTTTTTGAGGAGAGAAAAATACAATGTGGTTTCGGATGCTTCATCAAACGCAAGGAAAATGTGGAGGCGATCTGACGGGTAATTGCAGCGTATTGCACTTTCCACCTTAAAGCATCATCAGCAAATAGTGCATTAGACTTTGAATGGAAACATCAATTTCACAGTAAATGTGCACAAGCAGCATATGTAAATGTAGTTAAAGATTATGTAATTACAGCTCGAAATAATGCGTCTGGTTCTTCATTATAGATGGGCATTAAAACCACCACCATAGGTTCGAGTCCCGTCTTGGGATCGATAACAGAGCCTTTCATCCTTTTTCCGGTGGTACCGACAAAAATCATGTAGTAGACACAGGTCAAGGAAGAAAATCCGAAAAAGAAGACAAACCAGGCAGTGTTAATGTAAATTAGAATATCAAAAGCCAGGCTTGAGAGAGATGGAGCCCAGTCCCATGGAATAGGATACAGGAAGAACAGGACAAAAGTTGACCGAAGTGAAGTGTACACTGTTATCCCCAAACCGGCAAAGAACATTTCATCCGTGCTTTTCAATTTCATAATCAGTTGGATAAACACGTAGAATAGAAGCACTGTTTGGAAAATAAAGTCAAAATATGCAATTATCAGAAAGATCGAGATCACAATTTGCACTCCCAAGTTGTAGTGGAGATCTTTTCCACTCACAACTAAAACTGGACCACTCTCATCATGATTTAGAGTTTCAGAGGTAAAATTGTTCTGTTGTTGTAGTAAAATAGAATTTTGGAAAAGGTTCGTGGAGGTCACTTTGTTAGTAAATACGAAAAGTAGCTGTAAGGCAAACAAGTTTGCAATGCAATATTTCTTTAACCGGAACATTGCGAATTTTGCTGTATGGGGTCAATGTCAAAAGAAGTTTGAATCAATTTTAGTGGACACACTAAAAGTCAGAAGATTATTTTAGAATATGTTATCGAGTGCAATCCATGCGTTCGTCCGAAGCCTAATGAACAAAACATTAAGCTTCCTATGATCATGGGTCCGTTTCTGTTACAAAATGACGATTGCCTACGTATGTGTTGGATGAATTAAAGATTTAATTCGACTTATCTTTATCCCTGTAGATGGATGACGATAGCTTCATACATGTGTACATGAAAATGAAATCCTCACTGCATGATGAGGTGAGGACATGAAAATATATATGTGCATACAGTGTTGAATTAAGTGCTTACGGCGACAAATCGGCCATTGTATCCATCAAATCAATCATGTTATATCGAGAATGCCAAATGTTTATATCAAGTCCCACTTCAAATCATTCCAGCAGACAAACCACTTGATGTTTCCGCATATTGCGTAAATGGACTTGCAGAAATGGCACGACAAGCGTAATAGAAACTTGTTTACGTGAATCATTTATGTCAGAGTATTAAAAAGCGCCGACAATTTCCTAAATTATGACGATCATGAGCAAACTAGTAAAACAAAATCCGGGTAAATATGTTCTCTAATACAAGTGACACCAGTGAGAGAATGGGAAATTGCTTTATGTACAGTTTGCGAAACTCGCTTTATTTCTGCTGGATTTCCAACTATAACTTAATTCGATTTGTTATGTATTTACTTGCATCTTGAAGAAGCCTAATTGCAATTAGGATCTACGTTAACATTACCTTGTTGATGTGTATTGACGTACACTAATCTTTTGCTTCTACCCGTAAAGCATGAGATATAAAACCTTTGTGCATCCACGTTAAGTTAACCCTCTCGTTGAGCTGTCCTTGATTCAAGTGTCAGAATTTGAAACCGTTATTTATTATGGTTGGTTGTATGTATGTAGATGCTACTGGTCCAATTTCAGCCTTGGCCTTCCTGTTTGATCTCTTCCACCACATGGCATTTTCGAGTCGAAATAGCACAGCTCTGTAAATGTCTAAATCCACACTTTTCACAATAAAAGAAAGATAATAATTAATTGCCGTTTGCATTTTACTCGTGACGCACATCTTGATCCGGTTTGCTTTGTAGAACACGGTGTTAAATGCTCGGAAATTACATCGCAATTTGTTAATCCTTGCCTCCGAGGAACTCTAACTATTTAATTCTCTGCTCTAACTTGTAAAAGTCGACTGACCTCATGACCTTCAAATCTCACAACACCAAAACTAAAAAATAGGTTGAGTTTCAACTTTATTCCGTCAAAGAATGCGAAAATGGGAAAGAGAAATAAGAATGAGTGCAAAAATTTAATTGGCAATTTGGCAGGAAGACAACTGGAACGGATTGAAACATATACTGTCAGTTAAACACAAATCCTATAAACTTTGTTGATGCTCCGGGGTGTCATGTCAAGTGGACCGTGATTAATTAAGACTTTGAAGTTTGGAGGACTAGCAGAAGGGATAACATATTCTGAATACGTATTTAGAATTTGTTTCGAAATCGATTGTAAGAAATATGAAATTGATTCATGCACAATTTATCAAAAAATTACTGATTAAATTGACTGATCTATCATACAAGTCTATTTTACTGCTAGTATTGAGCAGCCAGTCCAGACAAATAGAGTAAAAGCTTGAAAATAGGATAACAATATTTTGCGCATCTGTAACTCTTTCTAGCAACTCAATCAAGTTGTCTTTTTTTGAAATTCTGTGCTTTGGATTATCTGTGTTAAGTAGCTTCTTGTTTCTGCTAATGTTCCGAATCGGGGGTGCTGCTGGTTTAGCCACAATTTATTTTAGTTTCAGTCCCTAATGATAATTGTTTTAGCCCAGGCCTCGAGTACATATTTTCCATGTTTGCTTTGTTACTCACATTTTACTGCTTCACGTGATAGTGACAAGATTAATGTTTTTGGAACAAAGTGTTATTGGCTATCTACTCGCATAAAAATGTACAGAAATGCATGGATTTGCGTCAGTGGTGCTTTCTCGGAATGGGCATTTCTGTTTCTCTTGTTTTCTTCTAAGGAGGGCAGCTTGCGAGGTTGATAATAACAGATCCTGATGCCCTTTGGATATGTGGTAGGGTCCTATGAGTGTACTAAAACCCTGAAGTGGTTTGACTCCATGGCCACATTTGCGCCCGCCACACCCACTCAAAAATGCTCAAAAACCGCTTTCACTCCGGTTTTCACTCACTCAAATCCACGCCAAAAATCCAATTTTGCTCGGATTTTGAAATTTCTTTCACCATTACACTCCCAGATAGTTGCTTTCTTCAATTCGATATCAAACTCAATATTTTCGAAATTATTAGTATTTTTAAAATTTAAAATTCTGAATGAGCATTGTTGTAGTAATCCACAACGCAAATTATGCCTGCGAAATAATCATCATCAAAATTGAGTTTGACATTGGATTGAAGAAAGCAACTATCTGGGAGTGTAATGGTGAAAGAAATTTCAAAATCCGAGTAAAATTGGATTTTTGGCGTGGATTTGAGTGAGTGAAAACTGGGGTGTTTTTGGGCATTTTTGAGTGGGTGTGGCGGGCGCAAATGTGGCCATGGAGTCAAACCACTTCAGGGTTTTAGTACACTCATGGGTCCCTACCACATATCCAAAGGGCATCAGGATCTGTTATTATCAACCTCGCAAGCTCCCCTCCTAAGTTACCGTGATCATGTCCTAAGGTCAAAACAATATAATTCGTATCTATACTTAGGATTAGTAATACTACTTCCATTGTACATATCTCAGTGTGCTATGAAAACGGTTAAATAGGCCTACTATGCATTTGTTTGTTTGATTTCCAAAAGCTGCAAACGCCTGGAGTCGTCTCCTCATAATCGCCTGTCTGTCATCCAATTGTTTGACAATGCTTATCTTCTAAATATAATTATGTAATGTTCTAAAAAACTATTTGTCTTTGTCGCATTGTGCCAACTTTTCATCATGAAATTCATCCTTTCTTCGTTATTCTGTTTTTGCGTATGTTATCTGGTGCAGAACATTCAAAAAGTCTTTGTTTTATCATATACATTTGGATTTGTGAGTGATAAGTTTTTCCATGAAAATGGTGAGTGACTGACTGGTGGGTTGCCAAAATTGTGATGCACTTGATGACATGTACGTCTTTTGTACCAATTGTACCAGACTCTACTTTATTAAGCAGCACGACATTGTTGGCTAATGAAACTCATTAGTTGTTTTATTAATTAATTATGTTATGTCACAATTGAGATGTACGTAAATAATCTTTTAAATTGTTACGGAACAACAAAAAATAGTCTAGATTTTAAATCTCCAAAAACATATCGCTTCGCACGTCAACTCTTTTGGAGGCACTTATTGGCTATGCACATTAGTGAAGGTGAAGGTGAGTCGTTCAGTGACATTTTTACAGTTAGTTCCAACTTCGATTCATTATATGCACATAAATAAATACACAAGTTTACGTTTTATTTTTGAACAATTCCTCTGATGGAGCGACATGTGGCTTTCCAAATTAAAGTTGGTTGGGCTACCCAACTACTTCAAACCTTCCAGCCAAAGTTTATACATTTCCCGTGTAAGTTGGATACCGAAGACAAGTAGTTTGTTACCTTATCATGCCCGTAATCACTTATGTCATTCTGGTGATACGCTATATGTACATATGACTCGTTCTTCCCAATGCACACAATCACTCACAAAATCCTACAACTAAAAATAGTTCTGATTGGAGGAACTTGGAGTTGGGTCGGAAAAAGCAACTTGTTTTTATTTCGTGTGGGGGTGTCGTAGTAAAGCAAGTGCAATAAATTTCCGTTTGCCCATGTTCCGGGGAGCCATGTATGCATCCATAAGAAAATGGACAAAGGGGGAGCAATTACGAGTATATTAAAGAAAGTTTAGAGATGATGCTGTGTGTCTGTGACCCTGAACTGTGTAAAAGTGTGTTAAATTGCGGGGTAAAGTAAAGAAATGAAATGCATTATGCCTGCACGAAAGTGACCTGAACTAGTTTTTTTATGAGAACGAAGGTAAACGCCATAAAATTATTAAGATTCTCATAAATTTTCTTAACATAATCAAAATCGGTGTTTGACGTTTCTTCGGTTTCCTCTCATGCCAAGAAACTCAGCGGTGCATGACGCTGACTAGTGTGCTCTGTAACCACACAGCCATGGTTAAAACTCTAGGTATCATGGATGACGCAACGTATCTAGTCAAAGTCAACTAGTTTAATGATTTATGTTAACTGCAGTGTCGTTCTAGTTTGTCCTGCACGTTGGTTTCCACGAGTGTTTAAAATTTAAACAAGCCTTCAGCAGTTACATGCAAATCACAGGATACATACATCCATACGTCTGTAGGGTGTAGGGATGTTCTGTGCCGTACGTACTTTTTTTAAATATTAGTAAATGAGGTGTGTTTTTGCGCAAAACTTGGAAAGAAAACGAAATGACGGTTGTTTGTGTTTTAAAATATGAATCTGCAAGTTTTCTGCCTCACGTAACAACACATGGATATCGTCCAATCACAATTTCCCATCTAATATAACATCTGCCACGGAAAAATACAAAAACTTCTTTGTATGCACATTGATACGAGTACCACTTTCTCTGCATGTTAAGGATGGCTACAGTTAAGACCAAAATTGAATGCTTTCATCAGTCAGATGAAAAGAAGGGGTCGCGGAACGAAACCACTCATTACACTCGCCATGTCAAGTTGACATCAAACTTTTTATGCCCAACTGCCACCGTCTAGTGTTTTTCCTCGCTAATAAACAATTAAATAGTCATATCCTCCAATTTAAAATTTTCATGAGACACAAACTTACAAACTTTTGTAATCTGTGATTTGAAAGTACCCGTGTGCTGTTTTCAGCTGTTTTCCTTCTGCTCCGGACTGGTTTCACATTAGCTTCAGTTCATCAGTTACGGTTTGTTAACTTTCGGATTTGTTTACTTGTATGGCCCATGTTTATGCAAGCAGCGATTTAATAGCAGTTTTAATACTAGTCGTATTTTAATGGGCAATGTAAGACTTGGTTTTGTTTATCTGTATATAGTTTGGATAATGAAAGAAGAGCTGTACGTATTAGATAGTTTAGTTGTCTCAATCGCAGATTCTGCGAATGTAATTGCTGCGAACAATGTTGTTGTTTATGCTGAGACGGTTTGCATCTTGCTTGGTGGATATGTTTTTGTATGCCAAATTGTCAAGTGGACTTTTCAATCCCGAGGATATTGGAGACTGAGGTTGATAAGATCTGTGTCACAGTCGCACATCAATCTAACGAGTGCAATAGAAGATCACCTAGATTCAATTTGCCAATTGCTATTTATTTCTGCGATGGACGTGATCTTATTTGATTCTCAAGGGTTTTGGGATTACCTCAGGCATGAATGGTGAATAAAACTGAAAAATGGATCTATTTTCAAACTCTCTCGTTGTGTGCATTTTACTATTTGGTTTTTTAGTTCGTAGGAGAGAAGTACAGATCGTAACTCGGATTCAGTTTACATTTTGCAGACTGTTTTAGAGTCAGTTGCAAAAACCAAGAAGAGAATTTTGGACCAGGCAGTCTGACTTTTCATGCATGCAGATTTAAATCTGACACCACCACAAAACTGGGCTTCTTGTTGGTGTCATCCTCAGTCTGGAAATACAGTTGGAAGGAAGTGCATGATATGCACACAAGTTTATAGGATTACACTGTTATTATAGTCACTTCTTCTTTCTTTTTGAAAGGAAAACGAGCCTCTAATCTTTATTATCTGATCCCGACAGATTATTTGGGCTAGTTTAACATGTTTTATAAAGTTTAATTGGGGGAAAATATCTTGTTGGTTGTTTGACCAATGGAGAACTGGCTGGAGAAAATGGAGTCATCAAGTGGGGACGAGGAGGACGAAGATAGCTTTGAAACTTTGATAGAAAAATTGCGAAGTTCTAGAAAGAAAGAAGCGAGGGTTTCCGAAGAAAAGGTAAGCCGCATGAAAAAAAAAACATTAAAATTACTAATGGCAATGTAGGGGAATTATTATAAATGAATGTGTAGATGACCATGCTGGAAACCCTGTTGAGACAACAAAAGACCGAACTAGAAGACCTCAGGTTTGCATTTTTCATACGAAATTGATTCATTGGGATGTTCAATAAGGTGGTTTACAATTTTTGTTAAATTCAGGAAAGCAGTTCGGGTCATGAAAGCACAAGAGTTTCAGAGGAAGGCAAAATACGAGGAGACCTCTTCAGCCCCCTCGTTGACTTCTTCTGAGAGCGAAGAGGTACATAAATGAACAAATATGTAATAGAACATTATTATTAGAACATTTAACACTGCATAAAATAAATGTTGGGGATTATCAGAGCGAAAGTGACTTTGACGATGATGAAGGAATTGACACTGCCCCTCACACTTCCTACTCCTACTCGGAGCCCAGCCATCCTTTGCTAATTGACACGGTAAGAATTTAAAAAAATATAGCAAAACAGTCGGCGGAAATTCATTCTCAGAATAAACTGATGAGTCGCGACACTTTATTTCATATTTACAGATACTGGAAAACATAATCAGACAATTATCTCTTAAATCTCTACTCACTGCTCGTTTGGTGTGCAGAAAATGGACCAAGTTTGTGCAACCATTTCTAGTCGCAAAATCAGATCGAGTAATCCTTGAGGTGACACATTGCTAAAACTATTTCTAATTTAAATAACTTACTTACGTTACAAATGTACGGAAAATGACATGTTGCAAGATAAGGCAAAATACTAAATGTACAAAGGGGAAGATGTCATGAGCTATTTTAGAGAATATTCTAAACTTTTTAGGTTCATCAGCCCTGGAAAGTTATAAACTCTGGGAGATCATCCGGTGGTCACAAACTAAGCAAATTCCTTCAAGTCATGCGCGGAGGCATAGACTCTTGTCCCATCAGCAAGTTCGTATTGCGACACTTTGACAGTTTTATAGAGCTGGAGCCATTTTTCCTCAAGTTTGGTCCAATCATCAAATCCCTTGATCTCAATTTTCCCAAGATGTTTAATGAAAATGGAGCATTTCGTAGAATGCTCTTTGATTACGCAACATACATCGAGAATCTACGAATCGAATGCTGTAAAATCATGGAGCTTTCGCATTTCTGGGAGTATAGTAACCTTGAGCCAGGATCATTGAAACTTAATTGTCTCAAAACTTTGTACATTGGAAATATCCGGGGTTCCATCCAACTCAACAAAAACTGGATAAAGGATTTTTTGAGAATGAGTCCAAACCTCAGGAAGATCATATTACAAGTCCACTTCAAAGATAACGGACACATTTTCGTTCAAACGGTTCTGGAATCAATGTTGGAAGTTTCAAATTTGGAAAGAATAAAATTTCTCTTCATCTCCTCACTGAGTCAGGAAAATCTTCAAATTTTGGTCAAATTGGCAGAAAAAGGACTGCAACTCAAAACGTTCAAGTTTCAAGATATTTGTCTGCACCACGTGGCTCACGGGGTTGAAGAGTCCATCTCTCCAGAAGCGATGAGCAATTTTCTGCAAACTCAGTCAGAGTGTTTAGAAGGGCTCAAGATTGAACAACGTTCTAATCGTGTGAGGGGGTTTTTATTTCCCAGAATGACAGAACTGAAGCACCTCCATTTCATTAGTTTTGATAACCTCAACTGTGGGAATTTGAATTACGGCTATTTATTCCCTAAATTGGAGAGCTTGATATTGCGAGGATACAATGTCTTCCCCAAGTTGCAGTACTTTTCTCCAACCGTAAACACTTTTCCGGCCGGGGTCCACGTGCGAAAATTGTCCCTCCCCTCGGGAATTAGAGAGCCTAGCTTTCCCCCTTTTTTGGCCAAAATGTTCCCAAGTGTGTGCGAGTTGGAGCTACGTGGAGGTACACTAAATTTGAGTTTATATACTTAACTATGCTAGTTTTGGTACAAAACAATAATTAATATATGTGTGTAATATAATTACTGTTCTCTCACTGCAGCATCTAATGAGTTTCTGCAAAGTATATGGGAAAGTTGGCCACGACTAAAGAAGCTAAAAATGGTGCTCTCACATTTTGATGGGTGCTTAGACTCGGGACTTACTGGAGTTTCAGAACAAGACTGCTTCCGAATTCGCAATGAGCAAAATTTTCAGCAAGTGCGGATTGACGATGTAAAAGTTGCATCGTCCATTGTAGATTTAAAAGGTAAATATATGAACATACAATGGACCACTGCCCTCATTCAGACTCATTCTACCTGTTTTTTGCTACCCATAAACTATAACAATCATGTAAATATTTTGTATGCAGACTTAAGGGACCTTCAAATTGAGTGCAGATCTATTTGGGTGCCTTGTCATATCATCACGGATATTTCGGGCTATTTAGCCTTCGCTGGGATGAGTCAGCTCAGGTCGTTGAAAATCACCGAGATTGGGGTTCCAGAGCACTTTGACGTAATGCAAAATATTTCTTAAAGTATAAAAAAACATTTTGCTCATTTCTCGTTTTCTGCCCGCAGTTATCCGAAAATTGCATAAAGTATATACATGAAAACCTATGTGATGCTGAGATAGTACTCCAAATAATGGATGACCACGGTCGTTGGCGATTGGAACTGGAGGAGGAAGAGGCGGCAGTCAATATGTACGAAACTGAACCACTTCTTGAAGACCATAACAAGGACAAAATCTACCAGTTTGAGAAAAATGTCGATTAAATTGTATAATAGCTGCCAGCGGTCGAGCAGTACTGAATATCTTGTAATGTAATCAAGCGCTACGTTGTTAGAATTAATGCCGTTGATTTGTTTGTATCCAGTGCCCATGTATATTTTACAAAGTATATATAGCATAATTTTTCACACATATGATTCCTTGGGTGAGATGCCTTTTACTTTTCTATTTCATTATTATTTTATTTCATTTGTACCCTCCTGTCTGGGCCATGCATTCTGCAGAGCGTTGGATATAATATATAATAACACTTACACGAAGTTGTACAATATACATAAATAAAATCACACAGCCATTTTATTCACTACTTAAAAAATACATGTAGATCATTATACTTACATCCTCACTTGATCTTAACAAACGATACAAAAATATGCATACATACACACGAGACAAACACAAGCCTTAAGAAATGCCGAGCAACTTCTTAGATTCAGCTTCTTTTGTCGTGATTTCTGGTGACACATACTGTTCCAATAACATCTTTTTCTTCAAGTCAATGATTTTCTGCTCAATTTCCTTTTGGGATGGAACTTGAATGAAATAGTTTTTAACTTCTTCTTCAACCTTGGCCTTCTCTGCTTCCAACGCTTTAAAATCTGGAACGGACTTCCCTTTCGTTTTCCTCTTTTCAATCCACTCTGCCTCCAGCCTGTCGATTGCGACTGCCTCTGCTTCCCTCTCCAACGGGTCGAGGATGCCGTCGTCATCATCGCGATAACCGTAGTAGTCGGCGTCCACATCCCGCATTAGCTCGCCCCTCGTCTTCTTTGGAGCATGACTAACATCAGGCTCAAATAATTCCCTAACTCCAGGCAAATCCTTCGCAGCACCGAAATATTTGTACCCTAAAATGCGAAATGAAATTACTCTTGTCGATTCAAACTAAATGCTGTAAATTATTTAATTTTACCTCTGGTCCCTGGAACTTCTTTTCCCTCGTTGTCAAACATTTTAGGGCCATAACGAGAATAGTTTGGACCCCCCAACTGTGCTATCCTACGTTCCCAATGGTACTGAAAAAAGGACCATAAACCATAAATTATTAACAAAAACGCATGCATTAATTTGTACACATGCATTTTCTAAATTTGCTCAAATAGTATAATACCTTTTCTCTGAGTAGTTTGTTAATTTCATCATTCATATCTCGAAGCTTGAACTCTCCAAGCCCAGCGTTCTGAATCTGGCTAACTTTCTTTGCGACATCACGAATGATTTGCAGTCGCCACTTTTCCGCCTCTGGCAACTTATCTACAAGGGTTGAGAGGTAAGGGCGGCGTTCGTTCTTCGGGCCTTTCTCTTCCTCTAACTTCATGGCGTGCCACCTGGCCAAGGTCGTCCTATAAATAAAATAATCAACTGAGTCAGTATCGTATTAATTAGATTTGCATTGCAATAATTTGCATTAGAAAGAAGACCTGATTTAATAAAACTACTGTACGAATTACAAACTTACATTGCTTTCTCAGAATTTCGTGCCATATTGTTGATCCCTTATGGATGATAATCTTTACAAAATTTGTAAAATTAACTTAGCACAATCAGTTTTACAATATATAATTGTAGTTTATTGTAGTTCTTTAAAAAATGTGAGAACGACAACGATGTAAGGAATGAAAATTAAACCGGCGAGTCTTTTTTGGAATCCAATCGCTGGGGCGAAGCGATACACTGGATGACTTGGAATTTGAGAAATCTCAAATATTGAGATTTCTCACTTCGTGCAAATAAAGCAAGTAATATTTAAAGTAAAATGACAGATTTTCGCCGATTTCCATTAAAAAATGACGCGTCACAAATTTCAGCTTCAATCTTCAATCTTTAAACATCTTTATTAGATCGGTGTTTGTCATATGCGAAATAATTTGCAATTATAATTAATACAAAATGTAATTACTGCAGATTGCAGGAGTTAAATAGATATGAAAACCTTAATTGAAAAATGTCTCATACTTGACATGTAAATTAAATAAGTTCAAGTGCATGCGGTTGCGGAAGAGTAAAAGAAAATGCTCTAAAATTGGTTTACAAATATTATACTTATAAATGCGTATTAATTTAACAAAAATAAAAAAAATAATCCCCAGATTCGGTGAGATGAGATTTCATGATTTTAATGTGTACCCTTCTACATATATATATTCTAAAGCTCAGAGAATTAAATGGCATTCTATCCAAAATTTGATTATCAAACCAAGGAGAAATACTTAAAATCATTATTCATCGCTTAATGCTTACGTATATACATATCTCGCATTTCTTTTCTTATTATTTACTAATATACCCCATATCACTGCAGTAATGAATATTGTGATTTAGTGTGAAAAAATTACATATTGTGATAAGATCATTCTTTGCATTCTATAAATAGTACTATGATTGCATATTGGCTTCCCTTATTTAAACCAGATCTATCTAAAAGGAGATCCAGATTCACTGAATCTATATTTTTGGTGGTGGTTAAAAACCAAGTTCCTCCCTCCATTTAATGACACCTTCCACCATAACGTGGCCTTAATATTTCACCACAATTTTCATATGATGGTCGCAAATACGATTTGAATGCAGATTCAGTGAATTAGGATCGTCTTTTAAGCACTATGCGTTCCTACATATGGACATGCACTGGGGAGGGGACGAGGGCAGGATTGTCATAGCCATGGTATTCTGGCAGCGTCGACTCTGAAGGCTCTTTCTTCAGCCGGCTCTGTTTTTCCTTGAGCGTGGGAGTTTTGACCCCAGGATTTTCCATCACGAAGCCCCCACCTCGAAGGCCTAGTGCACCACTGTCCTTCTTGTTTTTCGAGGCGGACCCGTATGCTGTAGTGGACGAGGGTGGGTGGAAGAAGGGATTGTTGAGATAACTGCTGCCCTGAGTGGTTACCGTCCTCGAGACGAGGTCAGGCGAAGAACCTCTGCTCAGATTGTTGTTAATGCTGCTACTGTTGGAGGAGGGACCCTTGTGGATGTCAGGGATCGGAAGTGACAACACCTGCACACACAAAAATGCGAGAGATAGTTTCAATTTCAGAATATTTCATCGCCCTTTATAAATAATTCTGACTCAATTGGCTGGTACCTGACTGTTGCTGTAAATTACTGGATAGTCGGCCAATTTCTTTGATTTTTTGAGATATGAACTGTTGGTGGTGCTTTGGTGTTGAAACTTGTTCCTGAGTCTCTTGAAGTAAACCATGATGGCGAAGAGGACTAGCATCACCAGAGTTGACAGGATAATTACCACTCCTACGACAGAATAAAAAATGCATGCTTAGTTAGGACGTCAAGTGTACCAGTGTATCTGGTCATCATTAGACTTGGTATGCATACATTCAGGAGGTTGTTAACATAATAATTAATGAAGCTGCGGATCAAAAATTTCGTCGTTATTGAACAGCTAAAAGAATTTCTTGGCACACGAGCGTCGTATAGCGATCAGTATCTGTTACATAGTTTTACTCTGAGTCATGGTCTCCCATTAATTCTCGCACTTGTGTAAACTTCTAAACTAATAATATTTTTGTGTTGTTCTGCTAAAAATGATTTTTTACTACTTGATGTGTTTTTTACTTTGTTTAACGTGAATATTGGTGAGCCTTACCGATCAATATCTTCAAAAGTCTCAAATCCTCCTGGACTTTGTAGTAGAGATTGATGTATAACTCGTCTCGGAAGTCAGACTCGTTCTCCGGCTTTCTCATATACCACAAATCATGGAGCCAATCTATTGAGAATTACAGTTGAAGATTTAATTTGACAACCTAATTACCAATCGTGGTAATCAATATGTAGCATAAGCAATATTTTCCTACCCTGACAGTCTTTCTCGCAAACTCCTTTGTCATAATTCCCCAAAGTCGGATCGCAAGCAACTTGACATGGACGACATGTATGATCAATTTGTGAACAATAATTATGTGGTTGGCAAATTATATCTCCGCACTCTTTCGAGATTGTCAACTTTGCGTGAACACTTTTCGGCAGGGTTCCTATGCTTAAAAGTAATACTACACTAATGATCGTCAAGTCTTTAAGAATTTCAAAATTTTTAAATGATTGTCTTGATTTTGCTGTCCTAGTTTTGTCAATAAATTCCCTACTTTTGTGATTAAACTCTTTTAAACTGCCTTCTTCCATGATTGATATCAATAAAATTTATGGCTTGCGTTTATAGAATCAAGTGTATGTAAAAATAATTAGTAAAATATTTGAGTATTACAAATACGTGTGGTCATCACTTGATGACGAGAAGAATGTACTGTTGCAGAGTAAGAAGGAAAAAATGACAGTTAGTGTATCAATTTGGCGAATGTATTGCGTGCTTAGATGGGTGAATGATGCGATTGGACGGATTTCACAGGTTCGCAATGAAAGGGTTGAGTTGGAAGTTTGGCTGGTTGGTCGGACGGATGTATTATTCAAAGTACAATAGAATGAAGAAGTATGTAGAACTAGAAGGATTTGTGGGAAGGGTGTAAAAAACAACAATGGTGACTCATTCTTCCAGGTAAGTAGCATGCAGGTGAGTGAAACACAGGTAGGTTACGGAATTCTAATGTGATCGTGGTGAGGAGACTTGTGGACTCTGAGATACACATATTTACTAGAGGGGAGAATAGCTCTTAGGATTAGAATAGCTCTTCCCTAATATGTATTCCCACATTTGTACGTATGCATGTATTTACATACTGTATTAAGATCTATTGCTTTATTTTATTGCAGACAGGTACTTTGAATTTGAATGAGTGCACCTGTTGTTGTGTGTGAACGGAAAGCGAGATCATGGGTCGTTCGATACTTGAATGAAAATGAAACGAAATTTACCGATAATTTTCAAAACACTTTTCCTTAATGACATTTAATTCATTTAATTCTCCATTTTGCATTTGCATGTATTTTAAAAAGTAGATTTACTAGACATAAATTGGTAAATATTGAATTGTGTCTGTATCCGGGTCAGCAGGCCCCTTGTCGTACCACCCTCAATTCTGCAATTACGTACACATATAGAACAGATTTTTATTAATTTCCATACATTGGATAATAAGTCTACATTCTAGTAACATATGCGGATTATTACTCGAGTTTTTCTGCATAGCGCATTTGAAACTGCATGGATTTGCGTAGGTTACACGATTATTTCCACACACTGGTTGATCAGTCATGACACAGTTGCAGTTATCGTCCGTGGGAGCAGTTCCCTTTTTCCCTTTTAATAAATCCAACAAACCTCGGTAGTTTCGGGTCTAAATATAATTTACATGGAATTTTAGTAATAATTATAGTAATACATATATGTAATTGCCACCACGCACCAAAATTTTGCCTTGTCCTTCGTGTTCGCTTATTTCTCCTGATACTACGAAGACATTTAAGATGACCATCACGACAAGAAAACAGATGAGAATAGTGTTCCGAAATCTGCACGGCTCCATAGTTGTTCTTTTCGTCGATAAAATCCCCATAACCCTTGGAGGAAAGACTCGAACCAACTTTGCAGTTTTGCACCGATGCTGACTATTGACTAAATTGAGTATTGGTATAAGTCTGATCTTGATGCAGTTTTCAGTGAAATATGTAGTTATTCACTGAGTATGGTTGTTTGCCTACATCAGCACATGAATAATTTATTAATACAAATAGAATAATAGTGACTCTAAACATTCTTGCTTCTACATACATATTACTGTACGTAGGCGCACATAAATATGTGCAATGCACTCCCTCTTCGATACAATAATCATTCATTTATATGTGTACAATTAGCCTAACTTTAAAATCTACCATTGCTGTCAAGCAATCAGTCCCGAAAAATGGTGCGAAATAATTGGGGGAATAGGTGCAACCCGCATCAGTGGGGCATATTATCCCGTAGTAATTTACATCCCATTTTGCAATCAGTGAACCTCGAAAAAGTGTCAATATTCTGTATCAATTTTCCTCATTTCTGCTGCACCAATAGTGCAATTGTTTCTAATATATCTAGTTTATTCGCTTCTTCGGTACGATTGGTGATCGTCATATGTACATTAAGTATGACAGGGCGAGCTACTTCTACCGCTACAACGGTTTATTAGCTCACCCTGCGTAATGAGTTTTTTGCATCAATTGATGCTAATTAAATAGGCCCATGTCCAATTTTTAGGAAATTAATAGCACCATTCGTATCGAACAAGCGATAACACAAAATGGTGCCAAACAATTGGGAGAATTAATTCAATACGCAGCAAAAGTGCAGAATAACCGACAGAAATACAACCCCACGAGGGGCGTCTAAAAAAGTCGAAATCATGTCAAATTTCTGGGTGTATTTTCCCCGCTTATTCTCCACCATTGGTGCAAAACCCCAAGATAATTATGCGTCTAATTTTGTCCCATTATTTTAAAATCATGCATTTGTTTGGATATTTATTTTGCACCATTGGTGCAGAATTGTACATATGTGCCAACTTACTGAAGTATTACAGGACGAGCTACTTCTAACGTTACTACGGTTTATTTATTAGCTCGCCCTTCGTAGCACGAGAGCTATTGAATTCCTCGTGTCCGTCCGTCCGTCCGTCCGTCCGTTGACGAGTTTTTTGCATTAATTGATGCGATTTAAAAAGTCCCTTGTCCATTTTTTCATAAATTAATAGCACCGTTAGCATCTGACAATCGGAAAAACCAAGTGATGCGAAAGAATTGGGGGATCTGATTCATAAAGCACCAATAATGCATACTAGACGGCGGATTGTATTAGACAATTTTGACATAAATTTTTCAAAATTTTCGTTGATCGTTGGTAGGTAATTCTGCACCAGTGATGCACAATTTTTGGACTTTCCTCGATGCATAATAATTATTGATCTATTTTGTTTACTTTTTCTGCACCATTGGTGAAATATTGCATAAACATTATTGATCTACTTTGTTGGATTTTTCTGCACCTTTGGGGCAAGTTATAACCAAATCATTATTACAGGGTGAGCTACTTCTAACGTTACTACGGTCAGACTAGCTGAAAACCGCACTAATGTTGCAGATTAACCGATACATACAAGTTGTTGGATCTGCCATCCCTTACCCTTGAAATCATGTCAAATTTGTGTTCAAAATTTCCCCATTTTTTCTGCGTCATTAATGCAAAATCTAATCAAAATCATATTTCTATTTTCTCCGCTTATTGTGTACCATCGGTGTGAAGAAATCGTGAAACGTACATATTCATTGCAAAGTTTTACACAACACCAACTGGGTTTCGGCTCTCCATAAGCCCAAGACAGGTCGCTACTCCCGCTCATCAGGTAACCAGCCAGGTTACGACCCAGTGCGATTTCTATTTATGAACCCATGACATCTTACATCGCATCTGGGCCCTGGTAATGTCAACATTACCAGACCATTTGAAATGATAATTTTATTTCTATTTATGAACCCACTTACCACTCGCCATTAGATGCCACTACCTGTCCCAGTCAGTATCTCATTTGGGAAATAATTTCCTTGTACTTAACTCCGACCAGGAGTGCACTCAAATGAGACACTATTAATGACTTGGGACACCCTAATCTCGATGACTTCATTGCAAAAATGCAATAAAATACACCTACCTTTTTTAAACGAACTTGGGTAACTTTGAACCTTGAGTAACTTTGAACCTTGAGTAACTTTGAACCTTGATGTATCGTTTGAATCTGAAAAAATCAATTAGTGAACCAATCAAATAACTTGGATATTCCGATTGAACCAAAAAGATGAAGATCTGAAAATTGAATAAACTTAGATTAAATACGTATATGACCCTAAAATTATATAAGGGCTGGTAGTGGCATACTATGGCCGCAGTACGATAATACGTTAAAATTATTGAGGAATTTATGCAAATAATTTTATTGTCATTTTCAGTGATTATGATCAAGATGCATATTTTTATGAGCCAGTTCTGGTAATGTGTGTTCCAACATTACCAGAACAATTTACAATGATTATGAGAAGGATGCATATGAATTTGTATTATTTTAGGAGCTAGTTCTGGTAATGTGTATTTCAACATTACCAGAACAATTTTCAATGATTATGATAAAGATGCATATGAATTGCGTGTTTCAGTGCTAGCAGATAGGTAGTTTTGCAGGTGGAATTATATCGATTTGTATAAGAAAATGTAGCCATCCCCAACGCAGTGCTTAGAAATGTATACTTTGTTATCGTCATAGATTACCCAATCATTTTCCCGTCTATAATTCACAATATAATGCCCTGAATTTAAGGAATTGCCCAAATGACTAACTACAAATGTCAAACCGTACACATTATCTGAGCCAGGCAATGTAAGAACATCTGATGCAAATGACTTCTCCGTAATTTTTGTGCCTTGATTTGTAAAAATTTTCAGATTAACAAATAAAGTTCTTGGCGCCAATATCAAATTAGATTTGAAATTAACCAATCCTGAGAACTTACACTTCTCACAGAGATATTCCTGTTGCCCGGTGAAATGATTATTAACGCACTCCTGTAAATTTTGCGTTGACCTTCCGATGGATAGGGAAGTACACGATTCATTTCTAGTGCTTTTATTTCTACAGGTGCACGTAACCTCAGTTTCTATGGTGGAAACATATTCCTCTAGAGACAAGCCAGAGTTGCTTAAATTCTGCAGGAGATCAAGAAGAAATAGATGGGGGTCATCTTGCATTCCAATTGGGTATGATGGCATGCACTCAACTAACTCCAGTCTGGTATTTAAGTTGAACTGGTGTGACCAATGCTTGGAGGAAACTGAGAAGACAATGAGATAAACGATCCTTACTAAATTTCAGAAATTCTTGAATAGAAGGAGATTCATATATTAAGTGAAGAATTGCGCTAATGTAACATGTATTTCCTAAATTTGGAATTCCGAGATGAACTAAATGGGTTGGTTCGCAAATTACATCGTCTGTGGACAAATTTTCGTCTATATCCATTTCCACGGTTTCGTGAAATGCGCCAGTTTCACTCACACCTACCTCCATCTGTTCAGTTTCTGAGGTACAATTTTGTGATTCAGAATGTGGTGGCAATATATCTATGTCGTTTGACCAAGTCACACAAATGGGTTTATGATAGCTAAAATAGCTTTCGTAGAACCAAGCTGAAACCCCATAAATATTAGAAAAACATACATCGATCGATGTATTTCCGTCCGTACTATTTTCAAGAGGAGTTACTAATCGGTAACCCATTGAAGAGAAAATCTGCCTCATTTGACATCCATCTTTGGTTAGGAAATTCAGGTTGAAGTCACCGAAAACAATCACTGGGGTGCCTTTTGTGCTATTCAGAAAATTTATAATGTCATGTAGAAAAGTTATCGTACTATACTGAGGACTGCGGTATAACATACATATTCTAACATCGTTCTGTTTCCATTGAACTATTTGCAAATGTTTTGTGACACTTAAATTTCCATGCGAGTATTGAACATCTGATATATTTGGAGAGTATGAGTCACATCTAAACACCAGTGTTCCTATAGATGACTGGATAGTTGGCGAATCTACTCGATGCAAAATAGAAAATCCTGGCAGTTCAACCATATCTGAAACCAATGTCCTAGTTTCACAAAAGCACAGAATATCAGATACCATATAATTTCTGTCAGCAAGAATATCGTCATAGTGTGCTCGGAACGACTGAATGTCATGGAATACAATTCTATTAGGATCTTCTTGGTCTGGTAAATATCTCAGAGAATATGGAAATGGCAATTTTCGTAATCTAGTGAGCTCTAATGCCACGGGATGTCTTAAAGTGTCGATTGCACGTGGTGCATTAAAAGTCCCACTAATGAATAATCCTGATAAAGAAGGTGCCCGACTCATAGCTACATATATCGCATCCCTTCTCAATTATCGAGTTGGAATATTAGCAACCGTATTTTGGATTGACAGACTTTGTGATTTATGGATTGAAATGGCATTAGCAGCAACCAGGGGAATTTGACGACGAACAATTTGCATTCCTTGATAGTGCCCAAAACTATTTAATGCCTTGGTCTCCGAGAAGATCGGGGTCCAATGCAGAGGAATTTCTAATTGTTTGAATAATGCCAGGTTATTTGATCTAGCCAGTTGCCCTACCAATTTCTCAGAGAATTCCATAAATACAATCTTAACAGCTTTCTGCCCGTTAGTTAATGGCTTTTCAATTACCCTCATTAGTTTTCCTGTAGCACCATTAAACAATCCATCGGATACGTCAATATTTGTTGTAATCATATAACGAAGGCCGACTCTCAAAGCTACATGGTATGGCATTCCTCCTGTTTGCTGCAAACTTAAATATTCGGCCGACTCCAACATTGCTTGTTGGGACGCTAGAATCTTTCCACCCTGCACTCTATCTATGGCATATGAATTGAACAAAGGACCCTTTGCTCGATTTATCGCTTCACGATTAAATTTATCACAGTCTGCATTGCTGTAAAACAACCATGTTGCATCATCTGGAACAATTAAGTTTTTCCGATTTCTCTACTCTTGAACATTTTAATATCTTCCTCTTCAAGCATTCCTACTGACAGTCTGTTTAATGCAGTTGCAAACTTAGCGTCATCCTTTTGCCTCATGATTTCCTTGAGCTCAAATAGTCTAAATGTCTCCCAGAGTGGATTTCCAATGATCGGGCCTAAAATTTCCTCACTATCCTCAAAAACAAATTGTCCAAACACCGGACTCAGCTGGTAGAAGTCACCTACGACCAACACGCTAACCCCTCCGAACAATTCGTCGATGCCTAAAATTTGCCTTAATCTTTGATCAATTTGGCTGAACATTTTCAAGCTAACTAAGGAAATCTCATCGATTATCAAACCTCTTAAAGCCTCAAACTTACATCGCAAGGTATTGCATGAACCATGGTCGAGTGGAGTCATTTTTCCTCCGTATTGATTGGGTGGGAGTCTGAATGCTGAGTGCAATGTCATACCAAAAACGTTAAATGCAGCTTTCCCTGTTGCTGCGGCTACTAGAACAGGAATTGATTCACCATTTGATCCAGGTTCCTTATCCGACATCCTCAATATGCATTGAACCATGGCAGTAATGAGTCTACTCTTTCCTACACCGGCCTGCCCATGAATTATGTGGAAATTTTGTCCCGATCTTCCTTTCAAATTATGCAAAAGGTTCAGTAAATACCTCCGTTGACCTTCGTTCAAAGTTTTCAATAGCTGGAGGTAATCGTCTGTTGGTATTAACTTTGGAGGACGAATAGACATAAATTTAGAAGAAGTAGAATTCCCTAACTCAATCGCAAAATCTTGATCTTCTGCAATGAATTCGATTGGATTATGGTCAAGCAGATCATTGTCAAAAGTTTCCTCGTCGTCCTCTGCCATACTGTCCTACCTCTAGCTCATTCTCAAGAAAACTTGGATCATATATTTGTCGGTTTTGTGTAATTAGATCCAACCGGTTTTGGTAAGCAGAAACATGATCAATATCAAGAAGATCTGTGTTTTCGTCCCTCCATGGTACATACAGCATAATTTGTTCCCTATAAAAATTGTCTGGATCTTGATGGCGACCAAATCTGCGATATCGAATAATTCGAGAATTTGTCCTCTTAGTTATGTATCCGCTATTATCAGTCAGGCTTAATGCAGTTGTCAGTAGATTAGCCTGTTTCCGCCGTGGACATGATAGTTTCATGAAATTACAGTTTGCAACATAATCAGCTAAGCAAAGATCGTCTAATATCTTGGGCCTCACTACATAACGCTCTAAAATTCCCTTGAGTGCTATATCGGATGAATCTGGATCCATTTTCTCTAGTTCGTCGGCAGGCTTGACGAAAATGACCCTGTCGTCAGGTCTATTCGTATTGATAAATCTAACATCACGCGAACTTTGAGTCATCGGAATTTTTAATAAACAGCAGCGTTCTTTCAAACTAAAATTACCGTCCCTAATTTCCTTGCTAACTTGTCGTAAAAGTTTCGACACGCCTCGATCTGACTTGCTTATGTAATTGACAACGTAAGTCGCGCACGAACATGGGTCCAAAACAAATTGGATGTCAATATTTGCGCGCCAACATACAAGAAGCTTCCTATTGTATTCATTTATATAAATTTCATGTGTTCCACGCCTAAGGAATACTTTAGGGGTTTTGAGGTTGGAACGAAGTGAGAGGATGTAATTTTCTTCAGTTAGATCCAGCTCTTGAAGAAAAGTATCAAATTTAATTTCTGCTGCATGTCGTCCAAATGTGGCAAGCTTTTCTTTAATGTTGGCAAATTGTTGTTTATATAATTTCGCCTGATCCAGAGGTAGTGGAAGTAATATTCTAGTCGTCCTCATGGGTGGAATTGGAAAACCGTATCTGCATCCTCGCCTTTTGTCTTCGCAAGTATGTGAATGATTATGGATTTGGTATGCAAGGACTTTCTTCATGTCATCGGCTTCATCTTTTCTGCAGGTTATGAATTTGTCTATGAATTCACAGCAAGCTTGGTGTGCTAAGGAATTTTCTTTATCAAATGTCGGAGCATCTTGAATCCAGTCCATTCTATGAGTGTGGATTGACCCTCGTTGTTGAACTTCTTTCCTTTTGAAAAAGTCTTGGTGGACGTAAGGGTGAAATATTCCACCTAGTGGCTTGATCAAGAATTTATCCATTGCTTTCTCTCGTCTGTCGTAAGCCATTACACATCCTATCGGGTCATGTCTAACGAGATCTGCTTTAGCATCGAATGTCAGATTGGAAACTTCTTCATCTGTTAATTCAGTCCCATACTTCCTGTTGTTAAGCATCAAAATCAACTCCGGCCATTTCGTCTCCGCGGCAGATGTTGTAATGAAAAATGTTGGGAGTCCCAATTGCCGAATCATGGCCATCACATCCTTCTTCTTCTCTTCCAAATACGCCGGGGGGTTCACAATGTTGGATAATAGGCGATACCCGTCATCGTGTTGAATTAAGTTCTGAACACATTCCTTGTTAAGCAGGTTTCCAGCAGTCACAATCCCACGCTTTTTCTTTTTTCGAAGACATATGTTGATGTTACTGGCGATCCTGTGAGTTTGGACCAGTCGGTAGCTATATAGAATTTTGTCCGCTCTTCTGCAACGTGGGTCAAATCTGCGAAGTTCTGACTTTGCAATATCAGTGTACGACAAGTTGGCTTCTGGATTCAATTTTCGTTTTATGCCGCAATAAATGGATGGAAAAGATAACTCTTCGGCGTCGAGATCCATAAGTAAGGACAACGGGCGCATTCCTTCGCCAGGTGCCACTGCCATGATTAGTTGATCTTCTTGCATTAGAGTTTCCGTTAACGGTGGATCATTGTCTTCAGTTTCTGCTTTGTCATTGATAGATAAGTCTTTAATATCTTCTATGTCTGTATAACTTTGAGTAGCATCACTTGGGTTTACTATATATTCTATTGTCTGTTGAAACACTATTTGCCCAGTCTGGGGAAAGAAATACCTTTTCCTTTTTATATAATTCGGTACGTACCAAATAATTTGCAGCATAGAAAACTTTATGTGGTCGAATGGTTTGGAACATATACGCATGCTTGTAGGACATTCGGCGCTTCAATTGAACCTGCACTGTGCTTGTCTCGTCGAATTTGCGGGGAATAACTTTGGCGACTATGTCCATGTCATTTGGAACGTTTACTACACCGCCTCGGATTCCGTACTGACGGTCGCTCCCTAAGGATCTAATCTGAGCAAACGGTAATCTTAATGCCACCAAACGTTCCTCTAAGCTAGTCATGTTCTGTAATTGATGTGGAATTGGAGGAAAGTACAACCCGTTAGACATACACAACCGAGGCACGTCACCACTCTTCAGCGAATCATGACATGTGCCACAAAGGAAGTAATTCCCATCGACTTTCAGATGGGCGAAAGGTTTCTTAGGATGAAGTTTCCGCACGACTTCTATTGTTGTTGGATGCATAGATGATCGATACCATAACCCTCCACACGAACCACATATCCATCTCGGTTGATCAAGTATCTCGCAATGGAAAGATTTACACAAAATATCGAAATCGGTCTGAGCCTTATGACGTGAAATTGCTTTCTTAATTGTGTTATGCTGTTGCTCGGCCTGTTTGTAAGTTTCGTCTTCCCGGCGGCTGGCATGTTCCATCCGATTCCGCTGATTTTCAGCGTCTCGATAGTCCTCGTCCCCTCGGCGGGCAGCATGTTCCATCCGATTCCGTTCATTTTCCGCGTCGCGATAGTTCTCGTTTCCTCGGCGGACAGCATGTTCCATCCGATTCCGTTCGTTTTCCGCGTCTCGATAGTCCTGGTCTCCTCGCCGGGTGGCATGTTCCATCTGATTCCGTTCATTTTCTCCGTCTCGATAGTCCTCGTTTCCTCGGCGAGTAGCATGCTCCATCCGGTTCCGCTCATTTTCCTCTTCACGGTACATGTCAACCTTCCGACGTTCTGCGTGTGCTGCTGTGTTTCGTTCTTGCTCTTGATGTCGAAGGTTTGCATCCATTCTACGCAATTTCTTGGCGTCAGAATTTCTTTCGGTATCGGCTCGACGGAACTCTTCATTTTCCCTTTTTCTCTTAATCCTTTCTTTTTCACTCAGTTTGCGAGGCATTATTGCACCAGTGGTTATGCGCGCTCTAATTCCGTACGTTACGTACCTTTTGATAAGTCACACCTCCCGATAAGTCACACCTCCCGATAAGTCACAGCTCCCGATAAGTCACAGCTCCCGATAAGTCACACCTCCCGATAAGTCACAGCTCCCGATAAGTCACAGCTCCCGATAAGTCACACCTCCCGATAAGTCACACCTCCCGATAAGTCACACCTCCCAATAAGTCACACCTCCTGATAAGTCACACCTCCTGATTAGACACACCTCTCGATTAGACACACCTCCCGATAAGTCACACCGATAGATTTGTTGCTCCCTTTGTGGATACGTCACGTCACTCGATACGGTGCTCCACTTTTTAAGTTGCTTCCCCGAGTAAATTTTGCGTATTCAGTCCAGAAATTCAGTCAGAATTTTTGAAAATTCAGCAATGATAAATAAAGAATAAGTTTTCTTGGCCTGATGTTTCTTTCGTCTGCCACATGACGTGATCATAGTTACAAGTGTTTTAAATTAAATGACGTAATTTCTAAATGACACTTTTTGACATGATCCCATATACATTTAATATCGGATAAACGCGACTATATCGACGTGAATATATAAGGCGAATATGCAAATATATCGTTTGACTCATTCTGTCGTAGCATTGCAGGGCGAGCTACTTTTAACGTTACGACAGTTTATTATTAGCTCGTCCTGCGTAGCATTAGAGCTATTGAATTCCTCCTGTCCGTCTGTCTGTCTGTCCGTCTGTCTGTTAATTAGTTTTTTGCATCAATTGATGCTAATTAAATAGGCCCATGTCCAATTTTTAGGAAATTAATAGCACCAATCGTATCGAACAAGCGATAACACAAAATGGTGCCAAACAATCGGGAGAATTGATTCAATACGCACCAAAAGTGCAGAATAACCCAAAGAAATACATCCCCACGAAAGGGGTCTAAAAAAGTCGAAATCATGTCAAATTTCTGGGTATATTTTCCCCGCTTATCCTCCACCATTGGTGCAAAACCCCTCGAAAATTATGCATCTTTTTTGTCCGCTTATTTTCTACCACGGGTGTAAAATTACATCAAAATCATGCATTTTTGTCGATTTATTTTGCACCATTGGTGCAGAAGTTTATGTACCAACTAATGTTGTCGCCGAAGTATTACAGGACGAGCTACTTCTAACGTTACTACGGTTTATTTAAAATTAAATAATTGCTGATGATAGCTCTCATGCTACGCAGGGTGAGCTAATAAGTGTTCATGATTATTAGCTCACCCTGCGTAGCATGAGAGCTATTGAATTCCTCTTGTCCGTCTGTCTGTTGACGAGTTTTTTGCATCAATTGATGCTAATTAATAAGCCCCAAGACCATTTTAACCCTAATTTGTAGCACAATTGGTATCCAAAAATCGTTAACGCAAAATGGTGCGAAATAATTGGAGGAATCGATGTATTCTATACCAATGATTAGGATTAACTGAAAGTTCTAGTTAGCCTAGGCAGACATAACTTAACCTTGAAATCGTGTCAAAATTTAGTCCCAATTTTTGCCATTTCGGCTGGACCATTGGTCCAGTTAAACTCCGTTTAATTGGAAGTTTTGGACAGTACGATTCAACACTTTGATGTGTTATGCGTTAAACGGTAACACGATGAGGCTTACACTTAGCCTCAAAATATTTCTGAAATTTCGGCCTCCACTTAAATATATTCACGAAGATCTGATTAAGTTACGTGCTTTAAATAAATCGATACTTCGACATAGTATAATTGATGTCGAAGTTCGAAAGTTTTAGCAGTTTTGTTAAAGGTTACCGCAAGTTTGCCATCCTCTACTCAAGTTACATAATTTTTAATTATGCCCGCAATGTGCATGATTTCAGGGCCAACGCATTCTGGATTGTTGCCTAAATGTAAAAATTCGTGGCAAATTTTGTAATTGTTTTGCTGTTTCGGGAAACCCCATTAACTCCATGTCTTCTCAATAATTACTAATTATTTAAATTTTAAATAATTATTTAAATAACTTATTTATTTAATTATTTAATTCTAAATAACCCAATGTCTTATTTATTATTTATTATTTAAATAAAATTGAAAATTTGGGGGTTATTTATTATTTATTAATTAAATAATTCTGAAAATTAAAATTATTTATTATTTATTATTTAACGCAACTCTGAATCTACCAATACGGCAACAAGTCCAATAAGAATTAAATGAAAATAAAAATGCCTCCTGGAACAAGTGCGGTCACTATGTATATCGTATACCGTGGTCACCTCCGATCAATCATCCGTCACTGCTATACAAATTTTGGAAAAGGTATCTTTTCACATAACATGATGCTATACAAAAAGTGAACTAACTGGTTTTAACTGAGATGATATGCTGTCCAGCGCGACAAAATGGGTTAACAAGTCAATGGGTATATCCAGAATTAATTCGCATCCAGACTAATCACTAGGCCATTTTTACATTCCTACGTGCATATATTTGTAAAATTAAATAGAAGGGGTTGAAAATGCTAGTTCTTTGGTTTCTTATTTTTCTTTTAATTTTGTTCTACGTAAGGCACTTCATAAAATGGAAACATGGGCCTCCAGGTTCCTTCTTAATTTTCTTATAACTTGCTGAAATTTTATTGTTCTACTTATTCCTAATTGGACATATGTACGTACGTAGGTCCTCTTCCATTGCCACTCGTGGGCAACTTGGTTCAACTAATAATGATGGGAACACAACCACATTTGGCCATCGCACGATTATCGAAGAAATACGGAGACATTTTCAGACTACAAATCGGGACTCAAGATTTCGGTTAGTAGAAAACTGTTTCAAAAATGCAAGCAGAAAACATGGATATAAATTTTGGCTTAGTGTTTGCCAGTTCAATTGAGGCCCTTGTAAATCTGTACACAAGAGATGAAGCTTTGGGTAGAGATGTGTATGGGACATTACTTGACCGAAGCGCAGGACAAAATACTGGTTCGTATCAACATTTTGGTTTTTGTATTTTAACTATTAATTTGTACATGCAGATTCCCTACTTGGTTAATAAATACCATGCTCATGAACCTATAGGAATTATAATGGCTGTGGGAGAAACATGGGAAATTAACCGGAAATGGACATTCAAAACTTTAAATAGACTTGGCCTCAGGAAGGGGTCTGGAATTGAAGACTCGATCAATGAGCAGTGTGACTTTGTCGTGAAGTCCTGTGAAACTGCACTATCGACTCGCGGAACGGGCTGGGTTGCCATTGACGTGTCTCCAATGTTTCTAATTCCTGTGACCAAGGTGGTTTTCAGACTCGTCATGGGAGATCGCATCGATGATGCCGACAATGGAGCTGCGTTGGAAAAACTGATTTATTTAAGTGAAGAGATGGCAAAGAGCACTTCGCTTGGAGCTGGACTGGACGCTGCCTTTCCATTCCTGAGGTTTATTGTTCCAAAATTAACTGGTCGGAATGTTCAGATGAAGTGTTACACATCCATTAGAGACGCTGCTCAGGTTAAATACTTTAAGAAATCAGATTGTATGCTTAGCCTCACCATCTACCATTTTCACAATTTTTAATCGAAATATTTTTGATGCCCAATATGAACCGTTTCCAGAAACTACTAGATGCCATTAGACTAGAACAAAAAAGTTCTTCCTTGAATGATGACCCCAAATCTTTGGCACACTTGTATATTCAAGAAATGGATAATGACCCTTCAAGCGCTTTATTCTCTGGTAACACAATCATGATTATCGTGGTACCACAATTTCCCAAAATTAATATATTATATTGAATTACTATTTTAATTTATCGCAGATTTCCACTTTGGAAGTTTATACATGGATTTATTACAGGCAGCTTCTGACACCACGAATTCCTACCTGCAATGTCTCATTTTATTCTCTGTAACTCAAAGGAGCTGCCAAGAAAAAATATATGAAGAAATTGTCAACATAATTGGCACATGTAATCGTGCAACGTTGGAGCATCGTAGACTGTACGTTGGCTAAAACTTAATTACCTACACTAAAAAATTCATTCTATGAGATTTACAAAATAAGCGATAAATTTATTATTGTGTTATAATTTCAAGAATGCCGTACACTGAATCTTTCATGCTAGAAACCCACAGACATTCCAAAATTGTCCCTACTTTACTTCCGCACAAGATTACTAAAGAGTTTACCATTGGAAAATATATCATCCCGCAGGTGAGACACTGAAATTGTATTTTAAATATAGCACAATGAATTTTAAGAATATTTATGTATAAATATATTGTAAGGATACTCAAATACTGGCTGACATTCACTCTGTAAATTTTGATGAACGAATATGGAAAAATCCCATGGAATTTGATCCAACCCGATTCCTTGATACTGATGGAAGTGTTTCAAAGGAAAAGCGAAAGTTATGTGTCCCGTTTGGAGTTGGTATGTGGTGTTTATCATGATAACCAATAATTATTTTAGTACAGTGACGTTTCATCATCAAGGTCGAAGAGCGTGTCCAGGAGAATCTGTAGCAGAATGGACTGCATTTATATTTCTTGTCAATATTATCCGCAGTTTTATGCTGGCTGTCGTGCCAGGTGAAAACCCTCCCATGACAGAAATGCATGTCGGAATAACTTCAGGGCCCCATCCTTTCAAGGTTGCCATTTCGAGGCGAGAAATAAATTAATAACAGAAATCGATAACGCTCCTTTGTTAGAATTTCATCAGTTATGGCGCGATTTTAATAATCTGAAATGGTTAAATAAATACAAGAAGAATGATTAGCTAGTAGTAAATACGTTTTTATTTTATTTTTTTTAAGTACACATCTTTTTTTGATGTAAGTGCACATGTGCACATATATATGTGCATGCGTATACAGATATACGTATGAATTAGCACCAACCTTACAGTATTTTGTGTAATCCTGTGTCCAAGAAAAAGTCAATGCAATTATATGTAGCACCAATATCTATGTATGACTTAAGCACTTGCTCTGAAGGGCGTTAATCTTCAAACTTTCGAGCAAATTGCTTTGGTTGGTCAAGCTGCCTTAGTGCTTCTGCCGCACTGGGTCGCTCACTTGAATTTCGTTTCAACATTGATTTCAGAAATTCAAAGTCCATGTTACCATAATTCTGCTTAAGCAATTCGAAAAGCTCTTTCTTTGGCTGTTCTTCATTTGCGCGCAAGTGGTCAAACATTTTTTGAGCCTTTGTCATGTCCCGTTCAAAATCCCAAAGTAACGAGAGGTAGATCAACCCCAGTGAGAAAATGTCCGTCTTCTGATCGTAATCGTCACTACGATGCATCTCTGGACTTTGAAACTCTCTAAATTCAGCAACAATAGATAAGACGTGCAGTCAGATGAACAAATTAATTGACTAAAAATCTAAAGATAATTTCTATTCGCACTTATTAAACACCTTCAGGTTTGAGTACTTTGTATCGTTTCCTATATACTCACGCGCAAGTCCAAAGTCCCCTATTTTCACAGCTAGTTGGGCGTCGATGATATTAATCAAAATATTTTGTGGCTTGATATCTCGGTGTATGTAATCCATTGAATGAATATATGACAGCCCTCGTAAGATCTGAATCACAATATTTTCCGAGATTGGTATCATCCTGTCCGTTTATAATTATGTGGACATAATTTTAGTCAGCAAATCGGATATTTTTGAAGTATTTACTTTAGTTTAGTTACACACTTCTGTATCATACTTTGTTGTTGAGGGTTATCTTCCATCCATCGATCTAAGTTCATGTCACACAGCTCCATTTTGATACAGAGATATGTATCAATGTCTTGCTTGTGTATCTTGTGATGTCCCCATTTGTCCCTCTCCCAGAGGTCTACGGAGCGACAATTATTCTGCAAGTGGGGTTGAAAATCCTTCTCTCGGGGTCTTTCAAACCATGCGTCGTGATATACAACGATGTTTGGACACTTTTTACATTTAGCCATTGCCTTCACTTCCCTATTAAACAAGTAAAAGTTGTTCTTAAATATACATATATTCTTCTAGTAAATCAATGATTTGATGTCGTATTATATTTTATTTACCTTAAAAGATTTTCGAAATAACGAGGAGCAATGTTTTTTGTTTTTTCAATCAATTTTATAAATTTCCCCACTGAAATACGTTTGATAGCATATTCTCCCTGCTCGAACGCTGACCTGGCGATATAAACTTCGCTGAAGGACCCTTGGTCGAGATAGTGCCCAAGCTCTAAATTTCTCGAAACAAGTGACCAGGGTGTTGATGCAGAGGTTTGTGAATGGCAGGAGGACGGGTCGCCAGAGAAGGTCGAACTACGTGACGAAAATGGGTAGTGAGACGACGTTACACCGCCTTTCTCTTCTAATAAGTCTGAATTTTTGTTTTCATTGTAGGAGTTTCGACATGGGCATTTAATTGTAATTGTAATATAGTAATAATAAAAAATCAAGTCAACCTGCAGCACCAAGCAATCCCAACTGTTGAAATTTGGTAATTAGATTGTGAAGGCTTGCTTCTTTCCCTTTGGAACTTCGCCACTGGTTAAGCATCCGCTTATTCAACTCGTACATTTGTATCTCACCTCTTTGGAACCGCATATCCCAAGCTGAATAAAGGCTGTGGCTAATGCCCAGGCTGTCATAAACTTCGGACCGTTGATCCAAGGGAATTATTGAATCTTGCTGAACCAGAAGGCGAGAAATATTGCTAATTTGCTCGTCTTCCAACATTGTAAATAATTGTAGAATATCGAGAATATCAACTGGTAAATAGCGAATGCTGTTAAATGCCAAACTTCTATGTATTTCATGTACGACGAGGGTAATCAATGTAATCTCTACCAAATTTTGCGGTTATCTAAATAGTTGATAACGTTCCTTTGTTAGAATATAGTCAGCAGATTATTGCGTGATTTATTAATACAGTTGACAGTGGTGTTTTGAGCATACGTGTATATGTGCACATTTGTGACGATACACTGTACATGAATTTAAATTATTTTCTGGGTTCATCATTCGTTACTCTAAAGGGATGCACATATTTATCTTCTTTTGATAAGGCGGTGGCCAGTTTCTCGTACGGAACATGTTGTGTTTGGACAAGTTGGTGTGAGGCATGTCATTAAATGGTCGCCAACAGAAGTAAACCAATTTACGACACGTTCGTAGGAATGTGTGGTTGATAATTTGTATTCGTAGATGAGTAAGAATTGAACCCAGCCTGGTTTGGAGGTGGGATCTGAATTGGAATAGATCCAATTACTATTGGAATCGACATTTCCAGATTATACGAAATTCCCGAGAGCAGCAACTCGAACTAAAGCAAGTACAAACCAACATCAGATAAATCAAAGCTATTTAACAATTAGAACATGTGTAATACGATCTCGCACATGAAGATAATATTCCAGGTCAATGAGTCTGCATCCTCCAAGCCCTGTTGGAGCCAGTTGTGGAATGCGGAAAACTGGGTTCCAGGTATCTGTGCCATGGGGATCGACACCTGGACCTTCGAATTGACTAAGTGATCGGGTTGATGTTCTTCTGTTTCCCTCAGCATGAAACCTTGATTCCTTATTACAATTTATTCATTTATTTTACAAGTCACATCTAAGTCTCATATAAAGTCACATTAATGGGGTTTGAATAGTGCTGTGCATACCTCAGTTATGCAGACTGTGATCCCATTAATTGGTCGTCCACTGTCGTTGAACATATCGACAATGAGGGGGACAACTTCACCTTGGGCAAACCCCGTCTTTGGTAGACGAACCGTGAGCCCCACCGGCCCACTCGCACAGCAAAGGCAGCAGTAATGTTTTGAAGCTGTGCGTTCGACGGGCATGACCAGACGAGGTGGGAATAGGTTGAGGTCCACAATGACCAACACGTTGATCCTAGCTTCCACCTCTTTATTGAAATTGTACCAGGGCGTCCTGATGGTGGCCATTATCCCGTACTCAATTTCCCCGTGAGCCCCCGCGTAGCTGCACGGAATACCCCCTGGAGGCAGTAGAAAATTGAATGGGTACATATTCCTGCCAGTGATACTGTGAGCTTGGTCACTTCCTGTGTCCAGCATGAAAATGGGCCATTACATTGTAACGAATGTTAATTATCCTGGCTGTCTCACCATCTCGGAGGTGATGCATTTCGTAACAAAAGTAATTTTCGTTCGACCGGAAGTGCTCAGTGTACGAAACTGTACGCGTCTCGTATCCATGTTCCGTTTGGATGCTGTGTGTTTCATAGCGTGTTTCCGACCAATGTGTTGCTGCCCTCCCATAAAATTGTATTTGTAGACCCTTAGCCTTAATCTCTGTGGGAGTAGAAATGAGTATGTGTCCAGACACATTTTGTCCTGGATAGTAACACCTTGTTGGGTTATCAAATATAATGAGGAATTCCTCACTGGCCATTTCCGGGTCACTCCTTTCTTTTAGCAAACCAAGATCATTACGGCTTGAACTTCATGATGTCCATAAAGTGAAGCACGCTTTACTAATCTCATATTATCGGTATATTTACACTTTATCAAGTTCGATTGGGTTTGTGTTCTTATCTCAGCATCTATAGGTGAGCACGACTTCTTGACTTTTGGTATCTCACGGAAATTATTTATTACTATTACTAATCACTTGTAGTCAGTAAGTACAAAGTACAAATAGGATGATATAAACACAAATTCACAATATAATTAAAATTCATAGTACTTTTAAATGTAATAAATTTCGTTAAGTTTATCCCCTTTTGGGAGGGTTCCTAAGATTGACGCTACGTTGCCACGTTGTACTGTGATACTGAGTCGTTGGATGAGGAAAGTTGTAGAGCGTCGTTCTCCAGTCGCGGTGGTTATCCTTTGTCCAATGTCTTTAATGAAAGTTAACCCTTCCTGTCCCCATACTCCCGACGTCTCAATTGCAACGGGCACAAAAATGAATCGGTCCTGGAGAAAAGCGTAATATTTTTTCTTCTTATCTTCTGCTTTGGTGGCCGCAGCGCCTTGGTGGCGAACTGTGTTGGGGAGATGACTAGGGGCAAAAGTGTCCACATAGGTGAAATCCCACAGCAGGGATCTTCCTCTTGCCCAAGGGACGAGTGTCAAACCGTCTGGGTGTTTCCCATCTTGATTGGAGCATCCGGTCGGCTCAAGAATGCAGGGTACTTCGGCGGAACGGAGCGCCCTTGCAATCACATCGTTGGCCGCGCCGTGGCGGGACCACCTACCAGCACATCGTCGGCAACTGAGCCCGTGATAGCCACGCGAAGTGACTTGTGCTCCGCAGGGGCAAATGTGGGGTTGACAAATGTCACAGCCAAGTCGAAGGGAAATGGCGATACGGAATGATTCGTCAGGGAGATGGGTCCCAAGTTGAGGTGACGGGAGGGCGTTGAGCCAGGCGCCAGCATATTTGTCACGTAGTGCATGATGGCGGGCGGTGTCTTCAGGAGTTGTAGCGTCCATCAAGAGCTGGGACAAAATAATGTCCAGAATTGGACGCTCCCATGCAGTCTGGACTCCTCTGACGGTTTCGGGAGGCAGTTCCGCGGGTCCAAAGGCAGACCATTCATCCTCTCCTTCTTGCATGGCGATATCAGTACCGTGTAAATAAACCGGAAGGAGACGTTCCATGTGGGGTAAGACGCTGTGGACGGACGCAAGAAAGCATGGTATCGCCACATCCAAAGCATGTCTAACTCCCAGGCCGCCTTCCTCCACGGGTAAAGATGACTGAATCCAAGCAGCATCAGAAAGAGAACAATTTAGGATCGCCTCCAGCGTGTTCTTTAGAATAGCATCATAATTACTGAGAGCGTTTAACTTTCTCCATGTAGGGGCGCAGCGGAGAAAATAAATGAGACGAGGAATGGAAATCGAAGCGCGAAGGAGAAAGAAAGCTGAGTGAGAGGAAATCTTGAAGAGACGTTCGGAGAAAGCTCTCAACTGTTCAGTTTTGGTTGTCAAAACCATCTCCATCGACTCGTTGGTGAGAGGGGCGCCGAGAAGCATTTCGGTGTCGGGGGACATCAATTGAATACCGGGAGCAGCTTGCTGGAATTGGAGGAATATGTCGTTAGCGGTGTCGCAGTCCGCCCCCAAAATCCCCAATTCACATTTGTCACGATTCAAGTGAAGTCCGACTTCTTCACCCATCCTTGCAATGGTCTCAAGTGCTATCAAGACTTTCTCCGGAGTGTCTGCAACAGTTCCATCGTCGAGATACCACACGTTAAGCTCAGTGTCTAAAGCTGCGATGATGGGGTGAATCACGAGAGAAAAGAGGGAGGGGCCCAATGGATCTCCTTGATGGCAGCCTAGCAGAGACGGAAGTGGTATGGTGCCATAGAAGAGTGAAGACGGGTTGGCGTAACACTGAGATATAAATGGAAAAATTGAGGGAAAATGATCCCGAACAGCGAGGAGAAGAGTGTCCCGACGTATCTCGTTGAACGCGTTCCTGAAGTCAATTTTCAAGAAAGCTTTAGGGGTGTGGTTATAGTAGACCCGAGCTGTATGTGCGCCAATTTCTGCACCGTTTTTGATGCCCACTCCTAATTGATGTGGAGAAAAGTGGTTAATCAGTTGAGGGGTGATCCGAGACAGAACTACTTTGGCTGCAAGGCGACGCCACGAATTACCAACGGCAATGGGTCTAATTCCCCCTGACTTCTTCTTTAACGCCGTGAGCGACGCCCCGTAGAACAATGGGCAGATATTTTGAGGGATTCCACCGTTGAGAATCAAGTTGAGGAAGGCACAGATGGCTTCTTTGAGGTCATCACCATTTCCTTGACTGCATAGGTCCTTCAGAATCTGAGGCCGCATTCCGTCAAGACCACCTGCCGATCCTGGAGGGAAAGTTGAGATAGCTTTCAGCACCTCGTCCTCAAGTACTGGCATTACTAAAAGATCCTCTGGTGGTGACGGGAAATTGGTTGGTTGTGGGTGAGGTGGGTGTTTAGTGAGCAAGGCAGATAGAGTAATGTCATCATTGGGGGCAATGGTGTCATCGGAACATGCAAGACGAATTGCTCCGCGAATATCGCCATCCGCAAGTTTGGCCTCCACTTTCTTTGCGGTTGCATCATTTGTCGATTTAGTCGCTGATGGCCGAGGCGGACGTAATTGTGGGATGAAGAAATTGGAGTCCCATTCAGCAGTACGATTCTTGACCCAAGTGGTCAAATTCTTGACTTTGTCGGCTTTCTCGGGGACGGCAAGTGTGGCATATGTAAATAGGAGAAGCTTTCTCCAACTACCTTCCTCACCAGACTCGACAACCTCCTTTAAAAGTTTGGTAAGGCAGTTGGCGACAGCCATCCTAGCACCTCGAGGTACCCTCCGCAAAGTGGGTGTGGTCGTCTTGAGGCCGGCAAGGATGTCACCTAAATTCATTCCAGCTTGTTGCTGGGGTTCTGGTGTCGGCGCATCTTTCCACTGGATGCCCTCATATAAGTCGTGAGAATTGCCCCTCGAGCCTATGCGACGTGTTTTAATGCTGGGAAATGCAGATTTACTAAATTTCCCCAAGGTGGCTTGAGTAACTCCTGGATTTCCGGACTCGATTATAAATGTGGAATATTGAGCAAATATTTCGGTCTTGCTGATTTGTATTTTTGTTTGTGTATTGGGGTCGACAGAAACTAGGGATTGCTGTATCCACTGCTTTGCTGCTGCTGCTATTTCTTTCTTACTTAACCCAGACGTTGTAAGATGACAAGATGAAGTGGGTATGAATTGTGTTTGTGTGAGGAGAGTGACGCATCCTGGGCAAAACCAATCTTCATCTGGAACGACAATTAGTGCAACACATTTCAGATGATACCACTTTGAGCATTGGTCGCATAGTATCCAGTGATCTCCTGTAACGGTACTTGCTCCCGGACATGTTGGAATCGGGCAGTGGTCAGTTTCGATCTCTTGGTCGATTATTTCTTCTCGATTGGCTTCATCGTCGTCCTCGTCATTTACTCCAGAAAAATTAGGATGGATAGCAGTTCGAGTTGTAGGGTTGTGATAATTTAGGTTCGACATTGACCTCAATTTTTTGTGTCTTTTTTGGTATCTTAGGAACACTGACATTGTAATATCTACGAGGTGGCGCAAATGGCGTAAACCAAACCCCTCCTTCAGGTTTCGTACACTCATCAAGTACTACAACATATCCAAAGGGCATCAAAATCTATCATAGGTCAAGGGCTTTCCTCCTAAGGGGTAAGTAAGTTTATTCTAAATAAATCATGTATACTTCGCTATCATCTATGATATTTAAATATGTATTTGAATGGGCAATTACATCATTCAGTTTGTGCAAAGAGTTGCGCATACATTATAAAATACGCATTTATTTATATTTAGTCTAAATTTAAGAAGAACCAAACAATATTGATGACTTTAAATCTATTGGAGTCCAAGGTCGTCAGTGTCTGATTTTTCATATTTCATTTTTCTATGTAATGCATGTTTAATTTGGTATCACACCTCTTGCCTTTTCTTGCAGGCCATTCCTGAAGGTGACTGGTTCTGCGCAAACTGTCCCCAAATAGATACACAAATAGGCCCCCAAATAAACTCAAACACATCGTCGCCAGCAAATCAATCTTATCTAGGCACACATATTCAACTCACACAGTCAATCCCCTTTACAAATCCACGTGCATCACAACCAATTTCTACATTAAGTACACCACTTTCAAATTTTATATCTAGCAAGGAAACATGTACATCCCTTACATTAGAATGGCTAAATAACCACATAGCACCCGGGGGGGTAATTGAGAAAGCTATATTACATGACGCTTATAGACGAGACTCCTTAGGCATTTTTAAACCCATTAACGATGCAGAAATGGGTAAATTGATAAAAAATTCATTTTCAAACATTAGGACCAAACGAATTAGGACAGAACTTCATGGCACTTCGAAGTATCATTACGTAGGGATTCAGTTTAAATCAGAACACAGTGCTGACTCGGTTTTTGATTTCCAAACTATCATTTCATCTCTTAGGCAAAATTGTCCTACTCTTAAACAATGTCCAAAGGCCTGTAGGATCCCTGTAGCCCAAGTTCTTAAATCCGCCGTAGATAAATGTATAAGTGAAAACACTCCAGAGGCATGGCATCTCCTTTTGACCTTTCCATATATTACATTGCAATGTGAATCAAAGGCAAATATTAAAAATGGTCAAAGCCTTAATAGCAAAATCCGAAACAACTTATCCATATTTGAATCTTTGGACAAAAATACATATCAGGATTATCTCATTACTCTCTCTTCCAAAAATTCAGCCCATGATAAACCAGGTAGCACCATCAAGGACATTGGGCCAAAAGTCATATCTAAAGTATCCGAAGGAAATATTCGTGGTGCAATTCGGCTTTTAACTTCAGATGATATTATCGCCCCAAATTCTTCAGAAACTCTGGAAACACTTGTAGAAAAGCACCCACCACAACCTTTAGATAATTTTACTGTTTTAGATGAGCCTAACATTCCACCTTTTACAACAACAGTCGAACAGGTTATCTCAGCAATATTCTCATTTCCTAGTGGTTCAGCAGGGGGTTTAGATGCATTACGACCACAAATTCTGAAAGATTTAGTTTCACAACATACTGGTGACGTAGGAACTCAATTGTTAGAATCTATGACAAAATTTTGCAATTTTATGTTAGCAGGAAAAGTGCCTTTAGATATTTGTCCTTTCATTTATGGCGCAAGTCTGACGGCCCTTAAAAAGAAATCAGGTGGTATTAGACCTATTGCAGTAGGTTGCACTTATCGTAGAATAGTTTCAAAAATTTGTGTCAAGGTCATGAATCATGTCTTTCAGGATTATTTTAGTCCAGTCCAAGTAGGTTTCAATGTAAAAAATGGTGCTGAAGCAGGAGCACACGCTGCCCGTAGATTCTTTTCCTTTCCACATAAGTCACCCACAGCCTTTCTTAAAATAGATTTCAAAAATGCTTTTAATATGGTGGATAGAGGGAAATTGCTTTCATCCGTTCACGAACTTGTACCAACCTTGTATCCTTATATTAATCAGTGCTATAGATTCTCATCCAGCCTTGTCTGGAATTCTTCTTTAATTGAATCATGTAGAGGTGTTCAACAAGGAGATCCGTTAGGTCCACCACTTTTTTGTTTGATTCTATATCCAGTCGTTTCAAATTTAGGGTCAGAATTTAATATGTGGTACTTGGATGATGGTACATTAGGTGGCGATCCTACTACAGTTTTAGACGATTTCAAACATATTATCTCGTGTGCAAATGAAGTAGGTTTAGAATTAAACTTTGATAAATGTGAGGTTTCAGTTTTAGGTCTACAAACCAACACGCAATGTATACTAGAATCTTTCCAATCAGTTGCACCAGGTATTTCATGTATGACTCAGGAAAATGCTGAACTTTTAGGTGCACCTTTAACGTATGAATCAATTGAGCACGTTTTTCGCAAAAAGATTAACGCTTTTTCTAATATGGCAGGTCGATTAAACTCCATTCCCAACCATATTGCGTATTATCTCTTGAAACATTCTTTAGCGATTCCACGATTAGTATACCTACTGAGGGTAGCCCCAATTTTTAAATCTCCTCACTTGCTAGAAGAGTTCGATTCTTTGCTCCATGATACTTTAGAACAGATTACAAACTGCCAAATTAATCCTCTATCTTTAGAAGAAATAGCTTTGCCGGTTAAATTAGGAGGTTTGGGAATTAAACAATCGAAAACTTTAGCAACTCCATGCTTCCTTGCATCTTCATTTGCCACTACAGATTTGGTTTCTTTAATTTTGCCCTCATATGTCACTGCTTTGTCCGATTCACTTGTGACCGAGGCGCAAGACTTGTGGAAGTCGATTAGTTGTGATGAACTACCTCGCAGTACAATTTCCTCTATTCAATCATCATGGGAAATCCCAATTTTTAATCAAGTATGTTCACGTATCCTGGATTCATCCACCACCCCAATTAATACCGCTAGGATTTTGGCATCTCGGTCAAAAGAGTCAGGTGCATGGTTGCAAGCTTTACCATCCAGGAATTTAGGCACACTTTTAGACGATAATTCCTTTAGGATTGCAATTGGTTTGAGGTTAGGTTTAAAATTGTGTTTCCCCCATAAATGTGTTTGTGGTACACAAATAGATGAACTAGGATTACATGGCCTTTCATGTAAAAAAAGTGCTGGCAGGCACTCTCGACATACACAATGTAACGACATAATAAAGAGAGCCTTAATTTCTGCAGACATACCAAGCATTAGGGAACCATTAGGGTGTTGTAGGACAGATGGAAAAAGACCGGATGGTCTAACACTAATACCTTACAAACAGGGACGCTCACTAATATGGGACTTTACATGTACAGACACTTTTGCCCCCTCTTATCTCTCTCACACACTTAGACATGCTGGCACAGCAGCAAAACTAGCCGAGACCAAAAAACACAAACTTTACTCTGAACTTGAAAAACAATATATCTTTGTTCCGGTGGCTGTCGAGACATCAGGAGTATGGGGGATGGAAGGGTTGAAGTTCATCCAAGATGTTGGGAGGAGGATGAAGGATGTCACTGGACCAATGTCAACAACATTTCTCATTCAACGGATCAGTTTGGCAGTTCAACGCGGGAATGCGGCATCAATCATGGGAGCTGTCCCCAGTCAACGAGGATTAGAAGAATTATTTTATATTTTAAATGATAGGTCGTTTTATTTACAAAAATCCTGTAAGGGGCCGAATGGTGATCTCGGACGCCTATCCGGATCAAGTAAAGGTTTTCCCAACCCACCAACATCGGGTTTTTCCTCTACTCCCCAAGCCAACTAAGTGTATTTCATACTTTATCAATCTTTATGTTAATAAATAATTTTAAAACAAAAAATTTTTCATACACATGACACAATATGCTTTGTGCTTGTATATTGGTATTTATCACTGTATGGTGTAAGGAGGTTTGAGCAACGTACATATAATATACATTTTTAACTGGTCAAGTCGTTTAATAATATAACCATGTAGAAGGGCGTAGGTGCAACATATAATTTAATAAATTTCAATGTATTACAATTTCTCAACACTTACAAAAAATATTAAAAAATCAGTGGTTACATTATCCACACTAATTATGGGTGCCAGAAGATGTACCGGTACAACCATATTTACCCATGTACACATATGTATACATAGGACAGAATACTAACCTAACCTTTACAATTTACACATTATGACATCAACAGAAATAAATTGGTTATTTAATATTGCAGTGCAGTATAAACTTGTTACAAAATTCAGGCATGCCTGATCATAAGAATTCATCAATTAGTTCTGTTTGATTCTTTGGAATTTTACATCAAGTTAGAAAAGTGCAGAATATAAATATACACATGTACATATGTGCTGAATGGAGCTAACTATTATTCACTTCGATTAAATATACCAGACACTATAATGACTATTTTTATTACTGCCAGTCTTAATTTTCTCAATCCTTCCAGTCTAATCTACAAAACTACAGTAAAGGATCTCATTCTTGTTTACAAGTGGCAACCAAACCTTGAACATTAAGGTTATATTGGCGAGTCACCGCACAGTTGCATGCGGATTTTTAATCAATAATTTGACGCTTCAAAAGTGATAAGATAATGAGATTTTAACATAAAATATCAAAATAAGGTTGATGTCCATCATCCTCTGTTGAAGTCAGTTGTCTCATCAAAGACTCGTGTCAGTTATTCAACAGGTGACCGCATAAGCACACATTTATTGGCGTGCACCATTGCGATTAATAATTTTAAAACGATTTTAAAACGTTATACAAAGACCAATAATTTTGGAAATTAAAACATTATACTAAAGCACCATTTTCTATTAACCGACATCAATAAATTGTAGATTTTGCATGAAATAAACCTGAAAATAAATGCAAAGCAGAAATTAAATGCATGCTCCTTTTGTGTAAATCTGTGTAATTACACAATCTCAGTGGTGAATCTAGTGATGATGTAACTTGTTTATTCTTACAAGTACTAAATATTTGAGTGGTAGATAGAGTATTCTTTAGATTTTGCGTATTGGTGGTTCGATCATCGGTGGTGTGTGGTGTCAGAATGAGTGTATTCACACATTAATCTGCAGCCTTTTAATCAAATCACGTTTGACACTTGAGCTAGGATTCAAGACATTCAGTGTCTTATTATATTCTTATGATGAGAGACATTGTGCATTAGAAGCTGCAGTATGTCCAAGGATTTTTCGTTGGATTAATCCAAGCAAGACTCCTAAAGTTTACCAGTCGGTAACTGTGAACGGGGTATTATTTCGGTCTGAAAGCAGCAATGAATGAAGCCAGAAATATATTTATGCAAAAATAAAGTGTAAATCTCAGCTGGTCTCTTGGTCTGCAAGTATTATTTGGCAACGCATTGCATACACAAATGCAATACTGACTGACAATATGTAATTTCTGTGTTAATTTCTCACGTGTTAATTTAATTACTCCATATACATAAATATCTAGTTTCAGCTTGCATTGGCTGGGCTGAACTACTGGATATAGTGAAGTTAGTTGTGTGTAAATTAATTCAGACTAATTTGGCAGTGCTATTAGGTTTAACAATACGAGGAGAAGAGAATTCAATCACTTGGTTATTGCATTCTTCTTTTTTTAAAGATTACTTTTTAAAGAAAAATATACATTTGTCTCAAGAACCAAGGTAAATAATACACAATGGCAATCGTGTGTTCAGTGTATGGAAATGAACACAGGCAGCTCAAGAGGAAAATTCTAGCACTTTCATTTCTTGATTTGGTAAGAAAGCCAATTCCACAGAAGTACATTACATCTTGACACAATTTTGTTATAATTCATATTTAATAGTGGATAATACGGCACGTGTAAATGCTCGATTTGGTGCTGCATAGTTCATTTTATTCTCTAATGTACCTGTGTCATAGGTTTTCATTATCAGCACTCTGGTTTTCGTCATGATGCAGCTCGTTAGTGTGGGTCATCTCTATGCAAATTATGCAAACAGCCAAAATGAAACGGACTTTTTGACAAGTGCAAATTCAGCTTTATCTGACAGCCAAAATGGGGAGCTAGCCTTGTCGCTAACCGAGCCCCATAAGGACGACGACTCTGTAAATCCATCCTCACAAGCAGGAGATTGCAATTCTACGTCCGCTTCCGGTGACCCACGTTGTGAAACTTCAGAAGAAAATAACCAAAATGATGACGTTTTGACGTCTCGAACAGGTAAATTATGTGGATTGAAGCCATCGCGTACATAAAAAGTGTTCTTAGTTGTCATTTATATTTAATAATAATAATTTATTTTATTTTGTCAAGTAATCGGAGCCCGGATATCTTTATCAATCCAGTTGATTATCTATTTGGCACAGTTCGGTTTCGGGATTTTACTTTTCATTGCTTCGTATCATGTAAGAAAATTTTGCCATTAACATTTTTGAAATAATTTAGAATTTGGGAACGAACTGACGACAAATTATTTATTGCATTATATAGAATGACTCTAGGAATCTTCACTTGTGGGTACTATTTAGTGAAATAATGGTGGTCATCGTTGGTCTCAATTTGTTTATAAACTTTTTTGGTAAATTCTTGTGGTTATCTGCATTACTTACAACGCTGTATATTGTATTTAAAATAGTCTTAATTCGTTTGGTTCGGAAATTTATTAAAGTTAATGATCTCGCACTTACGCAATTCGGCTCAGTGGGCGAGTTTGACTAGAAATAATAACGTCGTTATTAAAAATACGTTTGAGTATTATAAAAACCCTTAGATTTACATATTATTACATATGTAAATATGTTGTATGTGTAACTGGAATAAACCGGAATTCGAATGATGGATCCATCTGTTTTTACGTGTATAGATTTATGACTACAATAATAAAATAAAAACGTCAAGTATGCAATGTATAGTAAATCTTTGTATTATAAAATAATCAAGACAAAGTGAAATGTAATAAATTTCTGTTGACTGGAAATGCAAAAACTGCAGCCGACCGATAAGGATAATAATGCGTAGTAATATTTAATAAGCCATTTCTGTCATATGACCGTGATTATCATACAGAGATTTTAACTGCAGTTTTAGTGTAGCACAAAGTTCATGGTTGCTATTGCTAATACTTCCGGTATTGTTGTGCACCTAATAATTGATTAAAACACATTGAAATCCTAGAGAAGTATTTCTTGACATAATTTCATGTAAAATTTCATGTACCTCTCCCATATCTATTTTGATATTGATGTGCTGGCTGATAAATGTCATGATGGGATTGGCCCAAGTAGTTTCTGGGCGAATGCTGATTACTTTCATAGGGATGAACGTCCGGGTACGCACTTCGATTCAGTCCGAATTCTGTCAAAGGCTTATACCTTTGTTCTAATTAAGTCATCGAATCATTTAAATCAGTCACTCTATTTTTAAAATCTCTTGGGAAGTTTGGTTGTAATATAATACCTGCATAATAATTTCGAGTTGGCTGATGATTTCCATTGTAATTGTTATACTGATGGTATGATGAGGATTGAAACCCTGCATTATTGGACTCTCGTCCTAGGTAAGCATTTGCATCGTTCCAAGGACTAAAATCTGGTCCCCGAATCTGATCTGATTGCGGATATCCATTGTAACCTTGTTGTGGCTGATTAGTAGATTGAACAGCAATCGTTGTGCTCAAGGGTCCAGTAGGAGGAACCTGTTGCTGATCTATTTAAATAAGTGTATATACGTATAGTATTACTCGTATTTATATATTATGGTATTAGCATATCTCTTTATTATTTTGAAATTTACGGATATGCACAGCTCCAGGCTTCTGACGTCGGGGTCCACAACAACAGCTACAACACCACCCACAAAAAATGCAGCAGCAAATAAGAGGCAATATAACCAAAATGACAACTGCAGCCCCGATGATAGCTATCAAACCTATTCCACTGAATGAATTAGCAGAAGTTGAGAAAAAATTACTTGATACAGTTAACAAGCAATAAATAAGTTTGCTTACCTCAGTTCCGCCATGATCGTAGCATGGTGTGCCAATGTAGAATAAATGCTTGTCCAAAATAACCTTCGATCTATTATACTTTCTTCAACACTAACTTTTGATAAGCCTCCATACAAGCAAGGTATGCATGAGATCATTAATATTATGCACCTATACTGTTCCAGCTTGTATAGTATTTGATTGAATCGATTTGATTGTCATTATTGCACGAATATCGGATGTGCATATGTAGTACTACATAATTTCATGTAGCAATATATTTATAATTGAATTGATTGGCATTGATTTGATGGTGAAGTACATGTACATGCAGTTGATCTTATCGTGACAGCCCATTATTACATCAACAAATAACTGATTAGACCTTTTCGAAAAGTGGAGTTTGTCCTTTACGTATTTTGTGATAAATGTTTTATGAATCACGCGACTAATTTTATAAAATTCAGTTTATTTTAGACTATTAGACTATATTCATGGGAAGTTCTTATGGAGTGTTGTTAAAATATTCTGAGTTTGAACAGGTTTGCTAAATATGTGTATTAATAAATCAAGAAATGCATAAACAAAGTATGGCAATAATTATAAATGAAAATAAATGATTAATTTCTCAGGAATTGCATTGAATCGTACGTGTCTTTCCATATTCATGGTACTATATTGAACAAGGTCAAATCTGACCAACTGTGGAAAACCGCACAACATGGTGACATTAATTTATTCTAGTTGATTGAAATACTATAAATACAGACTTGCTTATTTAGTTTAATTTCGCCAACCTCATATTAATTTTCGACAATGGCGAGAACGTTACTATTCGCTATAAATTTTATCTTGGTAATTTCATGTCTCCATCAAGAAGCCAACGGATTTTCAAATCGACCAAGAGGGATCTTTATTCAAGTATCAAACGCAGATGATCCTAGCATTATTTCCAGGATAGAAGCATGGCTGCAAAACATTTGCGCCAAGAATAAGAAATTGGGGGGTGCTGATGACATGAACGACTTGGTCTTGATCGACGTGGCGGCTGAAAAACCTGACGGCTCTTTAGAAATGAAATTTCGCGTCTTGGACAAAGTTTTGCCGTTTGCCACTGGTGGGAATAAACAATGTTTCGGGAATCTCTTTGTGGGAACAGTCCTTTTAGAGTGGAAAGGAGCAGGAAATCCATACCAAGAGGGAATCGCAAATTCAGAATTTCGAGTTCGGAATTTGAATGCTTCGAAATACGTGGCGCAACAATTTTTGAAGCGCTATCCAAATGTAAGGGTCAATTGGTACATAACATACGAGTCCAACCTGAATTATTTGGAAAACTTTGTGGTGAAAGAAAACTATAAAAAATTTCTTGGAAATTTGGTACGTACATCACATGTAGCTGAATATTTTTATATTTTCAAGGCGATTAGTCTTTGAAAACGGATTAAGATGTTTTATGGATATTCGAGATTGTTGTCGTACTTTTTATGTAGATTAAAGAGTTGACTCTACTTCGTTCTGGAGCCGTAATGTGGTCTCCAACCTTTTGGGATTTATGGAACTCTACATCCCCGTCCACAAAATTAAGACTTGGTTCAAATCTTCAAGATCTGTTTCAATCGTTGGCCAAAGACTCCCGGCCAGGAATAACATGGATGAATTTGCAGGACTCTGTTGGGAAGTCTGCTGAGGGTTGTTTCAAAATGACGCCTGCGGATGCTGTGAAATGGTATAATTTTGTGAAGGACTTGTACCCCTTCCCATCTATGCAGATGAATGTTGAGCAGTTCAAAACCTTGAGTGACTGCAAATCACTCGTAGAAAATGAACCTGACGTTCAAATCCAGCGTGAGAAATATTACGCCAGCCAAGGGGTCAACATGGGTGCTGCATTTGAAATCAGATATTGGCGAGAACGAGAAAATACATTGCGATGATTTATGTATTACTTGTAAAGTATCAATCAAAATATCCGAGTATTTAATTTTGTTTTCAATTATTAGATAATTTGGATTTATTCGTGACGGGCGTAAAAATAAAACAATAAAAAAACTTGTAAAAAATAAAATTAAAAACAGAATAGTCAAAACATAACCACAAACCCACGAGCTATTTATAAATTATCCCAAATTTTTAATATTTTCTTTCATAATATTAAATAATGTGGTCTTCGTGGTTGTTGGATCCTTATCGTCCACAGAAACTGTGTCACTTACGGTGTCTACCAATGGGGCAGACCCTGAGCTGATAGCTTCTGGAGGTTTAGCTCCGTAAGATTGCGCCCAGTCAGCCGTTTTTGCCACATTGATGACCACAGGCGGTCTCAGGGTGGTCGTCAGTATAGAAGAACTCTTTTTAATTTTCTGAATAGTTCTGTAGCTTCCACCTCCACCACCCCCACCGCCTTTGTTTCCGGTGGCAGTAATGACGAGAACGTCGTCGTTGCCACCACCACCCCCACCCTTCTTCCCCCCACCACCTCCTCCTCCCCCTCCGGAGTACACAATATTGCCACCACCACCGTTACCCCCACCGCTGCCCCCTCCCCACCCACCACCACCTCCTCCACCACTGCCTCCGCCTGCGCCTTGAGTAATTATCGTGTCGTCTCCACCCCCACCGTCGTCGTCGGCAACTATTGTTGACCCGCCCCCACCACCGCCTCCCCAACCTGTGAGATGAATAGTTTGTTAATTGGCTAAAAATAAAGTCATTAATAATTTGCATCGATAAGGTGTGGAATATGGTTATTTATTATATACGTACCTCCTCCTCCTCCATTATTCCCAAGTACGATTATGTTGCCCTCTCCTTTTCCTTTCTTTCCTGCAAGATCACCAAAGTTTGTATGTATCTACATGACACATTATTTTAACATTAAATAAATACTCTTACCTGGCTGTGTAATGATTATCGTATTCCCTGAACTTCCGCTCCCTCCATGTCCTATTCGTGAGTAGATATAAATGACAAATTCAGGAAATAACGATTTAATTCAAGCAATCAATGCTTTCTTTATTAACGAAATGGCCGCAGCCCTCGTCGCTACATAATTTAAAGTCGGAACATAGTTGTTAGTGGGGACATAAAAATGAAGTAAAGCTACGATAAAAATACATTAGTCGGGTATAACGATTGAGTTATTTACCACCACCCCCCCAGCCGCCCCCATGACCGCCCCCACCTCCTCCTCCTCCCTTGCCGAGAACAATGATGTTGCTCTCACCCTTCTTTCCTTTCTCTGAATTTGAAGAAAAAAATAAATGGGCGCATGTTAGGAATTGTCTTAACAAATTACTACTTGTCAGAGTTTAAAATGAATTATTTCTTTTGTGTCACCTTCTGTAATGATAATTGTCTGCCCTTGACCTCCACCACCACCCCAACCTTGATAATCATTATGGCGTAAGTAAATTTATAAAACCTTGGTGTTACATGCATATGCATTCTGAAATACCTCCTCCGCCACCACCTCCATGACCATCTCCGCCATTTCTATGAGGGACAAAAGGACGTAAAATATGCAATTCATTATGTTTTGTATGATATATATAATATAGCATTGCAGAAACTGGTAACGTTTCTAACCCAGTGGTCATTACAATGACCTCATCGTCGTCATCTCCTTTGGATCCCTTCTTCATTCTGTCTCTCATTCCTCTGAAATAAGTCATCATGTTTCCAATGATGCCCGTGCTCCCTCCTCCTCCGTCCCCTTTCTTGTCGTCGTCGCCACCAATGACCGTCACCTAGCGTTTGCTTGATTAGCTTTATGTATCAAATGCTACCTAAATTATGCATATCTTTTGCACCTCACTGTTGACCCAGCCGGCCGAACCTTTGCCCCCCTGACCCCCACCAGCGCCCCAACCGCCCCAACCTATACATGTGTTAATTCGTTATAAATTTAATTATATCTGACAAACTTGTGAGTAGTAACTTGTTTTGAGGTATATACCTCCAGTCCCCCCGTGCGCACCTCCCCCTTCACAGTTCCAAAATAAATCCATATTAAGGAATCGCCTTTTTGTGAAATGTGTATAATAATATTGCAAAAAATTTACCTCCTTTCCCTCCCCCTGCCCCCCATCCGCCCCCACCCCCATTGGTGCCCCACCCGGCATCGCCATACCCACCCCCACCATATCCGCCTGCAAGGTCACCACAGGTCAATAGGTTATGTTGCTTTTATATATTTTAATTTAATATACCAACTACAAGTATTTACTTAATAATGATAATAAATATGTTACTGAAAGTCAAAGCCGCATTTTGTACACGTTAGTTTTTGTTTGTTGGTAGACGTTGGTTGTTACATGCATATGTTTATACACATTGAGAACTTATTCGAGATTCGTTAGAGATTAATAAATTAGAGCATTTTTGCTATCCATTGCCTTATTAGTCGGACAAAACTGGGAAAATACCTCCTCGACGGATACGAGCATGCGACTCTGACTCCCTGTGCAAAATGTTCTTTATTTTCACACCTCCGTAATGACCATGAGCAATTTCAGGTAGACCGTAATGACCTCCATGACCATGACCTCCGTGACCTCCATGTCCTCCACCACCATGATAACCACCACCACCACCGTGGCCATGGGATGTTTCTTTATGCCCATGACCATCATCTCCGTGCGACGAGTGTCCCTTGGTGTGATATCCAGAAGACTCATAGGACACGGTTTCACCTCCTTTTTCGTCCTTCTCGGCTTGCACCTTATGCACGTGGTGGCCGTGACTGTTGCCCCCTTTTTTAGTGGAACTGCTACTGCTGGAACCTTCGTCGTCACCTCCATAGTTTGCAGACTGGGTTGCAGTCATTCCTGATATTAAAGCACAAGCATACAGTCCTAATCATCGGTCCTCATTATTTCATTATAAGTAATTTGCAATATTTTTTGAGTAGTTTGGCATTAATTGTAATTACCGTCCCCGTATTGCCCGTATCCTTTGTGACCGGAATAAAGATTGGAATACTTTTTATTTGGATTGCTGTGACTATATTGTTTGATTGTGTGCTTTTTTGGAACGTAGCTTGGTCCGTGGTTATTATAATTATTTTCATAATTTGATCCGTATCCGTCCGAATGATAGTCGTAAGATGGACCTTGATATTGAGAACATTGATACATTTTTCCTGTATTTATAATAATTAAAGAGGAATTCTTACTGTAACTTTGCTCGTAAATGCTGTTGTCGTCACCACTATCACTGTATCCTGATGGCTCATGGCCTAATCCAAATCCATGCCCGTAGTCAAACTTTCCTTGGTCATGACTTGATTCGTACGGATTATGATGGCGATGGTTCTGCTGTTCAGAGTATTCGGGGGGACCGTCGTCTCCAAATGGGGGTGGTTCACACTTTATTGCAATAATTAGTGAAATGATTAACGCATACGAGGACGAACTTCTTGGCACCATTTTGAACAATTTTTTTACAAAGTTTAACAACATATTTTATTATATTCTATGGGAGGTGAACTCCTCTCTTGTTTAACACAGCAGTAATAATTATGTGACAAAAAGTACTTAGACGATTGAGTTACATATTTTACAAAAATATATGAAATATGTAGTTTAAGGCATTTTGAGAAAAAAAACTCGCACGCACTTGCACAAGTGGTCCAACTGACGGACTTTTCGTTAAAGAAAGTTTACGGGTCTTTATCACCAACTTTTATATGAGGATGTGAAGTGGAAAGCGAAAGTCTGCCTTAAATCCCTTTGTTGCTTGTGAATCAGATGAATTAAACGTATATCCTTTTAATTGGCGTTTGTGTGTGGGTCAATGGAACCCAAAAGTTCGAGTAATTTGAGATACGCGTATGTACATATTTAGATATGTATGTAACACTGATTTTTTAAGCATACAATGCAGCTGCCTCACCGAGATACCGTTTTGTCAAGAAATCAGCGTCTCCTCACTAACTTTGAATCCATTCAGCAATTGGAACACAGTGAGTTGACGTAAAAATCTTTCAATTTCAAGAGTCAATTTCAATAGCAGGCAGTCTTCACGTACTAACAAACATTCAGACAAAAAATAGACTTTTTGTAAATAACTATATCCACAACTATGATTAAATGCACCCTTCTCATGCTGTATTTAGTATATTACGACGAGTTTCATTTACACTGTTTTGAAACAAAGTACATATGTAAATAAATAATAGCAGAATTGGCATAATCTCATTATGTCACTATATATTTACATATGCATACTTATTTGCTACGTGCATCAGTTTTCATACCATTCCAATTATTTTTTTGTATAGTATTTTTTTCAAAATATAGAAAATTTTTTCGAACGGGATTTATTTTGTATTTTTAAAACTTGAAATGTTTATAATTTTTAATTCACAAATGGCAACAGACCGACATTTATTTAGGGCAGGATTTATGTATTTATTGAACACATGCATTTTTCTTTTACAAATGATATAAAAATGTAGACTTGTAATTACTTTGGCAGTCACTTGATCACGTAGAACACGGTCGACCGTTCTCTAAAAATCCGTTCTCTAATATATTTGGCTCTCATTCTTCCACCAAAATTCTAGAAAACCTCATCACAATACATTTATTGACCATATAAAGGCACAAGTAGTGGACTGCGCATAAACGGTTTTCATGAAATGAACAAAGATTGCGAATCGTGACGATGCGCGTCTCTGCCTTTCCTCACGTACAACAACCAAAGATGGTCATTTTAAGTTTTTCTGCCACAACGCCCAACGCCCAGCCAAGCAACTAAGTAATTAACAGGAGTCGTCTAAAATTCAAGTTTAATTCCCTGAATTGAAAAATCGCTTCAACTTTGTCGATTCAAATTAATTCATGACAATGCTGGTTTGGATGGATGCAAGAATCAATCAACTCCAAGTTCATCTAGCCGTTAGTTATGTAGTTATAAATACACCCAAGTGAAGTGGTACTGTATGTATGTATGCAGTAGGATGGCTGATGTACAAAGGCATTTTAACACATTTTTTCCCCTTTACTGCGTATATACTTAACCATCACAAGTGAATCAATTGGAGCAAATTCTTTAGTATAATTAATGTTTTGTCATTACAAGTTAAATTCATCAATGAAGGGTTAGATCCTGTTTGGGTTTCATACTTTCAACAGTTGAATATATATTCTTCTTTATCTTGTGGAACTTTAATTTACTGAATTTTGCATTTACGACACTACACGTTAGACGGGAAAATTTATTTAAAATTCTGTCATAGTTAAGTTACTTGCAACGATGCTGATGGGTTGAAATTAGATTTATATTATGCTCACCACTTGACTTTCTCTTTGCTTAGCAAGTGTTAAGAAACTTTCCGTTGTATTTTCTAAGCACAATGAACAGAATTGGCTGCATAGCATGTATTTTATTCCAAGTTTCGCCTTTAATAAAGAATTCGACATTGTATGCAAAGATATCAAGCGCCTTCATTAAGCAGGGTCAAAAATACAGGTATTCCGTCCTGTATGACGCCATTGCCATTGAAAACCGCAACTGGTGATAGCTAAATTTGTCAGAAAATATCTTAAATCTCTAATTGTTTTGACGTACGTATGTAATGAGTTATGACATCTTATGACATTTAAAAAAATTACAAATGGCTGAATAGATCACTAATTGTCAGATATGTACAATATAACTACATGATGAAGCATTTAATTCATTCACAGTTTTGAGAAATGCATTAATTATATAAGTGCAAATATTAACCTTAACCACAGCATAACAAGTAAATCAAATTATACAACATTAAACTGACAAAATCCGATTTGAGACTAAAACTTTGGTCAGTAAAAAAACACCTGGAACAAGTGTTTCATTATTGATTACATCCGTGAACTTTACAATTGCGTGCTTCCAAGAATTCATAAAACAAAACTAATTTAGGTACATTATTACAGTATATAAATACATATTAAGTGAATGAAAGTCACAAACTTAAATATTTAGCAAGCATTTGCCAGTTTGGCGTCAATTTCAGGTATGATTTTGATTTTTCCTGTCCTAAAAATAAGCACAGTCCATCAAGTATAAAATATAATCTTTACATTTCTTCCGATTTTTAGGTGCTCCCAAATAAAGCAAACATGAGGGTGGGATTATTTGTCATCGTACTTGCAGTTGCAGCCGTTTTTATCTCCAATGTAGAAGCAACCCCGACAAATGAAGCATTTGCCCAAGATAACGTCGACAGTGTTCAGCCGATTCCAAGCGGTAGCAGCAATGACGATGTTATGGCATGCAGTCGTTGTAATCGATGTAACGGTTATTGCAATACCCGTGGTGGGTGCTGCTGATGAAATTTATCTGGATATTTCGGCATAAAAAGTTATTACATTGAGTACTAAATTAAATTTGCGCGCAATAAAATACACCATAAAAATTTATCGAAGTATTTATTAATCAAAATTCTGCTTCCACCATCCAATATGCATTTACATAGATTCCTGTTTATGTCTATTGACGATGTAGTCTACGTACGTGTATTGATATTTTTATCTATTTACATATGTAGTAATGTACTTTGCTGCTGGCTACATAAATCATTAAAACCCTACTGCAAATTTTATGAAAGGATTTATACAAGTTTCATCCTAATAAATATTCGTACTTGTTATTCCAAGAATCATAAATAAGCACTAAACGCAAACGTCACCATGTTTTATCTTGAGCTGTTTCAAGAATTGTTTAAGGACTTGAGGGATTCTGAGAAATAAGATTACAATTGCAAATTTTTTGTATGAGAAAGACGCGACAAAATATTTTGGATATTATACATACATATGTATGTGCATACATGCATGCATGCATTTTATTTTGCAGTAAAGTCATAAAATACTGACCAAACAACACCCATCCTCGCATGAATTTGGCCAAGCCAACAAATCTCATTGTAATATGTTTAATGTTGTGATACATCCTTCTCCCAGGTAAATAAATATACGTGTAATTTGTACAACTTAATTGATTCCTCTGTCCTGAGTTTCCTGTGTCTCTTCGTGCTAAATTAGTCATTTCCTGTTATTCCCTACTCCAGTAGCCATCCGCTAGATTGAACTAGACCATTTAAGACAGCACAACACGAACAAACAATACTATTTTCTAGACAGATAACTTTTCAGAAATACTTACAATTTTAAAATGCTGTTTTTAAGTGAAAAGTTTTGGTTTTACTTCATCGCATCTTGCATTTACAATACAGCAAGTGCAGACGTCTCTGAAAAACCAACCTTAGCTTTGCAACAAGACTGGCCAGAGTCTGATTGGAAATTTCTCATATCTGATGGGTCCCAACAGGTCTTTTCGCAGAACAAATCCACCTTTATTCTCAACTGCAGTGCACCCTACCCAATCCAGTGGAAGATCGAGGGAACAATTGTGAGTACTAGATAACAGACCATTATTTATTTCAAAAATCCGTAAAATTTCTGGCTGTAAATATGCATAAAAATGTAAATTTTAACTCAGGAACCACCAGAGTTTGTCAAGATCCAGCCGTACCGCAGAACCACAAATAGAAATTCAGAATCATTTCTTTTGCAAATCATAATATTTTTTACCTCCATTGAAAATTCGTTTAGTTCTGCTACGATTTCATGCGAAAAAATTGGGAGTCCTGAAATCGTATCAAAGTATGATGTCTTTGTTCCATCAGGTTACCCCACTATCCAAATGGGCAAAATGGGTTATCGAGATGAAAAATGTGAATTATAGTGTACAATGAACTGTCTGTCTGTGTAATTCCAGATGAAACTACTTTACTGTTGTCAAAGACGTTGGAACGTATTTCGTCGAACTTCTTGGTTCCTTGTTCTACGACCAACCCAACCGTGCCCGTCACACTCCATCGCGTCAAGGACAATGTGAGATCTTACACTTTTTCTGGGATTAGAGTTCCACACGATGGAAAGTATTCTTATTATTTGGTCGAAAATTAGGGAGAATTAGTCAAAGTTGAAGGAGGGAATCTGAGATATGTTGAGTCTAAAGGCTTCTTGTCATCCAAAGCACTAGAAGGAAAATTTGTGTGTACAGCGAAAAATAGTAACGGAACCAAAAGTAGCGTCACATTTACAATTCCTAATTGTACGGTATATATTAATATCATTTGCATACATCAATTTTAGCCTGGTTTATAATTGCTGATAAATCCTTGCAATGTTTTGCAGCCTCAATTATTGGGGAAGCAAAAGGATTTATCGGGGAAGATATCGAAGTCTTCTGTCCTACGCCAAACTACACCGTCACCTCAGCAAATAACAGCAGGCTTTTCGACCAAGTAAAAGTGCTACAAATTTATTCAGGATATAAAATCTTGATTCCTGCCAGGGCTTCTGGGAAGGGTATTCTAAAATGTGGTGTGATTGCGTCTGGGAACGTTCCTCAAACTTGGAATTTCGAAATCTTAGGTTTGTGCCGACAATTATTATTTATAGTTAATAATTGTCAGCAGAATTGGTTCATTTTGAAATTTCAGGACATGCACCGGAGCTGTACTTGGACAACTATGAAGGAGAAGTGGATTGCTTATCAGAGTACTCAGACCGATCTGTCGCAACTGTGCGCTGTCGCGACCCTTCTGACTGTGAGTACATGAAACACTGCTTCGCGGATCCCCAGTCGTGCAACTATCGGCGACAGAAGCAATTCCACTCACAATTTCCTGGGCGCTGTTGGGTCCAAGAGAAGAACAAGGGAGCAGACTGCGCAAGTGTGCCGTATTACCATCTCAACGGCATTGTCCAATGTGGAAGTGGTGAACATGCCATAAAACGATTCCTATTCTTTGTGGGACTTGATTATCGTCGATGTAAGTTGATTTTAGACACGACATAGTTATGCAGTTAGCATTACTACTAAATTGTACTACTTTGCAGACTCCAATTGGAAGGAAGCTCCAAAAAATGCTCTCATCCGCCTCGGACATGAAGTTAATGTTCGTAACAAAACCGAGTTTGTATGCGAAGCTGTTTCGTTTTTATTTGCTGATAGCTTACGGTTTTCAATAAAATTTGAAAACGGAACGGAAGTGTTTTTGGAGTCGTCGGATGCCAACCAAGGGTCGTCACTTTATTCTCATCGAAAGACGAGGGACGAATTTAACGTGGTCAGAGTTCTCGAGAAAATGGAGCCGTTCCCCTCAAACGTCATTTCACTCAAGTGTCACGCTCCTTGGTGGAACTCAACGGAATGGATAACTTCCGAAATTAAATTACCAACTGGAGAAAATAATTGTTTGTAGATTGAATAAGTATGTAAATTATGCACAAATCTTGTTTAATTATATTTCCATCAGATCAAAATTTTGTAAATAAAACCACGTATCATGAGTAAATATTGTAGAATTAGCAGCATTAGCAGCAAGTGCCCCCATTGCGATTACACCCACGATAACATCTTTGACAGTTGTAGCATGCCTGTGTTTGTTGAGTTCCGATGCTTGGTCTTGATTGTGGGCTTCTTTTTACTCGATCATTAAATGCTTGATTCTCAAGAGGTTGTGAAATCTCTTCCAAAAGTCCGACTTCTTTGCTCTCGGCACACAACAAAGTGCACAGCAAGATTCCAATCAAAATCCCAGTACGAGTATTAAATAGCATTTCTAAATTAGAAATTCGAAAACTTTAGTAATAAACACGTCCATAAAATGATAAGCGATTAGCTCACTTGTTGGAACGGACCTTTGGTATCCTTCGGTCTATGTAGTAGTTCGCCCCTTTTTGCTCTTAATAATAATTCCAAAATCGACGACAAAATTGTAGGCAGCTTTACATCAGCAATTGCGTTTCATTACTAAAGTAGGTTCTTGATGTAGTTACACAATGCAAATTTGTAACGTATTATATGCTTGATAATGGAAGTGACACGACTTGACAAAATAAATCGAGGCAGATGGCATTTAGGGCGAATAATGGACAAAGAGATAAAATAACTAATGTTGTGGTCAAACAAGTTTGGCGATTCCACTTATTGTACTTATTTACTGTCGTTGAGTAGGATGTGTACGTCATTTTAACAATGAAACTGATAGCCGTATGCATGTGCATATATGCAAATATGTAAGTGCTCATCTTTAGCTAGACTGGAATGGACTAGTTTTGTCCAGCTATCAAAATAAAACGACATATCGTGGCCACTCAAATCTAAAGTCAATTTCATGGAAATTTATTCAATACATGGATGACTAATAATAAGTGTTTGAACAAATGTACATGTAATTTCGGCCAATCATTAATATGCTTGTTTGCGACAAACAGGCTCTGTCATCTGCGTAGAGTATATACATAATGTATTCATGTAAAGCGTGTAAAGTATACATAAAAATACTTTTAGCAGCATGCATTTCAATCATATTGCTATTTTTCAAGATTAAACTATGCATCTTGAAAGAAAATGCCATATTTCTTCATTGGAAAAAGTATTTATCTCTAAATAAGCCGATACTAATTTGTAAATACAAGTATGCACCATTATGAATGCCAATTTTCTATAGGAAAAGTTTTTACAAAACAAAAATGTACAAAAGACAGAATTAAATACCAAATAAATGTAATCCCACATCCTCTTGGTTGAAACAAGGTTGAAAGAATTTGCCAAGTTGTGGAAATTTGAGAATAAAACAAATGCACTTTCCTGAACTGAATTTATTTGCAAAAAATGGTCAAGTAGAGCCATGTTTTTCTTAATCATTGTAGTGAAAGCCCTTTTCTGGACGCCATCAGAATGTCAAAACCACACTGGAGACATTACTACAATCAATGAAACCCTGAAAATTAATTTGCAATTAGCCAATAATGAAGTTGACGATTGGGAAAATCCTGGAATGACGTTAAAAAATTGGGAGTTTGTTCAAATCAACAATGAAACAGTTTTGGTATCGCTGACCAAATTCGAGTTGGATCTGACTTGCGAAGCACCATTTCCGATCGAATGGAATATTACGGGTCACATTGTAAGTAATTTCAGCCTACAGCATGGTTGATACACATAGATTTATTTAAGTTTTAGGTGAATTTTGTATCAATTCAAAAACTTTTTACAGGGAGCTCCAGATTTTATTCACATTCAGCCGTATAAAAGAGAAATCGCTAATTTGACGGATGACGGGATCGAATTTCTGTTCAAACTACAGATTTTAATTTTCTTTGACCCTGGTAAAAATGTGACTTCCGCAAGTGCAAGAATATACTGTCAACACGCCATGAACCCAAAAATCAGTAAATCGTATGCTGTTTTCCTACGACATGGTAATATGATACGAGCGATCACAAATAGTGTCTTAATTTTAATCACTGCAATGTACATTCGAGGCTATATATTTTTATTTAGAAAGGCACCCCTTTGTTAACAGTGGACAACTCTTGACTGTGGTGGACTCGAAAGTCATTCCTTGTCCTACTACCGACCCAAAATTGTCAGTAAACTTGATTGCTCAAAATGTATGTACGGAATAATTCGGCATTACTTTCTAAAGAATTGCCACATGTATAAAATCTCTTGTATTCTTAAATGTAGGGACGACCAATTAGTCCAGTGAATTATCTGTACGATCCTCTGATAGGCTTTCAGTTCCAAAATATGGTACAAGGAAATTTCACTTGCGTAACTTTGAATGACACGGTTTCTGTATCTGCAACCATTACGCGAACAATTCCAGGTTGTAAAATTACTCATTGGTGTTATTAATAATAAGCAATATAATAATAGCAAAATTAAGTATTAATAACTTCTTCGCTGTTACCACAGGGTATAACTATATCCCGAAAACGCCTCATGTCAAAATATTTACTGACGAGGAATTGGTATTGAAATGTTCTCGCGGTGATGGGACAGGAAATAGTGGTTCAAGTAATATCGACATTATTGTCAGTATTTCAATGAATCACACCTTGAGCAAAACCACGCAAATCGACAGCCTCACAAATTCTACAATTGTGACTGCAAAAATTCATAGCTTTGGAGGAAATGGTAGCGCTTCATGTGTCAACGTGGCTGACCAGCGTAATATTTGGACATGGGGTTTGGAATTTGTGGGTAAACTTTAATAAGTTAAAGTACTGAGAAATACTTAGTAATTGTATTGCCTATGCAAAAATTGAGCAGTTATATTGACATTTAGTTAACTCGCCCATTAGAGCCGCCCACGTTGGTCTTGAACAATTTCGAAGGAGAAGTAAACTGTGGCTCGGAATATAACGACAGATCTGTCGCCACGGTCCGATGTCGCGATCCGCCACATTGCGAATACATGAAGCATTGTTTTGCAAATCCCAACCTGTGCAATTTCAACATTCGAAAGCAGTTCTACTCTAGCGACTCCAAGCGCTGTTTTAACCCTGTCCTTGGCGAAGGGTACGATTGCGCCAGCGTTCCATACGCACATCTTAATGGGGCCGTGGCATGTCAAGCTCGCGGTCTTTTGAGATATTTCATGTTCTTTGTGTCCCTTCAATTTCTGAGGCGTTAGTCGTTAATTTTAATTAAACAGAGTTTTTGATCAAGTATGGCATTTCATGGGTTATCGGTAAAATGCTTAATGGTCTGTCATTTCCAGGGTCAAGTTGGCAAGAACTACAACCTTCCGAATTAATTCAGATGGATGATGTCGAACCAATTTTGTATACGAATAACACTTCGACATTTTTGTGTCGAGCGGTTGCATTTTTATTTGCAGATGATTTGAAATTTTCCATCGAGTTTAAAAATAAAACGCAAAAATTTCTGCAAGGTAATAATTATACCAAGCGATTTACATTTGAGTATAGTTTAATATATTTGAGTATCTTTTGTAGGGTCTTCATTTAACATCACAGTTCTCGAGGGCTCCTCGTCACGAAAGGTTGACGAATATAACGTGCTGGCCGAGTTAAAGATTGACTTGCCAATTGATGCTGTTTCGATTCATTGCCATGCTCCATGGATGGTATACATGCATCAATTTTGTCTTTGTTATTTAAAATAACACATTGACTATCTTTTTTCCTTGATTATTTTAGAACTCGACCGAGTTTTACGATACTGAACGTCGATTCGAAACAAGACGTAAGTACAATTTTAGTAAACCATGCATAAAATTTGGGTAACATTTAATAATGCACCAATTTCAATCCAGATTTACTCCATCCAAAAATTTCAGCAACAAAAGATCAAGCTTTTGCAAATTTTGTGACTGGAAAAACTACACAAAGACTGAACTGCTCTGGTTTTGGTGAACCGCAACCCACATATCGCTGGTTTAAGGATGGAATTGTACATAAATCACTTAGACACATACTTGATTTTTACAAATGGTCGCATGAATGAATTAAAATATGTCAATTTCAAAATACCATCTAGCCGATTCAAAATAGCAGTGTCTCCGAGTCAACTCAAATTACGACGGGCTCAAATGGAGAAAGTTTTCTAGAATTTTTAAAAGTTGACGATAATTCTGCTGCAACTTATTTATGTGTTGCTGAAAATATAGTTGGAAATGACTCGTTTAGTTTCAAACTAAACACCATTGGTACTCTAGTTATTAATTCTTTATCAATTTTGTAACCCTTCAAAAAATGCATCAAATGTGTACATTTTTTGTCATCAGAAGAAGATTCGTCCTCTGTTACTTACGAAGCGTTGATTGGAACCATTTTATTCGTACTGACAGCAGTCATTATTGTTTTGGCATACGTTGTTAACCGCTACTTGAAAGCGCAGGCAAGTATTTACGAATGTTTCTTATGTCAAAGTAAATCCAAATTTGGACACTATTTACGTAATTTGTTTGTACGCTCTGAATCTGATTAGGAACTTCTTCGAGGATTGACGGAGAATGAAATTGACGAGTTTTTCAAAGGACGACCCGAACTCGTCAATTCCAGCCAAGCCCTTAAAGCAGATAATTTGGACTTGATGCCTTATGATGTCAAATATGAAGTGGAATTAGATGACGTTGAGTTTGGTGAGTTTCTAAACATGCTTCGTTTGCAATCACAATCGCAGTTTTAATCTTAATAATTTTTTAATTTTAATAATTCTACAGACGCTTCTGAGGTGCTTGGTTCTGGCGAGTTTTCTGTCGTAGTAAAAGGTCGCATGAAGTCAAAAAATATGAACGTGGCCATAAAAATCGCAAAACCTTCGGCTGATGTGACATTATTTAAAACACTTTTATCGGAAGTTAAGATAATGATCTTTATTGAAAATCATGAAAATATCGTTGCCTTGTTTGGAGTTTGTACCCGAAATATACGCACACGTATGGAAACTAATTCTTATCAATAGAATTTGATATTTACTGCAGGCTGCAATTACCCAGCCTGCAAATTATTCACTGTACCATGCTTAATATATTATGTATTTAATGCTTAACAGGTAATATCCATATTGTTTTGGAGTTTTGTGAGAACGGGAGTCTTGAAACGTATCTCAGAAAAGGACGAGCACGGTTCATTAATTTGATTGATCAAAATCAAAGGCTCAGCTTGTAAGTAAAGAAATAAGGTCCGTCGTGTCATTCGTGATTCTGTTATCATTTAATTATAATTAAATTTAGGCAAGTTCTAAAATCTCGACCTGATGCCGAGGATCGTCTAAGCTCTCTTGACCTGATAAAATGGGCAATGCAAATTGCAAAGGGAATGGAATATCTCAGCTTTAAAGGGGTAATAATTAAACAACACGGCAAAATTAATATACAAAATAATCCGCTAATTTTATTAACCTACGTACATATGTACACAGGTCGTACACGCAGATCTAGCCGCAAGAAATATCTTATTGAATACAGCCAGAGCTGCAAAGATTTCGGATTTTGGACTCAGTAAGAAATTATACGAGTGCACAAATTACGTGAAGAAAACGAAGGTAACAATAATTCCTTCGAAATATTGATATGTCGTACATGTTGTGATCAGAGCATATCTAAGCATTTCGTATTTATATGCAGAGCCCCCTTCCCTGGAGATGGATGTCGATTGAAGGTACTTCATTAAGCGGCTTTTAATTTAATAATATATTTCTTCCGTTGCATTTTGAATTTAACATTCGTCGACTCAATTAAAGCTCTATCAACGCTAACATTCTCGAAAGAGTCCGATGTCTGGGCATACGCTGTGACATTATGGGAAATTTTTAGCCTTGGTGATACACCTTTTCCTAGTGAGACATGGGATAAGGATTTTTTACATCGAATTACTTCTGGCATGAGAATGGGACGGCCAAAATTCGCAACATTTGACATGTAAAAATATTTGAGGCTATATTATGGCCATCTTGTAAATTAATTAGCAGAAATTGGGTAATTAATGTAAATTTTCTAATAGTTACAGCCAAATGGTGAACTGTTGGGATGATGACCCAATGGGCAGGCCAGAGTTTTCGTCTCTACGAAAATACTTTTCCAATCTAATTGAAAAAATTACAAATGAACAAATCCCACAAGAACTTGGATCTGAACATAATTTAACATTTTTACGCGAACCTGTGTCAACTGGTGGCGAAAGCGATGGAAAGTACTATACAAATGATGTCAATTTGTACGCCAACATGAATCCGGAGGGTTTGCCCCAATACGCAAACTATGACCCTTCCTCTCCTGGACGAATAATGTATTCCAACGTCCCATAAGCGCAATATTTTTAGAAATCATTTGTGACAACATTTATTTCATATAATATTTTTCATATATTAATCTGTCAATTATTAGTGTAGTCTTACATTAGACATATCTATGAAGTAAGTATAGGATTTTATTGTCAAGAATATTTTTCCAAAAACTGTTGATTAAAGCTTTTCAGTCGAACCACGAGTTTGTCAATGTCTTCAACCTTGGCTGGCAAGGAAAGCCTAGAACAAATGCTAAGCTTGTGATTTTTGTACTTATTTAAACATATGTATATGAATGTGACAAACCTCATGTAATGCTGCGTTGGTGAAAGTCCAAATGCCGACCCCACCGCTACACTTATTCCCATTGTTTCAAGCAACTCCAGACCGTAAAATATGTCCGGTGCTGTTCCTTGAACTTCCGCCTCATCAACTGCTTTTTGTGGTATCTTAAACTGAAAATCAAACCGAATAATTACAAATTATACATAATTCATATAACTTAGGGTACAATTTTACGGTACAGCGACAAACAGTAATTTTGCACCTTTGTAAATACTACAGGTCCACCTTCAGGTTGAGAACAGTTGAAACCAACAACTTTATTAAGCTCGGTGCTTAAAATTTTTGCAACTTGTTTGTAATTGTGAGAAATGTCCGCAATCTCTCGCTGAAATGAGTCATACGATGGTTCTCCATTTTGAGGTGGACTGACCAAACTGTACAACCCAACCTACATACATACATACATATAGGCAAGCATATATTTTTAACTGCCAAAATAAGCGCAATAAAATTTGTGAACAATTGCAATTAAACTAAATCAAACTGACCTGGCCCACGATTGACGGGCATTGTTGAACAGTCAATAGTTTGTGCAGCACATCATGGACTCCTTTGTCGATGTTCGTGAGGTGCATATATCCACCCCGAAGTCCCCCTTCACTCGTGTAGCCTTTATAATTACGTTCATTTTGTCAGACGTTGGTTCAGTTTAGAAATAATTTTTTCCATCTCCACCTTTGGAAATTGAATGAAAACTAACGAGTTCCACTTTATCGTACGGAGGTCCCATTTCCATTGCGACTTTGTGCACCGATAAGAAAGGCACGTCCCCCAGTAAATTGTGCTGGTAAATCTATAGTTTTCACAATAAAAAATTGGATGATAAAACTAGTATCGCTTAAAATAAGTAATTTGAATTAACTTTTGTTGGACCTCGTCAGCAAATACAATGAGATTGTGGGAATAAGCAAACTTTATAATTTCTTCCAAGTTTTGCCTCCGTAAGATTTTTCCCGTAGGATTCCCAGGATTTATTAGTACTAGAACCCTAACTTTGCAGTTGCATGAACATGTAGCATTATCATAAGCTCGTTCAAGCTCCCTGACTTCGAGAGACCAAGCTCTATCAGGGTTTAAGTTGTAACTTATCTGAAAGCATATGACTTATCGTACCAAAAGTACTGAATAATTACAAATATGTCTAATTTTCCTTGTATTATGACGATAAGATCATACTTTTGTTAAGCCGTGTTGCGTCATAAGAGCAGAATACAAGGGGTACAAAGGATTTGGTGTCAAAATCCCAACATCAACATCTTTGCATTGAACCAATTTGAAAGCCAACTATGAATAATAAATATTACGTAAGTATATAATTTTTTTATGATACGAAAAAAATTAAGTACTTCGAGTCCTCCGCTAACGCCATTTGTTAGATAAATATCTTCAAATGAAACGGGAATTTCATCCCGTTTTGAAATAAACTCTGCAACTTTAATTCTCACAATTTCCAACCCATTTTCACCGGTCATGCTCCCAATCGTGTTCCCCTTCATTTGAGAAATTAACTCTTTTGCTCTTTGGACAACATCCGATGGAAAAATTGAAGAATTCATGAGTTGTGGAACGCTCACGAGGGATAACACCTAAATCAATTAAATAAATAATCAAAATTAGTACCAAGTAAATCTTTCAGTTCTTCATGCATGAAGGTAATTTTCGCAAGGATTCCATAATAAATAACCTGTCGCAAAAATGTGTTTGGTTTCTGTCCCGTTCCTTGAGAGTCCACAATATTGGAAAAAATTACATCTTGGAATCCTTTCCTAACGCCCTGAATGATTTATTGGTCAAATTAATGTTGCATTTTAGAGATCATGGCACATTGGACTCAATTACGTATGCATGTTGTAGTATTATTTTACCCGTTGAAGCTCTTGCCTAATTTCAATAGATCGTAAATGAATGGGCCCCCTTAAAGCGAAATTTATATTTTTATAACTCTCTCGGATACTCTTTGGATCGAACAATTTCCTCCCTGGTTCTCGAATAACAGTAAAATTAGTCGGTTGTGATGATAAGCATTGTGTTGCCCTTTTTCTTCGGGGATAAAGTGCAAATGTGGATGAATAATAAAATCCCAGGAATATTATCAATAGGGAAGGGAAAACAATATGCATACTGACTGAAGATGAATGAAAATTAAAACAAATTTTGTTTGGGATGCATAAATGTACTAGTAAGGTACATACCATGGACTCGTGTACGCAACTAGACTATTTTATTACTGAGAACTTATGAATGACAATTCATTGCATTCATAGCACACGATAAGAAATGTAGCTCTGTTAGATATATATGCCAAGATATATTTTGTCGTATGATTCATAGTACATTACTTTAGAACGTATGAACAAAGTTGAATAACCGTCAACAATTGAAAATTATGTAATTGGTACAATAATAACTTATACAAGTTGGCATTATGTGTATTAACCAGGATGACTTTATGGTAATTTAATTAATAATCCTGTCTTAGAAAAATAGCAATTTCATTCAAGATTTTGGAATTATAAAAATACACTAATGAATAAACGAATGTAAATTATGTACAAATTAATTAGTGTAATTTTACACTAGAAAGCTTGTGGCGTTAGTTTGATCTCTTGAAACAGAATTTTCTCCAAATCAGCCCAAACTGGAGAACTTGCTTGAAAATTGGAATTTAGGCTGAGCAGGACGGGCTTTCCGAGCCGTTTCGACAATTTCGCAGCGAGTGCTTCCGTGTCGTTCTGACCAGAGTTGCCCAAAACCTTGGTGGTTGTGGGGAGGCGTCCCTTAGAGGCGTCGTAAGGCGTGGGGGCGGCCAAGGCGAGGTCATCCATCCGCCCATCCCCCATTCCCACCCACACGTACAGAGAACGACCTCCCAGGCTTGTCACCTGGAAAAATAACTCGTTTTCAGCGACTTTTCCAGAAAACGAGTGGATTTTAACAGGGTGATCTTCATCCATCCTGGTTAAACTATTGGCCTGAGAACAGCAACGTTTTTACTTTTATGCAGTATGTATGTAGAGAAGAAAGTAGTTGATGAGTTCCGCAGCTGTTAGATATGAATTCATAAATAGTGATTTTATGAACAACAAAAGTAAATTAATTTAAATTTATACATTATCTATGTTACCTATTGATGGAAGTTATGAAAATCCAAAACGAATTAATTTTAAAGATGATTCGGTCGGGCGAGCGTATGCAAAACAATGTGTTCTCAAAGAAGTTTGTTTTTACACGAACAAGGATAAATTTATCAGGGGCCACTCGCAACTATGCATTGACAATGTATATCTTTATATCCGTTTGCATGTCGTAGTACGACAGTCGTACGATTTCAATTTTATAGATTTTTCCTACTATATAATAAGGTCATTCATATTTTAAAATGCTCATACATAATCTACCATCATTCAGCATGATGCATTGATGCCACTGCATCGCCAACCGCAGTGACTTGACGAGAAGCGTTGTTAACCATGGGTACAATTGATGATTTTAAGCGCTCATCATCAGTTCATCACTAATTCTGATAAGGTTTGGTACGCAAAAATGGGCCAAAATCGTGAACCAAAGTCAGGAAAATCACCTAAAGAGAACTCCAAGAGATCGGACTCTCGCAACAAGGAGGAGGACAGGAAAAAGTCCAAGGATGATGACGCCAAGGAGGAGGAGGATGACACGACGACTGGAAAGAAGGGGAAGAGGGGAAAGAAGGACAAGAAGAGGAAACGCGTCAAGACTTTGTTAATTGGGGATGAAGCTAAGAGAGAATTTTCCGCCAAACTAATGCGTGGTTTGGCCCCCATTCGACTTTTCGGTGGTCTATTTGGTCAGTTCCCCTTCAGTTTCACTAAAAGCAAGGTAATTAATTAGATTAATTACAAAAGCGAAAGTTCTATAATAGATTATTAATGAAATTAATAATTTTGTCATTAATAAATTCTCGGCGGGCACTCCGCATTCTAACACCTACGCCCAAAGTAAAGTTGTACCAAAATAAATAGTTTCTTCTATGTAGATAAATTTACTGCACCGTAGTTATATTGACGCTTATGTATCAAAATGACATAAATCTGATGATAACATGTTCAGATTTTTACTAATTGAAATCTTCTTTTGCTGGGGAAGAGTGGGACGTACAACTTCAGGTTCTCCTGGTACCGTTTAAGAGCCATTTACTTTGGGATTAGCATGCTCTTGTCCTTCTACACCCTCGTGTTTGGGGGCTGGAGCTTGTTTTTTACCGTCGCTGACGCCTACGAGATTTCTCCCTCGGTGGTGCAACGGGAGGAACGCTGGTTTGAGAAGAGCCTGCTGCACCGACACTTGATGTGGGTCATCAGCATCTTTGCGGCTGCTGTCCAGTCCTGCTTCTCGTACCTCTATTTGTACAAGAATCGCTACTACATCCCCTCAGTCCTCACCTTCTACACCAAGTGGGCACAAACGCCAAAAAAGTGTACCAGTTATCGCATTATTGCTAATTTGTGTTCTTCCTGATGTTCAGAGCGGTCCAAGAAATGCACATGGATATTTCCGACTCCACTTTTGCCGCCACGTCATCACTCATCCTCATATACATCGTGACCTTTTCCGCCATAATCATCATGGGAATCACACGATTCTCTCCGGGTAATTGCTTGGCTCAACTTGGTTATGAGGATGAAATTACTTGCACGTCGTTAATAAAGTGGGAGCAATGCGAATTAAAATGCGTCTTGTTTAGTCACTGTTGGAGCTCCCACGTTGATGGGGGTCTACATATTTCGATACTTTCTTTATGGGAGTGGCTTCTGGATTGAGAAAGATGACGGGATGAGGACAACTATCCAAGTAAGAAGACATCTTCTCAGCAAAAATAGTGTTGACAATATATACATCTTACGTTGGCCTTGAGAAAAGTTATTTTTTAAAAATAATTTTCCAGATACTTGGAGCATGTTTTCTCGTGTTCATCTTCACTTCTTCCAAAATTCAAATGATAATTTTTGTTTTCCACTGCAAATTGTTAAAGAATGCGTTCGCCTGTTGGAACGGGAGGGCATACGTGGCCTTGATGAAGGGGGGTAAGTATTTTTACACCCAGGAGGGGAAGCTCACGTACAAGTTGTTATACAAGGACCACTGTGTAATTCTAGATATTATGGAGGTACAGTAAATATAATCAGGCATTTTATTTCAAATTTGCAAATTATACTTACGTTAATTTAAAATTAGCATTGTTGCAAATACCCCACAGGCGACCAATAGACTATGCACTGGAACAATGGAGTTGTACTATGGATTGCAAGTACTTGTTTTAAGCAAACTTATATTTATCAAATATTTACATTACAATTGTTGTACTGCATGTGAACCACTTTTGGTCTAATTTAATCTTGATTTCTAGACGGCAACCATATTCTTTGAAGTTTACTTTTTCCTTCGTTCTGCACGATACGGAAGTGATAAGCACATGGCAGCTCAAGATGGGGGTCAATTCTTCATGCGACCTAATGATTGGCTTCCAGGTATATGTAGTTTGTGACAAGCTGCTTATCCGTTATGTCGAACCATTTAATTTTTTTAAAATATGTGTGTTTAAAATCAAGTAGCGCATTAACATACAATTTCGTTTAATTCACCAGGTGCACTTTTAGCCATACAGAGCATTATATTTGCCATGTACACGGCTAAAACGGCTATCGATGTTGGTTAGTAGTTTGTTTGAATACACACGGCTCGATTTTCTTTCGATTTTTGTGTGACAAAATAAAGTTGCAATGCAATTAATTATCGTCATATAGGTCAGGAAGCCATGGCAGGACTAGATATTGTTCGGAAAAAAACTATGCTTAACCGAAAAACCGACGACGAACTCCTGTTTCAATTGAGCATGCAGGCAAGTTTCAACTCCTTCCAACGTTTCGACATCAGTGGTGGTGGGTAAGTACATAAAACTACTCAAGAACTTGCTAAATTTGCATGGAAAAGAATGTACAATAAAAAGAATCGCCATTTGAGGGTTTAAAATTTGGCTATTTTTCCAGTTATCAGTACATAAATACAGACTGGATCATGGGTTACGTGAACAACATTGCTGGCTACTTTATCATCCTTTACCAATTTCAACCTGCGATGGACAGGAGCACGAAGAGAGAATGGGAGCGTCGACGAAACTTAGGAAAATTTCTGGCCAATTTGGAAGGACTTGTTCCCGATCATTACCACAGTAGCGTCCCTCCACGCGCAATAGTTTATGGGCCCGTGAATTAATGATCAAAGTGCAGAAATTTCATTATACATACTATTTTATTCGAGAGATAATACAGAAAAAGTATCAAAATGATGGAAAGGAAAGTTGCATTTTATAATGTATTTAATGTACAAGGAGAAAAGTAAGGACTTGTCTCGTTCAACTCTAATCAAAATTTGGAAACAGCGACCACATCGTCTCCATTATTGTCCGCTAAATTTGTGGGGGAGTTGGACACGTAGCCACTGCTCAGGCTGTCCACGTCCTTCTCATTTGCACTGTTGGCTACGAGTGAGATGGGTTTGAAGGAAATGGAATTGTTGGCATTGGACCGAGCAGATTCGATGGAGGCGCGTCGTGAGGAAGATAAACCGACTCCCAGATAAGCCAATGCGGTTTCACGGTCACGTTCCGCCGCCTCTCGAAGCTCCTGTTTTTGTCGCAAGTGACGCTTCCTTCTCTGACGAAACCAGACTCGTAGAGAGAAAAAGTAAATTAGCTCAATGAAACTTAATCCGCTGAAACCACACATCAGACCCATGATTCCTCCAAAATTTGCTAAAACAAAAAAGTACCAAGGTCAGTGACAAAAAATCTTGAAGGGTGAATTTCTCCTACCAACGAGGTCCGAAAAACCGTATAGTTGACTTCTAACACGTGCGTATGACGAATCTTGACCAAAGTAAACGTGAATAATGGAAATGTTACTTTTTGCCCTGGAAAATAATTTGGAAATGTCTAATATCGGATGAGATTAAATTTCAGGTTCAAGTAAATTTTTATACCAAGATGTAGATTTGTTGTATTCATCTGCCCAAAGGTCAACTCGTCTCCTGTAAAATCATAAGTTTCTTGTTCGAAGAACGTACGTAAAGTTACATAATTAATAAGAAATTGGTGGCGAATACATGTGTGCGTACCTGAAAGGGGTGGAAGTGGCGTCTGCAAAATACTTTATTTCCGTACACGTCGGAAGACAATTTTGACAAATATTTTTCACTCCAAGATTAAACGACTTTTCTGTTGCATAATTGTACAATTTATACATAATAGGTTAAAGAAATTTCGACTGTAAAATTAACTCAATTTCTCAATGCATTTTATATTGAGGTTATAGTTTAATTTTTGTTTTACGTTTCACATCTTCAGCGCATTGGTACTTGGCAGGACCACAGATTGCTCGATTATGATCTCGTGGCATATAATACCGAACACAGTTGCAGGCTTCGTATGTTAAATTCGCAATGCCTGGTATTGAAAACAATAAAAATAGGTATGTAATATTTATTCTATGTACATATTAGTACAGTTTTCTAGAGTCTACTAGATATTTCTTATTACATTCGTCCATGCAATTAGAGGAGGTGTAATAGTTGTAGTAATTCAACCTAAATTCACCGTCCATGTAACAATTTCGTTTTTCCTGAAACCGTTCAACAGCATTACGGTTATTAATATCCACTTGCGTATCAAACTTTCATAGTAATTTAAGTCGTGTAACTTACAATGGAAATTCCTTCAATGACATCATCTGCCAGTGTAATTTCAGGTCGAACGCTGACAAAATGTTCATAATTGGGCCTGATTGCTAAACCGAAATCTGTTACGTGTGGGACGTCCGTTGATAAATGGGTTGCAAGCTATCCAACAAATTTAAGCCCAATTTACTTCTTATGTTCACCAGTATCGTATAGAATTATTGTGAAATTTAAGCACTTGCGAATTACCCGAAATCCTGTAGAATCAGAAGCCGTGCAAAAGTATTCTTCTAAATCCGGGTCTACAAGGAATGCTAATCCAGAAACTTTTCCTGCGCGATTTTGAACTCTGGGGAACTTTTTTCTTGATGAAAGGTCACCTTTGGAGATAAGCTCGCTCATGCTCGTCCACTCATTCCAATCACTTATGTCTTGCGGAGCGTCTCTCGCATCATCCCTTCACACATATGACATAACATGGAGTCGCACTAACTTGATAAATTATGCCAGATGGATAAACGAACGACTTACATGTAGCGATGCAATAATGTTTGGGGGACCATATTAAATGTACAACACTTTCCAAAATTTGTCTCAATTGGTCGAAACAGTTCGCTGCAGTCGTACACATTGCCTTGCCATAAGCATAGCTTCATCATATCCGAGCAAGGCTGAGATGCCTGGAACAGAATTTTCTGGTTAATTAATTTTTGCAATAATTAGTCACTACTTTTAATTCCACCTTTTGTAGAAACTCTGCCACATCCTCCACATCTTTATCGCCCGTTGTAATTTTATTGGAAGCCAGTTGTAAAATAGTCGGATCAACAGTGCCCTGTGTTGAGGTGTAGTTGAAGGTTGCAGAAAAAGGCTTGTTTGAAGTGGAACAAACGTGGTCCAAATAATACACGTTCTTCCAAGCTTCTACAGTTTGTGGGTCATTTTCCGGACCCATGGCTGCCCTGAATCATTAACCTTTTAAAAACGGATTCCACCAATAAGGTGGAGGGCGATTTCGATCTCTTGGCGACGGATTACACCAATAAGGTGTAGGCCAAATTTTTCGCCTTGGCGACGGACTACACCAATAAGGTGTAGGCCAACTTTTTCTCGTTGACGACGGATTCCACCAATAAGGTGTATGGTTACAGAATTCCGTTGAGACCGGGCTACATCAATAAGGTGTAGGAAAAAAATAAAAATAAAGTGACGGAGAAAATTTTCTCAGCTGCTCCATTCTTTCCTCCTTATTTATCGTTGGACTTTCTTCACGCTTGAACTGCAATTTTTGAGGGGAGAGCTGTAATTGGGGGAGTAATTGCATCGTGCTGAACATACAGCCAGCCAAAATTCCAGAAAAGATAGGAAAATATCCAGTAAGTGTTGTATATTTTGTTGTAATATGTATGTGCATAAATGTTAAATATTCCTCGAATATCGACTCAAATTTATTTCACGTTTCAACAGGTACTCTCAACTTTTGGAAATCATGGCTATGCAAATATCGGAAGGTGATGACGACGACCTCTACTACGACGCTGCTTCAGAAGATGATTTTGAAGCTGAGGACGAGTCTGACAGCGATATTGACGAGGTTTAATATTCTTTTCGTTTGTGACCATTCCTCGGATTATGACCTTGCTCTACTTATTAGGATGAAATCATAAACTGGGATGAAGAATTTCGTCCACCCGTGCATAATTTCCAAGGTCCAGATGATCAAATAAAGGATGATTTTCGCCACCACTTTGGAACATCTCTAGACATTCTCAGAAAATTCATTGATGACTCCATGGTCGAAAAGATAGCTGTGGAGTCGAACAGATACGCTGAGCAAGTGAAGCGAACCTCTCCCCGTGCATTTATTGGTTGGACCCCAGTCACTGCTGCTGATATCTGGCGCTTTCTATCTCTTATTTTGGCCATGACGCTTGTTAAAAAATCATCTTATAAAGAATACTGGTCCACAGACCCCTTAGTTTCGACCACATTTTTTCCTTCTGTCATGAGTCGAGATAGGTAATCTTCAGAGGGCGGATATGTATGTATTTCTAACTTTTTCATATCAAATCAGATCGTACTAAAACTTTGTATACTGACATCCCATCGAAGCGTGATCTCAAAAATTCAAACATGGTTTTCCATATTTTCCATATTTTAGGGTTTTCGTACATATACATATTTTCATACATATTTTGAGGTTTTTTTTCGTACATGCACATATTTTTCTACATAATCGAGCCTTTTTCCAAAAATACATATTTTAATACATTTCAAGGTTTTTTATGTGAAAATATTTCTCTTTATTGAGTAGTTAAAGTAATGATAGTGGTGTTCAATTCATGTGAACGATTAGCAAATCCAGTTTGCCCCATTTTTCAAGTCAAAAAATTACCCCTGAAAACCTCTAAATATAACTAATGTCGCTTTATGGGTCATTAGCTGAAGATTAAAATGAAATATTTAATACTTCGTTGATAAGGGTGCTAACAATTTAAAAGGTCTGGACAATTAAATATAAATACAGTAGAAAATTGCAATTGAAAAATATTTTTTATGTGCATATTTTCGTGTTTTTTAAGCACATATTACATACATATTTTGAAGAATTTAAGTACATACATATCCGCCCTATGGTAATCTTATATAAATATGTACATATCAATATATGCATTTATCACACATTTTTCATTCTGTACTAGATTTATATCCATTTTTCCATATCAAGGCAAGAGCACGCAGATAACTGACCGCTCGTGGATTTCTCTTGTTGGATTCGGGGGAGCCGCCGTTCTGACTCTTTTGCAGCCATACTTAGATGCTGGTCGTCGCATCATAATCGATAACTGGTTCCACAGCCTCAAATTAGCAAGGATGTTGAAAGATCGTCTCACGTATGTTTTGGGGACTGTACAAAAAAGACGGAAAGGAATTCCAAGAGGTGCAAGGATGACTCGAAAACTCAGAAAAGGAGAGGTTGAAACCTTTAGTGATGGAGACGTTTTGATAGAAAGGTTGGTGAAATATTTCTATTTATTGTTTTTTTTCAAAAATTTAGAACCTCTTTGTACATACAAGATGGCAGGACAGGCGGGAAGTGCTTATCCTCAACTCTTTCATGCCCCATGGAATGACCGAATGGCCCTCCACCAACCCCAACAACCAACGAATGAAGCCAGATACAGTTTTACTCTACAACAAGACCATGGGTGGGGTGGACAATGTCGACAAAACGATAAAACCCAACCAAAGTCTCCGCAAGTCATACAAGTGGTATAAAAAGGTCGCATTTTATTTGGTCGAGCTCTCGGTATATAATTCAATGATTATGTACAATACGACCCAAAACGATCAAGTTGGATTCCGCCGTCTTAATTACGAAGCGTTCGTCAAATCAATAATCCACAACATTCTCACGAAGTTCCCCGTAGCACGGAAGCCAAGAGGAAGACCTTCCCAAAGCCGTGTCTCAGTACCCTTAGCGAATATGCATATTACAGAACGAGTTATGAAAGAAAACGGTTACCCAAGCAAATCCGATTGTTTCCACTGCAAAACAAAATTGGGGAAGAGGACGATTACGCAGTTCAAGTGCCTTGCTTGCGAGAAACGTTTGTGCATTGGTAGCAGCGTCTTCAACTGTTTCAAATTTTATCATGACGAAATGGTAAGTCGAGAACATGCTGTTTATCTTTGCTGAGAATTTATGTAGTGTATTCACAAATAGTTGCAGTTATCGCAGCAGCAGGTATCGCAGCAAGTAGTGCCACTAGCGGATCGCAACGAGTCACAGAACACTGGACAAAATTCACCACGTTACGATTACAATAACTTGTTTGAAATATATAATGCATCCCAAAATCATGATAGTAATGTCATCAATGATGATGATTTACTGTTCGTTTAGTTAATTGTTGTACTACTATGAAAATCAAATCCCACTGTCGTGTCAAAAATTTATAGTGTGTGCCATTTGGCTCAGTTATATTGTTGATTTATAATTGAAATTTCATGTTCAAAAAGTGTATAATGTTCTAAACTTGAAGTGAGTTAGTTATGTGCTGTGCGAATGAGCTAAACTCACGAGAAACCCTAGTCTCAGCACAAGGTACTTCAGGAGGCCGTAGGTTTAAGCTCCACCCGCACAGTACATAACTCGTTCACTTTATGTATAATTATTGTTCGCGAATCAGTTCTTGGTTCGTAATAAATCAAAACTGCATAAGCAGAATATTCAAAATCGGTTTGCATTAATTCAGTCCCCAACTGATTTTATCACCGCCCCACAACTCGGTCTCAATGGTATTTTGCACCCCAGAAAGTCCGCCCTCAAGAGCAATAGAAACCATTTTAAATTCCGTTTTTAAATGGTATCCAGGTCAAAATTAATTAGTTTTTATAAGGTTAAGGGGGCGGGGGAAGATTTACTTTTCGAAAATTGATTTTATGTTAGCAACAATAATTGTTAGGTATTTTTGTGCAAAAAATTGATGTTGTCTTGTTCCCATATGCATTTGATTTCAATATGCATATGGGAACAAGATTATTTATGCATGCAGTGAGATGAGGTGAGATGTGAACATGATGATGATGTGAGTGATCAGGCATTCACATAAATCCAGCGTCTCTTGCAGTGTCTTTTGCTCACTGCCCTTGTAGCCCAGTAGCTTAGTCTCTGTACGAGGCGAAGGGGTATATGTAGAGCATCGGGCTGTGATGAGTTCGAATACCGCACCCACCCCCACTTATTGGGGTTTTTTTTTAATGTGTATTTCCTATATGTCTCTCTTTTTAGTCTTTTAGTATTAATATTATTTTATTTATGATGATTTTGAATATTTATTATTTTGATTATTTATTGTGACTTCATTATTTATACAATTTTCATGTAATTTATTTATGCACTCACACTACACATATTTATATACTACTGCACACATATTCTACTTCTACACATAAATACTTATTACTTCATATCCACACTACATATAAGCTCGTTTCTAATGCTAGATTTACTGACTAATCAAGTAGAACTCACACTCACATTCGTACTCATACTTATAACATTTATTTTAGACTTTTATCAAAAACGAATTTAATTTCTAACGAATTTTCTTTGTTCTCTTCTCTTTCGCTGCATCAATGGCTTGAACGCGGTACTCCGGTTCCCTAAATCGGTTCTGAGTTGGGAATATGGGGTCCACAATTTCTTGAGCCATATCCATGAGGTAGAACTTGACAAGTTTCTCTTTCATGCACTTCCACACGGCTAGCGTTTCATCATTTCTCCAAACTCGTTCTTGAAAGAAATATGGGGAATTTGACTCCGGGTCTTCATAATATACACAAAAGTCACAAAAATCTTTATCGGCAGTATGTAGTTGCATTACAACTTGGTAAAAATAATTGTGCTTCCTGTTCAACTTCAGACTTCCTTCCGCATCTCTAATGAGAAACTTGTCGGGCCTCAACGGGATCTGATCTGGCTTGCAGTTCGTACATTTCATTTCCGCTATCCCATTGTTTCCAACCGCAAGATCAGGGGATGAAGCGAGAAATCCATATTCGTGTGAAATGAAGAGGCCACACTCTGCTACTTCAATTTTGTTCTTAGCTGCATAAAATGATTTTGCCTTTGGTTCTAGATTGATACCACGCAAAATATTGTCATTGTGACTGAGATCCTTGGGGTACAGAATATGTTGTAGTATATTCCTGTTTGAAGTGCAGTCACTCATCTTGAAAATCTTTCCGGCATTGCTTGCGGTCAGTCGATTTCTGCGCTGCCATTTCCATTCATCATTGAAAGTCTGCCCCACGTGTCATTTTGGATCTTTTCTCGTTGTCGTTGTTCTGAAACGTGAAGGTCTTTGACAAGTTTATCTACAGCTATGGCAATTTCCTCATCGGTCAGACGCCCTTGCAGTGCCTCGGGTCCATAATTCTGGGTATCCTCGACGGTGGAATTTTTGGTTTTACATCTTCCAAATGGTCCTGTTCTTGCTCGCTTTCTGGGGTCTTTTTTAGCAGAAAAATACGACTTGGCTTGTCTCCATATATGTGACCGTACAGGTTTGTCTGAATTAATCTTTGAGAGTAGCCAGAATCCTCCATTGTTGTAGGCAAGAGCTGCAGCTTGAATTCTACGACCGTACGCACCTCTTTGTGCAAAATTTATTCTCTTCCCTGAAATTGATTTAGCAGCTAGGGCCATGAATGATTCCGCGTAGTTACTCGTGACATCAAATATTAGGCGTGGGGACCTAGTTGCCAGCCTTCCAAAGCACTCAATCAATTCTTTTCCTGCCGTGGTTGATCTGAATTTTGAAAACTCTTCGCTTCCTCCTTTCTTGCAAAAGTAACTTTTACAGTTTGAGTGGTCCCCATAAATGTGAGCCAAAACATTGGTAATGTCATCCGCCAAAGTTTTAGCGGAAGTTTTCGTGAGGGGGTCATCAGAGCTTCGATTGTTGGCGTTGTAAGTTATTGCCGAGCGTACATCCTTCCCAAACCTAAGCAAGTTACTCAGTACTAACGGTCATCTTAATTTTTCTAAAGTTTATATGTACGTGCATACCTATTGATGTGCTTTTTAATCAAATCCCTCCCTTCTTTTGCGTGAGAAGTATTGTTGGTAATTGAGAAAATCTTGGAATTCAGTCCTCTTACTGCGTGATTTGAACAATCAATCTTCAAAATCGGTACTTTAGAGTACGCCGTGCTTCTCATAACTTTCGCGAAATCCTGCGACAATGATATCTGCCTCCATGGATTGCGCCGAGTCATTCCTATTTGGAAAAATGGTCAAAATCATTCTGATTTATGGCCAATTATACAAACAACTTACCAATTTTTGTGGCAGACGTGATCTTTTGGGATGTCATCGTCACTGTTATGTCTATCGCAGATGACACAGGTTCTAACTCTAGTACCTACGAAGAGAATTTTATTTGTCCTGGCTCCAATAATTACTCCACAGCCAGCATTGGAATTGTACGAGTGGCCGTAACTTCTTTTTGCCCAGCCTGCGTCAACAATCACAGTGATAAAGGAACCTCTTGACCCTCTACTTTCACTACGTCTCCATTCAGGACAGCTTGACTCTTTTCGTTTTCAATGTTTTTTTGAAGATCACTTTGCAGAAGGTCATAGATGAAATTTATTAATTATCTTCTCACCTTCATATGACATTTTGAGCAAATTGAACCATTCTTATCCAAACTGTCCCATTTTTCACCCAAAAATTCCATCAGGTTCATAAACAAATGAGGCTGGTTCAGGGCATACTTTTGGTCTTTTGCTCCTAATCTCTTCAAACATAAGCCTACGGATTTGAAGGCGCAGTACTGGTATTCTCTCATTCTATCCATCTAACTAGACGCCAAAATACGGGAACGCAACGCTTGAATTTGACACAGGTCACCAAAATACTGCAACAGGACGCCAAACTAAGTAGAACCACTAAACTTGAAGAACAACTCAAAAATACGGGCAAATGACTCGAAAACTTGTAATGCGCTCAGAATTATGAAAGGAAAAAATGAATACGGTTCACAACTCACGTTCAAAAACTTTGATTTGATAACTTTCCCCTCAAGTTTTTTGAAAAAAGTTGTTTTATTTTGTTCCATGGATACTCAAAATGCAATTCATGCCATCAATTTTGCAATTCTAAGCCAATTTGTGCTCTCTTTATGACCAAATATCTCCACTGCGCAAGAGGGCACATTGTCAAAAAAAATGTAAGTAAAACCTGAAGATATGATTAACACATTAAACATAATTTGAAAAATGTGCCCTCTTGCGCATTGCTGAATTTTATTGTCAAAGTTGGCGTGATTTCTAAGCAACTTCCCCCAGGCCCTTAATTAATCAAGTTACGTCACAAGGGAAAATGCAATGAGAGATATAATTTAGCATATTCACATACCTCATGTACTCGTCGGCTTTGCTTTTCAACACCTTGTTCATATTGCATATTGTGACTGTCAAGATGTGTAACAAGTTTCTCTTTAAACGTCTACATAAATTGCACTACATTAATAAATAGTTTAATACGCACCTGCTGGAAATGGCACTTGCTGTAATGAAAAATGTAGTTTAACAATTAGTCTGTCAAAATGCTTACTTCAGTAATTTTTATTCTGACAAAAATGAATATATTTGTATTGCTAAATATATGTGTCGAAATGTGTATATTTGCGAAGTACAAAATGAAAAGAGTCCTATAAATTAAGTAGATGAAGATGAAGTGCATACATAATCATAAATTCAAAAATATGAGTATAAGAAAGGAGGATATAAGAAAATGATTTATCAATGTATTTTTAAGCTTCGACCATGAACATGCTTTGTGTCATCAACCGCGTCATTAAATATTATAGTGATGTAACGTATTTTTACCGTATACACATGCACATATGTACATATGCTACCTGACTACCCAGGTATGAAGGTAGGAAGTATATAGTCTACTAGATAGTGCTAAATTCATGACATATTTTTTATAATTGTTGAGGGACTTGATTGAACACTTACTTCTACAAAAGTTTCGAATGGTTGAAATGTGATAACCACCGGACTTTGACTGTACTTGAGCCATACTGTTGTTAAGTTGGGAAGTTAGTGATTGGAACTGCATGAGAATAAACATGTAAATCTGTGTGATACCAGAGTTGATTAGGTGAGATGCTGTCAAACAACTAATTCCGAACGCCAACACCCAAAACAACCGTTCACAAATGTGTCTCTTGGATTCTGCTAAGTATTTAAGCCCATGAATGGATGTGTTCATACAGTACTGCACCCAATTTCTGTCGCCATCCGGTTCCCACCACCTGCTGTCAAAAGAACTAAAACACATTCGATCCTCATCTTCATGGTCGGATTCAGTTTGTAGAAATACTGAGTCGTTTGGGATCACGGTACAAATTTTGTCTTCAAAACTTAAACTTTTCCCTTTGCACCCAAACATTGGTCGCTTGGTAGAGTTTGTCCGCAACGAAGAAGGTCTGGGATTTGGATTCGTATCAGTTTTATCCGAAATAGACTGATGATCCATTGTGTTGTGGATAAGTGTACACTGATTAATTCCACAGTTTTAACCCAAATTCTATTGCATGTCTAATGACATGAAAACACTCAATCCAAATAGCAAACAATATATCCCTTTATATACACATTGTATTATTAATAGTATACAAACTTCTGATTATTTTCACGCATCAAGAAATTTTAGGCAGCAATCTTATTGTATAAATACGTAAGTATTTCTGAAGCTTTTGTATCAACAACTGCCCAGTAAACCAGCAATTGGTAGTAAACAATTCTCACCACCAAAGACAACAAAACTAATAACAATCAAATGATCCAGTCTCAAGTCTGCACAAATACTTATTACCGATAGTAACCTTTATTTTTTGCATGCAACACGAATTTCCTCCTCTATATAACCACAAAAATTGAATCTAAATAAGTTCTTCTGAGACTAGAGTAAATATAATAAGAGAACTCTTGCACTCTGCAATATTCTAGCTCAAAGTTAACATATAATTGTTAAAATTGGTTTGCAAAAAAGGTCCAGACTTGTAATATACATCAGGAGGATCATTGCTTCACTAATAACTAATCATTCTTTATATCACTTGGGTTGCCTGACTTACAAGGATGCGATATTGTGCAATATTAAGCAAAAAAACATTTCTCCATTAATTTCTCCCATTAATTCCTTGTTATGTGGGTAAAATCCATTACACTCTCCATTATTGCGACAATACATGAACACTGTTGGTCTATGCAGTGGTGTGGAATAATGCTACATTTCCATGCGCAGGACATCACAAAATTCACAACAATACACAACTTTATAGGATTATCAATCATTTATATCTCATGGGAGTTCTTTCAACAATTAAACCGAAGCTTAGGCCCATTTCTACGAATGTATATACATAAGTACATCAGTCAGTCAGTCAGTCAGTCGTGGAAGTTGTTTTGGATTTATCTTGCCTCAAAGACATGAGAACAGTTTGGAGGAGAATTTATCGTGTGAATATAATAATACGGAATGCAAAATGCACGTGTACGTACTTAAACTTAACAGTAGCAAACATTATATAAGTCATGGAATGAATACTTAGATATTTTAATTGGAGAACCTCTGCATATATTAATTAAATGGATCATATTTATTATTCACACACTGTACTTAATGCGACTACTAAATTCGATGCAATTTTTTAGATATGTATGTAGTTTCAACGCTTGAATATATTTTGACACTGTACAAGTACTATGATACTACTCTGCACAAAGTTTAGCAAAATTATATTATTTGCATAAATACCTGAAAGTTAACACTACCATATTTACAATTTTAGGTAATAATGCTAACAACTTGTTCCAATTTACCAGAGCTTTACGATTACTCTCATTTTGAAATATGTACGATGTAATGTGACTTCATAATTGTAATTATTGCAAATTGCACGACTTATAAAATAGTGGACCATATTATCTCGTCCCTTCAATAGTTGAATATATATTCGATTTCATTAGACAATTTCCTCATAATTTGCTCTGGATTTAATTACAAATCCACGCCTGTTAAAACTATCTAGCTTTTCCTTGACAGGAAATGATAGACCTCAGCTCACACTGACAATGAAGGGTATGAGGTTAAGGTAACTTCCTTGTAAAATAACGTAGTCTGCTGCTGAATGAAATTGGTAATTAATGTCACAATTCAAGTGCATTATATCACTGCAGTGGCATCGTAATATAACGCAAATGCACTGTCATCGAATATTCTATGTATTTATGAAACAGATATGATAAACAAACAAATTATGACTTCTTCTTGCATCATCATATATATTCTATCTACGTAGCAGTAAACATGTAAATCTGAGGTACTTATGCATTATGCAAACGGACATATCTGAATTTCAGATTCTGAAACTCATGAGAGTTGATGAGAGGAATGCATACTAAATTTTTGAGCCAGGGTTAGATTAGTATATAATAGGGTAATACGTGCTTCTTTCTTCTCAGGTTTCCCCGTGCGATTTGCCGGGATTTAATGATTCATAATACTTGACGAGTTTTTCCGGTTATAATAATTTCTAGCATCACGAGTTTTGAACAAATTTGGGACATCAAGTGCACAAAATGCTTTACAATTTATAACCGGTAAGATATTTCAACATATAATCTTACAACATTGCATGTGATTAAAAGCAATAAAAGTGTTAAGAATGGAATTGGAATTCTACATTTATTCTAATAATTGTAAAATATATTTTATAAATATCTTCAAAATTCACACAAAAAAGCAAAGCTCAATAAATAAGGTCAAAACCTCAAACTCTTCGAATTTCCACTATACATACCACCTGTACTCCAATTACCTAATAGTTTTGGTTGTCTCATATTATGTAAGAACAACTTAGTTAGGCCTATTTATAGTTTAGAAGCAACAAATAACCACAAATCAGGGTAATAATTTGATTTTGAAACATGTTGGTATTTCAGATTATCAGACTATTGGATTGACCTGCAAATGATCCCGAGCTTTTGGATTTATAGTGATAAGTGGGAGTTCTTAGCAGTTTTTCAACATGACGACGGTTTCCAGACTTCAGGACGAACTTCGAGCCTCGAAAGAAGAATTGAGCAAAGTTGCAGATCAAATCAAACAGCTTGGATGTATAAAAAGGGCCCTTGAGAAGAAAGTAAAGGACATTAAATCAGAGTTAAATTTATTGAATGAACGCGAATCTTCTGTGACAAAATACGATCACGATGATTTTCCGTGGTATAAGGAAATGATGTCCAAACTGCGGACCATATTCAAGATAGAGGATTTCAGGTCACATCAGAAATCAGCAATTAATGCAACGATGCTTGGCGTGGATTTGCTCTTGGTGATGCCAACTGGAGGGGGAAAATCCTTATGTTTTCAATTGCCTGCTGTATTGTCGGCTGGCGTCACTGTAGTTGTTTCTCCATTAATTTCTTTAATGGTAGATCAATTGCAAGGATTGCAATTATTAGGAGTGCACACTGAAATTTTCAACGGACAATCAGACCGTCAGGATACGAAACGAATATTTGCTGCAATGTCCGACCCAAAGTCTGAGCTCAAAATGTTATATGTTACACCGGAAAAATTGGCCAAGAGCAAGCGTTTGATGTCTCAATTAGAAAAGATGTATAGGTATGAAAAACAATTCACATCTGACGTCTATGCACAATTTTTACATGTTTTTGGGAATCTTGAGATTTTTATACGTGTGGCGTACTTAGGGCTGGGAGGTTCTCAAGGCTTGTTATTGACGAAGTTCATTGTTGTTCACAATGGGGTCATGATTTCAGGTAGGTTTATATTGCTATATTTTTACTAATATGTAAACTTAATAAAGTCCTATTTTAGAGGGATATGTGCATGTGCTTACTTGCTTACTACATATATACTTTTTGTCATTTATTAGGCCAGACTACAAGTTTTTGGGAATAATGAAAACTCAATATCCGAGAACCCCTATAATCGGATTAACCGCGACGGCTACCTCAAATGTACTGGTTGACGTTCAGAAAATTTTGAACCTTGAGGGTTGTCTTGTATTGCGAGATTCGTTTTATAGGCCAAACTTGAGATATTCTGTAATTGATTCTTCGTCAAAGGAAAAAGTTGACGATATTGCAGATATCATACATTCAAAATTTCCTAACCAATCTGGGATAATTTACTGCCTCACGGTTAAGGATTGCGAGGATGTTTCAAGAAGATTAAATGATCACAACATTGTGTGCGCCACATATCATGCTCAATTGGACCCTCAAGACAGAAGTGATGTTCAAAACCGTTGGTATCAAAATGAAATAAAAATTATCGTCGCCACGATCGCTTTCGGAATGGGAATAAATAAACTGGATCTTCGGTTTGTTATCCACTACTCAATGTCAAAATCAGTTGAAAACTATTACCAAGAGACTGGAAGAGCAGGAAGAGATGGATTAGATGCAGAGTGCATTTTATTCTACAGCTTTTCCGACACATTTCACATTACTTCCATGATGATGACAGAGAGAAATGGGGCTCAAAATGTGTACAGAATGCTACAGTACACGTTGGACCAAGTGACCTGCAGGAAACAAATCGTTGCAAATCATTTTGGAGACGCCTGCGATGCAATTGAGAGTGGCTGCAACAAATGTGATAACTGTGATTTTAAGATGAATGACAAAATTCGATCTGAAGCGATACAAGTTAAAGTCACGGAGCTGATCAAGGACATTCTCAAATTGCTGAACCATGCATCATCTCTGGATATTCGAATGACGGCCCTAAAGTTAATGGACGCTTGGTTTAAAAAGGGTGCTCCAAAGTTGAGGTCCGACGATGTATCGATTCCAGAGTATGGGCGGGATATCTGCGAAAAGGTTATTGGACATTTACTTGTGGATGGGTATTTAAAAGAAGATTTCCATTTTACTCCGTACTCCACGATTAGTTACATTGTTCCTGGCTCAAAGAGTTTCTTGGATTTGAGAGACGATTTAGTGTACATGTTTTATAAAACCTCTCTCGCTCCTTTAAAAACTATCAAAAACAATGCAAAACCACACACTCTTGCTCGTAATCGTATTAATGGAATGACAAAGTCTAAGAAAAGGAAATCTAAAGAAGCAGCGACGGCATATTTGGACGATTCTTCAGATGAAGAACCTTTTCTCAATAAGAAACCACATCTGAATTCTAAGAAAAGGTCTCCACCTCGCCACATAAGTGATTCTGATGATGATTCGGAGTTTGAAGATTTCAAAAATGTTACAACAAGCAAAAAGTCGGAGAAAAGAGGGAATAGTGATGTTATAACAATTGACTGATTTTTTATCTAGTTTTATTGTATGAAGTTCAACAAGAGCAAGAAATAGAAATTATGCATATACAAAGTAGTGTATTACATACATAGGTACTATCTTTCATATGTGTAATTTTATCCCATGACATGTATTTTTTCAACATTAACAATTATCCGTTGATCTCCTCAGTATTACATTATTACACAAGTCGTCTAATCTCATGACGTCACTTTTCGTCTTCATTAGAAATAAAATTAATTTTTACAAGAAATCTATAAATCTGACATTTCTTTTCGTTCAAAAAAAATTACAAGCTCAGTTTGAGGGCAATGTGGAAACATGTCAACCGGAATAATCTGTTTTGGAAAAAAAGGAGCACCCACATACCTTTTAGAAACTGGCCTGGATAGGTCTACAAAATTTTGCATAGCCAATTTTGGATCACACGACACATAAATGAGGTGCTTAATTTTTTCACACTTTCTTAAAAGTAAAATCACCCGTTGGTGTAAACCTGATCGAGGGGGGTCAACTATTGCAACAATATTTTTAAATTGTGCTTTTCCAATGACTGCGTCAATTGTGTCTTCAGCTAATTTTTGAAATAAATCTAACTTCAGTTTTGAATTATTTTTAGGTTAAATGTGACTTTTACCTTTTCCAGCAAAAAATTGACACTTGTCAGCCAATTCATTTAGGCGTGCATTTTCCCTCGCATCTTTCACTGCAGATTCAATCATTTCGAGTCCTAAAACTTGACCACACTTTGAAGCGATTGATAGTCCGATAGTTCCAGTTCCACAGCAAACATCTAGAACGGTTGTGTCAGGGTTTGACTCGAGTAAACCACCAATAGTTGTGTAGAGTACCTACAAAATATGTTTGAAGTATTGACGACTTTAGCTTTTACGATTGTTATTTCTCGCCCTCGCAATGATTGCAAATCTATGTATTACCTCTGTCGCTGGAACGTTTATCTGAAAAAATGCTTCACTCGATATTCGAAACTTGAGCCCCAGCAAATTTTCCGTAATGTAATCATCGCCAAACAGTTTTGTAGGTACGTTCTTTTGCTGTTGACCGTGTGTTTCTGTAGTTTTCAGAAAGCAGGATGCAATTTGTGGATCATTGTTGGAAAATGTTTGAATTAAAGAATTTTTCATTTCTAAAAACTCTTCAGGCTTGAGTTCCTGCATAATACGGTAAAAAAGTATGGTGCCCATAATGTATAGTAAAAAAGTATGCATTCATTTGAGAATTTTGTATTTAAAACCTTTGCACTGATCAACAGTATTATCAGGACTTGTCCATTCGTAGAAGTCCGCACGGTTAAATTTTTCCAACACCCCTCATGATTTTCAGGATCAAACGGTTTGAGACTCGATCCTCTGATATAATCCTGAAACGCTAAGGCTACTTTCACCATATTTTTTGGCAGGTGGATTAAATGGCTGATGGGACCAATGGCCACGGACCCTGCTTTATAGCTAGAGACTCGAAATCCCACCATCTTCTCATTAGTTTGGGGATGGTATCCTATAAAACAAAATCAGAGAATTGTTGATCTTTGTAAATCGATTAATTATATGTTTAATAATTAATACCCACTACTAACCAATAGAAAATTCACATTTGTTACGGTAATTTTCCGTCACGGGAGAAGGTTTAATTTCGTCGACGGGACATATCCTTTTAGATTCCTTGTACTTATCCCGTAGCTTGAAGTTTGCTTCAATGAATTTCGACGTCATGGAACATACAATTGTATCAGTAGATGCCATTTTTCTTTGAAGCTATAATTTAGTATTTAAGTTTTAATTTTAAATGTCTGTGCATATGTATGTACATAAATGTGACCCAAACAAATTACTTGCTCAGCATATGGAACAGTGGACCATGGAATTGTCACTCGTTGTATCCTGTCCTCAATACTTTCAGCATCCTCCTGACGGAACCCACTTACTCCTTCATCGACATGTTCAAATGTTCTTTTGCGTTTTGCGACCAGAGGGTCCTCAACAGCTTTTGCAACCTATGAAATTTATAACACAATCGAATTATCGAATGATCCCACTACTATAAACATTTGTGTATGACATGACATACTAATTAATTAATTTAACCGAACTCACCCCAGCTGTTAGAAATCTATTCTTCCATTTATACCCATTTAGCACCTCCAGCGCCTTTAGCTTGTCTTCCTCTGTTTTAAAGCTTACAAACATATAACTCGCTCCAGATTTACCAGTTTTTATCTTGTGCGGATTTAAGTTCAATTTATTACTTAGCAGTTTCTTGATTTCCTGTTATTGGTTCAGAGAATAATAATTTAGTATTAGTTTACATTTCAACAAAAATATGGATATTAGAGTGCAGTGTACCTTAAACCCGAAAATCTTTGGTAGTCCCTTCACTTCGATTTTATACTTTTCCGATGAAAACTCTTCTCTGTCGAGATAGGCATATGGGTTCTTCTCCTCTTCTGGCACACCGTCACCTCCTTCTGGGGGCTTATCTGTCGTCGGGGTGTCATCCTCTTGTACCCCCACCAGACTTTCAGTTTCAGCCATTTTCAACAACTCCTCCTCCTCGTTCACCACTTTATCACCATCGGTAATCAGCCCCACTACACCGACACTCGGCGAAACATTAGCCATAAATACGTCAAACTTGTACTTGAAGTTGGGAGCTAACTATATTATTTAATTGTCGTTAGATGACTTTAACTAATATTTGATCTAATAATGTGTATTAGTTGAGATAAAATAAATACATTAGCGATAAAGTGATTTGATCAATTTCATAATGAAATTTTCATTGTCCGCATGTCGGCAAAAATCAGTGCAATGTGATCAACAAAACTTGCCACTTTGGTTTGTTCAGCCGTCTCAATCTGCCTCATCGTCTAACCCAAGCTACGATGAAGTAACAAATAGGTAAATGAAATGATACTGATTGATTGCATTGCATCCTTGTGGTGTGAATGTGATTTTTAATGCAAATTCCACGAAAGTCTATGCTCGATTTTTTTAGTAAACCGTTTCTCAGAACATCAGAAACACAATTACGATTTTATTTCATTTTAAAGTTGGTTATATGTAATTAGAATCAAAGTTTATGAAATAGGGTTAATAATTTCAACCAGTTTTTGCAAAATAATGGCCAGGTTGCCAAACGCATTTTTGGAAAAATTCGGAATAGAATGCTCCAATTTTGCATTTCCAACGGAGGCGTCCATTAACACCATAAAATTTGAAGAGTCCTGGATTCTCATATGCAGTTGCTGGATAAAATAATGACAATTTTTAAAGGACCATATTTTTAAAGATATTTGAAAATATTGAGAACATGTAATTCTTACGAGGCCCTTGAACAAGGTGATTGTTGTCGTAAACCGTGGGATCTTGCATGCCAGGCAAGTGGGTCCATAGCTGAGTGTCTTGGGTCACTGGGTTGTATCGATATCGAAAACCGTAGCCATTTACTAACCCGATCGAAGCCAAAATAACGCTGAGAATTGGCAGGACCAAAACCACTCGAATATTAGCCATCCTGGTTTAGTTACTACTTATTTGGGTCTTTTTGGATAATTTATGAATCAATTGCTTGGTAAAAGTGATCTGAGCCCTTGATGGTAGATTGACCATATTTATATCCTAAAGTATTTTTTACCCAAGCCAAAGATAATTTTATTTCTGACGACAATCTTCATGGAACAATGGCTGAGTGCTCTTACTTTACGATTCATCCGGGTTCCATAAAATAAAGCTGAAGAAGCAATTATTAAGGCGATTAGAAAAGGGGGAGAATATTGAATTTGAACTTTGAGTGATGAAGATCATTCTCATTACTGCTGGCCAGGTATTGAATGTAGATAAGTTCCAGCTCATGAATTTTTAGGCGATTTTATTATGCACTTGATCATAGGTCGGATAATTGTAGGGTCCGACACAACGCCAATTACGAAGAGATGACGCCTATTCCAATGAACAAAGGCACTGCCTCAACTGGATAAAATGGGATGTTGTAAAAGGTGGTCACAATCATGAGATTTTTTAGAAACAATGAAAGATGGTCGTTAAATCAAATTATTGGTTAAAGTAATCGATTGTATTAAACTGCAAAATTATAAGGTATGTGACACATTATAATATCAATACCAATTAGATGATGCGGTAGTTTGGGCTCGTGGCATATCATTGTCTGTGTTGGTCTCATTTGGTTTATGGGATGCGACTTCAACATCATTATGTATGGTAAAAACAGTTAAGAACCTAAATACAGTGTAATGATAATCTAGCCCGAGTCAGGAGCATAGCCGCTTTTAAAATTGTGTCAGATGACCGATGACCCAACTACTTACTATTCGTAATCGTCAGAATGCTCCCATAATTCAGCATTCAAAATTTCAGCGTTTTCGACAAAAAACCAGTATGGGTCACCCTAGCAAAAAATCTTAAAATTTACTTCTTATTTGTTAATCTAATCTACTCCTACAGTATCATGTGAAATTTATGTCTTCTACGATCATTTTCGGAAAGCGGTGAGGGTGACCCCACTGGGTCTTTCCCAATAATAATTCAAATGTCCCGAATATCAGCCTTCTTCGATCTTTTCGAATATTCTGCATCACTGACCTTTCTAACCCTGCTTCAACTGCTTGACCGATTTTTGTCATAAATTTCAAGTCGACCAGATGAGTTTAACAAGAGTTGTGGCGAGACAGACGGACATGATGGTTCCATAAGCCTTGACTCGGTTAAAAAGGATGAACAACGTGACTAACTTAATATTCAATTATAGGTTTCTTGTGGCATATAAGAATTTTTGGGTAAAATGTAGTCTAATCTTAAGAGAAAAATGTACTAACGTCACATGCTTTGCACGTCATCAGTGATTTATGTACGGATCATGTACTGGGCATATACTTATTTATTTGCAAATTTTTTGAATAAAAAAATAAGTTCGTTGGTACAAAATGTGCATGACTGCATTATTTTAGTAATTCTTGCATCTCAATCTCATACATAATGCTCATTGGAACAATTTCAATTATTTTAGATCCGCTTGCAACGAATCAATAATAATGATAATTCAAGTGAACATTGAAACGCTACACAAATTTTTCTTTGTTTTCAGAAAATTATTATAATATACCGCAATTACAGTCTTCTTTTTTAGTTTTGGCACCCCAACTAGACGACGATACAATTCTCAGGTATTTGCTGGATTGCCAACAAAGAAGTCGTAAAAAATTATTTTGGTGATATGTTAAAAGAACTTTTATTATTTTCGAATTGAAATTTTACATAGTCTGTACATAGTCAATTTAATTGATTAAATTATTTAACTATTTAACTATTTGACTAAATTATTTAATTATTCAATGTTATTATTATTAAACTATTACAATTAAAGTGTTTAATGCCCGAATATATGCAACCCACAATTGTATTAGTAAAGAAAGTGAATTTAAGATTTTAATAGCTGTCTTCATAAGCTCCATTGCTCAAATTCGTAAAATAGTTGTCTACTCTCGAATAGTGAAGAGTATAATGGGTCACTGGAATTTAAACAAAATATAAAGGATACAATATTCAATCCACACATTGATGCAAGCCCATTTTTTCATAAAGTTTAATAATAAATAACCAACCTGGAGGCACCCATAAAACAGCTCGTTGCGGTCGTGGAGCTATGCAAGTAGTTGTCCCAAATTCCTTTATAAAAGTAGCAAAAATTAAGAGTTTTGCTGCAAATTATTGCGTTCAGCGGTTTTGCCAAAATATTTATGAATGATTTTACTTACTGCTCGCTGCGGCAATTTTGTGGTGTCTAAAGCTCCTTTGAGAGTTGGAAGCTTGGGTTTTGGCAAATGTCCGGTATGGTATTCCCTCATGCCTGCGGGAAGAATACTTGCTTATCAAATTGAAACCCAATTTCAAAATTGTTAAGCGTAACAAGTATTATGCACCGGGTTTAACAATTGACTCATCTTCCTCCGCAGGATCTCTCATTGTTGCGCCGTTGATAGTTAGCAGGATTTGTTGAAAAATACCCTTGTTGTTCAATGTCGACTTATCTTGGACTAAAAGTTTTGAGACTAAAGTAACTGATTAGTATAAACTTGTTTCTTAAAAAAATCACTAGTGGAACTTAATCAAGCTTTTTTCTTGGTGTGTGATCACCACTTGCATGGCATCGCATAATGGTTTGAAATTCATTAAAATGGTCTGCGTTATACACACGACAGTACGCAAGGAATACATATGTAATGCCTTAATTTATGCTAGTAATTGAGCTTGTTTGTGCTGCAAACGAGTATAATGGCAACGCAGCAGCAATTCAACCCATTCATTATTGTGGCAGACATCCAATGAAACTCTATAAGATTCTCTTTTTAGCATAATCTTGATATGAAACGATGCGACCTACATACTTTACCAAGGAATTTGTGTATGTACAAATATGGTAGTGGTCATTTGATCGATAATAAGTTTTTGTCAACCACTCCATCCAGATTTACACTTTGAGGCGTTTGAGGTGGCATCGAGTGTCCATTCGTATTGTTGTTTTTTTATCAACCAAAGACCAATGCTAAACGTCTCGTGAATAGTTTTCCATGAGCTCCAGCCCTTTCCGCCCACTCCTCCATTTCCAAGTTTTTGGGACCTTGTTGATTATTATGATTGTACACAAGTCATCTTTTCATTATGTGCTAAAGCACAAGTAGATATTTAAACCAACCCAATAAATACTCAAGACGGGAAGAATTAAAAATATTGATGGCAAATCCCCGTTGATTGTAAACTCGACCTTGCCCAACGCCAACATTATAAACGACAACTGGGGTTGTAGTGGATGCAAATTCCACACTGAATATGACAAGCCATCTACGGGGGACGACTGACTCTTACAAAACCTGCCATGGAATAACGATTGCAAAAAATTCACTCGTCTCTCTGGATATTACATAACTCATCCTCAGTTGCCCTGTATATGGCAACATGACTGATGCATTTACGTTACGCCCTTCAATGCAATGGGTTATAATTTTGATTCTTTACTATGCTAATCCCCACGTTTTTACTTGTTTAAAGACAGTGAATTACAGAATTATGTGTACATTAACAATTGGGGTCCATCAAATATTTCCCAATTTGTTCACGGATTCTTTGCTGTGCTTGGTACATGAAAACCGAAGGATTCGGATGACTCTTCATATCCTCGCAGTGTTCAGCTTCTACATTAAAATTAAATACTAATACAGTTATCAGTATGTTGCAAAGATAATGATATGCAAATTAAGTATAGCATGGAGTATAAATCAATTTATAATTTTTTACGAGGGATTGAAATGACTGTGTTTCTTGATGTAGTTTCATTTTGTTGGTTAAATCCCAACGAGTGCCAAGGATCCCACTGGCCATTTACAAAAATTGTACATGAACCCTCAAATTTCTTCCCTTTGTAGAAGGCATTTGTAAGGTCGATTCGGGATTGTATACTTTTCCGAGTGAAGCTGGAAAGATTTCGAGTACATGGATACTTATTTACACATAACCTAATCAGGATTTCTGAACCTATCCACATAAATATTATGTATCTTGTTTAGTAGAATTATTGACAGTCTCACTTTGCATCAGGGAAAATGCTTTGACACCTTCGAATATCTATTAGCGAGTCCCACTCATCACTAAAAAGTTGAATTTCTGGATCTGCAACTTGAAAGTAGCCGAACTCATAGCAAGTTTGCCAAGTCCAAGATTTCCCATCTCGTCCACTCAAAGATTTGACAAACTCTACAATTTCATCCTCCGGATCCTCGTCGAATCTCGTCTTTTCAGCGTGTGGCGTCCTGAGAGCAGCAGACAAATCCTTTTCACTCCGCTGACACGTCTCTCGAGTTTGTCCTGTTTGCACGAGAAAATTTCCGTAGTCCTCAATCACATCTAAATTGTTTTGAAGTACAAGGGTGTGACATTTAGAAGTGCTTCTGTGGCCAGGAAAGTTGCTTCCCCATCTTGCCCCCAGATTGTGAAAGAACTGCTGGCGTTCGAAGTTCACACTAAAGTTGTACGGCCGACACTGGCTAAGAAAATGGGCGAGGATTGGGTATAGAGAACGAGCCATAAGTTATATATGAAATATGTATTTATTAAAGTTGATTATCTTAATTATTAACTGCAAGCCATCCAACAGTTCCTGAGGGGAAGCATACACAGACCAGGCTTCAGTCTCATTGCATTGCAGGTCATTGACCAAGTTATCCATGCACCGAAATGCGCCGTATATTTTCCGAAAGCAGGTTGGATCCTGCTGATAAATTACTTCAGAAACGGTTCGGAGAAACTCTGCAAAATAATTTAATTCATAGTTAACATATGTAGTAATCCTAAGACTATACTTAAGTTAACTATGGTATACCTGGAAATTCTAATTTAGCTTCAACCGGTGCTGAAGATGCCACAGCTAAGTTAACAATGTTGGGGTAATTTTGTCTCATCCATGCAGCTAAATTCCCAGGATAACTCCCACCAAATGTGACTACTTTAGCATTCTGGCGTATTTAAATAAACGTAAGATTGGTTAAAATAGGATGACACTTATGGTTTCCTTTATTTTGCGAACAAGGAAATGCTTATGAAATGGCCTCACATCCAAATTTGTTGCACCCGAATTATTATATTTTAGCCACTGGATGAACAGTGCAGCGTCCGCTAGAGCTTGCTGGCTCGTAAGAAGTGACATGCTTTCAAAGGAATTGTCTCTGAAATTCATTCCAAAGAAAGTTGACATGAATGCATTCTGCTATTGCGTAACATGAATGGATGCTTGTACAAACAGAGATGGAATAAAACTTTGACCATAAAATCGGTGCTCCAAACAGACCGCAAGGGCTCCAAAATCTTCCGCAAAGTCCAACCATTTGCCAGCATCCACATATCCTTCGGCACTCCCTTCGCCACCAAACATGAAAAAAATTGGTCCACCAGGTTTATAAGAATCTGAGTTTATCCAATACCTCTAATTTTTTAACCAACAATAATTGCAAATTTATATTAATGGCGTTTCAATTGATTTGCATATGTACCTAAATATCTATGTAAATACCTGATTCCACCTTTGAACATTTTCACCACTACACGACGAATTAAAGTGGTCTATGCATTGAGAAAACCAGGAGTGCGGTGTTCGGTCGATAGACGACGATTTGTCAGGATGCTTTACACCTTTCCTTCCTTCAGATTTCTCATCCTCTTCATTATCATTTTTCAAGAAATGCTTACCTCTGATGTATACATGCTCTGCAATTGAATTTTTATTATCAAAGTTTCCGACATGGAACTGAAATGGATTAATTCCCGAAACAATAACAAAGGAATATAATACACAAATTAAATAATACTCCTGCGTAATATTCATTTTTCAAACTTTTTTTAGTGCTAATTTTGCCGTTTCATAAGACCTAACTTCGTATGAAGGTAGAACCAAAAAAGGTAGAATTACAACAGTAATTAAGCATCTGCATAATTTAATACGTAATACAGTTAGTTTACGTGTGCCAATATAGAAAGTAATAAATCATTACAAAACAGTATAGTCAAATCAGCAAACTTGTGGTTTCAATAAAAATAATTAATTGCATGTAATCAACGTAAAAGCTCTGAAATTTAAGCTACGTCAAATTTACAATGCGGATCCTGAATATCACCGCAAGCTAATTTCAAATCCACAACTATGCAATGTTTGCATCGAGGTTGAATTTCGAAGGAAAATTGCATAAGAGTTGTTGAGCTGCCATAAAATCTCTTTATGCATATAATGGTTTAGAAAACGGAGGATAGGAATTGCTCAAAAATATAAATCAAGACAACGACTTTCGGAAGGTATTTTCATACCATGACACTTTGCGCCATGGCATAAATTGCAATCTGCCTGCCATCCTAATAAAAGCACAACCATGCAATATTTAAGGTGGACCTGTTGTGTTTATCTTCACTTTGGTGAAAGTTGGAGCGAGTGATAAAGTGAGTGAGCCAAATATAATAATAAGCTCCACCAAAAGAGTAAGTTGAAAGTATCATCGCCACATCGACGAGCGGTGAGCTTTGAGAAATCTCTCCGAATTCTGTCACAATCACCAGGAAAGCAACAGCAACGAAAGTGAATCCCACTGGGTAAACATCCATCCGCGGAAGCAAGTCAACATTACTTTCATACACTGACACTACTGCTGCAAAACTCTGCTGAAATGCTCTCCAGTTGTGGTTTCACTGCTCTTCATCCTTCCTTCTTCCATGAGTTATAAGCGTCCAATGCAGACTATTATAGACATATGTACATATTACAGATGTACACGTATACAATGTTTTGGATGGAATACGTTTTTTAGCTTCTACCACCTCACCTGAAACCAGATCAAGGAATTCGTGCAAGTGTCACGTCACGTCGTTCCACTTTCAAATTGCATTATATGTCACATTACATCTGCTGCTCATTGCCTCGCACAGGAAAGCGTAGTACGTACTTACATACGTAGGAAAGTAAAGTACATAACACTTACTTTGGGGGACACAGCACCTTCAATCACCTCAGATCTCCAGAAGGGTCAATACCTGTATTGACTAGACCCTTGGCGTCACTTGTTGTCAAAGTCAATAAATCCTAGAATCTGTTGGACCGAAGAGAATATTGGCGAAATAATTCCAGACTATCTGCATCTAGGATATATGACGTATAAGTATTTACAGAAACCTCAGTCCCACTGATTGACAAATTCGGATATTGGTGTTGGTCAAACATTATCTTGTATCACATTCATGGAAATCACTGTAAAGTACAAATGCTTCGAAGGGAAAGTCCATAATCGAAGCTATTTCACAGTCTCGACCTTTCCTGAAGTATCGCTCAACCAACACAGTCTCCAGAGAAATTGTATGAGCTAAGGTTATTCTAAAGTAGCGTGAGGTTAAGCTTTCACTAAATCTACAAACAAGTTCCACAGGAAATCAGGTTCATTACATTTACATCTTTGGGTGTGAAATGTGTATCAAAATTATAAAATTACCAGTGGTAATTTACCACTGAATGAAATTATATGAAGACCTGAGCAATAAAAGCCCCAAACTCAAAAGTCGATTTGTTGGCGTTAGTTACAATTTTTCTTTGAATATTAATTTAACTGGGTATTATTTATTATTAACATAAACATTGATAAACTATGAAATACACTTAGTTGGCTTGGCTTTGAATATTAAAAACCCCAAACTCCAAAAATGAAAATATTGAAAACCCCAAACTCAAAATAAAAATTTCCTGCTGTCGGTACTTGGTTGAGTTTAAAAATTGGCTATTTCTTGAGCATTAATTTAATCATGTCTGAGCAATTTCGAATCACAGTTAATGAATTGTGTCACATTAACGACGGGAAGAAGCGAAAGATAAACTTGGAAGACTGGCAAAATCAAAAAAATAAAATGAGCAAAGATCGAGGAGAGGAGTATGTTGGAGGACGTGGAATTGTCAAGCAAGCCAAGATTCCTCCTCCCAGGTAAAATCATTATTATTTGACTGCATAGCATTTTGTACTAGTCTTTTTTTCTTCCAAAGGTCCAAGCCTGTCCACCACGATGCTCAAAGCCCGGGTGTAGGCTCCCTTATCCACGACGCCAACAGATTTTCCAAGAATTCTGGGGAACAGGCAGTTACAACCGTCAGACGGACATCTTGGCAGGAATGATTGACGTGATCAATGTGAACCAACGAACCACCACTCATGCTCAAAGCAGGCGCCAGCACTCATACACTTATTCTTAAGCAATGACCAAGGATTGAAGGTTCCAGTGTGTGTTTCCACTTTTTTATCGACCTTTGGAATAACCCCCGATCGACTCCGCACGGTAAAAGAAAAACTAGCTTCGGGAACTGTTGACCTGGCTGATAAACGTGGGACGAATACTTTACATGAGAGAGTGGATCCAACTCATGCAGATCGGATCTTGGCGCACATCAATTCCTTCCCGAGGAGATTGGCCCATTACTCTCGAGAAGTAATTTAAATAGTACAATATTAATAATTTAGTAATTATGGAACTAATTTTACTTGCTATTAGGCCGGTAACCCGTTGCGAGAGTATCTTGACCCGACCTTGACCGTGTCAAAAATGTTCACGCTTTTCCGGATCCAAGAAGGAGAACATGTCAACCGCTTGGAGTGGCTGTATCGTCAAGTGTTTCGTGAGCAACCTCTCAAAATAGGAATTCAAAATAGAATTTAAGTACATATTATGTACTTAAATTTTTGCACCTCATGAATGAAGGAATGAATACTTAACAGTTTTAAAAATATTTTTTACTTTGTTCGTGTACTAAATTCGTTAAAATAAATTTTAAAATTAAAAATAAATACTAAATTTTTTTTGTATTTTTTACAGAAAAATAAAATTGTGGTAACAGTTTTTTTTAGAAAATAAGAATCGATAGCATCACAAATCATTTAAACTACTTTGACCTTATCTCCCCAAATATGCAGAGATCCGATGGTAAATAACACACATGAAAAATAAACTTCCTCCTCGACTTTCCCTTCATCTTCACAAATATTAAAAACAAATATGATGATGTTTCATCCGTATACATCCCACACGTGAAATCTGAGCTTATTCCATTGCACAGAGTGGAAAAAGTTAATCCTCGGAAATTGAAATGGAATCTGAGCCCAGGTGAGTGGGACACAGTGCGTTTCTTCTTTTTTTATGTATATGGACAGAGTGGAGCAGGTGAAGCGAGATAAATCAAATCCCTCTGGAATTGTCCATTACGTTGCATTAACATCACTTCCTTTGAGATCAAAAGGCGTAAAAGGAAACTGGAAAAACAGTAGCAGCATAAACTTGACAAATAAAAATAAAGCTTCATTTCATCTTCTGAAGGACTCGTGTACTTATTCAAATCAAATAAATGTTTGGAGATGGTTACAAAATCTCATATTTAAATACGTGTCGATTAATGGTGCAAATCAGAACTAAATGTCAACCCACCGGCGTATGCAAATATTATTCAGCACACACGGTGTGTGGGTGTGACGAAACAAAGTGAAATCAAGTGGGTTGAACCATTCCGTTTTTAATGTGCGGCATACTTTCTTCACATAATCACATCACGATGTGATATCATGCTGTTGCGATAGACGTCGTAGTACGTGCTTTGCCTGATCCGTTCTTTTAAAACCCAGACAAGCTTTTAAGGAAAATTGTATTTTCAGCACCGGGTTTTTAAAGCTGACTAGTGGGCAAATGTACAATCTGGACGTCTGACATATTCTAGACATACGTTACGTGAAAGTATTTACGTATCTATGAAATGTAGACTTTGGAGATATATCCGTCAGGAGTAAAAATGATAGTTCCTTCAAAGCCCAAAGATGAAACTTTAGCAAATGTTTGGATGCCACAAAACGAAGGTGTTTGTGATGATGTGATGACGGATCTCATGCGAATATGTGATAAATACGAGAGTGGGAGATGAGATTCCAGATTGCAGCAAGATGGATGGAATGTTGGTGTTCATATAATAAAATGGCGATAAAACTTCCCTTAGCGAACTCATCACTCTTTTACACTTTTTCATCTCTTTGTTCTCCCAAAATTTCTCTTTTGTTCTTGCACATCAACCATCATCGCAACCTCGCTAGAACACCCAGCCAAAGTCCCAAATGGTTTCACTTATCAGCCAACCAACCTGCTCCCCGTTTGCATGGTCGGTATTAAACTAAAGTGACGCAAAGTGAGAGGAAAACGTCAATTCCTCATCCGCGTGCGTCCCCGTTAACATGCCATCACTGTCTATACACACACACAAATATACGCCTAAGTTATATCTGCCACCGTCGCGGACATGATTTCATCATGTACAACATCAGCATCATCAAAATTAAGACACAGTATACAACGAGGAGGATCGTGCAATTAAACTGATTGTGCTTTCCTTTCAGGATCCTTCGATTTTATGACGGAAGGAAACTTATAAAAACCAAAGGACCACAAATGAAAGATTAAGCGCTTAATCAATCCTCATTTTTCGTAAGAACGGTATGCATGCATGTGAACCAAGATATTCGGAAGCTCAGCGTCGTGAGAAAGCTACCTGACATTTTGTAGATCTGCTGATAATTCACTATCGTCCAGTGTTTCCAGCGTACGAGATATCTATTCAGAATTCTGAATATCTATTCAGTATACTCAAAAGTGCTCCACCATCTCTTCATCTTCAGGCTCAAAGTTTGCTATATATTAAGCTTGAGCTTGGAAGAAAATCGTACGTGGTGGATTTAAATGGGTTTCACATTTCACCAGGGTGTTATTAAGTTATTTCACTTGAATGGATCCAATTCCCAGCACTTACATGCATAGATCCTCACAACACGGGGTTCATGCTTTGATCTGGATGAGTGAACGTTGTGGTTTTAATCTCTGGTATGGAATGCAAATATGAAGTGTGTAAGAATTTTGGTTGACACGAATTGTAAAGCAAAGAATTTTACCTCATTTCAAGCATTTAAAAAATTCAGATTCACAGCAACTAAGGAATCGTTCACATTCCTCCGAGTTTATCATTTATAGCAAAATGCACTTGACAATTCCGAAACGAATTACTCCTGCTGTTTAGAAATTCTTATCCTACAACTGCTTCTGGCGTAGCTTAACGTGATTTTATGGGTCACGGATCTCGGAACCTAACCTCAAGCACAAAAAACATATACGTATTTATGTACACCGTATGTATCATTTCATTCCAAATGGTTTCGCAGGTTGTGGCTGACTTTTGGTGGTGGTGGTTGGAGGTGAAAGTGGCCCGAGTATGGCTGGTGTTCATCATTTCACTTTCACCCTTCGCTCTGAAGCCATCCTCAGCTTTCACTCCGCTCACTCGAGTAACTCACCTCACACATTCGTGTTGGATTCCACCACTCATTGTTTTTATGCTGCTCGACTAAAGAAAGCGAATCCTTGTAGCTTCAGATCCAGGCAGGCACACCTACGCCAATTACTTAACTGAAGACTAGAGCCCAAATTTCTGCTAGCACTCAAGTCTCCCTTCCCTGTGGCATTTATCAAGGAAGGAACGATCTTATCACCAAGCACAGTTTGAACTTGCTTATCTTAAAGGTAAGGCTACAAAATTCTTAATTTCATAAATGGAGTAGATTCACCAACGACGCATCATGTTGTACATACATACGTGCTCTATAATTGATTACGGAGAAAGCAATAGGCGGCAGAGCATGGTTAATGGTTTGCTGATTCAACCTTTGGCAAAAACAGGCAATAAAAGTCAACATCTATCGTGATGTTGCGTGCATGTCTTTGTTGTATTTATCACTGAAAAATGTACATCGTGCTGCTCTCTGAGTTTCTCGTGGGTTCGACCACCACTTGTATTGTATCCTGCAATTTGATACTGTACATGCACATACCTACCAGCGTATAAATGTGTTTCTGCCCTAACGAAACGGCAAAGGACAAGGTACGCTGCTCTAATGACACGTGAAAACTTGAAGCCAAAACTCTTCCTGGAATTTCTGCGTATGATTACTTGCAAAAGTAGATAAGTTGCGTTGTTGGAGAAATGGACAAAGTTTTCTCCGCCTCCTCTGTTGTGTCAAAGTCTGAATGTAACTGTAATGATAATGACGGTAGAATCATCATCCCTCTCTTCTTTCTCCTCTTTGGCTAGCGTCAACCATCCCAGTTTTCTTTCCTTGTGGCAGGAGGGGTCCGTTCTACTTTAAGAATAATTGAGGACTCCGTTCGGATCACAAGGTGTAATTGGTTGCGGTTAGAACATGACAACTTTAGCTCAAATGTAGCCACCAATTTTTCAAACTCAATTATCGCCAGCCTTTTTCGCATCTTATCTTATCTTGCTCAACAGCCTGATAACGAGGAGAGTTTGTGGAATATGAAAATTTCTTGAAAGATATGTTACGCTTGCCATTGAAACGAAGCAGAAAAATCTATTTTGCTCTTGTATTGCAATATTAGTTTTTTTTCCATTATTTTGCTGTAAGTTTCATATAAGTGCATGCATTCCAAAATCATATTTGGCACAGCGGGTTGAGTTAATAAGTGAGGATGGATGTGAGTCGACGATGGTCAATTAGCTTTTGTGTGTCCCTAATAACTAACACAAAGGGCAAACAAAATAAGCTAAGCTTGTACGAGGCAATCTAGCTTATTGTCAATTCTGACTGTGAACCAAGCTAATAATTTGTCGTTTGATATTGTGGCTGAAGGTGGCTACTTTTTGTTTGCATTAAGTAGAACGTGATTTCACCAGATGTCGAAGGTTTAATTAGACAGATCTGGTGGACACACGTATAGTGCAGAATCGAGGTCTTGGTGGAATATATTTTCTGTTGCTGGCTGCTCGTCCAACGCTAATAGAACCATGTCGACCCATCTGATTCGTCCAGATTGGAATTGCGGAGCAGAATTTGCAGCAATAAAACAAAGGATTTCGGGTGACAGTTGACAACTAAATTCCAATCAGGACAACAAGGTTTGCTCTAACACTTGCTATCCATCTTGTGTGCCAGTGGAAGAAAGTTATAAAATTGGGAAGGATGCTTTGCACCCACGGCACATATGTATAAAAATACATGTGCACATACATATATCCTTGAAAAGTATGCCGCAGACTACAAAAAACGGAGACTATACAGAGTAAATATGTCTGCTCCAATTACTTAAATTGCCCCAGCTTCGCATCATGTTTCAGTTTACTAACTCATCTTGAAAGCAATAATGTTCACATATTCTAGTCGAACATTGAATGGTCATAAAATTCAAGTAGACGAGGATATGCAACGAAATTGCAATTACACGAATTTTGCAGATAACCCAACAACTGATGTCTCCAGTTGCCCCAAAAGGGCTGCTGGAAGTTTCTCTCGTTCTTGTTACTCCACGTACTTTATTTGCTCAAAGTTATTTTGCCCTAAATGAATATAAATTCAGGAGACACGACACTCTAAGAAATTTAAGAAATTTGGACGTGCGTTTCAAGAATGTTTTTAAAGGTTGTAAATAATGGAAGGAGCATGTGCCACACCTCGTCTAACTTTCCTTAGGCCAAGTTGACAGCGACAGGTTGGTTGGTTCAGCCTTTAGCATTTGAGTGCTCTCCTTCTTCCTATTTTGATCCCTAGCTTCCTTCTCAAGCAGGAAGTGGAAGCGAATTTGGCTTGGACCTTCTTCTACCCGAAAAAGTGAGACGAACATATCGAAGCAGACAACTACTCACTCGCACGCGTGTGATCGGAGGTGACAATGAGGAGACAAAACTGCTATACATGTACATTGCCCCCCGTTAGTTAGTACTTGATTTGGTAACAATGATGCCATTTTAAAACGATAAAATATTGTAATATCTCTAAAAACTGGAATTTTTATTTTATTATTTTTTAGTTCCACGGTATATTCAAATTAGAAGCAAACACGGGGAAAGATAATTGCAAAAAATTGTAGCCCATTTTACTGCTTGGCATCCAAGTAATTTAGAAGAAAGAAACCCACCTTTAAAACTTTGTCTTCAGAACTAATGAGTAATGTCATGTTCCAAACTTTTGTTTACTTTGTGCTTGAAAAACTTGGATCGAAGCGTCAATTTTCCTTTCAGAAATTTACCATTTTTTCTTTACTTCCAAGTGTAGCAGATAAATTTAACTATTTCCGAAACTAATAAACTTTTTTCCGCCGTTGTCAACTTTTAATAAATAAGCTATTAGTGTTGTGACCAATGCTAAAAGTTTGCATGAGAAACTCACTTGAAGGATAGTATATGTACATACATGTACAAATGGGTGTGTGTTTTGTGGTGAGGACTGTGTATGTCCTCATATTAGTAAATCCTTTGTATAGCAACATTTCATAGCAGAAGTGCTAAACTGCGTGGAGATTTGAATGTTTTCTGGGATCCTCATGATCAACTAATGGGAAATGACTGAATTTTAATTTGTGTGAAAGAAAAGTGAGGAAAAGTTTAGTTTTAACTTTAACACGTTTGAAATAAATTAAACTTTGTCGGGGTTCTCTTTTCTTTGTGTGTATGCTGAACCCTGGATCTGGATGGAGGTTTGATAGGTTTGACACTCATTTGACTTTCCGATGCCTATGACGTTGTACAACAGCACAAAGTAACATGACAGCCGCAACACATTACATGTACATGCATGTGGGTATAATTGATTGATCTATTCATCTATGCGTCCTACATTACGTATGCATACATACATATACCCGAATAATTATAAATGACCCATTAATGAGAAGTTGTCACGTTCTTCATAAGTAAGTATTTTATGCAGTCGGGTAGTAATTGCTTTATTACCTTCATCAATTTCGTCACATCAGTGACTTTTTTTGTGCCATGTTACAGAGAGAGGGGAGAACAGTTTTATTCAATAAAAAAATTCAACCTCATTTCATACAACAGCCTGGATTAAGCTAAAACTTTTTGTTGAGAATTGTATAATGCTCATGATTTTTCTGTTCAGTTTATTTCCTTATCTAAATTTGTCTCCTTCCGAGTTTTTACATATCCTAACTATGACGCACATGCATTCGTTTAACTAATGTAATTATCTGTACTTCATGCAAGCCTCCTACCTTTGTGAATCTGACCAGTTTCTAACATTGTTTTTAGCCGTCAAATTTCTCAGTATTCTGTATTCTTCCAGTTTTCAACCCAAACTCAAGGTTTCTATTTTTGCATTTGACTGGTCATTCACTCTCAAATAAGGTTATAAATATTGGTCGACAAGTCGACCTCGCTGTCATTCTTTTACCTAAGCTTCTGTGAGTAGCGTCAATCTTTCCCATTTTTATCAAACTTGTAACAATATTTAAATTGCATAAATCCTGACTTGAAGTAACCTTAAACCATTGTGCACTCGTCTCTGCCTGATTATTCTCAACTTGCCTCAGTTTACAACTACACCATAATCTCTCATAAAAGTATTCATCTCCACCCTGTTACCATCCATACGATTGAACATCACACTTCAAACTCTCACAAAAACCACACCCCAGTTGGGACCCAACATCCCCAACACTTTTGCTTAAAATTATTTAGTTTAGCCTGCATGCTTCGGGAGTTGAGACTTTGGTGCCTTGAATTTGGGATGTGTTAATAGCTTAAATAAACCAATTAAAATGTAGTTGGAAAAGAAATTTCATAGCGAGGTTGACACTTTTGGGTCCGTCAGGAAGGATTATGCTTAAGAAGAAATATGTAGAAATCCACCCGAGACTTCTTGAAGAGGGAAATTATTATCTGTACAGTTTCTCAAATTATCTCGACTTGAGAGTGATAATTTCCCAAGTTAGTTTCTTTATTATTTCATATTTCATGACTTGAGACTTAGGCACGGCTATTCAATATTTGTTTTACGTGAAGTCACGTGAGGTTGACCTACATACACTTCAGCAAAGCTATACTGCAGGAAGGCCAGTGGTGCTATCCACCAGGACGGAGAAGATTAAGCTTTCAGAATAATTCCAACTAGCAACGCCTTCCCGAATTTTAAGATAACACGACAAACATCTAAATTCAAGCACACACGCTGTACGGTTGCCTTAATACTTGTAAGGAAGACAAAGTAAATAGCAGTTAACTTTGCTCATGCAGATGGACGTGCAAACGTAAAGAGAAGGGAGTGTTTTATAGGTGAAGGTAAATAGTGGCCATCAGCATGTAGATAACAGGAGTGGGTCCAATTCATCATCATCACATTTGACAAGATTTACATAACGAGTTCATAATCTGCAATTTGATCCTCGTGAGTGTCGCAAATTTCCATAAAAATATTTTATTCAGCTCATGATACTGTGATAGATGTAGATAGACAGATGTACGTACGTACAAATACACGTCTGTATGCACATGGCTACCTATTATACATACACACTCACCATTCTCACTCATTTTCCTTCCAACGCACTCGTCATGGTTTATTAATCATCCCTCCGCTTTCTCTTTTGCCTCTTTGATTGCAGTTCTCACTGAAGGCAGATAAGTTCCTACCACGCAAACGAGCGACACACAACCTCAATTTAGAATTCAATTGGGCCTGATGAGGATAATCAATTGATTATGTATCCTCATCTCGACCTCAGCAGCATCGTTGGATAGTGCAATGATAAATGAGCATGAATTTGTCGATTTTGAGTGTATGACGCTTTGAAATCGAGCAGTTGCTCGAACTCTGTAGTTCCGTATGCTGTATGTTACCTTATATTGTACAATTAATGTATAATGTGACCTGTGTATCTATGCTGGTGAAAGTTGCTGAAGTTGTTACAGTCAAATCTCAATTGCAAAGACCACCAAAAACCGCAATGTTGTTTGCTGGTTTTGGTGTTCACTCGTTCGTCAAAACCTTTAAATTTGATTAAATTAAGTTGCCAGTATTTGATTTTAGAGGGATTTTAGTTAGGGACCTAAGTTGGAATCTGTTTTATTCAACCAATCACTAAAGTTCGTACTACCAGTGGCTAAATAAATGAATTGATTTAGCGACTGCAATTTTCTGTATCGTGCCGAGTGTGTTATGGATGAAATCAAATAATGAATAACTGTACAGGGTAAAAATTATGTTGCAATTCAACATAATTGGATAATTGTAAGTATTCTACTCACAACGGGATCAGCATTGTCATAACTTTAACTATAAGTATAACAATTAATGTTAACTTCCAAATTAGCCAGTGTTGGTTTGCGGATAAGATTCTCCTGCCTGTAAGTACATAATGTCATATAATTTATGGATACATATCTCGATACGTGATTATTTTTAGATTTTCAAAAAAAGAGGGAGAAACGTAAATATAGTTTATGTTTGAATTAGACAATCCTCGACAAAGGCGAATTCCCACTGTTCCACTGCTATTGATAACAAAGGGGAAGAAATAGATTGCACCTATTAATCCACCTCCATGTACTTGGTTACATGAAATTTATGTGTTTTCCTTTCCCTGTGGCACGATTCCCTCGTTTTCTTTCCTTTCTTTGCGTATACAAATATGCAAATCCGAGTGTGAATCTAAATCTATACAAACGAGCTAACTGGTGAATACAAATGATGCAGTGACAGGCAGGCATAAAAGAGTCCAGTTTCAAGCTGTTTCCAGGTTAAGAAGACTGCATGTCTGGAGGAATGGTAGTCGTCGTAGTCGTCGACGTCGTCGTCTTGCTAACCAGGTATGTATCTCCCCTACGGTGGTTCCCTTATTTTGAAGTGAAAGTGCGGCGAGAACATGGTGAAACTATTTAGCTGAATGCAAAATAAAATGTAAGGATTTCCGTTGAGTTGAGTTTTAGACAAGACAAGACGAGAATTTGATGACAGCAAGATTGATTACATACACATAGCTTCCCCACAACCCTCATGTTGTGATGGTCTGCATGCATACATTCCGGTTTGTCGTTTTGCTGTGATACGAAAAGATATAAAGTTGCAGCAGATGAATTTCTAAACAGAAATTGATGTTTTATGCTGAAGAGAAAGAGAACTTTGTTCGTAATCTGCGGAGCGAGAGAAAATATTTCTTTATCATCTTTAGATGAAAAACGTTCATGTATCTGCACATATTTTAGGCATGGGTTGTTGTTGTTGTTGTTGTTGTTAGTTAATGATAGTTTTGAGCGGATATCTGTATATTTGGTAATTTTGCTTGTATTCCTTATCGTACTTTGATCTGATAATAAATACGTAAAGGAACATTTATCAGATAATTCCCTCCCACTTGACAAGAGATAACTTTGGTCTTATTGAGTGAGTACCGAATACTTCAGATCTTCTACAAAGTACTTGAGGCAGTAGTGAAAGTATAAAGAAAGCGAGAGAGAGAAAGTAAGCTCTTAAGATGAACAAACACGTTGAAGAAGATCGCTTTCGCAAGTAAATTTTACTTGAGACCTCTGCATACAATCTGTTTGAGTCCTTCTAAAGTTTGCAGGTTGGGCAAACACCCACTATAACGTGTTCTTGTGGAGGATAAGTCCCGTGATTCAAGTGGACTTTGTTAAGTATTTAAATCAAATCAAACAGTAAATCAGCGCGACAAAGAACTTCACTTCACATCATTTCATTTCACATGGGCATACAAAATTCTTTACCGAATCAAGAAAAGTAAGCAATCCTTCTTCTTCGTTAGCGTAGAATTTTTTTGTGGCATAAGAAATATATGATCAAAGTGAATTTCCTAAAAAAAAGAAGCTTGAGTATGTATGGACATAAAATGCCCTCGGGTCCATTCAAGATTTTGGAGATGTTGTAAATATAATATAAAAATGAGAAGGGTTGCCTCGACAGATTTCTGCCATGAAGAAAGAAAGTAGCAAGGAGCGCACGAGAGAAGAATTCCAAAGGTGAAGCATTATCGCTATATTTTCATTTCACTTGATCCACGACGAGATAATTCACTTGTTGGATTGTTTGTTTTGAATTTATTTTCGGACTTATCCAAATTGAGTGAGTGAAAGTAGGCTGTGTCGTGAGAAACGCTACAAGAAATGCTACATTGCTACATAAACAAGCGGGGGTCTAGTGAGATCTTAAGGAGAAGTATGAACATACGAGCTACAAAATTACTTGCATAATCAATATTTTAGCAAAATTGTGTGCAAATGTTCTATATTTGCACAATGTAATACCACAGCTATGCAAATCTATGAATAATTAATGATGTACATGGATCTGTTCATGTCAGTTACAGTTGTAATTCTTTATACTGTTTCAGATCTGCAAGTGGGAGCATTATTACCTGTGGAATATTCTGAATTTGCAACTGCTGTGGCTGTCTAAATCTAACTACAGACAACAACCTAACAGCGGTCCTTGATTGAACCAAAATACTGCAAAGAACTACACTTGATCTTCATTGTACCAAAATGGATAACGTAAGTTTCAAATTTTGTCAATATGTTAATCATTTTATTTGGTAGAAATTGTGTCAATTCTAAACATTTACATAATTCGTTTATGAAAGTATAACACGCTTTCATGTTTTGAAGAAATTTTCTGGTTGAACGCACTTGCAAATACTCAAAATAAGAGTCCATATTGGTTCATGGCTGACTGACTACTGACGAGCTCCTGCTGCACACTTGGTTTGGCTTCGTAGAGGCATTCCAGTGAGGAAATGCGTACAATTGGCAGTGAGGGAGGAAAATTCGGTGAAAGTAGCCGTGGTCGACTTTCTCTGTAATGCAATAATAAATCTCACGAGTAAAATCCTCTTTCACTCATGACGAGCTTTCTCCCTCTGCACAAGACCATTCATTTCTCAATTGTTGCATTGTTCCCCGTTACGTCGTGTGCAAATAAATAATATCGAGTTAATGGATTTATTTGTTGTCTTCGTCTATCATGAGATGAATTTTGAAGAGAAAAGCGATACAATTTTGAAACTAGGCATCGCATGGCTTCATTCATAATCAAATACAGCATAATGGAATTTGTACTTTAGGTACAAATGTGTACAGCAAATTTCCAATCAAATCAAGATATTCATAATGGAAATTGAGCAACAACGGTAGAAAATTTAGTTTTATTCGAAAAGTTCTATGATGAATATTTCATTTTATTTCTGTTATTTATCCATTAAAATCTGTGCAAATACTTTGTATTCGAGTTCATAATACCACCTGTATTTTGTTTGAATTCCAGGCGACACCAATTTCTGACTTTCGTCAAAAGAAGCTCATTTTCATCTTTGAAAATTTCTTTGGTAAGTCCACCATTTACAGTAAAGACACGTCCCTATGCCTGCATTACGTATTCGCTGTAATTAATTATGCACAACTGTCCGTGTGCGATGGAAGAATAGAATTATTTAGAGTGGAGCTCAAGAAAGTGTAAGAAAGATGAAATTAATTTAATTGTTCTTTGCTGCCACCCATTCTTCTTCCTGCCTCTTTTGCATTCATTCTGGTTCTGGGCGACTCAGAAAACAGCCAGGACGATCCCATTTCTTCAGAAATTAGAAATATTATTCACATTTGTTTTGTAGAACATGAGAAAAGGAGACAAAATTAGAGGGGTATTTGTATTTAAATTTTCTCCTAAGCTTCACCTTCCTTTGTTGTACCCATCGTTGAGGTTAAACACCACTCGCACCTATGTACATAGGCCACAGATGATAGTTCTGTTATGCAGGTAGGTTTTATTATTTTTGGAAACGTGTGCTGTTAACTTTCATCGAGTTGGCCAGCCAGAGACCTTCGTTGCTCATACATATTACTCACGTTGTCCAGTAAACGATCCAATTTCTTGTCCACTGGGACACGTCTGTAGTTGTTGCAAGCCAATTGCAAGGGTGCCGCAGGGGATTCCTAGGAAGATGTACGCAGGGCCCATTAGTTAACAAGTGGAAGGTAAATGATGAACTTGTTTAATCATTTATGAAGCCAGGAGGAGGGAAGCTCTAGAAGTGGAACGATGGAGAAAGTCGAAAGTCTCAGACTCCCCCGGGAATTTACACGCTCTTCTCCGTCGTTGTCTCATCACCATCACTGTCATTCAACGCCAAGAGATTGAGTTCCCATTGTATTGGATGAATTGTTAATAATTCTTTCGTCCGCCATACTTTTTTCCACTTTCAACAGTTGCTGCATTGTATTCGTGAAAATCAGTGTAGAGTTTTACTACATGGCTGCCCAACCTTACTTTAAATGTATTGTAAAAATTGATATTTGTAGTCTTGGGACATGGAAAACAGCTCATTTTGTACGAATTGTTTGATAACATTCAAGGAAGAAATTGACTACAGATATCAATTAAGTGAGTTTAAATGATTGTACAGAAATGCGTGCTTGATCTGTTTGCTTTATTTCATGTACATTTCACGTTAAATATCTCATTGTCTCATTATTAAAGAAGGCGTGGGTTGTTGTTTCATGAGAATTAAAACTTGCCTCATCTTCAGTTGATTGGTGTTGCTACTTTTATCCGAAATAATAAATAGAGCATAAAGAATTATGAACTAAAATTCATAATGAAATGAAGCCTTAGAAGTTTTTATGTAGCAATTAACGTTGTAATTTACGATCCATTAAGTCACAGTTGGGTGCTCATTAGAATATCGGACGCCTGGTGTTGCTGCAATTATTTGCAATCGACTATTACGTGCCGTGGGTCCAATATCCAGTCTGAGCACTTACACAATTTGCTGGTTAGTTGGATTGTGGTTTTTTTAATTGGCGTTCCACTTTTCTCTGTTGCAGATGTAAACCACAGCGGATCCATTGAGCGGAAGGACTTTGACCAAGCTGTTGATGTAAGACTTAAACAACTACTGCACTCCCACAAGCCAATTGTCAACGTGTGCTTTTGCATCAACCACACAAAATACAACAACAAACGCTGCACAAATCTCCTTTTTGAGTGTACATATTCTCATGATGGTCACACGCATAAATTGCGTAATATGTATTTAGTAATAAGTATGTATTTCGGTATCCACGTAATCCATACATCTTAATTTTGCATATACACTCCTTATGAGCCTCTAATTTGCTTATGTAATCAAACGTAAACGAACTTCAAACTGGATAATTATTCCCATCAACCGGATACATAATATGTACATAAGTACTTATTGCTCATTCTTCGGGTTTACTTATGTAGTTCACAAACATTGAGGATTCTCAAAGGGACAGAAATAATTACGGAATTGGATGGAAAGTTATTGTCCATTATGAGGTCGTAGTAAGTAATAATCGGTGCGATGCAGAACAACGAAGATTTTAATTATTTACACCGTGCTTAGCTTCGTTTGTTGGATGTATTTATGGCCAAATATATAATGCATAATTGTACACTGCACCAAAGTACTGCAAAGTGAATTGTGGAACCACCCGTACTATGAAATGTGCTTGAAAACGTGCGTCGTATCGTACGTATTTAAATAGTATTTCAAAACCGGTTTCTCACGATAAAGCATGACAGAAAGTAACCCGACTGCAACATCTCCGTGCGAATCGAAACTCAGTCAGTTACCAGTTTTCACTCATCGCCATCAGACAGAACGAAACCAAGTAATGTTTATTTTACTCAATTTCGCTGAACGAGGAAAGAAAGGAAGCTTTCACTTTTAGAGTGGAAATCCCAACGGACTCGTTCGCCTAACATTTTCATAATGTATAACCTTTTCATTCCAGCAGCCTTTTATCTCTGCCCTCCGAAAGGTTCTGAGTCGTACATGCAACATCAGACAGACGATATAGTTTTTATTTGTCTGAAAAGTAAAGTGTCACGTTGAGTGAGATTCATACTTGCGAAGGCAGACTTCGACAATCTATACTAAACACGGCGATAAGTTCGGTTTTGCATTTCCAAGATGAAATGTAAATGTCTCACTGGATTAGTCGTGTAATTCCAAGATTACAATTTGTAAATTTGCAGTACATTTGCGGAAGGCGAGGATGGGAGAAGGACTCAAATAAGTATAACGACACACGGGAGAGATTTATCCAAATTTGGGATGCTTTGCGATGTGTGGCCGATGCGAATACTGATGACCAGGTAAATAATCATAAGCAAGCCATTAGTATGCCGCTGCATATTTACATATACGTATGCACATACTGTACGTATGTATGTACAATGTACGTATGCATTAGTAATGCTGCTCTTGTTACGCGACGTGTCGTCTAAATGGGGAGTCCAATTACAAAACCATGATTAATGATGCCCATCGTGAATGATATGTTTGCAGGTGAGCCAAGAAGAGTGGTGTAGACTCTGGAGGACGCCAAGTGATTGTGAATCTTGGCAAAACACTTATCAATCCTTCATGTTCTATCTTCTCGATACTTCAGGTAAAGGTCTTCCTAAGCATCAACAATTTTCATATTTTCGGATACGGCCATTTGTATGTAAATAGGAAATAAGCTGGAGATAGATTTTTGGTCAAGCCTTTACTTAAGCCCGATGAAACCGGATACATATAACCATGCATATAAGGATGAAAGGCAGTAAACAAATCGTATGCATAAAAACATCAGACTTTGATGTCTACCAGTATCGTATTACAGATTAAAAACATTTTGTAATGCAAATTCTTACAGTATTGTAAAAATGATTTTATGATGGATTTATAAAATGTGGCAAGAATCAGACCCAGACTTTCCTTTTGAATCACACTTTATGTATTCCATTTTATAAGTCTTCCATCCTTTCTCGTGTGGTAAAGTTTCATACCCGCAAGTATAAAGAACAAATTCAACACCAAAGATGAATTCGGAACACACAGACTTTTCTTCAATTTGTTCCTTGTGGGCAGGACATAATTCATTTTATTGTTATGTTAAGAAATCTTACAATATGATCCGTCTTTGATTCCACAAAAGTATCAAAGGAAAAGAAAGCACGGCAACACACAGTATTAAAAGTTGTACGTGGTTCGCTTTGAACTCGGTTTATTTTCTTTTAAGAAAACCCGTTGCTCTGTTATTATTACTTTTGCTTTATCCACAAACTGTAGCCCACAATAAGAAATACATACACAAGTCTCCAGCTCGTGTAAAGAAAACCCGTTTTTCGGTGGGTTTGTTTGCCTGATGGTGTAGATTTCCTCCAGCGTGTTTAAATGGAGCACAATATAAGATCTGCCATTGTAGAACTCAAAGAGAGAGTATGTGTATAGCGCATATGTACATAAAATAATGTGATCAAGAAAAGCTCGAATAACAAAACAAAATATTTGTTGAGTGCAAGCCAATAAAATGCAATTAGTATGAAAAACAGCAATATAATTGTTACGGCAGGTGACGGATCCATCGATGTGGATGAATTTACATCTGTGTGCAGCACTTACGGTGTAAGTCCAGATGAATGTCGGGGAGCATACAAGAAACTTTCGAAGGTAACACTTTTATTCTTAATAAAAATGGGGCATTTGTAAAATTCTCATGTTTCTGAAATCGTGTATTCCTTTACACGCTAACTGGGTGTGCGTATTACGCAGGATGGGACGGTGAAAGTGGACAAACCATACTACTCCGTCCTCTGGAAGGATTTCTTCTTCTCGGATGATACTGCGGCATTAGGGAACTTCATATTCGGAAAGATCAACTTTTAATCGGGGTCACGCTCTTCTTGGGTGCATTGAGTTTTTGAGGAATATTTGATAATTCGTTAAAAACTGTTCTATTCTTGAAGGTTTCACTGTCTGTAAAAGGTTTACCATAATCATAAAATTTATGAATGTGTGATGTCTAATGAGAATGCAAAAGTGAGTCTTCGACTTGTATGTAAGTACAGCTCGGTAACGTGTATTTATGTGCCACTAACTAGCGTAATATCTACAAGAAAATTAATTAGAGATTGAGAAATTGAGCAGTGCATACAGCGGATTTGTTGCTGCCATGTTACTATACACATAAGTACGTAATATGTATTTACATAGATTAAGAAAGTGTTGTACTAGGATTGATGAATAGCTTGACATTCACCAATGGGTTAAACGTGTTCCTTGTTGTCATTCTGCATTTACCAACCAATGGATCTGTACTAACAGACTAAATATTCTCCCTGCACCTACAATTTTGTCATGTACATAAGTATCGTCGTTGTACAGCATGACATGTTCGTCTCATGCATGAGAATAAGGTCATAAAGTTGAGTTTCGGTGATTAAACTATTTTAAGTTATAAATAATAGTTATGACTCGGTGGTAAAATATTCAAACCAGTCAACACTCACACAATATACTGATACACGTTATTTTCACGGTGAAACAGATTAAAATAAAGCCAGCCTAACTTTTCTCTTGTAAAAGCACTATAGAAAATAACCGGATATGGCCAAAAAACTAATCACTGTTATTAAATCCATTGTACATACTTGCAAGATTTTTAGACGGGAATTATTATGAACATCAAAATTGTACTTGTAAAAATTGTGTGCCCTTTTATGGATGGTTAATGTTAAGACATACGTACGTACATACATGTAGATAACATACTGCGACATTAACATTTTATGGTGGCGTGGACGACGACGTTGATTTCACGTTCACCTTACAAGAAGTCGTCCCGATATTTGCTTTATATACTTTTCCAACAAACCGTAACCTCAGCAGCCTCGTGGAAATAAAAGTGAGCTACCAGTCATCGTATCCCGTGGACTGCCGGAAGCAATTCTCTAATACTTCCTGCCCTTGCATGTCGGTCGTCATTAAGACATCCTTTACTTTCACTTCTACCTTTCTCCTAAAAATATAGCCAACAATGTTCAAGGAAAGGCGTAGCTAATTATGTCTGGAATTTATAACATCGCTAGAACCATCTGCTTTTGCCATTTGAACAGCGGTTACGTGTGTCCTTAACATATTCATCAATGAAACATTATTACGTAACAAATTGGAGAAAGTTGTCTGCGACGGTCACATGACCGCATATAAATATATGTACATATGAGAATGCAATGCGTGGTTACGGAACCAAATTTTGTTACTTACACCGTGTATCTAATCCAGTGTGATTTACGATCTTAAATACAATTATAAATGTCAAAATTCATTTGAAATAAAATCTTGTGTTTCATTAGCCTGCAATTAGTGCAATTTGGTGTCTAACAATATTTTAAGAATCTCAATTAATTTTTAGACATTTTAAGTCGCAAAATATGATACCAAAATTATGCGAGAGAAAACCACACGCGACTTAAAAGCCCATAAATTAGGCATGTAAGTATATAGATATGTATATTATGTGCATTCATACATTTACTTAAGCACATACCTAGTGCATGCGTATGTGAATTTTGAAGGGTTATGCTATTTTGTTTGTTTAAAGACGTCGCTAAATTGCTAGCCGCCGAACAAGTAATTATAAAAGTGACAACTAAACTTGCATGAACATAGGTAAATTATTTATTAGATGTACTACAATATTGGGAAGACAAATTAATACTACAGATTATATGTTCTTGGAATGAAACTTAAAGTGTAATGAAATTTATGGACAAATGTGTAATAATAAATCATTGAAATTGTCTCTTCTTCTAAATATCTTGGCTGCGCTTGTTAAATAACATTAATTATTATCTAACTCTTATGTGGATGGATTGTATTTATTCTGTATCATATTTTATGAGCATATTTCAAATTATAAATTGCAATTTTATTTGTATGAAAAAGATATTAAATCTAAAAGAACTGAAAGAAAGCTTGAACTTGATTTTGATACTAATATTTTTTTCAATTCATAAACTTGATAAAGATTAGTTTTGCGATTTCTCTGCTTTGTTAGACGACACATTTCAATAGACCGTTGTCGTACATTATGACTAACTTGTTGTACAATCGTCTTTTCACGTCATCGGGAGAACTTTCGACATCCATTAAACCGCCCAACGCAATGATGTACAATATGGTGAGATAAGCCTTCTCGCGGTACTCTGTCCTGATCTGATCCAGTGTGTAGTTCTCCAGAGGCACCCCCATCGCCCCCATGGCCGCTCGCAACTCCTCGTGGTAATACTGCAACACCTGCTCTATTCCCGTCGTCAGCATGGATTCTTCACAATTTCGGATGAGAAAGAATGACAAATCCGTCGTGGGCAGAGAATACATGGAGGCCTACAAGAAATATTCATATATTATTAGTCCCAAATTAAATATATGACTTTGCCAGAAGACCTACCTGGAAATCAAAGAATACGGCGGCATGTTCATCCTTCTTCAAATTCTCGTGTTTCTCACTCAGGAACATGAAATGGTTGGCGTAAAGTAAATTATGAGTCACGACCCCCACCTGACCTTCCTGTGGTGTCAGAAGCGCGAGATTTTCGAAAGCGTTCTCTCGCAATACCTCGAAATACTCCAGAAGTCCCGTTGGCATTGCGTGAAGCGGAAGCACTGATGGGTTTGGTGCTCCACTTTGTTGTGACATTTCATCCGCGGCTTTGTCAGCATATTCTCTTATCAACTTCCGAATATAGTCAAATCCACTTTGTATGAACATTTCGATTAAATACTTCGGATAAGCCGAGTTGTGATTGAGAAAGGGGACTTTCTCATAGTAGTTTCGGCAAGGTCTTCGCACTTGGGGGGATTGCTTCGATGCTATTACAGGTTTCGATGCTATTACAGGCTTCGATGCTATTACAGGTTGTGGACCGCCCCATGTCACTTTCTCGTAGGCCAATGAAACGGCATGAAATAACGCGACGAGGCGAATGCAGGGTTTGGCTTCCTCCAGCTCAAGCTGTGACCTTCTGGCAACATTTCGAACCCGGTAGCTTTCAAATCCTCCATAATTATGATTTGTTGGTAAGGTTCTAGATTCCTTGGGACTTTTCCGAATGTGAAATTACAACCCGCAAGATAGCATGTTGGATGACGATAGCGAAAATTGGGCGGAACATTTTTGGAGTGTAGAAATTCATCCCAGGCGGGAAATAATTCCGTATACATCTGGATCTCCCTCTGAGCAAAGCCGCAAAACACTTTAAAATTTCGATAAGCACTTCCTTGTGGGGGTAATATTTTCAGGACGACATCTACCGTCTCCCCTGACTCAAACTCGATGTTCATCCTCTCGAAGGGCCTGATTACCCCTTCACCACTGTTGGCTTCTCCTTTCCATTGGAATGACTTTACTCGATACTTCGAGAGCAATGCTTTCCCGAACCACTCCAGGGTCACATCTTCCTTATATACTGGGATTTTGTAATGTCTTTCCGGGACTTCTTCCATGGCACGTTATGCGTCAATTAAGTGGATTTCTCTAAATTATAAATAAGTTTTACGGGAGATTTTTATATATTCCTTGCACTCGGCTGAACTATGAACGTGACTGAAAGGTTAACAACCGGCGTGGCTTTTAAGTATATATACGCATCTCAACTCAAGGATGTTCGTTGAACCTGATTGTATTGAGATATGCAGAATAAGATACTTTGGCGTCCATATCTTAAAAAAGTGACGATTATATGGCTGGACTGAACGAGATATACATAATCGATAGTGCCGTCTCTGTGCATCTTAAATGATGGTCAGCGACCATCACAGATAAAACATAGTTCACGTTACTAATCATCACTGGCTACGTATACATACGAGAATATTCAAAAATATGTACTATAAAATAAGTACGAAATTCCAATCATTTAGCTCACATCACCAGCAATAACCAAAGTTTACTATCATTGTATTTAGGTCATTCACATTCGTGGAAGAAGTTTAATTCCCTCGTTTCATATGTACCTATCAAGGTGCTGCTGCAATTTGACTGTGTAGCTGGAGATTATTGATGAGATTATCTGAGGAAAAAGTCTACGTAAATGTATGTAAATATAGTCAAATCACAAATTCAAATTGTTCAAATTGTACCGCATGCACTATTTAGCATAGGGTGAAACCTTAGACATTGTCAGTCCGTCCGTCAGCAGAATAACGCGAGAACAGATCGAGATACCGGTTTGCGGCATCATACATATGGAGATTCTCCCAGGGGCAGGATCTCTTTCGGTCAATCAGACTACCCCCTCTTGAGGTCAGGGGGTGCGTTCACATATTTTTTGGAGAAGTACTCGTTTCACCCTATTGCTATAGGGCGAAACGAGTTCATTTGTAACGGTTTATTAGTATTGTTGACCGATGTGTAGGTAGCTTCCATACGCAATGAATCGAATAACTTGTGAGCAATACATAAGAAGCAGCATTTGTGTTGTTAATGTCATTAGATAACACGGTGTGCTTAGATAACACTGTGGTGTGCTGTGCTTTGGTGGTTCTTTGGAAGTAATGTACGTTGGAGTATGTTTCTTTAACAGGTCGTGTTTTTCACGTGAAATCACCTTGGTGTGAAAATTTCTGAGAAATTACTGAGAAACTGAAATTGGGCGTTAGTCGACAAAACTACGAAACTGAAGCAAAAAAGTAATTTTCGCAAAAATAATAATACTTTTCACATAAAATATTTGCATTTCATTCTCACCCCAAAATGTTCTGCTCATATGAGCATATTGAGCAATCTTCGGCAACCGTGATCAATTACAATTAGAATGCAATAAAACATATCAGTCATCAGTACATATGCATAACCAAAAGCTGGATTTCCCAATTTTCAGATAATCTTTTACAGTTGGTGCTTGGTAATGTCAGATTATGAAATTATGCCATCGGTTTTGTGGCGACGCTGTACATACGTATATACAAATAGACAGTGCATGCATACTTCAACGTTGATTAGTAATGGAAACTACGTTTACTTGGTATAATTAGTGGTAACGGTACTAATTTAGGATTAGTTCTGGAACCTGTTGTCCTTGTTCAGTGAGAAGTAAGATCCGACTATTTATCTGTAAGTCAAAAATATGCATATTGACTCCAGGTTTCTCTGTTTCGTTTAAACTGAAACATCTTCGTACACATGAGTGAGTTTTTATCTGGTTCGTGACTAAAATTGTTTTAAATTAATAAAACCTACACAATGAGCTTTTTATTTGAAGGTGGAAAGTTGGGTAATTGGATTTAGTTATTTTTTATTTATATTGAATACGACCGATGAGTCCAAGAACGAAATATTTCTTGCAGTTGAAAGTCGCCATTGCCGTGAACTTGGCAAAATATTGTCAAACAACTTGGACCGTTGGAATGAACTGAGGGGAGCACTAGGAATTCCGATACTTGACGTAAAAAATGTCTATGACCAAATCAAGCAGAACGATGGCAGCGTTCCGGCGGATACAGCGTTCTACAGTCTTATCTACCATTGGATAAGTAAAAGTCCAAAGCACGCAACATTTGGGCATCTGCTGGATATTCTTGCTTGGCAGTTGGAATTCATGGAATCTGCTAGTGAGTTTCACAACAAGCTTTATACTATGGCTATAACAATAAGTAGTATGTACTGACAAATGCACTTATGAAATTTTTGACGCAATGAAATTATTTAGATCAAATCTTGGAACGAGAGTGGACATAGGATCATCCAATAAATGAAGTGGGTTTAAGGTGATGCCAAAAAAGTGTGCAACTGTGCAAGCTTCTCAAGATGAATTAGTACAAATTTTGTCGCACAGTGTCTGATTTTTTATTATCATCATTATTAGTGTCCGATTTGTATAAAATACATAATGGCAAATTAAATCTACCTATTTTGTACTTGGATTCGTTGACTTTCGTTCAATACGGAATGTCACCAGATACTTAATCCTTATCTGTGCTTCGTCGAATACAACATACCTGAAAATTAATTAATTGTCACATAATTATATTTAGTTGGCCTGTTTCTAAAAGAAAATGAAAACATTTTATTTACTCATTGTGCTCCATGTCTGCGTCTTGTTTCATTTTTTGTGGCGTCCCTAAAGGAATTTGAACACCATCAATCATAAGCCCAGTCACGTCTGGAGATTGGTACTTCCCAATTACTTTAATGCTGTTATATTCTTCGGGCAGTTTTTCAGGAAACGTTGTGTTTCTTGTTATTTCATTCCTGCCATGAATTGCATACGCTTAAATCAATGATACATAGAATAGTAATACTAAAATTAGCACCAATTGTCAGCTTACATATTTCCTAATGCAACCTCACATAGTAAAAGTATGCCAACTTCAGACGAAGAAGCCACTCTGCAGTACCATGCGGATTTTGTTGAAACATCTGCAAAGTAGATCCCCCTGTTCCAAGTGGAATTTTCTGCTCCAGATGGTGACGCTTTGAGGCCCTACAACAACATTGTTAAAAGTAACATAAATACTTACCTAAGTAATTAAGTAATTGTAATAGCTAAGTAATTATAAATAATATTCAAAATGTACATGCATAAGTATTCCAGCAATATTTGATGTTCGAGAACCATGCCATAACAATCTTCTATTGTTAAAGTTTTGGAATGGTAAAAATCTCTCTCGTTCATCTCGTCGTACGACACGAAACATCTGCAAATAATCAAAGTAACGCTCCTTAAAAATTGATACAGTACGTACATTCCAAATTATTAAATGGTTTGGACTTTTTACATGGCCCATTTTTAGACAAAAATTGTGGATTGGTGATTGAGAATCCATGAAATACTGAAGGATTCTCGCATGGTCAGGAGACTCTGAGTCTATAATTTCCAAATTGGTGGATAGGGTTGTGTAACAGTTGTCAATCGGCGAAGTTTTATCTTCTTTGGCGGTTTCAGAAGGCCGTAACTTTTCTTTTAAAACATCACGAGCCAAAATTATTTCAAACAAGTTATCCAAAATTTCATTCTTCTCCTAAAAACCCGAAATCACATTGGTCGGAGAGGTTACGTATGATATCTAGCTTTACATATGAGCTGGTATCTATGTTAGTGTCACTTACTTTGACTATTTCGAGATTATCCAAGATCCTTGGTTTTTCTAAGCCATTGAAGCAATGATGAATTTTTGAGTAAAATCGATTAGTTAAATCTAATAATAATGCTTGTGTTGGTCCATCGAATTTGCTTGTTGAACAATTCGCCTGTATAAGCTCGTGAACATCGTTTAAGATTTTATATGCTGCGGTGAGTGTATCCCGGTCAATTGAATATATAGGAATTTTAGCAAAATCCAGCTAAGTAAAATATGAATGATAAGTTGAAATCCCCAGAATTCCCTTAATATGCGTGAGACACTGAAGTACCTTCAACCGGATAATTGTGCGTTCCATTTCTTTCTTACTGAAAATTAAGGCTACCAGTTGTTGGACAGGCATTGACAATTTTGAATTTTCTAAGCTTGGCTGAAGCTGATGATTGTCAATTCCTTTTTCCTTGTTGTCTAAATTCTAGTGATCAAAAGATACTAGATCGTATCCCCCAGGGTTCTTTTGAAAAGGAACTCCCCACTCATTTCCTGTTTTTGTTTTAAACGTCTTTTTGAAAAGGTCAATTGCTTCATCCTTTGAAAGATTTTCGTCAAGCGTTTGGTCACCGTAGGACATTCCTATTCTACCCCAACATCGGAAAACCCAAAATCTACGCAGATAAAGGTAATTTCATCTTTGTAATGGAATTGTTGCAGTTATTTCAAAATATGATTTACCGGTCCATGGTAGGGGTAGCAATCAGTTGGATCTTATAGTAAGAGTTTGTTCCATCTTCCATGCTATGTTTGGTTAAAACACATTCATAAAATTGTCCATTTTCCTACAAGTACAAAGGTTGAACATTAGTACATATACGACCACTTATAGTGATATGACACGAAAATTATTTTTTTAATACATATGCAATCACCTTAAATACAACACCCTCATCATACAAACCACTTCGCCAGTCAACATCACGGTCAATCGTAACCAAGTACGCTGTAGTCACTGGGTTACGCTTGTGATACTGCCCATCTTTATGATGAATACAATTTATTTTAGTATCTGTATTATTTAATTCAATTTGGTCCTGCCTTACATTTCTTCCAACTAACTTTCCTCTGCAGATGGTTAAGAATAAATTCTGTACACCAATCACTCAATACATGCGTTTTCAGGGTGGTTACAATGTCAAAGTCCTCCGAAATGTTCAAATCGTTCACAAAATCAGACGATATGATTGGAACAATTTTTGTCGTTAAAAAATTTGCAATTTTTGGGTGTTTGTTAACCACATCAATTGGAGTTGATACAATGAACGTCACGTTTTTCGACCTAACTCGAACTTGAGCTCCAAAGTTCTCCAGCTTATCTTTTATTTCTTGAAATGCCTCTTCTTCGAAGGACCCGAGGATAGCAAATGTTATGTTGTGTAGAGGAAGGTCAGCCTTTGGCAAGGTCACGGACTCCCTTCATGTTGTAATATAATAATTTTCTTGGTTTCCTTTTCTAATATTGATACTTATATTATTAAAATGTGAATGAATACCCAGATTGGAAATTAATTTCAGCCTTTGTAGTATCAGGAGGAGTATATTTCGGAACCACCCGGTTTCTAATAGAAAACTTGACATTTTTGCTGCAAAAATGACATAAAACAATGTATAGGTCTTATGTAGATATGTATTACGAAAATAAACTAAGAACTTACAATGCTAGATGCGTCTTAAGATCTGGTGGTACTTTGAAGGGTTCCCGACTTGGCTGTTCAAAAATCTTGTAGCATTTTGTGTATTCAGTTATATGACCAGAGCATTGATAGCCACCACTCCCACTCCTAAATTATTTAAAGCCCAGAAGATTAGCAACATCTGGACACTCTGAGTGATCAATATAATTCCTTACTTATATACCAGCTGCCCCCCACAGGCATCACATGGGTCTAATGCACCAAAAGCCATAATGTCAGCCAGAATAGTTAACATCTATTCGACAGGACACATATATATATATATATATATTATTTATAAATATACAAATATAAACTACAGTAGTTTACATTATCAACCCCGGATGGAACTTGTTGTCCATTTTCTCTAATGATAAGGGTCATACTTTTCTTGTCATGTCTAAAATGCTCCTCCATTTTATCTCTCATACTGTAAAAAAGGTGAGTCTGTTCTTTGAGAGAGGAGAGGAGATCTTGGTCGTAGTGGGGTCGCTTTGCTATTGAAGGGGTCTCGGTCAGATTGGTGGCCTTCCGCTTCCCACGCTGTCCTTTCCTCCTCTTGGGTTTCCCATTGGCGTCTGCGACACAATTTCAGTGACTCAAATTCTTGAAATAATTTTATATTTTATTTTTAAACTACCTTCAATTAATTTTCGAAACGTTTCTTGATCCGCCCATCGCAAAATCTCAAAGTCCGCAATTTGGGAATAATTAACTGTGTTGTATTTCTTCACAAAACATTTTGGGTGATACCATTGTGGATCTTTTCCATCTCGGTATCTTGACTGAGATGAATATTTATTACGGTTTGTACGGCTTGAAAAATTGATATAATTCAAAAGCCGAATTTACATACCTGAACCAATTTAGCAAATCGGACAGATTCCTTTTGGATTATTTTCTTGCATTCTTTGCAAGACGATTTATCTAATAATTTAGTTCAATTAATGTAATATTCAATTTAATAAGTATGTAACTGAATAAAATAGTAATTATAATAATTCTTACCACTTTTTGCATACTCTGCAAGGTGAACTAAAATGCTAAGCTCCGCTTTGTCCTGAGTATCAGTGGCCATTTAAAACCAATAAAATCTTATAGCTGTGACTTTTAATGCACACAAGTCTAAAGATAAAATGATAGAGGCAGAATGAATAATTTTGATCACTTGCTGTGTAGAAATCAAATATATTTAGTAATACGAAAATGCACGAAGTTGAAATTTGCATGATATGTATATGCACACATGAGCAAAAAATTCGCATATGATGGAGCACATTTGTGTATACATGCGAACATTGTTATGTCAGACTCAAAACAAGATCTAACTTGGTTCAACGATGATACAACCCATACCTACATTTGCAAAAAAAACCTTGGAAAGACACGCAAATGCCGCTTTAGCTTTACATAATTATATACCTAAGGATTCTTCACTTTTATTATAGCTCTTGTGATAAATGTATGTAGATACGTATATATAGTGTACACGTATATTTCTCTAGAGCGCAGTGGAAAGATACTTGATATACATAGATACTAGAAATTCATTATATAAATACTACAAAATTATGTAAAATTATTAGCGTTTACATGCATTTTAAAACTTACAATAAAACTAGGTAATTACTAAAGATCTCAATAGATTCATAATAAATGAAATGACACCCATAATATTATTGGTTACTCTACTCATAATATTGTTTATATGTGCATGTAAGAATTCCCAGTTTTAGCTCTCTTGAAGCGTCGGAGCAAATCTGAAGTATCAAAGGCCGGTGTTTCCCGAGGTCGTTTATTGCCTTTTTCCTTTGAAATCGCAGGTACGTCGTCACTATCCTCGTCATATGGAGGCTGGTTCATGATGGCATCCGATGAGAACACTGGTGAGGAATGGGCAACCTCATCGCTTGTAGAAATAACGACGCCATAGTTTTCTTTGTAATTCGTTGAGGACACTGGAGGCTCTTTCTTTTGATGAATATGAATGGTGGCTCCTCCTTGGAAAGTGAAGATTGTCTTGTCTTTATCACCTTCAAAATCAACTAATGGAGAGATTAGTTTAGTGAGATCGTAACTTTGAGTAGGGGGGATCAGAGTTTGAAATGCAATGTCCAAACTTGAGAAAGATTCCAAAAGAGTAGTAGAAACGGTGGGGTACACACTCTTGAGAATGCGCATATCGAGTTTTTGACAATCTTGAATTTCATTATTTTGATTAAGAAAATTCATGATTTTTCTTCTTTCTTCCTCAATCTCATCATCCATCTCATCCGATTCTTCAGACTCAGAGGTGAAATCATAATGATTATCCAGTTCAGGTACAGCTTCCGATGTGCTCGGTGGTGGCGTACTTCTGTCTTCTTCCTCCACGTTAACCACATCATCCATCCAGTTCAGTTCTTCATGATCGACAGCGGACTCAAAAAAATTATCTTCCTGATGCGACCATGGAACACTTTCTAGCTGTGAAGGTTTGTTTTTTAATAATGCCACGACTTCTATTGCGTCTTGATTCATTGTCTCTGCCTCCCCGCCCATCCCCTGTGGTTCTGTTTCTTCGTCATTTGATTCGGTTTTTAATGTTACCGTGTCGTCAACTTTGGATGGTTTGTTCCCCATTTGGAACTGAAAGTTATACTGAAAGTTACGAATGAAACTTACAAATCCATAAGCTGGATTGCAAACTTACCAAAGAGTCCGGCAATTTGAAATCAACAAAATATAGTATATATTTTAAAACTGCTCGAAATATTCAACTAATTAAACGTAACTAATAATTAGAATATTCCGTGAATGATGAGAATGCTATTATGAGGAGCAATGCCCGTTTTTCACTCACACGGCCAGACAGGCGATATAAACTTTCTCCAGTCTGCATTTGGGTCAATGACATTGCACTCAAATGTAAATATTAAATTAATGCTGCAGAAAAGTGCATTTTATACAACTTTTATTCATCCGAATAACACATTAAATATAAATATTTTAATTTACATATATCATGTAGAAAAGACATACTATGTGCACTTTAAATAAGTTAATGACGACGTATGTACGACATAAATAAAGTAGTAAATTAGGATAACATGTAATAAGATGCTAAATAGTTTCTTCCTAATTATACTTTCTCTAAAAGTCAGTTATTCCACAACAACATAACAAATCACAACGTTTTTGATAATGGTGAGTACATATTTAAGAAGAGTTTGAGTACGTAAATTATTTGAAAGAAGGGTGTAAAGGGGGAGGGGCTGCAATGTGAAATCAAAAAGTGTCTACTGTCAGTAGTAATCTAATAGCTGTGATGCGTATGTATTGTGCATCGGTTACAAGGGGGGCGACAAATTCCCTTGTCCTCTGTTGAATCGTTCCCAGGATGAGGCAGGTGGGGCTTGTTGCTGTGATTGGGCGGATGGCTGTTGTTGTTGTTGCGACTGATTTCCTGGCATGAAGGGAGGTCGCATTCTCATCCCACCATGGTTTTGCATCATATTAAAGTCGAGCCCAGGATTTTGTGGTTGGTTACCACCAGCCCCCTGAGCTTGGGGAAGGAAGGGAAAGCCGAGCATGAATAGACTGCTGGGGTCAATCGGTGGTTGTCCATTTGGCCACTGCTGCTGCATTAAGGCTGACACAGCCGCAAAGTTCTGAGCAAGTTGGGCTGCTGTAGCTGGGTTTGGTGGGGGTTGCTGTTGTTGGTGGGGATTATTAGACCCACCTTGGGCACGAGGATCTCTATTGAATGGATTATTAAAGTCGTTCATTTGCATATTCATTCCGGACATGCTAAATGTAGAAAAAGGCAAACGAAACGAATAAAAATTAGCAAATGATAAAAATAATACAAATGATAACTTTGAGTAAAGCAAATGTAAAATAATAATGCGAATAATTCACATAATCTGCACAATTGTTACCTGTTACTGTCGAATGGATTTGGCGTATCCAATAGTCCTCTTCCTCCTGCTCCCCCTGGTGGCTGATTTCCACTTTTCATTGTCCGTGGGTCAAAGACTGGAGTGACGTCGGGTATACTCAAGGGTTGGTTGACACTCTCGGAGGACTGATCGGTGGGAGATTCTGGTGCGGGGATAGAATTGCTTCGCTTTCGAGGTCCGAGACGTGGATCCATTAGGATGGCTTGGGGAGTAAGTGTTTGTCGAACGGAGCTGTAATCTGGCTTTTCCTTGGCTCCAACCACAACGTAGGCCCTATACACCATAGGCTCATGTGACGACAATGATGCGTTGATTTCCGTGGCTGGTAGAATATTCACTTTTTTGAATAGGCTGGAGCTCGTTCTTAGGTCAATATCTTTGAAATCTGTGGAAGAAGAAGCTGTGTTGGAGCGTAAATCAGTATCTCCAAAGAATGTTTTGAGGCTTTCAGGTTCCTTCGTATTAGATGATTGTTGTTGTTGCTGCTGTTGAGTCTGTTGACGGATTTGGTTGAGCACAGAACTGATTTGGTCATTTATTTCAGCCTTTCGTTCTTCTTTTTTCTTGGAATCCTCTTCCTCGTCATCAGAGTACCAATTCTCTTCCGGTTCTTCCGGTTCAGAACTCACTTGTGTTTGCTTCATAAATGAGACAAGAACAAAATTAAATTAAGGTTTGCTAACATTAATCTAAGCTACTATTCATATTTAGCTAAGATTAATATCAATAGCATTATCAAATTACTAATAGATATTTATGTACACTACTTAGATTACAGCGGGAACACTTACCACTTTGTTTTGATTCTTCTTCTGTTGCTGCTGAATTCGTTGAAACAGCTCTCTCTGCATCTTTGGCAAATTGTCTGGAATACTGCTCTCAGAAGGTTTGTTCTGAGAATGGTTGTCGTCATTTTGATGACTTGGGGAGGAAGTATCAATTGGTGGTGGAAACGATGGAATGTTGGGTGGAACAATACTGGAGCTTGGGATCTGCAGTTGAGCCAAGACACTTGCTAGGGCTGGATTATTGACCGCTGATGGCATTCCTTGTCCCTGTGATAACATTTGTGGTAAAAATGGTGGCAACATCGAGAGAAGTGGGGGTTGCATGTTTTGCATCTGAGGGGGAAACATTTGCGACTGAGTCGTTGGGACGGATGACATCAGTGGAGGTTGTCCTTGATTTGATCGTGAAGAGGGCTCTTCTCCTCCCATGGTATCCTTGTAATATCCAGAAATTCCAGCCTCGCTCATCAACTCTTGAAGTTTCTCCTGATCTCCTCGTGTCGGCTGTGACTGTTCCCATCGGGACTGACGCCTATCTCGATCCCCTCCTCTGTGATTGTCAGGAGGTCCACCGCCGCCGCCTCCCCTATCTCCTCCACCACGATGATCGTGACCTCCGCGCCTTCCACGGCTGTTATCGTGGTGACCTGGTCCGCCAAAATGACCCCTGTGGGTTTCCCTTGATCTATCGTGATGACGATCCTGGTGACCGTGCCGGTCAGGAGGAGGTCCATGCCGATCATGACCTTCTTGGCCGCCGTGACCATGAGGAGGTCCGCCATGCTGCATCATGTCTATACAATATGCATAAATGTGTAATTTAATCCACGCAATGAGTGAGTGTGCATCATAAAAAAGAAAACAGGCTAATTATTATTTATATGAGTTGTACCATTCTCATTGTTTTCCTCCTCGTCGTAAGGAAGTCCCTTTAGTTTTGCTTCCATTTTATTGATCAAATTAAGAGCACCGGTTCGGTTTAGCCGAGGAAAGTCTCCTAGAATCTCCTTTGGAGCAGTTTCGATGTGCTGCAATAAAAAAAGAAATTAGGAAATTAAATCTCTCTTTCCTTACTCTAGACATTTACCGACGAAATAAAAAGATAACAATACTCACTTTAAGCAAAACTTGTTTCGTAACATCACTCAAAGGATTATGACTGAATTTGCATTTATCTGCCTGTCGACATACCAACCCAGTGTGGAAGTACTTGCATGGGAAATCATTATGTAAATACAAGCATTTTTCTTTCTTGGCACAACATTCCATCATCCAGAATTTGCAGAGCTCCATTTTTCTGGGGGGGATGGCAGCATGAGAGAAATTGCATTGTTCGGCAGACTTTTGACATTTTCCCTGCATAAAATACGCGCAAATCACGTCAGACTTTGGTTCTCGTCTTTCTTGCCTTTTGCTGGTTGGCCTATCTGGGATCCTATTAGCCCTGGTTGGGGAATTGCTTCCTTCATGTCCACCCCGCCTGTACAGAGACAAATAAATATGCTTTAGTACAACATGTCTAAATAAAGTCAAGTATTTAATATTAAAATTGCAATTAAGTACATACCGATGGCGATGACCAGGACTTGCACCATCGTCACTTTCCCTCCTCCTTTTACCTCCACGTCGATCATCAATCTGATCCCAATTCTCTGTGTCCCCACTGCCACCAACAGGCCCAGCAGAAGGAGAAGCTCCCCGGACAAATAGAAATTCTTCACCTTCCTCTTCCTCTTCCGTCATTCGTCGTTTCTTCTTTTTTGTATTCACTTCCTTTTCCTTTGGTGGCTTCTCTTTGTCATCTTTGTGCGAACGCTTCTTCTCTTTTCTTCGTTTTTCTCTCTCCTCTCTCTCACGATTGTCCTTTTCTCTGACTTCTGCAAGAAGACGCTTCACGGGATCCAGTTCGTCCACATTTTCTTTTTCCTTTTCTCTCTTCTTTTTGTCCGAGGACTTGTCTTTGCTTTTGGAGGACGACTTTGAAGATTCTTTCTTGCTCGACCTCTGGGGAGGCACCACCACGGCTGCCACTTGTTTTACTTCATCAACCTCCATTTGCTCCTCCTCTTCTTCGTCCATGATTTCACCATCCTCAAGATCTTCCCCCTCCTCGATTTCCTCATCGTCGTCCGTTTTCTTAACAACCAACACTTTTTCAGCCTTCTTTTTAACCGTGAGAACAGGAGGGGAAGGTTGTGACTGAGATTCTTCAAGGGAAATAGGTGTACCAATCATGAGATTTGACACGTCCGGAGACTGAGAGCCTTTATTGTCGCCATTGCCATCATCATCGTCATCGTCATTATTTTCACTAATAATATCTTCTTGGGATAATATTGACTCTTCGTGTTTCTGAAAGTCTGAAGAAATGCTACTGTCTTCATTTAAGGGCTTTGGAGAAGGGCTTGCAATTTCTGCTGAGGATGGACGCACCACTTGCTCATCAGGTGAACTAGGACCATCTTGCGATTCGTCGGCAGCGGCTGGAGGAGATAAGGGGCCGTCTTGAAGGGGAGAGGCATGACTGGGTGGAGAGGAAGGATTATCTTGCGTAGTATCCACCGGGGGAGACGTGGGGCTGTCCTCTTCTGACTTTTCAAGTGGTGGGGAACTTGGACTTTCGTCATCTGCAATCTTCTCCAAAGGAAGAGGATCTATTTGCTCAGATTCCTTTTCGTCAGTTTCAGTTTTTTCAATCACAACTGGTGCAGGACAGATATCGCTATACATGTCCACATCCTCATTATTATCCTCATTATTCGCATCGGCGTCATCATGCATTACAGCCGAGTCTCCTTCGTCAATTGTCAAGTCTTCAGGTTCTGGAGAATTCACTACGCGGTTATCATCATCAATGTCGTTAGTGGGGGAGGAAGAACTAATTATGTCATTATTAACTTCGTTATCACTGGCGACGACAATCTTTTCCTCACTGTCACCATTCTTCATATTCATGGAGGTCACCTCACTGTCACGGTCGTCATTGTCATTAATCGAATTGGTAATATCATTACCACTGGGTGCGATAGACTTAGAGTTCATCATCTCTACATCGTCAGTAGATGTGGAAGTGCATTCATTTTCATTCTCGTGTTCCATCATTTTCAAACCATAAGCATCAAATTGATGGAAATTGTCGTAAGATGAAAAACGGGTGTCATTCAGCAACGGAGAATCGTCGTTTGGTCGATACTCCTCGGGACTCGGTCAATTCTGAAAAACAAATACAAAACTCCATTCTAATCATTGTTCCAATCTAATAATAATGCATGGTTTCATTTTGAAACGCCGGATCATTTCGAAATTTTTCATTCTTGACTAGTCTGACTTATCGTCACTATTCAACATTCAACTCTATATTTAGACAGGGGTTGCATGAAAACGTTTTTGTAGAAAACACTCCTAAAATTTCATTCCTAAAATTTTGCTGACATCAGGTGAAAGCCGAGAATGATTAATTCTACTTTTTCACGAGCAGCTTATTTTCTGCTAAATAGTTGCATCAATTTGATTGAAGCTGGGAACAAAGACCATCATTATTATTGTGCATAAACATTCGGCTGCCTGCGCATAAAAACTTTCCTCCTCCTACGTGTTTTTTATGCGATGACGCAAAAATCCCATCCCCCAACAAGGAAGCGCTCCTCATCTCCATCTGCCCCCTTCGAAAGAGTGGACGTAACAACCCTGACTGGCTGACTCACAAACAAAACAACCCATCATTTACTAACACACGAGATATTGTAATATAAATGCCTTGAAAAATCAAGAAATTGTAACACTTGAGAAAGTGGTAGAAAAAATTCTAATGAAAAAAATAATTTAGATCATAAATTCATCAGAAATCACTGAATTGGACTCATAAAACATGACTTGTTGCAGAAAGCACAATGATGATAACAAATAAGGCACATCACATAGTTATTTTACTAGGTGTTGTCACATCCTTTGCTTTGTCCATTACGTATACTAGGTTTTGCACTGTCTTAAAATTCAATTATTCGCATTATTCATCAAATGATTCCTCCGTGAAAAAAATCACTTTTAGCTCCATAAAAAATGGAGTTTGTATTTTGCTTGTTGGCTGGAGTGGAGTCTGCTGCTGTATAGTTGTTGATAGTGGAGTGAGCTCAATAATTCAAGTTAAATTCAAGGTTGTAAATTAATAATTGTGCAGAAAATTGATGGTGGAACTAGCTAACCAAATAAATAATGCAATGGTTCAACCATTCTGGTTGTAGTAACACCTCACTATATAATGTTTCCTACATATAGCTGTCCAGCGGTAAAAACTATTACTAATTGAACGTCATGTCATAAATTAGAAATTAATAAGTTATTAGTAAGTACCCGGATTGTTTCTAGCAAACCTAGCAAACCAGTTAACATACAAGATTGGTAGGAAAAATGATAAAATAGTTGTACTAAAAAACCGAGCTGGAGAAAGTTGTTACTCGCAGCACTGTTGTTGAATCAGCCAAAAAAGTGACTTGGTTGGCTGACTTACAACACAACCCAAGTTGCATGTTGCTTAAAAATAGATAAAACTCGTCGTAGCGTACGGCATACGGCCCTGTGACCTCTCTCTATCTCTCTCTTTGCCTGCATAATAACCAAATCTAACTATAGTGTTAACCAATGCGCAATGGTCTACAACTTCTACGTCAACAGCCCCAGCAGCAAATGCAAATTGTTAACTAAGCCTCCATACACTATCACATTTAACAAATGACTGCGTTGTAAAAGTACTTGAAAACTGGACAAAAACATGCAACATTCGCATTAAAGATACAAAAATATGAATGAATCGCACTCCCTACAAGGCTACACATAAGTCGGATGAAACCACACCCACTACTACCCTTCCCCCCCACCCAAGAAGGAAATAATATGAGGATGGGAATAGTAATAAATAAAAATAACGAATGAAGAGGAGGAGGAGGCTGAAATGGATGTCAACTAGTTGATAAAAACTTACATTTCTTGCAATATAAAACTCATACCAAGTCAGTCATTCACCAAAATGGTGGTACTTCTTTCGTAAATTTTCAGTTTGAAATTTTCGAAATTTAGGCAGCGTATTTGATTTGCTTATTAATTCAGAACCAAATACCAAAAGACAATGCATGTAGGGCGAGTAGTTAGCAGAGGAGGATGTCAATCAATCATTGGGAGACAACAACTTATCAATTTCGTATGTGGTTGATCAGTGGTGAAGACGAACTGTTCAGTGACTTGCTTCAAAATTTTAACATTTTTGATCGTTTCCGAAGAATTGTGAACATTTTTAGAAGCAGCTGCAGACTTTGATCACAACGAACTACGTACGACTGACTGGGACTGGACGACAGAGCAGGCAGAGAGCAAGGCAAAAATGGCGTCTCTCTGTTCCTTTCACCAACAGGACCATCCACCTACTTCGGGTGACCTCATTAACCTTCAAAGGGACCAAGGCTCACACTTTCATGCCCTTCTGTAGGCCAACGACCTGCGCTAACATTATGGGTTCAGCATAATACCAGCCATGGTGGGTGGATGCTCTCTTCTTATATTAGTCATCAGAATTCCTTCCTCCCCTCGATTGAATGGGAGCCGTAATATTATTAAGTAGCTTCAGCTACTTTATGTGAAGACTTTGTCTGTCTGTCTGTCTGTCTGTCTGTCTGTCTGTCTGTCTGTCCGTCTGTCTGTCAGCAGGATAACGGGAGAACGGATAAAGATAATCGAAATCGGTTTTCGCCATCATACATAATACCCCAGGGGGCGGATCCTATCAACTTTTGGGTGCAACCGGACCACACCCCCGGTCGCCAGGGGGTGTGGTCGGGGCAAAATGAGATTTTTAGTGCAATTGAATCTATGGATGAAATGGAGTGAAATTTTGAGTTCCCCCGTTGTGCCACACCCCCCGGGCGCCAGGGGGTGTGGTCGGGGCAAAATGAGATTTTTGAAAAAATTGAATGCATAGATGAAATACAGTAGAATAAAGTGCTCCCGAGTTGTGCCACACCCCCTCGTCACTAGGGGGTGTGGTCGGGACAAAATGAGATTTTTGAAAAAATTGAATGTATAGATGAAATACAGTAAAATCAAGTGTTCCCGCGATGTCGTGGGAGTGCTTGGAGTGAAGTAGTCTGAAGCTACTTCCGTATGCGCGTTTGCGACGGTTTATTTGGATGACGCTGGTTTTTTATGCATGTGAGACAACGGAATAATAATCATGAATTACTTTCCACGTCCCATGTTCTTCCTTTTTACATTAAAACTGCTTTTCGAGTATGCTGTATTATATTAATGGTACAGCTCAGAAAATAACTACTTAAACTGTTCATACTCATTAACTGAATAATGTGGGAGTAAATTGTCTTTTTTTCATAACTGAATGGTTTGATGTAGGCCATTACAAAATAGTATGATGTATATTAGCTATTTTTATTAGGTACTCATTATAATCGTGGATGTACACATTTCATTTCGTTTTTTAATTGAATATCGAATCACTGATCACTGCTAAATATAGGTTAAAAAGTTTGGTTTGGTTTGGTTTCAACAGTACTAATATAATACGAACCCACAACCTCTTTCACTTTATTTCTTGAATTAGTGAGGTCTGGTGAAGGAATACATACTTAAATAAAGCTTGTCACATTTAATACACCAATTTCCCAAAATCAAATATGATCTATGTAGATTTTTTTAATCTGATGAAATGAAATGAAGATAAATTGATGGATAATAGGTGACCAAGATAAGTACATACTTATTTCATAATCGCAAAAAATAGCAAAAAAGTAGACGCCAAGGGCACCCGGGATTCCCAAGCGGTCACCCATCCAAGTACTAACCGGGCCCGACGTTGCTTAACTTCAGTGATCGGACGAGAACTGGTGCATTCAACGTGGTATGGCCCTTGACAAACTCAAATGCAATCCATCCTCCATTTATGCTCTCTAAATGCACTCCTGGATTGGAGTGCAAATAGCCGGTTCGTACTTGGATGGATGACCGGCGGTCATTGACCGCTTCGGGTGCCATCGGCGTCTACTTTTTTAATAATGCAATTTGTTAGTAATTGTGCATATGTGCACTCATCATATTTATGGTTATAACGTATGCTGTGCAGTGATTACAAACCTAAAATGGGAATGCATAAAAGATTTATCGATAGACATCGGTGTGGGTCGTCTGAATGAATGCAATATCCCCATCCTAGCAACATTTTGGTCAACAAATGTACCTACACTTACAAATCGGGACAAACAGGAACCTTTCAGTTTCAGTTGCACTCCAGTAGCTTTATTATAACACTTTTGTTATTATTTTTGTTGACTGCTTAAAAAAAATATTTTTCTACTTTCACAAGTTATTTCTTTACGCTTTCTTTCTACTAGAAGGATTCTAGTAGTAAAAGTTTAAAATGAGTACACCAAATGATTCGACCTTTTGTTGGAAGCGTGTCACAGTACCAAAAGGTCTTCCTGGGATTTTGGAGATTTTGGCGAAAGAAACCATTCGAGAAAATCCTAGCAATACTGTCGAGTTTTTAAGCACACTTCTGGATGACTTAATTGGTAAGATATGTATAATAGACACTTGTATTATTAATACCTGTTTAAATAATTGTTTTGTCATCGCATCGCATTATATGACTATAAAATACATCCATTGCGATCAAATGTGGTCCAAATAAAAAGTTCCATGAAATGAATGTCTGGATGATTGAGCTAAATAATAAAGCGTCACAAATTATTATTATCTACGTTTTATTCAATGTTTTATTTTATACATAGATTTGACAGTATCATAAGTATTTATTATGTGTTTTGCATACACAATTGGAATTTTGGATGAATGCAGTTGGATAGTTTATCATGTCGTTCAGAAAAGTGCTTAAATTCTCTCAACTAGAGTTTATCGGTCTTTTTTCCGTTCCTACTTTTATTATATGCATTAATGTCTTCTTGATGTGGGTGAAGTTCACCCAAGCATCATAAGTAGCATAGTCAGTCAGTTGCTCCCTTTGTATATCTAGAGTATTAAATCTCGGTTAAAAATAGTTCACCACATATATGCATTATGCCATACATATTGCCATACATACTGTAACCACAATTGTAACCACTTCTTGAACCCGATTTCTAAATACAATACAACTGTCATTTGTTCGTTACACTTCAATTTGTTAATAGGATTTTAATTGAAATACTAATATGCGATGCTACACCTACTAAATAGCTGCAGCAATATTAATGATATGTGCTAAAAAAAATAAGAAACAACAGCCCCGCCCATCATGGTAGCCAAATTATCCACAGGATATTCCAGAACTACATAATATGCATGTGTATGTATATTACCAACGTCGCCTTCATTTCAAGCAACTACATAAATTCCGAATTGGTTGTGATTTTTGTGGTCTAGATTAGATAGTCTTAAAAATTTTGTATTTAAACTGTTAATTGCTAATTCAAGTCTTGGTAGAAGCATCGTGCCTCGTTTATTGTTAATTCCCCTATTTATTTATGGAGTCAGTTTAACTCAACAAAACGGAACGAACGGAAGAAAATGATTCCATGAATGTGCTTTGTACTAGTTTACATGCATAGTAGTAAATATTACGAGTCAAATCCTGAGGCTGTGGGTTTAGATTATAAAGAATGCATACAAATCACAGTCAGTCACTTTTAGTCGGTTCAGTTTAGTGACGTTTTTACTACATCTTTACTGTACCGAACCGAAGCTTCTTCTTTTTTGATAACTAAAGCATGCATTTGCATGCTGGGTTCTCTTCTCGGTGGGTATATAGCATTTCAAGACCTTTCATTTCAAATAAACAGAAATCAGTCTCGAACACTCGCATCTAGAGTTCGGAGCTTTACTTTGGCTGCTCCAGCTTCCTACTGGTCCACAAGCGTGCGTTACGTAAATGAACTTGGCATTTGCAACAAGAACGATAATGATCGAGTTTGTTTAAATTTGCATTTTCAAGTTTATTCAATTTACCTTAAAACCAAAGTCTGAGTCTGAGCAACATTTTGGCATAAATTATAAAGAAAGGGAATATTTGGTGCGTTGCAGCATCTTCACATCACAGAGTTTATTGTGAAGGAGAAAGATTTAAATTTAATTATTGATTAATTTCATTGTGCTTGTGAATGTGAAGCAGTTTTTTTTTAGTGAGAGTGGTTGATTCTTTATTAAGTGAATATATACGACCTGATTCTTCATTCCATACGATTTTATCTACCATCAAACTTTTAAAAGGTGATCATGGGCTGTCTTTTGAGTTTCTTACGGACTGGAACCTTTAATTTTAGATTTTTTGGTGCAGGTTTGTCAAGATTTTTTTTGCTTTTGTTCTGTTTTGTTGTTGGACTGATTTTACAAACCATACACATTGTGCAATAAGTTCTCTCATATAGCGTTAAATATTATTACTTTATTACAGCAAAGCGAGATTCCGAAAGTGGTGGAGAATCTGAGAAGAAAAAGCTTTTAGAACCCAAATCCGCATCCTGCACCGCGGTGGGGGATGAAGATCTTGCGGCCAGCAAAATCCAGGCTGGATTTAGAGGCTACAAGACGAGGAAATCTTTAAAGTCAAAGAAAACGAAAGGTTCGGAGTCATATTCCTTAAAAACAATTATGTTACAACTTTATTTTACAACGCTTATTTTGTTGGGAGTTCTTTGCATGCAGACTTTATTTCAGCTTTATGTATGTCCCTAGCCATAATTTACAGTTGATGATAGGCCAACTCTAATAATATTTAATTTCGCAATGTTTTAGGCTAGAATAATTTATTTTGTGTTATATCTCTTTTTGAAATTGGTTATGTATATTTTTTGCATATTTCTCTAAATAAATTTGGGCAAAATTTGACATGACACAAGTTGCAAAGTCTCAAATTTTACACAATTTATTTCATGGGTACTGTTATATTTTTGTACTGTAAAATAAATAACGCATTGTTCCTTTCATTAACTCGGGATTAAATTATAGGAGGCGACCTGTCACTCACTTCACTAACACCATTTCTTAATAATAATGATGATGGCCAGAACAATTCTGGCAACAACGAGACCGAAGAAGCCATGGAGCGGAAACGTTTGGAAAAAGCAGTTGATGAAGAAATTGCTGCAGAGATCAAAACACCTCTGGAAACGATCAGAGAGGAATCAATTGACGGAGGGAGTTATCGTGTAAAAACTCCTGAAGTCCATGTTCTGGGCAACACCACGCCCAACGTCGACCCTGTGCAAATGAGCGACGAGCCATTATATGAAATCAGCGAACAACCTGAAAAAATTAATCTGCAAGAAATTCATGAAAACTTATCAGAGGAATTTGGTAACGACGTTTCATTGGATGACGTAAAGACAGAGTCTCTCGAGATGGAGGAAGTGGAGCAGGATGATGCAGTCAACTTGACGACGAGAGAGGGGGAAGAGTCCGATACTGCTGACAGGGAGATGATGGAACAACATGTCAACCAAGTGTTGAATGCACAGCAGGAATTGGGCGAAGATGATCAAACATCGCTGGGAACTACGGATGTGAAAGGAGCGTCACTTGAGATTCACGAGAGTGAGGTGGAAACTATGATATTGGAGGAAGATTCTGTGGCACCCGGAGGAGAAGGTGACAATGATGAAGGAATGGACATTGGTGAAAATGAAATTATTGATACCAAGGTCGGAGAAGACGGGGAAGAACCTGTTGAGGAGAAAGCATTATTTGGGATGGAGACAGAAGAGGCGACAAATATTTCCGAGTCATCCGAAAAACTTGAAAAAACTGAACTTGAACAAGATGAGGACAAGATTGATGTTGTCGTTGATAAGGATGTGCCTGATTTCGAAACAAATATTACTCAAGTATCTCCTGAGCCAGAAGTTGCAGTTGATGCAAATACATCTTCCCAGGAAGTTGACAATAAGGAAATCGATAACTCAGACGAACTACAATTACCTGAACCTGAAGCATTGAATGAGAATGAGACAAGATCAGAAAATGATGAGAGCCCTTCAAAACCGCAAATCGACGAGCAAGTTAATGACGAGGATGATAGCACAGAAGAGGAAACTTTGGGTGTAAAACATGAAAAGACTTTGAGTGATGAAACTATTGAGGTTCGAGATGAGGCTGAAGTAGACCAAGAAAATGTCGAAAATGTTAACCCAACTGTCACCACTTCCCACATTCAAAATTCCAGAAATTCTGTGGATGTAGAATTACCCAGTTTATCATCTTTGCCTGAGAGACCACAATTTACTAGCAGCGACTCTGCCTCTACATTCGAAAATACTGTCCTTCCACATGAACTTTTAGAAAAGCGTACTACTATTTTTTTGTATTTTTCGTACAGTTTGAAATAACTCCTCTGATTGTCCTTTAAATCGTTGAAATATATCTTTACATAAAATCTGCATGAGGGTGAGGTTAATTATGAGATTAATTGCTTGAACTGTGCTGCAAATAGGTTTCCTCTGTAGCTAAATACTAATTGGTATTCAGCATAGGTAACTTTCTTTCTCGGGATTTTCATCCCAAACCCGACTTTCCCTACTAAAGAGTTGTTATTCCAACACTGTATATGCATTTATTACTCATTTACTTTTGCTAGGGATTCATAAGTAGTAATAATTATGAAACATGTGCAGACGAGGATAGCTCACAGGACGCTTCCAGTCTTAGCGAAACCCAAGCTACCGTGGTGGCACCGCAACCCAAGCCCCGAAAACCGATAGCATCAATTTCCACAGAGGATAACAAGTCATCCTTCGAGACCGAGACGGATGTGGAGAAGAATCTTCTCAAAGAGTCCAATGACGACCAAACCCCACCACCTGTTTTAAGGAGGAACAAGTCATCACCAAAAACTAGAGGAAGGGCTGTTTCCTCCAAGTACCGGTCTGGAATAGTGATGGATGAGGAGTAAGTTTTCTGCGTAGAACTTTTAATAATTTTAGGATTCAAATTGCATATGTACATATGCAGTTTAAGTATTAATCCTTACTTAATATTACATTGATTAATCGCATGTTCAGAGTTAGCATGGAAGAAATGGAGGCACAAATCGAGAACGACATGTTGTCTCAAGCAGCGACGAAAATCCAAGCCGGATTTCGAGGTTATATAACGAGGAAAACTATGGGGGTAAGTGGTCGAAAACTGGACGGTGGTGGTAAGAAAAAGGCAAAGCTGATGAGTGATCAAGAAGAGATCATCATTGCTGCTGCTGCTTCTGCGCCCATTTCCTCCGCTGCTGCTTCAGCTTCCGCTGATAACCTGGAGTACATCGCAGATCAAGGGAAAAAACCGAGTCTGTCCTTTTTGAGGTCGCGGTCGTACCCAGGTTCTCATGACCAGGAGGAGGAAGAATCCGGCGAAACAAATAATGGAGGAGGTGCAGCATCATCCACCGAGGTCATAGATTCTAGTGTGGAGCTTGAGTATGATCCCGCATATGTCAACAACGCAGCGATCAAAATCCAAGCCTCAGTGAGAGGTTACTTGGTTCGAAAGCAGAACAAGAATAGCAAGAGGCGTGGAAGTCGAAAAGTTCAGGAGCCAAAGCAAAAGGAAGTTCCTAGGGTCCAGTTTGACGTTGGAAACGAGCCTGAAAATGTGTTTGTTGAGGTAGGAGTCAGCCAAGACTTGCCAAATTATGGGGATCTTATCATCAATCCTGATGACAGAGATATTTTGCGAGATAGCGTGTCCCCAATCTCAGGTGAGCTGGTTGATCTTAGCTTCATGTTTTTTTTTTACCCAACTTACCTTACCGACACTTAAATATAATAAACATGAACGTGTTCAGATGTTGGATCAGATGTCGCAGCGACCAAGATTCAAGCCGCATTCCGAGGCTACAAGGAGCGTCAGAAAGTACGACAGACCAAGAAGGCAGTGGTGACAATTCAGGCAACCGTGCGTGGTTTCCTCACTCGTCGGCGACTTTTGAAGATGCGAAGGTAAATACATAATTCGAGTAATTTAAAAATACATTGCTGTCCCACTTGTTGTATTATCAGAAAAAGGCCTTGAAATCCTAAGCAAACTAATTAAAATTACATTTGCCAACTTATGACGAGGAGAGAACAACATGTAATTGTTCTACATATGATTTGTGAACTTAAAAAATATGCAGACGGAGCCTCCAAAGGAGAAGATCCTCTGCCAAATCCATGATGACACCAGAAGTGCAAAAGATAAAGAAGGCCAATGATGCAGCCACCAAAATCCAAGCCGTCTACCGAGGGTATGAATTATAATAACTCGAGGCTGAATTAACAGTAGTGATTTGCAGTGCTGGTTGTTTGTGGTTTGGTGGTATTCGTATTTTTGGTTTGGGGAAATTTTGCCTTTCAAACATTACCAAATTAACAGTTTTGCAATTCGAGAAGTTACATGAGAGCGAATAAACAGGTGGACTTAATTTTGTGACAATTTGAGCAACATCATTGAGCTTAAATGCAACAGATTGCTGCCAAGTTTTACTAACCAATTAGAATCCTTGCGTTAAACGATTTTCGGTGATAAATTACTGTCGGGTTCTAGTTTGACTCTTCCAAAATTTTATGTTCGCCTGCCTGTTGACTTTACGTAGATTTTTTAAAGTGCACCTTTCTATAGTATTATACAGATTATCCATACTGAGCAACTGGAACTGAATCTAACTCTGCTTCCTATTCAACGTGTTATAATTTTAGGTCCAACAACCAACCATTGTAATGCATAAACCATATGTGTTGTACTCTAAAGTTGACGTAATGGTTATGTAGCACTTTCTTGGCACCGTGACACAACGACCTGAATGGTATTCTATGGGCAAACTTTTTGGCAGGATCGACCGCTTCTCTCTTCTTTATTATCCAACAACCACGCACTCGCCAGCTTGCTTGGTTTCTGACCTTGCTTTTGCTTTGTGAGCTAAAGTTCTGAAAACAACCCAATGCCATTTACTTTAGGGCCCATTTTTCAATGCTGATTTTTAAACATCCGATTTTGGACTTTTTTCTACATCTCTGACGCAAATCAAAGTGCGCACTTGATTTGACACTTTACACATTTATTTTTATTTGTTATGTTTTTCAGTTACCAAGTACGTTCGAAGATCAGGAAGGGTGGAATTGAGGATGATGACTGAGCAGGTCATCGCATACATAACTTTTATGGATGGATGATGAGAAGATGCAGTGATAAAACAAAATGCGGATCGGGAGGGACCGTCTTCTAAATTTGACATGCCTATCGTCACACGTCGAAAAATAAGAATATGAGTCATTCTTGTGTCAATCAGTCCTTAGTTGCTTTTTACGACCACATCATCACTTGAGCATTTTGCACACTTTTATTAGGATTTAGCAGGCACGTTTTTTTTGTTTTCTTTACAGTACTAGCTAAAAGTTGCCACATATTTAAAGTCAGTTTTATTTTATGAGTACGTAACTATCTATCTTTGTACTGTTTATTCTGTATGATCGAATCTTTCGCTTTTAGTGGGTTTAAAACCAATATGTTAGTTTGTGAATGAATCAGAACTTTTGTCAGATTATGAAACGTCATAAAAGTCAAAAATAGAATAGAATTTTCATCTCACGTTCAATAACCGGTTAATGTATAACAAGTCAATAAAAAAGTTCCTATATATGCCTCAAATCTCGCCTAAATGTTGTTACAAATATTTCCATAAATATTTCACACGTGGCTTAAAAAGTAGACAAACAATATTCAGCTTCTAATTAAGTTACTAACAAGGTTGCAAAAATCTACCCAAAAAGCATGATAGGTAAATAAGCTCGTCATGTCACGAATTTAAATAAAATAAATTAATTTTGTAAATTTTAACTAGCATTTTCAAAAGTTCTTATGGGCTGACCCGGCTGACAACAAATTCAATGTCAATCCTGACTTTATTTTTGCACTATTGTGGACATTTGCCAAACTGTAGTACTTGCATTGATACATCACACATATGTCGACACTTTTCGCAATTTCAGAAGATAATCATGCCTCTTGTCTTTGTATCTATAATTTTGCGGGGTTATGTACATACTGTAGTTTTGACTGATGGGAGATGAAAATATACGATACGTAAACAATCAACAGCAAAATTTTGAGTTCAACTTGTTCGTTTCGAGTATATTACGTAATCACTTTCAGAAGTACCGCATGTGTACATGTAAGTTAATACATGTAATTATGCATGACGCTGAGAAAGTCGACGATACCGCAACATATCAAAAACCCACTTTACGTCAGCGTTACTCATATTTTTCTGGCCACTTGGTTTCGAAGCTCTCATAAACTATCCGTCGTTGCAAAATAAGCCAAACTATCCTAATAATAAACTATACATGAAGTGAGGAGCAAATAATTTGCAATGTGTACTCCAGAGTAAGATGCACAAATATGTATACGTACATGTATATTGTGTATCGATGAAGAAAATCCTGCGTGCAGTGCTAATTGGTAACTTTGGTTAAGAATGATAATTGGAGTTTTCTACTGCATATGCACACATTGTGGAATATCAAATAATAAATTTGCAAGTCAAGCACTATAGTTTGTTGAGAATTTATAAACAAGCATTTGTATTTAAGAGGAACCAGTTAAAACAACCAAAAACTGGTGGTGGAGCTGGTAAATGTTTCACTCCATCCCACCAGACTGCCTCCAAATAAATCGTTTCTTACACCACAGCAGAAGAGGAGGATAATGATAACAAAAGTGTTGTGGTAATTGAGAAGATGATGAGCACATGATTATGAAATGTGCAAAATCCAGCAGCCCCGTTTTGAGCCAGTCTGTTAAGAAGCTCGGAAGCCACGTCGCCCACTCCGCCCAGTTGACTCGCCAGTTCCTCCTCAAGCAGCTTAGCCTTGTCGGGATTCAATTGAAAATTCTGCGACAGAAATGTTGAAACAATTATTTACTATCTACGCAGTAACGAAATGCCTTCAGCACATGGACCAAGAAACTTTTGTCAATTAAATATTACAGTATTTTTCCCTTGAATAAAATGACACGAGAACTTACGTCGTCATTCCAGATGACTGGGAAAATTATGGGACTCAGATTTTTAAAATAATCGACGTGAGGTAATGGTTTAAGCCAGATGTTCCACTGAAATCTCTTGCGGTAATTAATAACAGCACCAGTAACCTAAAGTGCATATTGCATACATATGTAATTATGTATTTTGGAAGATGCAAAGCTCATAAATTAAGCAATAAACATAATGCCGATCCGAGAATCTTACTGGCTCAAAATCTATCTGTGTTTGATGCTGACCACTTTTAGGCTTCAGCCCATCCACTGCTTTCAGGTATTCTGGGTCCGCGTTAAGAAAGTTGGCATACGACATAACATATGGACCTACAGAAAGTCAATGCAATGGATTGCTTACAATATTTTGTACCGAAAGTCAAGATAAGATATAATTTTTCTCTATTTTTTCATTACCGCCGCGACATGGGGACACGTCAAGCACGCCCTTTTTTAAACAGTTGTCCACCCCTCTGCAAAAGCACATGTTGGGCGCAAAAACCTTGGGGTCTTCGAGTGTCTCCTCCGCAATATTGTACGTCATGCCCGCCACCACATTGTGAAACAGCATGTCTTTTGAGTAGCGGAAGCTTATGGAGCGACACAAGTCGAGGTCGAAAACTTGGAGGGCGGTTTTTGAAATCTGGTAGGGAGCAAATACGGAAGAATCTGATCCGTTGATTTGATTGCATCGATCACCTTTCCACCAGTTTAACTTGTTCAAACCATTCCACGACACGATTTGTCCTACTTTGTCCTGCTTTTTGAGCCCCGAGTCAACTACGAAGGGAAGCTCGTGTGCCCCATTTTTCTAATTTGTTATGTATTATTAGTTGCATATTATTAATTTAAATACATGTATTAAATATAACAAAAAACGAACTATACCAAGGTCAGAATACCATATCGTCCAGATGCAAACTCGTCCACTAAAAGTTGTCGACTTTCACTTGTGTCATTTCCAAATAGTTTCAAATGTTTCCGATATTTTGACACATCCATTCCACGAAATAGCAAATCTCCAACTCTGACCCCCTTCGAAATCAAAGATTCGCCTTGAGACGTCAAGTCGTTCACAGCATCGTTGGCCTGCATGGGATTCACTTCGGATGCAATGGTGCTGAATATCTATCAAAAGGGACATCTCGATTATTGTCCTCAAGGTTTTCAGAATTGTTTGCTCTTAAAAATCATACAATCAAAGGTAGATTCGGAATGTTGACCAAATCATCCTCACTCCCAGAGGATTTCGAAGGGTCAAAGGTGTACGTATAATTTCGCTCAAAATTTACAGTCAAATCCAGATTAATGGAAACATCAAACTTGAGACGTTTCTCGCTAAGTGAATAAAAAAATAAGAAATGGTTCAAACTAACTTTGGTCATTGAGGAGTATGAGACAAGATGAGTGTTTACTGATAAAAGTACGGTCCAATTTGTTGTAAGCTCGGCTTCGCCCCTTTTTCGACATCGTGAGGATTGGTAACATTGAAAATGTACACCTGATACGAATGAGTTCCCGGAACAACGTCCCAGACCTCCCACTTCCATCTGCTTTTTAGCTTCCGTTGTACAATTGGCTGTAAAATGACAGCAAACTTATACGTACCTTACATATCCAAAACTTATATTTCTAGGCAGACGTATTTAGATATATTTGCATACACTATTGACGACATTCTCCAAAAAGTTTATAGGAAACCCGTTGTCAGAAAGATAAGTAGTGGAGCCTTTTGCCTGCACTGTGTCAGATAAGCAAAGTAGTAAGGCGAGGATGAGAGCAAGACTCGAGAAGTTGTAAAAACGCTTCATTGTTACGATTTGATTTCAAATTAGGTAGAAAATTATCCGTAAGGTGTACCGAGATGAGTGGGAATAACTAAATGTATATGAAGGTAACTCATGTGAAATAACACTGCCGTTTCCAGACATGGTTCTTTAGAACCCCAAGTCAAATCTCAGTCGAATCTTTGTACAAAAATACAGCCATTAGCACTCAGCATAATTTACTAATTAGTTGAATAATAATGTTGTGAAACTTTTGCCTTCACTTATGTACAAACCCAAATTTTAAATGTTCAAGGTTACTCTAATGCTGTGATTTTCAAGTGCTTCTAATGTGCGCAAATCTTCGTGCTTCATATTAATTTAAATATTATTATTCTATGTAATTATCTCAAAGTATACAATTAGGTGTCTGTAACGTAAGAAGTGTTGTACAACATTAAAAGCATCTTAATTTAAATTATTGCAAATACATGTAACTGTAATAATACCTCTCATGACTCCTGCATTTTGAGCAAGGATTCTTTGCGACAATTAATTAAGTCAAATTATTTTGAAATATATGCACATACATTTCTAAATAATTTGCAGGTATGTATTTTCTGAAATTGAGGATCCATTTATGTATATCAACCTGTTGCTCAATGCATAAGTTATTAGTACTAAACATTCTCATTTCCCGTCGCCAGTCGTGTCATGGGATCCTTTGGTACATAAACAAATAATTGATGAAGTCATATAAATGCGCATGATACCTAATCCAAAGCACACGCAGTAAATATCCGTGTGCATACAATCGATTATCTTTCGGTCTTTCGGATCATTAAAGAAGAGCATTGAACGTTGAACTGTGTTAATTCATTCAGCAACGGGTACACGGTGGAAATGGATGGTTGTGCGTGCATGCATTGCCTTGTTTGATAAGCGATAAGCTTATCTTATCGACCCGTCCACAGTTGTGAATTGCATACAATTGCTTTCTTGAGTAAACTTTTGATTGTCGCTTACAACATGCGCATAACATAGAAATGTTTAAGTTACTTATCGTCATCACCCGGTCTCATATGGTTGTAATGATGCTGGTGGTGGGAGCATGTTTACGGTCTGGGTATGACCGGCGAAGTCGGATGGCACAGATTATGATAATGACATGACACATCGGGGTGATTGTCATATTTGAGTAACACCAAACCAAAATCGTAATATCACTCATCACAGCGTCCGTCTTGGTTCAACTAACATTTGGAGCCCATTACAGATACAGAACACACATTGCATACAATACACAACGCCTTGATGGACAGTGGAGTCCATTACCGGAATCAGAAACATACGCAGCGGAAGTATTGCATGCCTGAGGATTCGTAGGAGTTTATTCATTATTTATAATCGCCATTAATCGTTGGCAATCCTTCTCCAAGTCGAGTCGTTTGGGGCGATAAAAGATGGCCGAGTCCTATCTAAGATTCTTTTTGAAAAAGTCACTGAAAAATGGGTTGTCCGTCCTCTTTCAAAAAAATTTTGCGATTATTTTTCTGTTCGGAATTTTATTGCAATACTATATTTCCCCATCAACCCAACCGAAAATGAGTGTCTCATTCTGGATAAATGGAATCAAGACAGTGATGGGAATTGGAGTTGTGGCTTTGCTAGTCAAAAATTACAGATTCATATATTGTGTCGTGGTCATGCTTCCTCGAGATATTCGGTGAGATTACTACGATCTCTTTAGATTATTCTTCACAGTTGCTCATAAATTAATAGTTTGTAAAAAGAAAGAGTGTAGTAAATAATTAAACAATTTGTTGTCGTCAACAGAGGAGCGTGGCGATTTAGTCGAGTGTTGAAGCGGATTCGATGGGCTGACAAGAGAAATCTGACCGTTACCAAAATATTTGATTTATACGCTGACCGAAATCCAAATAAAATTTGCTTTTACTATGAAGACGAACAGTGGACTTTTAAACAAGTTAGACCAGGAAACCGTTAATTATATTCAACAATTAAAATGTATATTTACTTGTGCACAGGTTCAAGACATGAGCAACCAAGTCGGAAATTATTTTGCCGACAAGGGATTTGCGAAGGGAGATGTTGTCGCCCTTTTCATGGAAAATAGACCCGAATACGTCATTGTCTGGATGGGATTGAATAAAGTTCGTCAGCGTACTACTCAAAACATAAATGATGAGTTTAGAGTTCTTATGTGTGTAAATGTGTGTAGATTGGAGTTTGTGCTGCTTTAGTGAACTACAACTTGAGACTGCAAACCCTTCTGCACAGCTTTGAGGTAAGGATTTAGCAGAAATCATACATATGTATAGCATTATTTGGAAAGTGGGTAATTTATCCAATTTCATGTATGCATTTCGTATTATCTGATGATACGCAAGTTATCGATCAATGAATTGATATTCAAAATACGCTGTTAACAATAGAATACGTAAGTTTTTTTCTTGATTTTTTTAGGTTGTGAAAGCCAAAGCTGTAATATATGGAAACGAATTGTCTGAAGGTATGTCAACCAAGCCATGCGGTACATAAATGTAAACGTATGGGTTCTAATATTCTATTGATTTACTATTCATTAATCTGCTATCTTTATGACAATTTAATACTAATTAATGCAGCAATGCAAGAACTGATGGAAGTGGAGAACCTCTTATCTACAATTCCCTTGTACTGCTCAGGACATAAGAATGGCCCGATTTTAAAAGGTGTACTCGATTTTGATAGCGAAATCTCTAACGCGTCCAGGTCAACTCCTAAGAGACTGAGAGATATGACAATTAACGACAGTCTTTTCTACGTTTACACATCTGGAACAACGGGGATGCCGAAGTTACTTAAAAAATTTAATTTATTATCAGTTTTGGAAGTTGAAAAAAGTGGAATAGCTTAATTTTTAAGTTTTATGCGTTAAACAGGGGGCCGTTGTAAAGCAGTACCGGTAATGCATGATAGTTCGACAGAGGCAATTTTGTAGTATGTGCTTATCATCATGTAATTAAATTCTTAGGTTCATGATGGCTGCGAACGGAATACATTACATGAATTGCGTGAGAGAAAGCGACATTTTGTACGATTCTCTCCCATTATATCACATGACGGGTGGAATGGTGGGGTTAGCAATTAGAATTTTTTCGTACAACTAAATATACAAAGAGAAGTAGAGTTCTTCATGCAAACAAATGACTGTTCAACTTGTTAGGATTGGCCAGGCCTTACTTTTTGGCACCTCCGTTGTAATTCGGAGGAAATTTTCAGCCTCTCAATTTTGGAAGGATTGCATCAAGTACAACGTAACGGTTGCCCAGTATTTGGGAGAAACTTGCAGGTATCTTCTCGCACAACCCCCATCCCCAGAGGAAAAGTTGCACAAGGTTCGCCTTCTCAGTGGGTGGGTAAAATCTAAATGTTTGGCATACATATAATATTTAGATTGGAAATAAGATATTTCTCTCGTATGGTTTATAAGAAACGGGTTGCGTGAGGAGCTGTGGCAAGAGGTCATAGATCGGTTCGATATTCACCAGATTGGTGAAGTGTACGGGTCAACGGAAGGAAATTGCAATACATGTAAGAAAAAGTTTGGTTCACGAAAGAATTACTTGAGGGCCAGAATTTTGAATAGACTGAAATTGTACAGTATTACCTATTTATCCTACATTTCAGCCAGTATTGACAGTAAGGTTGGCGCAGTGGGGTTCATCCCTCGAATATTTTATCCCCTGCTGCCCATGACACTTGCCAAAGTGGATGAGAAAACGGGGGAACCAATTCGTGACCCTGAAAGCGGCCTTGTAGTAAAATGTCAACCCAATGAACCAGGCGAACTCGTAGGAAAAATTATAAAAAATCATCCAATTCGTGATTTTCAAGGGTATAATTTTCATGAATCAGTCAGCCTGTAGAGGTTTTCTACTTAAAAATGCTTGAAAAACTAGATATACTGATGACACATCGACAAGTAAGAAGATTTTGAGAAATGTCTTCCGACCCGGAGACTATGCATTCAGGACAGGTTACATGCTAATTCTAATAGTTTTGAATCTTCAACATTTGAAATTCCCAACTATGAACGTTTGTACATGTGTACAGGTGATATCCTTGTCATGGACGAGTTTGGCTATTTCTACTTCAAGGACAGGACAGGAGACACGTTTAGGTGGAAAGGTGAAACAGTCATTGTTACTGCACATGTGATACACACAATGCATATGTAACCTTGATTGCATTCCTTCACAGGTGAGAACGTGTCCACAACGGAGGTGGAGGGTATCATCAGCACATTATTGGGATACAAGGACAATGTCGTTTACGGTGTCAAAATTCCGAATACCGAAGGCAGAGCAGGTGAAAAGAATACTATATTTATGTACATATGAATGTGAATGAAAATACCATTTCAATGCAGGAATGGCTGCCGTGGTTGGATCCTTAAACTTGGACAAATTTGCCAGCGGAATAATTAAGTCATTACCAGCTTATGCACGACCCTTATTTCTGCGAGTAATGGACACTATGGATATCACAGGTACATGTTTAGCTACTAGTTGTTCGTCTTCATTAGTATGATATGGATTGGTTTACCTTTAACCCAATCTTTGAAATTAACCACCACAGGAACGTACAAGTTTAAGAAAATCCGGTTGCAAGACGAGGGATTTGACATCACCAAAATTAAGGATTCTCTCTACTTTCTCTCAGGGGGAAAGTTTGTCCCATTGGATCGGGATCTTTTCGACAAAATAAACTCTGGGAGGATCAGACTATGATAACAACTTTAGCTTATCTGTCATATCTTTGTGTATCATTCTGAATATGTAACCATTTATATGAATTCAAATTTTGTTGCTTTCACTTTCTTCGCCTTTTTTGCTAAAAAGTAATTAATGTCACCACTGTAATATAGCTTCAAGAATTCAAGATGTTAGTCATTTGATATTATTTAATGAAATAAAATAAAATAATTAAAGTTATTTGGTTAATTTCCTATAATTTCTGCATACAAAAAAGCCCAAAATGTGAAAGTGGAGAAAGTTTGGGTTGACTGAGACGAGCGGGAGCTCAGCGTAAAAGCCGACTCTGACTTCAGTTTTTAATTCGAGACGCTGTTTTGTGAATGCAGCAAAATTAACTGAAGACGCTTCCGTTTCAAATTAAAAAATATATAATAATATATCGTCGAAAATGAGTCGAAAGGAGAAGCTGCAAGAATATCTGGAGTCGATTAAAGGTCGCCCTGTCGTTGTAAAACTGAACAATGGAGTTGATTATCGAGGTCAGTAATATAATAAGTGTACACATTACACATTTCAAGTTGAAATTTTCAACAGTGCACATTATTAATTTTATGAACAGCTTACACTAAAAATGACTTAATTTTGTAGGGGTGTTGGTTTGTTTGGACGGGTATATGAACATTGCTCTGGAGCAGACCGAGGAGTACGTCAACGGACAACTAAAGAACAAATACGGGGACACTTTCATCCGTGGAAATAACGTTCTCTACATCAGCACTCAGAAGAGAAGGGGGGTGGCTTAATTTAAAATATGCAAATAAATATACTAGTAATATTAATTGTCGTTTATTTAAACTAATAATTAATTTGAAACAAAGAAAAATTATGAAATCCATCAATATAGTTTTGTTTTTATATTGTTATATTTCGTATATATGAAATAAATTGTATTTGTAATGAGCTAGAAAATTGACGCCGTTGAGTTTGTAATATGTTTAAAGGAGAGAAATACTAAAGTATCTTTTTTGTCTTATTCGTTGTTACCTTCTTGTTCGTGTTGATCGATTCTATAGATTGCGTGACAAGTAAAAAAATGTTTGAAGGTGCAGCATACTACTTATTTACTGCTTTGAGTATGTACATATGTAGCTGTAAATAGCACTTCCGTTCACTCCAAATAATTTTGCCATACATACATAGAAAATGACAATAATCTATCATCGATCCAATTTATAATTTACAGTCTTATTGGAAGTGTGGAATACGTAGGAGTGGGCAGTTGGTCAAACGTTTGGCTGCATCAGTCTCTGTACATACGAAGCGTGGGAACTAGAGTTATCTCAGGAAATCTTTCAGTCAAAATTTCAGAAACGCAAATGAGTATCGTTTGTTGGATGGCATCTCGAGAATTTCGAGATAATGCGTATCTTTGATACGTGAAAAATTTTCCAAATTCCTTCTAAAAGTACTGAGGCTACCTTATATCTATAATTGTTTCGCAAATATTTGAAATGTGCAGCACCTTCTAATTTATTTATACTATTATGTACACATACATGTGTTCATGCAAAATATATGAGAAGCTTACGGCTATCCCACGCTTCGTTAATCGTTGGACAGTACAATTTTCATGTAGGATTTAATTTAAGCTATAAATAAAAATTCTCGTATTCCTGTTGTGCATCAAAACCAGTAATGTACCAGAACCAGAACAAGTCCAGCTTCAGTTTCGGACCCCCCAACAACATCCTCCACGAACCTGTCACTTCCACCATTTCCGATAAAAAGACCAAACTGATTTATTTCAACGAGCAACCTCCAAAAGTGAAACGTGACTCGTACCAAATTACAGTTTCCTCGTCATCCGAACTTCACAAAGACAGTGACGATGGCTTGTCGTCATCAATTTGGAGAGCAAATTTCATCATAGTTTTCATTCCTCTTCTCATATGGGGATTTCCCATTCACTTACTCTTTCGAAAACGGAGAATTTATTCCATGAGAGATTGGCTCAAGTACTTGTGTCCTTGTTCTTCTCCGCTATCCTCCATCCTCACCATGCTCCTAGTCGTGATCTCCGTCCTTTTAAACATTACTGTCATCTACGCCCTCGGAAAGTTGATTTATATCGTTCTCATCAAAGCTGTAATCACGTCTGACGACGTTTTAGACCTGCTTGGAGGTTTGCTCAGATTGGTCCCCGTAGTCATTCCACTCGACATGTTTTGGCTCTGGGGTTACAAACTTCGGAACTTTGTTGGCTCCTTTGACCGTGTTGCCGCACTCTGGAAACCAATTGATGGCGACGGAACAGAATTTGCGCAGATTGGGACGAGAAGAATGAAGCTCGCCTTGATTTACATCATGATAATTTGTGCCCATGTCCTACACTACCTCTCAGATTTCTATCACGACGATAAGCCCGACTTATCCAGCCAATCAATAGCTAATCAAGTATGGGAAGTAACGATGGTCTACTCCACAGCTATTCTTGCCACCTTGGTCCTGCCCATTTATTGTTGCTTCTGCTGGGCAGTCCACTACGAGCTTGAGATGACAAAAGAGTACATACGGTCATTGGTTTTGGTCCGAGTCACCCCCAACTACACCCATTTTGACGAGTTCAAGAAAATGTCTCGAAAAATCACTGACGATATTTTGATGATAAACTCCATATTTAGCATACTCTTCTCAGTCGTCGTGGTCATTCTGGGGGTGTATATTTTTGGAGAAGTTCAGAACTTGGGAATCATCATTGCCAACGAAGCTGTAGCTACATATACGGGAAAATCAAAGGAAGCTTTTGATCCGGGAACAATTCGACTAATTTTTGGGGACATTTTGATCATTCTGCTGTACGTAGGTCTATTGGGCTTAACGATATATCAGGCGATTGTGACGAATGATGCGATGCGAGGATTGCACGTCTGGCTGAATGACTTTGTCACCGAACCGAATTCCAGACTCAGTCAAGACCTGCATGGCAGTGTGAGTAGTATTTTATATCACGGATTAATACATACTAATTAATGTCATGCTTTATAAATATCCTACGTTTTTAACCTAAAAAAATTAATCTCATTTTTCTCATAGTACGAACTTCTCAAGTGGTACATCCATTCTCGTCTGGAACAGGAAAAGCCTGCCCTGCTAAACATACTTATCACAGCACTTCTCCCACCACTCAAGACAAGGTTGACCCGCTACCAAGTATACCATTAGTGTTACTACGCAAATAACTTTGAATATTTCCATGATTCATATCATATTTAAATATATGTACTCACGAATATAAAATTGATGTTTATTAAATATGTTTATCACAAATATTACTTATAACATTCATTAGACACTTTAAATCTTGTTACAACGCGTCAGTATTAGAGATTATAATTATATCCGTAGATTGTTAGCATATTGGTACACATGCACGTAGGCAATATACATATGTAAGTATTAAATGGCCGTATTAAATTTTTAGTACGTTTTTAATAAAATGGGCGGATTACTTGGAACCTTTCTCCGGTGCATCCGGACTTGACGAGTTTGCGGTTGCAAGGGAGAAGATTTTCTCCTCTACCTCTTTTGGAACTCGAACTGTGCAAAATGACGGAACAAGACCAGCAAAGCATCCACGAAGCTTCTGGGTCGAACCCTTCTTTTCAGACTGGCGAATCTGTTCTCGTATTATGGTGTAGAATTGGAACTTTTGGTCGATCCTGAGATTATTTACGCAGTCATTTTAGTCATATGCATTTAGAAATATTTATTGGTCGCACTATTTTAATTCCAATCTCGCTCACCATGCCGTGGCCACGTTCAGTTTTCTCAGGCAAGTTTGGTAGGGAAACATGGGCAAGACTTTCCCCAATGGACGGAGGCTCAGAAGAATAGACTCGATGAAATAAATATGCTCCAATTGTTTCGCAATTCTCCCAACTTTCGCACGTTCTCTTAGCTCCTGTAATTTTTAAGCAAAAAGGATCAATAAACTTTTTCGTGTAATCTCAACTTTTGATTGTCGCCGCAGTAGTACCATCACTTTGTCCAGAGCGAAACCTAATAAATGAGAAGATGCACATGATAAACAACTTATTACAAATATTTTCCAATTATTTCCAATTTGTATTTTCGCATGTCTCACGTATACCTACCTGTCAGAAGGTTAAAGAAGCATATCGGAACAGAGATCAGGAAAGATAAAAAGAACAGCAGCCTCACTACACGATTTTGTGTTAATGAAGTTTCGGCTTTATCGTCATCGCCTTCATTCTTGAATGTGTCATTGTACTCAAACTCTCCTGTGAACAAAATAGTTTCAATAATAATAACTGATAAGACTGCAATGATAAACTATAATTGTATTACCCGTCATCATCACCAAAACTTTCACTATCGGACCGGGGAATGCACTACGAAGTGCCTCATCCTATCGAAAATACTCGTTATAAATATGATTCTGACTTAGGACTGTAAGTACAATCTTAATCAAAGTTTGGTTACTTACATCATCAAATATCACTACAAAGGCAAGCGTGAAACCAATCCACAAAGGTGCACAGCACAGCAACACATGGACAATTTGTATGAGAACCTGGAGAAAATAAATTGCACTTTGAACAACTATTTTCTCATGCGCATTTGTCACTAAAATACCCATCATTTCTTATATAAGAACTTGTTACCTGTTTCAACACTTCCACAACTAGGCCAATTTTATTATGAAGCTTTCCAATGTCTCTCATGCTCAGGATGTAGGCGAGAAGAATTCCGGTCTATGTACAAAGAAGATTGATTTCATAAAAGTTGTAAACAGATTAATACGTCACCATTAATACATTACACGCTTACTGCAGTGGCCAATTTCTGCCAACCTTGGGGAGTATCGGACCCATATAGCACTGGAGAAATGGCGATGAGAGCCAAAAAGTTCTGAGCCACTTGTGTTAAATTTGTGAGACTCCAAATGTACGAGCACTTGACAGTGTACATTTCAAACATCTCATTCACCAGTGAGGTGAGAATGTAGAGCAACATTACAAAGGACGAGATAATGGCAGCAGCTTGGTTGGAAGTTTCTTTATTCGAGTAGAAGGTGATTATTAATGTAGTGAAAGCACCGAGCCAAATCAACTACAGACACGAGAAGAGTATAGTCACAAATAGTTACATAAACATTCATGTCTCAGGCTTATAAGCATTTACTACTGATGAAAGTATACCTGCCAGAGAACCCATGCCAAAATGATCCATCTCAATTTATTCCACTTTCTCAGCATAAACAATTGCACCAAAGGATGCAACAATACTTCCTTTTTAGATTCGTACTCCCAATGTAAAGCTTGCTTCAAGTACAGGGTTTCTTGCTGGGGCTGGATCTCCACCGTATCCGTGTAACCTATAATCGGACTGCATATGCACATCGTCAATACGACAATATTAATGTGTAAATTATGTCTTAAAATTAGTATTTTTTTACGAACCCATAGTCCACAAGAAGATAGTCCTCGGAATCAGTGGACCGTTTCTTGTCCTCAGTGAAAGCTTTATCCATCAAAGTTTTCAGAGCTAAGGGACAGTGCTTGTACAGCAAGGTGGAGTAGGTACCGGTCAACCTGGGTTGGAAAATTTGGTCATTGTCAGATCACATGGCTGCGTTCATTAACAAATTGCATTTACCAATAATACGGGTCTTTCACTGCGTCCAAATATTTTTGAACCGTGCTGGCAGGGCAGTTGAGGCAGGCGTACATGAACGGCGTGTTGCCCTGCTTGTCCTCGTTTCGATACAAGTACTTGACCATATCTGCTCTCTCCGTGAACTTTCTCCCGATCAAAGTCTCCACGCACCTGTGCCCATTGGGGTAACATCCTAAGGGAAAAAAATACGTTGTCACCGGGTGCCACATACCCACATCGTCTAACCATGATTTTTATGTGGTCACCGTTTTGACAGGCATAATGCAACGCTGTTTTTCCAAACTCGTCCCCCCTCAAGACATCCGTTTTGTCCTCATTTACGAGAATTCCTGTCATTTTTGGGAGTCGCTGAATTGCTGCCAAGATTAGTGGAGTTCTTTGCTTGTTATCTGCCTGGTTGAGCTGAGAAGAGCTACATCGCGAAATTATTGCCTTCGCAATTTCGCACAGAGCATCATTCTCCTCTGAAAATGTTATGTGTATGGGTTAGTTGTATAAGAATTATAATTTGCAAAGACTAAATTTGCCATATTATCGAATTTGGATTAATTACCAGTCCCAGAACAAATGTAATGGAGAACATTCCAACTGTTCTTGGAGTCTTGTTGAGACATGTTAAACTTATTTTCAGGCTTTAGCAGGAATTTGCTCATAAGGATTGATCTCTCATCAATGGCTTTGTGTAATGCTGTCTTATCCTCGCAATTCACAACGTTAACAAGGGTTCGATTAACATCATATTTTAGGAGATGCTTCCCACATTCAATCGCATTTTCCAGTTTCCCTAAAAGAGTGAAAGTCGAGTCAAACTCTAAATTTCGTCAATTAACGAGCAGTAATCCTCCCTATAATATGTACCTGCAGAACTCAAGTGCAACGGGGTGTTCCCTTTCTTGTCTTGTTGGTAAGGATCTGCCCCCCATCGAAGCAGAGCTGAGACAAGGGCCTCGTCCCTGTTTACAGCGGCATAATGCAAGGCAGTATAACCAGACGAGTCCTTCAGGTTTAGCAGCTCAGGTCGATCTATGTTCAATACTTGAGATCCGTCCGGCGATTCGGTCACTCCCAAAAGCAGTTTTGATATCTGCGAAGCCATTTCATCCGCTGAAATTATGAACACAAACATAAATATAATTCAAGTATATGTAAATATGTTGGAATGGTTTAACACTACGAACCGTCGATTGCCACGGCGTGTAAAGGGACTCGTCCCCCATTGTCAGTTTCGAACAGAAGTCCCGGCTCTTCATCAATCAGATTTTCAATTTCCTCAATATTATCTGGATCACACACTGCGTCGTGAAGCCTTAAGTCTAGTTCCCTGTCACCCTTATTTCCACCTGCCACTCCCTTCTCATTCTCAATCACTGCAGAATTCATGTTCAAACAGTTTTTGCCTGGAGATAGTAACCTTCGAGTTACTGAATCAGCATCATCCAACATTTTATCAACATTGCACAATTAATTTTTTCTATTAAGTTATCTAAACACTTAAAATTTACTTTCACTCTTTCGCACTCAAGGTAAAATATTTCATCAAGTTGTTGCTAATATTTGGCTTTTTCGCAAAAATAGAACATTCTAAGATGATAAACTTTATGTAAACTTTTTTTGTACAAGTTATCATTTCATGATAAGCCAGTACACGTAAGGAAATATATCCTAGTTTTCTCCTAATCTTGGACCGTAAGTCTAGTTAACATAGTAGCAAAATGGCGTCTCACTCTGCGTACTATATTATTTTGTGCCTCAGCCTTGCAAATCTGCAAAACTCGCACTCTGGCATCCACGCAAGAGCTATGTGTGACTCACACGTTTCACTTTTGTTGCACTTTACCAGAAAAATTTTGCGAAAATAAATGTTTTCTGAATATCTACAGTATTTTCATTTTTTCAAAAATACATATGATTGCGATAAAAAAAGTTGGAGCAATTGCTTGTTCCAATTGAAGAACAAACAACATTAACAATTAGGCACGGCTATATGAAGAACGTACATCACGAAGTAGAATGCAGCACAATACGCTAATTACACGCCTGCTGAGTTTTATGGTTCATGGATTAAAAAAGTCCAACAACAGAGCTTCCTCCTTCTTCAGTGGAATGGAGACTGGACTGGATGTGCAACAATGACTCCAATGTCTGGTAACTCTGGTTCAATCAGTGGCACCGTACAATTTATTTAATATCCTCGCTATTTACAACTTGTCTTTCTGTGCACGGAATTTGATTTGATCTGGATTTAGACCATAAAAAATAAATGTGATGAATGCCATTTCATCTCCTCCACGTCCATGCATGGAGTCGGAATGGGCGTCTGAAATGAAATGCAAGAAGTGGAAGTCTGCTGCTGTCCCCGGGAGGAAACTGCATCACTCCTACCACTCGTCGCCCAACAACTCCCGTCCTTTGCAAATCCATTCAATATAATAATATTCCACCAACGAGTCCTCCTGCATTTCATTTTTCATTCCTCAGTCTCACTTTGAGTTTGAGCATTCACGAGAAGATTTTTACTTGTGTAAAATCTCAGAGTTGGTTTGCACATGGCATTTGGCAATAAAAAAAAGAGCAGTTGGTTGGAAAGAAATGGGGAAAAAGAGCGGAATGTACATACGCATTACCACGAGTAAAAGTAAAAGTGCGTAAATCCATAAAGCTTCTGGGAAGAAGGGGAGCAATAATAACAAAGCACGCATGAACTCTTACAAGATCCCTACAAATAAGTAAATACACGATGCTGGGTAAAAAGCATTTTGAAAATTGTAAATTTTACTCAAAATTCATAAAACAGGTTGTTATGTAATGTACATGAGGCTAACTTGCTAATTACTAAAATACGGATTCCAAGACATAAGACGTATCTTCAAAGACAAAATATGTATGGAAATGAATTGCATATTATGCTCGAAATTGTCTTGCTGATTATAATGGACGGTTGATTTTTCTCCCTCGCCCCTTCACACACACTTTCAGACACATGGCTCAAACTAGCAGAGTAAAGCACGGGACATTAAAAATTCAAAAAACATGCAAAACATCTTTTTTCACGTTAAACTACTGTACAATTTGCAGAAAAAAGTAAAGTGGAGGCTTCTTCCCCGACAACCATGCACTGTTGAAATCTGTCTGGCTGGGCTGGACACGGGAATGTGAGACGCGAGTAACGAACATGTTTTACTTATGTACGACGGATCTTGAATACCAAATCACCATCGTCGCTTACCGTGAACAGTAAAGAATTCGAGAACTGGACTTGTTCCTGATTGTTGATTAGGATTACGTGAATTAAGGCTCAAGCAGAGTCAGCTCCCACCTTAGAGCAACTAAAGTAAGTCACGCATATTTTATCCACCATACAGATACATATGCTATCCATATGGCATGCTTAGCTGAATTTGTTGAATCTCATGTAACCGTGACCGGTTAGTTCTTCTTGGGCTGCTTGATTGCAACAATAATCTCGACTACTACTGCTCCTACTTCCATTCTATGTATCGCAGACAGTGCAAAACAATGCATATGCATCTAAAAATCATATAGATCCAAAAATCCGGTTCATCTTTGGACATAGGGCAGAATGAAATTGGAAGTGCAATATGGATTATTAACTTTTTAGCTGGTTGTGCTATGGTTGTGGGCCTGTACGAAATAGAGATCTCGTAGTGGGACTCGATGCAATGAAGAGGATTAGAATTGAGAAGAGGAAAATAATATAATAATAAATAAATAATATCTGGATCAAAGTGTAGCAGATCCTGACACGCCGAGTTGCGTTGGCTGTAACTTATAAATTATAAGATGTCTCACGGCTCATATCGGACTCAATCATATCTGGCAAGGGTTTTGGCTGGATGATGATAAAAGATTTATGATTATGATTTGACATTTGCTCCTGAGAGCTGGTGTTTATGTGCACTGTGTACAAGGCTCCTGGCACTTGTTTGGTATGCAGACGCACAATAACATCTGTGCGTATGTATGTATTGCTATTCTGTGATTTTAACATGCATCGTCCACTCAAATATTCGTCAATTGTTGTTTTACACATGTAGCAAACTTGCTTATTCAAACAGCTTGCTGCCAAATATGGCAACCTTTAATTAAACCCAACTTTGTCACAACATGACAAAATTCCAGTCATCCTGCAACAATGGTCTCATTAGGTGACAAGGATAAAATGAAGGCGACGAATTGCTCCTTAAACTTGTTTGCTACACAAACATTATTAGCTAACAAGCATTCCATATCAAGATATATCTTTTTGAATAATTCATCATGTTCACTTATCTGCTTGGAGCAACTGGGAAAATGAGACAAAAATGTACAGCAGTAGAGTAAAATGCTAATAACTCGACTTGATTTCACAGTGGCTACGGAGAGAGAACACAGCCAAGGACTGAGATAGTGGAAAAACATTGGATAGAAAGTCTCAAGACCAACAAAAACTAAACAACCAACTCAAATCCAGTCTCAATCTCCCCATCGTCACATCCCTCTCTGTCATGCATGCCTGTTAATCCATTCATGTGCATCATGTCTGTAATGATGTAGCTTTGCATAAATAATTCATCATTTTTTCTATCCCATCACAACGTAAACAAACACATAAATGATCGTTGGTTGCATTTCCGGTTATATTCTGTGTGACGGGTTGGGCTAAAAATCGATATATGTATAATCCGAAATATATATATATATCAACCATTAATTCGACACTTTAATATTGCTGGAGAACATTCTCGAGCTGAATTATTTCACGGTGCAGGGAAACCATTCACTGAGAATAACACGCAGATAGACAAATGAAGTGAAGCACTAAATATAGTTATAAATTATGTATGGTGACCATGATCTGGATGAAGGATGAGCTGTAGTGGGTGTGTCCTTTAAGGGATGATGCATTTACTCTCTCAGTCCGTTTCCAGTCGAGGGAAAAGGATGGCGATGTGGTGGACTACCAAATATAGCGGAAGCGAAGTCTACATTATCGTGATCACGGGGTGAATATTAAATTGCTCAAATTGGTGGTGAAGAAATGACACGGCGGTGCACTCGTCGGAGATTTCGCATGGTGTCTCGTGGATTGCGCCTTCCTCCCTTCATGTTTATTATCATGATGCATTTAATGAGTTTTTGCACCGGCACGTGAACACCGATAATAAACTGGCAGCCGCAGCAGCAGTCGAAGGAAGGAGGAGGATGCCACTCGAGACTTGTGATATTATTTGCTCTTTTTTACTGCTTTCTTTTTTCATCACATATCATACGAGCATTTGTAGGATATGAAATGATGATGATTACGATGAGCAGGAAAAAGGGTGATAGAAAGGATTATTAGACAGACGCACCCCATAACTCACCGCCTTTACATGAAAATCCCATCTGCCCAGTCTTTAATATTTCAAACCCCATTAGTATTCAACGTGCGTTACTCTGATGATCAAAAACTGACGGTGGGTTTGGGTGTGGTATAGAATATGCGCTTTATCGAATGTAGAAAAACTAAATTCAGAACAACGCACTGCAAATAACTGCAGAAATGGACTTACATGTAACATCTGAGTAAATTTCATGTTAGGTGCTACTTTACTTTCCACGGGTTACCTGATTATGCATGCAGATTTTTGGAATGAGAGATTTTAAGACCAAGTTTAACTATTTTCAATTATTATTTAATTGTTGGTTTTGGTAAGTACTGTCATATATATCAAATGTTTGTATGCAACTCAGCAAAGTATTGTTATGAGGAATATTAAAGCCACATCGGGTTTGTCTCATTGTCTTATTGCAGAATATAAAGAGGTTTCTTAATAAATCACACCGATTCATGTAAGAATTGGGTCTTTCACTCTTGTAGCTCTAAATACCAGTGGGTGAAATGGTCCGAGGCAGACTCTTCATTCTTCTCGATGAGTTTGATCTGCTCTCCAATTCTTAAATTTATCATAAAGTTATTAATACATAATTAATATTCGTGATAATTTCAGTTGTCTACATTTTTCCCATACCCCATGTTTTTTAAGCAAAGTTGAGATTCTGGTAATGGTCCAGACTGGATTAAATAAAGTGAATTAAAACCTTGGACGGCTTCAGACCTAAAATTTTGGGTGAATTTATCTGTCTTGTCTGATTGTTTCTGAAAAATAAAAATACAGCTACAGTATTAAGATGAAAAGCAATAAAGACAAATCAAGTAGCAAAGGGGAAGCTTGTTTTACTTTTTGAAGTAAAAGTCCTCTGTGAGGTAGATAGTCCCACACTTGAATACTTTCTGTAGATTTCTTGGCCGTGATTCTAAAATCTTCATTCGCTGTGGGATGATAACCGGGTGTTTAATATCACACTATCAAAAATAAGGTGTACGTAACGAACTTACGCTGTTGTATGGCTCGGAATAACTGGAAGTCTGATTTGTCATCATCCTCTTCCATGCAAATGAATTTACTGTCTTGATTTAAATGCACAACCTGTAATGCATCACATTCATAGTAAATGCAATACAATATAGAACTTTAAATGTTCTCAAGCAATATAATTTAAAGATTATTTGCACGTACAGAGTTATCTCCAACATTGCGGATTTTATACCAATTTCCATTTTCAAATCCAGCCAAATTTTGTCGCCGTTGCTTGGATGGATTGAGCTGGGAGGCGACCGGCTATATAATTTCATAATGCATATGTACATTCAGTGCTCATATTATGTATTTAGTTGTGCTTTTGGTAAAATATCTAGTATAGTATGTGCGCTATATTTGTATTTATGATACACATACTTCTGGTAGTGTTGGCGTTGGCTCAACTACTGGCAAAGGCGTGTAAGGTATTTTTCCTAGTACAAGTGACGCCAAGGACAGGCAGGATGCAACTGCGGTTTCTGTTGGCGTGGGTTCAACCGTCGACTTTGTTGAAATTGGCACAACTCGGCAAATTGGCGGTGATGGAGATACACCACTTAAGGATGCTGATACATTTGGGAGACTATGGGGTGGTGCAGGTGGAATTGAAGGGGGTGGTGCAGTTGGAATTGTGGAGGGTAGTGCAGTAGGAATTGGTGGGGGTGGTGCAGTAGGAATTGGTGGGGGTGGTGCAGTAGGAATTGGTGGGGGTGGTGCCGTAGGAATTGTTGGAGGTGGTGCGGTTGGTTTTGTAGGGGGTGGTGCAGTTGGAATTGAAGGGGGTGGTGCAGTTGGAATTGAAGGGGGTGGTGCAGTTGGTTTTGTAGGGGATGGTATTGTTGGAGTTGTGGATGATGGCGCAGTGGGGGTTGGTCCCGGATGCACTTTTACGGGTACACTTGGTGCATTCGGAAGTGTTGTTGATGGGGAAGTAGGGTATATTCCGTATCCTAAGTGTACTCCCTTTGTAATGTCTGCTGAAGGTGCTGTTGGTGTACTTGACAGTGTTGTTGGTGTGGACACCTTCGGAGGAGGAGGTGCTGGTGGTGGTCCACCCGGTGGGAGTGGTGCTCTCCTTTTTACACGGGGTGGAACTACTGGCGGTGCTGGTGGGTTAGTGGTCGTGACCGTCGGCAGTGAGGAAATCCCTGTGACAGGAGTTGGCAACAGCGTGCTGTCATTTGATAACGCACTAGTTGGTGGTATATTTTGTACCGGAATTTCCGATGCTGTTGTACTTGGAGGAGTCGACATATTGTTCCTAATTTCAACTTGAAATTTTCAACAGTCTTTCCCAATCCTGTAACATTTCAAAGTAAAATATCAAAAAACAACATTTACCCCAAAATAAATGTTGCTTACATTTATTCGCAATAGCACCAAATTGATAGATAATGGATGTGGATGAAGTCTGCATGATGTTTAATACTTCCAGGTCCTGCAGCTTTCTTAAACGACGGTGCACTTAATATTAGCCCATATTACAGAAAATTGCGTGGAAAGACTATATATATAGAAGTCTTAATTGCATTAATATTTTACGACTTGTTCTCCAGCCATTTCTTGTCAATTTTAATATTATTATCGGTTATTTTGTGCAGTGAATGTGAATTTTCGTTTCAACCCTCAGCTGTGTAATCGTAACAAGTTCGTCTAAAATCTTACAAGTATTGCCATTGCCAGTTTAGCCGCTCGCTGCCGTCTATGAATATGAAAGGGTTGTGTGGTGTCTATGAAAAGGTGACGTAATGCCGACCAGTCGAGTCATGTTTGTTCACACGATCAGTTATATATGGAGTTATATATATCTAACAAAGCTACATTTCTTATCGTGTGATGTTTGTTCTGCTGAGAATTTGCAACAGTTTCTTGAGAGTAATGAGTAGTGAAAGTCTATACAGTTTTCGCATGAATGGATATGATCAACTGAAGATGAAGTAAGCATCATGATAAATGACGCGACCTTCACTAAATGATTCACAACTTATAACACGTCTATTCTCAAAATATTAGGTGGTTTTATCGCTAGATAAATTCATACGAAAACAGTTTTATTTAGGGATAATTGCATTGCATTACGTAGAGTAAATTAAAATAAATCAACAATTGATGGTTACCAATACCCAAGCAGATAGTTGGAGAAAATGCAAAATCATTGAATAAGTACATGAAAATTAAGAGATTCAAAATAAATTCAAAGCCATAATTTATATCTTAATTCCGGGAACTTGTTGAAAGTGTTTGTTGTCTCCTTCGTCTAATTTCTGCAGAATTTTCAGAAGCCAAAGCAAATATTTCACTTCTGACGTTCTGGTCAATGTCAGACCCAAATACGGTTTTGACGCCCCTATAAAAGTCAAGTTTTCGCTGTTTTGCTGTCCTCCGATCAATATTTTTATGAGTCTCTTCTTTCAAGAGAAATTCGAATTGGAGTTCCCCATCAATCCTGCAAACATACCGAGACGATTGTTTTTTTGTTCCCATAAACATTGGTAGGGCGCAAAGGAAGAGAATTGATGGACAAAATCTGTGTACAAAAATTTACCGAGCTGTGGTAACATTATGTTTCCTCAGCCAGTCCACGACCACTTTTGGGGAGAAAAGTTTATTCACAAGGTTCAGACTTAGGAGAATGGTCTCAATGAAGTAAATGTGCTCCAAGTGCTTTGCTACCCTCCCAACTTTTGCACGTTCTCTCAGCTCCTGTGTCAAAAGACGAGTGCAACGTTCGATTTGCAACTGAATATAATTTAAGCATCGTTGTTAAATACCATCACTCTGTCCAAGGCAAAGGCCTGAAGAAGGCTGAAGAACGCCACAGGTATGCAAATGAGGAACAGAAGGAAGAGAACGAGTTTGGTGGTGTCATCCTCAACTTCTCCGGCACCGTTCTCCTTCTTAAACGTATCATTGTACTCAAATTCGCCAGTCATCTAAAACCATAAGATGCACAAAATGGTATGAATTTCAGAGTCACCATCACCACACTCACCATAACAAGGACTTTCACCAGAGGGCCAGGAAATGACGTCTTTAGCGACTCTTCCTATATAAATTATATTCACATTTATCATTTACATGAAAAATTGAACAATTAATTAATATGCATATTATTATTTCTCACATCCAAAAATATAACTTTAAACGAATGCGTGAATCCCAACACGAGCATGAAACAGCACAACAAGACTTTTAATATTTCAAAAACAACCTGCCACAAAGAGCCAAAAGGACATATATTCATACACAGCACAAGATGTTTATTGACCATAATGCCAAGTTATTGCTACATATTTTTGACTTTACCTGCTTCAGAATTTCAATCACCAATCCAATCTTTTCATGCAGTTTTCCAAAATCTCGCATACTTAGAATATGCGCGAGAAGGATTCCAGCCTGTATATGCATACAAATTAAACAAACTTTCTAAAATTTATGATAAAATTTCCAACTTACTGCTGCACAGTTTCTGCAGAAAGTCGTGGGTTCAGAGTTGCTGGTCAGCACTGGCCAAATGGTAACCACACCCAAAAATATCTGAGTCAGTTGAAAAGCGTTGCTCCAACTGATGATGTAAGTTATGCCGACAGTCAATCCTTCAAAAATCTCATTCACGAGAGAAATGGTGATGTAAATTAGGAAAATTAAGGCAGAAATGTATGTCAGAATGGTAAACGGTAAGTCCTTGGTGTACACGGAATAGATCAGTGTAGTGTAGGCTGCTAACCAAATTACCTAAAAATTGTTCCAGCATTGAATTGCATTAATTCAGAAAGAACATCCGCCATTTAATGGCACAACTACAATGTGAGAGGTGGACAAAATCTCGACTCACTTGCCACACAATCCAACCATAAATCATTGGTCTCAGCTTTTGACACTTTTTCGCAACGTAAAGCTGGACGAGAGGGTGGGTCAGAATTTCCTTTTGTGTGATAAAGTCCCACCACAAGGCATTCTTCAAATGAAAATCATAATTTTTGAAAATGAACACTAAAACAATGACCATAAACAATCGTTCATGTATACCTTCAGATATTTTGTCTCCTGTTGATGGAGTTGTTCAATTGGATCCTTGTATCCAGTTATTGGTCTGAGAAATACACAGAGTACTTAGACTGATATATCCAAGAAAAAATGCAAATATTGACAACGAATGAATGGCCATGAGCAGTGTAACGTACCCAAAATCCACCATAATGGCATCCTGTTTTTCATCCTGCCTGGACTCCTGTTTAATATTTACAGGCGTTTCTTGCTCGGAGAAAGCACGGTCCATCAAACTCTTGATGGCGCGCGGACATTGCTTATATACCAAAAGCATCTCTGTTTCGCTCATCCTTTTCGATTATAAATTATTAATCATTGCGCATACGTACTTATCATGTGTGTAACTTGTATAAGTATTCAAATCAACAAAGTACGCACCAAAACTGAGGTTCAGGAATCTTGGCCAAATATTTCCCAACGATTTCATCAGGACAATTAAGTGCGGCATACATGAAAGCAGAGTTCTCTTTGTCGTCTCGCATCTGGTACAAGTAGCAGATTAATTTATTGACCTCTGCACTTTTAAATTTGCGGCTAAGCAGAGATTCAACGCAACTGGAACCATTTGGATATGCTCCTACATAAAACGATCACCCATAAATGGAAATTTCAATCAACCCTCAATCCAAAAAATATTTAAAGACATGCCATTCTCTGCTGCATAATGCAATGCGGTTCTCTTCCTTTTGTCAACTTTGAGCACATTCATGCTTTCTTCAGAATTGAGCATCTCTGTAATTTTAGGTAACCGTCTAATTGTTGAGATGTGCAAAGGAGTTCGCCCGCCCTCATCTTCAAGATTGAACAAGGGAGAATCGCTGTTAGACAAAATTGCGGCAAATATTTCACACGATTTTTCCGTCTGACCTGCAAAATCAAGAAAAATATCATGGTAGTTATTTGTTCATTAATTGTGTCCGTTCGGTTATTTATTGTTAAAATCTTCACATCGTACCACTTTCTTGGCAGAGATAATGCAGAATGGTTTGCCCCCTTTTACTTGTGCACTGAGGAATTTTGAGTTTATGTTCCTTCTTCAGCAACAATTTCACCATCTCAACGGCCTGTTCTTTCACCGCCCGATGCAAAGGAGTATGGTCGTCCTCATTTTTGGCGTTGATAAGAGATCCGTCATAGTCATTGGCAAGTACCAATTTAGCACATTCTATGGCATTTGGAGTGTCTCCTGGATAACGTGACACACACATTTAATACTATGTCGGGATGTGTTTAGTTATGTAGGTAATAATGGCTAATGACCTTCACAAATGTAATGAAGTGGGCTGTTTCCGAGCAAATCTTTTGCCAATGGATTTGCGCCATATTTCAAGAACGCCTCAGTCAAATCAGGGAGCCAGTTTCTTCCGCAGTAATGAAGAGGTGTGTAACCCTTCGAGTCCGATATTTCTAAAATTTCCTTCCGCTCAACGTCTTTTACTTCTCCATCACTTCCCTCCGCCACACCCAAAAGCATCTTGGCAATCTCTACCCCGTCGTCATCTCCTGCAAATAATTAAAGTAATGGTAACACCCAAAATCTCAAACCACCTCTTTTCAACAACTTTAAATAGTAAAGCAGAATTTCGTTCTGTACCAGAAATTGCTAGTGTGTGAAGGGGAGTTCTCATCTCATTGTCCTTTTCAAAAACTAAGTCTGGATTTTCGTCCAGTAATTCCTGGATTTCGTCAACATCTTCGTGGTCATAAACTACATCGTGAAGCCTTAGATCAGCCTCAGGCTGAATAGACGAAGTACCCATCTCGTTCTCAAAGTGCACTTTGTCACTGGAGGGTGAAAGTAACTTTTTTGTCACAGAGTTATCCTCAGTTGGCATTATTTTTTGGAATTGATAAAAAGCACCTGCTCCAAATTTTTAAGGAGCATACATTTCTAAATCTCAACAAATTTCTTGTAAATGTAAAACTGCAACACTAACACTCAGATTATGAATGATGGAGGGAGAAAGTCTTATTGAATATTTGACTCATTAAGTCGAATATACAACTATTTATTATCTGTGTAAAATTTTTAGCAGTGATGTAATCCAGAATATACAAATTCGCCAATATGGCGTCTGTTAGTGACACACACATATAAACGAGAGGAAGGAATACAAGACTTTTTCTTACGTATCACTCTCACTAGCACAATTCATAGTCAACTCAAATTCACAGTGATTCAGCCACCACCCGACCAAACAAGAACCTCGGCCACAAATCCACCAAACGACTTGTTCGTGATATCTGCCCAATCTCACCCCACGTTTTTTTGTAACTTTGCTTATCTTATCCTTAAAGTGTGAAGCAATAATGTGTCTCTAGATCTATGTTGCGAAGAAAGATTATAGTATCGAAGCATGCTCCTAAAAATTGCTCCATACATAAAGATCAGACAAACTTCCTCTCTTTCACCCGTTTCACCCGAGAACAGTGAACCCGATCTCATGCATCTTCCAGCTTGGATGGACAATGTCCAGCTGAAAAATCCGAGTCTATCTCTAATGCTCAACGCTATTATGACTTCGTATACAATTTTATATCAAACATCAGGGATTCAAACGCATATTCTTGATTTGCGCATGTAAAAATCTAGTACAAATGCTTGGGTTGAAAACGCCGGAGGAAGATTGTTTGGCTTACTTGGTACTTCAAATTGCGTATATAATGTAGGGACTCACACTGAAAGCTGGACTATTAGTGTATGAAGTTCAAGACTGGATTGATCAGGGGGCTGCGTATATGCGTGCGTTTATACTGCAATAGCCAGCAGACTCGGCGATGCATGCAAGTTTTGAAAACAAATCTCTAGAAACCATTTAATTGCAATCACATGCGAAACTGCGAAAGTGGTAGTTTGCTTGTTGTTATACGTTAAAAATAAAGCATTTTCTGCGTGATGGAGCGTGAATACAAAGTGTCAGCCAAACGTACAAAATGCGTAATATGCATGCGAGAGACGAGAGTGATTTTCATGAGAGCCAGGAAAGGGTGAAAGCAGCAGCACGAGGCAAGTTGCGTGTTTTGCATTTGTCTACTCCACTCACTGCTAAGCTAATGCTGCTCTGCGAAGAAGTGATTAACGCGAACTTTACACAAAATGCGAATAATATTTTATATGTTATGCATATTTGGACTCAGTATCCAATGATGTATGGCAGTTGGAACGAAGGGATACTACGTAACAAATATAGAAAGTTTACGTTCAAGGATATATATATATATATTACTTATATTTACTTATGATACGATGGGATATGGTGTTTCTTTTATGATTTAAATTGTGCATGTCAACCTTTGGAGATTTCACTATGATGTGTAATAATTGGTTTATTTTTGTGTGTTTGCAATATAAAAGTTTGATAATCTTAAGTACATAAGTAATATGCAGCACTAGGGAAGAGCACCATTATGACAATGCGCTTTTTAATTAAAATACTGACGGCAACAACTCGAAGGGTTTAACTAGTACAAAAATATCACTTTGACGAAATTCTCAAATACACTTGTTTAAATAATGTCATAGGCGTGGCTGCACTGATTCAAGTTTCCATTGGGTCATGGTATTTGCAATTGCCGTTGCATTCTTCTCAACCACCATAATCTGTTTCTCAACTCTGTGAATAATAGAAAATATGTGTTAATTAAAATGTTTTAAATGGAGCACAGTTTCTATATAACATATTTTTCATTGGTCAGAATACCCACCCCATGTTTTGAAGGCAGTGAGTTCCCTCAGGAGCTTTAATCAAAAAGTATGAAGCTTCCTTTCCAGGCACGGTTTCAGACGCCCAATTTTGATTTCCTCTAGCCGATTTTGTTTGTCTCTACAAAATGATCATACTAATATGATTTTGAATCTTAAAAATAAGTATGTTTCAGCATCAACCTCACCTTTTGTATTAAAGTACCACGATGTGGTAAAAAATCCCACACCATTTTGGCAATTGCTCCTGGCTTCTGGTAATGAGAGCTTATTTCGAAATGGCCACTGGCTACATAAATCAACAGTATAACCTGCATTATTTTTCATAATAGAGAAAGTATGGTCTTCTTCCCGAATCAGTAGTGTACCAACCTGTGGTAGTGCAGTTAAAAAGTTGGAAATTTATTTTGTCAGGGTCTTCAGACCTGGGTCTGGTCATCAATTTGTTTCCAACCACCTCCATACTCTGCGTTTATATATATAGAAGTACATTACAATCACAATACTTCCAACGACAATTTTTAATGTGCAATGTGCAGCATATTAAACGTGCTTATTTACAATTCAACTTACGGAACCATCTCCCACATTAATTATTCTGAAACTACTCCCATTGCAAAACCCCAGTTGATTTTGCATTTTCCTTCGAATATTGTCCTCCTCTTGGGTGTAATTGAAAGACGAGGAATTGTCACCAACTGGTAAAGATTCGTGACTTTCACTGGGCAACAAGGGCTCATACCCCCTCCCAAATTTACTCTCTTTATCGCGATGGTGGGATGATAAAGCACGTCTAATCATGAACTAGTGAAAATCATAAAATTACAAAAAAATACAAAAATATTCCACACAGCTAGCTTGTAATTTGTAAATATTGTAAACTATTGAGCTTTGTTTTGTTGATGAGCTAAGAATTTTTTTCAGGGTTGCCCAGTTGAGTTTGCCGGCCAGCATGCAATGTTAAACCACCACCACACATGAAATCATCGCCCGTAACGCAAATTCCCTTTCTAAAATCTTGCTGCCCTTGATCACGATGATGTAATAATCCACCACCACCACCACTGCCAACTGCCACGACTTTCTCCTACACATCCTACTCGCTCCATACTTTCACCCGTGCTATTATGCTAAGAACTCTATGCAATAAGTACAAACAAACAATTTCATGTATGTAAGTCAACTTTTAATATTTCATGCTATTGTATTTGTTAGTATATAGTTTCTTTTGCAATAAATAGCCTACACAAATTTCCATTTTCTTATGCAAACAGTAATACTACTGTCAACGGTTAATTCAACAAATGGTTCAAATGAGATTAAAACAGTAAAAATGGTTGAGAAACAAGTTGAAATTGCACAACGGGCATAAAAGTAAGTACGAAAGAGATTGCATTGCGTTGCGTTGATGGATGGATGGAGGATGAGATTCGGTGATAAGTACATAGGATCTGACACATTTTTCCTACGAGGAGGACGAAGGAGGGGGTGAAGCAAGGGAGTAGATTTGCGACATGACTTCTTCAGGCAGACCAGGTTGGCAAAATCGGAATGGGAGGCACAACTTATGCCTTAAACCAGTCGCATGCTTAAAGTTGCGCTCAGATTTTCGGATCCTTTCCTTGATTAGTGTTTCGAACTTGAGTTGGGGGCCAGTTTCAGTGTTGAACCTGACAGTGGGCGACAAAATAATGCGCATGCATGAGAGAGTGGACTAATAAACCTAATGTACCAATTTTGGAGAATTAGCTGTATTGTGTGTACCATTGGGAAGTGACGTTGAGCCGTCGGAGGAATGAGACGACGGAGGCGTGTGAGAATATTTTTCTGAGTGGACGGAAACTGAGAAGAATGGACTCGATAAAGTAAATGTGCTCCAATTGTTTCGCCACTCGAGCAACCTTTGCTCGTTCACGAAGTTCCTGAAAATTAGAGAAATTAAATATCGTACATTATGAAATATATACATCGTGTGAATTTAAGTAGTTAATTACTGTTTGCAACGAACCATGACTTTGTCCAGTGCGAAACCAGTGAGGAGATTGAAATATGCCACTGGGATGGATATGAGGAACGCAAGAAAGAAGATGAGTCGGATGATCCGAATGTAGGCGTTGGCTGGAACCTTTTGCGACCCATCGTCATCTTTGAATGTGTCGTTGTACTCAAACTCGCCTAACGTATTTAAGTTTACCATCATATTAATTGGTTTAGTTTTGGATGAGACATAAGTACGAGCAATATTGTATAAATCATTTGACCACCTGTCATCATCACCAAAACTTTCACAATAGGGCCAGGGAAGCTGCTGTTTAATGACTCCTCCTGAAAATGAGATTGTCAAATAATCAAGGGCATGCATAAGTCTGTCAATATTGTTCAAACTTTCAGAAAAATGTATTTATGAAGTAAAACGATAGAAATTAAGTTTTAGACTCGTTATGTCATAAGCATATGTACCTCGTCAAAGATTATGATGAAGGCGATTGTAAATCCGATCAATAGAGGCGAGCAGCACACCAGAACTTGTACAATTTGTATGAGAACCTAAATATGTATGTAGTATGCAATCATATTAGTATTTCTTTCATGTCAACAAACTTTAATTTGGACAATAAGTCGGCATTTCGAACCTGTTTCAAAACTTCGACAATGAGTCCAATTTCACTGTGCAGCTTCCCAATGTCTCGCATGCTCAGCGTATAAGCCAAGAGGATACCAATCTTAACAGAAACGGAGAAATGCATAATAACGTACACAAAACCAGTCTCAAATGGAATAATATCTTTGACGTACGGCTGTAGTGTACTTCATCCAAGTTGCTGGCTCATCCCATCCAGTGAAAACTGGATAGATTGCAATGAAGCCCAAGACACATTGCACGAGTTGGAGCATATTGGTCAGACTGAGGATGTACGCAGATCCGATCGTGAACATTTCAAAGCACTCGTTGACCACGGAGCCCACCAAATACACCAACATCACCACCGACCCCAAAAGTGCCAAGGCTTGAGTCCCACTACCACTCCGATTATCGTCACCAGAATTTGGACTTTCACCCTCAAGGTGAACAGGGGACGAGTGGTTTCCATCCGCCCTGGGGGTGTAGAAGGATAGGCTCACAGTCGTATATGCTGCCAACCAAATTAGCTGTAAATACGAGAAAAAAACAATATACTCCATCAATTACTCTACAGGAATGGCACAATAATGCAGATTTGTAGTGAACGTTCATATTTATTAATCTACCTGCCACAATACCCAGAAGGAAATGATCAACCGAAGTTTTTGCCACTTTTTCATCACAAAGTATTGCACCAGAGGATGTAGGAGAATTTCGCGTTGAGCATCATAACTCCACCATTGGGCCTGTTTCAAATACTTGGTCTCTTGCTGAGGCATAATCTCCACTGGATCAACGTAACCAGTGATCAACCTTTTAACAAGCAGATAAATTTTATTCCCACACAAATTATATATATTTAACATTATATGCAAATCACGATGGCATGAAAATGACAAAGCTCTTTATATTTTGCCCACCCAAAATCGGTATTGATTCCATCCTCTCCTTCCTGGGTGTCGTTTTGATCCTCGGAAAAGGCCTTGTCCATCAACGGTTTTAAGGCCAATGGTGAATTCTTGTATATCAGCGTCATGTAGATACTCGACAACCTATCACGATGTATCACCGTTTATTTGTTAGGCCATTTAAGTCAAAAAGACAAATCAGCTATACAATGAATGATTTGTATCTCACCAGTACTGAGGTTTGGGGCACAAATCCACATATTTTTGCATAGTTGCAGCAGGACAGTTGACGCTTGCATACATGAAAGGCGTGTTCTTTTGGATGTTATCTTCCGTCTTGAATAGGTACTGAACTTGATCTCCATACTTTGGAAACTCTCGATCAATCAGAGCTTCGACACACAAGTGTCCCTTTGTGTAGCAGCCTGTCATAGCCGGATTTAAGTAAGATTTAATATTGGGGTAAATTGGTGGATTTTAATCAGAAAACATTAATAATATACCGTCTTCAGTTGCATAGTGCAGGGCGCTACGACCTTTATCGTCCGTCTTCGCAACGTCTATCCTCTCGTCCGTCATGAGAAGCTTCACAATTTTCGGTAATCGTTTCAGAGCTGCCAAATGTAAAATGGTTCGTCCACGACAATCAACTTGGTTAAGTTGTGCCTTTGTGCATCTCTTCAAAAGAGATGCCACAATGTCACAAGCACTCTCACTTTCACCTGCACACATCAAAATACTTATGCATAAACAGATACGCATAACAAGGAAATCACCTCGTACTGTTGACTGTACATGTATTTTATCCTAAATATGAGTGTAACAAACCAACCTGTAGCAGAGCACGCATAATGAAGTGCGGTTCTCCCAATGGAATTTTTCACCGTCAGATCAGCTTTGTTTTCTGGTTGCAGGAGAAAGTCGACCATTTTGGGAGCTTTTTTCCCAATTGCCATGTGAAGGGGTGTGTGCTCATTGTTATTTACCGAGTTGATCTGTGTCCTTTTCGGATCATTCGAAAGTAGAATTTTTGCCACTTCTACTGCTTTCTCTGTGTTTCCTGTGTAGGTATGAATTTAACATTATAACGACCTCGATAAATAATAATGGTACACTTAGAGATGGGTGGGAAACTCATCAAATACATTAATGTGAAAAGATGCTCTTATACAAATGTATAGAATTTCTGTCTTCATGATCATGCCTACCTTCTGAAACTAGATGCAGTGCTGAATTTCCATTGGCATCCTTCAGCCCAGCATTTGCACCCCATCGTACAAGGGCCGCGACAAGTTCTGGTTGACGACCTCGGGCCGCATAATGCAAAGCGCTAGAGGAATCTCCATCCTGGAGATTTAATACTTCTTGGCGATCAATGCTGATGAGCGACAAGTTTTCTTCCGACTCAATCACGCCCAACAAAATTTTTGCAATTTCGACAGCTTGCTCGTCACCTGAATATGAAATACGTAGTAAATTATTTATGTCAATGAATTTACTCAAGGTATTTAAACTGGGGTAACCAATTACCAGCGAGGGTTAAAGTGTGTAAAGGTGTACGACCCTCATTGTCTCTTTCTGAGACCAATTTAGGCTCTTCGTTCACCAAATTCTCAATTTCCTCAATGTTATCGGGGTCATAGACCAAATCATGAAGTCGCAGATCTCCTTCTTCCAGATCCTCACTTTTATTATTATCACCTTCCTTCTCGTTTTGTATTATTGCAGAATTCATGCTTACTCTTTGTGTTTGAGATTCACTTTCACTTTGATTTATTTGTAAAATATTGCTTGGAAGTAGTTTTTCTCGTACGGAATCCTCATCACTTCCCATTATTTCTTATTTTCATCATTTTCAGGTGAAAATACAGTGAAATATCCAGTGAGATGAATTTGAAGGTATAGGATTTTCTTGGAGCTAGTGAATTGTCGTAGTTCTTTTCCAAAATGGCGTCGGAATGAGCTAATGCCATACGACACTGGGGAATGGATATGAATACCTTCGTCTTGGTTTGGTCTTTCCCTTTGGTATACAGAATATGTGCAGATTTGCCAAGTTGCGAATACGACGACTCTGATTCACCCCATGCTCTCCAAATGTATAACTATATTCAATGCGAGTTTTTGTAAATGAATGCAATTTATTTGCACTATCCAATGTTTCTGAAAACATGTAGAATTCAAGTCTCTTCGTACTAAATGCGGATAAACTTATTGGTACAATGTAACGCCTTGTTGTGAATATATTTAAACTTTTGACCGGGTGTAACAAGTAGCAATATATACTTCAATAACAACACAAGTTGTTCGTATCTAAATGCTTTGCACTTATTGGGAGTAATAATTAATCGCTAAGAAATTCCAGTTCACCACTGATGCTGTTGATTTCTGATCTCATAGTGAGGATGGATGAATTTCTCGTTGACATTTTTTATGTGGATTGCACTATCGCACAGAAACACACGCAGATCTTGCATGAATCGATTTTCCTCTCTGCGTCGGTGGTCGTTGGGTGAATAGTGAAGCAGCAAAAGATGCGGAATAATATGTATGTAATGCTCAACCAACTATTAATGAAACCAGTCGTCGTGGTGGAGTATTAATGGATGTAATCATCCTGACTTTACTTTGCCATCCACTGCTGCACCAAGTCCACTCTCCAATATCGTCTCACTCTTTTCCGGAAGGAAGTTGTTGCTGGGACTGCGTTTGACGGCAGAATGATACGGGACGACTCCTGGGACGAGAGGGGAAGAGTGTGCTGAGGCGTGTTCATCTTTCTTGCTCTTGCATTAACTCTGTGTCGTAAAAGATTCGCACATTTTACATGGCACAGCAAGTCAGTGGTAGAAAATTACACGTTTCTCCGAGGTCACAAAATTGTTAAGATGACATGATAATATAAACAACGAGATGAATTGAGTACTTGTCATTTATCAATTTCAACACTCACATTATGGTTCGTGAACCCGCTTCACGTCGGAACCAAGTCGTGGGTATCTCCACAAAGTTTTACGAGGAAATATGTATGTACGTACATATGTACACGTGTGTCTCGAAGAAATAAGCTGGGAGCGACCTATGCACTTGATTGACATTTGCACATAAAACAAGCCTGAAAAAACAACGTAGATTTAGACAAATGGGAAAATGAAGTAATCTTGTGCATTTTTTCCATGATTAGGGAAACCACAGACAGGCTGGGAATCTTTTGAAAATATGGGTGCAAAAAATCGAACCACTTGTACTAAAATGTCCATCATTCATATAACTTCACCAACCCTTCGTATCGTAAGTCGACGTTGAGTCTTCACCCTAAAACCACATTATTTATAATGATGCTCTTAGTACAGCCATATTTTCTCAATGAGATTTATTTTCTACTTTGCTAAAATTTTTACTTGCTTTTTGATTATGGAAATGGCATATGTACCTTGTAACGACTTTATTTGTATTCGCTTCGTGTTTAGGATTAGATAAATATGTTATAAATACGCGAAGGAGGCATCATGTGGATTTATCAAAGCCATTTTCATCATTTGCGCTTTATTGGCTTTTTCATTCACGTTGCATGATGTCAAAAGGAAACCAAATGGCAAATTAGCATTTCTTGAACGAACCGACCCATCCCTGAACATGAATTTGCATAAACCCAAGCATCCCCAGTCGGATAACTTGTACAATGAATTACCTGCCATTTCCTATTGATTAAAGATTAATTCTTAGTGCACGACATATTAAAAGCAGTAAATAGCATGAGACAGGCTGTCATAGTCAGCATCTTGCGGTGTGTTTATTGCAAGTATTTTTGTGCACGATTGGATTCTTTTGTCTTCAGCGTTAACAACTATGACAATAATATCATTATCTCGTGCTATGCTTTTTTTGCTACAGGCAGACTTTTACTACACGTCGTATTGTGTAGTTGTGATTATGATGTATAAACATAAATTTTAAGCCACTACACACACAGTGATGTTATGTGACATAAATTGCATTTCATTGCCACCGGCCTGCAGGTATTAGTTCAAAGAGTTACAGAAAAATAAAGCAACACAGTTTTCCAGTCGGTATACATTATGTCACTCAAATAGGATTGGGGAAGATTGAACCATGAAAATCTACAGTCCCAGTTTTACATAGCCTGAGCTATTCATTTCCTCAGATAAATGGGCAGAGCAGACCATGAGCCTTAATATACATGATCTATGCCATCAGCAGTACAATTAGATCTGACGTACACTTGGTGCAGAAAATTTGGTGCAAATCGCACATGAGTTCTTCCGGTCAACCAGATTATTCGAACTTGAGTCATAATTTATAATAATCCAATCAAGTCGATCGGACTCACAGACTGCAGACGGACATGACGATTCATAACCCTAAAGTCAGACAATATATGTCTTGATAAAGCCAAAGTGACGGGGAAAGATGAGATAACATGAGAACAAGCCTCATTATCCAAACGCACAACACACTCTTTCACTGTATTCATCACAGGTAAGCTCCTCAGTCAGTCAGTCAGTTGAAATGCACTTTCATTATGAGTCATTATGAGTAGATGCCTAAAGCAAATTTGCGTCTTTCAACTCCAACTATGTAACCCTTTCCAATAGAACGGGTCGTATTGCGCGTGAAATTATTACCGGGGGTACTGTGGATGAAGTTCTAACCCTGCAGACTTATTACACCGCTTTGTAGCATTAATTTCACGACGTCACCGGTCAAAAAAATTTTTTCCTCCAAACTGGTCCAAAATAAAAGTCTAGCATGGGAATAGTATAGAAAAATTATTTTTAGCGTTCTATGACCCCTGGGTCATGAATTAAGGGCCCCTGAAGGGTCAAATAGCGTTCCCTGATAACCCCATGCAAATGGGGTATCAAATTAATCCCCTGGACCAGGGGAACCAGAAAAATATTTTTATAAATTTTTATGACCCTTGAGTCGTGAACTAGGAGCCCTTGAAGGGTTAAATATCATTCCCTCACAACTAAAGGCAAGTGGGGTATCAAATTAATCCCCTGGACAAGGGGAACCCAAAAAATATTTTTCTGGATTTTTTTGACCCTCAGGTCAAGAGTTAAGGGCCCCCGAAGGGTCAAAATAGTAACCATGGTAACCCCATGCAAGTGGGGTATCAAATTAATCCCCTGGCAAAGGGCAAGCATAAAAATATTTTCCTGAATTTTTTTGACCTATAGGTCAAGAGTTAAGGGTCCCTGAAGGGTCAACATAGTAACCATGGTAACTAAGGTGAATGGGGTATCAAATTAATCCCCTGGACCAGGGGAATCAGAAAAATATTTTTTGGTTTTTGTGACGTATAGGTCAAGAGTTAAGGGCCCCTGAAGGGTCAAATAATAACTTATTGTATTTTACTAAACGGGACATTATTTTAAAGTTTTCAGTTTTGCAAGAATGTTAAGTAGAGAGGGGTAGGCATATTTTTGAAAATTTCGTACAAATTTAATGAATAATAATTCTTAACACTATGTACAAATCGGATTCACTATTTATAATATTTATTATGTATTGAATCCATTGAAGTTAAAATCTAGGTTGATTCTGGTGGGAAGGTTAATCTCCTCCTAGAAGTTGCACATTCTTCTTCAGGCAAGTCTTCTTCTTCCTCAGCCTGTGAGTATTCAATATCATTGTGTATTTGCATTCGGAATCTATCAACTACTTCGTCAACATCGTCAGGGTCCTCATCTTCGTCGTCAGACACATCATCTGCTGCTGTAATCTGTATATTATGTATAAGTTATGTATTTTTTTACTAATAGTTTACTGTCACCAAGAACTCACTCGAATGGGGTTGGCTGAAGCTACACGTGTTTGGAAGTCATCAAGGAAGTCATCAAAATGTCCATCATTTTTCCAATACTCGTCCTCCAATCTATTTACAATAATAATGTAGAAATTGCGAATTATTCCCATAATAGCGAATCTTGGTTTTACGAACCGGTGCACATGTTTGATGTGTTTCTGCCATTGTTCCTTTGTGTATGTTGTCATAATTCTCTCAGCCTCAGCTTGTGCAAACTCAGCGGTCCCCTGTGTGTTTGCAGCCCTAACTGCGTGCTTGATGTCTTTCCACACGTACTCAATTGGGTTCAAGTCGCTAAAAATAGTTATTACATGAATATTCTTATTACCGTTACCTATGATTACCAGTTCTTACCAGTTATATGGGGGTAATCTGGAAAATACGTAAATACAGTGTTTAAATAAATATTACAAATTATTAGTAAATTACCCATGAATAGAAAATAACTTTACCGGACAACAGTGTTTCCATATTTCAATGCCTCCTTATCCACAATGTAATATTCATTTCCGTTTTTAAGGTCTTGAACCATTTTCCATAATTCAGGTCGTCTCATTTGCTTTACAGGTTTTAGTTTCAGCTTTTCAGGGCCCTCTAAATTATCATTCAGCCAGTCGTATAGCTCTTGTTTTCGGGATGTAGATTTTGGGGCTTCCTTGGTGCTGTGATACGGAGCTGACAAATTTAAATAAATGAAATTCAAATTAAAATGGAATTTACAAATACAAATTATTGGATGATATTACCGTTATCAATAACAATTATGCATGGACCATAATTATCTTTTATCTTTTGATTAAGATCCTTCCACCAAGCCATGTAAGCGACACCGTTAACGTTTGCGTGGTAATCCATCTGGACTTTCTTCTTTGATACTGGATATACCTTCATAGCGCCAGGTACGAATCCATCCTCTCCACCTGTGAAGATAATTATTATTTTGAAATAATTTCCTATTTAATGTGGATAGTTGAACTGAACCTGCATGCATCACAATGATACGTGGTCCTCTAGAAATTTTCGGGTTTTGGAAGGAGTATAAAGCCGCTTCATGAAATGACTTTGGTGAATTAATAACCCAGCCTTTTCCAGTTCTAGCATAACTATCGACCCACGTTTCATCTGAATAAATATAATGCATTAATAATTATATTAAATTAAATTAAAACATTTTTGATATTTAATCAGCCAAACCTGTGTAGACAACACATTGTGGGTTCTCGGACTGACGATTTTTAATCATTACGGACAGATATTCATATCGCTTCTGCACGATGTCTGATCTCATGAGGATAACTGCTCGCTTATCAACAGTTTTGAATTTAAATCCTAATTGCTTAATGAGTTTTCTTAACGTCCACTTGGAACATTTGAACGCTGTAAGAGTTTCTCCTCGGGCTATCCGACCATCTTCTTCTTCCTTGACTTCCTCCATCAGTTTTGTGTATACGTTATGCATTGTTGGTGCTTGATTATTAGCATAGAATTGATGAATGATTCGTTTAACGTGCTCAGTTCGGAAGTCGTCAAACTGATCCATCACTGGCGTTGGTCTAATACGTTTCTTACCAGGTGTTTTTATACTATTCGTTTTGTAATTCTCCATTGTCTGATAAACTGTTCTCTCTCCAATTCCTAGAATCTGGCTAGTTTTGGTGACAGAGTTTCCTGTTAGTATTTCACACTGTACCTGGTTACTGTCAAAGAATACTTTGGCGTTGACAATTAACTTTTGAGCTGTCGCCTGTAGTGAAACACCAAGTAGTTGGAATGGGAGTTTAGTATTTGGTTGTTTACAGTCGTTTTTCGCTTTCGGTGTTGCTTTCTCAATTTCAAAGGCTAATTGTTGCATAGGAAAACTCGTAGGACTGCACCTCGAAAGACTAAGGTAAGGTTTGGTTCCATCATTCCGTCTAGGAACATCAGATAAAGGAATTCGCATTTCACCTTCCCCCAATACCTGTTCTTTAGCTCTGAGAAGGGAATAGAAATATCCACACTCAGAATCCGGACAAGGAGGACCAACAATTAGGACATCTTGAATGAACTCGTTTATAAGGTTCATCTTTTCGTCGTTTATGGGGGTTGGGAGATAGCCTACCGTGTCACTGCCGGGTGGAACATTTTGGATTAGTGAAAAAGATTGAACTGCTTGATGAAATTGCCCTTGATTGTGTCCGAAGTGAAGTAAAATTATGCAGTACGTCAATGACTCGGCAGGTAAGATTCCTTCGAGATGGTCACTAGTAATCTGGCTGTCAGAAAACAACATATCTGGTGCAACTTGTTTCGATCCGAGGACAAAGTAGAAATTTTTTATTTTGCGTTGCGTAGTTTGTTTCTCTTGTATGATTGAGAAGATCTTGTTCTGGAAAGATGCGTACATTACTTGGTGGATAGTCATCCCGCCCACAAGGATTATTTCAACGAATCCGTTAAGTGAATTAGTTTTTGGAGGACGAGCGCCTTTTGGGCAAATACGAACATGTTCAATAAACGAAATCTGGTTATCATCATTCTTGGTTGCAAATTCGTTCAAAATCATCCTACATCCCCCTTTGTAAGGGGCCGTTGGGTAAATGTCTGTTCCCACACATGTATCTTCACCTTCTGTACTCTTGGATGCATACTCTGTATTTGAAGTGTCCATTGGTGATTCACCGCCAGGAGCTGACCCTTCCCCTAACTCTTCACGTTGTCCACAGTGCCCACGTTCATCATCTCCATCACCATCCTCCTGTATTGATCAGAACAAAAACGTACATGAGCTTGTTACTACAATAACAATTTCACGATGTCCCCCACAACATCCGCGGTCGTTGCTATTTATAAATATGTTGCAATATTTCTCACAAGTGCGTCTGCATTGGTGTCCATTTCATCCACATTTGAGCATGGCATGACGAGGGAATTCATGTCAGACTGTTTTTGCTAAAAGTGATAAACTTGTATGAAATGCGTCTGTGCTCTCAGACAATAAATCGATGAATCTGAGCTAGCATTAATAGTCCAAAAATATAATCTTACATCGATATGCGGTGGATTTACATTAGTTTCTGGATCCACCGTGTAGCAGCTCCCTAGCCAAATATTTTGCAGAATACTTATCCACTTTGACTCCTGAGCTTGGCCTTCCCAGATGGCACGAGCAGTTGTTAGTGTTCCTGCTGAAGTTTTATCGTACACCGTTTCATGTGCAAAATGCAAAGTTAAACTGGGATAAAATCCTGCTGGGTAGAAATATAAGAAGGATGTATAGGACCCTCCAATTTGACTTTCGAAATATTTTTTGGCACTCATTGCGGCCGCAAAAAGTGGGAACAGATCTTTTCGATGTAATTGCACAGTAGTTAGAAGTGCCTCGTCTGCCTCTGATGGTAGAACCCCTAGCAAATAATCGACGTCATGTTTGCGGCATGCTGCATCTGTGAATAATATCAACACAAAAATTATAAAATTAATTTTCATAAATTTGACTTGGTTAGTGTATGAGCATAAATTGGGCAACAATTACCAACAGCATTTATTGGGCCACCGAGATCATCCTGCTTCTCAATATCGGTGGCAGGCCCGCAATATCTTAATTAATACCAATAATAAAATTATGTTAATAAAGAATCATTTCATAAAGATTCCAATCGCAACTTCAAAAATAAAAAAACTCATCCAAAATAACCAATTACCTATATCCAGGGAGATTGAAAGGTAATCCGCTTGGCGCCTTTTTAACTTTAGCTTTCTCCAAGGAAAGTATAATACCACGTGGGCGTCAGAGAGATCCAGGATGGAAAAATGCATCTTGACGAAGATGAAAGCAAGATGGCAATTTACCTTCGTTGGTAGGAATAAACGTGTGCTTTCTGGCAAAGAAGGCTGAATGCAGGAGACTTGTGTAGTTGAACCTGATGCATGATATTTGGTTGCACAGAATTAGAACTGTGCATGCAGAAGGAAGAGGAGTAGTGCCTTGAATAGCTTTAGTTACTGCTTGCTTGGTGGTACAGTTCTTCGTTTCAGCCGCTATATTACAATAAGTGTCACTAATTTTTTCCTGAGTTAAGTCGGATAGTTTATTGGATGGAAATGTGTGGTTGGCGTTTGAAATTGTGATGTTATTTAGTAGATAACGGCTGGCATCCACGAAACTTTTAAAATAAAAAGTTACATAGCTTTCACTTCCCCATACCCGTATCTTTTTATTTTCATACTCTACTTCTTCAATTTTGATAGTGTCACTGAAGAACATAACAGTTTCATTAATTTCCATACACATCGTTTGATTACATATCAGAAATCCACTGCAATTGGATGGTAATGTCTCCTTGAACCAGATAACCAATCCACCCAGGTTATCCGTCTCATCACACACAACTTTAACCTGTTTATCTATTTCTATTTTATCGACATTCGCGCAACTTTTACCACAAACACAATGAACTATATATAACACATACAGTGTTCCATAAATTAAGTTATGCAACGTCATCTTCAATTTTAAAAATTAATAATTGAGCGGATACCAGTAAGTACAAACTCCAAAACTTAAATTTCAAAATGTCGACTGGAGAAGCCAGCAAGGATAAGGGGTCTCCCATCACCTCATATATTTATAATGCATCAGTTTTTAGGGGATATTCATCACCCCAACCATTAACCCAATCCTTCCCCAAACAAGATGGTGCATAAAGATATGTATATGAGAAAGGGACCAGTTTATACAAACATAAGTATGCTGCCTGAGACAGGCTATGAAGCCTGGTTACCATGGTTACTATGTTGACCCTTCAGGGACCCTTAACTCTTGACCTATAGGTCAAAAAAATTCAGGAAAATATTTTTATGCTTGCCCTTTGCCAGGGGATTAATTTGATACCCCACTTGCATGGGGTTACCATGGTTACTATTTTGACCCTTCGGGGGCCCTTAACTCTTGACCTGAGGGTCAAAAAAATCCAGAAAAATATTTTTTGGGTTCCCCTTGTCCAGGGGATTAATTTGATACCCCACTTGCCTTTAGTTGTGAGGGAATGATATTTAACCCTTCAAGGGCTCCTAGTTCACGACTCAAGGGTCATAAAAATTTATAAAAATATTTTTCTGGTTCCCCTGGTCCAGGGGATTAATTTGATACCCCATTTGCATGGGGTTATCAGGGAACGCTATTTGACCCTTCAGGGGCCCTTAATTCATGACCCAGGGGTCATAGAACGCTAAAAATAATTTTTCTATACTATTCCCATGCTAGACTTTTATTTTGGACCAGTTTGGAGGAAAAAATTTTTTTGACCGGTGACGTCGTGAAATTAATGCTACAAAGCGGTGTAATAAGTCTGCAGGGTTAGAACTTCATCCACAGTATGCTTCATGCATTTACAAATGCGTACATGTGATTTTACTACGACACAGGTGAAGATTGATAAGATAAGAGAAGGGGTGATTGGAACAGTGTGGTGCAGTAGTAGTAACGGGAAAGAAGCCGATATTTATAGCGAGTAACTACGGGGTGCAAGTACACTTTGGCTTTATGAAACTCTTTGCAAATACTCAACATCTCTGAGTCATTCCTGTCACGAAGCCCGTGGGAAAATGTGCATCTTGCCTCCATTTCTTATTGTCCTTTCTTTCTTGCTGTAACAACATTGCCGTAATTGTGTTTTCCTATTGGAAGGGGAAATGTGTGTGCTTCCCATCTCCAGTTGTCTGTTTAATGAACACTTCGATTTTATTATTGGCCATTGTCAAAGTTATGCTATCATTCTTGTATAAATATGCAAGTGGAGTTCTTAGACTGCCTGCAACACATTCAAAATTTCAAACCAGCAAACATAAAGTACGTACTATTTGACGGATGCACAAAAAGCGTTATTGTAGAGTGTTACATACATAAGACTGAATCGCGGAGACGAAAATGTTGATCTTGGCTCGGCAAGTTTTACATATTTCACTGCGTTTGATGTAAAATTGTTTTTAGATGACGGAACAAATGTCTGCACGGTATTCCAACAAAGAAGATTCCTGCAGTTTCTCAGAAGATTTTACTAAAATTTCCATAGCTCAAAAAGTTGCAACAGGATTCACACGTATGCAAACAAAAGACGCTTCGTATAAAGAGACGCTCTCTAATGAACTCGTTAGACAAACAACGAGCTTGATTAAATTCTGCATCAAATTAATTGACTCATTAACGGTTTATGTTCACGTTGATTTCCAGCCCACCCATGCAAAAAGGAATAATGATTGTTAATTAGTACTGCATCTCTAATAATTTTTCTGACATGTGAATAAGTATTTTCAAATGGTGCATGTAAACCAGCGATCGGGAGTTATTATTTTTTCACTGGCCAGCTCCATGAGTTACGTTTTCCTGATATATCGTACGTATACATTCGATGTATCTAACCCTTTATTTGTAATCATTGGTTTTGTTGGGCAAGCTTATCTCACGTATTGCACCCAACAGAAAGATAAGGGCCGTACACCGCCATGAACTTGACTCATCACTATGATGTATACATAAATAAATAAAAGTCGAAGGTTGGCAAATCGCTCACAGCTCGAATTAAGAAATTTGTTGATAATTATTATTTTGTACGCAGCTCCGTTAATTTATACATAATTCGTGCAGAGAGAGATTCAAGTTCCGTTCTTAGTTTTTGTGACTGTCAATCATTAAGCCATCTTGTCATAATGTTCCATGTTTTCACAATGAAATTAAACCCATTCATCCAAGTCGGAATATTTTGTAATACGTTGAGACTTCGGCGACTGAGGAGAGTCACCGTCACGATTCACGACGATGGCACAGCTTGCACATGAAATATGCAGATGAATAAATTCACGGATATCTGTGGAAGGTGCGTAACAATGCGTGACATAGTGCGTAAGTACTTTGCTGGTGATGTTGATAACAATATAATGGACGAACACGGATATACATAACTTGTAGCAAATCTGAAAATGTGAGATGCAAGAGGCGTCATGAATGTTGATAAAAGAAATTTAATATCAAAATTAAAGCGCCTCAAAATTATATCTCGACAGAGTAACAACATGACAAAAGTTTTTTGTAGTTCGTGCACTACAGACCATTCTAAATAATAATATGCGAAAGACGTTTTATTGCATACACGGCGAAGGTTTAAAGAGATAATTTCCCATTTATTATGAACCGTGATGATATTTAATGTACTTGCAAACAAGAGACATAAAACGTGGACAAGAGCAAGAGTGGTGTGAAGCATCGCAAATAAGTACATGCAGCGAACAAGACGAAGAAAAAATTGTATGATGACTTGTTGAATGAACTGCAATTTAGTGTCTTCGGGGTCAAGAAGAGATGTACAGGATACTCGTGAGTATTGTTACTCGTCTCGTACATAAATCACGGAAATGACCGTGTGCACCGTGGAATTGTAAAATGCAAAATTGCAAATTATTTATAAATTGTATTAGTTGAGTATAATTTGAGTTTGTTGAGGAGCTGGTGTGCCAATTGTTATTACAAACATGCATTATTGATGGTTGGTTATTACAGGTTACCATACAATGCATATGCACCTTGTTTGAACTTGAAAGCAATGATTTAGTCCAAGTATTTAAAAGCCAGGAACAAGCACGTTATTTAAAACGGTCACTGTTTCATAATTGAGATCTGTGAACCTATGTTGAAGCAATGAAACAAGAGGTCAGTCAGCAATTTCTGACAATGATATATAATTACATACAATTACAAATGCCAGGATTGATTTTCACAATTTCTGATAGTCCCAAAGTAAATCTTCTAGTTTCGATGTGTATCTCATGCAATAAATTGGGTATGTCGCCCGAAATTGACATGTCATTATATCAATTTTAAGCAAATAATATTTGGATTGGTTAGAAAAGTTTTATTGATTATTATCATGATCAGCCATCAATGTGTATGTCTTTATTGCATAAATGGCCAGTAGCCTTTGCAAATAATCAGCCATCAATAATATGTAAATGCAAAGCAAAATGGATTACTTAATTATCAGTTCAATCGTGGATTATGATGTTGTCTATCCTGCATTGTGACATTGAAGTCAATTTGCAAATCTACATTAATCTACCTTGTCCAGTTATATGATCCAATGTGATAAAATTTTTTTTACATACGTACATAATTTGAGTTGGTCATGCGTATTTATTTCCTGGTTTATCCATTAGCAAACAATTAATGCAATTGTTTGTTTCTTTGTATGCTATACTTTTATACGAAAACGATTGATTGTGACAAACAATAGTCCGGATCAAACAAGTTGTAAATATGTACACAAACGTACGTAATGATGCACGCGTTGTACCAGGAACAGATTGCACGTGATTCCTGCAAACAATATTTCCCCAGAGTTGACGGATTTCAGGAAGTATAAGGATTGGTCAAATTTTTAGTTATTGGTCCAAATATGCATATGTGTGATGCATATTGCAACACAATTACAATTTAGAAGAATATTACATATAAACATGCATGAACCACAAATACCGTATTGCAAATAGAGTATTACTGTGTGTTTGTAATGAATGCCAATAATGCAATATGTACGAAATGCGCATAAAGATATCTATGGCTGAAAACCTGATACATCATCAACAATCGCAACCTGGAACGTGGATAACGTAATTTTTCTCACGAATTGCCATTCCATTTACATGCAATTGCGTCAAATAGTAATACATATGTGAATGATGCGTGTTGTGTCACTCGCCACCCTCAGCTCAGGTATCTCTCCGTCCATAGGAGAAGATGAGACAATAATAGCACAATCGTAATCAGCTAATAATAAATAATACGTTGAAATGATAAGGTGGACTTGACGTTTGATGGGTTTCAATAGAAGCAGTCACACTCAGGATCAGCAGTATGAGAACAGACCGAGTCAAGTGAACTGCAACTGTGTCGTCGTTAAGCTGCTTTCGAATAGCTGTTGAGCACACCTGGAAAAGGAATTAAATAGATATCGATACGCCAACCCACCTTATTCTACGTGGAACAATGTCACAAAGAAAAATAAGCCTAAACCTTGCAGAAGCCAAGGCACAGGGTAAAACTCCACAACCCACGTCAGGTAAAATACAAGTCAATTAGAAAGTTTAATTATTTTGAACGAATTTAATGTAATAAAATCTGCACAGGAAATTTCCAGTGGCAAGAGGGGCTTACGCCAAAGCCGAATATGAGAAAGATTTCCAACTCCGATATGGCATTTCTCCAGTCAGTGACCACATCGTTTGCAGATCGGAGGAAAAAGTCAACGACAGATTTGAACGATGACTTTTAACAAAGTGAACCCTGCTTGCTTCAGTACCTACTTAGTTAATAAATGTTTGAAATAGAAATTTCAAATAATTAAATAATCGTATATGAACGTTTGTAGTGGGAATAATTACATTAATTACATAACTATTTCACTCATTGCTTGTAAGACTGGCGACTATATGATTAATGATGCTAAAGTATGGATCGAATTAAATTTTGTAACTTATCGGTATCGTTATCATTAATTCACAAATGAAATAAATAATAACGTAACGAGAACGGGAATTTCATTGCTAGTTTGAGATACTATGAATCTGAATTTCTACATATATCTCTCTCTATATATATGTACAATTGAGCACCCCACTTGACTTGAATTGACATACTTGAACTTTTTTTATTGAACTTTTTTCTGCTCATGATAACAGATCAAGATTCTAAATGACATGGGACCTATCCTGAGCATCAATGATAGGGCCGTCGAATTACTTAAATTATTTAACAGAACGTAGAACCAAATCAGACTTGAATCAACCACTTGAGAGAGAATTTGAACATGTCAACAACGAGCAACAAACAAAACCATTGACATTATTATTATTTTTGTAAGACGAATCAATGAAAGTCATTTACATGTTTTCATTGCAGCAATTCAATCACTAACTTACTTTCACCACATAAACTCTAAAGAGGAGAAAATTTACTCGTCTCAGCAAATCTGAAGTTGCCCCATCCGAGTCGTCTCATGCTAACTCTGCACAACGTTACTTACTTTCCCTCAACATTTGGCCGAAATATTATAAAATGTCGCAAATGTGTCTGACTCGCGACGAGTGAAGTTATGAAGGTTTGATATAGACGGAAAAATACAAGTCTTGTTATGTTTAATGTAAGTGAAAGTCTCAATAAATTTGTCTCAATTTGGCATCCAATAATAGTGCATGATATTTTGGGACGAGGTTGATGGCGCAGTCTGGAGGCAGGCGAGTTCATTACGTTTTTCTTCTGGAAGAATCTCAAATCACCGGCAATGCAATGCCTCTCACTCTCACGTTGTCTGACTAACTCACTTTTCACTTTCTCTGCATCGCTTTGTGAATTGTGAATTGTTCCATTTTTGAATAGTTTCAAAGTTTCTGAAAATTAGCAACATGTCGATAATTGCGCCTCTTTCCCTCATGGGAACGCGTACCAAGGGACAGTCGGTTCGAACACAAAATGGTAAATTCAGTATTTCTCAGTTTTTGAACAGAATTTTATTAGTTTAGTTACAACAAGAATTGTTTGGCATTCTTAACTTTATGAAATCTAAATAAAATTACTTGTTAATTTGCAGTGATGGCTGCCTCATCAATTGCCAACATCGTGAAGAGTTCTTTGGGACCCGTGGGTTAGTTTGATAAATACTTAAATACTAATGATTAATTAATTAATGTATGATGTATGATTCAGAGTTTGTAAAGTCATGTCGTACATATACTTAACTCAATTAATCAGGTCGATCTTACAACGTACGGTAAAAATCCTGCATGTATTACCTATGCTCTTTTCCAGGGTTGGACAAGATGATGGTGGACGACATTGGTGAAGTGACTATTACGAATGACGGGGCGACAATTTTGAAACTGTTGGAAGTTGAACATCCAGCAGCCAAAGTGCTCGTTGAGTTGGCCCAATTGCAGGACGAAGAAGTTGGTGATGGAACCACCTCCGTCGTCATCATCGCGGCAGAGCTACTCAAGAATGCAGATGAATTAGTGAAACAAAAGATTCATCCGACAACCATCATTTCTGGTTATCGATTGGCTTGCAAGTAAGACATTCTTTTATTTTGCATACGATTGAATTAATGGGTTACTAATTTAATTGTTGCACTGATCGTTAATATAGGGAAGCGTGTCGATACATTGCTGAAAATATGGCGATTCCTGTGTCAGAATTGGGGAAAGACTGTCTTAACAATGCAGCAAAGACCTCCATGTCCAGCAAGTTGATTGGAGCGTAAGTTCTTTCTTATGAGCATTAAAACAGTGTACAGCTTTATAACCTATGGAGAGGAAATGTTTAACTAAATAAATCTGAATGACTTTATAATTCTAGTGATGCCGAGTTCTTTGGGAAATTGGCAGTTGATGCATGTGAAGCAGTCAAATTTAACGATTCCAAAGGGAACGCAGTCTACCCGGTCAAGTCCATCAATGTTCTTAAAGCTCATGGAAAGAGTGCCAGAGAAAGCACCCTTGTAAACGGATATGCCTTGAATTGCACTACTGCCTCGCAATTGATGCCAAAGAAGATTGAAAAAGCAAAGATTGCATGTCTGGACTTTTCATTGCAAAAGGCAAAAATGAAAATGGGTGTTCAAGTATTAGTTACGGACCCTGAAAAATTGGACGCCATCCGTCAACGAGAATCTGATATGACCAAGGAGAAGATTCAAAAGATTTTGGCGTCTGGGGCCAATGTGATTCTAACTACAGGTGGAATTGATGACCTGTGCCTTAAGGTAAGATGGAAGTGCATGGTTAGCTTGGGATCCAAACTTTGGATTGAATTATAATTATAAATGATTATAAAATCGTTGTTGTACATTTGCTTGTGCTCAGTATTTCATCGAAGCTGGAGCAATGGCGGTGCGAAGGTGCAAGAAAGTAGACTTGAAAAGAATTGCCAAAGCCACAGGTGAGAAATAATTGCTTATTCTATACAAAAATCATATTAGCAAATAGAATGGAAAATGAAGACTACATAGACGATCGGTTAACGTCAAGCCTTAGGTCTCACGAACAAATCCACAAAATAAATGATTTTTCATGATCTAGCTGACTTTTTATCAAATTTTCCAGTTAAATAAGACAAGCATGCATATTCACCGTCAAATTTTGCACCCAGAAAGGGTTAATAAACTCACACTTTTTGTTTCACAGGAGCAACTCTTTTGGCCAACTTGGCCAACATGGAAGGCGAAGAAACTTTCGAAACGAGTTACTTAGGAGAAGCAAAGGAAGTTGTCCAGGAGAGAATTTGTGACGACGAACTAATTCTCATTAAAGAGTAAGCAAGCCATGGATAAATGTGCAATAAATTATGTACAGTAGTAATAATCATGTTATTGTGCAGGCCGAAGGCTCGTACCGCTGCTTCCATGATTTTACGTGGACCCAACGATTTCTACGTTGATGAAATGGAAAGATCAATTCATGATGCACTCTGCGTAATTAAACGTGTTTGTGAAAGCAAGAAAGTCGTCCCAGGAGGTGGAGCGGTTGAAGCAGCCTTGTCCATTTATCTTGAAAATTTTGCAACATCTTTAAGCTCCAGAGAGCAGTTGGCCATTGCGGAGTTTGCTCGATCTCTTCTTGTGATTCCCAAAACGTTGGCAATGAATGCAGCGCAAGATGCCCAAGATCTTGTGTCCAAATTGAGGGCGTACCACAATGCATCTCAAACTAAGGCAGACCAGACTCACCTTAAGTGGTAATACTTTACATCCCTATCATTATATGTTAGTTAATTAGAGAAAACATAATGCTTATTTGAGACTGATTAATTTACTCGTATATAGGTTGGGATTAGACTTGTTCCAAGGATCTGTCGTTGACAATAAACAGGCTGGAGTTTTAGAACCAGCAATATCCAAGATCAAAAGTTTAAAGTTTGCCACGGAAGCTGCGATTACCATTCTACGAATTGATGATCTTATTAAACTTAACCCAGAGAATGAAAAGGCGTACAAAAATCAACAAGACATGTGCGGAGACTACGATGATTAATTAATTAATTAGTTATTTAACTTGCTAACTAACTAGTATTTGGATTTTTCTAATTGCACCTTTCATCCCCTACTTTTGGTTACCTACTATCCGTTTTCAAATGCTTATCGAACCAATTTTTGTACTACTTTTTAACGAAGCATTCTAACTACACTTTATTAATAGGGAAATTCTATTAAGAATCCTCCTCTTTTTTCAAACCAACCAACTAATTAACCGGTGCCGTAAAGAAAACAATATTAGTTAATAAGAAATAGTCCATATGCCAATTTTATGCAATTTGCTTAATTTTGCACTGATTTGATTCTTATTGTTATATGTATTGTTTACTTAATTGAACCAAGAATAAATACACAATTCCCTTTACCTCATCCTTGGTCATGGAGAGACGTTAAGTATTTATAGTCCTTGACTTATACATTCATGCATTTTGACATTCTTCATAACTTTTCTGGCCACACATAATTCTCATGTTTTCATTTTCAGAGCATGGGGTTGAGGGAGGCTAAATTCGGTGTGGCGAGACAAACAAACCCGTTAGCGAGGGCGATGTGAAATTGACCCATAATATCCCTGTCAAGCCTTCAACTGCACACACTGCTCGCTTCTCACGACCAATGTCTCAGAAAATACTTGCACATATTTGCAATTATAATTGGTCAGCAACCATTCCGTGTACTGAACTAGCCAGTGACTTGTGTGTCCCACTCTGACTTTAGCCACTCCCATGGCCTCGGATATTTCAAGAATTGTGGTGATTATGTACGCTATAGTTTAATTTGAAACTATGTAAGGACAAAGGAATAGTTTAGATTAGAAGTGATCCTTCACAGTTCTCCGAAATAAATGAATCAAGGTACTGCTGGAGATGGAATGGGAAGAGGATTACGCACAACAATTGACTTTGAACAATAACTGTAATTTTGGGAGAACGGATAAAGCAAGGAGGAGGAGGGAGAAGAGAAGTCTTCGCAATGGGGGTTATCATGGGGTCGCCCTCAGCAGCAGGATTTGGGGTTGAGGATGACGGGAAGGGGGATGAGAAGTGGGATGCACGGATCGGCCTCGCCCCCTTGATGGCCACCCTTCTCCTCCCAATTCTCATTGGGGCCATCATCGTGATCAAATGCGTATTTGGTCATTGCTGTGTTCGCAAAACAAGCACAAAGTATGTTAACCATTAATATTGTGGTATTTGGGCGATTCTATAACTCATCTCATCCGTTGTCTGTTTTTGTAACACCTTTATTATGTGTAAATTACACAGTGTAAACGTAGAAAAATTAGAATGTGTTTAATATTGCTTTGTTTGTAAATGTGTAATTGTTTCATTGTTTATGTTGATTTTCGTCCTCGCTGCTTGTACTTTGTACTGGAGATTGGATTCTCGATAACATATTTTAATTTCATATTGTTTTTTTTTGTTTGTTTTGTTTTTTGTACGCTCGGCTTACTTTTTGACCAACGACTATAGAGAAGAGATGTATGGAGTGGAAGGACGAATGACCATGTTGACCAATTCGGATGCTGCATATTTGACATCACATTCTGCTGCATCGGCTGCTGCTGTCAGACCCGATGTTCCAAATACTAGCAATAGTAGTGATACTCCTGCCGCGACGGTAGCCACATCCAAACAGACTCAACTGCTTTCAATGGAACAATTAAAACCAACAACGACTTCTAATGCCAAACCACACAGTCTTAATAACAACCTTGATGTTAGTATTACAATTGCAAACGAGATTAACCCGCTAGCCAGCTCTGTATTTGCTCCTAGTATTACACAACCAAATCAAAGTGGTGAATGTGATCAATCGGATACATTAAGAAGGTTTTATTTATTTATTATTTTATATTGCATTAAAAACATGTTTATTTTTGTTCTAACTCAAGTAGCAAAAATTTCTGAATTAATGAGACTTTAGCATAGTACCTTTGAATATAATAAATTTTGATGTATGTCTTTACAGAGCTACGGGTAAACGCCAGTTACCAGATCTTCCAGAACTTCCGCAACATTCTCTCGGACACCCTCCACGAAGAAGCAGTTCAGTATTGAGCCACGATGGGACATCTGAATTGTATGCAACCGTGGGTGAAGTGCCAAATCCTTATGCTCATCTCAAAACTCGCCACAGTGTTCCAAACGACATTTGCCAACCTTCTACTTCTCGTGGTCGTGGAGGCAAGCAGGAATTTAGTGGTGGTAGTATGCATAAAAATAGTCTAGAGCCTAATTCTGATTCGGAAACATACGCATTAAACAATCATCCATATGCAAAACTCAAACGAAACTCATCGGAACATCCCTATGCCCGTGTTCGCAACGCTAGTATTAATGACGAAGAAACTGATACTGATAACTACGATATGCCTCAACCATATGCTCAAAGTCGAAATCGGCCTGGTGGAGTGACAAACGCTCCACAAATTTCTGCTACCGCTCCCACTGCAACTGGTAGTGGTGCAAGTGCTCCTACAACCCAGGGTCCCGTTCCTCCTCGTCGCATTGGGAGACAGTGGAGGCGTGGAAGCCAGCCACAAGAAGCACAAACCAGCGTTGTAAGATCAAATTAATCATCACATTGAAAAATTTGAATCAACTGCTCAATACCATGATAAGACTAATCTTAGGACTAACCAGTAATACTGTTGTTTAGGACTCTGCATCTCATTTTTCTGGAGACTCTCAAGACTCGCGAGGATATACATCCATCAGTGTGAGGGAACCTTTATCAAATATTCGGACTCAAGTTGCCGGAGGCAGGAGCGGCGATTCTCATTATGCTACAGTGTCGGACGATTCTGGTATAATATTTTTTAATGCCTAAGGTAGTCAATTTATTATTCACGACTAATCACGATAATATGAATTAATGCAGAAGAAATGTATGCAGCGATTGATGACGCCTCAGTTGATGGGAATTATCAACTCCCAGAAGGGGAGAGACCTAATCGACCTTCATGGCTAGGTAAGATATACATACATATCTAAGCCCAAAATACCTAATGTTACTAATCAATGGTTGCTGTTGTATCTGAAGAACAACTATTGCCATTAAGATGGAATGGCTTACTGCATCCCCCCTTCCTAACTTCCCATGGGTGTTTCCAAGTTATAACTAATACGAATAATTTGCAGATGCTGCTAATGTTGCCTCACCAATTCCCGAACGACGAGAGGCTAATTCTCCTCTGCCTCCAGTACCGGCCCTTCCTCCACCTGGGTCAGAAGGTTATATGGCTGCCGTCGCTGCAGCCGCCGCTATTTCCCCTGGTTCTCCTTCATTGGCTGCTCCACCTCCACAAAGTCCTCCAGTTTATGCACAAGTCACCAAGAAAACAAAGAAAAATAAAGCACCCGTTACTCCGACAGTCTCGAATGCATCAACCTCTAGTCAGCAAAATGTTGGTGGTATTGGCACAAGGGAGTCAGAGTCAGGTTTATCAGAATGCAATGCTGCTACTAATATTCCAGGACCTTCCTCTTCGGTTGTAGCTGGAACATCTTCGTCTTCCTCTTCTATTCAATCTTCCTCTGTTCATCACTCACACCATCCCAATCATCATCAACAACACCATCGAAGTAAAAGCAGAACATTAATGGACAATACCAACTTATTAGAAAGCAACATTTCTGAGCATAGAAGATGGTCAAAGGCAGACATCAGTTTCTCGGAATTTGAAGTTGTTCGAGAGACATTTGTTCCCCCTCCTCCGCCACCACCATTCGAGTTGAAAAAATCTCCCGTCACGTTTACACTCTCATCTGGTGAATTGCAGCAACATATAACAGTTTCGCGTGATTCAATTTCGCAGGAATTGGACGAAGATAATTACAACATTATCCCCGACAAACGTGAAAAGCACCAAAGACTGGTAGGAACTACTCTCAGCAATAGTAGCAGCATTGGGAGGGGTGAAAGAATTGCAAGTGGACGAAGTCGTGTAGACTCTGATAATTATCAAGAAATTGAACCCATTTCGAATACCTATCAGGAAATTGGAAAGCAATCATCATCATTGGATCACTATCAAGAAATAGGGGCCAGTACATCATCTCCATTACGCAATGGGTTAGGGGAAGAGGACGATGATGATGACGACTTAGATGACAGTGGAAGTGGATTGTACCAAGTAATCAGGAAAAAGAATAAACAAGGAGGTGTTGACGAATATGAGGATGAAGAGGAGGACCAGTTTTATGAAAAAGTGAGACCGGCTGTAGCAACTACATCATCAGCTACAACAAGTCACCAGGAATCAACCCTTTCAGTTCCATTACCACTTTCTTCAGGTCGAAAACATGGGTATGCAAAGATAAAGAAGAAAGGACATGCCCTTGAAATGGTGAAAGTTGGCACTTTCCAGGATGATGATGAAGAAGAAGGTGACGACGAAGAAGAGGGCCAAGCAGAGGATGAAGAAGAAGACTTGATGTACGAACGAGTTAAGTACCCACCGTATGAAAGGTTGAAAGAATCCAGAAGTGATTTGGCTGTTGATCTTGACGAAGACGAAGACAACGAAGGGAGCAACTTTTATGAGGATATTGGATATTCCCGAGTTAGACCAAAGAAAACTAATGATACAGTGACCAAAAAGAACAGAGACCAACCAGTATCAGATGCATCAAGACCGTCAGTTGAAGTAGTTGACGGTGGTGTAGATTTAAATCAATTGTATGCAGTAATCGATAGAACCAAGAAAAAAGGTAAAAGCTCGCCTGGTTCCACCAACACATTATCACATTCGAATAATAATAATCCCCAGAATTACAACAACAATAACCCAACTTCACTCCTGCCAGACGAAAATCTCAGCTCTTCAACATCTTCATCCTCGCCTTACCATCATTCTTCACCGCATGACAGATTTTCCTCTCCGACTAGTGCTAATTCAACGCACAGGACTTGCATCAAGAAAGGAGAATTGTCCCTCCACGCTGGACCCGATCTGGACTTTATCGATGATAACAATGATATAGAATATATTTAATTTAATTGATGTTCGACTTTTCTAAATGTTGTGCTACTACTTAAAAGTAATATAATATTTGTCTTCGTTTAAGTTCCTACACACTTTTGTGCTGCCTAAATTCTATTTCCACTTAAGAATTCCAAAATGGTGCAAACGTGCATTCTAAAGATGATTCTTATTAGTCATTAGCATACCCCGGACAAATATTTTTTTATCCTACCCTACTCGTGTTGAGCTCAACATGAGTAGGGTAGGATAAAAAAATATTTGTCCAGCTAATGACTCATTAGCTAGCTATACATAGTTTTATATTCACAACTTGGAATTGTTGGAGTACAAAATTACGTTGTTTTTTTTCTCAAAATGACACACAGCTACGACATACGCAAGTAAGACTACTGTCAATACTGTCTCAGGTATTTTGGTTATTGACGACTGACTAATAACTTCCGGTGATTATGTTGGAAGTGTGATTAGTTTTTGAATTCAGATTTAGTAGGGCGAAAAATAATTTCAAATGCTGACGTAGCTTTGAATAAAGAAATAATGGTGCAACTTTATCATTTGTATTATTATTTGTAGTCGAGTATTAAATATTTTATTTATACATATTTATGGTTTGTTAAAAAAATACGAAGCATTGAACCAAAGTTTTCCGTATATTAATTAACACGTGTTACGATTAGTACAATACCGTATGAAAAACAATATTATTTAACACTTTAACAGACAAAGTGAACATGAAGAATACTTTTAAAATGATTTGTAATATTAACGAGTGCATGGTGTACACACACACATACAATGATAACAGTATATTACTCTGCAAAATGAGCAAACATTGATGACTATATTGATCATTACCGATAATAACTAATAAATATTGACTGTTCAACCCTAAATCTGAATTAAGAGTACAAGTGATGATGATTTGTATAATAAGATTACAATTATTTGTACTACACATTGATAACAATGATTTCTTGGTAAACAGATTTATTATGAATTTATGATTTTTCGGTTTAACAAACTGATTCAATACGTTTTTTTTTTAATTCAATAAACAATAATTACTTGAAGACTCTATACATGCATGTATAATCTCATTCATTCTGTCTGTCCGCAGTAGGCCTCTCTCGCATGTATAAAATACATATGTATGTAGTCAGTGCATGTGCAATTGCAGTATGCAATTAATTACTACATATAATAGTTATGCACTATTCAAAAACTTATTATAGTTTAATTTTCTGCATTTATTAGCGTGGTTGAATTTGTTTGAAATCTTCACAGAACTTGTGTAAAACAAAATCTAGGGCAGAATCATGCTGCATGATTGAAGATTTTATTATTCGAAGCTGTCTGATGAAGAATAGATGCTCTTCCGACGTGGTTTCCAAATATCGCCCTTTACAAAGTAACTTGTCTGCTAAATAGTGAATCCAATAAATGTTTGTCTTGGGACAGAACGGCGCCCACTCGTTTCTACAGTGCAAAATAGATTAATTTAGATAGTTAACTGTATGCAAGGGCATAATTTACTCCATGTACTTACCGATTACAGTCCCGCATCATTCTGTAAATGTTAAATTGATGATCGCCAGCCCCTGAAATGCAATGCATGACAGACTTTACTTAAAGAAATGATAAACCCTGCGGCGCGTCTTATTGTCCACAAAATATTATACCCAAAAACTGCTCTTCGTCATCCTTTAGATCGTAAAATACTGGACCAGACTTAGCGTCGGTGATTCGGGCAAGCGTAAAATCGATGATGCATCCCTTGATACCTCCTGAGGTACAGAACGTATGAATGAAGAAAAACTGAATGTTCCTGCCAAACCAGTAAAAAATGCAAAATGAATAAGTGTTTATCTAGTCACCTGAGGGAACCTGCACGACTTTCCCGTCCAAAGTGTAGGAAACATGATCTGCGTTTGTCTCTCGAACCAGGATATTGCCCCCTGAATTAATGCATGTATATTAATTATCTAATACATAGTCTAAATATGTGCACAAAATTACAAGGCAGTATGTACATAATGACTTACAATGCAAGTCTCTATGCTCAAACTCCATTGCAGATTCTCCGACAGCAAGTATGTGCGTCACCTAATTTAATGTAGTGAAATTCAATAAGACCAGTAACTTTGGCCATAAAATTACTCTAACAAAGCATCAAATTAAATGTATGATACCTGCAGAACCAAGTAAAAAGCCTGTCTCGAATTCTTGAATTCAAAGGATTCTGCATCTTTGCCCCCATAGTCGCACTCAAAAATCATATAAAGTTGTTCTGAAGGAAATTCAGGGCATTCGTTATCCGACTCTGGACGTAGAAGAACAGAATTATTGCAATTGAGATTTTACTCTTGGTTGTTTGTTACTTTATGAAAGACATCAAAAAAATATAAATATGCACTACTTACTATGTTGCTGGTCCCATATTTTCCATGCATTTACCAGGCGATCCGGATATTTGCCTTTTGCTAATCGGCTGTTATGCATCTTTATGTAGCCATCAGTCAAGTATCCAGGATATCCATTCTCAAAATGCAGTTTACTGAGCTGTCTGAAACGCAAACAAATGATAATAAAAAGAGTGACCTCGTTTCTTTAAAATAAAGGTTAGGTCCAGTAGGTAAGCAAGAAGATTAAAAGTTTGTTTGTACCTGGAAATTGCTATTTCTGGGAAAATTTCGGAAAATGTTTTTTGATTTTCCCCATTAACTTTCTCCGTCCCTTCAATTGGGACAATCTTGTAGACTCGGTTCACACAGTTAAACTCGCCAATGAAAACTTCCCCGTATACGCCTTCCCCCACTTTATTCAAGTTGTTCAGGCCTTGTATGATGATATTCATTGGAATTGGAAGTTTCTGTATACACATTTCCAGAACTCTGTTTTCAAATGCACTTTTGTCAACGTCTTCAGCGATGCTCATCCTCCTTCCTGACTGAAGAAATGTCTTAATTGCTGGATTATTCTTGTCCATGGGGGACATGAAAGTAATGGCACAATCGACAGGGAAATTCTGGGAGCCCTGAGATCTGGATCTGTCCATAACGACACTACTAGAGTTTTCTGACATGCTTCTCAATTCAGGAGAAAATTGACGACTTGTATCCATTAGCACTGGTGCCGATAGTCGTGATCTTCCTGCTCCTTCTACTGCCAACTTTTTGCCAAACATTAGATTGATGTTCTTCAGAGGACTTCTTTTATTAATATAAAACTGTAAATAGAAAAATTGGAATAAAATTAATTATATACAGGAAAATTCGTCACTAATTGTTTCTTACAGGACACAAAGGTGGAGATGGTGACACGGCAGCAGCGGTTGCAACTACGGTGACTGGTTTAGAATTTGACGTTAAATTTCCATCCTCAGCAAGACTTTTGGTGTCTTGTTCCCTTTTACGGCTGTGCTTTTGTTCACTGATATGCTCTCCGAGGTCGAGATGGGTATGTAATGACGCTGACAAAAAGGCGGACAAAGGCCGTGGAGAATCGACGCTTAGTTTCTCAGGAAAGTACTTTAGCACCACGTTACTCATATCAAGCCTATTTTTTGGTGCATCACTACCTTGATTTAGAGATAGCTTATCGCTACTGGACGGACCCGCATTTTCATTATTCTGGGAGATTTCATCCTTCCGTCTCCTACCTCCAATGTACCCAACAAATCGTGGAACGAGTCGCGTGGGCATCAAAATATTGCCATTTTTGTCTTTGTATGTGCATTTGGTCTCTGCCGCCTGATTAAACTTGGCTATTAGTGAAGCAACTGTTGACCTTGTGGGGACTTCGTCAACGAGGTCTTGTGAAACGTTGTCGAGGTCTTTCGAGATATCATGATCGAGTAGAAGATGGTCGTGTAGGGTGCTAATTTCGGGAGAAGCAACAGGCTTTGACTAGAGGTAACAATTTAAACAGGTTAAATATTATGATCCGGCCAAGAACATGTTAAAACTGGCAACAATATGGCATAGTGCATACCTCATGAGTATAAGGAGGAAAAGGTTTAGTTTTAAGATTCGAAACCGTTGTGGATGGGGCAGAGTCGTCAAGATCTTTGGTTTTCGCTGCATGAATCGCTGACTTTTGTTTGATCACAAAGTGATGATGAAAATAATCATCGTTTTTTTCTGATTGTCCCAATGGTACGTTAGTAGTGTCTCCATTATCAAAGCTCATCTTTTGGTGACACGAAGGCTGTTATTACGATCGAGGTCACCCGCTAATGAAATGACAAAGTTATGTACAATTAAAATGATGTTGCGACAATTGGAATATGGTTCAAGAGTGCTTAAAGATGGCAACTGAACCGGGGTGAGTGGTGTGTGTGATGCAGTTATAGATGATAAACTACGGCTTACCGACGATAAATAACATATGGCGTAATATTTTCAGATTTCGATGATAAATTATTGGACATGTTACTGTGAAACTTTTGACAACTTTTCTTTTAATGATATTTTACGTACAACCTTTCCTTAGAAACGAAGAGAATAAGAGAGAACGAAGAAGGAATATCAAATGAACAAATAATTAACATTAGGGCACGACATGAGGAAATCATGGAGTATGGGCTCAGCTTAACAAAGGGTCATTGTAAGTGCCTATCAAAGATGCGACATTCACTGGTCAATATGGCACCCAAAGTCTTTATCCCATTCTTCATAAACTTCTAGATCCTTCAGGGCAACACTGGACTTTACGCGTTTAATGGCAAAGAAGAAATCGTTTAATTCGATTGATCTCACCTAAAAGTAAGTATTCATAGTAAAATAAGATTTCATATACTTCCTTGTTTAGCTTAAACTCACGTTTTCGGCAGCGATGTTTTCCAGCATATGACCAATATCGCTATCAAATGGGATTATTATCTTACAAATCACAAGTTATAATCTCTAAAATTTTTAAATATTACCGGATAGGTCCGTAGCTAGCTTCTTGACATACACCTCTCCTGTAAAATACGCATATATTCAAAAAGTGGTATAATGCTATGATTAGTAAGATTGGCTGAGGTTGAAATTTATCGTAATTCTTAGCCTCTTACATATCTGCCCCAGAATATCCTTCAGTTATGTCTGCGACCTTGTTTATGTCGTCCTCATTAATCTTGCAATTTTGATCACGTATCAAATTTTGAACAATTTGTTTTCTGCCCTAAATATCGAGAATTTGTATAAAAGATAATACCAAAGCAAGTATCTAAGTTGTAGAAAATACCTGAAAATCTGGCAAAGGAATGTAAATCCGTTTCGCAAGTCGTCTTCTTGCAGCTTCGTCCAACTCTTGTGGTCTATTGGTAACACCAATGACTAGAACCCTGTCGTCGTTTTTTGTTCCGCAGCCATCCTGAAATATTACCCGACAAAATAAATATAATTAAAAGTAGGTAGCTTTCGTTGGTGAGTCAGTTGGTCAATTATGGATAAAATTACTTACAAATTGAATTAGAAACTCTGTCTTGAGGCGTCGAGAACTTTCATGCTCAGTTTCACTTCTTTGTGTTAGAATCGAATCAATTTCGTCAATGAATATTACGGACGGCTGTTTAATTCGAGCTACTTCAAACAGACAGCGGACCATTTTTTCGCCATCGCCAATCCTGAGGAAAAAATAATAATTACTATCTGATTATTAGAAAACAATCAAACATACCATTTGGACGTTAAGGAAGATGCACTGATGTTAAAAAACGTGGAGTTGGATTGAGTAGCTATTAAACGACCAATCATTGTTTTTCCTGTTGAACCATCACAATTCAAACGTCATTATATTTACACATACGTACGGGATCAACCAAAAATAGAGGACATTAATTATAATTATAACTTCTAACCCGTTCCAGGTGGTCCAAACAGTAATATGCCCTTGGGGGATGCTCGGAGGCCAGTAAAAATATCCGGTCTCAACTAGAAATCATTAAGGCTTAATACTTAGAAGTACATGCAAATAATCATAAAAACTGTGTGGCTAAATAATACATACCATTGGCCATATGATGATTTCCTATATTATAGATACCTTAGTTAATTATTGAAACACCTTCTTAATTAGTAACGGTGTGAATACCTTTATAACGGCCTTGGGACCAGTTAATCCTGCAATATCGTCCCATTCGGTGTGAAGTTGTTCTTCCATGACTTCGCTTAATATGGCTTCCACGATTTTGGGTTCAAAAACTTTCATTTTTTCATGAGCAAGTAGTTCATCCAATCTACAAATAGTAATAGTTCTTAGGACTGATTTTGAGAGTGACTAATCCTAAGTAAGACATAAAAAATAGTAATATAACAGTTTCTCTCTCTTATGTACTTACTCTGGGTTATTCGATGTAGGTGCGTCGCTTTCTCCAGTTAATGCATTCGAATTCTTGTTATTAGTATTGCTAGCTGTTGGTGGGGAGCGGTCCAGTTTGCGCTTGATTCCATTCTTTTTATCATTTTCAAGCTTAAATATTTGACAAATTATGTACATTTTAATTTATAGTTAATTTGTAGTAAAGTTAAGAGCAATGCCGTTATGCAGTTATTACCAACGTTGTCAAAGCAGTTTGAAATCCAGGAGCTTTTGCAATGGTAGTGTTTTCGTTACCCTTTTCTCCATCGCCGTTTGATCCTGGTTGAACGATATCCTTTCTAACAACGCTGAATACACTACCTCTAGGATTATTATGAACATTCGGATTTCCTTCGACTTGCAACTTTGGTCGTTTTCCAAAAATTGCTTCATTGTTGGAATGCTCCCCAATTCTGTCATCACATTGATTGGCCGTTTGTCCTGCTGCTGAACCGGGACGCTTCATAGGAACTTTGAAGGAGGGTTTGCACGTTCTAGATAGACCGAGGGTTTTTGTTGTTGTTTGTGCCGATGCAGAGATAAAATGGAAGCCATCTGAGCCAAGTATGTCTGTGCCAACACCTACATCCTTTCGTTGAACGTCAGTTTCAACGGATATTTCTTGTCTATCTCCCTTTTTCCCTGACTCAGATTTTAAAACAAGTGACTTCCAATTTGAGGGCTGTGTTTTCGCGTTGGGTGTCATACGGATTCCAAATTTTGATAAAGTTTTAGTTACACTACCAGGTTTCCAGGTATTGGCTGGAAGTAACGTAATAAAGCGTGTAGAATTAGTACAGAGTGGCCAAGGCTCAACAGAAATTGACGATAATTGTATGCTTACATTTTTTCAAGGATAAATCATTAAATGTGACAAAGTTCTCAACCGTGTCATTCTTGGATGGAATATGACTGCTAGAATTATTGTTCTTCAGAGGAGATTTCGCCGAGGGCATGAAATATTTGGACTGTGAATACGTATCCTGAACCTCTGCATCAGCCTCCAGCTCAAAGTTAGACTTTGGTTTGAATCGAAGTCCCATAAGATGTCCCAAACATTCCAAATACAACTCCTTATCTTCTGCAGGAGTAGCTTTCCTTCCCTTTGAAGGAACAGTGGTCGTAACCTCCTGGCGATGATTTGGAACAGCCATCTTCTTCAGCTATCTTCTGCGCTATCTGCATACAATGAGATATAAATGAATACTTACTTTGAAATCACTTGCATTACTTAACGAATATTACGAAAATGTTGTCGACGGGAATTTCTTCAATTCACTATGGCTCATCAATTATCAACACAATTTGCAAGTTCTATCAAGAGCAAGAAAGAGGTGAACGACAAGAAGAGAACTTGTTGATGTTGACGAAGGAGAAAAATCCGGCAAATCCACATGCGAATTTGATGAAAACTTCCAATCTCATCTTGCCTCTCAGCCGGTGCAGTTTCTCTGCTGGCTGGCTGAACTCAACCTCAGACAAAGATCTGCTGAAGAAGAAACGGCATTTTTGCTAGAAAAAAATCCACTTTTAATTAAAGTATGAATGAGTTGATAACCTAAAATATTTCGAATTTTGAGGAAACGTCTGAAACATCTGAGACATCAAAAGAATTTTGCATTCAGCAGCACCGTAAAATGGTAAGATTTTAGATTTATTATTATGATTATGTAGATAATTTTCATTATTTTCTACTTCTAATTAGACAAAATATGCGTGATTTGGGTTGTGGCACTTGAGGATATATTGCGTTATTCGTATTATCACATCTTCACCTTATCATCTGTGTGACTCCAGACAGGTTTTCGTTTCTCTTTAAAGCTATCGAGTCCCTCTTGGGAATCTTGATATTGCAGATTTTGAACCATCACCTCTGCACCTTCCCTGCAATATACAGAAGAGGTAAATGTAGGTCAAGGTTAATAAAACTGTTTAAATATATACATCTTAAAGCTGCTAATTTGCTTACTTGAGAGCTTCTTCATATCCCATTTCAATCTGCTTATAGAAAAACTCTTTTCCAAGCTTGATAATTGAGCGACTTTTGGATCTAATGCTGTTGTGAATTTGTTGAACTGAATCTTCTGTAAATGTGTAGAGACTTATTGCGATATATAGTATGATATCAAATATGTAAAAATATTTCTGTTTACCAATTGTATCCTCAGGGAACACTTTTGAAACCAGACCAGCTTGAAGGGCTTCTTGGGCTTGCGAATATTAGTGAGCATTATTAAAGAGAGATAAAAATGTAATGCCATATTTATTACTGCATACAATTTAGAGGGAGGCCTGTGAGTACCATATAAGCTGCCAGTGATCGATTGACTGATCGTGCTACAGATATACCCGGTGTGGAACAAAATACTCCAAAATTTGCCCTGTAAGTGAATAATTTAATAGTTGGCCCAACGAGACTTTAATGGTTTTTTTAATTGTTCGTATTATCAAACCCAGGGGTGGAAAACTTGGCTTTCTCTGTAGCAATTGCGAAATCACAAGCAGCTACCAGTTGACATCCTGCTGCAGCTGCGAGCCCATAAACTACGGCAAAGACGGGGACTTCAGATTTCTAAAGTGGATAAAATGATATCATTCACATGGTAAGAATTTATATTACTTGTTAAATATTAGTAAGAAAATACTTACGCGAATAGTTATCATTAATTGATTGCACTTGGCAAAAATAGCTCGTTGTTGATCTATTCCTTTATTTGACGTCTGTATATACATTTAAATGTGTGTCCATCAGGATTATGCTCATATTCATACAATTTAGACTTGAATAAGTGTAATACGTTAGCTGACCAATTCCTTGAGATTATGCCCAGCACTGAATACTGGACCTGGAACTGAAGTTATCATTATGCTTCGAAGACGTTCATCCGACTGATTTCTCTCAATGTTAGAAATTAGTTCATCCATCATTTGCATGGAGAGAGCATTCCTGTGATTGACAATGATGCTCTATAATTTTATCAGAATAATTGCTATCTGCATATAACTAGCGTATCCACCTTGTTTTCGTGTCAGACATCGTGATTTTCCTTAAACCATTAATTTGTTCTACTTTCAACAAGGTACTGCCTCCGACGGAAGCTGTATTAATTGTCCTTCTTAGGGATAGCATGTTTTGGAATCTCAATTTTAACATAAGGCCCATCTTGGATTATTTTCAGACTTTGCAGACACCAATTGATTGAGCGTCGGACGTCGACTGAGGTGAGTAGACTTGACACTGAAAAAAATTGTATTCTAAATGTAAATTTAGATGCATATGCATTTTATTAAAAAATTGGTCTCCTTCTCATGTGAAGACATGAATAATTGTTTTAATTTGAAAAATGTTTGAATTCCTCTGATATTAATATAAATGATATGTGCGAAAACCTGAGTGAACAAACAACTCCCTTCTACTTCTCTAAGTTATACATTAGTTAGCTCGATGCTATCATATAAGTAGCTGTGGTTTGTCTGTTCATTCTGCTGTTGACTTGAGGGCAGTTGAAGGTTATCTGAAGGAGACAGTTGCCAGTAGCCAACTCAAGGTCAACAATTTCGATTTTTCATACTCTTGATGTTGATGGCTGAGTGATGCAGCTCAGACTATAAAACCACTCACGCAAGCGTATCTGAGGTCAAAGGTCAAAGGGGGAGGGATCGATCGGTTCGTCGTCGGTCGTCATAAATTGTTATCGTTCTTGGATTTTAGCGTGAAAATAACCCTAAGGACAAGTAGGGTTGACTTACTACTACGCAGCAATAATAGGAATAAGAATAATACCGTCGCGTTTTTATCCGTGTGTATATCCTCCACGAAATTCGAGTGAGTGAGATTGAGTTTTTCTCTGGGTAACCTAACCTAACCAAAAAGGCAGATCCTTGTGAAACTCCTCCTCCGCAAGCAAGACCTCGATTGTCTATTCTTCGTTCAGCGTTATTCCTACAACCGGTGGATGGAGGAGTGAAGTTATTGGACTCTCTCTTCCTCTCGCCAGCTTGCTCGTTGCTGCAACTTATATCCTGTCCCTCGTCAGAGGAGGAATTCGCTTTCGTCTCCACCACCGACAGAGCTTCCAACTTCAACAACACACCAACGACAGCCATCATACTTTGCTGCTCGAGACAGAGAGAAGAGGGAGGTCGAGATAGCACAGTAATTTATCCCTTGATTACTAAGGACCCACAAAGGATCAATCAAAATCAGCACTCTGTTCACTCTCTGCCTTTTGAAACAGGTAACGGATAAGTGTATTCAAGAAATTGCGCTTTAGAACATCAATCTAACTATAAATTATTTTCTTGAATATTTTAGAGACACTCTTGATAAACAACCTGTGTGTGTGTGTGTGGAAGGAGTCGTCATTGTCAGTTCCATACTAATTGAAGATCATAGTGGCACCACCCACAACAGGTATGAGAAGGATATTGAAGAAAATTGTTGATCCACCAAGAAGCGAGTTCTACTTTGTCAGCTAATGAAGAGTCGCGTATTGATTGATAACTTGAATTAACAACTGTAGAGAGTACAGCGATTGATAATTGTGCCTCTAAAAAAAGGGGCGAATGGAAACAATGCAAAAATGTATGTAGATTTATGATGATAGGGTAGTTTAATAATTGTAAATAATAGGTCGTGGGTGTGGTCATACGAAAATATTTATTTCAACTTTGTTAGGACACTCCTCATCATAGCTTGCCAAATAATGATGAATACATCAACAAAGTTGTAAAAGTAGTTATAATTTTATTAACTATTAGCTTTTACATTATTGGGTGCCCCTCCCCCTCACTCCATGATTTATATATCCAGCGGATAGTATCCATGTTGGTCGTCCTGAATTTTATAACGAGTATTTATGGATAAGCATATCAGTCAGTCAGCGCTAAGGTGACCTTGGACTCGTTTCTGCTCTGGTCTCATTTTCACACTTGTTGTGTGTGCCGTGATGATGATGATGTATTCTATGATTTACATAATACGGTTGGTATGTGTACGGCACAATTTACTAATAGAAAATGCCTTTGTTTTTTTTTAGTACTCCACCACTATCGGCTAATCTACCACTCAACAATTCACTAAGTATTTACATAATTAATACATAATCACTGCTCGAGGAGGAAACTTGAAGCTCCCGAGCATGGATGCAGCAGGAGATCAAGAACATCAAGATGGGGATGAAGAAATGCCCCATCTGGATGAGGAAGTTCAAGATGATGGTGAACATGGTGCCGAGGACTTGGATGAGCAGTATGCTGATGAACAACAAGAAGATGGCGAGTTGGTGACCCGTGAAGATGATGAAGGAGAGGAAGATCACATTGAGGAAGAAGAAGAGGAAGGACAGGAGGATGCGGTCGAATATGAGGAACATGGCGGCGAAGATGAATTGGCAGAAGGTGGTGAAGAGGAAGCAGTTGAAGGGGACGAAGAGCATCTTGCAGACGACGACGACGACAATGAAGATGATGAAGTTGAAATACCACCACCCAAATTTTCACCCCTGCACAACGAACCACAAGTAGGAGAAGAGGAAGAACATGATGATGAACATGCAGATGGTATTAAATATACTGAGACTTTATAATATAACTTTATTAATATTAATATTTATTGCGAATTATTTATAATGACTTTAGAAACTCAAGGAAAGGAACTAGAAGAGGAATCCACAATAAACAACAACAATCAGGACGAGCATGAGCAGTCAGACGTTGGTGGGGCCAAGAGAAAGCGTTCAGCTTCTCATTCGGCTGACGAAGGGCCGAAGCGGAAACAAGTCAGAAGCAGTGGGTCGGTGGTAAGAAATTTCACGAATTTTGTAGTATTTATTACTAAAGATCACGAGTACATATAATAACTTTAACTGTTTCGCAGAGCGGAAAGCATGACACGTACTGTTGGGTGTGCCACAAAGAAGGAGTTCAAGCATTTTGTAAAATTTGCCCACGATCCTACCATTCAAAATGTATGCATGTACCTGAGGACTCGGTGAAAGGTTCACAGCCGTCGTCGGAATCATCATCAAAAGCTTGCATTTGTCCTGAATGTGCCGTCGTTATGAACGCTGAGAACTTGGAGACTAGGTTAGTTTTCAATATAAAAGGCACGTTGCCAATATTTCCTAATTTTGATTTTACTTTTAGATCGGAAACTATGAAAAAGTTAACGGTTGACCAGTTGATTACAATGCTTAAATATGCTTGTGAAAGGATGAAAACCACACCCGGAGTAAGACTTGGTTCTAAAACTTGAGGTCATTATGAACAAGTTTACAGAGATGATAATATAATCATGATCATACAGGCTGAACCCTTCTTCTATCCTGTGGATCCTGCAGAGGCTGTTGACTATTTCAAATATGTAGTCTACCCCATGGATGTACGTAAATCTATCATCAAATTATGTTTCAGGTTTATAATAAGCAATAATAGATTTATTGACAATTGAAATACTGAAATAGTGAAACCTCTATTTCTGCCACACAAAGTCACTCCTATTTCTGAACTCAGAGGCAGGCTATCAGGCATACTAACTATTCTTAAAAAATCTTCCTCAAATTCAAAGACACTATTTAAATCTGCGAAAAATTATTCAAAGTAGTCTGAATGACCACTGTACAAGTGATTAGAAGATCAAGACCATGACATCGTCTCATATGCATGTTATATACATATTGTTTTGGTGATGCAGAAGAAAACTCGTGTTTTTTAAAGGAATCATATTACAAGCTTATGTAAATAGTTATTTTTTCTCATTATGAAGCTTACAACTCTGGAAAACAATGTGAAAAAGCGTCAATATGGATCAACGGAAGCCTTTCTAGCAGATACACAATGGTTAGTGAGTATTACAAATATAAATCTAGCTAATTTTTCGTATTACTGAATGAAAATTTAATGGTTGCAGGCTCGTTCACAACTCTGTCGTGTTTAACTCCGGTAAGCGTAAGTAAATTTTCAGTTCGGATTCGGAAACTTTTTGCATGTGCATTTAACATAACTAGTATTACTTACTGTGTATTTATTGTGATTGTGAATTTACTGTCTAAATGCCCTTGTTGCCCGAAAAGGTTAGACTTACTACTTCTAAAATTGTTTGTTTTTGTATATTTCTTTTAATTAGCAACTTCTCCATTCACTGCAATCGCCAAGAAGATTTTAAAAGTTTGTCGACAGGAGATCCAAGACATTGGTATGATTTACAATAGTATATTGTTAACTATAGCTAAATATTTAAGCACAGGAATAGTTAAAATTACAATTATTTAAAATGTCCAGAATTTTTGTCTTTTATTCTTAACTTTTTATTTAAATGACAGTTTTCATGTTTTACATACCTGAGCTGGTCATGTCATCCAGTCGTCTTGTGCTTCATAACCTTACACAATTACAAATAATAGTGCCAAATCAAATTGTTTAATTACAGAAACATGTCCAGAATGTTATGTCAATGCTCACAATAAACCAGAAGTTTGGTTTGTCGAAGCATGCGTAAGTGTATAGAAATCTTTCATGCAACTCCTACGTATGTGCTAAAGTTTACAGAGCTTTTGATTTACTGACTATCTAATTTCAGAAACGGCCACACATTTTAGTTTGGGCAAAACTCAAAGGATTTCCATTCTGGCCAGCAAAAGCCATGAAAGTTAAGGATGAAATGATTGACGTTCGATTTTTTGGAGCACATGATCGGGCTTGGGTTGTGCGAAAAGATTGTTTTTTGTATAGCGAAGACAATCCATCGCCGGCCCCGCCTAAAAGAAATGCTGGTTTATTGGTTGCAATCGAGGTGAGGAATATTTAGTTATTTATTTGTTTCTTCTCTATTCAAAGATGGATGAAATGTATAAATCAGTATTGCACTATTTGCACTATCAATCAACGACTTATTTATTGTATTACATTATTATACTTTATGTGATAGGAACTGAATGCTCATGTCGAGAAGCTAAAGGTAGGTGTCACCTTGTTATTTTTTTTAACTATCTAATTTTTGGAAATAATTCATATTTCTTATTTTTTTTACTCAAAGGAGCACCATGGGCCAGTGATTTTTCAAGTTGCAAGGACACCAATTGGTTCACAACTTTCATTGGAGCAAATTAGGCAAATGCTTCCAGAGGTATTCTTGCTGCACATTTACTTTTGACCAAACAGTCCTATTACTATCGACTACATACAGTCGTATAGGCTATAGTCATGTAATTGTGTGTTAATGGATACTTTTTTTGTGATGTGCAGTATAAACCCGACAACTCCAGCCCTAGAAATGTTCCTGCAATGCAACAACAGCCGCCCGCAATTAAGAAATCTCCAATGACTATTCGAATTTCTTCGCTGAAAACAAACCCAACAATTGTTACCAATTCTGTTATGGAAGAAAGCGTCGGGATGTCAAAATCATCTAAAATCAGAAAGGTAGCTGTTGCAGATAATGGCGGAGGGAAACAAGTTCCAGATAGCAGGCAAGTTTGCAGTCCTCAACATGAGGAAAAGGAGGTAGAGGACATGAAACATGAAGAAGAGCTCAGTTCTGAGGAGATGGAGGAGGAGGAGACAGAGTTAGAGAATGTTAAACAACCAGCAACTACAACAAAACCAAAACCCTCGGGAATTTTAGCAACTGCTCTTGCTGGTCGTCCAACAACGCGACGAAGTAGTCGTTCTGAAACCACATCTCCAGTAACTGCACCTGTGGCAGCGGGTGATCAGAAAATGCTTCGAGCGGTACTGAAACCTGCTGAGAATGAATCTGGCGATGAAAGTTCTAAAGAACAGCGAGATTCTACTCCTCCGCCTCCAAAATCATTTTTAAAATCACTTGGCCTAATGAAGGTAGATTAGATTTTTTGACAAGTATTTGTTCACTATTTAGTGTTAATAGTAATTGGCATTTATTTAGATGAATTGAAAAATGTACTATCATCTAACAGATTCAAGTTAGTAGAGTTCTTATTTTCTGTCACATTTATTTAAGGCAAGTGATGTCAAGAAGAAGCCGCCTGTTGTAACCCAGCTCGGGAAATTGCTCCATCCCAGCGAAGTTTTTGTAAAAGAAGAAGCCGAGGAGGACGATGATTATGAAACTCCTACACCCGCCGGTGCTGCTGCTGGTGGGTTTGGTGGCCCTTCTTCTCGAAAACCAAGTGAACTTGTAAACCAAGGAATGCGATTCAATCTTTCCAAGGATATTTCCATTTCACCTGTTGGTGATGATTCAGGAGAGGACAATTCTTCTTCTTCTTCTCACCCTCATCAACCACGTCGAATGATTCAAGGGCACAATGCTCGCCTCGTACCTGGACTTATTCCCCAGAATGCACAAATGATGGGAGGTCGACCTAGACAGATGTACAATGTGAACGGTGGCGGAGGGATTCAACAACGCTTCCAACAGCAACATGGACAACAGCAACAGCGCCTTCTGATGAGACCACGACCAGGAGTTCAAATGAGACCAGGAATGAGAATTAACGGGTGCGTGCGTGTTCAAAAATATTAATTCACAAGTTGTTATATCTTGTAATAGCTTTTAATTCATTAGTAATAATTGCAATTGTTTTTAGACCTCGGCCACAAAATATGCAAAACATGCAAATGCAAATGAAGCCACAAGGACAGAATAAACCAAAAGATGTTAGCTCAACAATGTTGATTGACTCCTCGTCGTTGCAGTCTCAGAGTGGCTTTACGAGCTCGGTACAATTGAATCAAGTGCAGTCCATGCAGGGAGCGATTACCCTTCCCGGAGGTGAGTAGTGATGTAGAACAAGCAGAACTTTAGTGATTTCAGTCTGTTACATGTATGCATGATAAATATGATGATATTAGTGGTCAAGGAAAGTCTTTTGAAATCCATACATATGTAATGCATGCTAGCATGAAAACACTAAGGTCTTCTTTTCGCCAGTGCTAAGGAAAAATGAAATATTTTCCTAATTTTAAAAATTAGGAACAATTACACTAACACCACTCCAGTCATCAGTCATCGGAGTGCCAATCACTGATGGTACACTGAATGGGGGACAAGTGGTTGTTAAACAAAATCTTACTTCCGCAGCCAATGGGTTACCAATTTCTGCTGTGCTGACCACCCACGACGGGACTCAATCTCTGTTGAAATCCAACAATAAACCAAATCCACAGCGCAGGAATTTGATGAACCAGGTCCCTTCTACGGTTGGTCACCTTGTGCAGAATTTGCAGAAAACTTTGGTGGAACAAACCAAAATCACGATGGAGCAAATTGTGATGGAAATGCTGGAAAAGGCAAATACGAGTGGTGGTGGAGCAGAATCAAAAGCTCTTAAAGATGAAAATGAAAAATTGAAGAAGCAACTTATGGAGCACAAGCATAATCAAGGTAAATATCATAATACCATGTATGAATATATTTTCGGTTAAAATAAAGATAAATCCTCGTACCGATTTCAGAATCCATGGTCCGTGAGGTGAAGGAGGCTTTAGTTGCGGATAAAAAAAGATCTTTGGTTGAACTTCGAAAACAATTAGAGGGAGAGAAAAACAAGGCTGTTGAGGAAACTAAGAAGAAGCAGGTATGAATTATTTTTATATTATTTATGTATTTGCAAGAGGATTTCTGCAGTATTAACTGAACTATGTATGTTGCAATTGCAGTGGTGTGCTCGATGTGGGAGAGAAGCACAATTTTATTGGTTAGTTTGCTGCCATATTATGTCAATCAGAAAGATAATCGGTGCTTCCCTGTCCAGCTATCTTCATTTATTGATTTTTATTTTCTAGTTGTTGGAACACGTCGTACTGCGGCTATCCTTGTCAGGTATTATTTACTGTCCCTTATCGATTTTGTCTTTAAGCATTTGCATACCATCTTCATCAGTCAATAATACTCCTATTGCAATGAAAGTTATAATATTGTTTGTGCTGTAGGAGGAACACTGGATTGCGCACCATATGAATAACTGTTCTCAAGCTTCCGGAGGTGGTTCAAGACAGTAATTTATTCGAAACATAAAATATAACTTCAATTTAAAACTAAAACTTAGTCTTTATAAAGAGAAAGATTAATATTCCTACCAAATTCGATTGGTTGTTAATAATAATTTATTATATGTTATATGATCTTTGGGCTCAGTTTTTCCTGTTTGATTCCGGTTATAAATTTTGTAAGGTTCCCACATTATTTTCTGTAAATTTTTAGTTAAACTACTTTCTGAAAAATATCACAAGTCTGCCTGTGCATAATATTTTCTGTTCTTCAGTTACACTTTCTAACATATTACTATCCAACAATTGTTACAAACTTCGTTGCTTTTTGTTTGAAAAGTATTACATGATTTAATTCGAATAATACATTGTTTTAGAATTTCCTAGTTTTATTTGAAAAATTGATTTTGTGCGGATGCACATATTAAAACGATCATATATTCTCATGAACATCGTATTGTCTAATAACAGTTAATACGTAGAATTATTGATGTGGCCTGTTATGATTATATGACGTGCATATGATTAAGTGCTTTGTGAACCTCTACTGATAATATGTACCAGGTCTATGATACACACTACCGACTGATTTGAATGCAACTAGTGAGCAATAAGAAATGAAGTGTAAGAGTAAAAATTAGAAATGCTTATAAATGATGACAAGTAATACAAATATTTGACTTATACATACGTTTTTTAGTGTTACCAAAAAGAAAGTGAAATGAATAAATAAATGACAGTTTTATACAAATTTTATGCTGACGTACAATTGTGAGTGATTTCACTAGAAGGCAGGAAGGAAGTCCACGAAGGATGCTAAAATATTATGTTGTTCATTGGAACAGTTTTGTTTTATTCAGTATTCAGTCAATCAATTATCAGTAATGAATTCAAATTAATAAATAGGTCAATAATTTGATGATTTTCCTCTTCGTAGATAATAATTGATAAAGTAGTAAATTGGTAAAAGCATAACTCTTGGCATCCGCTCATATCATCATCACATTCAAATTACAGCGTTGACGTTGAGTGTATCTACATATAAAATAAATAAGAACTTAGTAGTACATTATATGCCGTGGTACAACTAGGTACCTTATTTTCATGTAGCGTTATATTATAAAACACATCCACGTCATCCCAAGTATATACATACACACATCAGATACCTTTCATTATTGTACATAAGGAGATGATACAACAACAACAGATTCGTTTCTCGTCTACTAATCTAATCCACCTCAACCTATTTCATTCTCTATTGCACATTTGATTTCATTAACTTGGGCGAGTCTGCGAACATAAGCTATTAATTAAATACGAGATGAACCAAGATCCTTAATATCCGTAATCGTTAAACTACATAATTCCTGACTTGGTAAAATGAAACGGTTCTTATTCACTGGATTGGTGAGTGAGTGAGCACACCTGACATGTCCTGTTTGGAGTTGTCCATATCTCGAAGCTATTATATTTTCTTGATGGAATTGTCCCTATGTAATCGTATATTAATGAGGGTACATGGTTGTATTACAGTTTTATTTATTGAAAAAAGTACAGCAAGTGTTACAGAAGCGATAATCTATGATTATAGCAACTAGATTATTATTACAAATGGTAATGATAAAATGTTATATTTTTGTAAGAAATGCGCCGCACTCATTACGCTGCGTACGTACGTTCATACATACGTTCGTTGAATTTGAATTGAAAGTTCAAGAAAATAACCACAGTACAATTTCTCTCCGAGAATTAATTTGTTTATTCGTATAATGTGAAACTCATATGTAGACTCTCATGTCCCGTCGTCGTCATTGTCGGTCAGTTTATCAAGTTGTGATAAGATATACATGGGAAGAAGTTTTGGAAGGAAAAAGCGAAAAAAAATTATAGAGAAGAGGAATTCGTTCGTTTAGTTTGTGATGCGTTTCCCTATTATTCGGTAATAAAAATGGTCTAAGGAATCCTTCATTAAATTATTATTGTTCGTCTTCGTTTTTTGTTTGTTACTATTTCTTCAAGAAGTCTTCAGATTTTGCAAAAGGACTGAGACGAGGAGAGTATAGTAGCTCATGCTTCCTAATAAAACTATTTTGATTGGCAATATCAAATGTGAAAAACGTAACAAAAAGGGCGAGGCTATCACTCTGTAGTTCACATATTATTGATTTGAGACCAGACGTGGGCATGACCCGGACGACCCCCATTCATTATCAATGTCAATAATTTTTTGCTTCGTAGAGTTGCGTTGCATCAAGTTTATTTTATAAAATTAGTTCACTGGCTGATTTTGCCGTCCATTGTGTCACACTCACATCGATATCTCATCGCATCGGTATTATTAAAGTATCTTCAGTTACCATTGTCTGAGCTCGATTCGATAATTGGTGGGGAAGTTGTTGTGTAGAGCAGTAAATAGTTAGTGGGATCAGTTACTATCGCTGTTCTTTTTCGTGAAGAATTATTTGCTTGAATGAAGTCCCAACAGGCAGACACTAAACACATTGCGAGTCAATAGTGACGGCGAGTTGGAAAATTCGTAATCATATTTTTTTGAACAAACATCAAACGAAAAAATTGATGACATTACAACGACACCTTTGACTGAAGGGATACAAAATTCATCAAATAATTAAGCCAAGTCATTATATAGTTTGTTCACAGTTTTTAAGGTTCTTTTGCTGAAATTTCATAATATAATTCCACTATGAAGAGTATGAAGGGATACGAACCGAAGAAATCGAAGAGGATGCATAATGGTAGTATAGCTGGAATTGAATAAACTCAAAATGTTTCTGGTTTACAAATTCTGGTTGGAGGAATAATAATAGTCTTGTTTTGGTTTTACACTATTACACAACTTCCGTCCTATTGTTCGTCAAATTTGAATAAGCGACGAGGAACAACTCTGGCTTGTTAACGAACGAACCACAAAACACTTTATGCAGTTCAAAGAAGGAAATTTGGTCTCCTGGAACGAAATTAATATTCAATCACCACAAGTACGTATTATATGGACGTTACGACGACGTAGTAAAAACAAGTGCTGCACAACACTTTTTTAATTTCTATTTTGACCACTTTTCACTTTACACCGGCCTCTAAAACTGAACTCTGAAGTAGCAACTTGCTCAACAGATTCTGAATTCAATTTATATATTGTTGCAGCAAAATAATAATTATTAGACTACGGAAAATTGTATTAAAAAGCGAACATTGCAGTTAGTGTAGAGTTTTAATGACATGAATCTATAATCGTCTATTGTTATGTAGATTTATTTATCTAGAACGAAATGGTCAAGTTTAGTTTTGGTTCGCGAGTCACGATTGTGACACAGGGACATTGTTTTTCAATTAACTGGGGAGAAAGTTGTGAATTTCTTGTTTTCAGACTTCTTTCTTCTTGCAGCATAGCAGATGAGGTAAAATGACTAATTAATACAGATAAGAAGGGCAATGTTGTGGTTGCATATAAAAAGGAAGAAAATCCGAAGTATTTAATTCACTGTCACTGAGCACATCATTGAAACACAATTAATTATTTTTCGTAGTTTCTCATCATTGGTGGGCGACCTCGATGACCCCCTCCCCCTCCGCGCTGATCCCGATCCTACATAAATAGAACCAAACAGAAACATATTCAACAATAGATTCGAATTATTACTTATTTATGCGTGTGGCACAAAACAAAAAAGAAAATCATCATTTTTATCATGAAATTAATCTCTTTCGTGAAAAATTTCGGCTTTTTTCACTTGCACCTTGATGCCAAATTACAGATATTTCTAACCAATGTCAAAAATTTTGAATTTTATTTCATATTCTGTGATCTAATGTGCACTTGCACCTTCATGCCAAATTTCAAGTTTCTTAGATTTGGTGCTATTTTACGCCAACCAACCACTGGACCGATCATGCTCATCTTCGAACTCATCCAAGAAGGCCAAGGGGATATATGCATTTTAAGGCTGAGTTTGTCAAAATCGGTTCAGTGGTTCGTTCGCTAGGGTGTACAGACAGAACTCAGAAGGATATGACGATTTCATAAGCCCTGACTCGGGCTAAAAATTAATTAAAAAGTACCCGAGGTTCACCACGCTCACGATCATCACGTTGCATGTAGTTATCTCGTTCAGGTCGATCCCGAATAAATTCCATACGATCTCCTCTGTTGTTTTCATTTCGAGGATTCATGTTGTTGTAACCCCCGTCACGCCCACCACCACGGGAATCACCCCTATCTCGAAAATCTCTGGGATTGTGATCATTCCGTCCATCCATGTCGCCTCTCGAATTATGGCTTTGCTGACTCCCACGGAATCCGCCGCCTCCACGTTCTTGAAATCCTCCTCGACCACCACCACGCTCACTTCGCATATGATTTTGCACGGGAGGAGGTGGAGATGGTACAACTTTCTGCTGAGCAAAATTTAGTTTCGATTAATAATTGTTATGCATATTATCATATTATTATTATAAATTGAAATTGTTTAACGGCGGTTGGATTCGTCGTGCTGAGCTGAGCTGATATAATGGTTGGTTGTTGTTGTGCACAAGAACGTTACCTTATGTTGATCTTCCTCCTCTTGTCGCTTTTCGTAGTGAATAAAGTCATCAAAAATAGATGTAGTATGATGGTATGAGTGAAGAATTTTTAGAACCTGCTTCCCCTTTTCAAATGGTACTTCCTACAAAGTAAAATCACAACATTATTCGGGATAGAGGAAAAATAACGGCATAATTGGACTAATAATAATAAGATTAACACACCTGAGTATCTCGTGAATTGGTGACTGGCTTATTTTCATTATTCTCAAGACGAATATGTCTCAGCGCTGTTGGAAGAAGGCAAAAACAAATTGAATTTTTCCCCATATCAGCAAAAGAAAAATAAAGCATAATAAAACCTATAAACATATTAGGAACAGACGTAATCATATTTCTATCATCACGAGCTTTTCGTGGTGGCATCTGATATCGCAATGAAATAAACACTCGAAATTGTAATCAAAATTGTAAGATTGATTGAGATCTTAGTGATTTTCATAAAGAACGACCCCCATCTTCGAAGAAATACTACCTCACATAACCCAGACAAACCACACAAAAGTTTTTGCAATTATGTTTACGTTTGGACACGTGAAGCTGAGTATTTTATTGATACCTGCGTTGGGGACATCCTTTACGTAAATCCACTTTACTTTGAATTGACCCTTCCACTTATCTTGTGACCACACCGAAGCTTTGGCGTGGTAATCTACGGAGCTAATCATTTGTGCCATGCCTAAAAAAATTAATTAATTATATGTAGTACACGTAATATTTTGTGAAAATGTAACATAGTCATATCCTGAGTTGAGCTTGATTTAAATTACCACAAAAGTGACCAGATCCGTTTACAGAAAAGAGTAAGTACAGCGAGCCTTTGCAACTTTCCCTTTCCTTATATGCTTCATCCAGCCTTTTGTTTCCTGTAATCACATTGGGAATTGTAAATAGTTTATAAAATATATTCAAACAAATAATCCAATATAAGGTCATAATGGTTCTTACCATGTTCAGTACTGCACCAAATTTCATATTTGATAGACCGGTGAATATCGTCCTCCGAGTAGCTTTTAATCACGAAAAACCGTGCTCCCTCCGCCATCAAATCGAATGTAGGAGGATTGTAATCTTTCATCTTCATTTCATCTGAAGAAAATATAAAACAGAACGTCAAATAGGAAGGATCAGAATTAGCATGACAAGGCAATCATAGAAATCCACAGCTATATATTTTATATTAGTAAAAACACTACCTGGATATTTCGGACCATCCGGAGGAGACAGGGGCGCTGGAGGAGCAGGAGTAGGCTGATGTTGGTGATTATTACCATTGCTGTGGACCGATTGATGATGATGGGAATGGGAATTTTGATGAGAATGTGAATTTTGAATTGCAGGATTAGCAGAAGATTGGTGATGCATATGGCCATGAGTTTGAGGTGGGGGCATGTACTCTCTCATCGGAGGAGGAGGTTGTTGGTGTTGCTGAAATCCACGATTTGGGGGAATGTTTTGATTTCCGAGTGGGAGTGGCATTTGTTGCAATGGAAGGGGAGGTTGAACAGGAGGAGGTTGTTGCACAGGTGTAGGAACCTTGGGTCTTTCCCATGCAGGGGCTTGTACCGGGGCAGCAATTGGGCTTTTCCCAACACCATTTTTGCTTTCCCAAGCAAGGATCATTGGAGGAAGAGGCATTCCAGGCTTCGACTTTTTGCTGATGCTCTGAGGTTTTGCTGGCTGCGATGCAATGGATGCCCAAGTCGTTTTCTTTTGCCCACCACCACCGCCTCCTTGCATGCTCATCAATTCCTTGAATTCTTTCATCTCCTTGTCACTGCCCATGCCTAATCCCCCCATCCCATGCTCCAGCATTTTCATACCTCGTTCGTCTCCATACATTCCATCCCTGCTGAAAGTAATAATAATTAAACAATTATAATACCAAACATAGTTATAGTAAAAATGTAAACATTATCATCCTGTGCTTTATAACTGTACTGTACCTATAGTAGTCATCATAATGCTGCTTTCTGGGCTGAGGACCCCACGCGTTGTAGTCCCCTCCGTTATTACTATAGCTGCCATACCCACCATAATTGGGTTGGCCGCTGCCCCCAAAATTTCCGAAGCTGCTGCTATTCCCTCCACTAAACATTCCGTCAACATTGTAGTGACCCCCTCCTCCACCAGATTCGTGCATGCCACCTCCGGAATAGCCGGCGCCCCCGACGAACATGTCGTTTCCTCCACCATTGTTAGACCAGGGACCCCCTCCAGGCTCATTCACGGGATAAGAGTGATTCGGTGGGTATTGTTGGAATGATGACCCATAGTACGAGGGCATGTTATAGGAATCGGCACCCATAGACGATCCATATCCCTGCAACATAACAATAAAAAACGTTACTCTTGTTGCTAAATAAGCTAAATACATTGTGTCGATCGGTTACTTGTTGTTGATGATGATGACCCTGTTGATTCCTCCAAGAGTCTACTTCTTCATGATCTCCAGCAACATGATGATCCTTGTTAGAGTTTGCTACAGTTAAAGCGAAATTTTAGATTATTTCATTGACAAGTGGCGAATGAATGAATGCATAGGTGAAAGTGGAAGGCATAATTCATCATTTGAACACTTACGTTTACCGTAGGACTGATTTCCAGAGCTTCCTTGTCCTTTGTTTCTCTAAAATTTCAACAAAACATTAAAAATATATCAAAACTATTTAAATCGTTGATACAAACTGGATTGATTTCCATGTCGAAAGGACATTGTGATTGTGTATTGGTTTTTGAATCATAATCATTAAATGAGCATTACATTTAGTTCGCAGCGAAATGAATATCTGCCGAAAGCGCTGAATAATGAAATAATACATTTGTGTAAAAAAAATCCATCCATCTTATGCATTAATTCACTATTCATTTAGATTAAGACTATAAATTCCTCAAAGAATGTGAGACGGCAAAATTAATGCAAGCTCTTTAGAGAAAAATTATTTCCTCTCAAGTAACTCTACAATCCTTGAGTCATCATCATCCGTATATAAACTTTATGCTATGTAAGGAATATCAAAAACGACGTTAGATTACAATTTAAAAGCATCCTTTAACATATAAGTGGCCAAGAAAGGAAGTGAATGATCTCTTTTAAACAACCGTGGTGTCTGCGCGTCTCCCATCCGTATCGTTTATACAAGTTAATGACTCCTCATTCAAGAAATGTGATAAACATTTCTGAACCGGAAACGAAGATACTACAGCAAACAAAGGGTAACAGTCAGTTTGCTCTGCTGCGGGTAGTTCTCAGCTCAAGTAAGGTTCAACTAGCAAACTTATTAACTTGTAAGAAAGTAAATTTTAAGTAAAGTAACGACAACGTAATAAAATACGAGTGGGACTTTCGCAAACTTCCTGTAGAACGGGAATGATCAAAGTACAGAGACCAGTATGTAATACGTATGCACGTTGGCGTGATGCGTGATCCCGTTAATTTTAATAAACTGCAAGGCATAATAATAAGCAGCAATCCTTTGCATTATTACCAAAACTGACTCGCGCGATACAAGACGACCATGACTTACGATAAATAATGACAGTATGCATAGTTCTAGGATTTTCGTTTTTATAGTGGAGCAGATTAATTATGGTTTTAAAATAATAGGAAACAATTTGAAATATAGAGACTGACAGGGCACAAAATGATATCAAATGTCTCTGCAAGTTGCAAATTATATGCAAATGATGAATGAACGTCAACTAACGGATGCACCTCTCAGCTTTTATTTGTGCGGTCCGTTACTCCAAACTCTTTAGTCATCATCAATATCATCATCTCATTGACGTTTCTTAAATTATGAATGTATTCCCTGTATTTTATTGATTCACTCATCATCAGCTAATAATTATACAGTTCAGATGTCATTTATTAGTCATTTTACCTGGTGATCCGACACGCCTGTAGACATGAGTGTGCGATATGTCTCCTGGATATTAACTCAATTAAAAATCCACTTCTTAATTGTTCCGACCACTTTTGTTTCCACTGCAGTTAAAAACTACGCAAAGGCCCCTCGTGCCCAGGGACTCGTGTTTCTTCAAGCTCTCTTTATTACGTAGTAGTAAATCCAATCCAGGAACTCCACTCGTGAAATTGCCCACCCACCGGCAACTAGTTTTTTTCAGAAATCTTTACAAAACAATTGGAACCAACTTATTCCTTAGTTGTTCGTCGGCACTTCTTGCTCTTCTATTTTCTCCTCGAAAGCAGGACTTTGCTCGAATCTTTCACAAACCAACTTTCTCCTTGTGACCAACAATTTGTATCTCTTCACTTCCTTAGGCAAGAATGTTTCTGATTTGAAAAAGAGTTGTTGTTTATGTTTTGGGGAGGATACGATGTGAGTGAACAACAATGGCAGCTCAGCACAACTGACTGAATGAGGCTTTGATACGAGGTGGGATTCTTTCTTCAATGAATGCTGACAGCAACTGAACTGACTGCCACAGAGGCGAGAATTGGCCTCCATGCGCCATCTGCCCGGCAGCCCGACTTCTTTCCTACCAGCCTCGTAACACGGCCGGCTAAATGGACTGAAGCCATAGCATGACTTTAATCCGGAGGCTACGCTGCTTTACCGGTGCTCGTCAATTCCCAATGCAGCGTGTTCAGTCAGAACAACGAGGTCCGTCGAGCAGAAGGAAGGTGAGTTGGAGAAATTTTGGAAATTTTGGGGATAATATTTGACAAAAAATTAATTTATTGATTTGAGAAGATCATAAGATTGGAGACTTGTTCATAAAGATAGTTATTCAAGGTCTCGATTTTAGAACATTCTCCACTTTCGCCTGTTGAAAGGTTTAACTTTCAGTTCATAATTCGCATTTTCCTTTTTTGCAGATTTTTATACCCGTTAAGCAACATCGTTAGTGTACTCCTGGAGCAAAAATGGTCGCCGCCAAGAAAGCTGTAAGTATATTTATTCTAACCTATTGGTTTAGAAATCAAGTTAGTGAGCTAAATAGACAAAGTTCTTGCCCAGTGTGGAATGAAATACATGTAAAAATTGGCAAAATATTGTATTCCGCATTGGACTAGGACACTTATTAGGGATAGTTTAGGGAGGAAAGCAGTATGGACTTGAAAGAAGTACTGCGACCTTCGGCTAAATCCCCTATTTTGTTTTGCATTATATAGAAGAAGGGAGTCGAGAGCATCAACTCGAGGCTGGCCCTGGTCATGAAGTCTGGAAAGGTCCTCCTCGGATATAAGCAGTCCATTAAAGCTCTACGAAATGGAAAGGCCAAGCTTGTCATCATTGCCAACAACACTCCTCCCCTGCGGTAAGTTTCCATTACTTGATGCATACGTGTCAATTCTTCCACTCAGTACAACAATACAATAAAACTTATCATGTTTTATTTTGCAATGATCTATGCAGAAAGTCAGAGATCGAGTACTACGCCATGTTGGCCAAGACTGGTGTTCATCACTATTCCGGTAACAATATCGAGTTGGGCACTGCTTGTGGAAAATACTTTAGGGTGTGCACATTGGCAATTACCGATCCAGGTGATTCCGATATCATTAGATCCTCGGCTATTGATCAACCAGCGCAATAAGTGTTTTACTTAAAAAGCAAAGGTTTATATCTTTATGCCTAATTGTTTCTTGTATACCGACGAATGTTAACTGTTAAGGATAACTTTTAAATAAACAGGAAGAAGATCTAAAAGTTATTTAGTGTTTTACTTGGTCTTTTTATTGTTCCGACGACGACATAAATAATCTTGCGCGATGCGATACACATTATACACATAATATCAGAATCTGTAGTAGGCAGAGGAAGTAATTGATTGCGTAATCAAATGTAGTACATGTAGATCAAAAACATGATGGAGAGGGTTACGAGCATTCCACCGTACAAAACAAACTTGTCCTGGTACGCCCTTCGTTCAATCAGATTCATTACGGAATTAGAAAGCCCCAAAGTATTTAAAAAGTTCATCATTCTTGTCCGCGTTCTTTTTAATGTCTCCCGTTGATCTCGTAAATTTCCTAGAATGTTGTGACCTTGGTCAAGCATATCATCCAATCCTCGATTAGCATTCTGCAAAATTAATCAAATTTACTTAACTGACTGTCAGAATTTGTTCACCGATAATAATTTAATGAACCCAACATATAGATTACCTCAAGACGGTTATGATGCTGGATAGAATAATCCATGCTAATGCTCGTATCTTCATTACTATTTGTGGTGAACCTCCTATTCAGCAAATCTTCTCTTTCGGAATTTTCTCTTTCCCTAGCATACCTACGACGTTGAAAGTTTTTTAATGAAGCCTGCAACCCACAATTATATACAGAGTGATCTACTTATTCTCTTCTCCAGCATTGTAAATTAGTGAAACAATTTATTTAAATGAATTATACATACGTTAAGGTGAGTAGCATCATATTTCATTTGATTCAATTTTAATCTGGACCCTTGTCTTTTTGCTGGTGGTTCCTTCATTACATACACCTCTAACCGGTCAAAAATTCTGGAAAAATAGTTTACCGTGTACCAATTACTTTGTATTTACGTAAAATAATTTATTATCCGCTACATCGTTTAAAAACAAACTCACTTGTTGATACTCTCCAGTTTCTTATGAATCGTTTCCTCAATCTGAACCTCCTCTGAATGACCTACATGCCTCTCCAGTTGTATAAATAGGGTATTTATTTGTTCTAATGTTCCATGTGATTCCGCAAACAGGCTCTCCATTTTAGAAAAGTTTGCAGCTTTTTCTAATAAAAATGCAGACTCTAATCTACAAAAAGCACGTCTTTATAATACAAATTATATTTGTAAAATTGCAAGTTTAGCTGGAAAACTTAAGGAATTCGATCTTACCAAAATCTCAGCTTTTATCTTAACTGGTTATAAACGTTTACAGATGTACTTTTAGAGAAGGCTCAGTTTATTACAACATGCAACAAAAAGTAGTTCACAGTGGGAGAAGGTACAGAATTGACAAATTTGGCGAGATAACAATTGTTGAGAGTGTGAAGGCAGGTGGGCGAGAAGGAAATTTAGAAACTTAATTGAACGTTTGTCGAGAGATGTGACACGTTGACAGGAGGAAGGAGATTGGGACGATGTTTGAGTTCGGCGCGAGGGTTTTTTGGGCTCCAAGTCGATGTAAATACGAAGCAGCAGAAACTAATTTACGACGACGGCTCACTTTCTTTTTACGTTTCGCAGCCGTCGACATTAACAATTCCTGTCGAAGTGCCGAGTGATAAACAAAAATAATTCGTGTACCCGCAGCAGAAAATCTGACGGTGGTTGTTCAATCCAGTTGACCATGTTGGGCACAATACTTTCAAGAACTAGATCAATTTGATTACTCGTCAAAGCACGAGGATTTGTTTGTGAGGCACTAGTTACACATAATAATTTATATATAATGTATTAACGTTCTTGATCGAATCTTGTTTTTTTCATGCATTTCAGAAACTCTGAAGTAAAATGAACGGGCACGGGAACAGAAGATATGGAAATACGGGCGGTGTGCCTCCTCGCTGGTTAAGATGTCCTAGAAAATCAACGAACTACATTGCTCAGAAATTTATCGTATTCAAAACCCCCTTGTCAAACCAGTATGACGATCATGTTGCAGTAGAACATCGATTTTATCCTCAAATGATTATTGATTATGTCAAGAGTACAAAGGTACAAAATATGACAACGTTGATTTTTACTTCCAATTAAATGTTGCATCCCGAAATTATATATAATGCATTCTGTAATAATTGTATTAGATGAAGCTGGGACTATGGATCGACTTGACTAATACTGATAGATTTTATCCTAGTGAGCAGATAAAAGCTGCGGGTATTCGATATGTGAAAGTGAACTGTAAAGGGCACGGTGAAGCCCCAAGTGGCGAACAAGTCAAGTTATTCAATCAAATTTGTGAACAATACATGGAACAGTTTCCAGATGATATTATTGGAGTGCATTGTACGCATGGATTTAATAGATCTGGCTATTTGATTTGTGCATTTCTTACTTCTGTTATGGATTGGGATGTCAATGCTGCCTTGCTGCAGTTTCGTCAGTTTAGACCGCCTGGCATTTATAAACAAGAATATATTAACCAACTGTGTAAGATTTATGCAAGTCCCGATGATGCTACTCCACCCCCAACGGCACCTGATTTACCAGAATGGTGTTATGACGATGTGGACGTGCGAGATGATGATGGGTTTGCCAATTCTAGTAGTAGTAATAGTGTAAATGGAGGTGCCGATGGAGGTCCTTCTGGTTCGAGAAGACATCAAAATGGATCAGATTATCAACCACAGGCAAAACGAAGAAAAGAGCATTTCAAGGGAAATCCTACCTTTATGGAAGGTGTGCCAGGTGTTCATCCAATTACCGACAGAAACAGGCTCAGTACATTGCAGGCTAGAGTTCAAGATATGTGCGAATGGAGGGGGTCAGTTTTACATACATATACGAACAATTTATTTACTATTCCAGCCATTTGGTATATATAATAATACCGGCTCTGGTAACTTAACAGAACGGGCTTTCCCGGCAGCCAACCTATATCGATGGACTTGGAAAACATAAAGTTATTGGCAGAAAAACCTTACATGGTTATTGTTAATATCCACTTAAATACCGTAGCTGTTTAATAACGTAGCGTGTCATAACATTGTCTACTTATGCACTCATGTAAGGTGTCTTGGAAGGCGGATGGAACTAGATATCTCATGTTGATTGACGGACCTGGACAAATTTACTTTATCGATAGAGATAACTGTGTATTTGAAGCACCCGAAGTCAGCTTCAGATTCAAGAAAAATCTCGATGAACATCTTTCCAATACATTAGTGGATGGGGTAATTTACGCACATTTCTTCAATTCATTATTTCAATAAAAAAAAAGTTACAGTCCGTTTATTTACGATACGACCCTCGACGTCACCACTGCAATGCTATTAGTAATGAGAGTGATGACGTCGAGGGCCGTATCTTAAATAAAACACGAGTAGTCTCTGAAAGTCAACAATATGTATTATTGTAGGAAATGGTTTTGGATAAGGTGAACGATGAATTAATACCACGCTATTTGATTTACGATATTATAAAATTTCGAGGCGAAGACGTTGGAAAGGTTGATTTCCGAATTCGACTGACTTGCATACGGGTAAGTGCATAGTTCTTTTAACGCGTCTTGGTTGTATAACTTGTATCTTAATTTATGCATGTTCAATGGTTTTCTAATGAATAGGATGAACTGATTGGCCCTCGTACCGCAGCCATTGAAAAGGGAATTATCGATAGAACGAGAGAACCTTTTGGAATTCGTTTCAAAACCTTTTGGTATCTTGAGGATACCGAAAAAATCTTGACTGGAAAGTTTGCTCAAGAACTGATCCACGAGCCTGACGGTGTAATATTTCAACCTATGAGAGACGTGAGCGTTAACTTAATTACCCTACTACAATTACCATGTGTCTATGTAATTCAACGTCAGCTTCAACTTTTGGAAATATAATGCTTATTTTGTTTACCATCACTAGCCTTACAAACCAGGTCGATGTGACGAAACTTTGAAATGGAAACCTCCGGAGTTAAACACTATTGATTTCAGGTTGAAAGTTGTTCAACAGTCTGGTGAAGGGTATGTTAATATAGACTTGTGAAAAAACTGTACTCATTAGCCTGAACCTCAACATGTGTGGTCTGTCATACAATAACTCAAAAACCCATTGGCCAACTTCGTAATAAATTTAGTGATGGTGGTGTTGATTGGTGACAAATATAAATCTGGAATATCCGATTGTATACAACAAAGTTTGTCTTCGACCAGGGTAACCCCTGAGTAGGCTTTTCTGTGGAAAATTATCAAAGTGGTAGTAGAATAGGAAGGAAGCTTAAGTTTGGTACGCAAGTCCATACTGCATGTTGACTTCCGTTGTAAAATTAAGATGATATCCAGTTGGGTTGTGAAAATCAGACAATCGGACACACATTGGTTCGGGCTATGTCAAAGCTTTAGAGATTTTCCTGAAGTTTTTATTTCTTGTCTTTTTCTGCTCAAGATTGCTTCCAATCAAGATTGGAGAGCTATACGTCGGAGGATTAGAGACGCCATTTGGATTAATGAAAATGACAAAAGCTGTTTCTGGGTTATCCGGAAAAATTGTGGAATGCAAATACGTCAAGAATCAAAGAGGTGGGAGTTGGGCATTTCTCCGCGAAAGGACAGACAAGAGTTTTCCTAACGCATACAACACTGCAAAGGGTAAACATGTAATAATATTGTCATGAATGAAACGTACGTACTCATGCAACAGATTTGATTTAAATACATTTAAAATCAATTTTAGCTGTTGCTCAAAGCATTGCACATCCTGTGACACTAGAAATCCTCTTGGATTTTATTGCTCGACATCGCTATGTGAAACATTAGCTTATATTAAAACTTCAACGTTTCGTAAATTTTAGTACTCTCCTGTGTAGAAGTAGTGAAAATGAAATTTATGTATTCTAATTTGTACTATTTATTGTGGCACGATTATTGCCGCAATCTCTCGGTCGATCAAGTTATTAATTCAGTAATTATTGCAGTCCACACAATCGATAATTATTTATGAACTACATATAAACACTAACTGTTGTTAAAATCCGCCTTTATTTTATTAATAATTATAAACGTACGTCATACGTAGTTGTTTAAGGTCCGTGATGTTATCAATTTATTGCGCTATTGTAGCAATTGAAATGTACTAAGAAAAGCTTGTTCGAGATACCGTGAGCTATATATACAATCCTCACGCAATAAAATAATCTTGAAAAGTTAAGAAACTGATTCTTTTTAATTCGCCATGCATGAGTTAAGTTCCAAGTACGTTGCTGATATTCGACATTAATAATGAACGAAGAACGAGTATATGTTCTTCAAGTCGATTAGATACTATGCATTTTAGTGATTATTCATCACCATCCAAAGAAGAGGTACATACATAATCGCAAATCTCTTACAAATTCAGCCTTTATCCGATGCAATAGTGAGCAATAGCGAGATTACAACCACGTTGTGCATTGGCAGCGACTGGTGAAAGCAAAGAGGAGACTAATTCGATTCATGATCCATTTATCTACATTTCATCCAAGTCGTGGCCCTGGCACACTCGCCACTTTCACCACTAGCTTGGACCACTCTGCTCAATCAGTCGAACTGAATCTCCTTGGAATACATGATGGACTGGAAAGCACCGAGTTAACATGGAGTGCTCTCACTCTCTCTCTCAACGTAAATAACATGTTGAAATATATACGTATACGTAAGTAAGATAGCCTTACACATATTCTATTAGAGGGTAAGAAGGAGGCAGAGTGAAGCCACTTTCACCCAAATTTACAAGTTTATGCATGAACTGAAATGAAATTCTGTCGAATGTCATAGCTAATCCGGAAATCAAATACTGTCAAATCTAGAGCACGCCTTGTCGCACACCAAAACCAAACAGCCACTGCTCAAGAAGAGCATACGAGAAATGTATGGACATCGCCAGCAATCGAATCCAACTACTTTATTGAGTTTTCTTCCATGACTTTCTCCAGATTTCTTGCGAATCTACTCTCTTCCCTCACATCATTTCCATCCATCAGTGTAGCACATTTTGCATGAACTGGGTTCATGCCATTGCACGTCTATTAGCAACATTTGCACAACATGCATGCATTCAGTTGCAGATTATTAGTCTAAGAAGTCCTGGTTTATACTGACTGCACATTTACTTCCAGAAACCACATCTTTGTGTTGTACATTTGGTCATATTAGTTGCTCGATTCGACAACGAACTGGATGTGGCGATTGCTGATTTTGTGCTACACATTCTGTTTGTTCTAAGAAAACTTTCGGCAATTGCTTCCTTGCAGGGCGACTCATATAAGTTAGAAATGCTTACTATGATTCTGGTTTATTGAATCGGGCTGTGTATTTCCTGGAACTATGCCTTCATAATTCATTGTGTACTAGACAATGGATTTTCTTTCTCTTCTTCTGCCCCTGAATCCCTTCACCCTGATTTCATTTAGCGGAGAATATAATGAATCCGATGGAGGAGATGAACGAAAGCGGTGGCTTTCACCAGTTTCACTGGGCAGGTTGTGTGTAGTTGTGTGCGTTTGAGGCAAAGTGGAATTTAATTTCGTATCGCCTGCTGTTTCCACCACCAGAGAGAAAGCAGCCTGGCCTGTCTGATCTCATAATTCTCGTATCTACAAATAAAGGGTGCTGCGTGTACATATATGCACAAATTCATATGGATGGTTGTGTATTGATGGCAGTGAATATGAAAGTGAAGTGCTCATTACATTACCAAGAAGGGGCTATTGAAAGTCGTATTGTGAAAAGAAGTGTATGTAAATTTAGAATGTCTGGATGAATTACTCTCTGTAAAATATGTATTCGCGTAATAAATATCTTGCTCTAATTTTGGTAAGATTTTTTTTCAATTTACATCTCGAAACTCTAAAAAAAGTAGGAATTCATGAACTGGGCTTCTGAAATTCTTCATATGACTCTCTTCATCATGTCATATCGAGTTGAATTTCAGGACAAAACAATATCATCTCAAGTTGAGATTTATAACGTTACAACAAATAGTCTCACTTTGCATTTCTTACCAATGTATGTCTTATATTTCAAGGACACATTTATGCCATCCCTTTTAAATTAGTAAGCCCCAGCCAAGCCACATTTTATGTGAAGACATTGGGATTCCGAAAGTACAAAACATCTGGAAAACATCACCTGCCAGCCCGACTGGAAACCAATGGAAGGAGAAAGGCGCAGAAGATTTTGGAGATTAATCCATATGAGTGACGAAAAGTAGATTTCAAAGAAAAAGAGGTTACCCCGTTCCCAGCTTGATGAAAATGGGAAGGAAGCCACGGAATGTTTGGTGATTCTCATCTCTGCAGCTCTGTGTTTTCCTTCAGGGATGTCCTTAATTTGGAAATGAATCTTGCTTCTATTTCAGCCCTGTCATCACGAGATTATCATATTCACGGGTCGCATCGCTCCTTCTCAAATCATAAACCAGAAACTTAATAATGGCCAAGAAATGAGGTATATTTGTATAACCAAAGAATGCTTCCTTCCTTGAAAGTCGGAAGAATAAGTTTACACACAAATTTCACGTCCATGCTTCTTATCACTAATTATGAGAGTAGCATAAAATAAAGCCGAATTTTCTAGAAACGTACGTACCCATGTACATACATAAGTATTTACGTATGCTATAGATTACACAGCTATTTATGTGTGAATCGGATTTGACCACGGAAAGCGTACAACATTTACTGTTTTACATTAATTATGATTAAATTTTCTAATTAAAAATGTCAAGCTTGAAATGAACCAGGCTAGGAGAAAGCCATATTTCGTAAATACGTAATTGTTAGCTAAAATCCTACAATGAGGTGATGGTTACATAGTTTATTTATTCGAAATATTATCTTGCCTGGAATGAACAAAAAATCTGCTGAAACAAGCTTGACTATGGTCGATGATAGCAAAAACAAGGTAGAAAGAGTTGACTACTTATACATACGGAGGGAGACGAAGGAGCAGTGGTGGAAACCAAGGGGAGCATGTATTTGCTCTGCTGAGCTGCTTTTTGGCTTTAGGTTTGGTTTGGCTTCTTTCTCGGGAGGAGAAAGCTTGATAGTCAGATGATGAAATCTTCCCTGTATTTATGGAACAAAGTTCGGATGCTGTTGAGCCGAAAAGAAGGGGCAAAGATCCCAAGATCACGGTAGCATGAGGGGATTCTGCTTGGCTGATCTGATTGAGATTCAGTTAGGGTAACCTATTACACTCAATATACTCTGGACTCTGGAGAATTTAGATCAAGAGAGAACAAGCCCAGCAATAACAAATCAAATGCTTTCACCCATCCAAGGCGACCTCATATACCTGTTCTGCTTCCTTTCCAAGGTGAAAGCACAAAAACTACTTGCATCACATTTCTTACTGGAAACCCCCTAACCATTGGATAACTCTAGTTGTGCATACACGAAATGACGCCGGAAAGTTGAAATAAGTAATTTTTATTTGCAAGTAAAAAAGCTGGGTGAATTATAAATAGTGAATTAATGTGCTATATAAAACAAGAATTTCTAATTAACGCAGCTTAAATTAATACATGTAGATAAATACGATACATATGTTTTGTGTAATATGACATTATATTATCAATAATAATTGTGTGGTTATGATCTTAATTACAAATGTATCGACCATTGTTCCAAGTGTCTCACAGCTCAACTACGTAATTAGAAAGTGAATTAATTTTGTCATCTAAGAAATCAATTACCGCCGCTTTGGATTATTCTAATGAGCTATTTTCGCATTCCACGTAATGAGGTTCATGCGAAGCCTAATCAAGTGTGGTTTGGCCGTCGACTCGTCGTTGTAACCATAAACTCGAGGCCTGGAAATGGGAAGACGGGGGCTGTCAGTTGGCAAAATGTGAGGACAAGGCCAATTCCTCCCAGGCTGTGGATGTAGTCTGACCACAAACGCATTAATACACGCCCACAGATAACTCCGTCGTCGCAACTCAGCTAAGCCTACGTAACAAGCACTCCTTGCAGGTCGTTGGAGGGGCTTGCTCATTTGTCTAACCAACTTTCCCAATTGTGCATGCTGTCTGAGTGGAGAAGGATCGGAAGACAAGGCGACAGCGACAACGGATCACTCGCTGAATCTGGGGTGCCAATCACAATTTATTTTCAAGCCCGTACATACTCATCGGTCCCTTCATCTGAAAAGCCAATTCACCAGCCAATGTCACAAAGTAAAAGGAGGTATCAATAATCCACTATATCGCACGAGACTTGGACATTTGAAATTATTACATTTACCAAAAGAAGCACACATTTATATTTATATGATTTATACTCAGGAAGTATTGAAAAGCATCGTATTTTAAGTCCAAATTTCGAATTTAGGTAAAAATTGGTCACCTGATTCGTGGTACCTTTATTTCTCATTCCCTTGATTCAATGCTTATTCTAAACAAACTAGAACACTGTGCTGCATGCGCGTTTGGAGCTGTTTCTTCACAAGGATTGTCAAAATCGGCATAGATTTTCTAAAACTCTTTCATCCTCCCACTTCTTTGCATTTTACAACACCCAATTCCACCAGAATTTCTTTCCACTCGTTCATTTCCCAGTGCCCTACTTTCCTTGTCTCTTGCCGGACCTGTGCTCCAACGCAAAATCCATTGATGCTCACGGAATTGCTGAATTCGATTCAGATGTAAATTATTTTTTTGAGTCAACTTTGTGAATACCATAAAAAAGTGCTATGCAAAGTAAAATCCAAATATCCTATCCATTCTTCTCCTATCTCTAGATTCACGTTGGGAAATCTATCTATATCTGTAAAATTATGTCAGTAAAATTGATATGGTAAGAACAATAATACAGTAATTATTGTTAAACTCCTCAACGCTAGAAAATATGATTATATAACATTTGGATCAACCAGATGAATGAGCGTAACGAGACAAATGTTAAACAAATGAGAAGCAGGAGAGGTATTCAGTACATATACGTACGTATTATTATACAAGTTCTAGATGTGTGCGGAAGCCTGGCTTGATCTATTTGAACAGAGAATGCAGAACGGGTTGGGAATTTCCGTTTTGCTTTCACTCTGAAGTAGTGTGTGTACAAGTAGGGACGATACTGTTTGCACCATTTGGTTTGCACGTTCTTCTCGTCGTTTCTTATCCACCGTGACCAAGCCAGCTAAGAAAATGAGATAAGAGAGTTAAGTGCT